AGGAAGGTAGTCAAAGACGTGGTAGCGTCGTGCGACACATGCATCCGGAACAAGGCATCACACCATGCTCCGTATGGGCTCATGAAGTCACCAACAACACCACCTCGCCCATGGAAATCAATCGCTTTGGATTTCGTGGTCGAGCTACCACCCTCGAAAGACCCAGTCACAGGAATCGTATACAACTCGATCTGTGTAATAACGGATAGGTTCACAAAGTACGCGTACATGGTACCAGTACTTGGAACACAGGACGCGCCCATGATGGCGCAGGTATTCCTCAGAACAATCTTCGCAAGCCACGGAATACCAGATGAGATCATCTCAGACAGAGACAAGCTCTTCACCTCGAAGTTCTGGAAAACTCTCATCGCGCTCTTAGGAATGAAGCAGAAAATGTCAACCGCATTCCATCCTCAGACCGATGCACAGACAGAACGAATCAACCAGATAATGGAGACTTATCTTCGGTGTTATGTGAACTACAAGCAGGACGACTGGGTGCAACTACTCCCACTTGCCCAGTTTGCATATAACAGCGCGGATCAAGAGACCATTGGAGTATCGCCGTTCTACGCGAATTATGGGCACAATCCCACGGCATACAACCCACCAATAGCCGGTCAGGGTACCGCGCAAGAAGCCATACTACAGGCAGGTGAGCTTAAACAGCTCCATGAAGAATTGTCAGCCGATATTCTCTTCATCGCGCAGAGATCTGCGATCTACTACAACAGAAAGCGTAGCATGGGACCAACGCTCAAGGAGGGGGATAAAGTCTACTTACTCAGAAAGAATATCACAACCAAGCGACCAAGTCACAAATTGGATCACAAGAAGCTAGGACCATTCAGGATTGCAAAAGTCAAGGGACCAGTCAATTTCCAGCTAGCTCTTCCAAGGACAATGAACATCCACCCGGTATTCCATATATCCCTCCTCGAACCAGCACCACCAGGAGCACCACCGGCTCCTGTCACCGAAATACAACCAATCAACCCGAACGCCGAGTACGAAGTAGAGACTATTCTCGACTGTCAGTATTCCCACGGCAAGGCAAAATATTTGATCAAGTGGAAAGGGTACCCACAATCGGAAAACACCTGGGAACCCAAGTCTAACCTCCACTGCTCGGGACTCCTCCAGCGGTACCATCGGGAGCATGGGGGACCGCGGCGGAGGGGGAAGGAAAAGAAAGCCCCAACCAGAAGGAGTCGGGCAACCCGGAAAAGGCTTGGGGATCAAGGGTAGGATCCTCGAGGAAGCGGGAGGCTTCCGCCAGGGAAGAAGCGGCTTCTTCCTGACGAGCGGCCTCCGCGCGTTCGGCAGCTTCAGCAGCGTCGAGTTCGTCGAGCGTCTCGACGCCTCGACGGATCATCTCTTTCTCGCGATCATCCAGGAAGCGCTGTTGCTTGCGAAGGCGGAGGATTTTCGCCATCGCCTCTTCCTCCTCGTCACGAAGTTTTTGGCGCTGGCGATCCAGCGAGGACCAGTCGCTCAAGGACGGGAGTTTCGAGGTGTAATTACAAGAGGAGCGCTTCTTGCGAACGCACTCCGAACAGCGAGTGGATTCCTTGGAATCCACCACACAGCGGCGCTTGTGAAGCCGACAAAAATCACAAGGAGACATTTCTTCTGCGTCTTGGGAACGATCGATTCGAAGGGCCAGGGCGATACGTTCAAGTTTCTTGCGGGTCGCCTCAGAGGTCATGATGGAAGAAGAAGACGGCCGTGGGCAGTCGTCGATATTTCCTTTGGCATACTTAAGCGTGGGGACCACGCTAGGCTAGGGAGGGGATAGTGTTACGGACGCTCCTGGGAGCCCGCTGGGTCCCAGGAGGAAATATCCTCAGAGCAGGCGTACTCCTGGGAGTCGGACGGCTCCTAGGAGTAAAGCTCACAGGAACCAATAAGGTCTAAGGAACATGTATCACATAGCATTACATTATAGTAGTATTGCAGGTCACGGTGATCTGGCAGCGGCCTTCCGCGGTCGGGTCACGTGACGGATCCCAGGGGATCCCAAGGGATCCAGTACGACTATGTCGTGAAGGATCCCAAGGGACCTGTGGGATCCAAGGAGAACGAAGGTTCTATATAAGACTGGCACGTCTGCCATTAGATAGGAGCTTCGTGCTCAACTTCAAATAGTATTCTGATACTTAGTAACTGTCTTCCCGTCTACGTGATACACCTACCTCTCGATCATCAGAGATCAACTGCAGCCTTCTGTATTTACAGCGAGTAAATACCGGACCGTTACAGCGTAGCTAGGAGCTAACGCTATAGGAGGGGGATAGGGTTTATCTTTTACGGAAAAACATTAATATATAGCAGCCAAGCGACAAATTAGACTATAAGAAATTAAGACTATTCAAGATTAAGCAAATCAAAGGACCTTTGAATTACGAACTCCAACTACCGAACACGATAAAGAAGGTATTCCTAGTATTCTATATATCCTTATTAGAAAAAGCACTACCGGGCGCACTACTAGCCCTAAAAACAATCGCAGAACTTATTAATCCGCTTAAAGAATATGAAGTAGAGGAACTGCTAGATTATTAGTATAAGTACGGTATTATTAAATACCTAGTGAAATAGAAGGATTACCTATAATCTAAGAACACTTAGGAACCTAAGTTAAACTTTCGCTACTTAAAGCTGCTTACTAGTTTCTATTAACGAAACCTAGGTCTGCTTAGAGCGGGTCCTTAGGGTTGAAGGGAAGGCCGACCGTCAGGTCGTAAGGGGAGTCGATGTCGCCGGAACTAGGACGTTCCGCGCCTACTAACTTAGCACTTTTCTATGCCTCCTCCGCTTTCCGCTTCTCCTTAGCTTCCTTTTCTAATGCTTCGAGAGCGTCAAGCTCTTCTATTAAGTTCAGCTTAGTAGTAATTATCTTCTGCTGCCTTTTGTAGAGGAAACGTTTCTATTTCTTTAAACGAAGGATTTTCGCTATCGCTTCCTCTTCCTTAGTATCTAACTTCTCGATCTAGGAGTTAAGGGACTCCTAATCTAACGCTATCAGTATATAGTTTATAGTACGTATATCGTATGTCTTATTTAGACGGGTATATCGACTACACCGAGTTAGTTTAGGATCGCGGGGCGATATACAGTCTTTATAATTCGTATTTTTATATCTAGTATAGAGTGCTATGATTTTTCCACTTAATTCAATCTGTCGCTTAAGCGTAATATAATTAACTCTTTTAGTTAAGCGTTCAGGTAGCATGATAAAAGAAGAAGACAGCCGTAGGCAGTTATCGATATTTCCTTAGGTATACTTAAGCGTGAGGACACGCTAGGCTAGAAGGGGGATAGTATCACGAACTAGGCTTAGTCTTAGTATAAGTCACGGGTTAGCACTATAATACTGATAGTACTACTAAGTGGATAGCACTAGTCGGTGTTTAGTACTAAAGGGTTAATAGTACTATTAAGAGAATAGCACTAACAAGAGAATAGTACGAATTAGCGAGTAGTACTATACTCTACGCTTATTATCATAATAATAGTTATATTAATCATAGTAGACATAGGTCACGTGATATGCTAGCTTGCTAGACGGGCTTACGGGCTTACGCGCCCTATAAGACGTCTTACACAGCTTACATAGGAAGTCGGAAGTTCTATATAACAAGTAAGTAGTTTCCTAGATAGTAGAGCTTCGTGCTTAAATCAAATAGTAAGTTTACACCTAGTTTACCACTGCTTATAACGTCTCAATTCCTATTAAGAATCGAGCGTCTTATTACCTTACTTCATAGCTAATACCAACCGACGAGTCTGTACTCACGACACCGACCGAGTTAGAAACGTTACACTAATTTAGGGCGATTTCCTCTCTTTTCCACACGCTTTCTATATCTTTATTAGCTACTACCTCTGCTATTATTATTCTGTCTTTCTTATCCTCTCCTATTCTTATATATATTACCTCTCTTACCTAGCCTTTACCTCTTTAGCTTTTACTATCTCTACTACCTCTCCCTCTATTATAGCCTTTATTCGCGTAGTTCATAGCGTTACTAGTAGCTATAAGTCGAAGCTATTCCCTCTATTAAATTTAATATTCGTTAAGCTTTTATATAGTATCTCTAAGATCTAGGTCTTATGATTCTAAGGTAAGCGCTATAGTAATCTAAGCTCTAGATACTAGTAATAACTATAATAGCTTAAGATATATATCCTTATTAGTAAGAGGTTTACTATCGCTACTAAGCTTTACTTTAAAGAGTAAGAGCCTTATAACGTAGTTCTAAAGTATTTCCTCCCCTAGGATAAACTTTATCTTAAAGAAATCGTCTCTTATATTAGTAAAAGTAAGACTCCCTTAAACTATTTTACCTTTATTAGCGTGAATAGCTTCTTAGAGAGGCTTAGTGTTATTTAGTTTAATAATATCTTTATACTTAGGAAAGAGAAGCTTAGAGATTAAGTTAATAACTATTTTAAAAGCTTCCTTCTTTTCCTTAGCGTAAGTATTCTACTAATTAACACTATTTAGCACGCTAACTTTAGTAAGAATATAATAAAGAATACTAGCCTTAGCTAGCTCTTATTCAGTCTTAAGCTCCTATTTAAAGAAGTTATCGAACTCTAGTAGAGTTTTACCTTTTAAGGCTCTAGCGATATAGGGAATTAGTGCTTTTAATTAGGATAATATCGTAGCGTAGTAGTAGATACACTAAGAGTTAATAAAGTAGAGATCTTAATAAAAATGAAGTTTTAAGGTCTTTTTTCGATCGATTGGAATTACTACTATATTATAATTACAGTTGCATAAGAAGCTACTACAGAGAGAGAGAATCTCCTATATAAAGGGGTAGCGTACTCAGTAGTACGGCCTACAGTACTGAGTCTACGCCTACAATCCCTATATTTCTAACACTCTGACTTGCCGAATCGACACGTGACACAGGACATCCAATGATGAAATCGATTGCATCGAAGAAAAGCAGCTGATCTAGAAGAACAGTTTAAGAAGAGATGGTTGAGCTCATTACAGAGTACAGGCTTGAAACCACTAGTTTGGATCCGTTATCCGATCCTTTGTGAGAGATTCAGCTCGGCAAATCTGGGCTCATGCTGGCAGGCGTCAATTTGCGCCGTATTTTCTCCAAGCTCACGTCCTCAGCAATTGCCAAAAGCACGATGAATAATAATGAATGCGTCAATATACACACAGTACAAAAGCTAGGCAAATTCGTTTCGAGTCTAAGATAGATTTCCCTGTATCTCTGTAAAGATTTCGAGCTTCCTATTTGAGCCATGGGCTGCATACATCCGAACACTACTTACGTAGGGTTCAGCTCCCGTCATATCTTCTGGTATCAAGCCAGCTCCGTTGCTAATTTATCCTCCATTATTGTTGCCTGCATTCAAATTGTTATTGCCAAGCATATTAACCCTCACTTTACGACCATGACTTCTCAAATCTCACCCGATCTAATTACCGAAGGAACAATCCCATTTTCCCCACCAGGAACCGACAAGGAATGTTCAACCTGGTACAAAATATTCGGATCTCTCCAATCGAAATCTCGCCTCCATCTGATTGTTCTCCATGGTGGTCCAGGACTCAGCCACGATTATCTCCTTCCCATGCAAGAACTCTGGACTCTGCATCAGATCCCCATAATCTTCTACGACCAAATCGGCAACGGCAAATCCACCCATCTCCAGAAACGAAAGGAGATGAAACGTTTTGGAAAGAAGAGATATTCTGGGACGAATTGGACAATTTCATCCAAGGCCTGGGATTGAAGGAATATCATGTCCTTGGTCAAAGCTGGGGTGGCATGATGGGGTCGAAATGGGCTGGGATTAGAAAGCCAAAGGGATTGAGGAAATTGGTTATAAGTAATTCACCGGCTGATCTCAATGAGTGGGAGAAAGCCTATGCGGGGTATAGGAAGTTGTTGCCGGAAGCTGTGGAGGCGAAGCTGAGGAAGGGAGAGGGGGCTGAGGATTGGGAGGGAAAAGAGTATGAGGAAGCGTTGATGTACTTCTTTTCGAAGCATATGATCACGGTGAAACTGATGCCAGCTGAGCTTGAAGAGAGTTTGGCATGGGCTGGGAGGGATGGTACGGTTGCGATGACTATGTGAGCTGTCTTCTGCATATATTGGGGAGGGTGTTTAGGCATTGCATGCTGACTGGTCGAGATAGGTCCGGACCAGACGAGTTCAAGTCTAGAGGTGTTCTGAAGAACTGGTCAGCGGCTGAAGCTTGCAAGGATATTGAAGTTCCAACTCTAGTGATCAATGGAACTGATGAAGGGGCAAGTGATGAGGCTGTCAAGCCATTCGTTGAAGGTATCAAAGAGGTGAAATGGGTCAAGCTTAAGAGCAGCACTCATTGCCCGCTGCATGAGGAGAAAGACAACTATCTGAAGGTTGTGTCCGAGTTCTTGTTGGGCGAGTAGAAGAAACATCTTGCTTCAAGGGGCTTCGTAGCATGATACTTGCCATCTTACCAATTGCCATGTTATCAATTACTATCCAATACCAAAAAACACAGCTTGAAATATTCTTCTGACATTTGTAGAGAACGAATGGGAAGGAGCTGTCTGTCTAGTAGTATCTCAACGATAAATATGTTTGACGGACAGGGACAGAGACACTCTCGGCAAAAATGGAAGAAATATCACCCACCAAAAGACAAAAACAAAATATAGTGAGCTGATGCTCACTCAGTCTTGAGACCGACGAAGGCAGGATTTGAACCTACGCTCCCGAAAGAAATTGATTTGGACAGTACATCTGAAAGAATCAGAGTAGCAATTCTAGTCAATCGCGTTAACCACTCCGCCACTTCGCCTTGATCACTTGATTTATGATTGAGTGTTCTTATCTGGACCAATATCATAGCTAAGAATGTGTGGAGCGGTGAAGAGATTTTCTGTGGAGTTGTGGTTATGCCTTAGCGAAGGCTTGATATCCACTCGATGGGCCCCCCTTTTCTACTCGCTTAACGTAATTTTTGCCAGGGTTGCAAAGGTCACTTTGTTTATATCTGTGTTTATTTTCTTGTTAGATTTGTTTTTATACTTAATATCCAAAGTCTTCATAAACTACTCTCCTGCCTGCTAGCCAATTCAAAACTTCACTCTTCAGCCTGGGCCCTACGCACATATACCACTCATCAACACCCACCTCCTCATTAACTCTTGCCACATCCCTCTCACCCAATCTCCTCCTCTCAATCTTAACCCCAGTATCCACCACGTCTTTCAACAACCTCAACTCCTTCAAATCCAAATCCGCGTCCTCACCCGATAAAAACACCGTCGTCGCCTCAACAAGCTGAGGATACCTCTTCAAAGTATCAGCCACAAGCCCAATATCCCCAACTCCAATCCCCCACAGTAATCTCAACTGGTTCACATCCATACTGTCAACTTGCCCTAGCAGAGGTGTGATGCCAATTCCTCCTGCAATGACAGGAATAATCCCACCAGCTTCTTTCTTTGCGAAGCGAAATTCCCCGCCAAAGCCCTTTAGGGGGACTTGAAAGCCGCCTCTCAGGTTTGCGCGGCGTTGTTGTTCGAATAGGAAGTTGGTTACGCGTCCTACTTTGCGGATAGTGAGTTCAAACTCGTCATTGGCGTTTGTCGTCCCGCTTGAGGTCGAGGGAGGGCTCGACACAGTGAAAGTTCGCATAAAATCATCGTTCAGTGATTGTGGGTCTTCATCTCGCATATGACTGTACCCTTGGTCAAGATAATCCTCAAATGCCAGTGTAGCATACTGTCCTGGCTTCCAGGTGGCTATGGCTGAGGGATCTTCTATGCGAAAGCGGAAACGAGATATCGTTGGTGTGAGCTTAGTGGTGCTGACGAGAGTTGCGTAGTTAAGTTGCTCGGATGTGACGTTGATATGTGCGATCTTCTCGTTGGCTGCATATTTGACGGGTGGGTTGTAAGGAGATAATTCTTCTGGTATGCCTTTAAATGTGAGTCCTTTCTCCACGAAGCGAGCGGAGGTAATGGTGAGTTTTACTGCCAGGTTGGACCTCAGCAATACGGAGCTAGCTTCTTTTCCTATCAGAATCTCGGTTTTCCCCGTCAGGTACAATACGTCTCCTGAGTCGAAGTCGGGGACAGTGATACCGGCCAAAGGGTTCATCTTGAGGTTCCCCAGGGTTTCGTACATTCTGTTGCCAGAATACTCTGGGTAAACGAGGACGGCCCCTGACTGATCATTTGAGATGACTCTGACGAAGCCAGCTGGACCACCTCGGTGGTTCGTGTCTACATCTTCTGAGCCGTCAGAGGAGGACATGAAGAACATATCTGCTTTCTCCAATAGTGCCAGAGCTTCAGGTGGAAGCTGAGGCGAGTCTGAAATAAGTTTTGGTTGAGGTGTGAAGGGAACAATCCGTTTTGAATTTAGGTATTTTGGACAGTTGCCTGTGGAAATGTTAGCATTATCAACTTTTGAATGAATATTGGAACTTTACATACCGACACTCTTATTAATACTCACAACCAACTGCATATTCCCAACTTCCTTTTCTCCCCTCCCATCTCCACTTACCTCCATAGCACCAGCAATCATATGCCCATGCAACTTAACCCTCATCCTACTCTCCAAATCAATCGTCAAACCCCCCACCATCCTCCCCTCCCCCTCCTCCCTCACAATCTCCCCCTCTCCCGCACCACCCAACAACGCCTCAACAACAGGATCAAACCTCCTATCCACCACCGTCTTCACCCCCACCACATTCTTCGCAACCGGTCTCCCAAACCCGGGATCTCCTCCCCAGATAGTCGTCCACGGCCGATCCTGCTCATCTAATGTACCGAGCGCTAGTAACGGAGCACCTTGGATCATATATCCCGCGCCGGGAGATAAGAATGGTGAGTTTGGATTACCTTGCCCGGACACGTGCATGATGCGATGCATTTCCTTCTCGCCCTCGTTCCAGGGGAGACCTCGTGAGCCGAACGACATTTCGAAGGTGTTTTGGTGGAATGATGAGGGGAACGTGATGGATGTGTTCAGGAAGGGGATTGTGGATAGGTAGAAGGAGGTTAGGACTTCCATCTGGGAGAGTGGAGGGGTAGTGTTATATTAGTTGATGGAGGAGTGGTGGGCTGGATGGGCTTGGGTATCGTCATGGGTCAATGAGGAGGGAGATGCATGACAAAGCGAGAGAACATTCTTGCAGCATTTTCAAGGCTGTCAATTTAGTCTCAGAACTATGTTCAAACCCCAGCTATTCCCCGGAGAAAGAGATGCAGTTCAAGCTCGTTACGAGGGAGCTAGTCAGGTCTGTGTTTGTGTTGTAGTAATCAGCTTGTGCAGGTGACGGGATTTGCGGGATTTGGTGGTGGCTGCTTACGGGAATACGCCAAGTGATGCAAAGGGATGTGGAATCAGTGGGTTTTAGCTAGCTGTAGCTTAATTAGCATTTGACTGCGTTCGAGCAACAAGGCTGATCTTGCTAATTGGTGAATGGATTGGTTGTAGTGTCGTCCCCTGATTGAAGGATTTACGAGCTTCTGATCTGTTTTGGCACTGGGTCAGGCTCGAGAAAAGCATATCAGATTTCCAGACGTTGTTAACAAGTAACCAAAATAAACAACTGGCGAATCTTCCGGAATCAATGCCAGTGAAGTCAATATCACAATTCTGTTATGATTCCCAGTCGTGTTCGCCTCTCCCTCGTTTTCACCTCGCTTGATACCACTTGGAAGGTTTAAACTTAATGAACTCTGGATGCTGCTTTCAAGGATGGACCAAGCTCTGAGATCATGCAACCCTCGCTTGGTCTGCGTGAAGAGCGAAGGAAAGAGAATTACGTAGAGCAAAATTTCGTGTCTGACAACATGCTGTGCCCTGAATATCTGAACGTGTGTTACAAAGGTTGAACATCGCCTGCAAAATTACAGTCTCAAAATAATTTGGAAAGGGAGAGGAAGAGATCGCATCATATCGGTAGTGATCTAGTCCAGGAAATCAGTCCGTGAGATGGCCAAGTAGGTGCCCAAGACAGCCCGTGAGTTGAACCCTTCTTTGGCTTTACCATGCAAGAGTCGGAGCAGACCTGTCCAGTTGAGCGGAGAAAATAATGAGCTGTCATTTCAAGTCTTGTATACCCTTCCAAGCATAAACCACCGAGAAGAGTCGCCAATCCTGCTTCCTGCATTACAAGTATCATACAGTTCATACCATCCAATTCCGAACCGTCCCGAAAAAGTAACGCCCCTAGGACCCCAAACCCATAATAACAATAGAGAACGCTCTATGAACCAAGTGCGAACCGTTTCTCAAACTCCTCATACAGCTTTGGACTGATCTCGTCGCTGCTGTTACCCTCTACTTCCCATAAAACGCCTTTCTTAGCATAATGCTCCAGCAGAGGCTCACTCGTCTCCTTGAATTTCTCTAATCGTGCCTTCCAAGTCTCCTCATCGTCGTCCTCTCGCTTTGTCAGGGGTTCTCCAGTCAAATCGTCTTTTCCTGGTACCTTCGGTGCATGGAATGTAGTGTTGTATGACCGTCCCGAAGGAGCATGAACCCATCTCCCCGCAATCCTCTCTAGGATAACCTCAAACGGAGTCTTGAGAGACACTACGAGATTGATCGGTATTAAGGCATCCAGTTGTGTAGCTTGTCCGGCAGTTCGGGGAAACCCATCGAGTATAAAAGATGCCGAGGGATCATCGGATGTTTGAGGTGGGGGAGAGATGTTCGCGAGAGAGGGCTGCTCGACGTATGAATCGGTATCGAAGTCTTCTTGTACGGCAGTAGCAGAGACAGAGTTGAGATTCATGGGTGGTTGACCGGCTGGGAAGAGCCATCCTCGAGTCTTGAGTTCGTGGAGGATCAGACGGAGGATCATTGCATCGGGGACGAGAGCACCGGACTTCATTGTGCTTGCGGCTTTGATACCTGGTAGGATGTTAGCAATGCTTTAGATTTGAGAGTTGTTGAGAGTATACCGAGAGGAGTTTGATTCTTGACATTGTCTCGGAGCAGATCTCCAGAACTGATGGCAGAAAGTTGTGGGAATCTTTGAAGAAGACGCTCAGCTTGAGTGCCTTTCCCAACTCCTGGCGCTCCAACCAAAATTATTCTTGCGGCCTTGGATAACTTCATTTTTCCAATATTCCCAAATTCCAGGGGTGTTTGATTGTTCCTTGGGGCCGAAGCTCGAGTCCGGTGCAATGGGTCGATGCGACTTGCGCCTGCGCCTGGCAAGCAAGACTATTGTCTACAGCAAACCTCTGAACGCCTAAGCTAAGATACATCCATGGTGAATACTGTTTAAGAAGAAGGAGGGAAGGGTATGGTTAATACAGAAGTGGGAGAAAGAAGGACGACGGGCGGACAAAGACAGATAATCGGTGGTTGTTGATCTTGATAGAGGAGTAATATAAAAGTGCTGCGTGGAGCGGGGAAAAGCTCAGGACATCAGACCGACCGACTGTTGGACCGCGGCGCCGGGCGCTCACCGGGCGCTGAACGGTTGAGCGCAAGTCTTGGCGACCCCGGATCCAACAGCTTGAATGTTGAGGGATCGCTCTTACCCCTGAAACTGTACCTGAATTGCTTTTTTGGCCTGCCAAACTCTCGGGATAAGCAGAATAGGTATCATAATATGATAAAATAGCATATGAAAGATGATAGATGAACTTTGAGAGAAAATACGCTCTTCGGAGTCCCTCGGTGACTTCCAAGGGTCCTGCATGACGTCCGCATGTGGCGATACGGCTTGGATCACGTGGCGTCGGGCAAAATCTTCCAGAATGTTTATTGGAACACATGTCTCCAGATCCGGTTGGCTCTGTAAGCATCGCGCGGAATCCTCCCTTTTCATCAACATTACAATGTTATCCACTTGATTCATTATCACCATTGGGAACCCCGTTTTTCTACGATAATTGCTGCGACTCTGCGATACCCGCCGAAGAGTCTTGTTGACGAGACATTCGCTATTCCAACATGAGCGCCTCTTCCAGGCTGGTCCGCAATGCGGCGCAAACCTCATTCATGGGCGGACGTAAGTCATTCTCAGACTGTAGATTCATCTTTGGCGATGTACTAATACTCTGATGATGTAGCTCGTGCTCTGCCTCGAACTGGTCCGTCGTCTGCCTATACAGCCTACCTGCGTCGCAATGCCCGAAACATGCCAGCAATGATGCCAGCATTGGCCATCCTCATCCCTCTTAGAAGCGTTTCCACCGATACACACACACACGGACCTGGTTCGAATGTCCCACCGCCAGGATTCAACGCCCAGCAAGCTAAGAAGCCATTGAAGGATACTGAGAATGCCCCAAAAGCCAACACGAAGGAAGCATTGGACCAGGCAAAAGAGGAGCTTGCACCAGTTCCGAACGATGTTGCGACTGCGGTCCCAAAAACGGATGCTACGGAATCTCAGTCCCTCGCGGAGTTAACGGGCATAAAGGAGGAAAAGGCCGTTGACAAGAAGGACCCGAAGAAGGAAGAGAAGAAGTTGACTCTGGGTCAAAAGATCAAGAAGGAGGCTCAACATTACTGGGATGGAACGAAGTTGCTGGCAACAGAAGTCAAGATAAGTTCACGTTTGGCTATCAAGATGGCTGCTGGGTACGAGCTCAGTCGCAGGGAGCACAGGCAACTTCAAAGAACCGTCCAGGATATCGGTCGATTGGTTCCCTTCTCAGTTTTCGTTCTGGTTCCATTCGCCGAACTTTTACTTCCAGTGGCCTTGAAGTTGTTCCCCAATCTTCTTCCAAGCACATACGAAGGTCAGTCATCGAAAGACAAGAAGGCAACCAACCTTAGAGCTACCCGGAAGGAGGTTAGCAACTTCCTTCGGAATACATTGAAGGAGACTGGATTGCCTTTGAGCTCAGCAAATGCTCAGAGAGACGAGTTTACGCAATTCTTCCGCAAAGTCCGAGCCACTGGAGAGACTCCTTCGGCATCTGAGGTTATCAATGTCTGCAAGATCTTCAAGGATGATTTGACATTGGACAACTTGTCGAGACCACAGCTTGTGGGAATGTGTAGATACATGAACCTCAACACCTTCGGAACCGATATGATGCTAAGATATCAAATCCGTCATCGTATGAGACAGATCAAGAGAGACGACCGGGCAATCAGCTATGAAGGCGTTGACAGCCTGTCAGTTCCGGAACTCCAGATTGCTTGCTTGAGCCGTGGTCTCAGAACTCACGGTGTCTCTCCTGGTCGTCTACGTGATGACTTGCAAGCCTGGTTGGATCTCAGACTCAAGCATGGTGTTCCTTCGACACTCTTGGTTTTGAGTAATGCATTCATGTATGCTCAAGGCAAGGCCGATTCCGAATTCAATACTCAAATCGACGCTCTTACTGGTGTTTTGTCGTCGATTCCTGAGGAGCTGTTCCATGAGATTGAGCTAGAGGTGCACAATGCAGAGGGAGCAGCGACCAACAAGCAACGTCTTGAGGTCCTTAAGGAGCAACAAGAGCTCATTGAGGAGGAGAATGAGCAAGACAATGAGAACAAGAGCTCTGGCCGAGCCACTCCTCGTGATGATGAAGATATCGATGAGAAGGAGGAGCGCAGACTACAAGCAGCATCAACTGATGCGGAGAAGGTCGCAGTCAGCGAAGCCATCGAAGCAGAGAAGGAGGCTGAGCAGGTTAAGAAGATGGAGGCCGCTGCAGAGAAGAAGTCTTCATAGACTTGACCAGTGTATGTGCGACTATGCGCAGGTTTCCTTTGTTATTGTATAGCATTCTGGGATGGGCCATGCATGGATAAACGGACGGGACAAATCATAGAGAACAGAACCCCGCTAGAATTGCTGAACTTTTGTTAAATCAGCATTGTAAAAGATTCAAAAACAAATCTTCATTTCATTGATCAATTTGATGTAGCAAACCTCGCATGTGAATTGTTGCAACCTTCAACTGACTCAGCTCAGCCAGTTGGGGTTCGCCAAGCGCGGGCAGGGAACCAGGCTGCAAGACGTGGATTGCCTCAATGACGACGGCTCAAGCTCCACAAGCTTCCAGCGCATTCAACTACAGCTTCTTGTTTACTTCGTAATTCCCCCACAATATGACCTAAAATCGATCTTAAATTCATACAGAAAGACCGTCTCTCTGTTCCAAGCAACAACTCGTCCCACTTAATCCAGCTTGCGCCCACGAATCCCGACTGCCCCGCGCAGCCGCCGAGACGATGGAGAACGACGACTTCGCCAACATCTCCTGGCAGAACGACCCAGCTGGTCATGGTAGAAGACCTGGAGTTACCAGTCCGGGAGGGGAAGGCGAAGATGACGGGTCAGGAAATACAAATGGCAAGAGACGCGGCAGCGCTGGTCCTCTAGGACGGCATGCGGATGCGATGGATCTGGCGGGCGTAGGAGAAGGAGTCTTGGATTGCACCGTCACGCAACCCATCAAAGAGAACGACGGTACCAAAGATGCATACGTCTCGTATCTGGTTACTACGAACGTTAGTATAGACGGATGAGTTGCGACTCCTGCTCAAGCTGACCCTGGTAGACTACTTTCCCCTCCTTCCAGAAGCCGACGACGACTGTCCGCAGACGCTTCACGGATTTTGTCTTTCTGTATAAGACGTTGAGTAAGGAGTATCCAGCATGTGCGGTTCCTCCGTTACCAGATAAGCATAAGATGGAATATGTCCGAGGTGATCGATTTGGACCGGACTTTACACAACGCAGGGCCAATTCTCTCCATCGATTCCTTGCCCGTTTGGCACTTCACCCCGTGTTACGGAGGAGTGCTCTTCTTATCATATTTCTGGAGAGTACGGACTGGAATGCTACTATGAAGTCTCGGCCCCAACGAGGTGGATCGGCTTCAGAGCAAGGTGCTTCTGGAGTCTTCGATAACTTTACGGATACATTCATCAATGCCTTTACCAAAGTCCACAAGCCAGACAAGCGATTCATCGAAGTCAGAGAGAAGTCCGATAAGCTCGACGAGGATCTCGGACACGTAGAGAAGATCGTAGCACGAGTCGCTCGTCGAGAAGGCGACCTAGAAACAGACTTCAAAGAACTAGCCGAGCAATTCCAAAAGCTAGTCCTGCTTGAACCCGGCGTCGAGGAATCAGTCAACCACTTCGCTCACAGTGTTGAAGATACTTCTGGGGGAATGAGGCGGTTGAAAGAGCACACCGATCAGGATTACCTGGGCAGTCTCCGCGATATGCAAGCCTACAGCTCGGCAGTCAAGAACCTCCTCAAAGCGCGCGAGCAGAAACAACTTGATTTCGAACAGCTGACTGAATACCTCACCAAGAACACCTCTGACCGGGACATCCTGGCCGCTTCTCACGGTGGCAGCACAGGCGGACCAGGCGGGTTCATCCAGCGCAAGATCGAAGACGTGCGCGGCGTTGATCCCATCCAATCAAAGCGTGAGAGGCTCCGGCGTCTGGAGATCCGGATTGAGGAGTTGACGAGAGAAGTTGAGGAGGCGAAGAAGACTACAGAAGCGTTCGATGAGGAGGTTGTGAGGGAGGTGCAGGATTTCGAGCGGATCAAGAGGATTGAGTTCAAGACTCAGTTTGGTGGGTTGGCGGATGCGCATGTGGAGTTTTATGGGGAGACGATTGAGATTTGGAGTCGGTATATTCGTGAGATGGAGGCGCTTGGGGCTCCTATTGCTTGAGATTGAGGGCTTGAGCAAGCAAGCAAGCAAGCGTATGCTGTTGATTGGGGTGTGAATACTGGCCGGGGGAAGGCGTGATGATAATACCTATGCTGTTTATGATGTTCTGAAAAGGGGAGAGTGAGAAGCACTGTTTACCTAGTGATGGCTTGGGGATCGTATTGATAGGGGGGATTGGCGTTTAGAATGGTGGCTTTTCTGGTCCGTAGGCTGGGCTTGTGGAACAATGGACTTCTGTTCTAATAACCACTGTTTCGCTCTCTCGGTTTCTGCACCGTTGACGTCCCTGTGTATCGCGATATCAGGTCTTGGCTGTGCAAATTCCGTTGCTCAATCTCCTGTATCAGTCTCGTACCTAAGCGAGAATCGCCAGGCAGATAACTCTATTTCAAGATCATGAAAATACCTCCCTACGATTGAACAGCTAGCTACATGTATCTCACTGAAATCCACCCACCTACTGTTTACAAATCTTAAATCCCCCGTCGTTCCATACAAATTTCCTTCCAGGCATCAAACATGCAAATGGAGAAAGCTTTATGCCTGACGATTAGTAATTTTTGACAATCGAATATCTATTGTCATTTCTTGTAAGCTTCTAAAATGTTGTCATTCATGGTAATACTACTTGAGCTGGAGGAAATGATACATGTAAAAGGAATAGACGGAAAGGGGATTATTTAAAAACGTCGTTGCGTTGAAAGATGGCAAGATTTGAGACCAGAGATCTATTGCTAGGCGGTGTGTCTGCCGTGAGTACTCGGTTGCTTCATGAAATATCTGTAATTGTCTGGCTCTCTCGCATTTGCTTGGATTTGAGACTGCACGGAGAGGTTTATATATCTTGTTGGGAATGATGATGAAAGTCTTTACTGACTGCTGCGTACTGTGGCACTGCTGCAAATAATCGATTCGTGAATAGTGCGTGGACTCTGTACAGCAGAAAGCGTGAAGCACCATTGATTAAATAGGCGAGTACAATTTGCTCTTGAAGAGAATTTGAGAGACTATGAACCGTCTAATTGATGAGAGCTGTGTGTCATAATTTGGCCTATGTATATATTGGGACGGCAGGAGCTCTTGAGGCTCATGCTAAACCTCTTGACCAAAAGAAGAGAAAGCTATATGCCAAGCGGAAACCGAGCTTTGACTTCTGATCCATTTGTGATTGTTATTTGCTTCATTCTTCTACTCGTGGCTCTCTAGGGTGGAACAAATAATGTACTTTACTCTGCTCACAGACGTCTAGGATAGAAGTTACAAAAGTGCCATTCTGTTGCCATTTCTCTTGTCGCTATCATTTTATAAGTCTAGATTAGATAGTGGCAAGAAGCTCGAGACGGAACTGGAAGAATGACGAGGCAACATGTTCTAACATGAGCTGGGCACTTGCTGTTTTCCTCAAGCACGAGCTGTCTGCCCGCCTGATAAGCAATTTTGGAGACGCTTTGTGTGACGCGAGCGGCGTAATTTGGATCCACATGGATTTGGAGAGGATGGTGGTGTGTAGTGAGGGTCAGGAGTAATATATAGTTGTAATGTTTGATTGCAATATCATCGTGGGACCACGGCCTATCTAGTTTATAAATAGCAACAGTGGTTGCAAAGAAGTGCTCACCAGAAGTGGTGGAAAGAGATCAAATCTCCAAATATTATCACGTTGTCAGTGTTATGCTGTTTAGCAGATTACATTCATAAAGAGTATGAATGTCTGGTATTTGTTGGGGTACCAATAATATGCCTTCGTTTTGCCATCTTAGTCACCAAAATATCTTATTACGAGGAGTCTATTGTTGTCATCGAACTTCCCATTGTCAAAGTTTAAGATTCACAGCACTTTCGCTGGGGACGATCTGTACTAGTGCCCGTACTTTTATAAATTAATTCAACGCTCCAAAATATTACACATAGGAGTATATCATTTTCTCTTGGATGCGCTCCAGTAGTTGAGAAGCCGTCTCATGTTCCTATCGGCATTTGCACGTCGAGGCTTGTAGATTTACTATGCTCTGACATGGTTAATGTACTGATAGAAATGCTGATCTGAGATGAATGGGTGAAACCATGAGAGTTCTTTGATGAAAGCCATTTTGGTTCGCAAATCACTGGAATGCTGAATCCTTCGAGTGAAATGAGAACAGCTGAATCGGAAATTATTGCCGCGGTTTTCTGCCAATGAATGGACTATGAGCTCAATCACCTAAGCTTATTGCTCCTTTGTGGGTATTTAAACAGAGGTACTTTCTGCGAACAATCTACCGGAGAAAAAAACTGCGCATGGAGCTCAGCTGAGGGGCCTATCTTTGTGAACGGACGTTCTTACACGCCTCGGCTCTATCGCTTCGAATATGGTCTTAACATAAGGACTGAACCTGTTCCATTCTAATTCAACTATAGGAGTGGACGAGAAACCTGATTTATGAGTCTAAATGGTGTCTACTCAATCTCGGTGTTGTCATTCTTGGAAGTGTTATCAAGCACTTTCCCCATTGCGTACCCAGCCCAGCCTCTTTCATTTGTCGAAACCCACCACGATCAAAATTTCCAAAGCGAGAGATTGCTCTAGCTTTGGAATTTTTTAATCAAAACAAACACGCTATAATACGTGATTTGATGACCACAGAAGGAGTAGCACCGACAGCATGAAGAGGTTGCTCGTTTATTTTTACCCAAAGCTGAGGTACTAGTAGGTGGCGGGGACCTGGTATTTATTAACAAACGTCTGTTAAACTCATATCGGTGCGTTTCGGTACATTTATCAAGTTAGTAAATGATTTACTTGGAAAAGAACAGGTACTTCGACCCTGGCACTGTATGGCATGGAAAATTTGACATAGCTGATCACTCATATTGAAGTGGTGAATGATCTCTAATGTAACAGAGTATTTTGGAGATCTATAAAACCAATGCTGTTATGAGGGATATAGAAGTCTACATACTCATAACCCCCACGAAGTCGAAGATTTCCATTGTGGGATGTAATCCATCGCTTTAGGGTATTATCTGGAGATGTATCTTTCACGGAGGAGGAGGTTCAATCACCGGGAGGTGGAAATGTATCCTCCATATAAATTGTGCTACACCTGGCCAACAATTTTATATCTCTCAGTACACTGCCACTTTCAGTCCTGCTGTCAATGTCATCAAAGCTGTTGTTGACTTTCCTGTTCTTAAGCGAGCTCTAGTAAACGCCACGGATTATGACAACCGGGGGCCAAGTTACTTCGCATCCAACTCTCTAAAGATCTTTGATTTGAAGCACAGAATAAGAAGTAAGTCGGCAAGCATATTTTGCTTCTTATCTTCTGTGAGATTTTTCGATGATGAAAGACTGGCGTCTCACTTGAATTTTATACTTCGGCGGCTTGTGCATTTGGTTGGAGCCGCTTATCGTCAAGTAGAATTACGGAACTTCAGAAGGATGGTGGGTATTTAATTCACTACTGCTACGTGTAACAGTTTTTGTACTATATAAGGTCTTCTGAGACCACACTTGTATTCCGACCTCGACCTTCCCAATCGCCGCCACCGCCCCCCATGGGCACCCATTCAGACTCGAGTATGTATATAGCATTGAACATTTCAGCACTACTTACTGCTCTCATTCGATGGAGAAATCTTGATCGTCTTCATATAACCTTAGAAATCTTCTGCCCGCGATGTAGCTGACCTAGAATTCAGTTGTTGTCATTGACGTAAGTGTTGTCACCTATTGATTGACACTCCAAGTCTTGATCGTTTGAACAAAACGCAGTTCCTGGAAACCAAAATCTTGCCATCTTTGGACCTGTGAGTGACGATAATGACCTGATCAATTTGAGTTTGCACATTTTTCAAGGCAGCAACGCCGACAGCGCTGGAAGTACTTCAAATATCTATTGATGTCTGTGCTGCGTGACTGGAGAACCAGCAAGCTGGTGGGCTTGAGATATACATATATATATATGTATGATTTTTGTCGTTACAGATAACCTGCGGGCGAGCTTGTGAATATGATGAATTGTCTGCACCTAGAACAGAATATGTGATTCGCATGCACCAGGTGAGAGGGCAATGACTCTCTGCCACACACATGGTCGGAATGGTAAGGTGAAGTCTGAGGTAGGTTATGGGAATATAAAAAGCCTACCATAGAGTTTAAATCAAGAAGTGCACTTGGAAAGAACTGAGCAGGGAAGACTAAATGCTTACACTCTTCTTAGCGACGTTTGCTTGCGATGTTGATGAACCATAGTTGTAATCTTAAGAAAGACGTATCTTCCTTCTCAGACAAATTCTGTAAATTTTAAACTTTCCACATTTGAACCTGTTTCGAAATATGTTTCTGATTATTATCATGTCCATTATTATTATCAAAACTCTCATTTTTGCTATTTTACCTGCCCTGAGAAACCGAGTCGCTAAGCGAGAAACAAGTACTTCGTAAACATTCCAGCTGCTAGTCTCCAGTCCAACACGACATCCTTGAAAGCAATACCTGTCCTTCGCCGCTTAATATTCAAATTTCTTCCAAACTCCAATAGTGTTGTTCGCATATCTTTTCGCAGTTCACTTGCTCGCCTTTCAAAAAGCTTTTCTGGGCTCCGATAAAGGGTATATATCCACCCCCAGATAAGGACGTAGTATTTGACTGGATGTTGGAGAGATATTGAATGGAGCTGTTAAATTCACGTGGAAGACCAGTTTTGGGAGGGTTTTTGGCATTTTCCATTCCGTTCACAAGTGCACAATCATCCATGGTAGAGCATAAACATGTAAACCCTCTCATCACTCACTTCCCACACGTCACTTCACGCACATCGCACCTTCCAACAAACCCAGTCCTCAGAAGAAACGTGATTCAACTCAGCGAAATCAACATCTCGCCTCCCCTTCGCGCGTCTGCGATATAAAGTTTCCTTCTCAAAATATAAAAGTTTCAGAACAGCTGAAAGGAGAAAGTGAGAAAAAGACCAAACTGTGGTAGCAGTACACACATATATGTCACTCACTCACATATTGGGTGAGGGAGGGTGGGCTGGGCTGGGCTGAGATGTGAAGGATGATGAATTTTCTAGTGAGGTGTGTACACTTTGGACCTTTTGTGTCGTTCGGCTGTGGAGTTTTACTATTGCGAGAGAGAGGTTTGCTGTCGAAGTAGATCTCGGTGTCGATTGCCTCCCTCTCTACTTCACCTTGTATCTCATCATATACTTGTTCCCTCCTGCTCATCACATATCCAGCTCCCAGCAAATGGTTTAAAAAATGATTCCAGGATATCGCGATTTCTGTTCATCTATCTTCCTACGATAGTTTGGAGGCCTGGGATTAGGGTACGGGCTGGGAAGGGTGGACAAGTACTGTACGCTTCACTTATTGTCCCGTGCCGTGTTGTGGGATGGAGAAGGGAAAGGGAAAAGGTGTGCTTTGCTGGGTGGTGGGGGGTATTTATATGAGATTTGGGAGGTGTGAGGGGGTTTGGGATAAAGACTGCTGGCTAGAGGGGGTGGCATTCACTGCAACAGATGAGCTCCAGAGTATTTAGGTGTTTTGAATCTTCGCAGTCTTGGCTCAAACGCCCGTGGGAGCACAGAAAGATGGATAAGATCCAAGCAGGAATACAATCGAATTCAATAACAAAAGCGCCACTAACAACGCCGGATATGATTGATGTAATCCCAGTCCAGGCCACGCCAAGCCAGGTCAGGCCAATCCAATTCAAAGAGCCTACGGTACGCCTCGTGTCAAAAAATACCTATCCATCTATCAATCAAGACACGAATGCATGCAAAAGTTTATCCAGCCCCTCAATCAGACGTTTTCTACTTATGCAACAACCTCTCCGTATGATCACCCTTCTCATTTCCTCCCTCCAGCGGCTCATCATCATCATCCTCATCATCCGATCCAATCACATGTCTTCCCCCCTCATCATCACTCTCCTCCTCCTCATACAGCTTCTTCTCCCTCTCATCCCCACCCTCATCACCATCCACATACTCGCCATCACTCTCGTCCTCACTCCCCGCCGCAAACGCATCGTAAAGCTCGCCCGCGCGGCGCTTATTACCTTTCTTGCCGCCGCTGCCGCCGCCCATCTTGCCTGCGCCGTTGAGGCCATCGGCTTCGTCTTCTTCCAGGAGGTCGAACTCCCATTCGTCGCGCGGGTTGTTGCGGAGGCGTTGGCGCCGCGCGAGGAAGAGGTAGACGCCGAGTCCCGAGCAGAAGATGAGGATGAGGGCTGCGGAGCCGTAGATCCAGATTTGGGTGCGTGGGGAGACGCCGAGAGTCGGGAAGAAGGATGGGAGCCAGCTTGTTGGAGAGGCTGTTGCGGAGGTGGTGCTGCTGCTGGTTGGGGTGGAGGTGTTGGAGGCGGTGGGTTTGGTGGGGCGGGTGGGTTGGTCGGTTGGGTTGGCTGGGAGGGCGGTGGAGGGTTGGGGGGCGGGCGTGATGGATGTGGTGGTGCCGGCGATGGTGGTGGTGGAGATGATGTCGGTGTGGTTGTCGTCGTCGTGTTCGGTGGGCATGGGGAGGAGAACTGCTTTGGCGGGATCGATTGATTCACCCCAGAGCTTCAAGTGCCAGTCGATGAAAGTTCCGTTGTTCTCGTTTACGACTGTGTCCTTGACCAGGACAGTCCATTTTCCGATACCAGACTCGCCCCTGATAGATGTTAGTATATGTTGCCGATGATAGATGTGTAAAGCTTACCAATGAACGACGGACATGAAAGTCCAGTCGACGTAGCCCTCTGGAGCTGTATCGAGACGGCGAGTGACTGCAATGTGACTGATAATACCATCAGGGCTGATCAGGTCAACACTGAGATCACCTCGCTTAGTATGGTCAATGTTCATTGTAACAGTGACATGTTCGAGACGTTCCAGATTGGCACCCTGGAGCATCTGGGGTGTAACCTCGAAAGATACAGCTAAACCTTCCTCCCCCTGAGGAATGGCCTGGTTGACATGGATCCAGGGCGAGTAGAAATAAGCTTGTGGTTTAACGTTTTTCCATGTTTTAGCTGCTTCAATGGTGGCCCATGTGTCAATCTTTCCATAACCGAAAGTATGACTGAATTTCTTGCCAATGGTGGTAGTTTGCCATTCTCCAGTCTCGAGGTCAATCGGCAAAGCGGTGTTCATGACCAGGTATTGCATATCTCTCCAAGTCAAATCAGGACGTATTGACAGGACTAGCGCAAAGATTCCTGCTGCAAGAGGTGCTGCAGCGGAAGTACCACCGTGCCCAGCGTAGCATTGATTGGCTCCTACGTCTGTCGTGTGCTGGGACAAATTAGCACGGATCTTTCGCATTGTTCAATCAACTTACAATTGCATCTCCGCTTCCACTGCTGTAGGTAACAACCAGCTGTGCCGAACACTTCTCTGAATAGTATGGATGAAGTCCCTTTCGATCAATGGCTCCTACAGAAATACTGTAAATGCTGTTGGTATACCCATCGAAATTGCAGTTGTCCTCGTTTCCAGCACCATTTCCAGATGCGAAGACGTAGATAGAACCCCGACCATTCCGCCCATTTTGAACACCATTGAGCATTGCCCGCTTGATCAATATGCCAGGCGCATCCATTGATCTCCCATCATCCGGTGGACCCCAAGAACAAGAGTAGATCTGGTTCTTCTGGAAGGCGTAGTTCATTGCAATCGCTTCGTCAGCATCCGTAATCAATTTGGACAAAATTCGGAGGCCTGCAATCTTCGAATCGTATGCAACTCCAACACCACAAACGTTGTTCTTAACCGCAGAAATCTCTCCAGCGCATCTTGTACCATGTCTATCGTCGGACAAGCGGGGTTTTGGTTCGGGTCCAGCATCGTTGAAGTCCCAGGATCCCTCTGCAAAGTAATTGTCTTTTAAATCATCACTATACATATCCAAACCATCGTCCACCATTGCCACCGTTGCGTTGTGGCCTGTGATACCCTGCAACCATACATCCGTAACGTTGACATCATGACCTAGCTGTACAGGATTGAAGAGATGCCATTGCTCTTGGAAAATGGGATCTTGGATTTCCAAAGCTGTCGCTACCTCCTTGAGCCTTACCATGGCGGCGTCGACCGGAAGTTCCACTTGTCGTTCTGCTTTGGGGGCAGAGTATCCGGCTGGCGGAGGGGGTATAACTGTTCGTTTCTCCATCCGAGGCTTCATCTTCTGCTTCTGTGCCAGCCTGACTCCCTCAAGGATATCTGATGCTCCAATCGACCTCTTCCGCCGCTTGAGTTCCGTCAGAGCCGTCCGTACCACATCCTCATCTTGCTTATGACATGAGAAGATGTGGTGATCTGCCAATTCTCCCAGCTGGCCTTCGTGCGTCAAGCCTAGCCGGCTAGCGATCTGTGAGGGAGGAGTCGTAGGGTCGAGATGAAGAACATAATAATCTTGCGCCTCGTAATTCCGAGCCTGCAGATTCGAGGCAGATGCGAGATAGCCCAGACCGAGGAGGCCCAGTACTGAATGGAGTCTCATGTCGTATTGGTTGCTGGATCGCGAATTACTGGAAAGAAAGAAAGAATGATGTCGAGCGAGCCAGATTTGCGAAAATTAGGATTGACAACGTTTCCTAGCAACGTTTGCGCATTGATGGTTTGGATGTTTCAATGTCGTGTCCCAGGATATCGGTAGTTGGGAAGTGTTCGATAGGCTATTAGAAGGAGTCTGGCATCGTCTTCGGGCGCAACAAAGTTAATTAAATCCAAACTGAAGAGAACCAGCAGACAGTGTAGGGTAGGTAGGCAGCGGGTATTACTATTTCGGACGGGGTGGGATGAAGATCGGGGTCAAGTCAATTGTCTTGTTCTGTCTCCCAAGGCCACATAAGCTGGAGAACGGTTTCATCAGCTGAAGACGAAGCGTCCGTCGGCACAGGGGGACAGGGGGACAGGGGGACAGGGGGACAGGGGGACAAAGCCAAGAAAAGCCAAGAGAAGCCACCCAACCCGAGCCACAGTGCGAGAGTTCGCAGAAGCAGTCGCCAGACTCGCCACAGGGAGTTTAGCTAGCCCGCGTTGGGTCTAGTCATACCTAGGTATGCTCTGGGGGATGACATCCGGGGAGTCGGTGACAGTCCTCTGTGCACGGCTGTACTGTAAGTGACATTTCCTGGGCACTATCAGTGCGTAAATAGAAACAAAATAAACTACAAAAGCGTATTTGATTCTTCGACTGCTTTGTAATAACCATACTGTATACTTACCAACCTGTTGAAACAAAAGGCAATTCAACCAATACAAGGACAGATTTCAAGGCTGGGCTTCAAATCCCATCAGTCAGTCACTGAAACCCAGCCCAGCCCAGCCCAGCCCAGCCTTCCCTGCCATCTGAACAGCGGACCATCCCGGCCGCCCATAGCGCCAGACCTACCCTACCCTACCTACGAGCATCTGGGAGCCCATCCCCAGCCCACCCTATCCCAGCTTTCCAGCTTTCCAGGTTTCTTCCCTCCGACCCAGATGAGGAGACCAAAATAATTGGCCGTGCTAGTGAACCAACCTCCTCATATCGACGTGTTGGCCGTCTATCCTCTGTACCTCTGCACTTGCTGCAGCTTCATTGACTTCATGTTGCTACCCGCTTCTATTCTCAGCTAACCAAACGATGCATCTGCGAAGCCTATACCGCCATTGCATGTCCTGAAGACCATCTTTTTCTTCCGGCGCAAGGCCAGACGAGTAAGCATCAGCAGAGCTGGTCTATGACGACGGGCTAGCTTGCGTTTTTACCCATCGCCCAAAGACGATCAGATGTCCTGAAGAGCTTCTAGGACTATCATTGAGCACATTTACAGCTTGAACACTCCTCTTCGTATTTCAGACCAATTGCAAATCATCTTGCGCCGACACTCCTCGTCCCTCCAGCGCAATGTCAGCTCCATACTGGGGGCAACTGCCTCCTCCCAAGATCTCCCGTCGAGAGCGAGAAGAAGAACGAGAGCATGCTCAGAGAGGAAACAACGACCTCTCAATCAACACCAATATGACAGGCGACCGTTTGTCCAGTAACTACCCTTCCCAGCCGAGTTCAAGACATAATCGATTCTCCAACCAGACCGATGCGCCGACCATATCTACCCAGAGCCCTTTCGCATCTCCAATAGCCTCGGAGTTTCGTGGAGACGGGCTGGCACCTCGACCGCCTTCATATCAACCTGGCGTATCGGATACCGCATACAGTAGGGACTATCTAGAGAAGCGAAGGAGGAGGCAGAGTCGGGAACAGTACGAAGACCCAGCAGCAGGTCCTCCACCTGCGGCCCCAGACGTCCCCAGAGCTCCTCCGGTCAGCTACAAGCAACCATACAGTAACGGGGGATCATCGCACGCTCCAGGTCGGTCTGCGTACGTTGAGGAGGACAGAAACATCAGGCGAGAGCCGAGTAATGGGAAAGCCCCGGTTCGATACAGTGGAAGTCAAAGACAAACACGGAAAGACTCACTTTCTGAAGCGGAAGAACAGCGACGCAGGTAAGCACTACTCCAATGTCGCCAAAAGCTTTTGGGATGACATTGAAAACTGATTTTCTGCAGAGAGTGGGCACCAGACCGGTCTCCTCTTCAGAGGTTAGAACTGACGCTTGATAGCATCACCAAGGAAGAGAAGCGAGCTCGAGTTGAGGAAGCCGAATTGCTTGCCAGAGAGACAAAAGCTGGCCGTGGTGGGGATCGAGCTGCTCAGAACTCAGTCCGGTTCAGGAACCCTCCTGTCGCAAAAGCTCCTGCTGAGGCAGCACCACAACCACAAACCCTTCCAGAAGCCGGCCTGGTACGGAATCTGAGCAATAAACAGAAAGACCAGTTACAGCGAAGTGGCACTGTGGAGAGGACTCGGCCTGTGGATGCTGGCAGTGGACCGAATGCTGGTATGTTTCATATTCTACGACCATGCAAGACATTAATTAGTCTTGAGATGGGAAGGATTCTAAGTGGTATACTAAATGATTCTAGGATTCGACTACAGGGCCCAACCACAGCAAGACGTAATAGATGTACAGAGACAGTCCGAAACCACTCCGCAACGCAAAACAAGCTCTCGTGATCGATCCTATATCCCAGTTCCTGTCAGTGGGGTCAACCGAAGTGGTAGTAATAAGCTTCGTAAGAATCCACCGGATGACCCATGGCATAATCAGCGAGCAGACGCTGAAAGACAGTATCCGGATATCATTGTACCTCGGAAGCAATCTGTTGGGAGTGGTCCATCCAGGGACACTGCATTCAAAAGCCATCCTCAGAGTTCCAGGGAGAAGGAGCTGCCTGTCCTACCCCGAGACGCACAGCACTACCCTGTTCAGGATCACGACATCGAACGTCTGGATCTGGAAGGTATGGAAGATAAGCCTGTACGACGACCGAGTAAGGTGGAACGATTAACTGGCGCAAGTAACCCGAGATCTGTACCGACTGGCAATGTTCGGACCGAGCGAGTCATGGTAAGTTGATGTCTTTTGTTTGCTTGACAGCAGGATCTAGCCGTTGGTTTTCCACACCGACGCAGGTTGAATGCTGCGGGTTGTTTGTTTGTGTAATGATATCCAGCTAATTATTTCTTCAGGTAAATGGTGTCCAATATGATGTTCCACCCAAAGCTACAGCCGACCTTGCCCGTGAAAAGCCTGGGGACCATCACCACTTCTCAAATCTCATCCACCACAAGCATGAAAACGTTTCTGGCCAGGGTGTTTATGTCGCTCCGAGACGCTTGGACGAATGGAAAAAGGGTGGCGTCGCTCTTCTTTCCGGGGCGCTACTCGACCTCGATATCAAGGAACAGACCGAAGAAGAAAAGGACAAGGCCTGGTGGGAAGCAGGAAATACTGGCACCAGGAGGCGAAGCAGTACTAAACAACGAAAAGCTGAAGCGTATGATGGAGAATACGACAGCAATACCGGTATGGAATCCCAACCTTCTTATACTGGGGAATGCCCAGGATGTCTTTGTGAGCAACAGTATCGCGAGAATGCTGTCAAGCCGCGCGATCGACATCTTGTCGGCTATGACAAGAGAACTGGGGACAAAGTGGAACCTGGGCCTCAAGATGATAATCAATTGTCTGCAGAGGGCTCTTCACTCAGACAACCTAGTTTCCTTCGCAATTTACCGCAAGAATCTATTTCCGATAGTAAAGCACATTTGCTAACCTGTGAGATGCGGTCTATCCGCGTTCGCCCAGATATAGCTCCCACCAGATTTAAACCGCGGTTGTTCCTCAAAAGTGGACCTATGCTGCGATATTGTGGCATGCGTCGCGAGAAGGTTAAGAGTCGTTCCACCAGGAACCAAGTCCTTCCCGATCGTGAGATTTGGAGGGGTAGTGTCATGATTGTTACCCAGGATGCACACTCATCATACGAGCTCGCTCCGACACTTCGATTGTTCCTACAACCAATGGACTTGCTTCCTCCACCTCCGGCACAGGTTGATGGTGAAATCGACGAGCTTGCCCCAGAGTATGTGGATCCAATTGCGGGACTTCCAAAAATTGGTAGAGATGGCAGGACACTCTATGTCCGTCCTATTGATCATCTGGAAGAAATGAAGGACTTGTCTAGAGAAGAATCGGATGATGGACTCTTCGAGATGCATAGAAGTCCACTTGATGGGACGGCCGAACGAAATCCAGCATGTAATAAGCCACATTACGACGGAGAAAAGGCGGGCAAGTACAAAGAAGTTCGAGGGTTTCGACTACACGCTGAGCAGAATGTTACTTTCTGGAGATTCAACATTGAGATTGAGCTTCGATCAAAGCAACAACGTATCGCCTACCGCATCAACCGCGGTCCTGCTACAGCTTTCTGGGTTCCAGCTCGTGGGCAAGCTATGAATATCATGTTTTCCAGCTGTAATGGTTTCAGTCACGACATCGACCCAAACGCATTCTGTGGCCCTGACCCGCTGTGGCGAGATGTCCTGAATACACATCAGACACAACCATTTCATGTCATGCTTGGAGGAGGCGACCAGATCTATAATGATCGTGTCATGGAAGAAACCACAATCTTCAAACAGTGGCTAGATATGAAGGATCCTCGCCATAAGGAGAGACTCCCGTTCACAGCAGAGTTGCAGCATGAGCTCGAGGTGTTCTACCTCAACCGTTACAGCATGTGGTTCTCACAAGGTCTGTTCGGTCTTGCAGTCTCACAAATTCCCATGATCAATATTTTTGATGATCATGATATCATTGATGGATTCGGGTCGTATCCTGACAGTTACATGCGCTCACCAATTTTCTCCGGGCTGGGCTCTGTAGCCTTCAAGTACTACATGTTGTTTCAGCATCAAAGTAGTATCGATGAAGGGGAGGACACCGAGCCAAGTTGGATTCTTGGAACTCAGCCTGGTCCTTACATCAAGGAACTGAGTCGAAGTGTCTTTACGAATTTAGGTCGTGAGATTGCCTTCTTGGGTCTCGACTGTCGTACTGAGAGAATGTACGATGAGATTGTGAGTGCGGAAACGTACGACAAGGTTTTCGAGAGACTTGAAAAAGAGATCATCAAGGGAGAGACCAAGCATTTGATTGTGTTGGTTGGTATCCCGGTGGCCTACCCGCGGATGGTTTGGTTGGAAAATATGTAAGTGGGATGAGTATCTTGTTATTGAACCTCTGCTAACATCACTTAGTCTCACGTCCCGGGTCATGGAGCCTATTAAAGCTTTGAGTAGAGCAGGAATTCTTGGCAAGAAACTCCTTAACCATATGGATGGCGGTGTGGAAATTCTTGATGACCTGGACGATCATTGGACTGCCAAACATCACAAGGAAGAACGGAATTGGTTTATTCAAGAGCTTCAAGATCTAGCCGCCATGAAGTCTGTCCGGATCACCATTCTTGGGTATGTCGAAAAATCCCATTCATTCTTCACATTACTGACTTTCAAAGTGGCGATGTTCATCTTGCAGCAATTGGACAATTCTACTCCAATCCCAAACTTGGCATCCCCAAAGACCGAGATTTCCGTTATATGCCAAACGTTATCTCCTCAGCCATTGTCAACTCTCCTCCGCCTGAGACATTAGCCGATCTACTCAACAAGCGAAATAAAGTCCATCATCTTGATGCCGAGACTGATGAGGACATGATTCCAATCTTTACTCACGACGTTAATGGGAAGCCCAGGAATAACAAACGTTTACTAAACCGCAGGAACTGGTGCTCAATTCGCTTGTACGACCCAGAACTTACTCCACCTGCCACACCACAGTCAGATGGGCCACCATCACCTCCTCCTCGTGGTGGACTTCTTCGTCGCTTATCATCTTCTCGTGGACCAAGCTACCGACCTGACGCTGCAGCACCTGTTGCAAATAAGGGATTTTTTGGTAGACGTGAGCCTGCTGCACCGCCTTTGTCCAGTCCTGGTTTCTTTGCACGACGCAACTCAACATCACATCGTACATCGACTGATTCTGAGCGGCCTGGTATGCTTACCCGGACATTGTCACTGTCACGAAAAGACTTCATGCCAGGGAATCTGTTCCGACGCAATAGCAAGCGACGCCGTCCAGATGATGGTGGAATCAATGGATATGGAGCAGATAGTGATGATGACGTATCATATCATGATCAACCTAGATCGGGATTACGTGGAGGCAGTGGTGGTCGTGATTCTGACGATGGCTACTTTCCTACCATGCCTCACACAGGCGGTCGCGCCGCAACAAATCCAGTAGCCGAAGCATCTACATCCATCGCAGGAGCCAAGCCCCAGCAAGGTTTCCAACGAAGCCAGTTCCACCGCACACCCACCGGACTTTCAGCCAAACAGCTCAAGAAGTCACCAAATCAGGAGGTCAATCTCGAAGGTGGACTCGATATCTGTCTCAATATGGAAGTCAACCCTAAGGATCCAGCGGGTATCACTAGTCCGTACCATCTACTAGTGCCGGCTCTCTTCCATGAGGAACCACCTGTCAAGGCGGGTGCTAGTAGAAGTCGAAGTCGAAGCAGGAGTAGGAGTAGGAGCGGGAGTAGGAGTGGGACTGGGAGTAGTAGGAGTGGTTCTAGTGAGGTGGGTGGGCAGAGGCAGAGGCGGGCGCAGCCGGGCGGCGTGTTGAAGAGGCGGAATACTTTTACGAGGGGGAAGGGGAAGGGGAAAGAGCAGGAGCAGGGGAGGAGGTGAGATGGTTTATGACGGATGAGGGGTGAGGGACGAGGGACGAGGATGAGGGATGAAGAGTGATGGGACGTTGGATTCATGAATGGTTGGAAGGAAGGAGGGATAGTAATGCATGGCATGTGTCATTGAAGAAATGGATTTCATGATGTCTTCTTTGGAGCTCGAAGTTGGAAGTTGGAAGTTGGATGGAGCAGTGTTGGATTGGATCCATTCAGTATACCCTTTTTTTGTTGAGATAGGATACTTTTTATGGTAAATAACCTTTTTTTACTTGGTTGGTTGGTATTTATATTTTTTTTTCGGACTCCTCTTCTTTTTCTCCTGGTGACAATGTAGCCATTTTGTGCGGTAATGGTTGGAGGGATGTGGTGAACTGCCTGCCGTGCTGGAGAATGAAGGTGGATCTGAAAGAAAACAAATAAGCGAGGTTTGTCTCGCGATTACGATGAGGTGCTAGATGTGTACCTCGATATGTAATTATACTGAAATGAAATGCAATGAGGTGGTACTTGTCTCTTCTAGATAACTAGATCCCTACTTATGGGGCCCCAGGCATTTTGTTCAGAGATGAGAGGGTACGTTTGGGGGTGTTTGGGGTGTTTGCCTATACTTGAGTACACATAGTAGTCTGTAGGACGATAGTTGAGGACTTTGAATTGCAGAAGCCGGGATATGCAGGGAGAGAAGGATAAGAGTGGGAAGGGTTGATAGGTTGAGATGATGTGGTGTGATATCGTGTGGGATGGTATGTTATTTAGGAGTGGGTTTTGGGACGGTGGATATGGCTCGTAAGAAAGAGAAGGGGGGTTGGATTCCATGGTGTGGATTTTTCTTGGACACGAAGCTTTTGAATGCTGGACGTTGATAAAATGTGGATTGGGATTTATCGCTTCTAGAACTGGAGAAGAACGGTTTGTTTAATTTCGTGGACATCTGCAGCATGAGAACAGATAATTATAATAGGAAACTGTGGGTGGCGCCCACAGTTTGAGATGCAGTCAGACGGTGAGCTCGAGGAAGCCACCTGATGTGGGTATTGAGAGAAACTCTAAGAGTTACAAGTGCCATGTATTTTTCTTGCCTTTTTGTTACAGTGCATAGTGGATTTTGTAATATTAGCCTAAGCTAGATTGCAAGAAAATGGGATACCTAGCGGTGATCGATTCAACAGTCACTGCAACATCTCGCTTGAGATAAACAAACAGTCTTGCTTTGATTTCCCTCGATACTCAACCATACTCATCCAGTTCTGGACTCCAGATCCGAAAATAACATGTGAAAATCCCAATTGTTTATCAAATGACGAGATTGATTGCCAGATATTCATTAAGCGGGCCTTGCAGGTGAATGAATCAGATTTCAAAGCCTGACAGACAACAAACAGATCGAAAAGATTAAGCGAGCGAACCCCTTACGCATGTCAACACTCTCGAGATTCACAATGAAATTCCCGACCCAGCTTCGAATCACTACTTGTCTTGACAGTGTCGTCGACCTATACCAAAAAACACACTATAAGAAAACAAAATTTGCGAATCACAAAGAAAGATGTCGGCGTACTCGGCAAGCATCTACTCGGTAGATGAAGATGGAGTTTCGCTGCCCGCGGCTTTACCTCCTCCTCCTCCTCTTCCACTATCATCTCGCCGACGAGTGGCTGCTGGGCCGTTTTCCCGCCCTACTCCTCCTCTTCCGCATTTTATCTTCCCGGCTGCCCCTTCTCCACCTCGCTCTCGCCCTCTACCACATTTTGTTTATCCTGCTTCTCCTCCCGCCCCTGCTCCTCTTGCCCTACCTTCCCCTCCCATCTCCTCCCGCCCTCCACCACCTCCCACTATCATCCCACGTCAATCTCCTCCTCCTCTCACCACCACATCCCACCCCTCCCGACCCGCTGGGTCCGGCCCACACCTAGCCGACTTCTTCATCGGAGGCAGACACGGCACCGGCCTCACCCAACTATCGGACATCGCCCGCCTCGCCGACGAGACTCTCTCCGCCATAGAGAAACATAGCAAGACCGGCACCCTCATGGGCAGCATCAAGACGATGTTGCATCACACGCCAGAGTTCGTGGCTGGGTTGAAGGAGTTGGCGGAGATGGTGAAGGAGGTTGCGAGGGCTGTTGAGGAACTGGGGTTCTTGTGGGGGATTGAGTTGTTTAGGGTGCATGGGTCGTTGGGGACTGTGAGTTATTTTTTTTTTCTTTCTTTTTTTCTTTTCCTAGCTTTGGATGTTTCTACCCGGTTTTTGATTCTTGTATGTACTGACTGGATTTCAGACATTAAAAGCTCTTCGGAGCATGACATTCGGGCTCTTTGCCGTGGTCTCTCGTGAGAAGAAGCTGCCGAAACTTGTGAGAGCGAAAGTGTTGGAGTACTCTGGGAAGCTGCACTATGAGCTGGAGAGATTGGTTCGGGGCTTTGAGACTCTTCTTGGGGCTCGGCTTGTGGAGTATGAGGTTATGTTGAAGAAGATTAAGGATGTGCGGTCGGTGCTGAGGAAGCAGGAGGGGATTGAGGATCCGAGGAATGCGTAGAGGGGTTTTGGAGGGGGGCGATTTCTGACGCCGCTTTGGGATTTCGCCTGGGGTTTGGGGGAGTTTGAGAGGATTTGGGACGTGGGAATGGAGAGAAAGAAATGTTCGGAGATGCATTCGGTGGACAAAATTTAAATTTCGTTTTTCTCTTGGGCTCTACATAAACTACCCAATGCAATGACTGAATGGGAAAAGGCAAACGAAAAACAACGTGTGAAGCAGTTCTTGAAGCCCCTAAACACGATAATGCTTTTTTTATAGTGGAAAATGCGCCAAATTGAAATACTCGAACATAGAAAAGGAAACAACCTAAACAACTGGGTTTGGATGTCTAACAAGTAGAGCGTGGTTAAAAGGTAGAAAAGCTTACCGAGCAATAGAAAACCGTATAGTACTCACAGGTGACACTCGAATCATCTGCAATGGATTTCGAAAATTGTGATTTTATTCTCGAGATGGAAGGTTGAAAGTGAAAGGTGAGGTTGGAGGAGAGTTCAGCTTATGTAATCTAACCCACCAACGAAGTACGCTAAGATTGTCGCATTTCAAAATTTTGGCTTCCCGATAAGAAAATACCTGCCCCATCCACCTCAGAGCTCTCTCCTCGCAATTCCTTCTACCACACCACAAATATGGACGCCCACGCGCTCCTCACATCCCAAGGATGGCGCGGAACCGGCAATTCTCTTCATCCAACGAGCAACACAATCGGGCTCTCACGACCTCTCCTCGTATCCAAGAAAGTCGATAACCTGGGTATCGGCAAGAAGCAGCACAGAACAAGCGATATGTGGTGGATGAACGCATTCGACAGCTCGTTGAAAGGCCTTGATACGTCGAAAGACGGGCAGGTCATACAGACTGTGACGAGTGGTGGACTGGATATGGTTCAGAAAGCCGGCGCGAAATGGGTTGGCAGTAAAGGCGGGCTGTATTCAAGTTTTGTAAGGGGTGAGGGGTTGGGTGGTACGATTAATCCGGAGGAGAGTACAGAGAGTGAGTCTGGGAAGGATGTTGCTAGTGGTAGTGGGGAGAAAAAGACGAAGAGGGGTGGGGAGGAGGAAAGTAAAGAAGAGAGGAGGGCGAGGAAGGCGGCGAAGAAGGCGCTGAAGGCTGAGAGGGTAGAATTGGTTATAGAGGAGTCTACACCGACTCAGACGGACTCCGAGACGAAAGAAGAGCGAAAAGCTCACAGAGCTGCGAAAAAAGCCGGGCAAAAGGTTGAAGAGAGGGTGGTAGAGGTTGAGGTAGAATCTGCACAGAAGTCTGAGACGAAAGAAGAGCGCAAGGCGAGGAAAGCTGCAGAGCGTGAGGCAAAGGAACAACAATCGAAAGTTGTCGACGAGCCAACAGATGACGTCGAGATGGCAGATGTACAGGAAACAAAAGAGGAACGAAAAGAGCGCAGGCGGCTGAAGAAGCTTGCAAAAGAGGCACAAGAAAAGCAGGGATCGACAGATGATTCCTCAGAGAAAGCCAAAAAGAAGAAGCGAAGGAAGGATTGAGTCTTACATTCTGGCATAAGCGCGGCGTTTTGGAGCATTAGACGGATATAAAACTGTAGAGATTCTAGAGTTCTTTTCTAAATCATGGCTCTTTTGGTATCTTGCCGGGTTTGTTCGACAATAACCAGGGCCTCCTCTCCCAGAATTCATCTTTGATGATGTCTACGTGCTGAACTGTGATTCTTGCTTTGGCTCTCCGCTTCTTATCCTTTTCCTCTTGGGTTTTGGAGAGTGCTGTTTCTTCTACTGTCTTGGCTGAATCTTCGTCGACAATTTCTGGGGCTGTTCCTGGCTCGACCATTTCGTACTGTGTAAGGCATTAGAGACAGCTGTGGAGGGCAGAAGCAGAACTTACGTCTCGAAATACTACACTGCCTTTCTTGTAGATCTCAGGCTCATTATTGTAGTTGATCTTGAACCTTGAGAATAAGATCTCGTTCTTGTCTGCAGACAGTGACCCCTTCAGAAGTCAGGTCAAGTCTCACCATGCTTGGGGTAGGGAGACTCACGGCCAACTCCTTCTCTGCACTCTTGGCATCAAATCCGCCATTCTGGATCAACGCCCAGAAAGTCGTGTTGTAAAGATTATTGATATGACCTTACTCTAATCAGCGCATGCCTAAATGCCGAAAGGAAGTACTCACAATCAACCTGTCTCCAACTCATATAATCCCTCAGATTCTGGACACTCGGATATTGCACAGCCCGACCATCGAAACTGGGTAACGGCGCTGTGAGAGGTAGATCTGGGAAATGCGTAGACCAGAGATGGACGTAATATGCTGTGAAAGTTGAGACGATTGTTGTTACCAGTTTACTAATCCAATCAATATGCTGATATCTCAATGTCAATATGAGGGGAAGAGTCATACCTTGACCGCCTTTCGAAGAGAGCACAGGTTTTGTGGAAGACGAAGCTATGTACATCAGAGTCCGATTTCTATTGAGATTCGACGAGGCAGAAATGTACCTATACTCATCACTTATACCGTACGCGATGACAATATCCGGTAACTCATTCATGACTGCCATAGCAGCCGCATTCATGAGATCCAGTGCTCGACGGTCATTGGGTTTCTCGAATGCATATTTATTTGAGAACCTGAATCGCATGAGCACAGAACTTAGGGGATGGGGAGGAGACATACTTGTGGAAACCTCGACCATCGATCCGAACTATGATCCACGTGTTTGGAATGAGGAGGTCTGGTTGCTCGAAATTCTTCACGTACTCGTACCTGGTAGTTCAATGTAAGTATATGAGCTAATAATTTAGAGAGATTTCATTCTACTTAGAGTTCGCCATCGTGAGGTGTTGTGGGGTTGGTACAAGCCGAACAGGTGTCAGAGAGGTTGATGTGAAGATGCATAAAGTTCCAAGCGAGATGTGGAAGAAATCCGAAGGGACTAAACAGAGGCTGAAATGAGGCAAAATCAGATATCTGTCAAACTTTGTAATCAAATCTAATTTCAAAATGCAGTAGAAAATACAGCTGGCCTGTGAGCTTAACCCTAAGTTTTGCAAGGAGGATCAAAATTGAATATAGTCATGTGTGTTTCACGTGACTTGAATCACATTTTTGGGTCCATTTTACCCAGTCGTGGATTTAGGATATCGCGTGGACATGATGAATTTAGTATGGGACGGTTTTAAGAGAGATGTGGTTTGAAGCCCTGCACTTACATCGCTGATGGAAAATATCTTGCAATAACTCAATAGATACATTTGATGCTGCCACTTTCTACTAGTAATGTGCGTATTGAATCTCCTAGGCACTTCCCATCTTATCAAAGACATCGACAGAGGCAAAAGCACTACTTGTCCATCTCAAAATTTGTACAAGCATATCCGACAACTCCAGCTACTCCAGAAATGCCCCATAGATCCTGAACGCCAAACCCATGAACATGTTCAGTCTGACATGGCTGTATCAAACTTGTGAACCGCGTACATACTTGTCTGGTAAGGACAACCCGGACTACTTCTGTTCCTGCCCTACCACAAGAACGAACACCGGTATCTGCGAATTACAATCCTCTTTAAACACGTTACTCCACATCCTCATCTGCCGTTCCAAGTAGGTAACTCAGCAGCCTGCTGGGTATTATCCGAATTCAACTCCGCCGGATGCGCAACCGGCGCGTCCAACTCTCCTGGCCTCTCGTTGTGTAATGGTTTTCCTTCCGTCTCATAAGTCTGCTGCGAAACAGGTTCGTAAGGTGGCGTTGGTTCTTGCATAGAGGATTGTGCTGCTCGTTTCCGTCTCTTCAGGAGGAAGAATCCAAGGATGAGGAGGGCGGCCAGAGCTGCCACACCCACGCCTGCACCTATACCGGCTTTTGCACCAGTTGAGAGGCCGGAACTGCTTGATGAGGTGGGAGCAGGTGAACTTGTTATTGAATTTGAAGGCAAGGGTGTTGATGTTCCTGTAGGTGTCTGTGACGAACGATTAGCGAGATCTCGAAAATTAAACGGGCAACACATACAATAACTGTTGCGTAGTTCGTATTCTGTATCTGTCCTAACTGTTTGAAGGAGAACCTCTGTCCATCCTGTGGCGCCGTAATATTCGAACTCATTGCCATCAAGCTATTCCGTTTCTTCTCCAAATGCCACGCTGTTCCATTCGCCGCATTCGTCATGAAAAACGTTCCATCTCCCCATGGCTGTATCTGCCAGAACATAGAAGAATCGGCTATACTCGCGTTCGTCATCAGCGGTACTGTCTTCCCTGGGGTGTCTTCATTGGCTTGGAATTTGACGGTCAGGTAACCTAATGGGCCGGAGTCTTTCGATCGCAGGACATAATATGTTGAGTTGAAGGGGTAGAGTTGCCATAATTGTTGAGCTTTCGTGGTGTTTGTTTCGGTGAAAAATATTGCGCCTGTTAGGCTGTTGTTGTACAGACTTGTGCCTGATGCTGATTGTCCTCCATCTGCTGAGTCCCCAATATATATTTGTTGCCAGTGATCGCTTGCAAAATTCGCCATTTTGCTTGTCCACACCTATTCGTATCTTCAAATCGTTTCTCAATTTCGTTGACTCGCAAACGCCGAACCAAAAAGAAAGGAAGGGAATGAGACATGCTTGCGTGGGAGATGAGTATGTAATAAACTAAGGAGCAGGCGGCGCAGTATTATGAACGCATGGCTTGTCTATCACAAAGGAGGAAATAGGATGGTGGTATCGCCATCTTGGCAGGCACTAATAGCTGACAGGAGTACAGGAGCTGCTTGATCTGCAGTGCAATCAATGCTCTTCAACTGTAATAATGCATTACTTGGATATTTAAAGAGATGTGTGAACTTGAGACGAAGAGCAGAGACAACATGTGGAAATCTATCGAGACAGGCAATATCAAGCATACTTCTGTTCGCTCGAGTCAGAATTCCCATTGTGACAAAAACTGCATTTAAAGAACATGGACTTTGGAAAGGGTAAAGATCGAAGCATTTCATGTAGCCAAGGTTTTAGCTCCCATCCTTACGATTCCGAGTATCTCATTGGGCTACTCGTACGAAGCTTAGTTTCCACTGGATGTGGCTGAGGCTCCAGATCAGCCTCAACCCTGCCATTACCAAAATAACCGAGATCCAAAATAGCTTGTTCTCTCTTATCTTGTTCGTCGTGAGGGGAAAGTCGATGGTGAAAATATAAATTCCTTCATTGTGGAGCTAGTTCTTGAAATCGAGCTTGAGTGATTCGGGATGTTGGCGCTTACTTCAAGAGGTGCAAAGGCGCACCTTAATACATATGGATTGCTGAAAGTGCTGGGAATACTTTCCGAACAAATTGTTAAGAACTTGAAGGCCATACTCCTCGGCGGCCGAAATCAATAGAGGCGTCGCCTTCCAATCTGGAGTGTTTCATATCTCATGCATTCAACTATACAGTTGTAAGAACACTAGCGTTCTTATACCAGGTCAAAAGCGGATTCTCTCCATTCTTCGTCTCCGTCTCCTCGACATATGCCCATCTTCTCAGGAACTCTTCATGTGAGAGGACACGCGTGAGCTTGCCTGTGATCGCTCTGTACATCATTTCCATGACATTGAAGTCTGTAGGAAAGAGGATATCAAAATAGCCTTGATGCACCTGTAGAATATCAGCTGACAAGTTTAATGCAATGAGAGAAAGTAGGACTTACCAAAGGCGTTGTGACAGGTACAGTCCTCCTCTTATACCTTGTCTGCACAACCGGCGCATTAATCCCTTTGATCGTGTCCGGCAAATCATGGAAATCACTCGTTAACAACCGATGACTTGGAAAGTACGTTCCAAGAATATCGAAAAACTGCATCAGTCTCGTGGGAATATATTCCGGATCACTCAGATTCGGCGCAAAAGGCACAACGTTACGTAGCTTCCGTAATATCTTGCTTTGGTGTAGTGGCAAGGGGTAACGACCTCCTGTTGCAGCATGCCGAACTCTCAAGAAACGTGAGGCTACCGGATCAATATTTGGAACGTAGAACTCGAAGAAATCTCCTTTTGAGTCGATCAAAACTGTTCCCTGGAGTGGCTCCTCAGTAGCAGGATCGTAACGAATAGAATCGTGCGCGAAGTTGTCAAAAACTTCCATGGCTAGGAAGTAACAAGGCGCCGGTACTACTTGGTCCCATGCGAAAATAGATTTGTTGATAATCTCCACCTTGTTCGAATGACCCCTCGAATCCGCCGTCCGTAACAACTGATTCTGTTGCAATTTCGCAAGGTTGGACGAGATTTCGATGATCTTGAACTTTGTCCGGTGGTAGACATGTGGTTCTACTTCTCGGATGTAGTCCAGAATATTGAGCATGAGGGTTCCGTTTCCTGCACCCATCTCGTAGATGATCAGGTCATGGTATGGGTATTGGGATAGTTTGTAATTGGCGACCAAGTACCGTGCTATAGCTTCTCCATAGTACGGACGAAAAAGCTCGGTGGGTGTATGCCATAGCTGCCGCGTCTCATTGGGATCCTTCTTGTCTAAGTTGTCCTCAAATTCGGTATACCGCTGTCCAAGTAAACGGTGGAATTCCGGTTCGTCTTGAATATTGTTGAAGTTAAATGGCTCTCCTGGTGTGAAAATGACCACTTGTTTCGAGAAGTACCCATAGGAAGGATTGTATAGCGAGTCTGCGAAGGCTGTGAGTCCTGATCTGTGCTCTGGATGAAGACTATACCTTCTATGAAGTCCCTCGTGAGCATCTTCACTCTCCTCGGCCGCTCCCTCCGCCCTCTCAGCTGGTCTGCGGTCACCATTGGGTATTTCTCGTATTCTACCGACATGTCCGTAGGAAACAGGTCTGTCCTCTGCTGCCAATGACTCTCATTGCGACTCATCCCATCCCCTCCCCCAGACACACATCGAACCTGCATGCGGCGCCCATGTCGTGCACTGTGTATCCGGAAGGGCACCGACGAATGTGCTATGAGAGATTGACAGGGCCGATGCGTAAACAGCTGTCTAAACAACCGCGAAATGATTGGGGAGTCCATAGAATGGCGTGTATTTACATTGCATGGTTTGAAGGTCGACGAGAGCTTCGGCGCGAGGTTCGAGATCGTGGTGGCCAAAGCTCCTCAAGATCCTTGTCAACCTTCTCTGAACCAACTTCCCCTCCAGCCCACCAATGTCTGTACATACTTGCGACAATGGACATAATGGAACGAGTTCGATGACAGGATGTCTATGAGCAATCATCCCAAAGCCTACGGCACTGCCGCCGTAGCAATTGCATTCACGGCCGGCATACTCCTGACGCTGGGCTTCAAAGATTTCTATCCCGACCTCGAATTACGTTACCAGCGACGTCGAGGGCAGAAATCCACGTCCACAGAGTCCAGACCTGGCAGTACCTACCTCCCACCTGTCAAGCTCGAAGACCACACACGTAGTGCGCGACAATCCGTAGTTGGCGCCCCAATCCCTCCCATACCAGAAGGCATTGAAGGCTGCATAGGCAATACGCCGCTATTTAAGATCAAGAGCTTGTCTGAAGCCACGGGATGTACCATTCTTGCCAAAGCGGAGTTTTTGAATGGTGCTGGAGGCAGCCCGAAGGATAGAGTGGCATTGAATATGATACGTATGGCTGAGGAGGAAGGGCTATTGGAACCTGGAAGGGGAGACACGATTTATGAAGGCACTGTTGGATCGACGGGCATTTCTTTAGCAACGCTGGCTAGAGCTATGGGGTATAAAGCATACATTTGCATGCCGAATGATCAGAGTAAAGAAAAATCGGATTTGTTGCATCATTTGGGAGCTATGGTGGAGAGAGTTACACCTGCGCCCATCACATCCACGGAACATTTTGTGAATCTGGCGAGGAGGAGGGCGTTAGAACACACGGCTTCTGGAGAGGATGATAGTCGAGGGTTCTTTGCGGATCAGTTCGAATCTTTGGCGAATTATAGAGCGCATTTGAAGAGTACAGGCCCGGAAATCTGGCAACAGACTGGTGGGCAGATTGATGCTTTTGTTGCAGGAGCTGGAACTGGTGGCACGGTTTCGGGAATTTCGGTTTATTTGAAGCAAGAGATGGGGATGGGTAAGGATCTAAGAGTAGTTCTTGCTGATCCTGAGGGGAGTGGGCTTTACAATAAAGTCAAGCATGGAGTCATGTTCTCTAATACTGAGAAAGAGGGGACGAGGAGGAGACAGCAAGTTGATACCATTGTCGAGGGTATTGGAATCAATCGGCTGACGGAGAATTTCGAGGCGGGGAGAGAGTTGATTGACGATGCTGTCAAAGTCACTGATGCTCAAGCTATGAGAATGGCAAGGTGGTTGGTGGAGAAAGACGGCATATTTGTGGGAAGCAGTAGTGCTGTAAATTGTGTTGCTGCTGTACTTACTGCTTTGAAGATGCCAAAGGACAGCAGAGTTGTCACTATCCTCTGTGACAGTGGAACGAGGCATTTGAGTAAGTTCTGGAAGAAGGTTGGAGAGACGGGGTTGGAGGAAGAACATGATCAGACTGATCTACTGTCCATGCTCGGTATCAAGGAAGGGAGATGAAGTTCAGTCGGTATTGCATCTCAATAATCGACCTCACCCTCTTCGCGGCTACTGCCAGTAGCACCCAGACCCTCAAAGTTGGCGTCAATTCCACAGTGACGAGTCGACGTTACAAGGAAGCAGAACTCAGTCACCAGCTATTTTGCAAGACGTTCTATTATCCTCTAGCACCAAATGCCAAGCCATGCGGCTAACAGGGTATTGCACAGAACGCCAGGAAGAGGCGCGAATGCAAAACGGAAGAATTATGAAACCTGAAACAACGCTTCTTGAAGTCATATTCTCTCATCAAACCGAAGCTCCCAAGTGCAAACCCCGAACCCCAAAGCCATCCATTAAGCACAAGGAAAGAAGTGAAATTTTGCATGCAGATACCCATGGACCAATCAACCAAGCACTCAACGACCCTTGCGGACATGCTGATACCCGAGCTCAAGAAAACTAGTATTGTCAGTAAACGTACGAAACCTGTGGTTCTCTGTATTCTTACCTTCCAGCGATTACCACACACTGTGCATTCACAGAAAGTAGTCATAGGTTCATCAGCACTGCGAGTTTGAGCCTGACTGTAGCTGACTTTCTTCTGACCACACTTTCCACACTTCAGCGCATCACTGACACTCTTCTCGGCCATCGGCACCTGCGCCTTCTTCATGTTATCCTTCTGAAGCTTTGCATCTTCCGCTTTGCGATACGAGGATTTCAGCTCTTCATGACCCATGACAACGAATTTAGATGGTGGAATCTCGCCAGATAGCACTTTTGGACCTAGCTCTCGGTTGTCCTTGTGCTTGAGATTTTGGAAGAGGGAGCGGAGCTTGGCGCGGTAGTCGGCGTTGTCGCCTTTGTATGTATCGTATGCTGCTTGCTCAATTTCCATGGCTTTGATCATGATACTCGTAGATGACTCCTCGCACATGAAAGCCAATCCGTTGTAGATGAGTCCAATACAAGCATCTCGAGATGGTGTGCCTGTCCGCGCAATATCCACCTTCTCTGTCTCCCAGCGCCTCTTTGTAACGTCGCCTTTGAATGACTTGCTCTCATTTGCAGGCGCTGGAGAGTTCGATTTTGGAGGTGATGATCCGGCAGGAGCTGCCACTTTCTTCTTGTGGCCACCCTGAACGATTTGCTTCCATTTTTGGACAATCTCTGAGGCGAGCTTTGCGACCTCCTTGTTGGGATTTGCCTTTTGCTTCGAAACAATGATACCAGCCTTAGTAGTCTGCAGACATGAGATCAGTCTTTGTTGCAGATAGTGAAGTGGCGCACATAGTCCTTCACATGTACTTTCAGGAATGCGAACGAGCTATAACGTACCCTTAAAAGCTCCTCGGTTGGAACAACATCCTTCTTCAGCGTTTCCAGCATGGTTATGATGACCGACGGGGGCTGCTTGTCTGCTAAGGCCTTCTGCAGCGAATGTATGCGCGTGCTGACTTCCTTTGCGTCCATCTTGAAGGCTTGCGATCTTTCCAAAGGTGTTAATTGTTTTGAAGCGTGTTGGTGTAGGAAGATTCGGGTGGGGCAGCTGTAGGAGGACAATTCGAGAACGAAGCTCTATGATCGCTAGCAGACTGAGAAAGTGAATGACTTGGGGTCAGAAGCAAGAGTCAAATTGTGTGGATGACGGCATAAATTTGGTAGATAAAGGTGAAGTTTGGTCGCAGCCTCGTCGGTTGATAGACGGCGTCGGCCTTTATTTTAGCGCGTTCGAGTCCGAAGCTTCCCCAGACAAATGTCTTCTTCTTTCATCTGGAAGCCATGCTCTTACCCGAAACACCATCTCAGCCTCATAATTCAGCAACGTAGACTTGAGTTTTTGACGCTCAATACCAGTTTTGTACAGAGCTTTTTGAACACTTGGAAACTCAGGACCCCTTTTCATTACCTATGTTATAGCGACTGCAACTCCCTGCAGGCTCAGCTGTCATTTTGCACCATCGAGCCGATGTGATGTGTTCACTTCATTTGCCCATGGCTAGCCACAAGCTCTAGGGAAACAGTCCTGTACAACTCTACTACTCTTGATCAGCTTGGAGCTGCGGGAATGCTCCAGACAGTCCAGTCCGTTATGTTTCTATCAATCTAAACACTTTCATTGGAGCACACGGTCAAAGCCTTTGTTATCCCCACGGAGTTGAGATAAGAAGTCACAGCCACTTCATCTATTCTCGCTTCCCTGGCCTATGGAATTTTAAGCTTTACAGCCGCCTTAGTTCCAACGGACTACAAGTAGTACTTATCCAGCTATGGACCTGTGGCTGGTGGAGACTCTGGAGTTGACATAAAATCCGTGGAAGCCATGGAGATAACGTCCCCAAAATCATAGAGAACACCTCTCTTATCCCCATGCTTAGTGCTTAGTGCTTAGCGCTTCTTTTCTAGCTTGTTATGCATGATCAAGGAATAGTAGGAATATGTGCGGACGTACGTAAGCAGCCATGAAGGAGGTTGTTGGGGGCACCAAAGGAAGATGTCAATGAGTGGTCAGTAATGCGACAATGAAGAAGTATATAAATGCATTCCTCCCAGTCCAAGTACTTTCCTCAACTCCGTCTCGCACTTTCAACTAGTCATCAGATCTTAGACATCCTCGACATAGCAGATCCACATCATACAAATTCCCACTTCGCAAAACCCAAATTCACAAATACTTGATCACCACAATTTCAACTTCACACAATGTCTCTTACCGGAAAAGTCGCACTTGTGACTGGTGGATCAAAAGGGATCGGCCGCTCAATATCTCTTCATCTTGCCTCTCTCGGCGCAAAAGTCATAGTCAACTATTCAAGCGACGCCTCATCCGCCGAATCAACAGTGAAAGAAATCGGCTCAAATGCCGTCGCCGTCAAAGCCGATGTTGGCAACGTCTCGGAAATCACAACCTTAGTCGATGAGTCAGTCAAGCATTTTGGAAAGCTGGATATCCTGATCGCATGTGCTGGTATCATGCCCTTGAACGAGCTAGAGAATATCTCCGAGAGCGAGTTTGATCGGATCTTCAATTTGAATGTGAAGGGACCATTGTTCCTCTCTCAGGTATATCCCTCAGCCATTTTCCAAAGCCTTAGACTAACATCTAGCACAGAAAGCAGCACCACACATGACCGCCGGTGGTCGAATCATCCTCTTCAGCACTACCCTCTGCGCCGCCTCAACCGTCACGCCCAATTACCTCGCGTACGTCTCATCCAAAGGCGCAATCGAGCAGATGACGCGGGTCATGTCTAAAGATCTCGCTCGTAAAGGTATCATGGTCAATGCAGTTGCACCTGGCCCTACTGGGACGGATCTCTTCATGAAAGGCAAGCCGGAGAATCTTTTGAAGATGATTGCTGGGTTTAATCCCCAGAATCGGATTGGTAAGCCGGATGAGATTGCGGAGGTGGTGGGATTCTTGAGTGGTGAGGGGGCGAGGTGGATTACTGGGCAGACGGTGAGGGTTAATGGGGGGATGGCGTAGGTTTGACTTCTTGTGGGTTGCAGAGCTTTAATGATGGTATGGTCCATGGAAATAATGATGTAATTTCACGATTGCAGCCTTGGAACTTTCAAAACATTACTTCGCTTTCGCTCTCTCATCTTCATTTACACGCCTGGTTGCCCACCAATCAACCTCCAAAACTCCAAAGCACCCTCTCCCTCCCACACACTATACACCCATCTTCTACCTTCATCTCAGCCCATTACCCAACCTTCAATCTCCAATTCTTTCCATACCATCACAGCTCAGCCCCTAATAACATCAGCACTATCATGCAACCTCCCAGTCCCGGCCGTGTCATTACCTTTCCCATTTCCCTCGCTCTCACTACCAGGTCCGGATCCAGGACCAAGACGCGTACTACCGCCTCCATCACTTTGCGCCATGTCGCTGTTGTCGGTATCGTATTTCTCGTTATCTGGCTCTTCGTCGTGGCGCTCAACGCCTTCGGGGATGGGAACCATCTTGGGGGCGTGTTAGTTCTCAACTTTGAGTATGGACTTTAATATGGTCTTGGATAGCAAGAAAAGAGATTGAATAATTGGAATTCGTGAACTTGTAGGTAGATCAAACAGTACTTGTCCACAATAATGGGAAACAGAAGTTTAGTGAAAGAGTGGGAGAGGGATGGGCCAAGAGCGGGACGCCACGGCTAGACAAGACCAAACTTACAGCACGTTTACACCAGATGTGCGTAGCGACTTTGAAATCCAATCCTTCAATACAACCACCCTTCACGCTTACGACATTCTTTCCTGGCGTAGAGTGGATGACGCGTGTTCCGCAGCTTTTGCAGAAATAGCAGTTGAGGGTGTGGCCGGATGCTGTTGGACGTCTGGTTTGGAAGGGGTTGAGTTAGCGAGAGGTCCATGCTTGAGGGGTTGAATGGGAGGATTTTAGAGAATATATTGTGAAGACAGTTTATGATTTGAAAAAGGCTATGGGATCTGAAAATATCAAAAAGGGTAACAACAGTATCACAAAGGATATCCATATTTCATTCATCACTTCCCAACTCCCAAAACCAAAAACTCGAAGCAATGAAATCAACTTACGAATAACAGCTCAACTGATCTTTGCCAGGTAATTTGAATGCAGGAAATATAGCCGAACATCCATATGCTGATCCAGATTGTAGACGGCATTCATCACAGTGGCATATGTAGACTGCAAGTGGTTTGGGAAGTGGCGTCTTGAATTTGATGGCTCCGCATTGGCAGGAGGCGTTCATTTTTGCTGTTGTTTGGTGTTGTTGAATTGATATGCTGGGTTTATGTTTTGGACAGGATAGAATAGAGGAGGAATTGAAGTCGAGGCTGAAGGAGGAGGAGCACAGGAGGAGCACTTGGTGGGGTAGCGAGGCTGAGGCGGGGTAGTGAGAACGACCAAGTGAATGGTAGCTGTACCTGCGATTGAAAATAGAAAGTACGGGTATAAGAAGTCTTCGAGGCACATAAAAATGCTTCAAGGCCGACTACGGAGTTCACTTGTTGACTCTTCCCCGCGTTGTGGAGAGGAGAATCGCGATGTGACTCAAAGATCACATCCCGCTGTCACATGATTTCGTGATAGATGACCCGAGGGGCTAATGGATGTGACCCAATTCAACATCTTGCATACCTAGGCGGAGCAACTTGCGCTTCTGGCGTCGCACCACAGAAATAATGCAAGCTGGAACCGCGCATTATGGGGACAAACTAGCTTGCATTGTGACGGTAAGCAACACCTTGTTTCTCAGTAGAAGTTGTAACGAATGAGAAATCTACCTAGGTTGCTGTGGCCAAGAGGCCCATTTCCTTTGTCTCCTGATTCTATGACCTTGGCGGGGTAAGTGTTCAAATTTATGAGCAACATAAATTCGAAATGTCCAACCAGATTCTCGGGGGTAAGTAGATGTAGTGGTGTTAGGAGTGGTTGTTGCTCTGAGCCTGGCATCCGCTAAATTTTGGCGACGTGGGATTGTGGCGAGGCTGTGGTCAGCATACTCAACGACAATTCCTTATCATCATGAGATCTTCGCCGCCCTTCAGCTCTGGTCGACAAGATTCCCACCCGTCCACCGGGGCCAGTCCTGGAAGTTTGATAGACAAGAAGCTATCGCGACAGCCGCGTCACGATGCGCCTTCTTCATTCGCGAACGCTTGAATTACAGGAATTTTTCGAGAATGCCACTCCATCGTATGCGATCCTCTCCCATACTTGGGAGCAGGAGGAAGTAACATATCAAGACATGCAAGGCTCAGATGCTCAGAAGAAAGCCGGATATAGCAAGATCAAGAACTGTTGTGAGCAAGCTACTCGAGACGGATACGACTTTGTCTGGAGTGACACGTGCTGCATCGACAAGACTAGCAGCGCCGAATTGTCAGAGGCTATCAACTCGATGTATCAGTGGTATAAGAATGCTAAAATCTGCTACGCATACCTTTCAGATGTCCAGCCACACGCCCACCCCACAGCTTCGCACAAGGTTCTCGAGGACCTTGAAGGAACGAATTTCGACAAGAGCAGGTGGTTCATGAGAGGCTGGACGCTTCAGGAGTTGATAGCACCTGAAAAGGTGGAATTCTACGCCAAAGATTGGACGCATTTTGGGACGAAAGCAGATTTGAACTCGATTCTCTCTTCCGTCACTGGCATTGATGAGGCTACGTTGACAGGCCGCGAGATGCGAGAAATCAGCATTGCCAAGCGGATGTCCTGGGCCTCAAAAAGGGTCACGACTAGGACTGAAGACATTGCGTATTGTCTCGTCGGCATCTTTGGCGTCAACCTGCCGCTACTCTACGGGGAAGGAGAAAGAGCATTCGTCAGACTTCAGGAGGAAATCATGAAAAGCTCCGACGACCAGTCCCTATTTGCGTGGGGTCTGACCATGGAGGAATTCGAACGGGACTTCCCCAGCGGCGATGATCCCCTCACCAATACTGGTCCTTCCACTCTACGAGGATTCCTAGCCCGCTCACCTGCTGCGTTTGCGAATTCTGGAAAGGTCATTCCGTACCGGAATTGGGACGTCAGCATGCCATATTCGATGACTAACCAGGGCTTGCGCATGGAGCTTCCCGTGATACAGTATGAGGGGTGTAAAGAGTACACTGGTATACTTGCATGTCATTTCGAGGACAACTTCCTGGGACCCCTAGGTATCTATATCCAGCCGGTAGCATCGCCCAACGGAGACCAGTTTGCGAGGGATGTGTCTCATCTGAACCCGGTGATTGTTGTACCGCAACACGTGGCTCTCGCCCAGGTCAGAACCATTTATATCAGACAGGAAGTATTGCTCCCCACCACTCGTGATTTCGATCGGAGAAATCACTTCCTCATCAGGACCATGCCAGACCAGCAGCCATACCAGGAGTACACTCTGCATGAGGTTCATCCCGCCCAGTATTGGCACGAATCCCAGAAAATCATCCGGGCGCCGGAAGGGTCGGACAGAACAGCAGTATTACTGTTCAAACTCGGTCCAAAAGGAAGCACAGATGTACAGCCTGAATTTGCAGTCATTGTCAGATCAAGTATCTTGCCGGGAGGAACGGACGGCGATGCCTATAGTTGCTCGTGCGGCATTGTTGTCAAGCCTCCCATCAAACCAGAGGATGGGAGCGTGTTCGATACACTGGACACTTACATTAAAGAAACGCATGAGCACACTTATGCGCGCCAGGATTTGAATCCCAATGATCGAACCAACACGGAAAGAGAGTCCGCTATCGTAAGTATTGGTAGAGAGATTTTCATGGGTCAGGCCATGTTTGTGGTTGATATCGGAGTAACGTCCACGCGTTACAAGAGGGTTCCTTTCTTTGCACAATCTTGATAATACTAGTAGAGCGGATCATAGTTTAGTTTCCCTCCATAGATAATAGGTTAGTTAGCATTACTATTTTACTTGAATAGTATTGTATTTACAATTGAACAACAAGCTTATAAATAGATGCTTTTACTTACCACTTATGAAACAGAATATGAATACTGAATAGTAAGTACTCAGTGCCGCATATCATAATTTGATACAAGCGACTTTCTTCATTTATGGATATCTTTCTATGGTCTTAATTTAAATCCATTCAGGAAACAGGGAAAGCATATCCTTATACCTTTGGGATTAGTAAGTTAGAAGGGAAGAAAGGATTTCTGTCCAGGAGACAGATATTTATTCGTTGGAAATAAAACCTGCACCCACAAGCATATCATAGCAAACACAAGGCTGAGGAAATAGGAGACGTTTATGCAATTAGCTTTTCGCTTGTATTGGTAATATACTGGGTGTTCTGGACTCTGGTTCAGTGGAGGCAGCTTGCGAGCTTGCTTCTCCTTGAGCCTCACTTCCTGAAGACGCCTCTTTCGATTGCAGTAGCAATTTGGCTCTCTTCGCTGCTCGTTTGCTGACGGTTGGTGTAACAGCACTCGTCTCCTCCTGTTTCCTCTTTCCCTTCTTCCCTAACCCGGTCTCTTTCGGCTTCGGTTTCACAACCTCGCTTTCGCCACCATCAATCACATCAATCACACCTCTAAAACTACTCCTCTTCAATCCCTCATTGATCACCACTCCCCGCGGATTAACACCCATACTCTCCAGTCCTCTATCCTTCGCTAATCCCCAAACCCCCAGCAGATTCAAGACATCGGCCGGGGCTCTGATCCCCAGCACACTCTTCGCTTCACTGCTAATCACCAAGCCCCTGCCCTTCGTAGCACGCACAATAGCCATCGTGTTACTTATGAAGTTCCTCCGCGCGTTGCTCTCCTCGCCTGTTGCTTGCCCATAGCAGATCTCAATCCTGATCCCGCGGTTTATGGCCGTCATGAGAGGTTTAGGTTTCCAGTGGAACGGGAATCGTTGTGTGAGGTCGAGCGAGATGAGGGAGTGCTCGCTGAGTGATATACATGCTGCGAGGTAGGCTTTCTCGTTTGTAGGGCGCAGGGCGAGGATGTCGTAGGTGCTGGCTAGGACTGGGAGACGGTAGTTTTGAGCTGGGTCGATGAGTGTTAAGGTACAGCGTCTGAGGAGGGTTGTTTTTGGTGGGAGGGTGAAGGGTTGTGGTGAGGGTATTGGGTTGGTTATTTGTGACGGGAGGGGACCTGAGTGGATGTGGTTCAGGGCGAGGGTGTTGTAGCCTAGTTCGGAGAGGAAGGAGATGGTTCGTTGGAGTTCTTGGGGGTTCTGGTTTGGCGACCAGGGAACATTGAGGTCGTAAAGCATTTTGGTGAATGAAAGCCGATTATATGTGTATCATGGCCTGCCAATTGTCCAAGGTGGGAACCCAGGTTTGAGTACTTCGATCGACTTTCTGGCTCTCCAAGTCCGAGCTTTTAGTTCCTTTGACACTTTGTCCACGGCCCTTCAAGGCAATACAACCTTGAACTTTCTTCCCAGATGATCGCGCACCTTCCCTCGAATCCGGTACGAAAAAGCTTATGTTGGCTGCCTGTAAGCTGATTTTTATAAACTGCTTGACAAGGTTTGTTGCTCAATGCGCCGTGGTAAATCTCGTTCTTGCTAGCACACTTGGGGATTTCCTACTCAGTATTATAACGACTTTTTATTATCCTCCAGCTGGTCCAGGAATTTGAAGGGCGTTCGGTGAGTTTCTTGAAATATGACGCGTTTTGAAGCTGGGAACAATTCATCACATCTCAGGACATAATTTAGCTGCACCTCAATGTCTGGATCTCGCCTTCCCACTTTCAGACTAGCGCGGGGCAGTCCCATTTCCCGCTTTCTGTCAGCCGCGCACCATCTCAAGTCAACACTGAGAGTCCAGTTCAAAGTCCAGACTTCTCCAAAGTCGCAATACCGCCTCGGGAGATTCGAACATCATCGCATCGCACGAGTCTTCTCACGAGCATCACATCACCTGGCCCCGAGTAACCTACGGTCCACCCCATTCTTCTGCGACCCCTCGCGACCTTCACCTCCTCTTGTTTTGCGCAGTGCCCTGCCTGGCAGGCCCGCTGCAATGGCGCGCGTCTATGCAGATGTCAATCAGCAGATGCCCCGATCTTACTGGGATTACGATAGTGTCAATATTACCTGGGGAGTTCTGGAGAACTATGAAGTTGTGCGAAAGATTGGTAGGCCAGACTCTGCCCATGGCGAGACTTTCACATGCAGGCAGACGCTAACAATTATGCGCAGGACGTGGGAAGTACTCGGAGGTCTTCCAGGGTATCAATGTCATCAACTATCAAGAGTGTGTTATCAAAGTGCTGAAGCCGGTCAAGAAGAAGAAGATAAAGAGAGAAATCAAGATCTTGCAGAACCTCTCAGGAGGCCCGAATATTATCGGCTTGCTGGATGTCGTTAGGGACCAACAAGTAACTCAATCCTCTCCTCAATATGAACCTCGATTTGCCCCCAAAGCTGGGATTGGCAAATCGGCTCTCGATGGATTCCTTTGGTCAGATGATGAGAACGACAACTCATATTTAATGCAGAGCAAAACGCCGTCCCTGATCTTCGAATATGTCAACAATACCGACTTCAGATCGCTCTACCCGAAATTCGTCGACTACGATGTTAGATACTACATCTTTGAACTTTTGAAGGTATGTGTGGGATTGTGTTTTGAGGGCTTGGCGCTAATTTGTCCAAGGCACTTGACTTTTGTCATAGCAAGGGAATTATGCACCGCGATGTCAAGCCTCACAATGTCATGATTGATCACGAAAAGAGAAAGGTTGGTTTGTCCGTTCTCTAACTTCAGGCTTCGACTGACAGTTGATAGTTACGATTGATCGATTGGGGTCTTGCAGAATTCTACCACCAAGGAACCGAGTACAACGTCCGAGTGGCTTCAAGATATTTCAAAGGTCCAGAACTACTTGTCGACTTCCAAGAGTATGATTACTCTCTCGACATGTGGTCATTGGGAGCTATGTTTGCCTCCATGATCTTCCGCAAGGAGCCTTTCTTCCATGGAAACAGCAACTCAGATCAACTCGTCAAGATTGCCAAGGTTCTTGGTACAGAGGACCTTTTTGACTACCTTGATAAGTACGAGATTGAGTTGGATGCTCAATACGATGATATCCTCGGTCGATTTCCAAAGAAGAACTGGCACAGTTTTGTCAACTCCGAAAATTCGAGATTTGTTACCAATGAGGCTATCGATTTCTTGGACAAGCTGTTGAGATATGACCATCAAGTATGTTATCTCGGTCTGAATTTTGGACCCTTTACTGACATTACGTAGGAACGATTGACCGCTAAGGAAGCAATGGCTCATGCATTCTTCGCCCCAGTCAGAGAAGCCGAGCAACGTGCTCGTATCACCCCTGGAACTGCCTCTGCCTCTTGAATACCGAGCAGAACTAAAAATACCAAATTTCTCGACATCAGCTGCATAGCTGCTTGGTCGTTAAAAAAATTCTTTCGCTCGGCAGCGTGATATTGGGCGCTTTCATTTCTACTATGACTGACTGATTGATGGATGGGGAGATCTGATGGACGCGAATGACTGGGATGGACAGGGCGTTTTGATTGACTGCGTGCTTGTGTGCGTGGTCTGGACTGCATGCTAGCATTTTAGGCGCTGGTGAAGGCATGATTGGCACTTATACTCCGCTTTGATGGTGGGTTGGGGATGGATGGTTGGGGACGTGACGAAAATGAGACCATGGGATTAATGGAGATGTAGATATTGGTCGAGAATAATGAAAATGATCCGAGCTCTTATGTTCACGACTGTTTTGGGGAAAATGTGAGATGAAGCACCCACGGAAAGGTGCCACAGAGCGAGGCAGAAATTTCTCTTGCTCTGAAGACAATCATATTCTACAGTTTCGATATCAAAGATCCTCCCCCCGAACGCCATAAATGCTCCTATGCCATCCCAAATACTAACGCCTTTTCATCAGATCCTGCCTTCCTAATTACGTCTCGCTCCAGCAGCAGCATTAACATTGCTCGCATGCGCCAGCAAGAATTTACAGCAAGTCAAAGTAAATTTGCACGCCCGACTCCACGCATCATCTTGCGCAATGCCCAGCTTAATACTCACATCCCCTATCTTATCACCCTCAATCTTATACGGCAACGCCAGACCTCTCCCACTCTCACTCTCCCTAGCTGATTCCGCCTGCACAAATGCCCCCAGCTGGCGCATGCATTCCAGGAACGCTACCATCGCTATATCGAAGCGACGGTGCATGAATGTCAGACCGAGAGGCATGTCGCCTGACGAGTAGAGCTCTAGGATATGCTTTTTGGGAGGGCGGGTGCGTGAGCTGGTTGGAGCGAAGGTTTCATGCCGGATTATGCGGGATGTTGAGCCCATGGGTTGGAGCTCGTAGTTCTGGAAGCGGTAGCCTAGTCTCTCGGCTACAGTCTGAAGGAGAAGAACGGTGTGACCCCATGCTGCGTTGATTTCTGGCCAGTCGACTGGGACGTTGGAAAGACGACCTAAGCGTAGGCCGTTGATGGTTCCGAATTTGCCGTCGTGCGAGATGCAAAATGTGTCGTTGTAGACGTTTGTCCGTTGCAGCTTTTCTAGGAGTTGTGTGTCGTGGTCGTATTGGAGATTTACGCTATCTCTTATGTTTTGATATTCGGCGAGCTTTATGGCGAAGGCGTTACGGGAGCTCCAGAACTTCTCTTCTTCGATGTCTAGTGCTCGAGCTTCTTCTTCTAATGAGGCGATTTCTTCGTCCACTGCTGCTTTCTCTGCTTCTAACTTCTTGAGCTCAGTTATGGCTTCTTCCTCTTCTTTCCGGGCTTTTGAAAGAGCGGCTTGTGATTCCTTGACTTCTTCTTCCGTGGGGACTGATGCGTTGACTTGTTTCAGGAAGCCGACGTAAGCATCTCGTTCTTTTGTAGCTGCTTCCAGTCTTCGTTGTAGTCCTGCGACTAGAAGGTCGGTACATTCCGTACAGACTGGGTGGTCGATATCTGACCTTGCTGAGAGGATTTCGAATAGCCTGGACGCCCTCTCCATATCTTGTGACATAGCTTTTCCTTCATCCTGTGCGCCGTCCATGCCTAGACTTTCCTCTTGCCTCTGATGCTTGGGATTTGTATCTTCGGGAGACTTGACGACAGCTGGTGGCACTACTTGTGATTCGGTGAGCATGACGAAGGACATCGCTGGATTACCAAGTCCCGATCTCATGCTATCGCCTGAAGCTGTATCGCTTCGCCGGGGGGACGTGACAGTCCTTTTGAAGGTTGCGGAGTTGGCATTTCGAGAGACTCGATCGTAGAGTTGCTTGCGTTCTTGAGGATAGGCTGGACGGGAAGATGGGATGTTCTTGAGCTGTTGCGAGGATGCGCCTGTAACTGTCAGAAGGTTGGGTGAAGATAACAGATCGGGAGAAGTGTCAATTATCAAGTAGAGGATAATGTACCGACTAATAAGTCAAATGCTGCCGGGTTCAGGTCATCCAAAGAGCTGTCTAGCTTCAGTGGAGTCCGGCATTTTTGACAATACATTCTGCGGACTGTGCAAGAATGCTGGTGGCAGAATAGAGTGCTGTCCAAGTATCATCGGACATCATAGAATGTTGTGGTCCATGGTCCTGTGCAAGAAAGCCTGGATGGTGTTGTTGGATTGTCTGGAGCTCACGAGGCGACAAGGCCAAGCTTTCTGATGGAACAGGGATTCTCCAGCCCCGCGCTAAGTTTCCCACTATTATCCCCCATGCATCGCGACGCGACTTTACGCGATAAGTTAAATGCACGACATCTATTCCACAGATGACCCATCCCCCTATCCCAGACCGATGATCAGACATGCGAATTTCACTATCAATATGGAGCCCTTTCCAAAGCGACAGCGATTTTATGCGCCAATGGACCGCTCGTTCCCGCAGAGCTTTGACGATCAACATGCCTATTATGATGAGCTTGGAGAGGACATTTTAGAAGATGAGGAGGACTATGACGAGGAGGAGGAACAGGAGCCAGGATACGATCCAGAGGAGGAATTGGAACAGAAGAGGGCGCGACTTGATTATAAGTTGAAATCAACATTCGAATCCATTTTTGAAAAATATGAAAGGGACTTTGACGGCGTCGGGGACGAAATTGATCTCGAGACGGGCGAAATTGTGGTCAATAATGGGCACTTAGTACAGATGCTGGACGAGCAGGATGCTGGCGACACAAGTGGTGCGATGCAGGTGCTGAGAGAATATACGCAAGAGCCGGACGAACTTCCCAGCAGCTCCTTTGACGCAACTGAAATTGTGGATGACGAGGAGGAAGAGGAGGAAGAGGACGAAATTATGAGTGACGAAGATCTGTTAGAGGATGATATGGCTGAGGATGATATGATACTGCGTGGATTTGCAATAGCCAACCGGTTTCAGCAAGGTTCACCAGAATTGGGTTTGCCAAATTCGACAGTTGCCCCCGAGAGAGCACGGCGGCAGGAACCTTTGTCTCGACCTGCTCCATTACCTCGGCCGATTCAAGCCAAATCGTTGCCATCTCGAGCGGAAATTTTGGCTCAATTTGGACCACAACTTGGCCCTCAAATAGTGGAATATGTTTCTCAGCAGCATGTGGCAGAGGAACGTCATGTTGAATCCTCTTGGCGAGCCCCTGAGCCGAGAAGACCTGCATCCAGGAATATTGAATCTGTTTGGAGAACACCCGCGCTTCCATCAGCTGCCCCGAGACGTGTTGAGCCTGCATGGCGAGTTCCAGAGCTTCCATCAGCTGCTCCCATCAGGCGACCCATCCAGAAGCCAGTTGTAATATTACCAGAAGAGGAGCGGTCTCTCTCCCCAGATGCTTCCAAGTCTATATGGGCGCCAATACGAAATCGTGGGCCCCGGAGATTGGATGGTGCTGATAATTCTGCGCTGTTTAAGGGTCAAAGTAGAGCTTCAAATTATGGTTCAAAGTCCATCTTATACCCGTTCGGTTATCGATCAACTCATAATACAACTGAATATAATGATTTTTCGTCTCCCAAGAGGAGGCGAGTTGCTTTTACTGCGGAGGAGGATGATATATTGTTAAGATGGGTGTCAAAATTACGGAGACATGGGCTTGCGTTAAGTCAAGGTCGATGGAGGGAGTTTGCGGCCGAGGTAGGTCTTCATAAAAGCTTATCAAGTTCATCAGTAACAAGTTGTAGCATCCGCAACATTCAGCATCGTCCTGGAGTCAACGCTATACACGCAAGTTTACCTATCTGTCGTCGAACCAAGTTGAGGAGTCAGATCTCTCAAATTCAGAAGCATCTGTTGAGAACCTGGCGTACCATGCTCCGGCCATCAAACGTGCAGAGCCTCAATATGTTGTGGAACAAGCGACTCGTGAGAGACCCGCTCGAATTCGAAAACCAGCTCAGACCGACCCTGCGATCCTCAGCTGGAACCAGGCAGTGGATTCTATTGAGTCAGTCGACCCCATTCTACACGCTGGAATCATGGAGGATGCACGGCGAGCAAACAATGTACCACATTATTCCTCGTTCAGGCGGCAGGAGCATCAAATATTGGAAGACTCGGATCTGGACACGCCCAATGAATCCCAAGAAAATACCCCACCAACAGAGATTCGTCGATCTTATGATGATTTGCCTATCAGATCGTCTTTGGCAGTGCAAGGAACTCCCGAAGAAGATGATTGTCTTATTCCTGGTGCGCCATGTCCACACGCAGACTGCAGGCTTCGGTCGTCGACTCTATATAGACTTCAGCGCCGTGAGCATGAACAACTCTCGGAAATGTGTTTACATCTGTTCAAAGACCATCATACGACACCTTTCCCATGTGGAGAAATAGATTGCCCAAAGAAAGGAGTCGAGGGCTTTTTCATGCAGTTGGACTTGGTCAAGCACGTGAGACGTACACACAAGAGCGTTTCTGCTCTGCAGCGATTACGGGGACGTGTTGATTCTGCTCTGCTCGAGCAGCAAGTAACAATTGCAAGACCTGCGACGAGTGACCCTTCGGAAAGACCTACAAGTCAACATAGAGACTCCGATTTCATGTCGCTTCGAACGGGACATGCTCGGAACTTGTCTAGCAGTCAGCCATCTGGTTTTGATCCTGATCGGACGTTGACTCCTCGAGGTATGGCTGGCGCGTCAGCTTTCACGCCCATGACTAGCGTCTCATCCTTGAAAGTAAATCATCCTTCTGCGACGTCGACTTCCATGGCTGTCAGAGGATTGAGTAATTCTCACGATAGGACGATCTCGGATTCTCAATTCGATTCTTCTCAAATCGCTAGTAGTCAGCCCAGGATGGCAAGAGAGCCACAGAGGCAATCGGGAGAGTCATCACGGATGCCATTGAGTGGCGAACCTTCATCGGGAGGTTTTGCTGGTGTGCAAATCCCTCCGACCCCTCAGACATCCACAGAAGTCTCGCCAGTTCTTGGACAAACTGATTCTGCCGAGGAGCAGATTCTAGAGCCACATGATACGGCTCATGCAACCATTGAATCGGGTCCTCAGGCCTCAAAGCAACACGCGTCAGGTCATCCAGTGCCAAAGAGTCTTCATGAGGTACCTTTTTCTGTAGTACCACAACTCGCCTCGACTAATCCCAAGCAGCCTACTCGGAACATCATTGATCCTACTTATGAGTTCTCGGATGATGAGCCGGAGGTGCGGCCGACAACTATGCCTGGCCAGCAAATATCAACTCCTAAGCAAATATCTAAGCAGCGTGCAAAGGCGCCGCTTGTGGCTGTATCTGTTAGCATACCTATCACTTCAATGCCCATGCCTAGAGCTGCTGTTGAAGCACCTGTGAACAGCAGACTTGGCGCTTTGAAAGCAGACGCCAGACCAGCAGATCCTAATGGTAGCAAACTTAGAAGTTCAAGAATAGCTCCTGAGGTCGGCCCATCTGCCAATCGACCAAAATCTGCCACGAAATCTGTGGCAACACCAGCCGCAAAGACCCAAAAGCGTGTTCGCTCTGAGGATATTGACGAGCTGAGTCTAGGCGTGGATGAATTTATACTCCTCTCCTCGCGGCCACGATCCAAGCCCTTACCTGTACCACAGATAGGGATAAAACATGAAGAGATGGTGGATTCACCAGTCTTGCTCTCTGTGCCAGCGGCGAGGAAGAGGAAGCTAGATGCGATGCGCGACAACGAGCTTGATGAGTTGAGTGTGCTGGGCGAGCGATCTGCGCCGAATGCCATGATACCACAGCCTGCCATCAAGACTGAGACTTATGAACCTTCACTTCCTGTGCATCGGCCAATCATGCCGAAGCGTAAAGGTCGACCAGCAAAAGCTAAGAACGTGGCAGAATCCTCATCGTCACAATTGAGATCCTCTCGAGGGCCAGAAACAATGCATCATGCCACAAGCACACCTCTATTGGACCTGACCCCAGCACGCAATGCACGAGCCAATGCAGAGAGAATGAAGGAGATAGGTGATTCAGAAGAAGAGGGCGAGACTGAGTCGCCCAGTCACAGGCCGAAGCAACGTCCAAGGGGACAAACAGCCCGCCCAGTTGATTTCGGGACCATGACACCAACAAAGAGTCGGTGGAATAGAGACTCTTTGAAAGCAGAGCAGGTTTCTGTGCTGGTCAAGACACCTGGTGGGACTATGCGTAGATGTGGCATTGATGGATTCGAATGTGGGAGATCTTTTTGCTTTCGGTGCGACGCAAAGGAGTCGGAAAAGGTGGTATAGGACAAGGATGGACTGGATGGATGGTTATGATACCCGGTCATGAATTTATGGTTTATGATTGCTTGCATGCTGATGCTGACTTTGGCCTTCGTCTTGCATGTGGTGACATTCTCGCTCATGAATAGTCAGGGGACCACATTTGAAACTTTTTACCAGACCATACTTTGTGATTATTTGAATGTCCAAATCTGGGTTTGTACAATTAGACTTCACGTTGCCGACTGACATTTTCCTACTCGCTGTTGTCTTCCTGCAAACCAAAGTTTTGATTGCCATCTTGTACTTATGTCCATGTCTTCTGATCGATCATTTCAGTATTGCGTATTGCAAACACTAAAGCTAGCTGCTATTGTCAGCAATTTGGACTCTGACGGATGAATGATATCGAAAGGAACGAAGTAACGAGCCAGATACCAGTGGAAGTCTCGAATGCTGTACACAATATACTAAGCAGATGTTGTCAGCTCTGAGGATAACATCTGTGAACGCTGATCGTTAATTGAGAGCTTTTGGTCCGAGGAATCAGGACCGTCTGTTGAAGAATGGTCAATTGCCTGACTCAAGAAAAGGACCATTGCCCTTTTGAATTTTCATGCTCTGTAATCCAAAAGATCAGCACATGCTCATTAAGTACCGAAACAGTTAGCCGGCATCGAATCATCGACTGAGTCAAAAGATCAAGCCACAAAACCCCACAATCCCTCTTCTCCACATCACTGCAGTAGATAAATCGACTCTCTCCAACAGCAATTCCCATCTGGAAGTACGGATGTAAGAAAGGGTCAATAATTTCCGTGTAGACTGGGAGTTTGGTATGACTCCTGACCGGCCGAGTGATACTACTGTATGTAACGGAGTTCCGAGATCGGGAGGATCAGCAGAGTGGTGAAAATAGTGAAATGGTTTCACGCAATTTGTATGAGGCATATCGAATAGCCCAGACTATGGCATCTGATGAGATCACCTGTTGTAAGCTCTATTTTTGAAACTCCCTCATATGGAGACGAAGTCAAATCATTGGTCGCTTCTTTTCGGGAGCTCATCAACAAACGTGAAAGCTTACCTAAGCGAGATTTTTGACTGCGATAGACTTCAGGCACTTCCCGTGGGGTTTCCGGATGCTGAATTCCGGCGTGGACGCGACGCCCCAGCTCGCCAAATCCACAACCACTTGTCGAGTGCAAGGCGTCAGCTCACATCAGACAGCCTGAAGCCTGAAGGAAAACGCGGTGTGACAGCCGATCACCCTTCCAGCACATGCACGGAGTTCAGGAGCTCATCCCTCTGGTCTCGATACTAACTCACCCATCATCTAACAGATTCCACTTGAAATGCCAACATCCAACCCCTCCAGCACGTACCTAGCACGTTCCTCGTACTCTTCGGCCTCATTACCACATACTCCACCCATAGCTAAAGTAAGTGAGGCAGAGTTTTCATATGGTGCCAGCACTGCAGCGTTGGCGAGATTATTTTGATGTTCTGCTTTCCCCTAACAGCAGTAATTCACGAGGGCAGACCGTGTACGTTAAGTATTGTCGGTGTTGACACAGAAAAACGATGGCGTCGGGTTAGAATTTTTCCATGGGGGTGAAGATTTATGGGGCGTGGGTCTCGGCGTTCGCTTCGGAGTTGGATGAAAGGCGAGAATTGACTGTTTGAGTTATTGTTGGGGTCATTACGTAGTGAGGATAATTTCTGTGATGGTGGTCTGCATCGGATTCTAGAAGCTGTGGAAATTCTGGAAAGTTTCGAGAATCTTGTGACGAGAATCTTGTGATTCTTCTACTTAGATACCTGGACTGTGATGTTAGGATTCCCAGAACATACGAGTGTTTTGATCTAAGCGGAGTTAAACGAGAGCGTTCAGGGGAAGCTGGAACGCCGACTCTCACAAGCGACTGCTTAGAAATGCAAAAGGCGGACGACTGCTTCCATAGCCAACAACAGTGACGGAGAAGGCTGAAGCATGCTGACCTGATATTGAATAGATTGCCAAGGGCGGCCAATCATAGTGACGCCTTCCAAGTGGATTAAAGCACTTGGCATGGATTGGGGTGATCCAATCCAGGTTTGTCGCTGGCGCCATGCTTGTACTTGAGCTATCCCATGCACACCACAAGGCGCGTTGGAACGTGCACACCCTTTCATGCTTCGTGGCCCGTCGTCGGCATGCCTTGCTTCATCATCGTGTAGTATGGGAAAATAATTTGAAGTGACTCAGTCCCACCATTCCTCTTAAGACAACATGCTCAATCCTAGCATTGTAGTCATGAGATATAAAGGTAAGCGATCCCCTTCTTTGTTTAGGTTTTATGAAAATCGAGAACAAAGTCAAGTTTCATCACGCTGCATTCATCCAAGAGCCTTGCTTCTTCTTGGACTTGAGTCTCGTGTAACAGCTTCCCCGCATCGAGGCTTGCACTAGATCCAATTACCACCATACACTTGCTTGTCGACGAATTACTTATCTTTGTCTTCTCCCCTCTCGAGGGACGTGTGTTTCCTGTAACACTTGATTCAAAATGTCTGCGGCTTCTATCTATTCGACCACGGGCACTGTTGCCTCAGTTTTCCAAAGGATGGCTCAAAATGGGCGTCCAGATGTGGATATTGTTCTCGATAATCACAAGGAAGGAAAGACATATACGACATTCGATGCTATTTCTGGGAAAGTCAACATTACAGCTCCTCAAGAAGCTCGATTCGATGAGATTCATATCACATTCGAGGGGACAGCAAGAACAGCTATCGAGAACTTATCTCCCCACACCACCAAATCCCGCACTACAGCCAGACACAACTTTCTCAAGCTTACTATGCCAATCAGAGAATCCGATTACCCACAACCACGAGTTGCGGAGGCGGGAAGAACATACATTTTTCCTTTCAACTTTGTCGTTCCCGATCAATTGCTTCCAAGAGCGTGCTCGCATGCGACAGTTGGGGACCATGTGCAACAAGCACACATTCAACTTCTTCCAAGCATGGGCGACCGAGCTCTGCCACTGAAGGATGATTTGTCTCCGGATATGGCCATTGTTGATTATGCTGTCAGAGTCAAGGTTGTCAGAAACAGAGAGCGAGATAACAAGGATATGGTCCTGGTGGATGGCTTGAGAAGGATCCATATCGTTCCAGCTGTAGCAGAAGCACCACCTCTGAACATCAGACTCGCAGATAAGGACTACACGCTGAGCAAGACGAAGTCGTTAAAGAAGGGCATGTTTTCTGGGAAGTTGGGAAAGATCACGGTATCGGCTGAGCAGCCTGGTGCGCTCGTCATTCCGGCTCCCGCTTCCAAAACGACAGTACTACCAACAACAATGGCAACTATCAACCTTCGCTTCGATCCTCATGACGCTTCATCTCAACCGCCAAGATTAGGTGGTTTGACAACCAAGATCAAGTCCACGACATTCTTCTCAACCAGACCAGCGGTCGATTTCCCAGCACACTTCAGCCAGCAGATCCACTTCGAGACCACGAGAGGCATCTACGATACTTCCGTATCTCTGAGCTCCCGCTGCGTCGAATCGGTAGCTTGGACCCAACAATGCGCATCACCCGCATATAGACGAGGATCATCATCATCCACATCTTCCTCCGACGACCATTCCGACTGCGCACAGTCCCCATCCGAGAAAAGCAGCATATATTACACAGCCAGCATCGTCGTACCCATCACACTACCCGCATCCAAACGCTGGATCCCAACATTCCACTCGTGCATCACATCACGAGCATACATCATCGGGTTTTCGCTTACCATTCACACACCCGGCACAGGTGTCCCTGCTTCGACAGTGAACTTGCATGTGCCTGTACAGATCGCAGCTGATGCGAACAATGACCGCAGAGCTTCTCTGACGGATGAGGAGGCGGCGATTGAGTTGGCGGCACAAGAGGCAGAGGAGTATCTCAGACCGAGAGTACTGGAAGTTCCTCGTGAGGAGTTGATTGGAAGGAGTGTTTTGGGGTCTGCGACAATGGAGTTACCTCCTAGCTACGAGGATTTTGCGCCGAGACGAGTTGTGGATCCTGGGAGAGGATGAATGGAGATATATAATGGAAATGGTTTCTTTTTTGATAGCGGTTTTGTTTGCATGGCGTTGGGGAAATTGGATTGGGTTTGATGGGATTTGGAACGGGATTTGGTCGGCGGCTCTGGATGAGCGAAATTGGATGTATGGTTTTGGGTTGATAAGGAGTACATACGATACCCATATAGATATATAATACACGAAACTTTCTGTTAATTCTTCGTCTGCTTTCCTTGGTCTTGATCTTCTAAAGAGAAGCTTCCTGCCTTAATGCATCCTACTTTGTTGTCAACGAAGACTTCAGTAGCAACATTTTAAGCAATCAAGCAACAGAAGCAAACGTCAAGTGACAAGATTGGAGTACAATTTGAAGATATGTGAAAGAGCTTGCGGTACATTAACGCGTCGAAAGCCACCCGATCAAACCTGCTCCCGTTAACATGGAAACGAGAGGAAGGCGGTCTAGGGAGAATTGAAAACCTCGGACCAGAATTCGTACATCGTAAGCAAAGAAATAATTTCCAAGCACCCGATTCTGTTATGAATCCCAATAAATATGGTTCACGTCTCTCTCGAAGTAGATCCCATGGCAGACCAGACCCACTCATGTCTTGGCTTTTCCGTCGGCGGCCCGTCCCTAGGGGAAAAAGTCCCCAGGTATCCACAATCCCCTTTCCCAGGAACTCTCTGATTCAAGTGTCTCTCAAATATACAAAAGCCGAATCAGAAAGTAAAATCAAGAGGTAAACATGGAACTTCCAAGTAATATGGCCAAGACAAAATCGTCCCAGCTTTGTTCTGGAAACGCCTTAGATTTCTTTTATCTTCCTCACCGCTCCCTCCATCCGGATGATTCCGCTTATTCTCCACGAGAATGCGACGAACCACCAGGCAGGTCAGCTCAACCTAGCACAGATTCTTACTGGATTGCCCAAGGCGTCAGGACATGAACCAGGCTTTCGCGACAAAAGCAAGTCATCATCCCAAACTACAACGATGAGAATATCCTTATCCTTCTTCGACGAACCCGATCAAACGCGCGCGACGCTGATGCACGCTCCTGATCATGTCTTCGCAGACCCAGGCTCCACCCCAACCAGAAGCCCCGCCTCCACAGCCTTCCACTTCGACCTCGGCGGCGGAAGATGCAGCAGCATATTATGGATACCTATTTAAAGCAGACAAGAAGCCGACGAAGGTGCTGGAGGCGCTGCTTCGTGGAATAGCGACATATATTGTGAGTATAGTGGGGTTGACAAGGGCAGGACGAGGCTGATGGCGCATAGAGCGAGTCGATGGGAAATACAGATGAGAAGGCTCTGACACCAGATAAGTTGGCCAGCTTCTACAAGGCTGTAGGAGGAAATTATGACTGTTTGTATCTTCGTCATGCATCTGCAAGGCTACAACTGACATGTCACAGCCCTCTTCGTCGATGTGCCTCACCCCTCTATATCCTGGATCTATGCCTCCATAGGCTGCCAACATACCCTTCAACCAACACCAGACGACTTCAAACCTCCTAGCATACCAGCACTGACACCCAAAGGCTTCGTTCGCTGGCAGAGCATCGAAATCCTGCTTGGGCCAGAAGAACATGTCCCCTTCATCCAAAACGCCATCCGCCTCTTCCCCATCTTCAACCCCCTCACAGGGAACCCATTCCCCCTCCCTCTACCGAAAGAAGCCTTCCCACTCGTCCCTGACGCCGACATAGCAAGATGGCACGAACAATGCGCACAAGAATTACGACAGCGAGCCTCCCCGTCCGAAGACGAAATCCGCCCACATCTCCCACCTAGACCAAAAGTCCAAGCGGGGTACGCACATGTGCGACCACCACGACCGCGAGTCGACCCCAATTACTTCGAGCCGAAATCGATGCGTGGTCCTGGCGGTCGACCGGTAGCATATCACCACGTCTCTAGTACAGGCATACGAGGCAGCGTGCCTGTTCCTGTACGGCCAGGCCTATCCCGCTCGCCATCACATCGGGCAAGACAGTTCCTTGCGCCAGAAGACTCAGCAGCTCGTGCGGCGAGAGGACGCAGAGCCAGTTTCCCCGAGAACATTATCCCGAGTCCTGTGACTTCACCGGTTCCGCCACCGATGGAGAGAGAGGATCATACGAGGCGGCATAGCCATCCTCGACATGCGAGACGGGGGAGTATGAGTGAAGACGCGAGTAGTAGTGAGGATGGCAGTCCCGCTACACCTATTGCTGAGAGGAGGAGGCGGCGGAGGAGTTATGCGCATGAACGACATGGGGAAGAACAGGGACATGGACCGGCTCCTCAGCCGCCTGTTGCGGTGCGATATTCGATGGCTGGTGAGCCTGTGGATCAGCGACGCGCGAGGGAGAGGGAGCGTGAACGGGTACAGGATGAGGAGGAGGCGAGGAAACATAGGAGTTTCCCGAGTATTCCGATTGATATCACGGGTAAACTCTCTGCGCCATTTTTACTGGGGAAGCGGGATCGAGAGAGGGATCGCGAGAGGGCGAAGCCGAGGAGTAGTAGTCGGAGTGGTGGCAGTGGCGGGAATGTTCGCTGGAAAGACCTTGACGGTGAGGCGGTTAAGGAGTTGTGGAGGAGTACTAGTGGGTGGAGTATGGAGGAGGATGGGGGCGCGGGGAGTGCGGGGCGGTTTAGGGATGAGAGGGAGAGGGAGTTTAAGAGGAGGGAGAGGGATAGGGAGAGGGAGAGAGATAGAGACAGGGAGAGAGAGAGGAGTCAGAAGGGGACTTATGAGGAGGAGGGGAGGAGTAGTGGGCCGGAGGGGAGGCATAGGCATAGAGAGAGGGAGAGGGAGAGGGATAGGGAGGCTATCGTCAATGGGAGGCTGCCGCCGGCTGTTCCGGAGGGGAGGAGTTTTAGGGAGAGAGATAGAGATAGGGAGAGGGGAGAGAGGAGGTATGTTAGTCCTGTGAGGGGTGTGGATGGGAGGAGATATCCCGCTCATACTTAGGAATTGCTTTGGGTAAAAAGCTGGGAGGTTGGACAGATGATGATATGACTTTATGTTAGCGCTGAGTTCTGGATATCTTACGAGATGTTTGAGATGAGTATACGACTTGGAATAGTATTCCTCTCTGAATTTATTACCCGTGTAGGGTTTCGACTCAACTAAACTATTAACTTTATTTCACTGTTGTGATTTGTGCCTGACTTAATAGATTGCTAGTATTATCTGCTATTTCCTGCCTGCATAGCAGCCCGAAACTTGGGCTCTAAGCGCTTGGGCGAGAGGACCTAAATAAGCGAGATGTAAACAAAAGTATCGCGAGGGGAATCCAAGGACTGTTCAAATCAAGTTATTAATATAGTGATACTCTATAGTGTCTTATCCCATTTTAGCCTCATTTGGTGCAAAGCCAATAAGCCTTCTGCCGTGCAAGGGTCCTCACAGGCTGATTCGAACATCCCCGCTGGATGGTCGTGATAGGTACATTCGGCACGAAACCATGGAGGTTTGAAACGGGGGTCCACTTCGTCCCTGAAAGCTGAAGCAGTGATTGATTGAAGTGCCATGATCTCATCGAGATATCCACGGTCCAGAGCGAGCCTGAACGTTTTTTCAGACAACTTGTTGAGCATCAGGTCAGAGACAAAGCGTTACAGACCGCTATCACGAATGCCGCTGAATGCGAGGTGAAGGTTCCATAATGGAATGGCTTCCTCTTTCTTGAAAAACATTTGGTAACACACCATGATCTCATACATGACCATGTTGCAGAAAAGAGGTGCTTGAAGGTACTCGCCCAGCAAGTAGCAGTTGATAAGTCGGTCAATGAACATATCTGGAGCGCCGAACTCGATTTCGGTCTTTCCGCCTCGAGCGTAGCCCATTTTACCATTAACGTAAATTTTTCCTCATCCTTTGACATACATGGATCATCGAGCAGCGCGAGGACCAAATCCATATCCCAGCGGTCAAACTCTACGAGATGTTCAAAGAGCTGTAGTGCGTAGAACTGGGTGTCAGCCAACACGTACTCTCCAGTCTCTGCTTCTTTCCATCCCTTTGTCAGAGAGTCAAAAAAGTACTTACTGACTTTGATGAGTTCATTCGTGGGAATGGTGAGTTGAGATGGCGAGTCGCTGGTCTTGACGATGATATTCCTAGGGAGAGCTCCCGAGCACAGAGGGCAATCTGGATTGGATGTCCCCGGAGAAGGGACCTGTGTCTGGGTTGTGATTCGATTCAAGACCATGGCACAGTAGTTGCATGGATAGATTGCGAAACCGCTGGGAGTTTCATTGGCTAATGTCTCTGTCGTGTCCAGGCGTTCGTTTTGCCCTTCGGGGGTGTTGGTTGCTGACATGATTGGATTGGTTCTGCAATTCTGTATATTTATTGCGTGAAAAATCAGACGTATGGTTGACTATGCTCAGAAGCATTCCTGGAGTATAGAAGTTATTATAAGTAGTTGCCAAATGGTAGAAAGGATTGACAGAACAGTACGTCGGCATGGTATCAGCACGCAGGGTTGTTCCATTTCAAAGAATTCCTTGACAATAATGCAGTGTCAATAAACTTTGGGAAGTCAGAAGTGTTTTTTAAAGGATATCAAAATTGCAGACAAAATCTGAATGGACTTAGGGGTGCCGAAGACAGAGCACGCACCAGTGTCTCAATCTCTCAGGGACACAAGGGATTAGTCAGGCCTTTGTTGGCGAGCGACATGCTACCTTGCACTTCTTTGTCGAGCTAACAAATTGAAAGAAGGACATCAAAAAGCTCTTTGTATGTATAATGCATTGTTCGAAAGTCACATTAGCCTTCCCAAGAACCAGGGTTTATATGGATCTCACTACCAGCATTCGCTTAATTAGCCTAATGTCAACATGCTGAATACGAGCTCCGGATGTCCGCGTTGAGTCTCGGTATCTGGTGAAGTTGTAGTTAGATAATTATCTGGAGATAATTAATACTCAGAGATAGAACAATTGAGTGCGTAGAAAAGGCCATGGTGGCTAAAGATGGCTAGCACATGGCGTTGATCCATGGAGTTGGACCAGATGCATCGAACATCGAGAAATCTTGAGAGTTTCTTGAAATATGGCTTACGGGAACCTCGCGAGTCAAAATCATTTGCTGGCGATAATTATATAGAAAATAGGAAATGGACTTGAAGATTTGCTTCGACCGCGGTCCGTCGTATACGCTAAAGTTGCCCATTGTATTCTCAAGTTTCCGCTTTGGATTTACGAAATACTACTTTCATACCACCAGATCTCCAACTTCCATCACAGTTGGACGAATTTACCATGCCTCTAACTTCATTTGTATGTCTCTTGATTTGAATAGCTTAGTCACAGGTCAGGTATCACATGCATGTTTGGAGGAAAAGTTTTCACAAGATGACCTTTATTCGCTGTTCGGTACACAGCATGCGCATCTTCCACCATGCTATCCATGTAACATATGAGAGTCACCCATGTGACAGGAACGAGGGAACCGCCCATGCAGTTTTATGAATCAAGACGGGACCCATGTCCAGTCTTGGGCTACAACCCATGTTGTAGCTTATTGAGTTTGAGCAGTAGGGCCTTGTCCCTGCTGACCAGAAGGACCCATGTCCTTCTTCACAATGTCCCAATCCTCCTCTTCTTTGCCTTCACCGTCCTCCTCTTGCTCCTTAGAGCTCTTGTTTTTCATGGCACTTAAGAGCGGCTTAACTGCATTCTTTGAGTCGCTGAGCAGCTTCTTCTCTGTGTCAACTTTTGCGAACTCCTTCTCTAGAAGTAAGGCGGTATCGTAGTCATCATCGCTCACAGAGTTTTCATTTTCGTAGCGCTTGATGAGAATTGTAAGGTTCTCCAATTGCTTTAACTGCTTCGCAAGGTCGACAGACATCTCGGCCGTGAAATATTGGGAATTGTGCTTTTCCAATTTTTGCAGGCTCTGAAACACTGGTCAGCGAGACTTCATGCCTATTGGAGGCTCATATCACTTACGTCTATAGACTCCTTGAGCTCAATTCGCTTCCACTTTCGCATGGCATCCTCCCGTGCCTTTTGCATGAAAATCTCATTTCCTCCTCGAGTCGGCAGTGACTGGATGGCAGCTCTTGGCACGCACAGACGGCACTTTTCTTTTCCGCCCATGTCTGAACTTGGCACCATGGCAGGAGAGGCTGGGGAGGAAAACGATACCTTGCTGGTAGCACTGTTACGAAAGGAAAAGCCAGTTCCCATGAACATATTAGTGGCTCCCATGAGCCAAACGGCGAAAAGCAACAGTCCCCATGAGCCGTGCACCTAAGAGTTCCCCTGAACACATGGAACATGGTTCCCTTGAAACATGATCTACCAGTAGCAGTCATTGCCAATAGGTTGTTGAAGTAGAACTCGTTGCTCGTAACAAACGCGTAGATCTCATGTGCTGGTGCCGTTTGGAGGCGGTGGAGATGGCGCGGAGGAAGTCATCATCGAGTGTCGAAGATGATGTTGAGGATATATACTAGGAGGCAGAGTCGTCAGATTGTGTGTTTGTCATCAGCAGATTTATACTTACAGACACGCTCTTCGCCTGCTGTTTGTTATTGATCATGAGTATCTCGAGGTCACCGTTGATATTCGCTGGTGTAGATATCCACCCAGGACTGGAGGATTTGTCTGTTTGTGATGGGTCTGGGTTTCCGTATTGCGCGATCGACCATCACAAACCAGGTTTCACTGACCATCTCGGTAGTGCTTGTACCAGATGTTCCAGTCTTCTCGATGGAATACCGTAGACGGCCGAAGAACAGGTTCTCCGCGTCCTATGACGCGTTTTTGATTAGTTGCCGGTCAAGAAGGGGGTGGGAGAGAGGTGAAGTCCTTACTTGTCCGCCAAATCGAGCGACTTGTAGTGCTCAACGTCACATACTCTGAGTGGCTGTGGAGCTTTAGGGGGATTGCTGACGAAGGTTAGGTAATGCCATCAAACCCTCCGAAGACTACCGATCTGAGCCTATGATAATGAGTACTACCTAGTCGCTTGAGCTTGAAGGAGTAGCATATCTTGAAGCGGCTAATGTTGGAAGCTTATTCCACTCGACAGGTCCTTGAGGTACAGAAGATTTGGTATTGGCTTGGACATCTGACATCTCTACATCGCCATCTCGCAGAAGGTCATGACCACTGGAATCAGTCGACCAAATTGGGAATATTTGAAAGGCATGTCATCCACTGTGCGCGTCGCTCCTGTTTGACTGGTGAGTGGAGGCAAATATAACGGGAAGGTACAAACTCTCACCTGACGGTCCAGAATCAGCCACAAACTCGTCCATGTCTCTGAACTCCAGAGGGAACGGAGCTGATTTTGGATGATCAATCGCGTCATCGTATTCTCCATGGTAGACTAACCGGATTTCCACTGCACACTCCACTGAACTTGTGGTAACAGTGGCGGTCTCGAGGTCGCACTAATTCCGCTCTCAGGAAGAGGCTCACTCTATCTCTAAAAGCAATTGATTGCTGTACGAGAGGTATCATCACTGTGGTTGTTGATGTTGAAGGGAGGGAGGGAGAGGAGATCTGAAGAAATATTGTGGGGATGGAGATGGGAGAAGGCGCTAAATGAGAGCTTAGTCAGCGCAGGCAGCAGCGCTGCCACGTGGCGCTGACCGGGAAGGAACGACTCCGCTGTTCTTGGCATCGAGCTCCGTACTCGCTCTGTGGATGGGGAATTAAGGCTGCGAAGACAACCAGGGACTCCGTCCCACACTGGCGCGGACTGACTAGCATACGCTGACCTTTGCAGACGGGGACACAGATGTAAACTAGACCTAAATAGTGCGTCCGCATAGCGCTTAGTGCAGCTAAATGGACTATGGAATCAAAAAAAAAAAAAAAAAAAAAAAAGCTGACCTTTGCAGCTTTACGAGTAATTGCACTCCAAATGTTCACCGTTGTTCGTTACCTAAGTAACCTACCTATAGATAAGTCTCATTCCGAGCCAGAAAAACACATGGTTCTATGATGGATATCTCAACCAAACAGGTATTGAAGTCTTTATGTAGCCAGATGCAAGCGGTACTGATTATTGAACTTCTCACTTATGGCCACTGTTATAAAGAAATACGTGTGGTATTTGGTCTACTGGCTACGGACATCCTGCGTGACACTTACACGAGGTCTTTTCCCTGGCGGCCCTCCGCAAGCTCCGGGGCCAGGGGACCTCGCTTCGCCACGGTCTAGCCAATCAAGTCGAATCATCGCTCGCAGGCTCGCGCTGGTCCGACGTGTCCAATCAGGGTCTTTCACGGTGACAGTATTTTTTAAAATGGGATCCACAAAACGCACAACATAAGATAGACCTGATGCGAAGGAAGATCTTGGGCATGTATCAATCTATTTCAATAGGTCTTGTACGTACTCGGCCTCATGGTAGATTTACTTGTTGGCGTCATAATGTTGTTCATACTTATCTTCTTCACCTTGCTCAGGGTACAATTATCAGGCAGCCTAATAGTCCTCGAGCTTATGAGCTTGAGCTGCTCGAGGGATTCCTCAGGTACAATGTCCTGTTTACAGCTACAAACTCAAGTGACTCTGCAAATTCGACGACAGGAAACCCTAAGGGTTCTTGCTGCCATCCGGATCTTCTTCTGGTCCTTTACTCGAGTTTTTCGGGCAGTCTGCAGTGTAATGACTTCCGAAACAGAAAAAGCAACGGGGTAGTCGCCTGCCAATAACATTCAAGGGCAATCTTTCGCGGAGTGAGGTGCATTACTACATACAAAGCACTGCCTCTCCGGGCAATCCTTTGAGTGATGTGGTCCGGAACATATGAGACATAGCAAGCCCACGTCACGCGCCTCTCTGGCCAGTGGCCTGTGGTCGGTATTATGTGGACAGTCCTTGGGGTAGTGGGTGACGAATGTTTGCGCTCTTTTGCAATTCACGTTCTCGCACATCCTGGATTCCTCATTTGGGTGGGATCGGACCTACAAGAGTCCCGAAGGGGGTGGACATCTTCCTCGATTATTGAAGACCCTCTTAACAGCGATGTTGGTGCTTGATATCGAGGTTGTTAACAGGTGGAGGTGAGATGTTACCTCATAAACAGAGGTATGTATGTGGGCATCTCACGCCTCGCTTTATTGAAGATCTACCTACCTACATGACTTTCGCTACTTTAATAGCACCCTGGAAGCTAAACATCGTCGATTCTGCTCAACATGTCAAGCGAGTTGCACGAAGAGAGTAACAATTTCCAGGAAGGCCATATGTAACTATGTGTTTCCTCGACATATCCTTTCATTCAATCCTTGGGTCGGGCTCACGCCAGAACGAGGTTCCCGTTTGGAACACAATACAGCCTATCACCGAAGAACTTGACCTGAAGCTCCATACCATGCCAGCACACGCACAGATTCGGGGTGGCTTCCAACGAAGCAACAGAAAACGTCTTCACCGTCCGCAGGATACGAAGATATGAGGCAGGAGTCGTTACATGCCAAGCCTCACCTCGCCTTGCCTATGGAATAACAAGAACAAATATACTTTCCCGTCAGGATGGGCTACCAGGATAGGCAAAGCCGGCCCTCGTGAGCGCATGGTTCTTCGAAAGCATCATTGACGCAAATAGGAGTTGCAGTTTGGGGACGTTATTGGATATGAGACTACAACACAGGATACAAGGAGTTCGGAAGAGTTAGCCAGTGGACCAGGAACATGTGGTTCAATACGATGCTATCCATAATCGCGTGTTAAGAATTTGGTGCGCCCGTCCAGGTGTTCGCTCAGTTGAAAGCAGTCTATCACAGCACTTCTAGGTCTGGGAGGCCGGCAGTCCTCTCCTGCTTCACGCCCGAGTGGGATACAATTTAGATATACCTCGTCCTCAACAGTCTCCGTGTCGCCAGTCCATAACCACTTCAAAAATATCGAGACAGTAGTTGATCCTATACCCTCCCCCCATTCCCAGGCGTTCTCAAAGCTAAAAGAATTGCGAATCTGCACATACAACAACTTAAGACGTTGGGAGTCTTCTTCCGGACCCACTATTGTTTTCACGATTCCGCCCTACATTATTATCAGCAGAGCCTCCTGGCCAGCATATCAGGCTCAATGTACATTCTCGTCTACGTCTTCTTCGCCGGGCTCCTACAGCCGAAATTTAACGGTCTGACCACCGCGATCTGACACTCACGCTGAACGATATAGCTGAAGGCTTAGTGAGAATCCGTGCTCCCAGAACCAGAGCACTTTTTACAGCACAAGGTGCAGAGAGTAAACCCTCTAAGAGAGTCTGGGACTGATTCTTACCCTAAGATCGCATAAATAGGCATAAATTCAAGGCTGACTACATGTACATGTAGTATTGAAGAATTGCACAGAAATCCAGACTCATACACAAAGTGAGAAAGGGCGAGGAAGCTGAGTATATAGCGTGTTGTATCGTGAATGAAGGCGAAAGGTTACAGAGCCAAGAGGAGCGTCAGAGGCCCTCCTTACCAAGCCATACATCCCCAGCGCAGAGATCGTAATTTGTTTGGTTTATCCTCTGCCTAGTCGTGGAATCGCAATATCGATCATTAGAAAGGACAGTGATTGGAACCCTCAACAGCGAGTTGCTCACAGGCGTAACTCTACCTTGCTCGTCCCATGAGCATAAAGTCCTGCTAAACTACTGCGCCTCTGTTAAGCACTCTGCTTTGTCAATGAAGCTCTTTAAAGCCTTCGCTTTGAGTTGAACGCCAAATCTTGCAGAGTCATCGTAAAGTCTTCATTATACATTCCAGATTCATCAATCCCACAGTGGATCATCTGAGCTATATACACGTCAATGCCGTCCCAGTTCCAGGAAGATCCTAGGTTAAGCTCATGCCGGGATTTCCAATGCCAATACATTGTGATTTCAATTCTCCTTCTCCATCAAAAGTATCCATTCCAGAATAGCCAGTCACTACTGCGCTTCGAGCTAACCATTGTAGGGATGCTTCTGTTTTCAACAGAGTGACGACTGACCCTGGAAGTCGCTGACTCGACATTGGCCGATTACCAAGGGCGGTCAATGTATCACTTCTTTCTGCTATTCCTTGTCTTTCAAGCTTCACCAGTGAACCGGCTCCTCCTCTCGGACTCAGCTGCATGTTACCTCGCTCCATAGTATTTCTGCTACACTGTACGATAGCTTTCCTTATCTTGCTCCCGCCCAACTTCCCTTTTCCCATTAGGGTATTACGTCCCTTTATCAGAATGATGACATTGAAGCCTCAGATGTCATCTACCTTTGGACTAGATTAACATGGGTGGGTTGTAGACGGCAATTGATCAAAGGGAATGAAGTAATACTTGCAAGAAAGGAAACATAATTCAGACGGGACACCGAATATCAAAATCATTTTCACGGAATTTGGCAGTAAGACCGATGGAGTTTGTTGGCTTCACTTCTTCGGAAAAAGGGGTCACAAGCAAGGCGGTTGACAGGTTCGCAATGAAAACTGCAAATACATTTTGTCACGGGTTTTGTGCGCTGTAGCCAGGAAGTAGGCTCGCATGACGAAATCGCTATACTCTGTGATAATAGAAAGTCCCCCATAAGACGATCCCGTTTCCCATGAACCGATGTAGTCTCCCATGAGACTACTCAGTTTCCCATGAAGCTAAAAAATACACACACAGCCACAAATCCCTCCAAACTATTCCCAAGCAAGTCTCTCACCTGGGGTAGGGTTCTCCTGGTAGGCACATCTAGCTCTCCTAGAGAACTGATGCTGAAACCAAGCTCCATCCATTACTCCAACCTCGAAAAAGGCAGTCGCAACATCACTCAAAACTTCTCTGTTGAGCTGCTCCAACCCAATCTAAATAGTCTTGTTAGTTTGATTCCCATACCCCGGAACAGCAATGAGAAAGGGTAGACATACAAAAGTTGTAAACGCTGGGCTATCGAAGGTACCTATCAATTTATCGATAATGAACCGACGGAGTGGTGAATCTTCGCCAGTGGCGTCGTAAATCTCATTAAGTCGCACAGGGTTGATGTTGAATCGAAAGGAAATGAGTTCTGCCACTGCATAGCCTCTGCTGTACTCAAAAAGGTGGTCCATGATCGTCTCCTTGAATGCAGGAGCCATCAGGAAGTCGCCGAGGATGTAGCTGTCGAACAGGTGGTCCATTTTCAGATTATGACGCTCCACATCTCTGTATGTTTCTGGATCGCTGGTGTTGTCATCACCTCCTCCAGAAAAAAAATTCATATCCTGCACGAATGACTCGAAGTTGGTGATATCTCCAGTTAACAACCAGGTCGCAAAAATCGCAAAAATCGCAGGCTTCTCGCGCGAGAGCGTCACCGTGTTGGTACGCCCCGATTCCCACTTTTCATTGCAAGCAGCCTTGAAGAAACCCGATGCGTCGCAAATGATTCCTTTTTGAACCCACATCTCGACCTTCTCGGGGCCGACGATCACCTTCACGGGGAGGCTGAAACTCGATCTAAGAGAAAGTGGAATTTAGCTAGGCAATGTTGAATCCATTTCGATAGACGCACATCGATAATTTGATCTCACTCGCCCTCTGGCTGTCGTCTTCATGGTGGCTGGCTCTCTCAGAGCCTGCACTCGCCCTCTGGCTGTCGCTTTCACGCCGGTTGGCTCTCAATCTCAAAGTCATCTCCATGGCATTCGACATTCTATGATTCAGATGTCGAGACTGGTGCGTGAAGAAGGAAGAGGAAGTCACAGCGCTCCACGTTGTGAAAGCTGTTTTTTTTTTGGGTGAGGAAGAATCGATCTCACACAAGGCTGAGGTTAATAACAAAACTAGCGTGGGCGGTGTGGCTACAACCAAACTAAGCGAAGGCAGCGGTCAAAACAAACTGCCAAATTGAATCTTGCAGCCTTTCAGCCTTATGAGAAAGAAGTAGAAGTATATACAAAAACAAGGGGCTGGCCCTAAAAATTGGCCTCTTGACTAGCATGGCCATCTTTTCTTGACACTATCTCGATGATACTCTAGCAAGCTGGAAGAGTTGCGAGCTTTCCTTGGGCACCCAAGCAAGAAGTCTTTGTGGAAACCTTTGGTGACTCTACTTTGTCGGTCTTGTCGACACCCTTGAACTCCTGGCAGACATTCTTGACGCTGGATCCACAAGATCCGGAAATAGTTGCAGTGTCACCTATACAAGTTAGTATAGACAGCAGGCTGGTTGATAAGACACTCACCATAGTTGCTGTTGATGCCGACAACATCAGAGGTGATGCTCTTGGCTCTGAGTCCAGTAATGACGACCTTTCTTGGTCCACCATTGTTGGAGCAGTTTCCGCAGCCACGGTAGACCTTGCCGGCACCGGTGACAGTGTAGTCCTTGATGGTAACCGTTCCTCTTCCGTTGTGTTGAACGACCTTATCCTTAGCAGCATTGGCTCCTCCACCTTGGATGAGAACGTCACCCGTACCGAGAAGAGAGATGGCATCTAAAGCTGGTTAGCAAATACCATCACAGAGGAGCATCTAGTACATACCTTCGCAGACATCACGGAACCAGACGTTGATCAAGGTGCATGCTGCCTTGCAGTGAACACCTTCAAGTTGGTTTGCACCAATGATGACATTCTTGAGAGTTGCGCCAGCATTGAGAATGAAGACAGCAGAGTCGCTTCCGGTATCAGCATCTGTGTTACAAGCGCGTCCGCGATCATATTCCTTGTTACCCAAGTCAACTGTTCCTGAGATGGCGCTGGGAGAAGATAGAGAAATGATGCTTCCAACTCTGGTTGGGATGTTGAGAGTCTGCGCCGAGGCCATAGTGGCCAAAATGGCAGCGGCGATGGTTGCTGAGAACTGCATATTGAAAGAAGGAAGATCTTTGCTGTGGAAGAACAGAAGAGGTAGTTGAAAGAATGAGAAAGTGATTGAGGATGGCGAAGGAAACACTCTCAGCAATGGAAGTAGCCCTTTTATATCTCTTCTCGGATTCAAACTCGTATTCTGACTCGGATAAGATAGAAGCTACGGCGAGGTACGAGTTACCATCACCACCTACTTCCTCGCACAATTCAATCTCCACTCCGTAAAAAGGAAGCACTCTACATGACAGTACTGCCAAGTTATGAACGTACGGAGAATCTCTCAAAGATGCACTTTTCCGCTTCCCCGCGAGATAGAAAGTGGACAAACCCCGACGAAGGTCTCAAGGATGGATTGTTCCATGTCTCCAATCGAATCACGTTTCTCGCTAAAGGGTGGTGGAAAATAAGGGGTTGCCAAGGGTACCAACAGACTTGGCCTGGCTGACGCGTGTTTGACTGGAGGAACAAATTTCCTGACTCCCATCTTATGTTTTGAGTTCACCAAGATGTTTAAGAAATAGTGAGATCCATAAATCCGGAGCTCTGCCTGCTCATCTGACCTGCTTGTTGTTCTTGTTCGAGGGAGAGCATGGGGCCCGTTCATAGGATTCATGGGAGGATCCGCCCCACTTGAAGAACTGAGATCCTGGTATTCGATTTGTGACAGGCGGCATTCCAGGATTCCACTGAGAACTTGGCAGTAAGACTGTATCTAAGTACCGCGGATCTTCTGACACGGGAGTGCGCCATAGGCGCATACATTTTGTCCGTAGCAGATATGTCCAGATTGAGGCAGCCATGAACTCGTGACTGTTTACCTATGTGTACCCCGCCTTGAGACCAAAATCTACTGGTACCAAGACAGATAAATAAGATATAAGCTTATCTTGTTGTTTGTGGAAGGTGGAAAGTCAAACTGGTGTTGTGTTAGTGCATTGAGTAGTAGTCAAGCTGTAAGCCAGTACGATTGACTTTTGACAAGATTTAGACCCACTACCCCACAACGTCCAGGTTCCATCAAAAGCAAGGCACAAACTCTATCTTGGCCCGGTGTTGTCGGGGTCACCTGATGGCCATTCCTCGAGATACGGATATTAGGGGGATTTATTCACGTTTGTCTCTGCAGACCTTTCTTTTCCGAGACTTGATTTAGAGTACTGATGACAATGATGGGTTAGAATATCGATATAGTCACGACATAGTGCCTGAGGAAAATAATACCAAAAGACCTGGGTCTGAACACACAAAAATTGGTATTGCTTCGAGGAGTACCCTTATTTGCGTTATTTTCCCAAGTATTGTTTCTTTACAATTTGGCTCTCTGCCGAATTTTCTCCTGGCAAATTCTAGACTCGAGTGGATCAACGGCGACGAATGGTCCTTGCAGCTCATCCGTTTGATACCGAACTTTTGGAAATCCACTTTCAACCTTCTAGGATTACTTCAACCCCATCCCAGCAAAGTATAATCGAATACCAAGCAATCTTGTGAACACTATGGCAACATTACACGAGAACCAAACGAAAAACTGTGAAGAGGAACTGCAGCGGTCTCCATTTTCAAGACAGCATCATACAAGAAAATCAAATGCATACAGCCGATGCAACTTGCAATCACCATACCGGCTTCATTCCCGTGAGAAACATCATCAGAAACCGAGTCAGGCAGTCAATTAGGTCAGTGAAAGTGTTCCGCTGCGGGGTTGGTTCCTCCGGGCATTGCCAGAGTTTCTAAGCAGAATGGTTTTGACCAGAACAATAAAAATGTGCTCGAGTCATGTCACGGAACATCAATGATACGAAACAGCAAACGCAGAAGGATTCTTCATTGCTGATTGACTTGAGATGGTGTGCCTTTACACACATCCGTCAAATCCCGCTTCTCCATACACAAGAGTTTGGAGTACTACCATAGCCAGAAGCAGAGTGAGTCCAAATGACTCAACTTATCTGTATAAAGTTCAACTCCTGACTTCAGAACCTTGTCATGATAAACCATAGTACCCGACCGATTTTGAAGAGCAGCATCCACAGTCTCACCAATTCTAGCCATTCTCCATCCAAATTAGTCACGACAATAGCGGTCCACATTCTTCGGTTCTAGAAGGCCTTTGAACATTCATCCAGTCAGTACAGCACATCATACCAGCTGGTAGCGGAAGAACACTTAGACAACCTACCTTCATGTGCAGCAGTAGCCTTCCTCCTGTTCAGAGTGATCGTGGTACTCGCAGGGGTGCTTGTCCCATGGATTTGCAGAAGTGATCGGGATCTCGGTCGAGCTGTTGTTTTGCAGTCTGGCAACCGAAAGCTTTGCAACATCCTTCAAGAACTGCTGAATCATTGGCATCGAGGTATACAGTTCGTCGATGATTTTCTCAGCATTGGACACGAAGAGAGTGTGTAGAACGAGTCGTCGAAGAGGTGAGTCATTGTTGGTACCATTGTAGACAGTGTTCAGTTGCTTGGACCTCAGACCTGCTGCTCCGTCGTGCTGATGAATCTCCTTACTCTTCGAAACTATTGCGTCCATAATGTTGTTCTTGAATCTGGGTGCGACCAAGTCCTCACCCAATTGGAAACAATCTGCCAGTATAGCCCATTGACATTCCAATTCAGCAACCACCGCTGCCTTCAACTGTGAGCCAGTTCTGATAGCGGTGTAATTTTGGAGACTCTCGACATCGCCGTTCATCAACCAGTTCGCGTACATCGAGGCAGCCATTGAAGTGTGCCCCACAATGACAACCTCTTCCTTGCCACCAGACTCTGAATCTTCTTCAAGTTTAGCTTTGAGAAGATAAAATTCTGCGCATGCAAGTTTCCTCATGATTACCACCTTTAGCTTGTTTTTGCCTCCAAGGATTGTGATGAGGTCTCCATAATCCTTTCTGTGAGTGTGGATTAGCAAAAGGTCCAGGAGTAGCCCAAAATTAGTTCCATACATGTTGAACTTGACTCTTTTGGTTGGTGGCTCGATTGAACTCGGGAGTGCTGTGCTGCCGATTGGCAGAGATCTCTTTTTCGATCCCGTCACGTTCGTAACAGCGGTTGAAGTGAAGATTTGCTCGCCAAACCGGGGAGTTGTGGCGGTACGGGCAGTCGCCGCCCAAATCAACGACGGTTTGATTCGTGGAGCAGCGCCAAATACAAGGGGATTGCCATTTTGGTCGAGTGCAGTCATGTTGGCAAGGCTCTGCAGTTTGTGAGAGATGCAGTGGATATGAGAGTCGGTCGCCGTGCGTCTGCGAGAGAGAAAGATGTCTTGAGAAGTTTTGAACAATTGGGCGCAGTCGAATCTGAACGTGCCAGGTCGCCCGAATGACAGGTGTTCGCAGATCGAGGTTGATCTCTACAAGAAGACGATGGCACAACCGAGTTGAGGTGATGGTCCGTTGAAAACAATACTCCCAAATAAGCGAGGCTCCAGTAGCGGAATGGTCAGGGTGAATGCTTTTTTTATCCCCTGGCCTACCTCCAAGATCACCTTCCAAGAGATGACTTCAAAGTCTAACACTGAGTTATATGTTGTGCTAGTCATTATTGTTTAATATCCCTGAGAGTCAAAAAGCTGCCAGAGAGCTTCATTTTCCGACCAGTCAAGGTCACATCCACACGGAAGATTTGGAGAAGCAGACATTCTCATTGCAGTCATATTAAAGGACTGTCAACGAATCATTAGGCTCTTACTTTCTCATTAATCTGCCAAATTCACTCAAGGAAAAACACACCAATCACATATATTAATTCACCGAGCTTTTCTTCTTTGCGAGACAAGGCGATTGCCCTTTTTCGCCACATCAATACGCACTTCGCACAACTCTTCAAGGAGTTCCAAATATTAGCCATTCAGCTCATGGGGGTCAATCTTGCGTAATGCACGTTGGTTAGATTGTAGTTGTTTTACTTGTCGTTGGTAAAGCAGTCTGCTGTGAATGAGTGAATTTATACCTTCTACGACGTCCAAGAGATAAATTGACGTCTAATTAGCCCCGGATGATTCATTACATAGTATATAAGCTGTTAGAAAATGCCTTTAGAATTCCTTGACAGAAGAGAAATCGCATCTTCGATATCTTTAGGAGTTCTGAAAGCCCCTCACTATCACTTGCAAATTCCCCATCAACGCGAGCTCTTTGCTGCTTTTTGGAATCCTGGTACTATGTCATCGTTCAATGCTCCATCCAAATTGACCAGTATGGCCAAGGTGACAAGGTATGCTCTTCCCTTCACAGGAGATTCCTCTCTAAACCAAGCAGATACATCTCTGACCCACTCAAAATCATCGTTGGACCTCAAGCCGAAGACTTCTTGATCAACGAAGAAGTCATCTGTAAACAATCTCAATTTTTCAAGACAACTTGCAGAACATTGTGGCAATCCGGACGAGCTCGCACAGTGACTCTACTCGACGATGACCCTACCATCTTCGCTATCTTCCTCTCCTGGCTCATCACAGGCGACATCGAGAGCTCTGATGGCTTCAACCAAGTTACTGCTCCACCTTATGCAGAAGCACATACAATCGAGCAGAGATATGCCCAGTGGGAGCAACTCCGTCGTTGCTACACTTTAGGCGACGACCTTCTTGCTCCGGGTTTCCAAAACGCTATCATAGATTGCTTGATCGCTGTATCCAGTTGTTTAATCATGAACCACAACATGTTTCCTTGCAGAACAAGTCAGGAGCTGGAGATCATTTACGAAACGACATACCCAGGATCTGGTTTGAGAAAGTTGGTTGTCGATCTCGCTGTCAAGTGTATGGGCGTAGAGTCTCTTGAGAATTTGGACTTGGTACGTACAGTCATTTGTCATTGGGATCGCTGAAAGCGTTGACAACTTGCTCACTGATTAGATAGTCGAGACCGTGCTTGGCGGAATTCCGTTCGGAGATACTGGGTCGTGTGTGTACTCTGCTGAAGGACTGGAATGAGGACCAGGATACGAACACACTTGAACTTGCATACCCCTGGGAAATTGATTTTAGCGATTATCATGATGAGACTGATAGCTTCTAAGCCTGCTCAAGTGAGGGTCTAAAGGGGCCTTCTGCTCCGACGTTCGCTGGTCAATCATAATTACAAGCTTGATTAGAAGGTGCCAAAAGGAAGTAATAATGTGCGTATGCAGCAATAGAAAATGAGATGTTATGCTCCTAAATTCTTCATCACTAGGTATCGTTGATGGTTTTCAATTTCCACGACTTGCGAAATTTGACGCTTTTGGATAAACCACCCCACAGTAAAATCATAGACTGGTCAAACAATCCTCCTCATAGGAGATCAACGATTCAATAGAACTTGGAGTGTAAGGTTGAAGTTATGTTTTTGACTGTCAAAGAGCCTGATTCCGAACTTCTCTCTACCACATACATCTTTTCGGTTACTCGAAACACGGTGAAGACTCCGGGGAAGCCAGAGCACTCACGCGTCTTGTAACTGGAACATGGCAAGTGGGGCTTGCGACGTCAAATAAAGTGTAGCTTGCAATTAAACACATGCATTAAAGTACAATCCTTGTATATGTCATGCCATAGATCTAAACAAACACCAGACATGCAATTCAAATGCACCGTGTATATGCCAAAGATGCTGCTCATGGCATCCGCTCATGTGAAGCTCGTCCCTCCAGTACCAACCCCCATATTACTCGCTGCCAAGCCATTACTCAATCGTCTCCCACCTCCAGGTCCAACACTCCCTCCTCTGATGCCAATCGGACTGCTCATCCTTCTTTCCAGCCCAGTACCCCTCCTGGGCACGGCAAGACTCCTCTCACCATCAGAGTTTTTCCTCGACCTCATAGTACCACTAAGTAACGGTCCAGATATCGTCGTCAGGTTATCGTCTTCTTCAAAGATAACCTCATCGCCTTCTAATATCTCTCCCGCGATGTCTTCATCTACTGTTGGGAGTAGAGCTTCTTCGTCGTCGTCATCATCATCCTCGGTGTCGCTGCTGTCATCGGCCTTGCTGAAGCCAGGCATCTCGACGAGATACCAGATTGGTATCGCGCCGATTGAGGAGATGATGGCGAGCATGAAGTACGGCGTGACGACATAGCCCCTCTCAATACCCCAAGTGAAAGCCGCTCCACCCAGAGCAGGTCCGATAGCTCGACCAACTGCACTGATCGAAACAGCGAATCCGTTCAGCGTCCCCAGAATTCTAAGTGAAACAGCGGAGTTGGTGAGCAGGATGATGGAGCACGGAAAAGCGAAAATGACAGCGAATGACTTGATGATCATGATACCGAACATTGTGGCTTGCTGTAAAGCGCTGTTTTGGATGAGTGCTGTGTAGGGTGTAGCGATGCAGATGAGCGGGAAGCTGACTGCACAACATTTGAAGCAGTTCAAAACTCCGAATTTGCGAGCCGTTGGTGGGAAGATCAGGAACTGGATGAAGCAGCCGACGAAGCCGTAAGCTGTGAACAAGGTGCCAATCCTGCTGGATCCTAGCCCGAATCCACCCGAGAACTTGAATGGGAGGTGTGTATTGGTGGAATCAGGGGTTTGGCGGGGAGTGTGGAGGAAGATGGGGAGAAGTTGATCGTAGGCCACTGCGTGGAGAGCCAGGAATGTGTATGCGATGAGATTGATGACTGATTGCCGAGTGAAGACTTCGACGAGGGTGGGACGGGGGAGTGGTGGTTTGGTATCTTTTGGAGTAAAGGAGTCGTATCTTGAGGAGTCGGACCCAGCGGACGATGTTGGACGGAGAAGGGAGGCTGATGATTCGTCGCAGGTTCCTGAAGCCCGACGAAATGGTTTGGGATGTGGTTTACTGAAGCGAAAGCAAGCTTTGACTGCTGCAGTGAGCTTCTTTCCAAGCGCAAGACCATAGTCTTTTTGGTGCCTCTTAGTCTCGAGAGTTTCCTTTAAAAACAATATTCCAGTCGTAATTCCAAGGAGGAACAGGACGCTGGCGATCAAGTTCGGCAGAGCAAATGGGAACCTAGTCAGAAATTTGTTTTTTCCAAACAATGCGGGCAAGTTTTCGGCTGGCTTAGCGAAGAACCCTCCAAATGATGGCCCAAAGATAGAACCGAGCGTCCAGACTAGAGGCATGATTGAGAATGCTCTGGGTTGAAGTTCTTTTTCAGGAACCATTTCGGCAACCATCGTGCGGATGATGCCAACTGCACGCTATTAGCGAGAACATCGCGAACAACCCGCATAACTTACCATTTCCATTGCATCCACCTGCAAATGATCTCGCGACAATCGCCATCGGTAGACTGGAAGACATCCCCCAGATTAAGCACGAGATCATGGTCAAGGTGAGGCCAGTCAGAATCGTCGGTTTGCGGCCAAATCTATCTGAAGCTCGTCCCCAGATGACAGCTGTAACGCATTGCGAGAGTGAAAAGGCAGCGGATGTCATTCCAGCCCACCAAGCAACATGTTTCTTTTCAACTCCAAAACTTTCTATCATTTCGGGCTGCACCTATTAGCTGATTCAGGTCAGGATGAGAAGTGACTTACTAAATATGGGAAGACCGAAGTTAGGGCCACCGGCTCTGCAAATCGACATATCGCTAGAAAAATCAGTATGGAAGTCCGAGAAATAAGGAGATCAGGTCGAAAAACTCAACAAGGCTGAAATGCTGTGCTGACAAGAGCCAAGACTTTGTGGTACATTTGTTACGTAGCTGGTTTGACAAGAAATGTGAAGATGAGAGTATGATTTTGAGATATTCCTAGAGACTGCATTTATGAAGACAACACACGGAGAACTATCTCCTTTTCATATTTACCCAACATCGCTTGCACATCTCTGACATAAATAATCCTTGCAATAAAAATCTTCCCCGAACATTTGCCTTCAACCATCAGAACAAAGGTTCTGCGAAAGAGACAACACAGCAACATCCTAGAACAGCTGGATGAATCTCTTAACATACCAAGAATTGCAAGTTGCTTAGCAGGAAGCTTCACTGGTCCACGTGCTTTTCTTTTCACCATCTTGAAGGAGGTAACAAAGCCTTCTCAACCTCCAACACTTGACTATCGTACCGTTGCTGAATCTCCGAGGCGAGCATGGAAGGCCACGAGAACGTGGGTAGATAATATATACAGCGAAAATAAATAGCAGTGATAGCTGGTTAAACAGCAATGATGAAGATTGAAGAGTGGAGTGGTCAGAAGAAGTTGGAGGCTGGACCTTGAGTCAGTCCGACGGAAGCTATGCGAGTTACACGCTATGCTGGTCCCATGCCCTGCATGCCAAACAGAACATTATGATTCGACGGCGACAACGAAAGAAAATGCATCTGCACATGGATCAGACGGCAAACTGATTCCGATAGCTCGCTTCATGACATTGTCTTGGCAAATATTACCCCGCTGTGGGCTGTGCAGCTTCGTGATTGGCGGTGAGACGGCCAAAGTACGCCGTTATCGCTGTACTCACGTGCTGCTTATCAATTACGCCTCATGCTGTGTACTTGAAGAACAGCACTACATTTTGCTTGATGTTAGTTTTCAGGATGTTGATCATTTATGAATCATAACTGTGTTGGACGCGACTGAGGTTTGAGAGAGTCGAGCGAGAAAGAAAACTAATCCGGTATCCCGAAAGCCGAGCTTGAGCTCCGCATCACGTGCTGATTACATAGCTTGCGCCATTTCAATGACAGAGCTCGAGATGCAGATGTGCCTGGGGTCTCCCACTTTCAAGCTTTGCGAAGTGTCAGCTTTAACCAACATAGGCAGGTCGAAGGTGGATCAGATCTCTTTGATGAACCTTGGAATCCATGCATTAAGTTGTCGTTATCCAACGGATAATCCGTTCCAAGTGCGGACATGTAAGCCGTCCCTCGAGTCCCCCAACTTCTTCCAAGTTACGCACTTTTCCAGTGTCACTCTTCCTTCAAGTCTGGACTTGAATAGCTTCAATTGAGACAGACACCAATTGGTGGCACAGTCATACCGCGGAAAGCCATACTGACTACATCATGGGCAGCTTAATCACCGAGAAGATGGATGAACGAACGCCCCTCATTACCACAGTTCGCGTTGCCTCGCCGCGCCAAAGATATACCCATAGCATTGTTCGACGATTTTGCACTGTTGCTCTTGGAAGCTCTTTGATTGCTCTGGTAGTTGTGTTCCTACTTCCAGTTGCTTTCCTTCCACGCCATCGCCATCGAAGACCCCACCAACCCCACGACAGCGCAATCACATACAGCGAGCTGCAGACAATATTGTTAGAGACACCAAAGGAAGAGAAGGCACAAGAATGGAGTAAATACTACACAGCTGGACCTCATCTTGCTGGGAAGAACTACAGTCAGGCTCTCTGGACCCAAGAAAGGTGGGAGGAGTTTGGAATAAAGGCGGATATCGTTGCATATGATGTATATATCAACTACCCTCTCGGCCACCGACTTGCATTGTACGAGAAAAAGAAGACCAAGGGCGAGGTAGAGTCATGGAAGGTCAAATTCGAAGCTAGTTTGGAGGAGGATGTTCTCGAAGAAGATCCCACTACTGGTCTGGACAATCGAGTCCCAACATTCCATGGATATTCTGCCAGTGGGAATGTTACGGGTTCATACGTATATGTCAACTATGGAACATATCAGGATTTTGAAGATTTGATCAAGGCAAATATCAGCTTGACAGGCAAGATTGCAATTGCCAAGTATGGAGGGATCTTCCGTGGTCTTAAAGTCAAGCGTGCACAAGATTTGGGAATGATTGGTTGTGTTATTTTCACCGATCCTGGTGATGATGGACTTGTTACAGATGAAGATGGAGTTGATTTGTATCCTGACGGACCAGGAAGAAATCCAAGCAGCGTTCAAAGAGGAAGCACTCAATTCTTGAGTGTTGCTCCTGGCGACCCGTGAGTTCTAAGCAGCCGATGGAGACCACTTCTAACATTCATAGTACCACCCCTGGATATCCATCGAAACCTGGAGTCCCACGTGAACCAGTTGACGGTGCAATCCCGTCTATTCCCTCTATTCCGATATCTTATGTGGATGCTATTCCAATTCTCAAGGCTATGAATGGCCACGGACCCTCTGCCAAAGACTTTAACAAGTACTGGCAGAAGAATCTTGGTCTTGGTTATAAGGGAGTGAAGTACAATGTTGGTCCGTCTCCAGATGATCTCGTCTTGAATTTGGTCAACGAGCAAGAATATGTTACCACCCCTTTATGGAACGTCATTGGTGTTATCAACGGTACACTTCCAGATGAAGTCATTGTAATTGGAAATCACAGAGATGCTTGGATTGCTGGTGGCGCTGGAGATCCAAACTCTGGTTCGGCGGCTCTCAACGAAGTCATCAGATCATTTGGAGTTGCTATTGCCAAAGGATGGAAGCCACTTCGCACCATTGTCTTTGCATCATGGGACGGTGAGGAGTATGGTTTGATTGGAAGCACAGAATGGGTGGAAGAATTCCTCCCTTGGCTCAACCATGCAAATGTGGCCTACGTCAATGTTGATGTTGCTACTACAGGCCAAGTCTTTGCCGCATCTGCATCACCACTATTAAACAAAGTGTTGTACGAGGTCACATCGCTCGTCCAGTCCCCAAATCAAACAGTCAAAGGACAGACTGTTGCTGATGTTTGGGATGGCAAGATCAAGACCATGGGTAGTGGTTCCGATTTCACAGCATTCCAGGATTTTGCCGGTATCCCTTCAGTTGATTTCGGATTCTCGGCGGATGTCAATGATAAGAAGGCTGGAGCTGTTTATCATTATCATTCGAATTACGATTCATACCACTGGATGAATACCTATGGTGATCCAGGATTTCATTATCATATTGCCATTGCCAAGATCTTTGGTTTGTTTACTGCCAGACTTGCCGAATCGCCTGTCATTCCTCTCAATGCAACAGACTATGCCATCGCTCTTGATGGGTACATTTCCAACGTCGAATCCAAGGTCGATTCGGCGATCATCGGCGTACAGTCCGAGGAGGAAGAGATGGAAGCTCGTGCTCGCCCAACACCGGCAGCTCCCAAAGGAGATCTATCTGACCTGAAGCTCTCCTTCAAAAAACTCCACAAAGCAGCTCTCAAACTCAAAGATGCCGCTCAAGCTCATGACAGCTGGGCTGCGGAACTGGCTGAAGAGGCAGGGGAGAACATCCCCTGGTGGAAGTGGTATAGCAAGATCAAGTTGTATTATCAAATACGTCGTGTGAATGACAAGTACAAGTATCTCGAGAGACAGTTCTTGTATAAGGAGGGATTGGATGGACGACCGTGGTTCAAGCATGTTGTTTATGCCCCTGGATTGTGGACTGGATATGCGGGGGCTGTGTTCCCTGGTCTGGTTGAGTCTATTGATGATAAGGACTATGGGCTTGCCCAGAAGTGGGTGGGTATCATTGAGGGGACTTTGGAGAAGGCTTCTGGTAGCCTGGAGTGAGGGGTGGGCTTATATTGCAAAAGTTGGATATCACTTGGCTATACACGCCTCAATTGAATTTAAAGTTTTGGAATAGAAGTATGCATTGCTGGGTCAGTGGTGAGGTGGTGATATAACGTGCTAAGTGAGAGAGCTAGCTTACATGGTCATCTTAGGCTTCTTGGTAGGTGGCTCAGCGGGGTTGGATGCGGCCATCTTGATTGAGCTGTGGAGAGGGGTAGGTGGCTTCTTGGATTTGGTGTTGGTTCAATCAAGGAGTTGAGTGCTTCCTTTTGTAGGAACTGAAATTAATGGGTATATGCTAGTCAGAACTTCTTGCGAATTCGAAGAAGTGAATGCCAGCATGAGAGATGAGTTTGTTTATACTGAAAGGATATCACCTTATTTTCAGTGGGTATACACAGTGGCTAACGTAATAGAAATTTACGGGACATATCAATTGCTATTGGGTCTCGGTAATTGGGTTCATTCATGCAGTATGGCATTGATGTGCTTGAAGACTGAAGTCCTGAAGAGTTCAGCATGAGGTTCAGAGATCTCGAGTTCTAGAAAGCTATGATTTGTTTTCCGCCATGTCCCTGAACAATCTCCATCACCATCAAACAGCCTTCTCGTGGTATCGTTTCTTGTCAATCTCTGTAGAGATGGGTGTTGTGTAAACTCCATTGGGAGTCTGGGAAAGACGATACTGCTCCACAGCATATTTCAGAAGCTGCTGGTGGAATTTGGGGGCGAATAAGCTGATGTCCGTGGTGGCGAGATCAAGGTACTTGAGACTGATATCGAGGAACAGATCTGCAGCATCAATTGTCGGTCAGTCGTTTTTTGTTGATCAATTGTGTAACTTGAAGTGTTGGGGGGAGAACGAAGCTACGAACCACGAAGAGGAGATTTGGTATGCGGTGGTTTCGTGAAGATTTCGACCAGAGATAATGTTTGGGGGAGCAAGTCCAAGACTTGATTATTGTCTCTTGCCATCTGCTCAGCCTTGTCAACCAGACCGTCAATGATGAAATTCTTGAAGTTCACCGAAGCCAGTCGATCTCCTAGAGCGTAAGCCGTTGCAAGATGATGCAACTGTGTTCTTCTGCCCCGGTCCAGAACTTGAAGACTGCCGCTCTGTTCTAAAGCACTGACTGGCTTGATGTACTCAGAACAGCTCTCTAGGCTTCCTCCCGTCAACCATACAGCAAATAAGACAAAAGTTCGAGGATTCTCTTGTGGAAGATAAATTGCTTTGCGATCCTCTACTTAGAGAATCTTGAGATAGTCCGAATCGGCAAAGAGGAGGTCTTCGGGAATGTAGAATTCGGTCGAGTTTCGGCCGACAACGACCTTGACAGGTTGGGAGAAGCTGGAGCTTTTAATCGTCAGTCTGGCTTGTATGGCAAAAATGAGCGCTCGTTCAGTGTTCATCACTCACATAGAAACCTTGAGCTTCTTGGTGGGAGGCTCATTGCTGTCTGCCATCATGAAATGATGGTGTGGGTTGCCTGTTTTTCTGTGATGTTTTGAAAATTTCCCTTCAACATGAGAAGCTAATTGACCTTGCGAAATCAAGATCGACGCACGAGGAAGGTGAAGCTCTGAGGCTTTCTGGCCACACCCGCCAAGACCTAAGCGAGATTTTGGATGTTTTGTTTGTTTCCACCTCCAAGCTTGTTCACGATCAGCATTCCTATCAGCAATTGGCGTTGACAAACCATAGCGTAACCAGAAAAATGTATGAACTAGAGTGGGGATCAAGAAAGAAGAGTGTGGGGAGTGTTGGTCAGTGGAGATGTTGCCTATTTGGAGATCCAAGAGGTGGAAATGGCAACAGAAGGCTTCATCGCTGGGAATAAGGAGACTCCAGAGACTACGATAACATGGTAGGCCCTAGAAGGACCGAGCTCTGTGGCAATTTGGATCGTAACCTAGAATTGCATGCATTATAGAAGATGATGATACGCAATGATCCATTTTGAAGGTTTCCCACGACCTTCAAAGCTTACAACAAGGCCTTTCGGCCTTTCGCATCTTCAGACGAGAATTTTGGTATGCATTGTTTCTGTTGTCTACAGCTGTGCGAAGTGTAGCTCTTTCACGTTGATAGTCAGTTTGGTGACTTTGAAATAAGGACTCTGTTATCAGTGATTGAGAAGGAGAAAATTTCATGGTGTTCACTTCGCTTATTGTTCTCTCGAGATCATGATCAACAATAAATAGAGACAGTAAGCATCTTCACCATCAAAAGCTGTACCTAGACTACGCAGATCGTCTCGAATCAGAAATTCCACTATCTCTCACACCATGGATTTCAAGAGAGAGACAAAGGTCAAGTCAGAGATCGAGGATGAGAACTTGTGGGAGGTCAGGGAGTACAAAGAGGAGGAGTTGGAGAGAGAGTTCGAGAAGGAAGAAGTCAAGGAGAAAGGAGTAAAGAAGGAAGTCAAGGAAGAGAATAAATGGCTCAGCGTTCAACCTCCAGCACAGTTCCGCCAACAAGAGATCGACGATCCGGACGAACCTCTGCGTCAACAACAAGTCATCCGCCTCTTCCAACACCGCCGCCTCCATATGAACCGTCAATCCCTCGTATCTACCTTTGGAAATGGTATAGATGATCCAAAATTCACCTTTGATAGGGTCGATTCTTACAACAATATCGGCGACCGGCCCTTGGCTGTCGTACTTCAAGGTGTTTTCCGACCAATTGTTCTGAGTGATTTTGCTGTTGGATTCCAGCGCCGCTTCGAGATCTATCCTGGGTATGAGGATGTGTTTTGCAGACAGTTGGAGAAACTTGATGATCTGCGCTGGCTGGTTCCGATTTGGTACGCTGAGGATGTTTCGCCACTGGAGTATTGGAGTCAATCTGAGTTGGAGGTCAGTCAACAACGTCTTCCTATGAATTGTTTCCACCTACAGCGGTCACATGGGAGCAAAAATGATAGGTATGATTGGGATTCTTGTTTGAACGTTTGCTAACTTGAACTTTAGATCGCCCAGGTCCGTACAACTGCTTGCTCATGTGCAGCTCAGAACGGACGAATTTCTTGTAGTAGCAGTTGCTTCGGAAATGGTGTAATTTTCACCCCTGTGAACCAACAGATGGGAAGAATCCTTTACGGGTGAAAGAGCGATTTCAACAAGAGTTACGAGAATTGTTCAGTAGAGGTTGTATTGGACATGAATGAACGAAATATAAAGAATATTTGTGGTTGTTGAAAGGATTAGATGGATACGATCTGTTGGGCTACGATTTGCACTGTTGGACTATGAAACCGACGAAGAGATAACTGCTGCTTGTAGCCAACTCCAATCTTCTCGAAATGTTGTTCTGAAGCTGTGAGGGTAGTAGAGGATATTTTGATAATCAGAATTTGGTGGAGACTGATTTGATTCTGCAGTTCAGTGATCTGCTTTAGGCGAAAATAATCGGGAATGGTAAATGGATGTGTTGAGTCTGAATGAACTGTTTGAAGTATATTATATCCTGAATGCTGGACTTCTACCACCCATTGAGGTCTTCGCCCTCTAATCTTTGCTCCTCGTTCTCCTTATCCCAGCCTATCCACGTAACGTCATGGTCGTCAGACCAGGCGTAATAAGGTACTCGAAGTTTCTTTGTGGAATCGTAGTCCTATGCAGAAGTTTAGAAACAAAATACAGGTCAAACAACAAGCAATGATATAGGCAACGTACGAGCGGCTTCTTTCTCGTCATGAACATGCTCAAGTACCGACTCAATGCTGTTTGCATCAGTCGCAAGTATCTTAGTTCAGATGCGTAAAGTCCTTCAGATGGCAAGCGAATATTAAAAGGCATTCCGGCAACTCCAAGCCATCTTCCTTCAAGGCGGACTTCAACACGTTCATGCAAGCCGCGAATGCTGCACAGCTCGTCGAATCCAATCGCCTGCATGATTCTGAATGTGATATCCTGACCGCTATCATAGCTCATCTCGTTGGCAATGTACTTGAAACGGGCTCTCATTGGCACTGATGGAGTAATAACAATAATGAGATTCTTCAAACTGGGAAGCGTCTGTAAGCCAATGATGGCATGAGCTGCAGTCACACAAGTCTCGGAGCCTCCGCGCCAGTTGAAGCAGAGGGATGTGAGGTTGGCTTTGAGGTATGCCTGGTGCTGGTTGTCCATGAAAGGCTTCATTGGTACGATGCAGTCGAATTGGAGATGCATGCCATATCGTATGAGGAGGTCCTGGAATTCCCGTAAGATTTGTTGACAAGTGAAGAGGATAGGGAAGGTGTAACAATCTCTCTCATAGGGAGTGTGATCACAAGCATAGCAGTAGAAGTTTCTAGCATCCTTGCTCTCAAAAGAATCATTCGCTTGCTGAGCAAAGTATTCCAAGTAGATGCTGTCACGAATTTCGCGGGGTAGGTCGAGGAATCTAGTTGGATTCTTGGCGGAAGCTTTGATATGCTGGGCTACTGTGAGCTGGGATCTGGAACTTTCGCACCCAGCAATAATTTTGTGCATGGTATCTACAGATTATGTTAGAAACAAGCTTGCTGCGATGGGAGTGGCTTCTTTGCCTTCATCCGCGACAGCCTGAACATCGGAATTTTGCTCAGCCATTGCAAAGTCGAGATAAGTGCTGCTGCAGTTGTTTTGTCAGACCAAGCCTGGTGATCTGAAACTTGAGAGCTCCTCATTATATGCTAGAGTTTGGTATCAAAGAAAAGATGAAGGAATGTGCGAATGACGTGCGAAGCCTATTCACAAAGGAAGGTGCGAATGCAGCGATGCGACTGCTTGACTAATTCACTTATCCTGCCTAGGATGAAAGACAAATATTATTCAGCATTTCCATTCTTTCTCACATAATATCATCATTAAAGCGGCCACAATATTGTATGACTTTGTTTACGAGAGCGAAAATCTGATGATGGCCAAGTAAATCTGCAAGGGCTGATCATCCAGGTCACCGTAGCAGCCGAGCAAACCAAACCTCGAGGGACGACGACATTCCAGATTTCCACCCCTCACAGCTGAGAAAGAGCCCTGCAACCCGTTCAATACTGTCATCGAAGGTTGCTTCTCGTGATCTGGGGATTTCGCCATGCCTTCAGATTTTACCTGGCCGAGGCAGCTTCACTGTTATGTTAAGTCCGCTAAACTAAAAGCTGCCAGCGAAGCAAAAAGAGAGACAAAGAACTCTGGTCCCACGCAATCCAAGCATGCTACATCCCTTTGGGTCTGATAGAATGTCAGTAACTCTGGAATACGTATCCATCGTCTTTGTCAGGTTTGCAATCCTGTCACATTCCTGGGCAAGGCGCTGACCAGCTTGCAATAGTGATGGATCACTGAGAACAATGGACTTGGACCAACGTGATACCTTACTTGCAAGACTGCAAAGAACATCACTTCATACCTCCACGCAGAGAAAATCCTTGATGCAATAACGGCTTTCTCTCTGAACGTGGAGGACGCATTGCAATTGACTTCCTCAATGTGATCTTGACGACGTGCACTTGAGTGTTTCATCAGATGTCCCTCCCGGTGTGGCTGCTTCGTCACGGGTAGCTGCAGAATACAGTCGCTCCTCGATTTGAGATCCAGCTCAGATTACACTTGGATATCGTTTCAATTGTATCAAAAGGAGTTCGAAAGATGAAACAGAAGGCAGAATGCAGGTATTGCTCATTTTGGTAACACTTCTCCACCGAGAGAAGGGCAGCCGCATGGTTGTGTCAGCTCTCAGCCTCGTCATACTGTTGGCCATGGCATAATGTTCCAATTAGTTTTACGACGTTGTCGGCAAAGGCTCGGACTCATGGTAGTCTTCTGCCTGGGGTTGCCATGACACTAGCGCGGCTCGTCCTCCACCCCTAAACAAATATCTAGATCACTTCAGCATTGCATCTTGTCAACCGCATCACCTTCTTGCATCTGTCAGCATACTTCTAAACCTCAATCTTGATGTCAAAGCACAATTGTAATTTCAAAATCACAACTCAGCAAAGCGTCAACATGATTGCAACGCGTCCTCCAGATCCGCACTTCTGGAAGCGGTATTCAATCATATTGCTCTTCCCCCGCGTCTTCCAGGCTGTCAGGATGCAATAATTGAGGGAGTCGAGCGCCAGCTGATCGACAGACTCCTTGTAGCGACCTGCCAGTTGGCTGCGACGCAGACAGACAATGTGCTGTTGCCACTCCATCGCTCTCTCGAGGTAGCCAAGCGCGTCAACGCGAATGGACGTCTGACGAAATCAACACTCCTCAAATCATTTTCTGAGATCTCTTTTGGGTAGGAGAATATAGATGTATTGTTCGCCGTCCTCCCTCTGCGGGAGCACCGACTTCATCATCGCTCATGTCCGAGAGCAGAATGCCGCGGTAATTATCCGTAGACAGCAAAGGTTAGCTTTCTTCTCGCCGGTGCGCATGTTTCTTGCTGACCATCTCACTGCAGTACTTCACATGGTGAAGAAGTCTTGTTTGAAGTATTCGAAGTATCTGCTCTATCCGATGCTGTTCTTGCTGCCAAATCGGCATTGCAATGGGACTTTCCAGGCAACGCGGTTGCGATTCCTCTATCAGTCTTTCAAGATATCAACTTCCAAGAACAGGTTGCCACTTTTCTGGAGCGGGCAAGCCTAGAGTCTATCAAATGCTTCGGAATTCGGGCTCATAAAGCTGGTACATCCACATACGAAAGCAGGCAGACCGTTAACCCCACTGCCATTTCAGAGCTGCTGATGACAATCTTGAGCGGTTATGGGCGCCGACAATTCCCCACCTTGACTCGCAAACGCGTTCGAGACGAGGTATCCTACAGCCCTGGTGGAGAAAAACCTTGGCGACGCTGTCCGTTGTGGTTGGCACTGCGTGTTGCCATACAACGACATCTGTGCTTGACTGTTGACAGCCATTCTGGCCGGCTTCTTTACAAGGTCTTAATATGCCTTGTGCACTCCCAACTGCTTGATGACTGTCCATCGATCGACACACTCGGACAAACTTATTATAGAAGCTTTGAGCTTTCGGAGCACCTGAAGACCAAGCTGTGCCGTCGTATCTTGAAGCTTGAAGTGGAAAAGGAAGAATACACCCATGAGCAGAGAGCACATTTCAAGGCAACTTTTCTTGAGGTCAAAGGAATCTTCGAAATGTCTATCGAGTCGGCTAGTGCGAGGACTAAGTCAGCTTTTGAAAGGTTCAATGGGTCAAAATATAGTATTGACAAAATTCATCACAAAGCTCCATGGCACGCAGTGTCTCTTACACTAAAGAATAGCGACCCGTATTTGGGAGGTTTGATGGGTGTTACCGGGATTCATAATGCTCCGCCTCCACTTGTGTCGTCATTCAGCTTACCAGAGGAATACCAATTCGCAACAGCGAGCAAGACGCGCGCCAATATCTTCAATACGCGCTATGTTGAATTGAGCATTGTGGAAGAAGAAGCAATTGGCAACGGATTGAGCATGCAGCTGTCGCCTTTGCGTAGTCTAGCACTGCCAGCGAACGAACGAATTGACAATATTTCCCTACGCATTCTGAAGTATCTTGAGGATGTAGGCGATGCCTACGATGGGCTAACGGAACAAAAGAGCACCATGCTGTTGAACGTCATGGACCTATGGAGAGAGATGGATACATGTGCAACTCGCTCATACCCTCTGTTGAAAGAGTACGTCCCAGGATTTCCGACCGAGATCTTGGATGTTCTTCATGTTTCACGACGGAAAGACATGCTACGACTTGAGAAGATCAGGAATCACCTGCGCGCTCGCCACGCAGAAGCTACTCAGTCCGAACTCACCATCTTTGCGAATCCACAGGAACATTGCTTCGCAGTCCGGTACTACGAAGATTCGCCTGACAGTCAACTCTTGCAGCGTCTGCACCAAGCTATTGAGGCAAAAGGCCGTCAAATGCAACAAGAAAAGGAGAGGGAGTTGCGCAGTAGGCGATTGCGCTTCGAGAAATTGAAGAAGCAGGAGGAAGAGATTACTAAGGTACGCAGCATTAAACCTCATCATCATCTGTATACCACGTACTTCAATATGATCGAAGGCTCGTTGAACCCATCTTGAGTCTCTAGCTGACGATAGCGCGATCTTTAGTGTAATGATACATTGAGGACGTTTGGCAAGATCGTTATTGAGGAGCACATACCTTACAGCTGCAACAAGTGTAGACTTTCCAACGAGATTAAGCGCTTTTCCATCAGAGGCCATGAACGACCCCTTCCAGATGATGCGATTCAAGCCAAGGTCGCAGTCTTCGAGCTAGGCTGTCCCCAGGCGTTCTCTGTTTACCGAAATACAACATGGCATATTCTGAGTGCCCTCGCGTAAGTCCGTTCTGAAGACAATGACAACCAGAAAGTCAGGAAATGCTGACAAATTGGAATAGACTTCCGAAGCAAGTCCCATCTTTCAAGCCTTCTGCCTTTCTTGATCAGTATTTGAAAAACTTGGGCTTCGACACAGATGATATGTACGTTCCGAATTGCGGCATGAAGTCGTCAAGTCATGAATTAACATTGAAGCAGGTCCACTCAATTTTGCGTTGCGTCAACAAAAAAGCCATGGCCAAAGACGCATTACTATACTAATAATTTCCCTGTGGACTTAAACGATATTTGCCACCCGAATGGTATGAGTTTCGAGTATTTTGACAATTTAAAAGGCGTTTGGGCAGGCCGTTTGGAACTCACACCAAGCTTTGCTCATCATTGCCGCATGGAGCTCCCAGCAACTTCACCCTTCCCTACACTATTTAAGACCACTATGAAACAGCGTTCATCTTACCAAATTATTGCAAGCCAAACCAATTGCCCTCCTGGATTGAACAGCAACGAGTTCCTGGCGTTTCAGGGTCTGTTTGGTGGTGAAGTTCGGAGATGGCCTCAGCTGTTGATCGAGCTGGCATCATCCAACATTAATTTTGGAACCGAATCAACAACGGTACTGGTGAACTATCTCACTCTTCACGTCGGACCGCAAGCCCTGGACAATGAGTTCGGAATTATCCATGCAGCATTCGACGATCAGTCTTTCTGTGAGCAACTGCTACACCAACTGAACAAGCGAGTGGATGCAATTAGGTCCAATTGGCGTGAGGTCAATTGCATGGAATCTCTCATTACGATGGGCCTCAGACTCTTTGAGCTGGGAGCGAACACTTTCAAAGGCGTCGAATTTCTCGAGCGAGCACGCGCTGTCACCATTGAATGGATGACAACGCTGAAAACCGAAATGCTGCTAGCAACAGACGCTTCGACCTCGTTGAGGTATTCCGAATATGCTTTGTGGGCTGCGCTGCTGTGCAGAAGAACATTCTGCATTTACCTCGACCGCCGAACAGCACTTGAGCCAGCTATCACATGCTCTTTCATCGAGAGCTCAATAAATATGCAGGATAACATTAGCAGTGACCCATCGAAGCTGCAAGGAAGTTTAAAGGCTGCTTATACTCGCGACCGGAAGATGTTGTCGGACTTGCGATGGCTTCTGCAAGATTCTGTCGAAAGCAGCCAGAATAGTGTCATGTCTCTGGTAACCAGCTTGCTGCCAGCCATCCATGGTACAAAGGCACATAGAGTGTTTGGGTTTGAGTTTCTTCCGCATCCGAATGCATGGTGGATTCGAATGCAGATCGCAGCCACATCTCAGATCTGTCAGCAAGATGTCCACTTCAATTACCTCGAAGGTGTGTTGCTCGTGATGGGCAAACCTGTTGGAAAATTGCCCCCAGACTGGAGAAGATCTGTAGTAAGTGTCATCCCTTTCGGCCTCACACCAAATCGACTAACGATTTCCAGGTAATGCAAGAGCTATTCGGTAATCAGATGCTACTGACGCACCCATCTCGGATGCCCGGTATGACATACACGCTTCTGCATCCAGTTTATGGCCATTCTGTCCACCTTGGATACCGTGGAAAAGATCTCATTGTATGCGCTTGCATTGGGAACATGATATTGGAACATATTCCAAGACGCATCTTCGGCAAACTCGACAGTTGCGATCTGCCTGCCTTTCTTGTGGATAACTGCACTCACTGGATGAATCTTCAGACCGGAGTCATCGAAATTAGACCCATGGGACGAACCTGGATTTTAAACCGCAACAACTGGCATCTGGATTATCGTCACCGTGAAGCAAAGCGAGCTTACCCATCACCGTCTACGATTGCCCGGTATGATACACTTATTGATCCGCATTGTAGACTCTTCGGTCAAATCGCCAAGATCTTCGAGAATTTTGAAGACCCACAATATTTGGCAGTCTGGCAGCCAGTCTCGGGTAGGTTGACAGTCCATCTAACTCGGTTAGAACTTTTGTTCTACGTGAATAGTCGAGGTCGTCTCGAATGTCCGCAGTTGAGCTCGGAGGTTGATCCAGGTAAGCAGTCCTCCCTTCTGCCTTCAGCCACGTCAGTGTTGATATGTCAAACAGTGCAAGATATCGGAACATGGCATGGGCTAGCATCTAGGCTTGTTCTTCGAGAGGTTGGAAAAGAAAAAAATCGAGGCAAGGATACATGGTCCTCGGTTTCCCTTCGCCAACGAACGGTCCTCGTGTGTATGGGTGCCTTTGAATACCGACGAGAAGGTCCACATATCAGACTAACTGCTAGAACGGGGAACACATACGGTAGATACGTCGTTAATGAGACCCTAGGACGTTTGGAATGTGCTGCTGAGCCGCGTCTTCTCTATCTGAAAGCGGCCTTACATGCATACACATCACTCCCGATCCCCGACGCCCTGACTGGTCGAACCGGCACAGAAGAGGCGATCCACTGCCTCAAGTCGGGTTACTGTCAACCCTGGACTCCATTGACGATGAATCCATACCAAACTTTGGCATCAATTGCAAAACTTACACCTCGAAGAGAATACTATCCGGCAAATCTCAAAGTCTTGCAATCATCATACTGGTAAGACTAGCATGCTTCTCATTCGTTCACTGTGTGTATAGACACCCCTAATTGAAGAATTTGAACTATTGGGCCGTCATATCGTCACTTACCTGCTCATCATAAATTCTAATAGGAAACGGGTGATCATATGCTGATTGCTGATATAGGGATGACCATCTGACGACCACCATTCAGAACGATTTATACAAGAGCATTGTAGACTCTATTTTGAGAAAATCATACAGGCTCACTTCATTTTCTCCGGATAGCGTTGATCTCCCGCTCCCTGATCCTATCACAGATAGTCACTTGATTCAACGAAGTCATTTGAGAAGAAGCACTCATCAAAGACCTATGTCCACCGCGACAAAGTCGATTCCAATCGAAGACATTGTGTATGATTCCAGGGATCATCTTGGTTCCAGCCAGAGTCGCATGAATGTTGTTGAATGTGTAAAGCTACTGAAGACATGGCCTTCCCAACTCTCCACTACTCGTGATCTGATGGGCATGATTCAGCAATGGGGTGACCTTGAAGGCTGTGAAGGATCTTGGGATCGAATCCTGTTGACTGATATGCTGAACTTGAATTGGACGACGGATTGGGGACCTCTCGCCAATCTCTGCCGAGCTGCTGGCCGACCAGATGTCTACCGTCTCGTGTTCATACTCTCTACCATTTCGTTTGGAGAACAAGTTGATATGGATGCAGTTCGATGCCTGATTGCATTTTCCGTTTTGGAGAAGCTGAAGGCCTTGAAACCCCCCAAATTCTCAACCTACGTTAAGGTCAAGGAGGGAGAAAAACCTCGTACTGACGACATCCTCGGTTGGCTCAAACCTTATCGAAGACCATACTTAGTGGAAGGAAAGTCCATGGCTGGTCCTTCGCCTTCGCACGCTGTGCGTCTAACTTTGGTCGATTTGGAGCTGAAATATAAGCGCGACCAAGAAGAAGATGAGAAGATTCTGGCTAAATTTCTGCTCGATCAATGGCCTTGCGAAAAGCCCACCATGGACGGCTTCATGCAAGGAGCTAAAATTTACCTCGAAAAGGCCCTGCCTTCTCTTCAACCAAAATGGCTCCAGCTATATCAGAATCTTGAGCTCTCCAAGTATCTCGCCCAAGCTCAACGTATCCTGGATTGTCATCGAAGCGAGAGCTATGAAATTGGGTATGCAGCTGTCAATACTGAGGAACAAGATGTATTTCACATTCCGAGACGGAGACATGACGAGTTTCTACTTGGTACCAAGTTGCTCCGAGCTCTGCCATGTGTTAACGGAAAACTTGAGGCTGATTCAATGTCTCTCGACTACGCAATGTTGACAAAACAACCACTAGGAATCTGTCAAGCTCCTATACAGAGAGAGAAATCTCCGCCAGTTTCATCAACCATCCAAGAGCTACAAGAAATTATCGCAAGTGCTTTTCAATCTGGATCAGACGTCCGACAAGAATACAGTGACGATCTTGCTCGTAGTGCACAAGCGCTACAGATTGCGGAAGCTGAGGCTGATCCAAAGCCGAGCCCTGTCGATCTCGGAACCCTTGACACTGCGATTCAAGATGGCGAAGAACTAGTTCAAAAGCAATTGAGCCGAATTCATCATATGCTGGAATCAGTCTCCCCCGATCAAGTGTACTGGCAGAAGCAAGGTTCTTTGTGGCCTCCAACCACACCCGTATCAATTCTGGAAACTTTACGGTCGACCTCACAGCTTACCCTCTCGACAAACGTCCGGACCGAGCTTGTTCGCTATGCATTGTCTATTACATCGCTGCAAAGACTGCTACGGATGGAAGACGCTTTGCGGAAGAACAATACACAACGTCTGAACGATGAACAGAGAAACACTGGTCATTCAAACTGGAAACCTTCTGAAAACCCTGACTGGCTCCTGCTTGAAATTGATGCGAACCTCCTCATTCGTCCTGGACAGATCGATGTTGCATTGGCCACAATTAAGCCCGAATCTAGCATGAACTCTGTTCTCCAAATGAACATGGGGCAAGGTAGGTTGTACGACCATTCCATTCAAACCTAGCTAACATTTCCCAGGGAAAACTTCGTGTATAATCCCCATGGCTGCTTCCGTACTTGCTGATGGGAAGAATCTCATGAGAGTCATAGTCCCAAAGTCACTTCTGCTGCAGACGGCTCAACTTCTGCACATACGACTTGGCGGTCTCATCGGCAGAGAGATAGTTCATGTACCATTTTCTCGAAAGACGCCCACTGACGCAGGCCAAGTTGGAATCTTTCGCCAGCTTCATGATAACATTCGCAAGGGTTCAGGCATCATCATAGCCTTGCCTGAACACATATTATCATTCAAGCTATCCGGACTCCAGCGATTATCAGATGGAAAGACCGCTGATGCAAAGGCAATGATAGAAACTCAGAGTTGGCTGCACAGATACGCCCGCAATGTCATCGATGAATGTGACAGTATCCTTGCATTGCGTACCCAGCTTATCTACCCTTCTGGAACACAGAAGGTCGTTGATGGGCACCCGATTCGCTGGCAAGTTGTGCAAATCCTCCTGTGCCGCGTGAACGGTCACCTTGAGAATTTACGTCTCCAATATCCCAAGAGCATCGAAGTACTTAGAAGAGACCAAGGTGGATTTCCGATTATCTTCTTTCTACGCCAAGATGTTGAGAATGAACTTATCTCACGTCTAGTCGACGACATCTTCCATGGCAGGACTTCGATATTCCCTCCCGATTGTACGGTTTTGGACCGTAACGCCATCAAAGAGTTCATATCGGAGCCAAAGATTGCAGTAGAGCTATCGAACTCCGTGAAAAATACGTTCAAGGACAAGCCAGCCTTGCAGCAAGCTGTGTACCTTCTGCGAGGTCTCTTGGTTCATCGGATTCTTCTAATGGTCCTAAAAAAGCGATGGAATGTCCAGTATGGGTTACATCCTTCCAGAGACCCCATTGCAGTTCCGTTCCATGCAAAAGGAAGAGTAAGTTCTCATAGTGCACTTCAGAATCATACTTACGCCACTATGATCCGCACTAACAAGTGATTCTAGCCTAGCGACCAGGCGGAATGGGGACACCCAGATGTTGCAATTGCGCTCACTTGCCTCGCATTCTATTATCAAGGTCTTGGCAATGTTCATCTTCGACAGACGCTTGAGCATATCAATCAAGTTGAAGAGCCTTCTCAGGTTTACTCGTACATTATGCAATCATCTAGGCTACCTGATTCTCTCAGAGAATGGACTGCGATCAACCTTGATGACAAAGACCAATTGCAGGAGATCTGGAGTCACGTTCGCTACAGCGTCGATGTCATTGACTACTTTCTCAACTCCTTAGTCTTTCCTCGTCATGCGAAGCAATTCGAGGTCAAATTGCAGGCGGTATGTTTCTTTCTTCTTCTACGTCCCGTTTCAGTCAAGAAGTCAAAGCTGCTTTGACTTCAATGATGCCCTACTAACCTTTGTCTAGTCCGGATGGGATTTACCCCTGTACGAGAGACCCATCACTTTGGACTATCCCACAGCAAGAACCACTGGATTCAGCGGCACAAATGACTGCAAGAGAATGTTGCCACTTACTGTCAAGCAGCAAGATCTTCCAGGTCTCTCCCATACGAATGCAGAAGTCTTAACATATTTGCTCGAGAAGAGAAATCGGCTTTTCATTGCGGCTGCTGACAGAGGTAGACACATATCCGAGTTTCAATTGCTCCAGAAGGTCCGAGGATTACGGATCCGAATCTTGATTGACGCAGGAGCACAGATTCTGGAGATGGACAATTTGACCCTTGTCAAGACCTGGCTCAGTATCGCACCCGAAGCTAAAGCTGCAGTTTTCTTTGACTCAAAAGGAGCCCCGGTGGTTGTTTATCGGAACAACTATGGCAATCAGATCCCCCTCGCAGCATCTACTTTTGCTGACGATTTGAGCGAATGCCTTGTCTACATTGATGAAGCACACACCAGAGGAACTGATCTGAAGTTACCAGTTGAGGCATGCGGTGCCTTAACTCTAGGGCTAGGCCAGACCAAGGATCATACAGTCCAAGGTATGTAGTATCCATATTTCATTTGAAGACATGCGCTAATGAAATTCAGCTGCGATGCGCCTTCGCCAACTGGGAACCTCACAGTCTATCGCCTTCTTTGCGCCACCAGAAGTGTGTCAAAGCATCAATGATCTCAGAAGTCACGAACGTCGTTGGCTTCCTATCGACTCTCATGACGTCGTTCGCTGGCTCTTGGAGCAGACCTGTCGTGGACTTGAAATTGTCCAGCCACTGTACCATTCTCAAGGCATGGACTTCTGCCGACGAATCCAAGCTTCTTATGAATTTTCTAGATATCTTGAGGATCCAAGTGATAGGGTAAGCTACCTGAACTGCCTGTGCCAAATCGAGCAGCAAACTCTGGAGCAGCTCTATCGCCCTGGTGCAAAGTTCAAATCAGCCTCCCTCTCGGTAAAGACTTTCCATCCGCAGCTCAAACGCTTTATGGATAGGCTGAACGAGGTTCGCAAGTCTTTCCAGGATACGGGAGATGCAGTACACAGTTCCGCACTCCAAGAAGTCGAACAAGAGCGTGAGGTCGCTCACGAAGTCGAAGCCGTCCGGGAAATTCAAAAGCCTGTGCACTACGATCCTTTAAAATATCCTGGACTTCACAGAGATCTGGCCAATTTCGCAAAGACAGGGAAGATGATGCCTAACTCGGATGCTTGGGAATTGGGTTTCGCTGCTTTACGAAAATTTGCAATTGGTAAGAGATATGGTATTTCTTGCGATGGAACTTCTGGGCGCCTTTACGTGTCTAAGGAGTTCATGAACACTGTCAATGTTCCTTTGGCCAAGAAGGCATACGAGAACTTTCAGCGTAATGTTAACTGGATCCTGTGGAGTCCTTCTGTGGAGTGTGCTATCTTGGTCAATCCAGAAGAAGCCGAGGAGCTACTGCTACTGCTCAAGACTATTCGTGCTCCAGCAGCTCATATCCTTACTTACGCAGCGCCTGTCAACCGAAAGATGTCGCACTTCAACTCCTTCGGCTTTTATACTGTACCATGCTTACCGCTCAAGTGGGAAGCACCATCTTGGTTCTCAATTGAAGTGGGACTATTTGCGGGCCGCCTGTATTTTTCATATGTTGAGTACGCCTCAATTCTTGCTTTCTTGGGTGTTCAGGAGAAGGGTAAGAGAATTGAGGAAGCCCACAGCGATGAGGATGATGTCGAGGTCAAGACCTTTGCCAAGAGACCGCTTTCTTTCCTGCAGGACTGGCTTGCACTAAAGCGTCGTGGTCAGGACTTCTCCGAGACCCCCATGGGCTATGTCGCTCAGGGCAAGCCTCTATTGGAGACTCATCACTTCTTCCGTCAGCAAGAAAATGGAAATGAAAATGAGCGAAATTCAGCTCCTGACACGAAGACAACATTTGTTGAGGTGGCAACCGTAGAACAGGCGAATGCGGAGGTCTACTTTGATGAAATGGAGCAAGAGCCTGTACATCCTGATGAACTAGATGTGGGCGATGTCGACGAGGCTGAGTGACTTGGAGGTCGACGATTTGAGGCATGGTTGGGGGCCTTGTGAGTTCCACTCAAGCTTTCCAGATGCTGCAATGAGGCAATGAATGTTGAGATAGAACGTATAAATGTAATATTCTTTGAATTTTATGGCTTGTGCATTGTGAAATGTGTTTTTATCATTAATGCTGCTTCACAATGGCCGCCGGGTTCACGTCACCCAAATATGATGGGAGGGGTATTGAAATAACGAATTGAGCAATCTCTACAGGAACTTCAACTAGAACTACAATTCTGTGCCTGCAAAGGGAGCGACTTGAAGCATTTCAGTGACGGGAGAAGAAGACGTTGTAGGATGGGGCATGCATCATGCATGAATCGAGCTGGATTTGCTCTGAGATGCACGGAGTTGTAATGTTTATAGAATGTTGCACTTGTAAATTTCCCAAAAAGCGTAGACCATCAATCTGAGCAAGGCTATCTCGTATGATAATGAAGTGAGGAGAGTGGCTGCTAGGTTTGAAAGTTTTGTTTACACAGTTTCTCAAAACAATGCCAATTGGTCTCTATTCGACTTTTAGACGTCAGCAAAGTCGTGTATCCAAGATACCAAGCCACAATTAACCGTGTCACATTCAACCTAAAGACGAGCAGCGTATAGGATCAGCCTGATTCTTGAGGATTTCGAATCAGGAAGGAACGCTAGCGTCAGGCCAGCCCACAAATTAAGCGAGGCTCATAGAAATCAACATAAATTCCTCAACCAAGCCTGGTTCTACATTCGTCAGCATCATCTTCAACACTCGAAGATGACTTCACCCACGTTACCTCCGCCGCTTCCAAACGGCACCAGCTCTAGTGATAATGCGATCACCAGCGACAATGAGATTACAGCGGCACAACTTGCCTCCCGGCTTGGAGAATGGCTGGAGGGGACGGAACTTGGACCGCGAGAGGAGAGCTCTCGTGTCCCCCAAGGTAAGACACACCTCATCAGTGATGATCACTGCGAGCTCAACCGGCAGTACCGCTAACACCTGACACAGATCAAAGCGACGCGACTTTCACGTCTGGAGAGCAGACCACAGCAAGACTCGATACATCGGAGCAACAGGGCCACGAGAATGACTCATCTTCTGATAATGGTGAATATGTTACTGCCCCGCAGAGTCCTAGAGATGACTTAGACATTGATGTGAATGATTACCGCCAAACTCTGGGAGACGCAGAGGATAGCGTTCTTGAGGCACGCAGAGGCAGCCTGCAGGCAGATACTGATGACAGTGTAGTCAATGCGAGGGTCAGAAGCCGATATGTTGAGGATAGCGTCGTCAATGCGAGAATCAGAGACCGCTATGTTGAGGATAGCGAGGTCAATGCTCCACAGCGACTTGGATTCGACCATACTCACTCTCGCAGAGGAGCTAGGGTGAGATCCGCGAATAATTTTGACGCCTACGGTGGGCGACCACAGAAAGGAGAATGCTTCATCTGCTACTCTCGAGCACATAATTCCCGCACATGCCCACAAAGTGCGAAGACTCGAGTTCCGGAGCTGCGAAATGCTGAGAGAGGTGAGTGTTTCATCTGTTACGAACAGCACATGTCCATTCACTGCCCCTACAACTGGATCAATAGACCAGGAGGAAGTGGTGATGGTGGCGATGGAGTAGGGGGCTTCGGCTCTCTACTTCTCAACTGAGCTCATGGGAGCAAAGTTGCTTCGGCTGCGCTCATGGGAGCAAAGCCTTCCTGCTAGGGCTCATGGGAACCCTTTATGACGGAGCTCATGGGAGCAAAGTTGCTTCGGCTGCGCTCATGGGAGCAAAGCCTTTTCTGCTAGGGTTCATGGGAACCCTTTATGACGGAGCTCATGGGAGCAATGTCTCTAAATAATAGGGCTCACGGGAGCTCTTCTTTTCATCGAGGTTCATGGGAGCTTCATTTAATTCTTTTTAAAGACATCATGGGATGTTTGAGCATGTTTCGAGTATATTTGTATCATGGCGAGATAGCGGAAGAGCGAATTCTAAAGCGTCTGAGACCTCAGTTCAATCGGCAGTGAAGTCTTGACTACCTAGATCCATAAACGTGACGGCATCAGTTTCTTTTGTACCTTTAATTCTGCTGCTATTCAAGTGATAGGAAGTGCGATGCGGATGTTTTGGTTTCTCAACAATCGGTGTCTAGGTAATTTAGCAGGGCGGTTGTCAATCTGCGAGACAGAGCGTCAAGCTCACCTCTGTCCGCCTGAACCAGTATCGCGTCAAGCCCCAAACAATCTGACGAGCAGAAAGTCCATTTGTATGTCAGCATGGAGCTGCACAGATATGGTCGCGGGCCTCCTTCCTCCGCTCCAAAGCGAGACATCTAGGCTCGCAATATCTGTTCAGGAGGGTCCCAATCGCTCTGAATCTCATAAATTACCCAAGTATCACAATGGCAATGTCCAGCCGCAAGTTTACGCCCAAATAAACCATCTGTCACACATCTGTCACACAAATAGATATCGAGGAACATTTCCATCATTTTCCTATTCCAGCGCGACCATCCCCAGGAGCCCAATAAAAATTCTTCGCAATAACTATTTTCCCCCATTCAGAATTCCAAGTCTGCAGCCTGCAGCACTTTCAAGCGAATATCAACTGCTGCGGCTGGATTTCCACATTATTCATCGACATGCATCACCGCTGCAGTAGCTCTCCTCGCTTGGCAAGGGGGCCAACCAGGTGTCGTGGGGTACAAAAAGAATACAACACAGGCTGTGCAGCTTATTTATAGGCGAAAGATAAGGTCTGCTGTCAGCCACGGTGCGGCCCGTCTGGGACAGGCGCGGGGGAGCGAGACATGACAGCCAATCTGACAAGCTTCCAGCAGAGGGCTTCTTTTTTCCTTTGCAGAAGCCATGTTCGCTGAGCGGGTATGCAGAGTCAGCGTGAGACAAGCTCAGCCTTAGAATGCTGTACAAGTTGTGCATGAGATATACTATTGTTGAAGTTTTATCGAATTGTGGTTGCTGACTGTGTTGTTTTGAGGTGACGATGGGGGCAGTTTCACGGCTCAGCTTTGGGGTCAGTCTCACTTCTGTGTCTCCTCATGAAACGATGAAGTATATATCTTGGTCTAGAATCCTGTCGAAACGGAAGATCAGACAACAATAGTTTCCTTATACATTCGCTCAATATCAATAATCGATAATCATAATCAACATGTCTGTCCACAATATCACTGTCCCGTATGTCGATGTCAAAGACTTCGACTGGGGTTTCAACCGAACGGGTCCTTTGCCATGGAATCAAACAGTCTGGTAAGTCTTCTACTCGAATCAAAAAGCCCAAACTGACACATTCAAGGGCTATTCTCGCTGTCTTTACAGCTGTCCCACTATGGATGACAGTCGAATTGACCATCTGGGTCTTCTACGTCTTCCGTCGCTGGTCAGGACTCTACTTCTGGAGCGTCTTGATCTGTACCTGGGGAGTAACTATCCACGCCATCGGCTTTATCCTCAAGTTCTGTGTTCCATCATGCAACTGGATCGTCAGCACAACACTCGCTGAAATCGGCTGGGTCTCAATGGTAACCGGCTTCTCAGTTGTCCTCTACTCACGCCTCCATCTCGTCGTCCGCTCTCAACGCATCCTGAAATTCGTACTCATCATGGTCATAACCGACGCTTTCCTTTTTCACGTCCCTACAATTGTCTTCCAATATGGTGTCTCCGCAAACAAGAAAACGCACCAGTACTACCTCCCGTTCATGGCACCCATGGAGCGTGTTCAAGTCCTCGGGTTCTCCATCCAAGAAGTTCTCATCTCTGGGATCTACATCTGGGCTACTCTTCGTATGCTGAAGGGCTCATTCAACAAGAAAATCCGTAACACGATTATGTTCCTCATCCTGATCCAAGTCGTCGTTATCCTGGCGGACGTCATTGTCATCACTCTCGACTACTGCGAATACTTCACCCTGAAAGCAGTCCTCCACTCCTTCGTCTATGCATTCAAACTCCAGCTCGAATTCGTCATCCTCAATCAATTCAAAGACGTCATCGCCAACGGTGGAATCGCTCCCCGCGGCCTCGAAGCCATGCAAGCCGAGCAGAACGACAATCTCTCACCAACGCCCCCAAACAAACCTGCTGCGTCGCAGAAGAAATGGGGGAGTTTCATTACCATTGGGAGAGTTGGGACGGTTGAGAGCGAGAGTAAGACGGAAGGGAGCGGATCGGTGACTGTGAAGGGTGCGCAGACGCCGCCGCAGCCGGAGATTCAGGGTATGGTGTTGGATCCGGATCAGATCTCGCCGTATGTGGCGGGGCATACGGATACGTTGGATATCGAGAGGCAGTATCTTGGGGCTTGGGATAGACCGGATGTTAAAGGTGCTGGGAACATGGTTTGAGGTTGCGGGAAGGATGGAGGAGACAAGGAGATTGTATTGTCGAGCGTGAGATCGAAGTGTGTAGTAGATAGAATCAGGGAGATGATCGTATAACCCGTACTTAATTATCATATTCGGACATTCTGCAGCAATTGACATCCTTGTTTGATTGGAGTCAAAACCAGAGACAGAAGAAATGATTTGTTTCCCTCCTTGTCGCCTATGTATTGCTCGGTCTATTGGAACTCAAGGGTCGAGAGCCAGTTTCTGGTCTTGTATTTCGGTAGACGTTCTGAGGAGTTCGGCGGCTGCTTTTTCAGAAGGTTTCTTGCAACGAGTAGCCCTAAATTGAACTTGGACAGTAAACCAGACGAGCGTCAAGACGAGGCGTTCAAAGTCACAGCGGGAATATGGGACAAGATAGAATGTTTGAACATCAATTCATATACCCATATGTAAAATTTAAATCCGACCAGCCAACTCCGTTCTGCCCATCAGACCTACCAACCCATTTTAGTGACCCGCAAATCATCAAATCTCTTGCGAGGGAACATCTATGCATAAAGCTTCTTCTCATAACTCTCCATGTTGACACCACCCTCCAATTGTGCACTGGCAGTTCTCAACTCAAATCTGGTAGTACCATTTGCAACACTCTCGTGTAGCTCGGCCAAACTCTTTCTTCCACAATCTTGAAGGGAGTGCTTCAATCCAGCGGCAAGGTAAGGAACGAACTTGGTAACTGATCCTCGGTGGGCAACAGCTCCAGAAACACCTTGAGCGACGAGAACGCTGTCACCCTCAGAGAAGTAACGAGCAGTTCCAGCATTACTCTTCTGGCTGTCCTTGGCACCAGCACCAGCCTTCTTATCTTGCATAGCATCGATACTGCCCATGCCACGATAAGCCTTGACAAGCTTACCTTCGCGGCTGACGAAGGAAGTTCCCGGGGATTCGGTGGTTCCGGCAAGAAGACCACCCATCATAATAGTGGTAGCTCCCAATGCCAATCCCTTGACAATGTGACCTACGTTTTGAATACCACCGTCGGCCATGCAGGGCACGCCAAACTTGGCAGCGAAAGAGCTGACATTGTAGACAGCAGCGGCTTGAGGACGACCAACAGCCATGACTTCTTGCGTAATGCAAGCACTGCCACTACCCATTCCAATTCGGAGACCATCAACGCCGGCTGCGATGAGAGAAGCAGCTTGCTCGCGGGTAACAACATTGCCTCCAATGACATCCAATCCCGGGTACTTCTCCTTGATGTACTTGATCATCTCGATCTGGTACATACTGTTTCCTTGACTGCTGTCCAAAATGACAATATCCAATCCAGCGTCGACCAGCTTCTGAAGACGGATCTTATCCTCTGGTCGGGTGCCGATGGCAGCAGCGCAGATAAGTTGCTTGGAATCTGGGAGCTTGGAGGCCAACGGGAAATGAAGGTTCTTGGTCAAATCGGATCGTGAGATCATGGAGACAAGGTTTCCTTGAGTATCAACAATTGGCAGCTTGCCTTTCTTGGACTTGGCAAGGATCTTGTTGGCTTCAAGAAGAGTGGTACCCGAGGCAGCGGTGACAAGATCGGTTACCATAACGGCTGATACAGGCTGGCTGTCCTCGTCCTCGAATTGGATATCTCTGTTCGTGACAATTCCAACGAGCTTGGATCCGAGTCTACCATTTTCTGTTTCCGGTTAGCCAATGCTTTCCCAAAAAGAACAGTAAATCATGAAGTTTGAAGTGACTTTGTCATAAAGAGCATAGTTTATTCCCCATGACCTTGCGGTCAATACGGATGAACGAAAGTTATATGTATATTTGAATAATCATGAAAGTCTGGAGTTGGGAGTGGGAGGGTTATTGTCTTACCAGTGACTGGGAATCCACCGAAACCCCACTTCTCCTTCAAGGCCTTGACCTCTCCAACAGTGGTGTTACGGCTGAGAACGACTGGATCGAGGATGAAGCCGTTCTCGAATCTCTTGACTTTCTGGACCATCTCTGCTTGCGCATCGGCAGAGCAGTTGTGGTGAATAACACCAAGACCTCCCTGCAGTGCCATATGTGTAGCCATCTCGTGTTCTGTGACAGTGTCCATAGGAGAGGAAACAAAGGGTGTCTTGAGGGAAATTCGCTTTGTGACAGGAGAATCGAGAACGACTTCGGAGGCAGCGAAGCCAATGTAACCTGGGAGGACAAGGAAGTCATTGTAAGTCAATCCACCATGCTTCTTGGAGTCAAGCAAGGACTCGATATCCAGACCATCGCGCTCCTCATATTCCTTGAGGACCTCGAGGGCCTTGGTGTGATCGAGGATCTCGCTAGCGGGGCCAAAGTGCGACTTTACGCCGTTTGTTTGAGGCATTTTGACAGGAGAAAGGTAGTGATTAAGAGAGCAGCGGAATGAAACAAGTAGGAGAGTCGACGCGTATTGAGCAAGGTGGAAATGTATAGTCGACGGGTTGAAGTTGCCTTCTCCCAAATAAGAAGAAAAGAGGAAGAACGGATTCGCGAAAATTGATTTTTGACAGTGGGGATTGTCGCGCTAGGGATCAACGTTCTTCCAGCCGAAAGCTTTTCTTCATCATTAGCGCCAGGTCTCAGTCAGTGAGGCATTCTGATGCAACCGTGACATGACTATCTCTCAAGGAGTGGTAAATGGAACGAATCAACGTGAAATGCCCCTGGTTTGTAGTGGTTGGTATCGAAAGTTTCGATTTTGTCGTTCATGGTCTAGCAAGGAATCGTTTCTGCACGAATGTTCACTTACAACTGTTACTCCCAAGCGCACCTGGAACCTCTTGTCCCTCAAGGTATAATTTACTGAACAAACTTGAATGCATATTCTCCTAGTGCAATATGGTGTAGGTAGAAGCTTATCGACTAACGCGATGCCGGTTGTTAAGCAGTCTGTTCAAAGTACTCGAAATATGTATAGTGATTCGCTTTCTTTGCCCAAGCCAAGTATGTTCATCCTTTCATAAACCTTCACTTGGAGTTTCTACTTACTGATCTACTTCATGACAGTCAAAATAATGTGTAATTTCCACCAAAGTTCTCAGTTTGTTGACCTTTCAATTCGAATTTCATTTTAGCTGTAGTCGAGAAGTGCTTCTGGAACGCCTCACAACATCGCAGTCTCCTATAGCTCCAGGTCAAGGAATATTGTAAAAGAAAGTGAATTTGTTGTTCAGAGCCACAGTCCGACTTCACATGAGTCTACGACGCATTCTTCTGTCTTCTAGGAGTGGATTGTGGATTCAAACAAACTTTCATCAGGGTGATCCTTGCATAAAGTGCACTAAAGACGGCCGCATGCATGCATAAATCCGGGTGAAAAGCGGGGCTGGGACTTGCAGATGAGGCTGGGACCTTGGGGATGTTGGATGAAAACAATGACACCAAAACAACCACAATTAGTAAAGACATGTAACAAAAGTCGAGAAACAAGAAGAAGTTTAATACTCGTAATACGACCATTTTCGTTGTATTCGTAATGTTGAGTGACTCTGTGCTGTGGACACTCTCCAATACTTGGATGTTCCTTCCACGCGCTACCCGTGCAACGCCATTTTTTTGTTGACTTTCGGGAAAGATAAACAAAACCCATCCTTGCCCAACACCCCTCCCTTCTTGTCCCACCACCACCACTCACACCCACACTCGCACTTCTCTTCCGACCTCTCTAAGCATAATAATAAGCGTAGCTGAATTCGCATTCCTCAATCTCTATCAACCCTCATCCTGTCTCAGCATCCGTTTGTTCCTGCGCTGTGCGCCTTATTTGAGTCCGCTATCGATATCGAGGATCTTCCCGAACTATTCTCCGCGTCATTTCTCTCGCATCGAAGATTTTCGAACCCAAAGAACATCTGACCGGCCTGCCAGGCGGCCTCGACCATATGTACACGACATAGGCGCCGTTCTAACTTGACATCCGGCGAAGACATCATCAAGAACCACATCCAAACGCCGTGATGTCGTACCGTCATCCTCTTCGACAAACACAGACGGCCGATTACTTCTCCTCTACAAAGCGCCAGCCTTCCAACGCTTCCACTTCATCGTCAGCGTACTCCAACTCCTCTGGGGCTTACGACCTGAGCAGGACAAGTACATTGTCTTCAGCGGCATCGAGCGGATATACAACTCACAAACGGGGCGTGAGCGAGGCAACAGGTATGGCTCCGTCTGCCATTGACAGCAGGATGTCTCGTAGCATCGAATCGAGTCCGGATAGCGCATATAAGAGTGTCCGACAGTCTCTGCGACCGCTCCCTCAACCGCCAGCGCCGACCCCTCCATCCCACGTCCGGAGTGGACTTCATACGCGGACACAGAGCGTTGATGTGTTGAAGTCCTCATTCGGAGAGCAGACGCCAACTCCGCCCTCACGTCCCTCTGCGATCCGGCCCAATTCAATGATTCTCAGTCGCGCCGACTCTGTGAATCGTCGTCCCGCGAGCATTCGCAGCAATACACTGCAGCATCAACATAGCCCCTTGTCTGCCCCTGATTTGCAGCAACTCCAGCGGTCTTCCACGAGCCAATTGCGAACACTCTCGAAGTTCGCCGAAGACGCCAATCCAGATGAGTTTACAATCACGAATCCTGCGCAGGAAGTCGTTGGTTTACATGGGCGCCGACGATTACAACGCCATGACGCGAAAGGGTCGAATAACAAATTAGCACTTAGCAAGGGCAATGCTTATGGATGGGAAGGACGGAATTGGATGGACAAGCAGAGGCAGTTTTTGCAAGCATACGAATACCTCTGTCATATTGGAGAGGCCAAGGAATGGATCGAGGATATTTTGCAGCGGCCAATCCCTCCGATTGTTCAGCTCGAGGAAGCTCTACGAGATGGTGTTACCCTTGCGGAAATTGTGGAGGCATTATACCCCGACAGGAAAATACGCATCTTTCGACATCCAAAGCTTCAATTCCGGCACTCTGACAATATCGCTACCTTCTTTAGGTTTCTTGCAGAAGTAGAATTACCCGACTTGTTCCGATTCGAGTTGATCGACCTCTACGAGAAGAAGAACATCCCCAAAGTCATCTATTGTATCCATGCGCTGAGTTGGCTATTGTTTAGGAAAGGGATTGTGGACTTTCGCATTGGAAATCTCGTTGGACAACTGGAATTTGAGCATCATGAATTGGAGGAGATGCAGAAAGGGCTGGATAAAGCTGGTGTCAGCATGCCCAGTTTTGGGAACATGGGAGCCGACTTTGGAGTACCTGAACCTGAGCCCGAACCAGAACCAGTAGAGAGCGAGGAGGACCGGATAGATCGAGAATTAGGCGAGAATGAGGAGGCTATTCTGGATTTACAAGCACAGATTCGTGGAGCGGCTGTACGGATGCGCCTTGGCGACACTATGCAACGACTCTGGGACTCGGAAGAGATGCTGATCGAACTGCAATCGATTATCCGAGGCGACTTTGCTCGACAGATCGCTGAATACCGTCTCAATATGCGTAAATTCGCTGTCGATCTTCAAAGCCATGCCCGCGGTTTCATCGTTCGTCAACGTCAATCCAACCAAGAGTCGTTCTGGAAAAGCCGAGAAGCAGATGTACTAAAGTTGCAGAATCTGATCAGGGCCAAGAAGGCTCGAGATGAGGTACGCATGCTGAAATCTGAGTTGAAAAGGGAGGATGTTATTGTCAGGGAATTGCAAGCTGGTATCCGAGGGTTTCTTGTTCGAAAATCTATGGCGGCGCAAGAGAAGGAGACAAAATCTATGGTTGGACCTGTGAATGACTTGCAGGCTGCTATTCGTGGAATGTTGTTGAGAAATCATGTTGCTGATGACCACGAATCTCTTTGGCGCGAAGAAAGCTCAATCAGTGCGATTCAGGCTTTCGCAAGAGCCATGCTGACAAGAAATCAGGTTTCTCGCCAGAGAGAAGCACTTCAAGCATCAACACCAATCTGGAGAGCTCTACAAGCATGCGCCAGAGGACAATTACTACGCAAGCAGGTGGCTTCGACGAAACAAGAGCTCAAGTCCCACTCGCCTCAAATCGCCACCATTCAAGCGTTTGCGAGAGCTGCTGCTGCTCGACGGGAATACAGCGCGACTCTTTCCGCGTTGCAGAATCAAGAATCTTCCATTCTCGATGTACAGACACTTATCCGAGGAATGCTGCTTCGAATGACGGTTGCTGCTGATTATGAAGCGTTGTCCGCACAAACTCCAAAGATCACCCAACTTCAGGCTTTGGCTCGTGGGTGTCTACAGAGACAAAAAATCGGTACTCTGCTGGACAACCTTCAGGCTCATACTGCAGAGATCACCCAACTCCAGGCACTATCCCGCGCGGTCCTACTCCGAAACGATATCGGTATGCTCTTGGCCGAATTGGACAACGAGGAAGAATCGATCATCGCTATCCAAGCTGCTGCGAAAGCTTCTCTAGTTCGTGCCAAGTTCAGAGAGAAGCAGCGTTTCTTCAAGGAGAACATGGAGAAGGTTGTCAAGATTCAGAGCTTCGTTCGAGGTCGTCTCCAAGGAGAAGCCTACAAGAGTCTCACCACCGGAAAGAATCCTCCTGTCAATACCGTCAAGAACTTTGTTCATCTCCTCAACGACAGCGATTTTGACTTTAACGAGGAAATCGAATTCGAGCGTATGCGAAAGACTGTTGTCCAGCAAGTACGACAAAACGAGATGGCTGAACAGTACATTGATCAACTGGATATCAAGATTGCCCTTTTGGTAAAGAACAAGATCACTTTGGATGAGGTCGTCAAGCATCAGAAGAATTTTGGTGGTCACTCAGGAAATCTCTTGGTCAACACATCTATGGTCTCTGGCAATCAATTCGACTTGAAGGCCTTGAATAAGAACTCAAGAAAGAAGCTTGAGTCCTACCAGCAGCTCTTCTTCACGCTCCAAACCCAACCTCAGTACCTCGCCCGACTGTTCAAGCGTATTAGGGAGCAAGGCACGGCAGAGCGAGATGCAAAGCGCATTGAGACACTTATGATGGGTCTCTTTGGATATGCCCAGAAGCGCAGAGAAGAGTATTACCTGCTCAAACTAATCGCCCGCTCGGTCAAGGAAGAGGTGGATGGAGTCCATTCAATCCAGGAGTATCTGAGAGGCAATTTCTTCTGGTGCAAACTTCTCGCCAACTATACCCGTTCGCCACGAGACAGAAAATACCTCCGAGAACTTCTTGGTCCCTTGATCCACGCCAACGTCATCGAAGATCCTGCGCTTGACCTTGAGAGCGACCCCATGCAAATATATCGCTCGGCAATCAACAATGAAGAGCTTCGCACAGGACGACCTAGTCAGCGACCGCTCGATATCCCTCGAGAAATTGCGATCAAGGATCCCGAGACTCGTGACATGTTTATTGACCACCTCCGTGATCTTCGGGAGATCTCTGACCAATTCCTCCTCGCCCTGGAAGCTCTACTCCACAAAATGCCATACGGAGTCCGTTTTATCTGCCAGCAAAGCTTCGAGTTCCTTTGTGAACATTTCCCACGTGAGCCCCAAAAACACCTCCTCCATATTGTGGGCCACTGGCTTTGGAGATTCTACCTCCAACCAGCTTTGACAGCACCCGAATCGATGGGTGTGGTAGAAAAGCAACTTACGCCGCTCCAGAAGCGGAACCTGGGCGAGGTCGCAAAAGTCCTTGGCCAGGTGGCATCTGGTAGACTGTTTGGCGGCGAAAACATCTACCTCCAACCTTTGAATGCCTACGTCGGAGATGCCATTGAGCGAATCACGGACATTTACTCGAACATCATCTCGGTCCCAGATGCCGAGGATACCTTTGACATTGACGAGTTCAATGACCTGTACGCACGAACGAAGCCCACGCTGTACATCAAGATGGCAGATATTTTTTCAATACATCATCTTGTCGCTGCCGACCTTCCTCATATCTGCCCTAATCGCGACGACATGTTACGAGAGATCATCCAGGAACTGGGAAGTGCCAAAAACAACGAGACAGAGATGTTGGGCGTGACTTCAACAGAAATCCAAATGAACCTGAACCCCAAACTCCACGATATCGAGGATCCCGAAGCGGACGTCAAGGCTCTCTTCATGGAGACGAAGCGATGCGTACTGTATATCATCCGGGTCCAGTCAGGGCCCAACCTAATGGAGATTCTTGTCCGGCCAATCAGCCGCGAGGATGATATGAAATGGCACTCTCTGCTCCGCGAAGAATTTGCCGAGGGTAGCAAGACAAGAGGAGCATACTCTGACGCCAACACCCTTGTCGATATCAAATCCATGTCCTACAAGGAGCTAAAACGGACAGCACTTGAGAACATCATGAGGCTTGAACAATGGGGTAGAATCTCGCGACAAAACTATTATCAAGACATCTTGAACGCCATCGCACTTGATATCCGAACAAAGAGCAGAAGAAGGGTACAAAGACAACGCGAACTTGAAGGCGTCCGACTTACATTGGCCAACTTGAACGAGAAGGCCGAATGGCTTGAATCCCAAAGGAAAAGTTACGACAATTATATCGAGCAAGCCATGATGACATTGCAAAAGAAAGGGTATGTTTAATATTCCTCTCTTTCAACCTATTACTAACAATTTCGCAGCAAAAAGAGATTCCTTATGCCCTTCTCAAAGCAATACAACCACGAACGAGAACTCGAACGATCTGGTCGCAAACCCAAATTTGGATCCTTCAAGTACTCTGCAAGGACCCTGTCCGACAAGGGTGTGCTTGTCTCATGGAAAGGATACGATAATCGTGAATGGGACAAGATCAATCTTACCATATCCTGTGATGAAGTCGGCGTCTTCTTCATTGAAGGAAGCAAAGGCAGCATTCAAATTCCAGGAGCCAGCGCCCAAGTACCTATGGACTCGCTCCTGGCTGCTCAATTCGCCAATCACCAATACATGGATCTGTTCGAGGGTTGTATGAGGCTTAATGTTAATTTATTCTTGCACTTGTTGTACAAGAAATTCTACCGGACGGATGGATAGTGATGGATAAAAGGCTTGGTTCTGTTTTGTGGCTTCTCAATGCTTCGAATGTCGGCATGGTTATGGCGTTGGTTCATGTAGGGAGATGGATCAGAAGGGTTTGAGGAAATGGTGTTGAATGTAAATATGTTTCATTCAGGGATGGAGCCGTGGAGTGGATATTGCTAGAAATATCGTGATGAATGGAATGCCTTTACTACTCTAACATGCGTCCTGTGCAAGACCACTGGGAAATCGGATTGGAAATTGAGGCGACAAGTGCCTTCCCTCTTTGAATGTGGGCAGGAACGATAGTCAAATGCTACTTCCTGCACTTGTCCATGGGTCCTCCATCGTCACCCGCAGCCATCTTTCTCGCAACCATCACTGCTTCAAGCACATTTCAAACATCAAGATCCATCAAGCATCACGATCAATTCGAATCAGCATCACCCACAAACAACAATAAGCATAAGAGTACGCACCTACAGCCACAATGCGCCGACATGATCCCCTTGTTCATCTTCTCCTCGCTATCTTTCATCCCCCCCGGGCTTCATGTCTCATGCTTCCAACTCCTCCTTTTATCGAGGTTCGCAATCCAACATTTCCTGAGCCAACTGCTCCGCCATCACAACAACTTGCCTCGAACCCATCATGCTCTCTCCTCTCCCAAGCTCTATCCATCTGCGCCGTTCTCACACCTGGCTTCGTTACACTCCTTCCACCTCAACAAGCACATTGTCTCTGCTACTCCAGTACAGTATGGGCGCCGAACGTCTTCGATGACGCAGTGAAGACATGCGCCGACTTTGCGAGCACTGCTGCTTCAGGAGCATTCCCTCCGCTGTTAAATCTCGAGGGTTTCTGTCTCAGTGTAGGAGATGTGGATAAAGATGCGCCGGCAAGTGTACAAGCCACGCCTACTGGTCGCATACCGGGTGCTGGAATGGGAGGTACACATGGCAACACGAATGAAGTCACGCCTGGATCGAACTATGTGCCGCCGATGCCGACTTATGGAACTGGCAATGGAAGTGGAGCCAATGGAGAACAAGGCGGTTCTGGGAATGGAGCCGATGGCTCAGATGGGTCTAGCAATAATGGTGGTGGTGGAGTAGATGGTAATGGAGGTTCTGGCTCTGGCTCTGGGGGACAAGGCGCAACTTCATCGCCAACAGGCTCGCCAGCTCCAACGCCAACAATCAGCTCTGGATCCAATGGGCTTGGCACGCTCACACCTACAACAAGCATATCAGGTGTGACAATCACGGTCGTTGGTGGAGGAGTAGGAGCTACCAAAACAGCAGACGGATCAGTGAGGAATCGAGGAGAGGTTACTGATATGGAGGTTGTGTTGGTCAGTTTGGCGATTTCGGCGCTGATTCTTTTTTTATGATTGCTGCCCTGCTGGGTGGGGCGATTATGCAATTCCTTAGGTCATAGGAATCATACTGGTGAGAAGAAGGGGTGAAGAGGGAAGAGTATTTTAGTTTATACTTAGTTTTGGAATGGTTTCAGCACCAATTATGCTGTTTAGCTAGACGGTTAGTGAGGATTGGAATAGTACTTGTTACCTCTCACTACGTATCTCCAGCCTTACCGTGAGTCTCCACGAGCTTCAATGTAAGCCCAAGATCCCCTAGGACTTCAGCAGTAGAGGACGGCTAAATTTAAACGCGAGAGAAACAAAGATGGGACACATGGCGGTCATAACGGGCCCCGAAGATATTCCGATAAGCGAAGCTAAATTCGGGCAAACCAAAACAAGCAAAATGAAAATGTCCCCGACCCAGTCCTATCAATTGAAGTTTTGAAAACGAAACAGTTATGAGACTTCTGGGAGACATCAGCAACGATGTTGTAAGACTTGGGGGAGATGAGTAGATCTTGGTTGAGTGTACTGTGAAGAGAAACCAATTGAATAATCTCCAAATCAAAAACATTTGGTGGTGACATAACCTCCGAGGGAACAAGAATTCAAAAACCGTTTGTATATTATACGAGATCTATTCATCTAAACAGTGAACACTATTCTCTTTTCAAAATCTAGAAGAAGAAAAAATGCTAGAGTCGGCGTGGATCTTCATCTCTTGCACCTAGCGCCTGCTACCCCAAAAGCAAATCTGGTCGAGCAAAGCACGTTATTGAAAGAAATACGAGCCAACGTAGCACAGAGATACAATTAGAAGATATACAGGTTCCGTAACTGCTGAAGTTTTAAAGCTCTGTTGCATCTTGGTTGAATACGTAAGCCGTTGTCCTGCCAACCACTTCACAAAAGCATGTTAAAATACACTGCAAAACACAGCCTACCGTGAGTTTGCCACTGCACCTCAACCTGAAAATTGGGTTCTCACCACAACTCTTGTCTCAAAGAGATACAGAACGCAGTTTTGCAGTAATGATACTTCGTATTATTTGAGTCTCTTCGATGACTTCCCTATTGCGGCTAGGCCAGATACTGAAAGGAAGAGTGAGCTCCTACACAATCACTAAACGAATCCAAGACTCGGTCTGGCTTGCAAGGTAAGTTCGCAGCCTATTACGCAGGTCATAATTAAGCTTAAGTTCCAGCAATCTGGCTGAGGAGAAAGTCATCATCAAAAGCGTTCGCCATTGGTGCCTCCAAAATGAGTGCGATATTCTCCATCGTTTCCAAGCCCGGGCACCCTCGATGCGTCCGATCGTGGATGAGATAGTAGACCCATCTGATCCGCCGGCAATTGTGCTGAAACATCTCGATGATGACGTTTTACATGCGTCATCAACCCGAAGGTTTACAACGGCCGAAATCAAATACATCGCAAAGACGGTACTTCAAGCACTTGAGGTTCTACACGAGGATGGTTTCGTTCATACAGGTAATGAAGTTCTTTCAAAATAAGAGACTGTGTCAAATGCTGATCATCTCAGATATCAAACCCAACAACGTTCTGGTTAACTACAGCAATCAAAGCCAGCGAATTTCTGATACATGCTTGGCAGACTTCGGAAGCACTGTACGCGAAGATTCAGAGTACGCCAGAGAGGGCTTTCCAATCGGAACGCCTATCTTTCGTAGTCCGGAGGCAGCTTTACGACTGAAATGGGACCGCGCAACAGATATCTGGTCATTCGGGACGACGGTAAGTTCCACGACGGCCACCATAACCGCTTGGCTGACCGTACTCTGTACAGCTCATAAGTATGATATGGGGCCTTAACTGGCATATCTTTAAACCGGATGTGCCAACAGATCATGAGCACTATGAATTGAAGATCTTGATGAAGCATTGCCAATTCTTCGGACCGTACCCGTCATCGTACCAAAAGATGACCGATGAGGATACGCAGAAGATTCTTGCATTTGTTATGGAGGCAGTGAAGGACGTGGGAAAGCCATTTCATCTAATCAGGGAATCAGAGATATCAAAAGAGGATAAGGCGTTCGTACTCAAGATTATGCAGCTTGATCCAAGAGATAGACCGTCAGCGAAACAACTCTTAGACGATGAATGGTTCGCAGACGTGGAGAAGCCGACTTGAAGGGCACCAGTGTAAATACCCTGACTTGTAGCAACATTTAGGAGATATGTTCTAGGAAAAAGACATGTAATACAATATTCTGAACATCAAAATATCCCATCAGTTCCGTCCCTGAGTTCGTCTCGCAACCTTCAATTGTCTTCTAGCAGCATACACGGCTCCTCTTCCTCTCTGACCTCCTCCACCTCCATCGCCATTCTCCACACCTCGTGCTCCACCACCAGCTGGCTCCGAATTTGGATTCTGTCTTGGTTCCCGCTCGATGATACCTCTACCTCTCGTGGGTCGATTGTTGTAAGCCTGTCCCATATGACGATACTGTGACGGTCCACCACTGACACCCTTTCCAGCCATACCACGAATTGAGAACTGGCTGCGAGATCCAGAAGCAGGGGAGGAGCCTTGGTGCTGGTGAGATAGCTGTGCGCGCGTTCCTGAACCTGGAACTGGAGCTGGGTGGATTCGGAATCCACCGGTATTGATATTTGGAGTCTGAAGAGGACCGGGGATGTAGACTGGTGGAAATGGGTTTGGAACCGGAGTGCTGTTCATAGCTCGAGGACCGGTGGGAGCAGGTGCTGGATTGGAGGTGGAAATGATGGTTGGAGTTGCGATTGATGGGAAAGGGAATGGGAAAGGCTCATTGCCAACTGAATATATTGTCAGCATCCTACTGGGAGACAAAACACAACCGTGGCCGACGCGCCAAGTTGAGGTGAAGGCTCCGAAGAAAGTAAACAAACGGCGAATGACATACAATACTTCGACCAGATATAAAACTCGACATGCCAAATCTTCTCCAGCTCACTATACGCTCCGTACGCGCCGTGAACTCTGATTTGACTGTTGATAAGCGCAAAGTCGAGATCGAAGTTTTGGCTGGAGATGCCCCAACTGCGTGCCTTTTGCTTGATGTTTGTGATGCATGAGGCGTAGAGAGGGGTGGTAGGGACCGATTTTGGGGTTGTATACTGTAGAGACATGGTTGCTACGTTATGTCGGAATCGTTGTGGAAGTGGGGGTGCTGAGGCAGATCGAGAATTGTTTGGAGTGTCGCCGGACGATGTGGTGATGGAGTCACTTTTGACGAGCCTGGATGACTTCACCTTGGGGTTGGTCCCGTGACCGCTGGTTGACAGAGGGCTTTCTCCAGGACTCAGGATGACGACAAGGGAGCTCCTGGACGCAAGAGAAGACGGAACTAACAGTAGACTGTACCATTGCAAGATCTATATGCAGTAGCAGTGAATTATACCATGCACCATGCGTGATTGAAGCCAAAAGTGTTGGCTTCTCTTGCGATCGTATCACCCTGGAAAGATCAGGAGAGTCCTATTATGATTTATTGGCACCAACCATCGAGGATAGAGCTCATCATGTGTTGACATAAACCTATATGCCTCGAACAAACGGAGAGCACAGGAGGAAGAGACATCCAGTAAGTGTGTATTGAATGTTGTGTATTTGATACCAGCCCGTTTGACCCCCATCTATATACACCAAAGAGTCCTCTCGCACTCCAGGTGACTGTCTGGTGCTTGGTTTTAAGAGACAAGGTCATAATCTTTCATATTGTTTCCGGATCGCTACAATTTCGCGTACTGTATCCAATGAATCACCCCCAGAATTTCTCTTAGACCAACACAAACAGTATTCGAGAATTTATCTCGAGGCGCAGCACGAGTGACATTACGCTAAATTTCTCCAGGTCTTCAGAATCGCACTTTAGAAAGCTGGTTTTGGGGAGTTACTTCCCATTGCCCAATGCGATGGTCTTGGCGGCGTAATATTTGGATGTATCACTGGACGTCCTCTATTTCCAATTTGATGAGCTGACCATTCTTAGGACCGGAATCGTCAAGAACACCTAAGCTAGCTTGAGTCTTTCCAAGTCCATCAGCAGAACTCGCACAATCTTGTTCGTTAGCATCATCCTTGGATGAATTGCCCTGGTTTGGTGAAGCAGAAGCAGTTTTGGCTTCTCGAGGAACTGGTTGAACAGTATTACCGTGAATTGAGATATCTTTCAGAGAAATCTGTGGAGTACCATCCTCTGTCTTGATACTCGTAACGGGTTTGGGGAGGATGGGCTGCTTTGGACTCGCTCCCCATCTGCTTCCTTCTGACCAGGGGCGAACACTTTCATCCATAGAATGGCCATCTTTCTTTTCCTTTTTGATTGTTGGTTTCCCAAATCCCGGTTTCTCCGCCATCGGCGAGAGCTGAAATGAGTCTGGTGGGCAAGAATATTGGAATTTGATACCGCCTACTGTTTGGGGTAAGACTGAAGACCAATGCCATTAGTTTTGTGACAAGCAAAAAACACCGAGTGAACTCACTAAACCTGTCATATAATGCAGCATCAATATACCACAGCTTTTGTGCTTCCGTGAAGCCCGGAAAGAACCCGTCTTGGCTCATCAGGTCCATAAGTTCGTTCCGCATAAGATCGAATCTAAATAGCTCGTGAAGCTTTCTATCCTTGCCCTCGAGAGTTTGGCAAGATATTCTTTCAATTCTTTCTCGCATTTTCTCACTATAAGGCCTGCGCCACGTCTTGCTTGGCCTTGGTGTAGGAGGTGCTGTAGGATTCGTAGCTAGTAGGCCGTTGCTCGAAGTAGCCATGATAATTGAAAGGTGATGCGGGGCGGAAGAATAAGTGTATCCAGGAGTTCAGTGACGTACAATATAAACGCTGTAGTTGAAGCTTGGATAGAGTTGTGGATGTTTGCGATCTATTGACAGTGAGTTTGTACCGAAACAGGCATATGATGTTCACCAGGGCCGCCTCAGTCGTAACTTCCTCGAGTGAAAAATGCTTGCAGAGTCTGGCCTCAACATATGCATCACTACCAGTTTGAGATCACAATATCATTTCATAACACACCGTGTAATAATTAGTTGTGATGAACTAGTCTCTACTTGTATTGGTCTGTTGATAACAAATTTAAGGACATCTCGCATCAAGTACTGTTAAACTTCCATCAAAGAAAGTGTTGTTATACATTATTGAAAATAAGCTGGAGATGAAACAGAAAATTACCCTTTTCTGTCTATTTATAAGAATTATCAGATGGGAATGAATGTTCTGAATCCATGGCAAGACAAGCTGCAGAGCGAATGAGAAAGCCGACTGGGGTACCATCGTTCATAGAATCATATGATATTTTCTTTCGTAACAGCAAGCTTAAACACGTCTTAGAAAAAGTTCGCTTTCCTACACTTGCGAGCTCTTTCATTTGACTCATTACTCAGACATTGTATAACCACTGTCGCCCACCTCGCCACAACATGACTCACAAGCACCGCCTCCCTTTGTCCGACAACCCCCCTGCCCTCTCCAAAAGAGAACATCATATATCGAATTAATCAAATATCGTCAACAACAGCAAATACAAAGCTGTGATATGCCCTTCCAAGGAAATTCAATAAGCAATTTAGCACAGAGGAAGTCGTGCAGGGCTCATAACCCTGAGGTCCCTGGATCAAAACCAGGAATTGCTAGCATGAATCTCTTGGATGAGAATGTCTCTTTTCTTGCGTTTTGTGGTAATAGGTTGCAGAGAGAGAATGTGACGAAGGGGGAAGCTAGTGAGGCAGTGAGTGATATAGCTTTTGGTAAAATGTTTGTGTCGTTGTGGATTTCTTTTCATGTAGTGATGTTACCTTTCTTTTTTTGCTGCGAGCGGGCAATTATCGGGTCGGAATCCCCAACAAGTCACCAAGTCCTGGTTCTTTATGCTAAGCAATGGTTCAAAAGAAAACAAAGAAATTGTAAGACCATATCAATGTAAAAGACTTGTGAGGACGAAATGCAATGATGTATTTCTTCTATAAACTGTCCCTTCTTGGACGTGTGAGCCCTACATATTGAGAAAATCCTTCACTTCTTTTAAGATCCATCTCCAATACAGAAAATTATCTCGGCTCTACTATCTCCATCCTCGCCTCTCTCAATCTCATCGTCTTCTTCATCTTCGATTCTTAAAGCCTGGCATCAGTTTGGCTGCTCGCTTAAGCACCGTTTCCGTTGTAGGCGATCAAGTTGGGAGATCCGCTGCCTGGGCTGATGACCTTTCCAGTCGTGCCAAGAGCCTTGATACGGGACTGAACAGCAGCTGGGGTAGAGAGACCCTCAAGCGCGATCAAGTAAGCAGCGAGACCAGCAACGTGTGGGCAAGCCATGGAAGTTCCACTGATGGAGTTGGTAGCAGAGTTGGATCCGATCCATGCAGAGACAACGTTGACACCTGGGGCGAAGATATCGACGACAGATCCGAAGTTGGAGAAGGAAGCACGGTTGTCGTTGATGTCAATGGCACCAACGGTGATGGCTAGTGCCTCTGAAGCAGGCGAGTAGTTGGCGGCGTTGGCGTTGTTGTTACCGGCTGCGACAACGACGGTGACGCCCTTGGCGATGGTGTTGCGGACGGCGGTGTTCAATGCTGATGAAGCGGTTCCTCCGAGGGACATTGAGAGGACGGACTTGGCTGGGGCGTTGTTGCCGACCCATTGGATACCTGAGATGACACCGGAAGTGGTTCCACCTCCCGTAGCATCCAAGACCTTGACAGCGACGAGCTTAGCGGCTTTGGCAACACCGTAAGTTGAGCCTCCGATAGTTCCGGCGCAGTGAGTACCGTGTCCGTTGCCATCAGTGTTCTACAATTGTCAGCGAATCGCATTTTCAAGCGAGCGAGTGGCTTACCGAGCTGTCAACAAAGTTTGCTCCCCAAGTAGCACGGCCACCGAATTGAGTGTGCGAGATCAGGATACCAGTGTCAACAACGAAAACAGTGGTGCCAGAGCCGGCAGATGTATCGTAGATGTAAGTGGTAGAATCCTGGTTTCGGTGGGAAATGCGGCCGAGGCCCCATGTGGCGCCGGTTTGGGAAGTGAGAGCAGAGGCGTAAACCTTCTGGTCTTTCTCAATGTAGGCGACCTGGGAGTGTCAGTTGAGCGTCTAGTATCAGGATGAAAAACTTACATCTGGAGATGCAGCAATCTCACCAAGGGTAGCAGCATCGGCGGTGATCTGGTATCCCTTAAAGCTGCCAATGTCATAGGTAGCTCCGATTCCACCAACATCACGCTTGGAAATCAAGGAGTTGACTTCCTCAATGTGGCTTGCAAGGACCTCGGCAGTGACATCCTTCTGGTAGACAACAATGTAGGAGTCCTTGACAACATCACGAGCATCAAGGTTGCGGATCTTGAGGTTGGCTGGAGCAGGAGCAGCAAAGACAGCTGGTGCCACGAGAGCAGCCAAAGCCGCGAGGCGACCAAGATATGAGACCATGATGGGCTAAAGATGTACCGTTGAGACAGAAGCGAGAGGAGTCTGATCGAATGAAGCTGAAGAGATTGAGCTGAGGGATGAAGAACTGAAACTTACGGGATATCATCTTGTATTTATACTTGTTGAAGCTATTCAATATGGCAGGTAGGCATTGTAGTATCACGTCTTTCAAAATCAAGAGAGCCGACCGAGGGCCAAGAGCTCTGCAATCTGTAACACTTACCAATCTGAACCCTTAATCCCGTTGAAGCATTGAACACCTTCTCGAATAGTCCTTCCCGTCGATGATCTCGAGATGAGCGATTGTTGAAGAGGAAGCTCTAGAGCGCCACAAGCACTGGCAGTGGGGGGGGCGCTCGCCGTTACCTTGGCCCGTCGGACAACTCAGGGGCTAGAGTTGCTACTCGCTTGTGATAGGAGTGTTGATGGAGATGGGGGCTCGCGAGAGGTTGCCCCAAGCCGCAAGGTCCGGACGAAGAACGGCACCAGGGAGCTAGATCAAGCCTGCCGATCGCCAACGTACCTAAATGCCGAGCCAACAGAAACATCAGATAACCTTTAAGCTTCAATGTGCCTGGTCACTGCACGCCATTGCTAGTGTGGTGGTTGCGATCAAAACAGGAAAGTGACAAGACATTGATATATGGGAAGATATCTGGTTGGCGAGTTGTTTGGATTGACAAGGCCTCAATCGACTCAAACAACCTTGACGGCATTGCACCTGCTCCCCCATTGCACATCGATAAGGATGCAGAGAACTTCCTGGGATACAATCTCGCCATCGATTTGATTCAACATCAACCTTCCCGAACAAGATCTCTCCGAAGACAGCTCAGCTTGCAATATTCAGGTTCTGGTTGACGTGCAAGCTTGGCAAAACGACGCCAGAGGCTCAAATTTCGGAACAGCTCTGTAAATTGCCGGGCGCCGATGTGCAATTGTGGATTATGGATGCGCGGATGCTCATCCGATGTTGTTGTTGTCCTCGGCTTCTGAGCTCTGATTGCACTATTGTACGTCCACCCCCGCTGCTTGTGTTACGGAGCTTTGATAGTCGCTTGCATTATCGCGGGTTTTGCTTATCATCGCGTCTGCTTGGCATCTGCAAGGCGAGCCATGTATTCGCCAGGGCTTCGAACGAAGGCGTTATGCCAAGCAGAAACATCAGTCGCATGATTCGACAGCAGGAGAAAGCTAGGACTAAAGGGAGTTGTAGTCAAGAAGGCAGCGCGGTATGAGAGATTGGAGGGGTGGACGATGGCAAGGAAAATACAAGTGCATCTTAGTCTAATAGATCATAGGAGAGCTGCGCACTATGTGAATGAAACGTACCGAGGTCAATCTCTGTTACTTGACATTATAAATTATAGATTTGGCGAGTCAATTGAAGCACGGAACGATTATGTTACAGAAAGTGATCTGCTTCGCTTATTGCGCGAACTCCCGTCGAGGACCCATTCGCATGTGCTCTCCCGCCTGAGACAATTGACAGATGCAATGGCATGCTGCGATATGGCGCAGTCATGCACGAAGCCGCCTCCACACTTCTTCAGTATCCATCACACCATCTCGATGACATCCGCATTATCTTAGTTTCCTCCTTCCCAAACAGGTCTCGTTTAAATTACTCGAGCATGCACTTTCAAGTGGTTTAAAGGCCCGTTTGACTGACTGGTGTGATTTATCTGCCGCTCACGAGTGATTCCCTAGCTGCCTCTTCCTGTCAGTGTGATCCCAGTCATTCAGGCCAGCTAGATGCTGCCGTTCTCAAACGACTGCTATTGGATGACCCCAACCTGCCATTGCAGAGTGGCGCTCTCTTGTCTTGTGAATACATTAGTTTGACTTAGACGGCAGCTTGTAACCGAAGCTTGCCCTAACAGAAATACCCATACGGTTAGCAGAATACTTCAGGAGAGTCATTTGATCCTGAGATTTACGCAGTTAAGCGAGACTAGCAGCCCTGGAACAACACCATCTGCATCTACCGCTCAACGTCCTCTTGCGTCCACTTCTCTAACCACAACCATTCTCAGGGACGTTACATTGGATGTGTACTGCCCCTGCATAAAGAAGCGTCTAGTCTCCCAAGCAATTCTTCAGCAGGGTGCGTATCGGATTTCCTCTTTCTGACAACAGCGCTTCTTCAAAGAAGCCTTGCTGTGCGCAGAACTTCTAGTTTATGTGCCATGCTTCCATTGCATATGTCTCTAACTCCCCGAGAGTCCACCTACCTCCTTTGACTTTCCTTTTCCGTTCTCTTCAACCTTCACACGAAGCGGCTAGCAAAGGCAAACATGCTACAGCGTCTAGATATGCCGCTCGCCCAGCACAGTAGGTACTGCTTCTTGTACTACAGGAAGGTGGATAGTCACTACCTTCCTCAAAGAGAGCTACGTACCGGAGCCAAGCTGACTTTCCCTTTCGTCAGAAGCCATGCCCAAAGTGCAAGAATGGCGCAAACGTTGAAGAAAGAAAAGACTAGCGAGCCGCCGAAAATAACCGAGTGGTATTTCCATGCGTTCGAAGGTGTCATGCCCATTCTAGTGACGGCTATGGCCCATGGAAGCATCCATAGGAGGTTGGAGCCAAGTGCTTGGATCAGATACCAGTTCGTCGTTGTGGCTAGCAAAATCGCCGAGATCTGATAGTTCAAGGCGTAGAAGATGTAACACCAGTCAATAGTCTGTGGAAAAGTGTTAGCGGAACTTACCATTTACATTCGAGTTCGGGCTTGGACTTACACGCCACATTCTTTGTGTAATGTTGGCAACTGGCTCAGATTGAGACAGGTAGAAGGCAAAGCCGTCGATACCCCAGATCGAAAGGAAGATACAGAATGGTATTTCGATGGCGAGTGCGATGATGCATGATATCCACGCCGGACGTGTGATGACTTGTTCTTATTAGCAATATCCTGTCCATGGCGAATTTGACGCACCACTCAGATCTTTCTTCGTTGCCTTCGCTCTTTCTCGTTCCGGTCCAACCTGGTTCCTCCATTTCCCCCAAGCATGTCCTACGAAAGTCAAGGTCGACGCTTCGAGAGCCTTCAAGACATGTCAGCTTCATCCAAAGAAAGTACTATTCAACATACCTGAACGGGAACCATTACGATTCCCCATCGGATGGTATTGAAGACACCCCAGGCTGTGGCATAATCGGAACCCATATCAACGATTCCATGAATCAACCAGAGATATATCGCATTCCTTATCGCCGACTCCAAAAACGTCGGAATACCTGGTCTGACCAACGTCTTCAGTGCTTTATAACTCGGCTTCACCTTCTCTTCGTCATGAGATTGTCGCTGCATCTTCAAAGCAATGAAGACAAAGTACACCAGTCCCGTCAATGCCGAAGTCAAATCACACGCCATTCGTATCAGTGCCTGTCCATTGACGGTAGGCTCTCTACTCCCAACATGAAATCTCAAGATGATAAGCAGGTCCAAAATGATGTTCACCACGAACTTGACAGAGCTAATCACAAGCGGAACATCAGGATGATCCAACGCCCTCGTAGCCGACGCAACAGCAACCTCAAGAGCAGACGATAACGCCTGCACTGATGAGATTCTCACATAATCCAAACTTGTCTCTCTAACTTCCCGTGGAACAAAAGCAGCAGCGAGTTCTTTCGAGCTTCCGATGAAAACAAAAGTCAAGATAAGTCCTAGGATAGCTTGCACGCCGATCAGAGTGTACGAGAGACTGAGACGAGAGCGAATTGTTCTCGTTGTCCTCAACAACGGTGAAAGCTGTACGAGGAAGACCTTCATTGAGGACTTCGACCACGACACCGATGTAAGTGTAGACGTCCGTGGTGACTACTTTGCTAGAGTCGATATTTGCGACCCAGAGCTTACTCAATGTTCCATAGAGAGCAGGGAGCATGTAAGCTCCGAAGTTGAACAGCAGTGAGCCATAATACCTATATCTTATCAGCAGGGTCATGAACTTTATTGCACTGCTGGGAACTCACGTTTGTCTGCTGGCAAGCTCCTTGAACCTGGTCTTCGGGCCATGCTCGTCTCCCACCTCAGAATGGTCATTACCAAATTCGGCGTCGGCTTCGACAGTCTGCGCATCCTTCAAAATTAACATTTTGTAAAAGTGTCCTTCTCTTAACCTGAAATTGATTCTATTCGCAAACAGCGATAGCGACGAGAGCCTCATTTCGTCCCATCTCTTCTCTTCCCCACCCACTTTTGCCCCGCTTCCCCATATCCAAGAAATTAGTGCCAGTGGCAACGCCTTCAAATGAGGGGTTGCCCAGCAGCCCAGCACGGCACCCAATCGTTCCCGATGCCTTTTTAGAATATTCTTAGAAGCAACTGCACTCGGCAATGCTGGGGACGGCCCGGACAGAATTTCTGGTTTGGGTGATGTTCGCGGTCATTATTGAAGGTGGCGATTGCTAGTTGTGGTGGTTTGCAGACTTGGCGTGTAGTGGGATGTGGTATACCGGCAACATAAATGCTGAGTAAAACCAACTGACTTGGATGACCATGTAATGGGCGTGACGTACGGAGAGCTATCGTTATTTGGCGAACCAATGACAATCATTTGTATGATGCCAGAAGATTCATTATTTGTTCTAGAATCTGGAACCGAAAGTCCGGGAGAAATTTAACCATTTCTTAACAGTCCAGCTATATGTCTAATTACCCAGAGATAGAGACAAATTGAAATCTGTCTCATAAGATTGTCTTTGCACAGAGAATTTAAACTTTCCCTCCCACACCTCAGATCTACTAATCGCGACTGCTATTAGAAAGTCGGCTGGGTTGGGTTGAGATGAAAGCGAGCCACCATGGAGAAGGGTAATAACCACAAAGTGTACATCAGGTCAGTCATATCTCTTTCCATGTAATTTTTGTTAGGTTTCCTGGCCTATAATGCTGCATTAACTTTGACAGCAATCAAACAGCTCCGAATACTTGCATATCGGCATATCGCAAGCTCCTCATCACCCAGTAGATCAGACTCAATTCTCCAGTATGAAGCACTACACGTCTCTTGAACTTCGCATGAAATGATAAGATAGCCGACTGTCAGCATCAAGAACGGCAAGTTTCCATGCCTGTGCATAAATCTGGGAAATGAAGACTAAGAAAGTCGCTTCCAACTCCAAGAACCAACCACGAATAATATCCGAGAGCAAGGACTACGTCAAAGCATGTCAATAAACCTTCTTCATCCTTTTTAAGCAACAATACTTATGACGCAACTCTATATACAAGGCCCCACCAACCAACTCCACCCAACATAAACCTACCTAACCGCAATGCCGGCTGGGCTTCCCAAAAATCATCGCAAAGTTCATTTGCATCCTTGTCTTGATAGCCAAACAGCGAACCCAGCGTTGTAAACTTCCCGCTAACCATCAACTTTCCAGTCGGTACTTGAGTACAGTACAGACTTTTCGCCCAGAAAATAACGCATGATTCAGGATGTTCGAGCTTCGCGGGTAACCGATGGGAAAAGAGGATTGGGGATTCAGAAATAAATCCAAATCTGTACGAACTTCTACGCATGTTTTCGCAGATAGATATATGTCCAGCACTTGTAATAAATAAACAACTGAAGGGCCGCCGTTCCGTAGAAGGAAGAAGTCGGCTGCTCGATTACATCAGATTAAGGTTTACCAACACATCACCTGCGAAGTGCCGAACGCAAATCGGACCCGCCTCGGGTCTTTTATATACCGCATTCTTATCTTTACGTCCAAGTGTCTGGACATCCGGGGCCATCCCCGCGTGTTTTGATCTACGAACAGTAGCGCGGGGGGCGTAAGCGAGACAAGGCTTGCACGAAACACCCCCGCAAAGTAAATAAAAAAAAAGGCAATCGGGAAAGCCGAGATCGACGAACCTGTGGACGGACCACTTGGCGGCGTAGTATAAAGCTGTATGAATACTCCCCAGGGAAATATCTATGTTGTGTTAGTATAGATTGAAGACCTGACTTTCTTTTCGAGGTGCCTGCCGCTGCCCTTCCGCAAACATGAAGCTCGCTATCTTTCTCACGTCAACTTTCAGCTGTCTGCTGGCTGTTGACGCCTTCCCTCTCTTCAATAGAGCTACTGATCCAAACACCGTGCTGTCAGTCCTAGCCCAGCAACCAGACCTTTCAATATGGTCCGGATTCATTCAGAAATCTGGTGGTGATAATCCCAATCCCGCGTTTGAAGAACGCTTCAACTCACCACTTGATACGAGGAATTATACAGTATTTGCACCGACTAATGCTGTAAGTCCACGAACTAGGTCATACAACCAGTTTTAAGATTTGAGCTGAACGATTCTTCCAGGCAATGAGCAAAATCCCTAAGGCAACACTCGATCTTCTCGCCCGCTCGCAATCCTACGAGCTCTTGGAATCGCTCGTCAGGCTGCACATCACGGAAGGAATGTTCACAGCCTTAGACCTAACATCCGCCAACGCACAATCCCCAATGACAGCCATCGAAGGCTTCCCACTAGCAGTCTCCGTGACTCCAGCAACAGAGGCCGGCCAACAACCGAAATACAAGCTCAACGACGTTGGGCTGACTCTAACTGACATTCCCGCTTCGAACGGCCGCATCCATACGCTCGATGCAATGTTGAATCCATATTCCAATTACTTCGGCGTCAGTAACTCGTCGGCTAAACCAGCTGGAGGAAGTCCTCCCCAGGGACCAAACACGACAATGTTGGATGTCGTGGAATCTGACCCGCGCTTGTCAACTCTTCACACGCAAATCGGCAACGTCGATCCTGAATTCTTGTCCAGGCTATCGCTCTCAAAGCCGGAGAATGAGAGGCAGATATTTCTTGCTGCGTCTAACGATGCCTTCCAGAACGTTGCGGTGAATTCCATGTCTGCGCCGTCGAATGTGGGATTGTCGAGGTATTTGCTGAGGTTTGGGATGTTGACCGGGGATTTGAGCGCGTTGAATATGATGGTTGAGGGACAGGTGCAGAGTGTGAGTGGGTTTAATGTTACTGTGAAGAAGAGGGGGGAGGCGTGGGTGGTGGGCAATGCGGCGGTTGTGGAGAGGGATATTTGTACGGGGAATGGATGTGTTTGGATCATAGATAAGGTTCTGGATCCGCTGTCTGGGGCTCTTTGATGAGAGAATGTGGCCGTGGGATCGTGGTTTGGTGGAAGGCAGTGGCGGTAAAGAAAAGGGGTTCTTATGAGGCGTTTGAAAGGTTTGTATGACTGGATGATTTGATGAAACTGATACTCCTGTATGTTTTTATGTTGATGATAGCAGACCAATTGAATACGTGGTATTGACTGGAGATTGTAGCCCGGTGATCGATGTAAGCGAAGAAGAAAACACAGAAATTTGGAACGAAGTGAGCAGCTATGTAGCCAAATATGGCCGTCAATTGGCTTGGCTGTATTGCCGAAGATGAAAAACATGACTATACAAGTACTGGACATAACAGGATGCTACTAGCCATTATCAGAATACTTCTGGTCATTGTAAGTGTATTTCGGACCAAGTCAGTGTTCCAGCAGCCTCGACAGGAGTTTGTGCCATGCTCTTTTGTAGAGGTCACTCGCAAACAGCTCGCTTCGCTGTCACCCTTGTGGAAGTCGTCAAGCATGCTGCCTGTTTGCTTCCAATCCCATGGGAGGCGGAGTGCGAAATTCCCGACGAGCCGTTGATATTTGACGTTACCGGGATATCATGGCACCACTTTGAGCTTCTGCCGCTCTGTGTTGTCCAAGGCGGCCCTGTCACTCCGATGCTCCGTGGTTCGCTTCACCCATGTAAGAAGCTGACATGGCATTTACGACTGTCATCAAGGCCACATTGAACTTGCAAACTCCTGGTGGCCACCAGTAGCTCCAATAAGTGTACTAAAAGGATCCTTCGCAACGTAATGTCCGCTCATCCATGCCGTCCCCGTCCCCTTCTTGAGATACTCATGTCTCCTCAATGCAACACTCCAAGCGAAGCTGTCATAACCCATACCGATAAATTCCGAGACCTTGGTCATAACCAGGAAATCAACCATGGCTTGTTGGTCTATTGTCAGGCTCAGTAGGTCTTCCAAGTCTTTACCCTTGAGCAGGTTAAGCTTGGAGGTTGCAACGATTTCGTCGGCATTGGCATCAAGCGTGAATCGTGAAGTCTCGGGTTTATGAGAAGAAGCCACATAAAGGAGTGAGATATTTTTGCGCATGGCATGCCCGAGGAAAAGCTTTGACTGTGCCTCGTAGTTGGCATTACCTCGGTCTTCTTCTGATAGACTGTCCATATTTACCTCGGTGCTGAGATACACGCCCAGTAGAATGTTCTGGAGCATAAGGTCCTTCAGATTGAGTGGTTCATCGTACATCTCAGAGAGATTTTGTAGAATCGTAGTTGCGAACCTTCGCACATCAGCACGTATTTTCAGTATCTTGCCAAAATGCTGCCGGAACGCTTCTCCATCCTTTGCTATCGGATATTTGAGATAGCAGTCGCCCAGTCGTACAATGATCGGTCTGCTAGGCTCGGCAGCCACCTTCGGAAGCCATTTGTAGAATGTTGGTCTCCAATTCTCCCCAGAGTGTTCAGCTGAATCCACAAGATTGAGGATGCTTTCTGGTTGTAGGTTTACGGTTCCTTTACCATCCCCGCCATCCGCGATCCCAAACTCAGTCTGATGGATGGCCATCTGTGGGCAGGACAGCTCCAGCGAAGCGACGAAATGTTCCGTGTCGAACATGTACCCCATGTCTGTCGAATTTGTTGAAGAATTCCCAGAGCCATCCCTCACCATAATCCTCGGCACGACCAAACTCCCCCCAGCAGCAACTGCCAACCTCACGCAACCCAGCAGGGAATTACGCGCCTCTGCGAAACTACCTGTCGGTTCCTGGCAGGTAAACAGTACGCTGGCATTCCATGACGTTTCCGCGCACAGCTTCTTGAGAGAGGGAGAGTGCAGAGGAGGGTAATCGAAGACATCGCTCGGCCGATCGGTCTGTGGCGCGTTCGAGTAGATGTTCCACGGAATATGGGTCGGAAATGTGTAGGGACGGTCGAAGGCTACCCAGATCCAGACTGATGCCAGAAGGAAGATGGCAATGGATGCATATCTGCGATTGACGCCTGCTGGGAGCTCCATTGTCAGTCTGGCGTTTGAGACTCAAGAAGCAGAGAGAGCAGCATGGCAGAGATGTGCTTCATGCTGGATAATAGTTGGAAGCAAGGAAATGATGAAGACAGAAGAGGTCAAGCTTCGGTTCCCCAGATCCAGTCTTTTAGGGGGTTGGTGGAGTTGCACTTGCCCCTGGCTTGGCGCCCCAGTCTCTAGCGAGCGCAGGCGAGCTGTGGGGAAGCTGAGCCAGTTGATCCAGCTTCTATTTTCTCCTTCGATAGAACTTCAAGCATTTTGACTTGCTATATGTCTCTTCTATTACTCTATCTCAGTATGGTCTTGTGCTCAGGTATTCTGCGATATAATTATAGACAGTCAAGGTAGGTTCAGCCCAAGCCTCCAGCTCATCACGCTGTCCGTTTGTTGTCACCAAGCTCACTGCTCGAAGCTCACTCTCTATCACTTGCAGTATGCACCTTACAGAAGATCCTATTTTTGGGCATGAAGCGTCTTCTGGCTGCAAGTTGTGCTAGTGGGAGATACCGATCTTGCTTTCAATCTTTCTTCGTCGACTCGGGATTCGAGAGCGGCTCCTGGCGCAACGCCTCCTTTCCTTGAATCCGGACATGGCTATTTCTCGCTTTCCATCCTACTCATGAATTCAATGTCCATTCATTCCACATCAATCATCGGATTTCGGGTCATTGTGACTTCATTGAGGCAATCGGAACCGTTCCAAAATCAGAACTTTCCATGATGGCAGTGTACCATGTATTGGCCCCTAGCCTTCTTTCAACTTTCAACTTCGCAATGCATCACTCTATCCTGTCCTCCACTCAAGACTTGCAGCTTGGTGGAACCAGTGCTTCGCCTGGATACACATCTTGAGATCCCGTGCATTGGTGTACTTGGGCTTCATCAGTCATGCGCTGTGGCTACCACTTCCCTGCATCTTGTGATCCAGTAGTTCTGTGACCGGAGCGCCTCTTTCCAATTCAAATGTAGCAGCGTTGATATCACTGTTAGAATGCGAGCTTCTGTTACTGGATCGTGCCAAATGATGGCTGGTAACATCTGAGGAGATCCGGGCTTCCAAGCCATACATCACAGCCGGTATCTCCTCTTCTGTTCAAGCCATCTTGTCATCCGTGTGACATCGGCATCTGTACATATACCTTCACTCGAGATTTTAATTAACCCTACAACATTAAAGCAGCCCGCGTGTCTTCCTCGATCCTCTTGTCTGATACAGAAATGCATCCTTGTCTGCAGTTTCGGTAGCAATTCGAACTCTGCTCCAGGCAAGCTGTTTGAGGCAAACTAATGCGTTGGATTATGGTTCGAATGATGAAGTTTTCATACTCAGCAAGTAAGTGTGAGCTTTCCGTCAATGGCCATTCCATAGGTCAAATAGATGCAACACTGATGCCGCTCATCCCAGCTCCATCGTCCACTACGGCCAGCATCAGTCCAAACCCTGCTTCTTCGGCCCCAGAGCCACGATCATTTCTTGTGATATATATGCCCGAACGTACTCACACGGCTGCTCCCAAGTCCTCCATTATTCCCAACCAATACCATACCTGTGGCGCGCAGCTCGTTGGCGATATAACATTGAGTTACAGTCCGATAACGAAAGCAGCATCACCACATACCAGCAGGAATAACATAGAATCGGTCTCCCTTTATTGGACGCCGAAGGTTTCTCACAGTTGTTCTGTCACAAACAGGCGACAATAGCCAACGCATCACCCAATCAATAACGTCGCCATCTCGGCTGTGGCTGCATACCCAAAACAGCCTCAGCCCAACTCAATATCGGGCCGCAACGACATTCTCTTGTGAGTTTGACATGCTGCATCTCATTTGGCCTTGACGCTGGGCTGAAGTCAGTCTTACTTGTTGGAGGGCGCATTGGGCACCAAAGGGCATCCGACGTACCAATCAGTCGGTAAAGTACTTTTCAAGTTAAGGATACGGCGATGTTGGCACTGAAGGTTGGTATGAAACGGACAAGCAGACTTCCACTCCGAAACTCGGCGATAAGTATCTCATATCTCGAGGCCTGTCTGCTCCGTATGTCTGCTGTTCTCAGACTTGCCTATTTAGAAGTACCTCACCATCTCACGCCGATTGTTTGTGTATCGCATTCTTCTCCGCAAAGTTCTTTCACTTCTCAACCCAACTCATTTCAACAATCTAGAACCACCTTTTATTAGACGATTATTCCGGTCTCTCTTCTGGAAACCATGGCATTACCAGACAGGTATCCACCCCCATCACCCCACCGTCCCGCGTTCCTACCTCCAGTCCATCCTTCCTCCAGCTACTCAGAAAGGAGTCCACGCTATCGTGGGCCAGCCCTCAACGATATCGAAGCTGCAGTTCATACCAAGGAAGAACTCGGCTCGAAGTGGCAAGACATCCAAAGCCATCCTCCACGGTGGATTTCAACTGAAGACCACTACGACAATGAATATCTCCCAGGAACAGCAGCAAGCAGCGCCTTGGCCCCATCAGAAAGAGTGGAACCATTGCCACCACTATCAAGCAACGCACCCTTCTACGTACCCCGGACTCTTCCATCACTGATTCCTTTTCCACAAAGTCATCAAAGGCTAGATCCCAGAATGGACATCGATCCAGCTGGGTATGGAACCGAGCACCGAGTCCAATACAATCCAGGCTATCAGCCTCCTCTCCATTTGGAACAGCACTTCGCTCCCTCATATCTCCAACCTCCGATGCCTGTCTATGACCAGCAACCCCGGTGGTTAGGGTCAGGACCACCAGATCGTCAGCCGAGTCCTGAGCGTTCTCGCCCTCAGCCTTTCCCACACGGTCAAGGCCAACCGCCAAGGGAACGTGAACGTCTCGCACCGTTGAGACATGCACCGCCACCGCTAACGGTGGGTATGCAAAGAAGTTATTCCCAAGGAAAACATGCGAGAACCCCGTCAAGCTGTAGACGGAATCCGTACCCGCCAAATGACGGGAGAGGTAGGGTGAGTTCCAGTTCAAGGTATCAAGGCGCAAAGAGAAGGTTTGAGAAAAGAAGTGGGTATGGGCAGAGAAGTCCTGAATACTAGGACGGGTCGAAGGATGTTCAATTGTTTGCGAGTTATGGTTGCGTGGATGGAGTGAGGATCCGATGGCGTGTTACCTCCCAGCAGTACCTCCCGTGAGGTAGAACATTGTATGGATGGCACCTGCCGACCCTCATTCCCTTGATGAGGATGGACCAGTTGATACATGGATATGATCTTGGATTGTACTGAGGATGATCCTTCCCTCACGCCATGGATGGATAGTGCATGCTCGCACTTGCTGGTACCGTAGAGACTCTTCCACAGTCATGATCAAACGGACATCCATCCCAGCATTCCAGGCTGCTAATATTCCACTGGATGAAGACTCGTTGTCCGAGTGTGGGCTTCAACTGTCCTCTGAGTACCAGCTAAGGGACGCAGTCATTTGGGCGAGTGGTGTTGTCGTGGACTTGTCAAGCCATCACATCCACATTCAGGAGATTGCCCAAAACTTTCATCCATCCGAGTTCAAATCCCTTTATACCCCAGATTTGGCTTGATTTTACATACTATTTTATTTTCTACTCATCACTCTGTTGATTAGGGTTGTTGGGGTGGGCTACTTCGTATATGTGGCTCTAGAGTCCGTTTGTTTCTTCAAATGTAGACTGGCATTTTCTGCGGGTTGGAGCCAAAGCTTTAGGTAGCAATGCAAGACATCGTGGCATGGCTCCTTTAAATCATCTGTCTGCCTCCGGCAGTTGTCTATAGTGCTCTATTTTAAAGTGAACATGATTGTCGCGTTGCAATTTTCAATGTCCTACAGTTCAACCATGACTTGACAGAAGTACATTTATGACAAACTCACATATATCCCTCTAATTCGCACCAAGAAACAGTGTCTACAAGTTTACCTACTAGCCCTTTAAGCGCTGACTACCTACTTAGATATTCACACCTGAAATCTGCAAAGTTTAGCTTAATACCTACTCCCTCGGCTACATCCATGGCCTGACCATAACCAGCCCTCCCTGTCCGCGTAAGGCAGGCCCGGTGATCAATGATCGATGATCGCCACAACTTAAACTTACAGCCTATGATCTGCAAGTACCGAAACTAAAAGGGTATGTATGTATGAACGTATGACCCCTGCGGCAGGTTAAAGTCAGGATGTCCTACTGCCTTTCCACTAGCGTGGATGCTGGATGCTGGATACTTCATAACCCTGTCAGGAGTGATACTTTAGTCGATCGGTAGAGGATAGTTTATGAAAGATAGATATACATCAAGTACCCAATTCCAGGTAGATAGCTTGCTGGAAGGAGGAACAGGCATGAACGAACGAGAAATCCCAAGTCAGGCTGTAGCTGTAGCTGTAGCCGTCAAAGTGAGGGCAATGACCGCGTCATCTAGATCTCGAGTTCCTCGGGGCTTGCCAATAGGCCGATATCATGAGCTGTTGTATTGTAATGTATTACTTTTTAAGGAATGGAGAAGGGACGCTTGGTTTGGTACGCAGGGTGGAGTGAGATGGAAGGTGTTGGGCTGGCTATGACGCAGGTTGGTTGGTATTCTTGATGCAAAGCAAACACAGTACGGTTCTTGGAAAAGTGAAGGTACTACGTACCAGTGTTCTGTTATACTTGGTCTTGGAGCTAAAAATATATGTAGTGAAATGAATTCTTTTGGAAATAGGTTATGGGGAAGGAGGAGGGAGGATAACGAGTACCAGAGAGAGAGGCGCTTGGCTGTCTTGAGATGAGACGAGATGTCATATCTGGATTGTACTTATCTGGCTATGTTGAATGTTATGCAGATGTATTATGCTGTACATCATGTGAGCGGGAGGTGATCACGATAAGTGGCGCTAGGAACGCTACAATGCATATTCGTAGTTTCGTATTTGCTTCTTTGTTAGGTTCGGGGATAGCGAAGGAGCTGCATGGATGTGACTTTACACAGCTAGGTAAGCAAATCAGGATGCCACGCTTGGGACAACGGGACAGCGGGATAGTCCTGTCGTTGATTTAGAGTTTACAATGCACAAGCTAAGGTCTCACAAAAGAGAGGTGGAAAGAAGACTTGCTTGGGAGAGGGAGAATCGGGATTGAGATCGACCGACAGGTAAGTAAGCAGAAGTTAATTACGCGCTATTTCTTGAGATTTTCTTGCATTTGTAAGGCCACAGGGAAAGCTAGCTACTTCGCTATCATCTCAAAGCAAAAGTCAACATTGAAATGAGGAGCCATCTATTCGGTCACCAAAACAGCCCTGAACCTAGCCTTGCCAGAAGACATGTGCTCATACGCTTTTTGAGCGTCTTTTAACGGGAACTTCTCAATCATGCACTTGATCCCGTGGAGTTGCGTGAATGCAATGGCTTCCTCGGAGTCCAGAGCATGACCGCTAGGGAACCCACATACAGATACAGCTTTCATGATCAGGTCAACAGAGTTGATCTCAACACCACCGCATGGAGAGAGAATCAGGACTTTTCCGCCGGGCTCGAGACCACCAGTAAGAGGACTTATGGCTTTGGGATTTGGTGCCGTGCAAACAATGAGGCTTGCTCCTCCCATCTCCATGAGTTTCTTGACTGGGTCGTCAGATGATGTATTGATGTATTCGTGAGCACCGAGTTTCTTTGCGAAGTCGCGCTTGCTGTCTCCTGAGGAGAGTGCTACGACCTTGTATCCCATCTTGTTTGCATATTGAACTGCTAGATGCCCGAGTCCTCCGAGTCCTTGGACGGCAACAATGTCGCCAGGAGTGATCTGCAATTTTCGGATAGAATTGAAGACTGTGATACCGGCGCAGAGAATAGGAGCGTATTCAGCCGGATCGACCTCCTTTGGAACCCTAACAGTAGCTTCAGTCCTCAAGAGAACGTACTCTGCGAATCCTCCGTCTTTGCTAACGCCGTTAACAGCTGCATTTTGGCACATCTGGAATTGTCCGCGATTGCATTGCTTGCATGTGCCATCGTGTCCTCCGTGCCATGGGCCTCCAACTCTGTCTCCGACCTTCCACTTCTTCTCGCCATCTCCGACTTCTACCACGTCGCCGATGACCTCGTGGCCTGGGACGATGGGAAAGGCATTTCCGAACGCACCGCTTCTCACCCCTTCCTCAGATCCACAAACACCACAGGCAAGGACTTTGACAAGGACTTGTCCTGTTGATGGGCGTTGGAGGGGGACGTCTTTGATTGTGAGGGGGTCATTCGCTTTTTCGAAGACGGCGGCCTTGTAGGATTTTGGGAGGGACGCCATGATTGCAATTGAAGTCGGATCGTCTCTATAGAGTTTTGGTCGCAGAGTAGCAGGTATTGGTGATCAATTGACTAGTTTCGATCAAGTGGTTGCTGGCCGATTGAAGTCAGTATTGGGTGGGAGACGTACCTTATATAGTTTCTTTGCAAGCCACAATCCCACACGTCAGTAACGCATGTGAAGTTCTGGAGCTTGTCCGGAGCTTGTACGCCAACATAGCTGTTGACTAAGAAAGAAAGACAGAAAAAGAACTCCTTACATCATGACTTGAGCAATGTCATTGGTGAGTAGCTGCGATGGAGCGGGGTAGCATCCCCCTCTTCAACCCCTCCAACCTCGCTCCGACCGCTTACAGAGCTCATCATACCTATTGCGGTAGGGTATTTTCCGTTCTGGTAAGCTCGTTGCCTTTATGTCCGAAGGTTAGAATCGTGGTTGAGGTTGGTGAGGGGCCTATCGGGATTAAGGTTTTGTACCCGAGGGAACCACAATAACTGTAAGATAGAGGTAAAAGTCTCGCCGGGCATAATACAGTAGCAGACCCAATTCTGGGATAAATGGCTTGAGGAAGGAGATAAGAATAACAAGAACTCCACAGCCGCGGACTTGTGAAGAAGCGGCATGGGCTAGGATAGTAGAAATGACTTCCATTCCTCGATTTGTTGGCATCATAAGGAGCCAGTGCCCAGGGCGGTGAAGAAGGGCAGGTTCACCAGGTTTAGATAAAACTGATTACATAAGCCTGAATTTTGTTCTCCTTGCTTCATTCTCGTTGTCTCTTACCATACACTCTTCCCTTCTGTGAGACTTTCTTGACTCTATACATCCGTCCATTCTCAAAGCACATGTGTACTTGCAGTCGCAGCTACAAGCACAAGCGTCACATCTTCTACAAATCCACCAGTTATGCAATTTCCCATCTTTGTGACCAACGCGAATACGGCCGTGACTCGGGACATCCCAGCCATGAGCCGATATCTATTCAAACCACCTATATTCTGTCTGTTTTCTTATTTAATGCGCCTCGGTCAACATTATTACAGATAGCATTCACCCGTGAGTGCGGTGTCACCATAGATGCCGTGTCTCGGCAACCAGTGATACATCGGCGACACAAAGATGAAGTGTCAATTGCATAGCCGGCTGTCTGCATGCTATGGAGTATCTTCATCCTCTTGGCTCCATTTGATCGAGTACTCTATCCCACATGCTCCTGGTAATGGACTTTATGCATTTCGGTTCGAATCATGCCGCAATTGGAACGAGAGCGAGCCTACCACACCAATATATGGGGACTTGTCCCGGCAATCTGGTTACACCGGGCCTATCATCAACTATCTCTCATAACCTGCCAATCAACATGACGAATTATGTATACCATGTCCAATGTTCATTCGCGTATCATCTCCGGTCTGTGCCACCACCAACATTTGCATCTAGAACCAACAATTTGTCGCTATTCATTGGATTTCATTGGCTGCCCAGCCTCGATCACACCTACCCGATATCTGAATGTCAATGCAACGGATGACCGAAGTGGGTATGGGATCCGACCGAGTGGTGTCACTTCCAATGAGGAACAGCCACTTATTTATCCAGCTGGCCACACCTGGTGGCCATTTCTTGTTACCATGTCTTTCTAACAACTTTAAACCCGTTCTCCAGTTGTACCAGCCGTGGACTTGTACGACCAGAGCCTTTTGAGTGGCGCTGCGGCCCGTTGTTAGTCAGTGGATAGGTTTGACATGTGGTGATTCGCTACGTGAGGCAATGCAGCATTCAACAATGTTCGATTGATTCTTACGATTTCAAGGCTAGTCATTGACGCGTTAATAGTCCTCAATACCTCTTTCAATCCGCCCAAGAAGGTCCCGTTGTGCTACCCGAACCTGAACCCGAACCATCAGCAGCCTGGCAGGAACATCTTTCACTTCTCGGCTTACCGCGAGGTGGACTCGAGGCCTTCAGAACGCTGAATGAATCCTGGCTGTACCAGGTACACAGTTACTCCATCGTACTTGGTGGTTATACGACGCTAAATTTGACCACAGAAATCAAACTGGCCACCAGGTGTTGAGAAGTGGCTACATCGGTACATGCATACGACAGATCTGTACGAGGTAACCAAATCAGAGGCACCAGAATTTTCAAAACTGGTGGATCTCTTCATTGCTGCGTCAAGCCTACCTAGAACGATCGCGGCTCGACAAATTCTTGCTGCCAAGTGTCAGTCTTTTGTGAACGAAACAAGCAAAGCTTGGGCGAAAGAGGGAGTGATTGAGGGGAAATTTTGCGCCTGGAGAAAGAGAGCACAGTTCCAAGCGCTGTGGGGCGCCGAAACTGCAAATTTGAAGCGACACAAAGTAGTTCTCGAGCAAACACCATCTGAGCTCGATTTTGGAGATCCTCTTGAGATGTCAAGGCGAAGTGCTACTTCTAATAGCCGTGGCCTGTCAGAGGACAGTATTCCCGCAAAAGTTAAACTCCAAGTTCTGCTTCTAAATCCTGGCTGACATTGCTTAGAGAACAGCAGAGGAAGAACGCAGCTCTATCGAATCCTCAAAGCGGGCTCGGCGTAGTTCATCGCGGTTTGTGGAAGATGAGGCTGGAGATTTCATTATAGTTTCTCCAGCAAATCGTCGAACGAGAGCGCCTTTCGATGTCCAGATAGAGGAAGAGAATGCGTTATCACCATCGACATATGATGATCCTAAGTCACCCATTGAAAAGATTCATCCGGACTGTGAAGTTTCAGCAGAGGGAGCACAGAAAGCCATGGATGTCTGGAACTCCCTTCAATCTTCTGCCCTGGCTCCCAAAATTGGATTGCCTCAGACTTCCGAGTCGGAATTTTCGAGAGGAAAAGACTCTAGCTCGCTTTCGACGAGCGAACGGTCCTCCTCGGTTGAAGAGATTACATGTCGACGAGTCTCTCCGGCAAGTAAGAGAGGCTCAGTAGGGTCTCTTGCTCCTGGCTCAGAGTGGTCTTCTGTGCATGGAAGTGAGCATGCGAGGACTGCTGCTGTCAGAACTCCAGGTTCTGAGACTCAGGCAGATCCGAATCCCATATCCCGGCGTTCCACTCCTCAAGCTCAGGTTGATGCACACCACCAATATTCGACAATTTCGCCATCAATTGGTCAACAGCGAACTCCCTTGCCATCTCAAAGAGAGCAGAGTCCGTCACAAATTCCGGCTACTGCTTCCAGGCCCACTACACATCAATCGCCTGAAATGCCACTGCAGTCACCTCCCATTTCTGGTCAGCCTCGGGATCCAGCTGGTCGACCGCGCACAGGTGAAGCACAGGTCTCTGGTATTCGTGATACTTCCGTGGAAACTCGTTTGAACTCGTGGACCGTATCAAGTCAAGAATCCCAAAATCAAAAATCAAGATGGGCGTACGAGGATCGAGTTCCAGGTCCTCAATCTCCTCGAATTGATCATCCTCGAAATTTCAATTGCTCCCCTGTGACAAGCACTATATCAAGTAGTAGCATGCCATCGAGTGGTCCAGGTCCATTTACGACCTTTCCGTCCACCTTTTCAGTACTCACGACGGAATCTGTACAACAAAAAAACCAAGCCAAGACTGGCAAAATGCGTGGAAGAAAGCCCGCAATTCATGATGATGAGCAGCCGATTTCAAATGCAACCATAGTTCCTGATCAAGCTGCGGAGATATCACCAAGTCTCTTTCAACAAGATGGCCTACCCCGAGAGGCACCAAGCACGTCGCAGACAAAGCAAGCTGGTCTCCCTGCCCAGAGTGGACTTCCCGCGATCCCTGTCTCTCATGGATTTTATCAGACACAATTGCCACCAAGACCTACGATTACGCCTCCACCAGGACCTACCTCGCTACCTTTGGAAACTCCCCGACCTCGTTCCATAGAATTCACAATCAACAATGAAGCACAAAGCGACCTGTCACCTAATGACTTCCAGTCACTTGTGGATAAGTTCAAGCGCAACGCCAGAGCCATCATCACTGGTATCAACAGCCCCAATTGTGTATACGAAATTGATGTGATCATGTTCGAGACCTTGCCCTGGTTTTACAAGTGGTACTCAGATAAAACTGGTTTTATCAACATCGGTGCATTGAGGTTCGAGCTGATCGATGTGCATTGGCAGCAGGAAAACTCAATTGTCGTTCCTCAGGGAAACCTTCATTTCTTCCGAGCACTCAAGCAGTACATATGGGACTTGTATTGGGTAGCAATGGATATGAATAAGGTTCGGGATCAGTTCAGGGTCACCATATCACCATATCCGCCACGTGTAGAGGATGGGGCTGCAAATGCACGTGGATGGAAAGCTGTGAACCCGAGCAAAGCTGCAGCAAAATTAGCTTCGCCGCCCTCTTCGCAGAGAATCTTGGTTGTTCCCACTGGTGTTCCCACGAGGTTCCAAACACAGGCTCGACCTTCACCTCCAAGCCATGCTGGATCGTTTTCACTTCCACCCCCGCCTCCACCACCGACAACGACGCATCAAGTATCACATAGCGAACCTCAAGCATCGGTGTACCATGGCTCTCAGCGATCTCCAAGTCTTTCAGAGAGCCTCTCATCCCTGAATGAGTTGGCTTATCGACATAGTCTTCATTCAAGGGGCCTTCGCCCGCCGTCTCGCCAGAACGACACTGACTTCAGAAGTGTTGACGCGGCACCTCAACAGTCGCAATCTTTGTATAGCCCAGTGGAGCAGAGGAGATCATCATGGGATCAAACCCTGCTACGAGACTACGCAAGTTCATTGGTAAGTTCCATCAAGCCAGACGAGTTCAAAGGCAGAACTGATTGTGAAAGAAAATGCCCAACGCCGAACTCATGCACGAAGAATCAACTGTCAAAGACAAGCTACCGTACAAGAATGGTTCCGAGGTTTGTGCGGTCGTCATTGACAGGATGAGTGGTAAAGGACAAGTTACAGTGAGCGGCAAGGGATATGTGACTCTCAACATTCCTACCGGGCCTGATGAGACAGGTGATCGATTCAAACAAATCATAATACACCCGAAGCAGACATGTATGCTTCATGGCGGAGCCGTCGCGCTCTATTTCAAGCGGGCATTTACTCCCCCACCTCCTCCACGGCCATCGATTCCCGGGGCTGAAGCCAATAATCGGTTTACGAATGACGTTCAGGCTCATAGCTTGTCGTACAATCAAGGAACGTGTGTTACTGCATTTCGTGACGACCGTCCACCGCCGCCTCCTCCGCTGTCGCAACACTCTCAATGTCAACAAATACTACAAAGACAAGAAAGTCAATCAAGCTGCTCCAGCTCCAGCTTGGACATCAAAATCCGCGTCCAAGTCGATGGAACCGGTAAATTCAGTATCCCATTCGGGAAATCCGTGCTCCGACCCAAAGTCACCACCACCGAATTTTTCTCTTGGTTCACTAGCCAGGGCCGACAAGCGCCTCCTCAACCTCCTCGCCACCTGAAATTTACTTTCAAGGACGCAATGCCGAACCCTCAAGCTACCGAGATCGTGGTTGGCAATGAGGACCATTTCAATTATATGCGCAAGGATATCAAGGTGCAGTGCGAGAAGGCGAGGAAATTCATGCCCGAGTTGAAGGAGTTTGTAATATTGGTCACTGTGCCCGGGTGGACTTCAGCGGAGGTGGAAGAGGAGGATGATTGGTGAGGAAGCAGACAGGGGTTCGACGCGGGAAGTTTCGAATGTGCGAGATATGAACTCATGGACGAGAAGATACACGAGCACGCGAGAAGCAGACATGATCGTATACGCTAAAGCACGACGAAAACGGCTGGGTCAGCAATTGCCCGAGTCCGACTGGGACGGGCGAACTTACTCTTTGGTGCCCTTCTGGGGAGTCCCGAAGCATGCCGGTTCTGACGCAAGGCCACTCATTCTAGAGCCCATGCCTTCAGGTATCAGCCTGATCAGCGCAGACAATTTGAAGATATTTATCTAGAAAGTGCAACGATCTATTTTGATCAACTGATATATTCTCGAATGTAACGAGTGGCAGTTGGTTACACATTTTATTCACTGTTCTAGACATTGCCAGTGAACATTACGATTAAAACGGATGGTAATCATCGGGAAACGCATCTCAACAATGAATGGAGCAATCAGTCCAGCCTTATGCAGCCAAGCATCTACACTTTTTGTGGCGCTGATCGCCTTACGGGTTGCGCTCCTGAATCGTGGATTAAGCGAGGGGGATGCGAAACAATCCTCGGAATGAGTCAACTCGGTGTGGCTCTCCGTTTCGTAGAGATGCTCAGTGGAGGGTCACGCCCGACGAGACCAATTGATTTTTCGAACATGGATTTCCATCTCAGCATGATCCAACCTTCACCTACGATGTTGTTTCTCTTTTCACTTCTGGCTTTGGCGTGGAAGCACAGCGTCACCTGGTATTTGGTGTAACAATTGCCAGCTACCGAGACCGCTCAGCCTTGGGCACTCATCAGGCTTTTCCATTGCATCATGAAGTTCTCACGGGCCAGGACTGTCTCTACAGACTTCGAGCTTCAAGAGCAGCAGAGCAACAGATCCAGTTCATGGGTACAAGGATCACGAACTCCTCGGTCATCTCGTCTCAAGTCTCTTACACCGAGGCTGCGTCTCCCCTTCGCAATACTAGCTGGTTCTGCAATCACAGCCGGAACCACCTATGCATTGGTCAAACACGTTCAACATCTCATCGCTAACGCTCAAGTCAGCTCGAATCCCTCCGTATGGATACAGAAGGCTCGAGAAGACGGGTATGGAGCTTGCTATGATGGATGTGATGACTGCCATGATGTGAACTTCGCATATGATGCTTGCGAGAAGACTGCACGGGCAATTGTTCCTGGTATCAATTGTAATGGGATTTTGATGTGGAATTGTAGGTGCTGGAGACTCTCTGCTCCTTTTACATTCTTGTCATAACACCTCGACACGGACGTGCAAGTTCATTTGGTATTACTAACACCAGGTCAGGGGCAGATCGATACCCCATGGAATGTCTCAAAGCGCTGGGCGTGATATACAAAGCTGAAGCCTTGACGAGAAGGAAACAAACATATCGAAACCAACTTGCAGTCATCATCTTGACGGTCCTCGCGGGTGTTCTAGGAGCAGTACTCATATACTATCTCTGGGGTCGCTGGTTTCCAGCCCAACCTCAACCACAAAGATGGGCTGCCGCTCCTCCACCATACACGTATTCACCACAGTCTCGACGCACCACACGCCGCAAGAAATGGCCCTTCTTCTGGCGCACGGCGACAACAACATCTTTCTTCACCACCTCACACGCGTACCCCTGCTGGGGATTCAGTCCCTCCGCCACCCAATACTTCACATCCACCAATACGTCAGTCTCTCCTCCCATTTCTGGCCTCATCCACGGCTGGTCCTCAAGCTGCCACCAAGAGTCCTACGTCTGCGGCTCTACCTGCACAGTCTCAGGCTCGTCAAGCTCCAACGGCGGCTCCTCCACAACCTGCACTCCAGAAACCTGCTACCGAGATGATGAAGATGAAACTCCTACTTTCTTTGTCAATTGGACGGTGCCGAGGGTCGAGGGTTGTGGGTTTCGGTTGGTAGATGCGGGGGAGGTGGCGAGTGAGGTGGCGATGAGGGTGGGGAATCCGTTGCTGGAGAGGAATTGGAGGGTTAAGATTAGTGTGAGTAGGTTTAATGGGACGGATGGGAGGACGGAGGATGCGGTTTGGTGTCTTTGGGATATTGGGAATCATTGATGGGGGTGTAAGTGTATGTATATGAGGTTTTAGGAGCTAAGGGATGTTAAAAAAGGTCACGATGCACTTTGACGACTACAAATTGAGAATCGAGAGTCTCAGAAAAGGTTGTTCTCTTGCTCTGGTTCTTCTTCTGTGGTATAAGTCTTGTTTCTTCTTCTTCTGATACTCACCACGTTCAGAGGTATGTAAGTTCGGAAGCCTCGAAGTCTGAACCCTATGCCACGTACTGACTTCTGAAAATCCATATGAATGGACTTTTGATAATGCAACTTTTGAGTCCTGTGCCATCGCTCACGCGTTTCCAGAAACGCCAATGAAAATAATATACGTCCCTCTTCTTATGGTAAACCACAAGTGTTTAATCTCAGAAGTCCTTCTTATCATCCCAAGGCAAATCCTCGTCCGGAACCCTGGAACAAAGGAAATGATTCCTGTGTGATTTTTCTCCGGCAGATCCGGACCCCACATGTAATGCAACATTATTTGCCATCAGCTGTTCCAGCTTTTCTTTCACTGCAAACGCATCTTCGTCAACTTCCTCAAAATAGTGATAGATCTCACTGAAAACATTCGGAACCGTCGCTTCGCTATCTTGCTCCAGTCTCGATAGCTGCTGGGAGACGATCCAAACCTGACTTCTAATACTCGTCAGAAATTCAAAAGCTTGTGCAACTTTGAGGCCTATTGCTTCTCTCTCGGCTTTAACCACCTTCTGCACTTTCGGTTCGAGCAATTCAATGTAAGATTCGAATGCAGTGTCGTCCCAATTGCCGGCCAAGAACAGAACGGCTTCTCGGAAAAGAATCTTGTGTCGAAGCTTGAGGGCAATGTGAACCAATAATACCGCATCGCCTTCAATATCAAGTCGGTCCTCAACAAGGGGTTGCAGAATTGAGTGGGAAAGGGCTGCCAAGGCGTCATAGTAGTCAGCTATCTTCGTCAGTTGTTGTAGCTCGTTGACCGAGGCTATCATGAATGGCTCTCGATACATGGCACATAGGAGACTGTTTAACACTCTGATATGGACTTCTTTCTCACCCTTGAGGGCTTCGGGATGGTTTTTTTTGGGCTGTGGTACAGAGAATTAGTATCTAGTCATCGCTTCTCAGACGCTTGTTGGCTGAATATGGTACTGACATCAATGGTACTAGCAGACACCAGGACCCAATCGCCATCCTCTTCCACTATTGTGTCCCATTCGTACTTGAAAGCTCCGGAGTTACCAGAACTCTGGGTTTCCGGGCCTGGCCAGCCGAAAGCTTTGAGGAAATGAGCGGAGTATAATCGTAGAATAGTTGAACTGACATGGAATTCAGTATCAAAAACGCGGAGGCGGACATCAGGCCGGGTACCCCGTGCATTGAAGATGATGGGGGCCGGGCGAGAAGCTGACATTGTCTGAGCTGCTGCTAGATGTCTTTGCGTGGTCGCAAACGTCGGAGAAGTGACTAAGAGGTGTTGCCTGAGCCTTTAAGAATACGGGAGATCACACTGTTTAAAGCTTGTTTCAATGAAGAAGGGTTTTTCTGGTTGTTGAAGAGCGAAAGTTGAGGGTGAGTATCATGCATTTCCAGGGAAGGCGCGAACATGAGCTTGGCTTCGATGGATGAGAACACCTTCATATCTGCGAGCCAGGAGAAATATCCCTTGATGAGTATCAGACTGATACTGCTATCAAAAAGTTGGGTCTTAAGAATTAGCTTCCGCTTAGCATTCTGACAAGACAAGGATTTCTTCTTTGAATTGTTGAAAGACCCCAATTAGCTTCTCGCCTATTTGTGCAGAGGAATTGCTTAGAAGTCGCGTATTACTTCAATTTTACTCTAGTCTATCTATCTCGGCAAAACATTTCAGGTCTCTAGGACGTAAAAATAACTAAATTAGAAACCAAAAGGGACCATAAGTCGTGATTGACACTGGGAAAAAAAATGTTTTGGGGTGAAGGGGAAGTAGAAAACTGTAACTGAGAACCAAAGCAAAGCAACTGGAGAACTTAAGGAAAGTGTAATTGAGAATCAACTGGAGTGAAGGCAATTTACGATATCATCAAAGGGCAACCAACCTCACGAAACCATTCATTGGAACTTAGGGAAACATACTAACTTGATATTTGTTGTGAGGCAACTCAATGGGCTTGTGAGTGACTGGAATGCGCTGGCTTGAGGTCTTCCGAGTTTCTTGTTTGGTTCTGCTGGTGGCTCTTCAATTGTTAGTTGCAAAGCCTGGTGAAAGGTTGCAGCGGAGACATACATTTGTGCCAAGAAGGACTCGTTTTGTTGCAGAATCCTCTTATTTTGATTCAAGACTGCCTTCAAAATATTACATAAGGCATGATAGTTGAAAATTGATTGCCTAGCGTCCTGATAACAAAGCGGCGGGGGAAAGTACATAGATGGCAGGCGCATTGCGGACGGAAGGCGATCATATCCACTTCAGCATAGGATATGGTTTGGATTCACATGAACTATATCAGTAATCTGTAAGAAAGCTTGTATTGTTTGAGGAACCATGAGTCATCATTCTGAATTTCTCATTCGACCACCATTTCTATCCTGCCATTTACAACTGAGATCACCTTCGCAGATAATCCTGAAACCCCCATTCCCATCCATTAAGCAGAAAGTTCAAGCATCAGTATACTCAATAATCCCGTTGTGTGGTATCCCAAGGCAACTCTTTATCGCTCACTGTAGCACAGAGGAAGAGCTCAAAAGCTTCGTGACATGGGCTTCGGGGTTTCCTTGTCCAATTACATTGGTGAGGCTCCTTGTGTGAAAGCTTCAAACAGAACGCTCGACAAAACTACTTGTCGGATGCTGATGCCAAACATTTGGAAAACAGCTTGGACAGAAATCAAAGTTTGAGCAATCCTGACACTTGTACCGCAGATCATGATAGTAAAACTTCTCCTTGTCAGCAATACGAACTCAATGAATGAGAAATAACAAACCTTCTTATCACATCCGTCACAGCGCCAATCCCAATCATCCACTACCCGTACCTGTGGCAGGGGACTCGTGGAAGTCGAGGAGACCGGTTTTGGAGCATTGCTAGGAGACGGACGAGGATATGAAGTCTCCTTAATTATTGGCGCGATTGGATTTGGGTGTGGAGACTGTGAGTAGTTTGATGTGGGGCGGTATTCGTCTTGGACTGGGTATGCTTTCTTGGACGGCGGATATCTTGACATACTGTAAGAGTACGACTCTTCATTGTTGTCGGAAAACCACTATTCCTCAATCAGTCCATGCAGTGGAAAAACTTGGAACATGCGTACCCCAGAAATTATGTTTCCAACATCTCGCTCAGCCTGCTTCTTTGATATGGGTTCAAAGTCCCGTCTTTCTTCATCCCTCTCCTTCTCTTCCAATTTATCTTTCCTCTCTGAGTCTTTACTGGACTTCGAGTCTCCTTTCATCTCTATCTTACTTCTCTCTTCCATCCTGTACATCTCCAACCTTCTCTTCTCTTCTTCTACCTGCTCCTTCACGATTCTGATCTTCTCTTCTTGCATCCGCAGAGCCGCATCTTCTGCAGTCCTAGAGTACCTTTCGGTCTCTACCGGTGGTCTCAGCAAGCCCAACGAAAAATATGGACTTCGCCGCATATTTTCCAGACTATCTTTCTGTGTGTCTGATATGGTTATCCTTTCTCGTCCTTGAGAAACCTTCTCACGTTCTGTTTTCAAAGGTCTACTGATATCTAGAGGTTGCCGGATTAGAGTTAGTGTCAGAATAGCTTCATAGTCTTCATTTCCATATATCCCACCAAATCCTTTCATGCTGAATTGCATGGGATTTTGACTCGTCGCGGACTGAAGACTGCCTGACGGCGTGGTAGAAGCCGTCAAGGAAGTAGGTTGCCGTGGAGCTTGGCCTGAGTGAAGTGGTGGACCTGTCTGAGGAGATGGAAGTTGATACATCCAGCAAGTCGTCATGAACATGAACATATGCTGGACTTGCTTGAGCCGATCTTGCTGTTTTACAATCTTCTTCTCGTCACAAAAGGCATATTTCAGCCGTTGTTGGTAATCAGGCTTCTTGGAACCTGGCGGTATCATCTCATCAATTTCCTTGAGAATAACCCTACACTATTTTCTGGTCAACATGCTTCTAAGAGGACTACGGCTGTCCTCACCTGCATCACCAACGCCGCAGCATCCTGCTCGAACTTTCTCGGGAAGCTCTGCCCTGCGCTATCGACACTTTTGGCGAAAACATCAACAAGACCTGCGCATAATGTGACTTGACCAGCGATCTCAATCAATTGTTTCGGCGCTGAGCGAAAGGCTTGGTAACGGTCTGTGAGGGTGCCAGCGAGTTTGTTCGCGGCTTCTGTGAGTGCTACGGCACCGACTACGATCGAGAAGGGGTCCATTGTAGTGACGTTCTGTACCTTCACGTTGGATAGGATGAGGTGAGGTTAGGTCTGTAAAGGCAGGTCGCCGCAGTGTTATGGGACAAATAGGATGCATATGCAGGACTCAGCCGCAGGCCACAGCCACCACCAAATTCTGACGTGCATTTTGGGTTCATGTTGCACCAATTGTATGAGTTCGAGATGTGCCTGGGAAGTGAAAAGGCGAAAAGCTTGTAAAGACAATTATCTATCCGAGTTGTAAGTTTGATTCGGCTCTTGCCCGCTATCTGATATCAAGTTCACACACAGTGCAGGACTAGAACGATATGTTGCCATACATAGGATTTCGTATGAAATGTAAGCAGAGGGGCTAGCAGACTCAGCAACTTCAATTGATCAATCCTAGAAACATGGTCTGCCACTTGCCGTAATAGAGGACAGCCAAAAAGATGACTTTCGTCTCTGGTCATGCATTGCTGCTGTGCAGTCCTTAGATCTTGAGGCAGTCTATGATAACTATCGAGATCGGACCCGATATTGTGTATCTCCAAGTCTCCTTCACCAGACTAAATCGAGTGCCTACGCGTTTGGCTTTGTTGTATTCTCACGTTGATGGTCCTAAAATGATCTTGCGGGACTTCTTGGTCTCTGGGTATCGGAAGGTCGTCCGCATGGAAACTAATGCTGTGTCATTTGACTCGAAAGTGTATTCTAGCTGTTACGTCAAGGAATAAGCAAAAATAAAGTCTCTTCACAGGCAGGAAAACTATATCTTGACAACATCCCCCATGAACTCACTTGAGCCCTGGCATCCCGCCGTCAAGGCCCAATTCTCCCAGAAATCCCAACTCCACATCCATTTGTCCGGCCCGTATCTGTGCTCCGACGAGATGCTCTAACGTCACAACTCTTCAGAAGGCTAGTTTATCAATCTTCGGCTCACTGCTATCGTAATAGCAGTACGACTCCTCGAACAAAAAGGTCACCCTGGAGTGCGTAGGAGGAGTTTCGAAGAGCCGTTTTCAATCCCGTACGCGCAATCGTTTCACAGAAAACTCAGCCGAAAATGTGGAATGTTGTCGTATTGTGATCACACCAGAAGATTGACTATCTCAGCAAATGCCTCCAGCCCATTCCTTCGCCCAGGTGCAATTCCTCCCAATGCCATATCATCCCAGCCCGAAATCCGCAAATCTGTTCGCCCATTAGCACCCTGCCTTCTGCGTGTGCTTGCCATTATATCGTACCAAAACGCCTCGAGGATGCATTTATCTTTGCGAGCTTCCACTCCAGACATTCTTCAGGAGACCATCGCGCTGTGCCAATCTATTCAACGAATCGTCGCTCTCGCCCATAGCACGAACGAAGCCGCACAGTGCGTACACTTGTGACTCTCCAGTGAAACGGCCGTTCTCGTCAACCTTTCCGACGGAAATCTGGACAGATGCGTGATCCTTGGCCTTGATGATGCGGTTGGTCGCAGAGCACTTGCGAGGAACATAGCTACAATCAAAGTCAGCATATCCTTCCGAATGGCACATTTCCCTAAATCTCTGCCATTCCTCCTGTCGGCGCTTCTTTGCAATTCTCTCTCCTGACTCTACCACCCCGCCAATTCGCGGTCCACTGCACAGCTATCGCACACTTTTCGGAATTGGGCGCAGACTCACAGATCAACGAGCTCTCCCTTGTCATTCTCCATTTTGGCGGTAGTTGTAGAGGTGAGGGTTTCGATGAGGTTGTGTGAGGTTGTCGTTGGCGTTGAGAAATTTCGAGATCCAAATGTTGGAAATTCTGTGCTTGAGCTAGCCCCACCTAGGGCGGATAAGCGAGCTATGGGGAAGTCACGATTTTGGCGTGTCTTTGGCGTTTGGCGGCAAGTGCCATCTTCGCGCCAAACCTTACTGTGATTGTTTATCAAAGCATCAACTTCGTCTCACAATTCGAAGGAACAACCCTGACTACCAGTGCTTCTCCTCAATTATACAGAAGTATCACTCCTTTGGGATATGACTGCCCAAGATAGCGACCCTGTCGTACCTTCCTCTCCTTTCGAATTGCGCCAGGCGCAAAGCCTACTCAATTACTGCAAAAATGGCTAACGTCTACATTATCTCGTCCTCTCCACCGGCTCGGGATTTGTCAATCTTCGACATGCCTCCATCCTCACCATTGCCTTCGGTCAAGGATATTCTGAAGAAGAAACCTAAAGCTCTGCAAACTGGCAGTCGCGCGGCCCCGATCCCACAATATGCGACAGCAACATTCACGAGTGCAGCTACGCTCCTCCAGATCGCACCGTCGGAGGACCTTGAATCGAATAAGGACGAAGACTCTGCAAAGTCTGCGAAGCCCAAGCGACGCAAAGTTGTTGCAAAGAAAGTCGACAATGGAGAAGCGAAGGTGGCGAAACCGAAGAAAGTGGCTGTCGGAAAAGCCAAAGTAGACGGAGTGGAAGAAGTGAAGAAGCCCCGAAAGTCAAAACCAACAGTTGTTGAAGGAGCTGAAGACGGCGCAGTCATTACAAAAGCACTTCCGGCGCGAAAATCTCGGGCAAAGAAGGCTGAGAAGAAAACGGAAGATGAGACCGTAAAAGAAAAGCCAGGACGAAAGACAAAAGCCAAAAAGGACACCGAATCTCAGACTAGACTACCTAAGGGTAAAGTCACAAAGGCTTCGACTGCGTCATCAAAGAAGGTTGCTTCCAAAGTCGGCCCGGATCCATTTCAGGACTCCTTAAACAATGGATTGGTAGAGGCTGTTCGAAGGAGGATTACTTGGACTCCGCCTCCGCAGTCAGGCATGCAATCTTTTACAACTCCTGTAGACGTCGGGCTGCTTGATGGGAGTGTATCAGCTTCCTCGCTGTTCTCTGAAGAGAAGAGTAAAGGCTTCACGGATCTACTTGGCAAATTTGGTTTCACAAAAGCAGAAGGCAATGTCCAGAAGCCCACAACAGCCGTGGAAGCAGTTCGAAAGCGGAAGCTTATTGAACTGGTGAAAACAAGCGCTGCAACGGTTACAGCAGCATCTCCCGAAAAAGTACCTAAGAAGAAGCCAAGGACGCTCACAGATCTGGCAACTTCTGCCTATGCCAAGGAGGAGGAATTACCACAGGCAGTTTCTGCACCATTGCTGCAATACTTTTCTCTCCAGGCTACGGAGTGGACTACATCAGATGGTTTCAAGATTCCATCAAAGCCACGATCGAAGAGCCCTGTCAAACGAGGATCGAAAGTGAAGAAGGGCTCGGCACAGGCTCCCATTCTCCTGTCTCCCGAGTCTGCCATGAAGCAAGTTGGCAGACAAGACTTTGTGTTTGGTACATCTAGTCAATTGGCAAGGGAGGATTCACCTACCCTTCTTCGTGATTTACACGAGGCAATGCAAGCTTCCAACGTGGCAGATGTTGACCCATTTGCTGAGCAGTTAACTGAGTCGGTCTCGCAGACTTTATCCAACCGAGGGGTGTCTAATGTGTCTGCTAAGCGGAATCTTTGGTCTGCTGCGTCACGCGATATTGCGGGCAACCTGCAAAGCGTTGAGTTAGTGGACCTGATAAACACTCCAATAGCCACAAGAACTGGAGCTCCCCAGCCTGCCATTGATATACTGACTTCAGTGATCGACGAAGACAACGATTTCTGGCATGATGTAGAAGAGATAAATCAGACATTAACCCAGAATCTGCAGCAGATTGAGTCACTATCACAAGCTGACCCCAAGGAAATTTCTACGGGAAGGCTGTGGGCAAGTCTTACTGAAAGGCCGATCTTGACAGATCCGTCCCAAGAGTCAATCTTACCTGCGTCGAGCCAACCGCCAACGGTCAGTCAAGCAGCCCCTGAAGCTGCCAAGAAACCTGCAAAGACCAAACAAATTTTACAACCCGATTTCTCTTCATACACAACAGCTCAATTGGCTAAGGAAATTGCATCGTATCGCTTCAAGCCTATCAAGAGTCGAGATCAGATGATTCTTCTCCTGGAAAAGTGCTGGGAAGGAAAGAACAGAACTGCCTTGGCTGCTTTAGGCACAAACACTGCTCCTGTTCCACGGGCGGACACTTCAAAAACAGCCTTCTCCACACATAATCAAATGGAAGCATCTCCAAAGCGACCTCGTGGGCGACCGAGAAAAGATAGTACGACCGTATCACCAGCAAAAACCAAGCCAAAAACTACACGGAGGAAGTCGTTGGATACTGTGGAGTATTTAGAAATGGACAGTGACACGCCATTATCACAGCTTCGAACACCAAAGAAATCGCAGAAGAGATTGAAAGAGCCTGTCGAGGATATATTCGACCCAGAATCTATAATGACACCATCACCACCCCGACGTAAAGGATCGCCGAAAAGAACCAAAGCCCTCACGTTGAAGATTTCAAGCTCAGTCAGCGACGCTAGTCTTGAACTATCCCCCACATCGTCTCAGAGACTTCTGTTCAGACACATAACTTCTGCGGTGACCAATGCACCATCAGCCAAGAATTCCACAAATCCTAGCTGGCACGAAAAGATCCTTTTATACGATCCAATCATTCTGGAAGACTTAACGGTATGGTTGAACACTGGTGCTTTGGAGAAAGCTGGTTGGGATGGAGAGGTGGATCCGAAAGAGGTCAAGAAGTGGTGTGAGAGTAAGAGTATATGTTGTTTATGGAAAGAGAACTTGAGAGGTGGTACGAGGAGTCGGCATTGATGATTGCCTGGATGGTATAGGCACAGCCCCGTAATGTGCTACCTGTCTTGAACACGAAATATGCTTTTCGCTACTCCCCTGCCCAGATCATTGACTGTCCCACATGCGCCGATAATTCTCGTGCAAGGCACACCTAATGTCCTTTCTCCGCTTCCGTCGTCATTTATTGCGTGTTCCGTACTGTTCGCACAAACTACTGTGTCTTGGTGGTATTACCAGATGGCAAGGAAACTAGGATGTTTCCTTTGTGACCCTACCTCTTGTCTTGAGTCTCGCTTTGACAGCGCGCTTTCCACGAAGCGATAATTTCCAGCCTCATCCTCCCATTTCCCTTCATCATCGAAGCGAGTCACCCGCATCAATTGTTCAATCATCATCATTCCAGCTACCGGGGATCTTTTTGATCTTTTCCTCGTCGGCTTGTGCTTCGACCCAGGCCCAGAAGTCTGTTGCCCATGGGTTCGAAGCGTAGAGATCTTCAAACTCGATGTAGAAGTCGTCTGGTGTTTCTCCAATCCAAAGCTCTAATAGCTCGACGTTACATATGGTAAAATTCCCATCACTGTCCCACACCTTTCTTTCTGATGCCCATGTTGTTTCACAGTTCTTGTACATTTCGTTTTCAACTCGTCCGTATTCCGCAAGATCAACGCCAGCACGTTTGAGAAGCTCCAGCCACTCCTTGATAACATACTTTTCAGTAGGGCGTTGCGCGATATCGCAGAGCAGTTCTAATAACGGAGTGTGTCCATCGTGTGAGATCGAGTGTATATCTGCACCTGCATGGATTATGTCCAGGATAAGTCTTTCGAGACTGAGCCGGTTTTGCACCTCCAATATCGTGCTGAGCCACCAACAGTTAATAAGTAAATTGAAAAAAAGGCCTTCTTCGCATGTGCCATGCGCAAATTCCTGAAGTGTCTCTTCTGTGATTAATTGGCAATATGAGTCAAGCAAGTTCACATCATAGCAGAACCAAGCTTGAGCCAAAATAATATTCACATGGTCCAATGGCTGCATGGTCTTCAGATCCCAATCGCTCTCTTGAAGAAGCCAGCTGGCAGAAGATGCTGTTCCTGTATAAGCATGTAAGGCTGTTCGCGAGTACTGGTCTTCGAGCATAGTGTCCGCGCCGATTGCCATTAAGGTCTTGATGGCTCTGTCGAAATCTTGGCTAATCTTGGTACCACCGTCAGGTAGGATCTTCTGTCGGTTGAAAACTTGCCTTCCTTCCGTTGTTAAGATTCTTCCGGAGTGTAAAAGTAGATGCAGGGGTGTTCTGCATTATCAGCGTTGACTGTGAGACTAGGGTTGAGGATTCTTTACGAGTAAGCAGGCCAACCACGAAATGTCTCGGTACTTGGCAAGTCTTCTTCATATTCATAACAGCCTTTGCCTAACTCTATTTCAAAGAAGTCCAGACATAATTGCCCGTGCCAGGATGTTCGAGCATTGATGTCTGCGCCATGCTCAAATAGGAACTGGCAAATCTCAGGGCGGGCATATAAAGCTGCGTACTACTTCAAATGTAAGCGGAAGCATCCGAGTTGACTTGAGCTGAGGTTGGGCAGCCTTACATGCAGTGGCGTCCTTCCGTCTGGGTCGATCTCAAAAGGTGAAGCTTCTCCAGTCGCGAATAAGATTTGTAATCCAGCTACATTGCCGTCCATACAGTAATCGAAAACCTTCGCCTCGTAGGAAACCATTCGATACGAGCGGAAGCTCTGGTCCCAGCCTTGACGAGACTTCATCATTCTCAACTCGAATCTCCTGGCATATATCCACTTCGGTAGGCCAAAGTATACAGATGTTGTTGTGTTATGCTCACCGGCGGCTAGGACAATGGAAACTAAGCCAGATACCAAATTCATGCCAGCTTGGCTCTTCAACCGGGCTCGCTGGCGGATATGTTCATAGATATGGATGCCGGTTTCCTTCTGCGACATCTCGATAACAGCTTCTTCTTCAACTTCTTCTTCTTCTTCTTCTTCTTCTTCTTCTTCTTCTTCTTCCTCAACCCGAGTTGCATTGATACACCGTGGCAGGTTTTGTTCACATGAACCGCTTGGACGTGGATCGGTCATCACAAAGGAGCGTATCTGCACCACCTCCCGTTCCACGATACTCTGGTGTCGCTCATGGCTCCTTCGTAAGTCCAGGACGTCCTGCTCTAAGCTACTCCATCTCTGGCTCTGGGTGGCTTGGTAGTATATCTGATTCGCAAGTTGCATTGTCGTCTTGGCGCTTTCGATTTTCTTTCGGAAACTACAATCACCATTAACACAAGATCTTCCATCTTCCGTCAAGAGGCTAAGCCTTACTCATCCATCTCCCCCTTCTTCATCACAGTCGCAAATCTCGCCTTAATCTTCCCTTTCCCCTTTGTACCCCCTAAGCCCTCCTCTAACCTCGTAACAATAGCCACCAAACCCTCTGTTGCCGTCTTACATAGCCTCCAACTCTTCATGATAGCTACTTTAACCCGCGGATTCAGAAACACCTGTTCTTGCATAGATCTATCAACATCCTCGAGTATCCCACTCAGCGTCTCGAGTTCCTCGATGGCAAACAGGACATCAGCAGGCGCCGATTGCATCAGGCTGTAGAAAGTCTTCAGCTTGTTAATTGTTTCTGCTATTTGGATCGCAAGCGAGACCACAACGAAACCACTGGCGACTGCGCCTAAGGTTTCAGCCATGTCGATGGAGGTTGACGGGAGAAGTTGGGACGAGTTGGAAATCAATGAGAATCGGAGTGGGAGGAAAGAGAAAACAGGAAGGGCATCAGGGAGATGTGATGAGCTGGTCGTGGGAACTGTGGCTTGGCTCATGCAGCCTTGCGTGAAGCCTATCTTGTGTGACGACGCAGGGATTGACACCACTGCCTTTGGGGATTGGCTGCATATGAGACCTCCATGCCTTTTGCAGGCTCAGAAATGGAGTCTCCTAAAATGGGTTTGCGACCACGATCGGGCCTTACATCTTTGCGTATGTTGTGGTAGCCACCTCTTCGGTCGGGCTTGGCGTCTATGCTGAAATCTTGTGCTTTGTCGAGCGGCAGTAACGGTCAGTTTTGAAGAATTATTTCCTCATCATATAGCTCAAATTAGCACAGGTTTCGACATCTGGATCGAGTCTGGTTATGCTTCAGAGAGATTTTTGGGTGATACTCATTCCAATTTGGGTTTTCTGTCACTCGTTGTATCAGGGGTAGACCTTCCACTTGCTAGGCAGGAAGCTCGGGGTTGCATGAAGTTATTGTCTGAAATGAAGGCTTTCTAATTTTGTGACTGATTTAGCTGTATTCATGTTCATTCTAGTCCTGACAATGTCCGGTTTTGCTCTATGATACTCCCACAGGAACTCAAGAGCTTGAACCGCCGCTCTCACAGATGCTCTTGAGACTTTTGCTTGTCGCCACTGTGAATTGTCTTTGAAGGTGCAAAGACCTCGGACCCTGTGATGACAGTTTCTTGAAGGTCACTGTTGGCCAAGAACTCCTCCACGAACTGTAGAATTCCGTAATCAGATCCTGCGCAGTGTAAGTAATGAGTGGACTATGATAAGGTGACTTCACAAACCCGGAGCTCCCACAATGCCAGCTGCAACAGGCAGTCTCTCTTGTCTCTCTGTCACCTTTGAGTCGTATGACCATGTCCCAACTAAATTAGTCCGTCAGTTTCGTTCATGCATTGCTAATGTGTTACTTACTTGGAAACACGAATTCTGGCCCAGTCGAAAAGCTGGTTATGTAGGAGGACCAAAATCCACGACCGAAAGAATCGTTGGGGATGCTGAGAAAATAAGCAATCTTATTGAAGATGCTCTGGGTATTGTGACTTACGGTTTTGTGGTATCTCGGTAGTTTGCGAATCCTGCAGTCCAGGGAAGTACAAGAACAGATTCCAAGAGTGACCCAGATTCTGGATCAAGTACATTAGCTTCGAACCATGTTTTGTATAATTCTACCTGCTTCACTGCTGCACCCCTCTGTTCATCAGTCGTATTCTTTCCGAACTTCCTACAGCAAAAATTAGCGAGAATTACGAGAAAGAGGGGAACGCTTGCCATCTGTTTGCGATACTCGGCGGGAGGTACGGGTTTCGTCCAAATTTCTTGTTATAATCAGAGACGAACTGGCGATTGTTGTGCCATGAGTCGTAGTTGAGAATATATTCGTAGGTCTTTAGAAGAGTCAGTGCCAATGTAAGGTTCCGGTGAGGAAGATCGTCTACTTCCCTTGAGGAAATACTCATCGAAGGTCTCTGTGGATCTGTGCGGCGATTTATCTAACCAGAGCGCAGAAAAATCTACAGGTGTTCGTTTCACGCCTAGGTAGGCTTCCAGCTTCGCCACGAAACTCTCGAAAACATCGAGGACTTGCTTGTTGGTAGACATAGTCCGCTCCCGAGAAGGGTCAGTGTAGTCGAGCGGGTAAAGTATTCTCGTTGGTTTCTTTGCCTAAAATCAAATGTGGTCAGCTCTGCGGATTCACACTAGAATTGAACATACCGTCGATAGAGGGAAACGCTGAGCACCGAACCATTTATGAGCGAAATTATTCACAGCCTTGACATCGCGGGAAAGAAAAGCTGGAACATCGAATTGCCTGGAAAGAAGACGTCAGACCATGGAGCGACTGCAAGATTTATCAATACAAACAAGCTGCTAGGAATGATCCCGTCCATCGGCATAACATCAAATGTAGGCTTGAAGCCGAAAAGTCCACAGTGAGCAGCAGGCCATCGAATACTGCCGCTTGCTACGCCATAAATTAGTATATCGAGCTTTGGACTTTTGCACTTGCTCACTGTCTGTTCCGATGGCATAGTCCAACCATTCATATGATGCAAGAGCAGATCCACTGCCTGAGCTGCTTCCTCCAGGGACGACATATCCATCGCCGCGGGGATTGAAGGGAGCATGGGTATCGATCCAATCTCCCGTAGGAATCTGTCGGTCCGCAAATGTTGTCGTTTTTGTCTTCCCCACGATGATAGCACCAAGATCGATCAACTTCTGTACGCTAGAAGCAGATTCTGTGCATTCCGGATACAGCTCTCTGTAGCTTCGACTTGAACCCGCAGTTTTGACACCTTTAAGATTGTAGATGTCTTTGACCGCGACGCGGACACCATGCAGAGGCTTAGCATCATCTGGAGAGAAATACAACCTGGATGGTACAGCGATGGTGTTCACGGGTGCAAAAACAGACACATCAAATGGGATGTAACTAGCCACATGTAAGTCATACTAATATCAGGGGATGAAATGCTCACGATGAATCAACGCTCGGATCGGCGATAGTACTCAGATAGAATGCCTCTGAGGTATCGGGGTACATTTTCCAAGCTTGATACAAGTCTTTTCCTTGTGCAAAGTATGGGCCAGCTTTCCAAGGCTGATTGCCAACCAGCTCCCACCTCTGCATTCCATGTTTCTTGAGAACTTCAATGGCCGACGAGTCTAGCTTGATTTCCATCGAGAGAATATCAGCTTGGGCGATTAGAACTACTTGCATGAAGTCGTGGTTGAATACATCGTCATTGGTAAGGAAGTTCGCAATGATCTTCTCGACCAATGTACCGTTCAGATGTTGATGTGGGCTTTGAATTACTGTGACTGGCTGAAGGGCTGTTGTCTCAAAGGGTAAACGCTGAGAATGGTCAGCACATGCGCGAATATTGTGAGGATGTACTGACTCCTACGGACTTGGGATATGCGTAGAAGGCACCTGTAGCCAACCGCATCCAGCTCTTGGAAGCCATGCTTGATCGAGATTCGCGTCCAGGTTGGAGGAGGGTAGCAGTGAGGTGATGCCGAGGTTTTAGAGGTGGTAACGCAAGTTAGGTTGGAGATATCGAGAAGTGAAGGCAGAGTAGATTTTCGCGCTAGTACGCTTTCGATCTCGCTTGTTGGTTGTTTCTCTTTGTCGAGCGCGTTTCTTTGTCACCTTTCCAGCACACGTTCTGTTGGAGTGTGAGAGTGAATATGATCCTTCTGTGTTCGAGTATCTCAATTGCGGGCGGAGCAGATTCAACTTTGGGTAGGAAAGGAGCAGTATCGCTTGGAGCAGCCGTCGCTAGTCAACTACGCTGGACCACCTTATAACCTGACCCATTTCCACAAGTCTGGGTAAGAGCGCTTTGTCACTTCATTCGATGATCGGGAGTCACTAGATACTGTTTCCGATTCCTCTGCGGGCATTCTTGGTCATTATTATCCCTCCATTACCAAAGTCGTTGAGATTACGATGACTCGAGTAATTAGACCCAGAAGAACAATTGTGGAGGCGAAGCTGGCAGCATTTTCGATGGCACGATTGCAGAGCATCAAAAATTCTTCGACCATGTAGCTCTGGGACGAGGGCGAATACCATGGCTCTGACAGTGGCCTTGCCTACCAAAAGAAGTCCGAGTTCCAGCACAGGTGAACATATCTTCGAGGCTCTTCGCTATACTGACAGACTGTAGATCTTGATTTTATGGATCGGATTCTGCAAGACGCTCAATCCTGGCACGCTGCCGCTGCAATGTGTAAAGGGAAAAATTCACACCAGCAAAAAATTTCAGACAGTCATCGACGATAAGCTTCCTGTGTTGGTACCGTCTACCTCTATTCAGCTGTAAGATGCCATTATCCAAGCCTTTATCTAGCTCGATCGTAGGTATGTGCTCTAGTCTAATCCCCATTCAAAGGATCAAAAATACCATAACTTCAACCACCTCGAGCTCTATGCATTCAAAGCTTCGCGTCTTTCCCTACCTCCTGCTGATCCCTCTCCTCCCCTAAGACTTCCCTCCTCCACCTAACATCCACATCTCTCGGCCCCTCCTTGCCAAATTTCACAAGCACCACCCTCTCCTCATCCCCACCCCTGGTACTCCCCTTTAACTCAGGCCCCGGCTTATCCAGTGCCAAGACACTCCTTCCATCACTCTTCCGCATGAGAAGCCCCGTCGGACTCATGACCTTGTCCGCCCATGTGATGCCTTTGCCGTCGCCTCCATCTCCTTTCAAGAACTCTAAGACAGAATCTCGTTGGGCTTGGAGTTGTGATTGGGAAGGTGTTGACAGTGGGGTGAGGAATGGCGCTAGTAGGTACATGAGGTAGAATTGGGGTGGGAAAAGGATTATTTCGTTTTTGCGGGCTCGGGAGAGCCAAGTTGAACACGGGGCGAAGAGGGCGGCTGTATGTTCTAGACCGCCGTCTGATGTTGGGGGTGGGATTACGGATTCTGTTATGGAGTTGGATGATGAAGTCGTGGTTGAGGTTGTGTCCTGGGTGAGAGGGAGGAAGTAGATATACATTTGGGTTGTGAAGCGTTTGGGGACGTTTGTGGGCGTGATCCAGCGTGAGAAAGGATGCAGGGAGTCTGTATTCTTAATTACTATGTCTTCTTCGCTAAGGAGCAACCAGATCACAGCAAGAGAGAAGAATGGGAGAGATTCAAACTCACCAATATCAACCACACCACCCAATCCCTCCACCCACTTCTCAAATGCAATCTTCCCCTCATGTACATCCCTCCTTCCTTTCTCTCTTACTTCATCTTCCACCTCCAGTAAGCCCACTCCATCTTTCCTCCTTGCAAGTAAAATCCCACTCTCCTCAAAGCATTCTCTGATAGCACCAATCCTGTAACTCCGTCCATCTACATGTCTATCCTTATCATTTGGAGCGGGGATATGTCCATCACTTGGCGAGAGGTTTCCGCCGGGGAAGACGTGTGCCGATGGGAAGGAGGAGGATGTTCGCACGCGGTGGAGGAGGAGGATTTGGTTCTTGGGAGAGATGAGGAGGATGCTGTGTAGGCGTGATGTTAACATTGAATACAATGTGGTAACTGTACTTTGGGCGGGGATTGAACAAGGGAATGTACCTGGCACTCGGTCGAGGCTCAGAGATTTTCTTCGCTGCTTTTGTAGACATGTACTGCTTCTCCAGCTCTACCCGGGGAGGTGCCATAATTCCTGTCCTATATCTTTCAACTTGTCTCCTCGAGTTTGCGCTCAGGTCCACTCTCAACACCCCACCTGTTCTCGAAAGTCTGCCGCGTTGAAATGTAGAGGTGGAAATTGCGCGGTAAGTGTCACCGATCGGGGATCTGATCCTGGGGACAGCTTGAAACTGTGAGGCTCGTCGGAAATACAGGATCCTCGCGCGATGGATATTCATTGAGCTGCGTGGGAGGACGTGGTGTAGCCATGGTGTTGACCTCGTCATAGGATGGTCGTCGTTGCGGGGGCGGCTTTCCCGAAATCTGGGGAGCCGAGGTCCCAGACGATTTTGAGTTGGGCCCGGGGCCCCTGACTTTGGCGAGTTTGTTGACAGCCCGTGCTGTGACGTTTGCCGAGCTCCTTCACATGTTTTATTGTCCTCTGCTTCCGATTTCCTTTATTTTCTGCAATGAGCTAGCTAGTAAATTCATGGCTTGCAATAGTTGGTCTTTTCATACAGCTATGAATTGGTTTGATAGTAATCGTCTTTTTCCATCAGTTCCCGTTTGGGACAATAATCAAGGCCCCTGGTCGCCAATAGGTAAGGCTGCCTCCGAAACCCCGGTTAAGCTTTGACAACCATGAGTTTTCGCATATCAGCATAAGGACAAAATGCGAGAAACAAGCATGTAAGATCTTATCTCGGGATTTCGGTTGCTATTCATCTCTTCTCCCATATTTCTCTCCAAAATTTCCATCTAAAGCTCCCCTCTTGAACCACAATCCTCCTCGAATGCCACAATCTGTGATTATTTCAAACCATATCAAAAAATCGTCATACGATTTAGAGGTACTCAATCCTTCTTCCCACATCTCCACATCCCCACATCCAAACCTACTACCTCTCCATCTCCATCCTCTCCCTTTTCCTGATCTGGCAATCCCTCCTCGACCAATTCTACGGATTGTCCCTCCCGCATTAAACCTTGACATGGCATGGGAACTGGTTTTCTCTTTCTATGTATCTGAGACCCTCTAGAGAAAACTGCGTTTCTGATCTGGTTGGTCATTGATCTGGGGGTGTTGTATGGGCTATTGAACTCTGGGAGAAGAGGGAGGAAAGAATGTGATTGGAGTGGGTGGTGCTGGTGATGAGGCTGTGGTGTACGCTGGTTATAGAGGTGGTTTTTCGCTGGTGTGTAGAAAGACGTGGGGAGAAGGAGGGGAAGGCTTATGGATGGATGAATAGAGGGTTGAGGTGCTTTTCTTAAGTACTTATGTTTCCTAAATCTGGACTGTTGGCTGACTTGAATAGTAACAGTGGTTGCGAGTCAGGTGTATCTTTCTGTTCCTCGTCTAGAGTCTTGGGCTCACAGCTTAGCTAATATGCTAATTAGGATGGGTGTGGTATTGCTGGCTGGAGGGACATGAGTATTTCAAGAACCCTTTTTCAGTCTTGAGTCGGGCTCTGGCTTTTGTTGCCGATATGGTCCATCGAGTTGTTTTTGCAGATGTCGGAACGACTGAAAGGATTGGGCCTGATGGGAGAAAGATGGCTGAAGACTTGGGATTTGAAGGAAAAGGCCAGGTTGATGGTCAACGATTCGATTCCGTAGCCACTCTAAATCTCAACCAAGGCGTTCAAGAAAATATCCTCCTATACAGTTCTTTTGCCAAACCGTCTCCATACGCCAGATCCCCAACGCCATGCATCCCATTCCCAGTTTCAAACCCCCCCATATTCATCATTCCTCATCTGGGTAAAGCTCGTCAACATTACTAAACTCCACATCGAACTGCCCTCTCTCCGCCCAGCACTCCTCATCCGCAAATGCAAACGCCAACATTGCACCATCCTTGATGCCCAAACTTCTCGGCGACTCCTTCAATCCCGCAGCACTAAACGCTAACTCATCCCATCCCTTCTCCATATCATACTTATCCTTGGGCACGCCGAGTACAACATCGATTCCAGATTTGGGGATTGTGAGGGGTGTTGGGGACGTGCTGGATGGGAGACCTTCGGGATATCGCTCATGGAGGGTTGCGAGAAGCTCTTCGAGGATGGTGGGGAAGGTCGTGAGGGGCTCGACAAAGAGGAGGATGGTTTGTTTGCCGTGCTTGAAGCGCAGGGTGTAGGCGGTGGATTTGATCTCGTCTGCGGACGTCTGGACGTGTTAGCTTTGTATATGTCTGTAAACCCACGGGGCCCGAACCATTTTGTTGTCCTTTTCGAAGTGGAAATACCAATCGTGCTTCAACTCGAGGTTGTTAGGGCGTCTTCGAGATGGTGACAAGGGGTGAAAGAATGCCCCTCACAAGCAGACGAAAGGACAATCGCGAAAACGGCACGCTTCACGTGATAATCTACAAGGATTCGAAATTCAGACAAGCAATAGCACCAGAAAGTAATCCTTCAGCCTCGCGCAACCATCAGCGTTGATCCAACGCCACTTCATCATGTCGACTTCAATTGAAGAAGAAGAAGCTCAAAAGCGAGCAGAATGGCGTGCCGAACAAATTCGCCAACTGCGAATCGACTCCCGATTCTCTTTTCCCTTCGGTATGCGTCTCCCCATCGCAACATCCATATCCTTCGTCTCAGGCCTCGTCCTGGGCATGTCACACGGTAGCCAGATGGCAGGGTTCCGATTCAGAGCAGAAAATGCGCATAGATTACCGACGACGCCTACGGGCTGGTACCTGTATCACAAGAGCAAGAATTACAACATGGCGCTTGGTGGAGTCAAGGAGGGATTGAAGATGGGCGCGAAGGTTAGCTTTTGGACGGCGGGATTCTTTAGTATAGAGGAGATGTTTGATCGGTATAGAGGGACAAAGGATTTTATCAATACGGTTATTGCGAGTTTGTCTATTGCTGGGGGGTTCTCGCTGTGGAGTATGCTGCCTCTCGATCCCTATCCGTGTTGTTGTTTGCATACTAAGCTAATCATCATAGACCGGTTCCCTATCACCACAGCTGCCAGAACGGCGAAGACTTCATTGGCTATTGGATTGGCATATGGACTTGCACAGGACGCAGTGGGAGCAGCAAGAGGTAGACCGCTCGGATGGGTGGATTTCATACGCCGTGGGGGAAGACGAAAAGAGGCAAACACCAGGGCCGATACTCAGAGTACCGGTACTTCCCAATTAGCATGATCGTTATGCCGCTCCAGACGTCTGGCTGAAGCTCATCTTGATCCGGTGTTATCTAACAACAGCACCCAATTACCCAATCGTCATCCGCGATGCACCCCACTTTCTCCGCCAGCCTGCGCCCCTGACCCAACAATGCCGGCTATCGTCGGGCTGATTAGCGACATCATCGCGATATCATGGGGATACCCCTCCAAATGCAAATGGACTGGTAAGATACGAGTGATCTTTGGTCCCGAGTTCGGAGTTTCCTTTCTTCAAATATCAGGTGTTAATCCTTCCATCTATCTCTACTTTCATTCCTGTCCATCATTTCACTCTGTCCAACAATTCACTTGTCAATTATCTCGTTATCTTTGGCAGCTACGGGTGTCTCCCAACATGGCGATAACAAAGGCTTTGAAGAGCAGGAATGCTTCACTACTTTCCACAAGAGCTATTTCCTCCCAGACGTTACCTCGTCGATCGTCTATTGCCTCAGATCATACAACTTCCGACAAATTTCCTTTATCACAGACAATTACCGTCAAATCGCCACCCAAGATGGCCAAACCAACCCCCCTATCAATTCTCCCATTAAGTTCAATTCTGAGATCGTTGGCCACAATGTCAATCTCTTCCTCACCAGTAAGCAATCTATACTTTCTCGATTGGCATAATTTAACATTTCCCAGCTCCTCCTCCGCCCCTCCTTAGCCATCATGGCCAAACTCGCACATTCACAATCAGCCCTCCTCTCCCCCGATTCCAATCCCCTCCTCCGTATCTTCCTCAAACGAACATTCTACAAACAATTCTGCGCCGGCGAAAACGAAGCCGAAGTAAGACAGACCGTCGACAGTCTCCGCAACCTCGGATTCAGCGGCGTCATCCTCGCGTACGCCAAAGAAGTCGTACTCGACAAGAAACAAACCGACGCTCTCGCGTCATCTGGAAACAACGAGGCAGCAGAGGCTTTTATACGCAATGAGATTATACCATGGGCAAACGGCACTTTGGAAACTGTGCGCATGACGCGACCAGGGGATTACGTCGCGCTTAAGTTCACGGGTGCGGGATCGCAGGCTCTGTACGATCTCTCGCGACAGGCAGATCCTTCGCCGGCGCTGAAGGAAGCGATTGATTCAGTGTGTGATCTTGCTGCGGAGAAAGGCGTCAAGCTGTTGTTTGATGCGGAACAAGCTGCTTTACAGCCAGGCATTGATGCTTGGACGCTGAAATACATGGAGAAGTACAACAAGACTGCGAATGGAGAGGCGGTTATATATGGCACGTACCAGGCATATCTGAAGGGTACACCAGCAGTTGTGGCTAGCCATCTCGAGGCAGCACAGAAAGGGGGTTTCACTCTGGGCGTCAAGCTCGTGAGAGGCGCATACCTGGGATCGGATCCAAGACATCTAATCCATGACACGAAAGCCGACACAGACGCTGCATACGACGGCATCGCCTCAGCACTCGTCCTCAGATCGTACAATTCAATCCTCCAGCCTTCCTCAAAATCAACCGCATCCTCCCCCTTCCCAAACGTCGCGGTCGTCCTCGCAGGCCACAACATCAACTCCGTGCGTAAAGTCCAGGCCCTTTGCAGTCAACAACTCCGTCACGGCAATAAAGCACCCGACGTCATCTACGCGCAGCTGCAAGGTATGGCCGATGAAGTGAGCTGCGAGTTGGTTCTTGCTGGGAAGCAGGCGTTGGCCAAATCTGGGATGGAGAAGAGTGTGGATGTGCCGAAGGCGTATAAATATCTCGTTTGGGGAACGACGGGCGAGTGTATGAAGTATCTGTTCAGGCGCGCGCAGGAGAATAAAGATGCGGTGCAGAGGACGAGGGAGGGGAGGGATGCGATGGCTGGGGAACTGTGGAGGAGAGTTAAGATGGGCTTTGGTTTTGGTGCTTGAGGATAAGGGTCGGGTTTGGGTCCGTTTCGCATTTCGGCATCTGGGATGGAGTTCTTGCTTACTGGACTGGAATGGGTTGGAGTAGAGAGGTGTGCATATTGCATTCAATGAATTATGATTTATGAGTGATTTGCATAGCGAGCATAGAGATGCGATCTTTAGAGAGTACATTAGTGCGAGACGTATAAATTCGAGACTTTCTACATCAGTCCCGTTCTGCTTCTCTGATTCATCGATGCATGTCTTTGTTATTACTGCAAATTCTAAAGAATGTGCGCTAGACCAAGCTGTATATTGCACACTCAATCTTGCTTTAGTTCACCTATTCTTCCCGACCCAAGTTCTCTTGCTGTTGTTCGCCCATTTCGTCTTTTTGATCTGGAGACAATGGTTGGTTCTTCAAGGCGTTTGGATACCTACCTGGCGGCTTGTGACTTTTGAATATACCCTTGGGATATGAAGGAATTTCTGTAAGGGAAATACATATCTCATTTGTTGCTCGTCAGGGCTTATTCTATTCTGGATGATGTGTTGTAAATTTGCTTTCTAGGCCATTTCGTATTCTGCCTGCCCCATTTTCTTGAAGAAACGCTTATTTTCCTTACTTCACTATTGAAAGAGTAGGGTTAGCAGTGAAAATATAGTCCTGAGGAAGCCACAACTCTTGTCACTGTACACGCTCTGATAAAGAAGTGCTGGGAGGTACCGTACAAGACGAAGAATGACCAGGACACCGCCAATTTCTACTCGTCGCTTGTTCCCTTTGCGTCGACCTTGATAGAATGTCCAGAAATTCTCTCAGGAAATTATTGTTCATCGGCGTTCTTTACTTCTCGTCCCCCTCGCACAAGGCAAACTCCCACGTGGCTTGGAGCAAATATTTCACACTAGCGATACATGAAGCGAGATATCAACAAACGAGCTCACCTTTCGGATGCGTACACGGGCATATGAAGGCCATTTCGAGAAGTGATCCCTCTCTTCTGAAATATCAACAGACAAGACAACTCAGGGCCTGTTTCGATCCACAATGACCATGGAGCGCGAAAAAAAGGGACATAAAGGCCAGGATGCCTCTACTTATGGCTTGAACATTCAGCAGCTTGACAAGATGGGGAAGTTTGTCAAGTTTGCGGAGATACCAATTGAGTTACAGGATAAAGTTTGGAAACAGTATGTTCTGCAGGAGGCTAAGGATGATGAGGCAAGACATGTTCATGTCATGTAAGTACTTTTCTCTTCTTCTTTGGCCTTGGCTGTGGCGTTGTAGCTTCGAGAGCTGGGAACGAACTGACATTTCCTTCACAGCATCGTCCTCCAGCCATTGGCCAAGGCTTCAATATGGAGCAAGCTAAAGACCAAGGTCAAGGGCAGCAGCAACACCGTCAACACCCTTCGCAAATACACGATCACCGTCCTCTACGCCCCGCACAGCGATCCCCCTCCATCTCCATTCTATGTCACATCTCGAACTCGAAGTCTATCATTCATCCACTTCCCACACAAGCCAGCTATCCCTCTCCCACTGCACGGTCCAGGAAACAACAACGGCTCTTTCATCACCAAGCTAATCCCCATCTCTTTCTTCTCCAACGACACTCTCGTCGTCACCTTCCCCTTCGCTTCAGAGCTGTTCCTCGAATTCCTCATCACTTGCCCCGCTATCAACAAGTATGTTCGCCCACCGGTTGAGCTCATGCCTCCAGGCAGAGGGGCTCAGAATGACATTCACGCCGCTCCTGCCCTGAATCATACTTATGACTCGAGAGTCCTGAAGGGAGCAGGCGTGATTCTTACGAAGAGAAACTGGTTGAAAGGTGGGAGGAAGGAGGGTAGAAGTATCTTGGCTTTTCGAATGTGTGACATGGGTGATGGTATGGATGTCAATGTTCAAGAGGGGCAGGGCTGGAAGGTTGAGCATCGGTTGAGGGGTGTTACGATAGGGCGCTGGGATGAGATGTGGTTGAGGTTGATGGAGTGTTTGGAGATTAAGGGAAAGGAGGTTAGTATCCTGGATTTATTCGAATGAGTAAGGATAACTGGCTCTTTATTGTGCTATATCTGAGTGGTTATTTTGGAGTTGGGTGAATTTGAATTCGCTGCATAATAGGGTGGATGTAACAAATCTGCGGGCCTTAAAGTACTAAAATGGAATTTGTACTTTGAAATCGCTGTCTTTATATTCATGTGATATTATCTATACTTCACTCTGGGACGCAATCGAGTTCAAACTCTCCGAACAATGGTACTCCCTGGTGATGCTTTCTTGAACCTCCCTACCACAGATTCGTGCTACCTTGTAAATGTAGAGAGACAATAGCTCAATGCACCCATTAGATACTTGAGACCACCACCTGCAGCACGGAGACAAGCACTGGAGACAATACCACCATCTGCACGCATGCCACTATGCTACACACCGCTCATATTTTTCTCGACACTGTGAGGAGTTATGACTTTGATATCGCTGATCTTGTTTTTCTTCCCACCGAAGATTATTGACAAGGATGTTGCTTTTCACGGGCCTTGGGAGATGTATTTAAGGAATTTTACTATACCTTTTGAGAGCGACCCAGTAGTTTTACGGAGTCTCCAGACAGGTTTTGGAGACTAGGGTGCGGAGTCGATTTTTAAAGTATGTGAGTGAGTGGTAAATTTTGTAAAGTTTCTGGCTAGTCGTAGACTGTTGTCCGTTTTATAAGCACTGGGCTTTTCAGGTTTGGAAACAGATCTCCACTTGGGACTAGGCTTTGAGTATTGAAAAAGGGATGTCAACTACCTCTTCTTGAATATCTGATCTTGATATACAGAAAGAAAATGTAGGACTCAAAACACCTGCAAAATTACGGGCGTTTTTGCGCCGCTGTATGGGTCTTGAGCCAGAGTCCCAGTTGCAGAATGTCAACTGGAGGGTGGGTGCAGCCGAAGTAAACATCACGTGATCGATCTTACTGGTAGAACACAACAACAATGCCACTTGAGACGGAAAGCCAATGACTGTGGTGTTTGAAGCGCAATAATCTACTACAATACAGATATGTGCCAGCAATCGGTAAGTCCGCAATAGTGTCAAGTATCGACCTGGCTGGATTGCTCAAGTAACGGCGAGCTGTGGTAGGGTTTGGGCCGCTGTCTGTATGGATTGGAGGAGCACTTATGCATTGAATGTTCTGGAGAGTGGGTTGTGGAATTTGCAATAGATAGATAGCAGTGAACTATTTGCCATACTTCTTTGTACATTCATTGAAGCTCTTTGCTTCGCAACGATTCTGGCTGATAGCGCAATAAACACATTGGCAATGCTTCAAAAGAGTGAAATTGAAAAAGTATAGAGCTAGAGCACAGCATTACTGATATGGTTTTCTGGACATAGCTCTAGCTATCAGAGCAGAGGATCCTTTGGGAGTATGTAATACATCATTTTTGTCCAGGGCCAGAAGTGAATATCTCAACTTGATATTTAATCTCCCCAGGAATCGGTTCTAGCAGAAAGGTGAGCCTCGAAATATACGTGGCCAATTCTTCTGCAAAGTTCCAGGCATAGACAGATTTCTTTTTCAGCACAAAGAGAAATGGCAAGAACAAAGAGGTACTCCATGAGCATTCTCTTGCCCTGCGTTGCGCTCAGGTTCCAGCTCCATATCAACTGTCTGCATTTCAAACCCAAACGCGCTTATTTACTGACACTCCCACACTTCTCCTTGAACTCCTCCAACTTCTACCACCGCACCGAAAACGCCAATACGCCGACAGAGCACTGAACCAAAAAATCAAGACAAATAGATCAACACACTACCTTGCAACACAACTATTGTTTCGCGAACAAGAAGAGCTGATTTACAAGATGGACTACGTTTGGGAATTCAATATCTCACCTTCGCCTCCTGCGGCGCGATACAACGAACTTTTCAGTGGCAAACATGCTGAGGGCGACGACACCTGGATTACGGAGGCCAATCTTAAGGTGTTCACACATATTCCTGGTGTTCCTGCCGCTTATGCTGCTGAAGAGCGCGCTGGTTTGGTCCTCTACGTGCGAGGTGTTCCGTTTGGTATCAAATCTAGTGTCGTCCGAGACATGTTTATGCCATTCGGCAAGGTTAACAGATCGCCGGTTCTCATATCCGTGGGCAGCCAGGAGACGTTTCGATGGGTTATCATGAAGCATGCGGATGATGCTCAGGATGCGAAGAGAGCTCTGAATGGAAGTACCCATGAGAGCGGCAGTCAGCTGTTCATCAGTATGGCTTTGAATTCTGGGGAGGTGTTCGAACTGCAGGGCAAAGAGCTGCCACAAGGATCTCAGCCGTTGAGAGACATCTCACGTCAGAAAGCCATCAATGGTCATGGACACCCGTCTCCGCCTGCTCTCCAGTCATCTAAGCCTCTGCTGCCTCCGATTCCAAGAGTTGCGATTCCTGCTGTTGCTGCCCCTGCTGCACGTCAATCAGCACCGCACCCCATTGAGCCTCCATCACAAACCCGCCTGGTCTCGAAGGTCTCAGATTCGAGGGACAACATATTGTCCTCCGGCGATGATACCGCGGCCGAGACTGGTTTGGACCCTGTCGCAGAGCAAATCAGCACTCAGCCATCCTCGTGGGCCAACATCGCCAGCACCTCGAACCCAGATACACGTATCATCGATCTGCACCCAGAGCACAAGAGCAGCAATGCTGCTCCACGCCTCAATCCAACCGGACGCATCCCTAAAGTAATCAACGTCCTCCAAGAACCTGTTGAGGAGCAGCACCGCCTGATCTTTCTATTGAACCTCCCGCACAATATAGGCCTACAAGATATCACCCAAGCGGTGACTGAAGGTCCGTTGGTCAGGATCCAATTTGGCTACGACAATGACAACAATGCACGCTTCGTCGGGATCATCTTCCAATATGCTGCTCATGCCGAGGAATTCTACAACGTTCTAGTTAGAGAGCGAGAGAGGTCCCGACCAGAACGATTCCGCTTCATCGTTGATGTCGTACGTGGTGATCCCATCCCCGCAGACGACATTATCAGATCGATGAGCGAACACCCATGGGCAACTCGACGTCTCACTATTGTCAAAGGCAAATTCTTCTTCATGTTTGGAGAGCGTCAGCTCAAAGACCTGTGCTGCAAGATTGCCGGAGAGGATAACGTGCAATTGGTTTGGCTCTACAACGGTGGGAATGCGACGGTTGTGTTTGCGGATGTGGAGAGTGCCATCAAAGTCAAGAGAGTATTGGACAAGAGAGCAAATGCCAATCACAATGGGGTGCAAGGCGCGGAATCCATTGTTTGGAAGGGTTTGCAGACTACGTTCTCGAAGGATCCATGTATCCATCCCTTGGATTTGAAGACCGCTATGCATGACTGATTTGTTGTTGGCTTTGCTGGATACATCCTTTCCTATCCTTGATGGACTTTGGTGGGAGAATAAGTTGGATCAGCAGCATGGTATTGAGCTCCTCATTAATTCCTCGTGGGCAGCTTGGAAGGATATCACACCAACATAGTCCAGGATAGGAGTTAACGGTGGATATGAAGAAGCACTGTGGCATTTTCGGGTTTCTGTTGATATAATCAGTAAAGGTCTGCACATACTGGAGGAATTCTTTCATTAGGTGCCTTCATCAAATTGTATGTCTTCTTTGGGCAGGCATGGCTTGCGTTTAAAATGAAAGCCGATTCTGATGGAAAACATGGAATCAATTCCTCTGTTACGCGATAAAGGGTATCTGACATACAAAATGACTAGCCAAAGACTTGCTTCTTCAAATCCTGTTTAGGCCGGAAGCCAGGCATGTGGTTTACACAAGCCATCGGATGTTCAAAAGTTCCGGACTTACTGTGACTCTTCCCATTCCCCACAATGTTGATGGGCAGAACGCATAGTCCTCTCATTTCATCCTCATTACCCTCCTTGATTTGCTCCCCTTCCATCCACAAGACTTCCTTCAACCCCCTAAACTTCTTCCACGTAACCCTCCTCTCTAAGCCAGCATCCCTATCTCTCATCTCATGTCCTTCCTTCAGAGTAGCACTTAGCGTCTCAAGTACCACATCAGTAAACATCCCATTTCCACTGATTTCCCCCGTATAATCCACTTTCGCAGTATACTTTTCCGTCCACGTCTCCTCCTCGAATGTAGCATGTATCCTCGCGTGGCTGATAGTCCTCACAATCGCCTTCCTGAGCATCGGATCGAACCTCATAGGTGCCCACATGACAGCCTGTCCGAACCCGAAGCCTCTCGCCCACTTCCACTCCTTGAGCGTCGCATCACTGAGAAATGGCTCATCAGCATCAACACCTAGCATTAGGCTGACATCCTTCTGATTTGCCAGCACCGCAGCAAAAGGCGGGCAATCTCTCAACGCAGCCCTATCCCACGTCTCCACCGCCGTATAAAAGCCCCCATAAAACCACAACAGTAAATACTGCATCAAGTCATTCTGGACCACAGCATCCGTCGCATTCAACTCCGCAATCTCCTTGATCCCCTCAAAATGCCCATAAAGCTCCGGCGGCGGCGATGTAAAAAGCTGGTGAGACCATTCCTGGTTATTATCCTTCCACTGCGCCGTCCAAAGAGGTAGCGCATCGGCAACTTCCTGTGTGGTGATCTGCCATATCGTCAAGTTCGTCGCGAGGCCATTTTCGTCTGCTGGGATCTTGTCGATTGTTTCGCGCTCCAGCGCTCGCAGTTTCGCATCGAGCGCGGCTTCAAATGCGTGATCCGCCTTCTTCCTATATAGCGAGACGTATTCGTAGGTCGGATATGTGTCATATGTGATTTTCTTCGGCGAATGCGCGAGGATGGGGAGGGGGATGGGCTCGTACGAAAAGAGCAGGTAGAGGAGGATGAGGGCGACGATTGTGTAGAGGAGACGGCGCGATCGTCGGCGTCGGCTGATGGGTTGGGGAAGAGGAATGGCGACACCGCCGTCCTCGTGTTGCCGTATCATGGCGCATTGTGAGGAGAGGAAAGAGAATCTGCTTCTGATTTTTGAGCGGCGTATGGGATAGGGGAACTCGCGTGCGGCTGGATCGACATTTGGGCCGGGTGGGCTGCCCCTGATTGTATGGGAAATGGGGCCTCGGTTAGCTTTGTTTGGGACTAGGCTGTTTTGGGAGCAGTAACAACTTGCGGAAATAGATCGTATTCTCCCGGCTTTGTTTACTGATAAAAGATTGACATACAAAATCGTTTTCAAAAAAGATTGGCAAGTCAAATTCGTCTCCTGAATCACAGATTTATGCAATTCAGAAGCAATCGTATATATTCCATGATTTAGGATACTACGACGTTGGTTTCCTTCTCCACGACAATGCAACGTTTGGAGACGGAGAAATGCTTGAATAGGAAGGCTTATAACCACGTCAAACTATCGAGTAGGTAAATCTAACTCTTGATAAGTATCTTTCAGCTATAAATACTTCCACTATAGGAGATCTCCACTAGGTCAATACACACGTTGCTGTGATTGTTGAACCTTAATAGCTGACTTCTTGCTGAATTTTGTGGGTATAAGGCAAGCAATCGGTCAGAGCAGGGTGCATAGATACTTCTGCTACTATTTCAATGATGTAAATGTTTTCACATGTTGTTCTTAGGCAAAGTGAAAATGTGTTTATGCAGATTATGCCTGTCAAACTATTCTGCGACCCTATCGGGAAATAGATATCGGTGAGTATGATACTTAGAGATAAAGTTTCCCCAGCAGTCTCTTGACTTCGGAGCAGTAAGTCAGAAGAGCTCTAATAGCAAAGGCGAGCTGCTTTAGTCACGTGGCATTTTCTTTCTGTGTGAGACTACTCACAGCCACTTGTCAAACGCCTCTCTACGAGATGCATTCCTCAAACTATCAGCTCCGCACGATTAAAAGATTCAAGACAAATTACAGCTTGTGTAATATCCGAGATACTGAACATCATACTAACTTGAATACGAATCTCTGAACTCGCCTGGATCGATGGGTAATAATTAACAGATTTTGCCTCCCATATATTGTTTGAAATTCATCTGGCTCAAGTGAATTCTAAATATCCTTATCTGTCAGATGAAATTAATCTTGAATTAGATTAGTCAATCTTTATGTCCTTGACAATCTTATATTCGGACTTTGAGAAGCGACTATGTTCGCTTCATTCTGTTTCATCCATGAGAATGGAATTAAGGTACACTTTACGGCTATTTCTATGATAAATTCCGTGCATGGGAGCATTCTTACCTCCCTCTCTCAACTTGTAATTCCAACTCTCTAGTACCACTTCGAGTTTAGGGGCGTCTCGCTAGTCAAATTGACTTGTTTTTGAGCATGTAATATTGTGTTTTTCGGTTATTAATTCTTAGATTGGATTCAAAAGGATACAATGGGAATCAATTCAAGTACAATTCAGGCCAGTGCGCTAGTATTCTTCGAGTTTCTGCCTTTAGACTTGATATAAGACCTTTCCTCAAGACAACACAACAAACGCACCACGACCTCCAAGCACAACTTGCCCCTTCTCTCCCATCTGCTGTACCACCACACAGACCAATTCACACTCCACAAGACGATTAAAACACTCGCAATGGCACCCAACTCTTACCCCATCGTCGAGGACAACACTGAGGGCAACTATGACATCACTCCCAACCGCAAGCCCAACTGTGACAACGATCCTCTCCCAGATACCACCAATTTCTCTTTGATATTGCTAGGATACCTTGTCGACTTCGACAAGATCCATGATTACCAATGCCAATTTCGGTATGAGAACCCCACTCAGGCCCAGCAAGTCGGGCTACAGGCCGCCATCGTCACCAACATCGAGGAACAGTTCGCTTCGCTTAAAAAGCTGTTTATTGAGAGCAACAAGTGCGAGAAATGTCGGAAGTCGCCAATGGTGGCTGGTTCGGTCCACGCAGCCTTTGCCAATGCCAGCACCCAGGCGATCTGGGATGAACTCATCGATGGAGTTGATGGTATGTTTTCTTGGTCATTTTTCTTTTATGCAATTCTGGGTTGTGGGGTAATCAAATGCTGATCAAAATCGTTTTCTGCAGAGATGAAGAAGTTTCCGCTGGATGTTACCCCATTGCACATGGAGTTTATCAAGAGGAATTTTGAGAAGCTGGAGCATGCTTACCGCCGAGACAATGTGGCTGCTGCTGGTCTATGCTGAATGCCAATTATTTCGACATTCACGACTCTGGTGGAAGGGATTGGGTATGGAACTTCCTATTTTGGGGTACACACGCCAGGGTATTATTGCGATTTTGGTGGCGATTCCTTGGATTTGGACAAACCACAAATGAAACGATTTTGACTACCACGTCCAAAGCTTCTGCAGCCTAAACTGTCTTTCCTCCAATTGGCCTTATCATGCTATAAGCCGTAGATCTTTCATCCTTTCCACCCCACTTACTCAGATCCATGTCTAGCACGTTAATGGTCTTCCATCCAAGTTTCTCGTAAAGTCCTCTCCCTTCAGGACTAGCGTCAATATACGTCTCTAATCCCTCATCATCCACCAACTTCAACCCCCACTCAAGCAGGCGTTTTCCAATACCATGTCGCTGGAACTCCGGATCAACAACAAGGACGTGCATATACACATATTTCTTGCCCAGCATCTTCTCGTTCATAACTCTAGCGAACTCGCCAAAGAGCCATTTGCCGAATTCAGGGTTTCCTGCAGGGGGGAACTCTGTGGGGAATGGGTTTTGCGGGCCATTAGTGGAGAAGAAGTTCCATTTCGCAAAGCCGACAATACGACCAGAGGGGAGCGTCGCTTTCATGAAACGGGTTTCGGGGTCCGTCTTCCCTTTTGAAGGCAATTGGTTTAGTGATGAACAAACAATATTGTGATGGGAGACTTACATTGGTGACAAAGGATGTGCAGCTGATCCTTTGACATCCGTAGGTGGAGGACCGACAATTAGATCCATTAATGGGGACGTTTTGAAGGCAAGTGCATAGAGGGCAGCTATGTCGAGGAAGTCATCCTCGGATTGTATCAGCGAGAGGGTAATTTCCGGCGGTGAGGACATGGCGGGGTTATCTTGTCACAGCTATGAGGTATTCTCTGACTCTGGGTATATATTGAAGCCAGTGAAAAATCAAGGAGCTCTATGAAAGGCACTCCTTGTGAAACAATTGGTACAAATAGAAAGTTGACAACTGATGAAGTATCTGAGCAGCGTGAGAAGAAAAGGCACGGCCTGGAAATAACTGCAGCCATGCGGCGAGGAGATAACGGAGACTTTCCAGAACAGGAGCTGTCTCCTTTCATTATGAACCTTGATGAGGCATTAATCCGATCTAGAAGGGTCTATTTGCTTACGCTTTAGCTCAAATATCGCTGATCTTGCAGCATTCGTTCCTCGGAATTCTCCCCAAGATGTTGTCAAGCTTGGTCAAGTTTGGTCCAGCCCAGCCAAGACGGCATTTGGCATTGACCACTCGGTTGGGGATCAGCAGGACCCCCACGTTAATCATCATCCCACTTCCAGAAAATTTCCCCAAACTTCAGGAACTTCTGACGAACACTGCACAACTGTAGTAACAACAACGCTTCAATTGCTAAATACAAAGCTTCAACGGCTCAGATGTTAAATATGTACGAAAAAACTCAGCAACTCGTCGGGAATATGCAGCATTCAAGTCGCACGACATCTTACTCCGATCATCCAGGTAATGTAACCAGGCAAATGAACCGGTGTCCAATGCTCAACCCATTGTACCATCCACCCTACTCTCTCGGATCAGACGAGAAGAGGAGGAGATGGTACTCGGGTTGTGATACGGTCTGAGAGTATACGGTTACTACTTGATCTGGATAATGCCAGCGCAAGAATCATGCTATCCGCCCCTCCTTGCTTTTCCTTACCGACAAGCCCGGTTGGATAAACTAATTGTTGCGTAGGATGGCCTCCAGCGACGAACCGATGACTGATATCGAGAAAGGGCGTGGAATTAATACCTCGCAGTCTCATTCGCAGCTCCAGCTCCCAACCGATAAAGATGCATCAGTCGAGATAGACCCAACGCTTCACATCGACGAATCTATTGCCTCGTCCGACAATAAGTTACTTCAATTGACTCAGCGGATTGAACGAATTCTTGGTCTAGAAGCCCGCGGCATCCACCGAGTAAAAAAGAATGAGCAGACGGCTAGGGCAACACTTGGGTTCTGGCAGATTGTTATGATGTGGTTCTCAATCAACACTGCACCACAAAATATTACTCTTGGAAGCATTGGTCGTGAGGTTTATGGTCTGGGCTTCCGGGATGCTGTTTTATGCAGTGTTTTTGGAGGAATCCTTGGATGTATTCCAGTCGCATACACTGCCGGCTGGGGGCCGTGGAGTGGCAACCGAACTATGGTTCGTAGAAGTCCACTTTCCCAAACTTATATTTGGTCTGACTCGATTTCAGATTTGTGCTAGGTTTATAATGGGATGGTGGCCAGTGAAGATCTGTGTCTTGCTCAACCTGGTGGTCTTGATTGGTTATGCCATGATAGATGCTGTTGTTGCAGGCCAGATACTTTCCGCTGTTTCACGTAATGGCAGCTTGACTGTCCAAGTTGGGATAATAATCACCGCTATCATCACATGGATAATCACTACATTTGGCATTAAACTGTTCCACTACTTCGAAAGGTAAGTCTCATTTCCACCTAGTCTAGTTTTGTATATTATCTAACACTTTGCAGATATGCTTTTATCCCACAGACAGCCGTGCTCTTGATTCTAGCAGGAACTGCAGGACCAAAATTCGATATACAATCTCCGTCCACCGTCGAAGGAGCTACACTTGCAGGCAATCGATTGAGTTTCTTCTCTATCTGTCTCAGTGCAGCAATTACGTATGCACCAGGAGCTGCTGATTTCCTCGTATACTGCGACCCAAAAATTGCTTCACGCTGGATGGTGTTTGCTGCCACCATGGTCGGCCTATCGCTGTCCTTTACCTTTACCTTCATTCTTGGCGCAGGTCTCGCTTCTGGACTTCAGAACGACCCGACGTGGGAAGCTGCGGGTGCTGGAACGGGTGCTCTAGTAGTAGCAGGCTACAACGGACTTGGAGGGTTTGGTAAATTCTGTGCAGTTGTCTCGGCTTTGGGTCTCATCCCGAATATGGTCGCTCCTACGTACATCTCTGGAATTGACTTCCAGATTCTTGGGAGAGGTTTTGCCATTGTCCCGCGCTTCATCTGGAACACTTTTGCTGCGGTGGTATTTACTGTCTGTGCACTTGCCGGACGGAACAGTCTCTCCGCCATCTTCACGAACTTTTTGGCTTTGATGGGTTATTGTGAGTTGCTTAACACCTCCAAATGATTAACATACTTATTGACTAATACCAGGGGTCGTTATTTGGATTGCCATCAGTCTGGAAGAAGAATTTATCTTCCGCCGGAGACGCACTCCTAGCTTCGTCTGGAGCGACTGGAACACGCCTGGCAAACTTCCAATCGGAATTGCAGCTTTAGCTGCGTTCTGCGTTGGCTGGGTAGGCTCTGTGCTCTGTATGGCTCAATATTACTTCATTGGCCCTCTCGCTGCTTTGGTTGGAGACTCGGGTGCTGACATGGGCAATTATGTTGGCTTTTCATGGGCGCTGCTTGTCTACCCACTCTTGAGATATTGGGAGTTGAAGCAGTTCGGCAGATAGAAAAGTTACTCCTTCTACACAATGGGCTGAGCCGAAAGCAACGCGACTGGTGTCTAAGTTGGCGTTTGCTTGACAAGTACAGGTTCTGTCGTCATGGGTGGACATTTATGCATAGCCAATCATCTCTACTCTGATTATCAAACCTAGAGCAATATTGCATATCTCAGTTTCATTCGTTCTTAGCTCATCTCCATTGATTCTTGAATAAGTACTTTCTCTCACGAAACAACAAACCAAGCAAAACAAGAGTCCCGCTCCCATGAATCCACCCCTGAGTTTAGCGAGATGCTCGGCACAACATTTTGTGGACACTGCTTGACTGCTACCTGAGGACATGACTCGAACGCTTCACTGGAAGCTTCTGGCCACGTTGACATAAAAGTACGACATGCAACAGAACTTTGATTTTGTGGAAATTTGGTGGGTTGGGATGTCAATGCCTACGTGGGAATTCGTTCTTCGATGATCCTTGATGTTGGAAATTGGGGACCAGGGGTTGGTGGGAATTCTGGGTTTGCGGAAATGTAAATGAGTGTAACTAAGCGGCAGTTGAAGGTAAGATTGTATTAATAGAGCAGCTTCTACTGGGTGACGACAGATTTCAAAGAGTCGCTGCTGGCTGGATATCCTGGTGTTCTTTTTTGCGCCAGCCGAATGGGCAATGTGCGGGGGGTGCGGTAAGAAAGCATAAGTTGTTATTGCCCAAAGTATCATCTTCCGATCTATGAAGGGATATACTTTTATTGGTGAAGAGGCTCTTTGAAAAAGGATATACCTCGTCAAAGGGTGAGATAGAGGATATGATGCCGGAACTAACACCAATGCACCATTTCTCAGGCTTAATAAAGAAGGAATGCAGAGAATGGAACGATGGGAAAGCCTGGATTTTTTTCTGCCAAAGAAAGAACTTTCACTCTAGACTAGAGGAATAAGAGCTACATGAGAAAACGTCAAAACTAGAAAGTGCAAGCGTAACTATACTGAAAATCTAGCACATCTAGAGAGGTCTCCACATCCACCAGCACCCACGTCTACACCTTCCCATTAAGCGAAGGCACTTGCTCGCCAAAACTCTTCCTCCTTTTCACACTCTCCAAGAACTCTTCCACGATACCCTCATAATCACTCGCCAAATACCCCCCAAACCACTCCTCACACCAAGCCTTCCACCCAAACCAACCCCTCCACCCACTCGGTATACGCATCCTCTTCCTATCAGCTCTCAACCCCAGCTCTTGCATCACCAAATCTTCGTATTCTGGGGCTTCGAATATAGCGATACGGAAGGGGAATGTGTTCAGGTATCTCTTCTTCCTGAATGCTTCCACATGCGCGATATCTTTGTTCATGAATTCTTCGTTAGCGAGTTTGGCATTTGTGGATGCCGGCATGAGATCCTCGAGGTAGGCAATGGCCCAGAGAGAGTGGATCTCAGAAGTCTGCTGGAGTCGGCCACCTGCGTAGTTGCCTAGGATCACGAGTGACCTGTCGCCTCTTGCTGCGAGCTTGGAAGGCACGATCGCGCGGAATAATCGAAATGGCGTCTTGGTTGATTTGGGGATGTGGATGTTACTTGGCGGGTTTCTGAGAATAGGATTTTCGGCTTCGATTCGAGCTTCGGCTGCCGCATCTAAAGACTTCCAATACTCTCTTTCTTTTGGTGAGAGGAAAGAAAGATCAACACGGATGCCGAGTTCGTTGGCAAGCTCTGGTGAAAAGAGTGACGGGAATGCTATGTCCCAGCCTGTGCAATAGACGATTGCATCGGTCGAGATCTTGTCACCATTGGAGAGGTTGATCGAGTTTCCGACAGCAGAAACAATATTGTCTCTGGTGACGTTGACAAGCTTCCCCTCGTTCACTAACTTGAGGGTTTCCAGATCTCTGTCATGAAGCATTGTTCCACCTGGAGCAAACCAAAAGAAGCTGGAATATGTTACCATCTGATTACTTGGTATTGAATGGCAGATGTATGAATGGACATGCACATACCTGGTAGGGACTGGCTCCAATCTCTTTCCATTTTCGCTTTGATGATATCGATTCTTCTTCGTGGTTGCATCCATTTTCACTTGTGCCGTCATAAATCCCCAGAACCAATTCAAGAACCAAGTTCCGAACCACCATCTACCACTATGGAAGAATCGATTCAACCACCGATTGGAATTGTAGATACTGCATGATAGGAAGCCCATGAATCGCTTTGTCGCCATTTTTGCTAAGGATGACCCATCTGGGTTCCGGGCTGGCATCATCCAGGTCGGCCCACCTCCTTCTTTCCTAATGAGCCACTCGACCTGCTTGCCAGCTTGGGCGCAAGTTCCGACTGCTTCAAGAGCTGACTTATGCCCACCAACCACTGTCAAATGCTTAAAGTTATCACTGAGTAGCTCTTGTTGACGCTGGCCCACTTCAATAGCGTGAAATGAAGGACCTTCGAACTTGCTCAGGTCCCAGGGGACGGGTTTTGGTTTAGACGTGATTCCAGTCGCTATGATGAGTTTATTGCAGGCAATTTCTACGATATCGCCGGTTTGTGGTCCTGTTTGGCGAGTGATAACCTTCCAGCCAGGTCCATCTCTTTCCACTTGTATCGCTTCTGTGTTGAATTGACAGCGTCTAGGAATGTCGTACTTTTGAGCATATCGATTCTCCATCCGTTAGCTGAATTGTGCTGTACATTTGCTCGGTAGACTCACTAGGAACTCATTGACCTGCTCTCCAGTAACATCGCCCCATAGCTCAACCCCTAGCTCTTTCGTGATATCCAAATCCGTAAAGTTCATCAAGGGAGCGGGCATTTCAAAAATCAGACCTGGATAGACTCGCTCTGCCGACCAAACGCCGCCAAGTGATTTCCCTCCATCAATGACGAGGAGGTCGATTGAGGGGTTGATCTGAAGATATGTCTTGGCCGCTACAATGCCATTGTTACCAGCACCGATGATGACTACATCATGGTGCTTGGAGGATGTAAAGGAAGGCATTGAGAAGAAGCTAATAATGAAGGTACTGTAGACGGATATGCAAGAATGAAAATTACATCAAGGAAAGAAGACAACTTTGACATTTTGTAATCTGGAGTTGCTGGGTCTTGTTGACTTCGCACTACTTACTATTTCTCTCGCTTGCCGGATGTTTATGCTCACATCAGATCTCGCACCCGGGTGCAACCAGTAACGAATGGAAAGCCTTATTTGTCCAGAATTGAAGCTCTGATAGGTCCTTCATGCGAAGCTACGCCGCGCAGTAAGCAAAGGCTTGGTTTCATCGAGAGCTTGACGTACAAAAACATTGGCCAGATTCGGATTCACCATCTGATCCAATCAGGTCATCGGACGATAGGTATCTCCGAGAACTAGAAGAATCGTACCTACCGTTGAATGGAATCAGTATACGAGTCTTCAGGTACAAACAAGAAAGAAATCGCCAGCGATGTTTGTTGTTGTGCTTGTTGTGCACAGGGAAGACCGCATGTTGCATTGTTGGTGAGGCTGAAAGGCTGCTGGTCGCGAAAAGCCAAGAAATCTCCACGCTAAACGCGAGCCTCGAAATTCCATCACTTCAACAACACCTTCCTCACAACAACAAATTTCCCTCTTCCTTTCTAAACACAAATTGCAATCATGGCAGATACCGAGATGGACGTTGATGCGCCTCTCTCCCCAGACCCAAAGCAAGATACCAAGAATGCCTCGATGGCCACTCATACGAATGCGACTGCAGTTCGCTCTATCGAAGGCTGGATCGTTATCGTTACCAACGTCCACGAGGAGGCTAGTGAAGAGGATCTGAACGACTTGTTCGCAGATTTTGGAGAGATCAAGAACTTACACTTGAATCTGGATCGCAGAACGGGTTATGTTAAGGTGAGGACATATGTACAAGGCTAGCACAAGAACTGGCTAACCAAGCATGGGAATAGGGCTATGCACTAATCGAATATCCAACATTGGACGAGGCACGAAAGGCGATTGATGGCGCGCACAATACTAAGCTCTTGGATCAGACGATTGAGGTTGACTTCGCTTTCGTACGACCACCACCAGGCAAGGGTAGAGGGGGACGACCGCCGGCGAAGGGAAGAGCTAGAAGTCGAAGTCGCAGCCCGGGTGCTAGAGATGAGGTTATTGAATGAAGGGATGGCGAAGATACCTGCATTTCCAAAAGCTACAGCGTGTGCTTGGCCGATGTGTCCAATCTAGAGGCATGTCGGCGTGTAAGAGAACGCCTCAATGGTAAGTTTGCCTAATTCGTTCTATATGAAGATACTAATATTTCTGTAGAGCGTCGATATCAAAAGTTGATTCCCGATTTCTTCTGAGAATTCACCATCTCGTGACTCCATGTGTGTGGGAGAATTGGAGGCAAGTAGGACACCTATATCTTCTGACTGGTGCAATTTCGATCTGGAGCGATGCGTTGATACCCGAAAATTATGGAGGAACAGAAGCGATTGCATACGTCCACACGACATTGCACGACATTGCACTTATGGAAGCATCGATCTCATAATCTGGCGGTCTGGTTGATATCGCACCAACTAGCTATACTACCACAGTACTGTGGGGAAAGACAATCAGCTTCTCCAAAACATGCTTAGGTACTTGTACTCCAGAAATAGTCAGGAATTTGGCAACGTTTCCAAAGAGTTCTCAGGATGCCGTCAAGGGCCATGAACCAGGGTATAGGATCACTAGTTTCTCCTTCGATAGCTTGTCAAACAAGCGGCAAGTCCATACGTAAAATCTCTGCAATATTCACATTTCAGCATGCATCTTTGCCATCGTTCACATTACTTTGCCAAAAGTCTGCGAACATACAGTAGCGAGGAAGCAAGCTTTGCTTCCACCGTCTGTTGCTTGCCCACTAAAACTTGACTATCTCCTTCAAGAAGACACTTCGACGATCGTTTTTGGACAATTCGTCAACGATTCATTCTAGTTTAGACGGTTAAAGCATTTTGAACGAGCAACACATCTAGTAGAAAAAGCTCGGTTCTTTTGTTGTAAGGTAGTGTTCCTTACCTATCTAGCAGCATCTGTCCAGCGATAGATAATTCTGCTTTTTGTGCCAATGCGGACACAAAATATAAATTTCTCTTAAAGAGATCATTTGACATCGACTACGCCGAAGAGTTTATGTGTCGCCTCTAAGCTTGGACAAGATGTTCATCATATGCTTGACTGCGGTACGTTTGATATGCCTGATATTAGAATTGAACAATCTACTTGTTCATTCAACAACATAGGTCATTCCTCCTCCAATACGGTGGCTAGCAGCATACTCGGGCTAGCATCTTTCACCTCGACTAAGGTCTCTTTATAAACGGTGCTATTTGTTGGAAGTGCGTTCGACTAGTTGAGAGTCTCTATTTTACAAAAGTAGCAATTATATTGTTGATAGAGCCGAACAAATAATTGTTGGAGGGAGAGAAAAAAAAATAAAAAAAGAAGACAAAAAGTGATGACGGAGGGATTCGAACTGCGGCTGGTTAACAACTGAGAATTGATGTTCGATGTTTTTAGACATACCCCTCGCTCTTTCGAACTAGTATGGACATCTTGGTGCACCTGAAACTAGCGCCATAACCGCTCCTGGGAGATGTTAGTGTTGTGGATTTGACGTGATTGCTGATGAACTTACGGCCACGTCACCGTTGATTTGTTGGAGAAAATTTCCTTATTTCTGTACATATTACTACTAACGATTCGTCGGCATTTTGTGTGCCGAGCCCCACTTAGTAAGTCACGGGCCTACCTTCAGGAACTACCTACCCTATCGAGTCCCTTTGGAAGTGGCCGATTGAGGCTTGTGCGGAACACCAAAACCAGTTCGTAACACTCGAATTAATACAACTTACAGCATTTACAACGACAATTCCTCTTTTAAAACTCCTGAGAAATAACTGCTTAAATATTCTGATCGCTCTACTCGAAATTCCATATATAAATCGTTGTCTAAATTGTAATATTTTAGAAGTACCTAATGCAAGTCGCTAAAATCGGCTATTTCCTAACGTACTCGATAGCTACCTACCCGAGCTACCTAAGGTACCTCAGGTACCTTAGCTATCGAGTTAATAGAGAAAGTTTAAGAGTGTATATTCTAAAAAAAAGTCACCTATTCAGGAAATCTCGCTAAGAAAGCACTATATTTTTGAAAAGACTTACTATATTTCTTCTTGTAAAATATATAGTTAGAATTTTTATCTCTTGTACCTTTAAATAGTATATTTTATTAATATACGTTGACCACGTTGCATTGGAGCAACAAGCACGAGTTGAGCTTCTATGCTAGCTGCTGGATCAGTACATTGAATAGAGGCTTGTTTGCTTGTTTGTGCTATCTTCAGGAGCTTTGAGTTTCGAAAGCTCAGCACAGCAATCATGCATTTCCCAGCGCCTCTCTCATCCCTTGCTTCTGCTTCTGCTTTCTTCTTTGCCTATGCACAAGCAACCTACCTCCACAATGACTTGAGCTTTGGTCACCAAGACAGGTACGTCGTGTCTCTCCCTCGCCCTCCAGAGCCCTCTAATACATGCCAGAATCTCCCCAAACCTCCGCGCCATACCCAATTGGCATTTAATAGGCAAACCAGACCCTCCAGAGATCCTCTCCAACAAACTAGTCCTCACTCCTCCCGCACCAGGCAATCAAAGGGCGGCAGTATGGTCGGAGAAGCAATTACAACACCAATACTGGACCGTGGATTTGGATTTCCGTGCAACAGGGCCCGAGAGGGCAGGAGGAAATATGCAGTTGTGGTATGTGAAGGATGGGCAGAATGCAGTGGGGACGAGCAGTATCTATACAGTGGGCAAATTCGACGGTTTGGTGTTGGTGATTGATCAATATGCTGGTTCAGTACGTCCCCTCGGGCCAAACTTACACTTCATCTAGAACGTAATCCTAACAGCATGCCAGGCAGGATATATACGAGCCTTCCTAAACGATGGATCCACAGACTACAAACGCCACCACAGCATCGACAGCCTCGCCTTCGGACACTGCGAATACGCTTTCCGCAACCTGGGACGCCCCTCCCGAATAGCAATCCAACAATCAAGCAGTGGCTTCAAGGTCTCCGTCGACGGCAACCTCTGCTTCGAAAGCAACAAAGTGAAGCTTCCCTTAGGCAACAACTTCGGCCTCACAGCCGCCAGCGCCGAAAACCCCGACTCCTTCGAAGTCTTCAAGTTCGTCACCACCACCGAGTCACACACACCCGATATCCTCGACCCAGCACAAGGTAACGTCGGTTCCCAGCAGATTTTAAACTCAGACATCCAAGGTCGCGCGGAGGACAAGCCCAAGGGCGATATCCCCGCCTACAGCGACCCCGTTGACGAAGCCGCGTCGAAATACACAACTTCCAACGAGCAGTTTGCCGATCTCCATAACCGTCTCCAGACCATGATGAGATACATTAGTGCCAACGGCCGCGACCAGTTACACTGGCAGAACCAAGCTCAAAAGACCAGCGAACTCCTTGCCGAGCGTCTAGCACGCATTGAAGCCTCGCTGGGAGAACTGCACAGTCTGCGCGAGAGGATTGATGCCATCCAGACGGATGTCAGGCAGACGAAGAGCGATCTGCATAACCAGCTAGACAGGCACGTGGCGAATATCCAAGGGGAGGTGCGCGATACGCATAGTAGTTTGACGGGGAGGATTGAGAAGGGGAGTGGGATTGGGAGGTTTGTGGTTGTGGTTGTAGGGAGTCAGGTTGTTCTTGTAGGAGCGTATTTGTTGTACAAGAGGAGGAGAGCGGGGAATCACATGAAGTATTTGTGAAGGAGCATGAGGGTGAGGTCGTTATTGTTAGGAATGAGATGGTGAAGGAGCTGAGGGGATGAGGCGGAGATGAGATTCTGTATTATAGCTTTGGACTTGGATGGGTTGGGACTTCGAAGTGAGAAGATTTGGGCTGAGTAGAGGAGTAGAGAAAAGGGGCTGCCTCCCGCGAAGCGAGCGAGAGAGAGTGCTTCGCTCGAAGCTCCAAATTTGTATACAGAAATGGCGCGACGGTAGAAACACAAGAAAAGATTTCAAGATCTTCACTGTGAGGATTTGTGTCATCATTAAGACAGTCGTTCCAAAATACCGACACATGATTTGGAGGTCTCGCTTGCTAGAAAGATGATAAACAAACCAAAAATTGCACCATTTATCTGTCACATAATCACGAAACTTCCCTTACTTGGATTGTCGAGCTTGACACGGCATCATAAATAGTATTGTATTGAATTTCATCGAGTCCTTGCTTTCCCAACACACCATAAACGCCAACCATTACGCTGTTTCTTGCATTACAAGATTATAATGTACACCTCTCCGTTCTCTTTCTCCTTCAATCCCCTCCCATCCCATCCCTATCTCCATTCCCACCAATCAAAACATTAAATATAACTAACCTTAACACCCATCCCCGCCGTCCTCTTCACCTTATCCCAGCTACCTCCCAATATCCTCCTCAACCTCTCCTTAACATCCCGCCTACTAAGCACCACCAAAAAGCCAATCAGAAACGCCAAAAACTGCAATATAAACAGCGGTCTCGTCTGGAAATGCACCGCCATGCCCTCCACTAATCGCTTCACATTACCTAGGACATTACTCGCGCGTGTGAGGATCGTAGGCGGGATTGCTCTCGCCGCTGCGGAACCACGAGCTGTGGGTGAAGTGGAGGATGAGGGATGTGTATTGTGTTTCTTGGAGGAGGAGGAAGAGCCCTTTGCGGAGCCAGAAGCAGCACCACCGCGTGCTGAGGAGCGGGATTTCGAACTCCCTGGTCGGGGAGGCGTGTCTTCTACGCCGTAGTCTACTTCACTACCTCCTGCTGCAGACCGAGGACGTGGTTTCTCCCGCTTGAGACGCTCTTCCTCTTCTCTTTTCCGTTCGCGCTCTTCGTTCTCCAGGCGTCGGCGTTTAGCGTCTTCGATGTCTTTCTTCAACTGTTCTTCTTGGTACCGGCGCTCTTCTTTTTCGCGGCGCTCGGCCTCGTGCTGTTCGTCTTGTAGACTTTGGAGGGCTTGGAGGAAGGCCTCACGGCGCTCTTCGTCGAGGACCGAGGAAATGGTTATGAATTCGCGGGCGTAATCCCATTCGTTATTGCGGAGGAGGACGTGTAAGGTGTAGAGCTCTAGAATCTTGACGCGTGCATTGAGGTCCCGTGGGGTGTCAGTACCGCTGGTGGGTTTACTGGGGCTGGGACATCGACGGGGGGAGGTAGGTGTGTCAAGGCGGGAAGAGATGTCGAGGTTCGGGGTAGTGGATGAGGCGAGGTAGTTTTCTAGACGATGTTGGTTGGTCTTTTGAGTGCGGGCATGGGCGAGGAGGAGGGTTGCGCTGGCTGGCATTAGGTCTCTTTCTGTCTAAAGGCGTGGAGATTTGGTACTCACAGGTTTATCACAACATCGGAATCAACATCCCCCTCCACCCCTCCATATCCATTCTTGACCACGTCCTCCCAGACCTCTCCGTCCCGCACCTTGGTGACCAATCCCCTCCACTCTGAACTCCCAAACGCCTGTTTCCCCTCGTCTGGATCCAGTTCAACTACTGCATTCAATATCGTGAGGTATAAACTCCAGACCTTGACCCGCGTGGTCTTTCCGGCTTTAGAGATAGGCGCAGGCTCTGGGTCAGCATTGGTGTCGTCAGTGGGAGGCGGCGTGATAACAGGCAAGATAGTTGATAGCGATTCGGGCAATCGACGAGTCAGGAAGAGTGTAGATGATTGTCTGTAGATCTTGGATATTTGTGAGGTGGCCTGCCGCGACGAGGTGGAGTTTAATGAAGATATGGAGGAAGTGAGGAGTTGTGATGAGGACAGAGTTTCTCTGGTCGGCGAGAGCGTTGTCGCGATGGACCCGTTTGAAGTCATCGTGTAGAATGGGTCAGAGGACACGATTGAGGAGAAAGGAAGGAAAGGGGACGAGGGTTGTCGTGGCTGGAATGTATTTCGCGATGTCCTGGCATCTGAAGAAGACGGCAATTGACGAGGGAGGTTGAGCCTCGGCTCAATGTTGTGCACACATGCATAAGTTATGCGACTTCCAGATTTGTTTGTGCAAGGCAGGCGAGGCCGAACAAACATTCAACACTGTCATTCAAGCATGGCTGACCACATCACTTGAGAAGGATTTTCAGAAGGAAAAGAGGACAAACAAAAGCTGCTTCCTAACTGGCAATTTCATTCTCCTCGATCTCCTCAGAACTTCCTCTTCTCTTCTTCTCCAGCACCTGGCCTTGCCACTACAATAGAAGACTCACCCTGTTGCACCTTCGTTATTCTCCTTACTTCCAGACTCCGTAAGCTTAAGAAGGGTCTTGCGGATTTCACTATCTATAAGCTTGCATTTTCACTCACCCTCGCCCTTGACATTGTTCTCAGCAGCGCAATCAATATTCCCTTCGCCAATAGTCGATTTCACCTAACTTCAGTTGTCCGCTCAGTTGGTTACCTATCCTTTATGCCCTTCTCCGCAACAGAGAACCTTCCTCCGTCAACAACAAAGGATACCAGTTGAAATGGAGGTCGATCAAGCACATTTCCGGCGGCAGCTGCTCCCCATCTTGAAGAACATTGCAAATGCAACCTTTGTTACCTTCGATCTGGAGATGAGCGGTATCAGTACTCGACCAAAGTACTCTGCCGCAGATCGATCTCATGATGTTGGCAAGCCAACCCTGCAACAACAATACGATGATATGAGAAGTGCTGCAGAGACCTTTCAAGTTTTACAATTTGGTATCACTTGTGTTGAGGAGGATCGTGACAAGGGTATGTGTAGTGTTTACATTTTCTGTATTCTGCTAACTTCTTCCAGAGTTCTATCTCGCTCGCCCATACAACTTCAACGTCAACCCACTTTCAGCGGAGGGTATTGATCTGAGACTGGAACGAACGTTTACATTTTCAACCAGTGCATGTGACTTCTTGAACAGAAATGGGTTCGACTTCGGCAAGGTCTTCAGAGAGGGTGTTCCGTACTTATCTCGTGATGAGGAGGATGAGCGTCGTGCAGAACACTCACAGAGAGCTCAGAAGAACGCATCGATCCCTGATATCGTTGTTGGCCCTGAAGATTTGTCCACTATCGAGTTCAGCAGACTTGCTCGCAAGACCATCACGGATTGGCTCAATGATCCTAAAGTATTTTCCCCCAGCAACTCTTTGAGCTACTTACTAATTGCATAGCCCGACTTGGACTTCGTCAATGTTGGCAGCGACGCTGGTAGTCTAAATGGCTTCCAACGCCGGCTTGTCCACCAATTGGTTCGAAATGAGTTTCCCACACTTCGAACATTCGCTCGTAACGATGGCCACTTCATGCAGATTGAGCGTTTAGATGTCAAGAAGGAGGAAGAGGTATGAAAACAGCTAAGGTCACCCTCTTCGGTATGATCCTAATCTCTCTCCTAGTTCCAGAAGAGAAAGGATATGCGCTTCAACATGCTAGTCGCAAAGCAAAAAGGCAAGTAAGCTCCCAGAGCAACAAAATGTATGCTAACAGCTCCAGGTTTGAGATGGATCTTCGAAGCGTTGAGTGGTGGCGAGTTATCAGATATTGATCCCGACTGGTTCTGCAGCAAATCAGCCGAAGACTCAGAGGAGCAATGGTTCAAAGTCCAACGAGAATTCGCTGAAGTCGTCGAGACTCTACGCAACAAGAAGCATATCATCGTTGGTCACAATCTTTTCGCAGATCTCGCTTTCCTCTTCCGAACCTTTATTGGGCACTTACCCGTCAACGTCAAACACTTCCAAGAAGACATCCATGCTCTCTTCCCATATGTTATTGACACTAAATACATCGCAACTTATGGAGCTGATGCCATGAGCACCCGATCCAATCTCAAGGAACTTCTCGCCCCCTTACGCAAGACTCACGTTCCCCTCATCCTGCTCCATGAGTCACACACAACATATGGAGCTGAGTTCGGCAAGGAACATGAAGCCGGTTTCGACAGTTGGATGACAGCCGAACTATTCGTCAAGCTCGCAGCTTCTAAGCGCTCCGAGGCTAATGGCAGCTACGACTCCGACTCTGAAGAGTCTTCAGACATTTCCAGCGGTGGTGTTCGTCTCAGCAAAACCGAACGCAGCTCTTCCACGAGTTCCCTTCCACCCGCCTGGCACGCAAATCAACTCAATACCAATCCTTATGCTGCCTTAAGTCTCGACTCCCCTGAGGAGAAGGAAAAAGACTCGAAGCAATGGCTCCCTCCTTTTGAGCATAAATTCTGGGATATCTACGTCAATAAGCTGCGTGTCAATGCCAGCGAGGGAGGTGTCTGTGATCTTGCTGAGCGTGAGGATGATGAGCGTCTCAATGGGTTGCGTCGTCGTGCTCGTCAAGCCTTGTGATTTTCACGACTTATGCTTTTATTTATTTTCTACGAAACAATGCATACGTCTCTTGCATGCATAAGCATCGGCGTTGTGGGATTGGTGGCGTTTTGTGCATAAATGGAGTGGTGGTGGGTTATGAGTGGACGATGCATTACTGGCGTTGGGATGGAAGGATGGAATGGGAGGGAGGCGAGCATCGGAAGGGCATCAAAGCTGTTGAGAAGAGTCGCAGTTCTTTGCTACTCTTACATACGGTCATATATCATAGGACCAACATAGACAATAAAATCATTCCAGCAGTATCTCACTGCTACGACTTCTTCTATCCTGTTTGTCCCTCATTTTTCCATTTCCAAACTCGTAATGCCGAATACGCAGCGGCATTGTACCAAACCAGTTTCAGACTCAACGAACATGTCTTTGTCATACGTGTCATACAATTCATACAGTTCCATCATGTCACTTTATCAACCCGCTCGTTGTTTTTGTTTACCATCTGTCTCGCTTACATAAAGGGGACTATGACTTTCTTCTCTTCCAGACAGTTGTATTTTATTTTGACTCCTTCATCATTTCTCGAAACTCTCGTGGTTTGTCACTTGCCATTACCGATTCTGAGGAGAATCGCCCCGCAGCGTCTTGTCGATATAGTTCCCTTAACGCCACCGCCCCAACAGTCATGTTTTCCATCTCCACCCTACCCATCATACCCACACAAGCACACCAAAAGGCACCATAACCCACTACAGGACCTTACTCTGCTGCTCCTGCGGCCTGAGCACGAATATAGATATTGAAACAAATGGATGATCCTCACATTTACGAAGAGACCAAGCAATGTATGCATGGTATATTCTGTTATTACAAGGGAACGACTACTATCTAGACAACAAATATTCGCCTAGCTATTTCACACAATATATGTAACAGCCCCCTAATTATCGTAAAACTTCCTCTCGAACTGGATGCCAGCTCCCTCAAGTCGATCGATGAACTTCTGACCTAGACATGCAGGCGTGTATATGCCGCCAGACAGGTTATGATCATCCCGTAGAAGCGAGATGGCTGCTTCTGCTACAGAGAGACCAGTATCTGGGGTGTGTTAGTCATCACTCAGAGGCTGTGGTGTTGAAAGGTCACTTACAAGTATAACAAGAGCCCTCATAGTTCAACCTACAGAAAGCCCTGGTCGTACTCGATGTCTGCACATCGGGAATGCCAATACCGCGGTACTCAACACGATCATTCCTGTACTGCTCCCTAGTCGCTCCTTCACCAGGCTTGTAAACACACTTCCGCGCAACCGTGCGAAACAGGGGGATTGCGAGTAACATCGAGCCGATCATGATACTGAAATGAATCACAATAGCAGAAAGGTGGTTTCTCGCTTTCATGTATTCCGAGAAGTGGAAATTGGGTCCATAGGTCTTGTCTCCTCCTAGGAGCGCCCAGCTGCGGTAGATGATAGGTCTGTCTGCTGTTCCTCCTAGGGAGCTGGTCAGGATACCGAGATCAGAGACGGAGCAGATGCCGAGGATTTTGGTGGTGAGGGATTTGTGGGGTTGGACTTTTGGGACGGGGATGGGTGAGATGCCGCCTGGGGCGTGGGCTGCGGCGATGTCTTTGAGGCTCCAGGTGTCCATTAGGGAAAAGACTGAGTTCATTGTTCCGCCGGATGGTGTGGAGCTGTTGCATATTAGATTGGATAATGAATGAGAATTAACTCGAGGCCTTACTTCATATCATGAACTGAAACGACGACTTCTCCTGTGGGAGCAGATAACTTTTTTCGGATCATGTCGACCAATGTCCATGTGACGAGATCTGCTGGAGCGGACTCGATTCCAATCTGAGGGATCATGACACTGCCGTTTTTCTTTGCTGTGATCTCGTATTTCTTGATCATGTCCTTGATGAAGGGGATCTCGCCAGTGACATCGAGGTAATGGGTTCCATTTTCAGCACAGGCTTTAAAGGCGTGTTCACCGTAAAGACCATATGGCCCAACGGTTGCTATCAGAACTTTTGTCTTCTTGGCTAAAGCACTCAAATTTGCATCTTCGAGTTTGCATATTTCGATCGCTAAAGGATGTTAGTTGAGGCGGAGAGGTGGAGTATGTGGTGGAGGAATGGGTCTAGTGCTTACCAGGCTGACTTCTATTAGGATTCAGTGTCTTGCACTCTGCTGCTACAGCTTCTAACTTTGTGGCTGATCTTCCTGCTATAGCCCACTTCAAGTCTGTGGGAAGATGAGTTGTAATGTGTTCAGCTGTAAGTTTGCCAGTGTAACCTGTGGCGCCAAAGACCACCAAATCATATTGGCGTGACGACATTTTGGCAGTTGGGTGGAAAACTTAAGAGAAAGTGTTTCGTTATTTGATTTCGGCCGTCGATACAGATTTCCAGAATTGAAATTCTTCGAGTAGGGACCGAATCAACTAAATTATGGAAGCTATTTGGGATGCTGCGAGCAATGACATATGATATTCCTCAACGCTTAACCACCCGCATACGAAGGGTATGTCAAACATTCCCTGGCAAAGCCTCGGCAAAACCCAGCGCCCCAAACGGTCTAGCTCTTAGGTCACATGATGACCAACACTGAGTGCTGCTAGGGCTCGCTTACTCCCACGAAAGAATGAACCTCGATTTTTGGCTCCATCTTCAACGACACAACTTCAGAACCGTTCATCACAGCAACCTCCGCCAAGATGACGAAGAGAACCAAGAAGGTCGGTGTTACCGGAAAGTACGGTACAAGGTATGTAACAAATCTACTTAGAGCCCGTCGAATGGTCTTCGCGCGCAGCCAGGAGCACAATTTCGAAAATCCTCTCCCACGTCGACAAAAATCAATCTCAACACTGCGCGCAATGGATGAGAAGAGGGAAAGAATGGGAAGAATGGCAGAGCGCTGACAATATCCCGTAATTCAGATACGGTGCCTCCCTCCGTAAGCAAGTCAAGAAGATGGAAATCACCCAACACGCCAAGTACGTCTGCACATTCTGCGGGAAGACCACCGTCAAGAGACATTCCGTCGGAATCTGGAACTGCAAGTCGTGCAACAAGACTGTCGCTGGAGGAGCATACACTGTGTCGTACGTTTATACTGATGCCCTGAACGAAGGTTTCGTCCTGGTTGAGGAGAATTCCTGCTGGATGGATGGGATTGATAAACAAGGAGGAATACTAACAACCACGACAGAACACCCGCCGCCGCTGCCATGCGATCGACGCTTCGACGTTTGAGAGAGATTGCGGAGGTTTAGAGGGTTGGGCTGGGTTCTTTCGGTTGGCATTTGCTGGTGTCTGGGATCGGACTCTACGACGGGTACGAACTACGAAGTTGCTACCTCGAGGAGCACAAAATAAAGCAATTCTAAAAAGCCAGGCTTTCTTCCGTCCGCTACACTTTGCATGGCGGTGAATGGCGTCGGAGAATATTTCGTGACATTTGAGAGTGGTTGTGATTGGGCACTTGCTGGAGATGCTACCTAATGGAGTGTGTAGGCAACGAATATGGGTGTCATCCATCGAAGACTGCCTGGTCTATTTCGTTTCTTTTTCCTGGTTCATTCTCGGGTCCGGTTCCCCCAAAGTCAATTCAGGGCTGGAACCCTTTCCAATGCAACAGTATCGAGTGACAACTGTTCACCTTTTCGGACCATGGCGAGGGCATGGGTCACAATGAGGCTGTCGATGAGAGCCTCGGTCACCTCGAAAGTCTTCACGCAAACCTATTCAGGAAGCACGCCAATCGAGAAAGTAGGGCGGTTCGTTGCCTCCGATTGCCTTGTCATTGGGCCATTTAAGAGGCTGGTACCGCTGTTGAGTCTTCGCATTCTGCCGTTCTTCTCGTGACTCACGCTTCTACTAGTGATTAAAAAGCCATCTGCATCATCACACTCATAACCTCCATACCTGGGTCTTCATGGGGCAGAGAAAGCAAGGTGGGTCACCTGACGGGCGTATGGGATGGCTGATCTAAGATTTCCATGTTTCCATTTCACCTCACCAGTTTCACCACTTATAGTCTAGGTAGATTACGCGGTTTAGACACCACACGTCGCTAAATTCACTGGCCAGTCCGGACACAACTAGGCAGAATTGCCTTCCATCTTGGGTCATATGCACCTTGTGCAGCAAGCACTTTGACTTTTCGGCTTCTCGGTCCTGTTTTGGCTCGGGATATCGAGGATTCAAAAACAGCCTCCCTCCTCCGCCCAGGCACGGGGTCAGTCAGACAAGACATCAGTCACGGTCCGCTGCCACGTTGAAGAGCTTGCCCCCACAGCAGGCAATAGGAGCAATACGAGTCACTCGATTACTATAATCAGCCCTCCAAGGAGACAACCACCACAGCCACGACCACATTCCGCTGTAACTGGGGGGCCAGCCGCTTCACCGCTTTCCAAGTGGTTGGAGGCCTGGTCAGAAAGCGGGGTGAAGAACACTGGGCTAATTGGCTCCTCGACTGCCATCTGGCGCTAGCTAGTAAGCGACCGACCAAGGTCCTTCCCGCAGCTCGCAGCCAGGTTCTCCAACTTCATTCATCCTCCAAATCGCCTCGCCTTCAATAAATCAACAACCTCGCGAACCACGCAAACTCCCCCCAAAACTCCCAAACACTTCACTAAAATCCCACAACCTTTTTCATGACTTTCTCCCCTCCCATCGTCGCACACTTTCGCAAATATATTCGTCAGCATGGCTGACTCCTGCATCGTCTGTCTCGAAGACTTGGACTCCGTTCCTGATCCAGCCGTTCACGATGATCGTCCACATGCGGGTGCAGTGGCGGCACAGGCCACTGATTTGGACCTGCCACAACCAAATCCCAGCACAACCATAAACAACTTGGCTATTGCTCTGATAAAACCGTGCGGTCATATTCTACACGACGAATGTTTGCGGGAATGGTCACAGCAGGCTAATAGTTGCCCCATTTGTCGCCAAGCATTCAATCTGGTCGAGGTCTTAGATAAGGTTGGAGGTATGTTACCCCTTGGACCCGAATATCTCCCCCACGCAATCGCACAACCTGCGAATAATTCCTCTTTCTGCGAGCGACTCCTCCAGTTCAAAATTATCCTTCAGTAATGAAGGGCTTACTTGTCAGGGCTGAGTCGCTCACTGCAGCTGGAAGTCAGCTAAAGGAGGGGCAGTGTCACATTCAGCTACAATTATTTCAAGTGCTAACTATTTTCGCCAGGTACTGTCATTTCGGAGTACGAGGTCGAGGACAAGAAACAAGTGGCCGAATTCGACCCGAGTGCTTGGATTGAGGATGAAGAGGAGGAAGAACCAGCACGCCCCTGCCCCATCTGCGGAGAGGCAGATCAAGAAGATGTATGTATAATTCCCCACAGATATATTGTCGCTGTATGGAGTGGTGACGTCGAACAAATCTTCGGTCGGCCTTGGTTTTGCGCAATTTCCATGGTCTATGAACAATTACTGACTATTATAATACAGGTCCTTTTACTCTGCGACGCATGCGATGCCCCGTACCATACACACTGCACTGGTCTCGATCGCGTTCCAAATGGCCACTGGTTTTGTATGGAATGCGAACATGAAGGTGCATATGAGAGAGCTGCGTCACCATCTGGAACGCCTCTGAGAGGAAGATTGGCACCTAGAACCTTAGCTACAGTTCGCAGAGCCCGCCACCGGACAAGGGCAGATCACTGGCAAGGTGCTTGGAGTATGTTGAGTAGGAGAATTCACGATGTCAGTGGATTGGACCTGGATTTCTCCGACGACGACCAAAACTTGTCCGATTACAGGGTATCCCAACATCGGACCGACGATGAGCAAAGACGGTTCAGTCAGTGGCAACGCCGGATCAATATTGCAACTCGACAAGGAGCCAGAGACGCTTTTCGCGCTGCTGTTCCTTCAAGTATCCGTCCAGAAACCCCCGTCGAGTCAATCGAGGAAACGAGGGCATGGAACGCGTTTGAAAAAGCCAAGGAAATGGATACAGCCAGTCCAAACCGTCGGAAGAGAAAGTCAAGGTCTGTTACAGCTTCACCATGTGAGGGCCCCTCAGTACCGGCAGAGCCAGAGCGCAAGCTCAAACGACCACGTACTCGCAGAGTTCTGGACAGGCCAGAATCGGCAGCCTCACCGTCGGTTGCGAGTTCAAGTCGTCCTATCAGCAGCAACCGCTCAGGGTCGCCAAGTACAAGACATCTGAACGATGCGAATGGACAGCCCTCATTTCTCTCGTCGCTCTTGAAAGAGGTGGAAATGCATCATGGTTCGGATGACGAGCGCTCTACCTACTCCTCGACTACTATCTCAGCCCCCAACAGAGTCACCAGCCCCATTGATTACTCCTCTCCAGCTGCTTCGCCCACTTCATCCTCACCATATCACACACCCCGAGCAATGTCTACTACTCCACCCCCACACTTCACCGATCGATCAAGATCTCCACTAACACTGACTTCTCATATCGAACCAATATTCCCTCCCGCCAATTATTCTCCAAATCGATCGTCCCCAGACAATAAAACAGAACATGATCATCAGTGCTCTTCGCCAACAACCGAAATCCGCCAACCACGTCCAAGACAAAGACCCGTAAAGTTACCTCGCTCTGAGGATAGCTCACCTGTTCGAGCCGCTATGTCCATCGAAGCCAAAGAAGACATCAATAAAATCGTCAAGTCCGCGCTTGCACCACATTGGAAAGCCGCTGCGCTGACAAAAGAACAATACGCCGACATTAATCGCGACATATCAAGAAAGTTATACGAGATCGCCGCCGAACAACGAATCAACGATGATTCTGGCCACGAGCTTGGAAAGATCGCTACAACAGAGGTAGCAAATGCTGTGAAATCACTAAAGGCTTAAACGACGACACGTACATTTCGACTAACATGGCGAACTGGCATTGCATTTCGGGAATTTCAAGGCGCAACTGAGAGATACCCGTTACAGGCATTGGGAGGGGGTGTTTGACTGGCGTATTTAGGGGATTGAGGGATAAATGTTATCAAACGACTGGATATGATTTGGCATTTCCAGGGCGTTTAACGGTGACTAGATGCATTCTCTGCGACAAATCTGCATGGATTGCATGATACTGTGTATAGATGAATGGATTCAATTACTACTTGTTCTAAACCTGCAGATATTTTAAAATGTCCCTGGATTCGCTATGTGTGATGCTGTTTTAGTGATATGCCATTTAAATCAACTTCGGGGTCTTTCTGCCAGGGAGAAATCCCCAAGCCACGACTGGCAAACGCGTAGGATTTAAGTACAATGATACTTCATTTGCTGGGATTACTGACAGAATATATCATACACGTAAAGGTAGTAATCCAATGCTCCCGAATTGCATCGTACAAGATCTCCATAGGTTGAGCTCCATGACTCCCGCTTTTCATACCACAATGGTTCTGTACCAGAGTGAGACTTGCCAGCTCGTGCGTCTATTCGGAGACTCGACGGTAGCATCAAGCAAGTAAGGGAGACACACAAGTTTGATGTGTTGGCATAAGTCTAAGAGCAGGTGGGCCAGCTATGGCAAATCGAGCTGGCTGGCGTACAAGGTGATTCTTCGCGGAGAGTCACAGCTTCACCACGATGAACCTCACAATATCACTCAACACTCAACTACACATACAGCTATCTCTCTCCCACTTTCTCAACACTCTCTTCTCCATTCCAAAGCCCAAGTCAAGAACAAGAAATGTAAACAGAAGCTATCTAACGATTCCCTTGGGACACAATCTTACAAGGATTGGGTTTAACCACGACAGTGGTTAGAAGGTTCCGTTAGCGAAAAAAGCCTGTGCATTGCTCTAGGCACCCGTAAATGGCCAAAACGTTCTGAGATGAATCGGGTTCTGGTGATAAGAATGGATGCCTTGATATTGGAAGAAGAGCTTTCTCGAGCTCTGTGAGATTTTTCTTATGTGGGAAGTTGAAGCTAGGCTGTTTTGGGGTTGGTGTGTCTAGCTTATGTAAGCAGAGTTCTGGAAATTTTGGAGCTTTCATGGGTTGATGCATTGAAGGTTTAGGAGACGAGTGTTGCCATTGAATTAGGATTGAAGAAGAGTGAAGACGTTGGAAAGGGATAGACGGATTCCTTTCGACTCGATACATATTCAAGATGACGGCAAGCAGTAGAGGAAGCAGAGCTGCTGCTTCAATTCTTCGTAAGTTCTATGTTAAGAGTTCCAATTGAGAAATACACAGCTGACAAGACAAACACCAGGCTCAACACGACGTTCCCATCCCCTCATCTGCTCCGACTGCATCTCACACATCCGCGCGCGAGCATCTCCGACATGCCTATCAGTTTCTCAAAGACCCTACGCGGTCGCAGCAACAGCTGTCAAAACCGCAGACTCAGCACCCAACTCCTCACTCCAACACCTTTCAAAACTCAAGCCCATATCCGCTACAGCACCAGAATATATCCCCAAAGCCGGCATCCTACTCTCACGCGCACCACTCCTGACAGCTCCGCAGTCATCGTTCGAGAAGGCCTTTTACTTCTACCAGAAACGGCTGAACGAGCGTCTGGCTATGCCGTACGCGAAGTACTTCTACTTCAAGAAAGACACGCCTGCGGATACAGATCGCAAGATCAAAGAGCGAGAGAGGAACTGGGCTGCTGCGCGGGAATTGGGCGGGTACAGAGCATTTGGCGAGGAGGCATGGAACGATGAGCTGTTGTCTGTGGAGACGGACGCGGCTGGGGATGCGGCCAAGGCGTTTGGCAAGATGGGCATCGCGGAGCCGAAGTACATCCTCGAGACGCTGGTGAAGGACGCGAAGATCTGGGCTGTGGAGGGGAAGGATGGGGCGGCGATGGAGGTTAAGGAGGGGGAGGAGGTGGAGTGGGAGGCGAAGGTTGAGAAGCCGTTGAGTAGGGTGACGGAGAGTGATAGGAAGAGGGATGAGAAGAAGCTGGATAGACAGTTGACCAGGACGCTGTACTTGCTTGTTAAGCCTGAGAAAGGGTCTTGGAGGTTTCCGCAGGGTGTGTTGGAGGGGAAGGAGAATCTGCATCAGGTATATCCCTTTCTAACATTTTTACTCTATGTTTTTCTAACAGTAAACAGGCGGCAGAACGTATCCTCGTCCAAACAGCAGGCGTCAACATGAACACCTGGATCATCGGTCACGTCCCCATCGGCCACCACGTCGTGCCCCCAACATACACCAAAACCACGCCCGAAAAGAACACCACCCCACAACTCGTCCGCCCCGGCGCAAAGACCTTTTTCATGAAGGGTCGTATCATGGCCGGACAGGCTGAACTAGTAGAGAATGCATTTGGCTTGACTGACTTCAAATGGCTGACGAAAGAGGAGGTGAAGAAGCATGTTTCGACTAGATATTGGAGCTATGTGCAGAATATGCTGGCTGATAGGTAGATGGGGCAGTTTCGAGGGAGGGAATGTATAAAACTGGATGGCATGCATGCATGAAGAGTTGTACTGTAGCATAGCATAGGTAGCGCGGGATATGTATGATCTGTAGAATGTAACAACTCCATTGGATGATAGGTGCGGGGCCGATTTCGCGGATGTTTGCGACTTTCGCTCTGGTGATGCAGCAGCACTCAAGTGAGTTATGCTAAGATCGACGACGGCCGAACATCTCCCCGTGGGCATGTTGGGTTACGCTTGCTCGATTGTACATATAGTCTCGTCTCTTTTCATCTCGATGGCGTAGATTGAAATGTGGTCTTTATTAGCGAGTGCAGCTACTACTCAAGATCCTTGAATGAGATATCAAGTTAGATTCTTCCAGTTTCCAAGCTTACATTTCAAGATTCAACATCACTTCTCGCTACTGCAAAATTCCATTTCACATCTCTTCATCTCTCATCTTACCACCATCCTCCAACCTCCCTTTAGGATGTCCGCCTCCACAACCACCTCTACCTCTCATCAAACCTCAACCCAAAACCCTCAAATCCTCATCCTCGGCGCCGGCATCACCGCTCTCAGCACAACCCTCGCTCTACTCACCAGCCCTTCAACCTCACATTTCACTATAACACTCATAGCAGCACATCTCCCTGGCGATTTATCACCAGAATACACATCACCCTGGGCAGGTGGCGACTGGCACTCTCATGTTTCGACATCGGATGAAGATGCCGATGTGAGGAAGTGGGATGGTAGGACGTATCAGGCGTGGATGGAGATGCTATCTAACTACTCGAGCGGTGACGCTTCAACTTCAGCTTCAGCTTCTCTGCAGCGGAAAGTAGGAGGGGATCAAACCCATAATTCTGAGATTAGCACAGGAAAGGGAGATCGCGAACAGACTGAACAGAAACTCGGACTCCACCCCACCACCCTCCGCTACTTCTGGGGCTCCCACAACTCACGAACCCACCCCTCCGGCTCAGGAATCTGGTTCTCATCCATGGTGCAGGATTTCCATATCTTGGATGCAGATCTCGAGCGCAGAGAAGGGAGACCTGTTCCTAGAGAGGCGGTGTTTGGGACGAGGTTTAGGACGGTGACGTTCGATCCGGTGGTGCATTTGGAGTACTTGCTGAGGAGGGTTAGGGCCTTGGGTGCGAGGGTGGTTAGGGGGGTGGTTGATACGGGGAGGGGATTGGAGGGTGTCGTTGAGAGCATGCGAAGATTGGTTAAGAGAGAGGACGGTGAGGGAGATATTGGAGAGGATAATGTCTTTGCAGTGGTTAATTGCGCAGGGCTCTCAGCGAGGCATTTTCTCCCCTCTCAAGAAGCGGAGAAACTGTTTCCCATTCGGGGCCAAACAGTCGTAGTAAAAGGACAAGCCAAAGAAGCATATACATACGTCTCTATCCCATCAGCGCCGGAGGATGAGTTGCTTTACGTTATTCCTCGACCTGGGGACATGACAGTCCTGGGTGGGTGTAAACAAGTTGGGAGTTGGGACAAGGAGGTTGATCTGGAGATGGGAGAGAGGATTATGGAGAGAGTTAAAAGAGGTGGATTAGCGGAGGAGTTGAGGATTGGAGAGGATGGAGGGTTTGAGGTGGTGAGGCAGCAGGTGGGCTTTAGGCCGGGTAGGAAGGGGGGACCGAGAGTGGAGGTTGAGAGGGAGAAGGTTGGTGGTGTTTGGGTGGTGCATAGTTATGGGCATGGGAGTGGAGGGTTTCAGGCGAGTGTTGGGTGTGCGGAGAGGATTGTTGAGTTGGTTGAGGGGTTGATGTGATGGAATTTGAGTGACAATAAGTGAGGTTGTGTGTTGTTTTGTGTACAACTTTCAATTTTATTACAAGCAACGGAATTGACAAGGACATTGGACGAAGTACTTGCCAATTGTCAGGGCAGCAAAGGTTGTCATGAATGACCTTGATATGATAGCTGTGTCCTGGTAGGGAGTGTCAATTTCTTCTTGATGTTTACTGTTTTTCTACGCGAAAATACTTCAGCACCTGGTAAAAAGAATTACCATCTGCCCAAAAACAACGAGAGCTCTGCTGATATTGGCATCCCAACCACCAAAATATATATTGCTGATCATAATGGCAAAAATTAAAAAATTTAAAAAAACATACAACAGCAGGTATTCGCTGGTGGTCACCCACCCAACTACTAATCTGCCGATCTGAGGCTTATGTATGGCAGAGCGGACGGGATGCCCAGTTTTCCTCAGTCTATGGTCGTATGTGACAGACACTGCTTTATTTAACTAGATATAGTATTCAAAATTTAACGTCTACTTTCCAACAACTTCCTTTGTGCCAATTCACCAATGCGGAAGATCTGAGCAAGTGCTGTCTGTCACTTTCAGATCCACTACCACTACCATCTTCCACTACAAGTACTCGTATATCTCGTCAAACAGAGTCCTTGTTATCTACAACTTTACTTGCATTTTCAACGCCAAAACGAGCGAAAAATCGATCGCATGTCCCCTCGTGATCAGCACAAGTGGAGTCTCGTCAGTGCAGAGCCTAAGGATGAGTCCTCTTTGAGGTTAACTGGGGGATACTTTGAGATGCGAGGGCTTGAGAGTCAATATGTACCCAGCCCTCAACCCTTGTCGGGACTTTTTGAGTGACACATATTCAAAGTTAAAGTTAATAATGCTCACTATTACTTGAGGAATGATGACCCTGGTTGAGGTCGGTCTAAATCTATACTTACAATTGTGCCAGCTTCTCAAATGAAACTCTGCAACATCATCACCGCTTGAAGCAGTATTGACGATATCCCTTGCTAGCTGACGAGTACGCTTACTCTATGGCTATCACTTTGCATGGTATGCCGTCGTCCTGACAAGCGTTCCATACTTTCGGTCGCTCTAAGTTTGCCCTGTGAGATCAGGGTTTCCCGCCGTGAGAACTTAGATTCTACCGTCATATTCACTTCTTTTGTCAAACATGATAAAACTCGATTATCATGCCTTCACCAATTTCATGCCAGTACACAAGACTACAAGGGTTAGTATTGGATTGCAACAATCAGCAGCCCGGTTACTGCTTGATGTTTTCCCCTCACAGTTGGCTCCGGGATTCACTTCCAGCGCACACGTTCGTACCATATAATGATCTCTCCTGGGAGGTTGCTTGCTACGCTCATAATAAGACATGGCTGTCAATATATATCGGAGTTTCGTCTCCTGGACCGATAAGTGGCGCTAATGAAAGCTCCTACTGTTTCTCCGCAACCTACCATTCATTTGCAACCAGACTTGCTCAATTATCTAAGTATTTGATGAACTTCGGGCACATGTCAATGTATCATGCTTCTTCTGAGACATAAAGGAAGGGCTATCACGGTCAATTTCTACAGTAAGGACTCACAAGCCAGTTGACCAGTATATCCTAGAACTCGTCAGGATCGCTGCATAGAGCACCTGGAGATTTGTTTAGTCTTCTCGCCAAGTAAATATTGACATTGGGCCAGATATCATTTGAGACCATTCCGCTCCATTTCAATTTCTCAAATTCCTTCAACGTTGTCAATTGCATTTCTGCTGCCACTTTCTCTGAGAGTCAGGAAACGACTCCAACCGAAGGCTGTAGGGTGAACCTACCCCTGTCATTTTATCGTATGATGTTCACGAAGCGCGCACATCAAGGTGAAGTTCTCATCACATCCAGTCAAGCATGCTTTGACCCACTCAACGCTTCGGGGACTTTCTCTACAGCAAGTATGGAGCTGACGAAGCCTGATCTCGCAGCGCTTTTATGTGTCAAGAAATCGTAATTTACTTGCATATTCTAATCCTAAGCTTCTTTCACTACGTCAATATCGTATTCACTTCAATATTGCTTTTATTCGGCAACAATCAATTGAGTCACTGGCAAGGTCTCACTCTCACTTCCACTACTAATCCAGGGGGTTAGCCGAGCCCGCCAACCACACAGCCAAGTACCTACGCCGCTCCCATGCAGGAACGAAATGAAGCTTATAATTCCATAGTCATGTGGGCATGCATTTTCCAGGCACCATTCTCTCCCATTTATGTTCCGAAAATCCGGACTTTCCCAAAAGTTTTGGTCCCGGTTGGAAGTTCAAACTCCAACACACTTTTCTCTCGCTAAATTTTCACGATGTTTGGAGTGCCTCAGACATGGCGTTTCCTTCTGGTGGCAGCTGTAGCGGGGGTTGCAAAAGCGCATACGGTGATCACGTACCCAGGATGGAGAGGAGATAATCTTCAAACGAACGATGAGTTTCCGTTTGGGATGCAGTGGAGTTATCCTTGTAAGTGTGCATTTCTGCATTTCCATCTGTTCAGGTTTGCAAAAGAGAAGTTCAATATTTTGAATCTGAGTTTCCCACTCAAGGCTAAGCTTTCCAGGCGGTGGCATCCCACCAACAGACAACCGTACGAACTGGCCCATAACAGGCGGCGCAATTGCAATCCAGCCAGGATGGTTTCGAGGCCACAAGAATTCCTTGATATATATCAATCTTGGACTTGGAACTGATGGCCCAGGCGGCGGACCACCAAACATGTCATTCCCCATGACTCCAGTCTTCCAAATCCGAGGACCGTCGGATAATCCGTACCCCGGGACATTCTGCTTGCCACAAGTCCCACTACCTGAGAATGTGAGTGTGAAGGTTGGAGATCTTGCGACAATCCAAGTCATTGAGACGTTGAAACATGGTGGTGCTTTGTACAATGTACGTGTCTCTGACTCATTCACTGGTTTCCAATATGCTAACAGCCAAGACAGTGCGTCGACATCATATTCTCCGAACTGGAGGATGTTGCCGAAGTCACCGCATCGAACTGCTTCAACAGCACCGATATCGATTTCAGCTACGTCTACTCGGTGCCTACACAACTGTGCGGCCCAGACACAAACTTGATTGATCGCCCAACTGCGGATCCTGCATCCGCGACGAATTCTCGTGCGCAGCTGTTCGCGTCTTCGACCCCGACCGGGACCGCAACATGTCCGCCTTGCCCTACTCAGACCCAGTGTCCAAGCACGAATGGGATGGGGAACTCGCTGTCGGGTAGGGCGGAGGGAATGGGAGTTGGGTTCCCGTTGGGTGTTTTGGCATTGGGTGCCCTGGGCTTGTAGATCCGCTGTTTCCTGGGAAAGTGGACATAGAGCAGTACTGTGATTATGTTATTCTTCTTTTGGTACTGTTGTCGTTCTTACTCTTGTTCTCGCCAAATTCTGGCGCTGTGCGCTGTGCGCTGCGCTTGGTCAAGTCCACTTGATTGTCGAGAGTGGTTATGTTTGAGCATTGGAGTTCTCAATATCTCAATGGCGCAGCTTTCGAAAACGACTTGAGAATACAAAGACACTCTCCTAGGGTGCTAGGGATCATCTAGGGCTGATTAAGCTTTGAATGCAGTCTCTTACGAGGGTTAGCGGTACATTTCGTGTTTTGATATGAAGCTTTTGTTCTGTCATCCGACATGATTATAGTAGGTCAGTAATCGGCGGAAGAGAAGGGGATATATCAAACATCTATTTATCTTTGCTCTACGCTAAACAGTATTAACTGTGATATGCACATGCAATAGTTTCATCATTCCATCCACCTAACATTCCATCCATCCAGGCTAGAATATCAACCAATGGAAGCCAGACCAGAACCCGCGCCATTTGACCATAACTGCAATCCCATGCATCCCATCATCCATTTTCTTTTTTCGGACCAAGACAATGTAGCGCCTACCTATCCATACTCCATGCTGAATGAGCCGGCCCAGTCTGAATGTTCTAAATAAACTCCTCCCAATGGTATAAAAAAACATAAATGTTCAATCTAGAAATTGTAGCGTGTGCCTTGACGACCTGTGCCCTTTTCCTTCTTGGTCTTGGCCTCACTCCTGGTCTGGCGCTCTTCCTCCACGACGGGTGGAGGTGGTGCGGCTTTCTTCGCAGGCTTCCGGGCGCGAGGCTGCTCAGAGTGCAGGTGGCCCAGCGAGCTGATTGCAGTTCCGTTGTGCCAGGTCAAGCACCTGTGAGCAGTGTGGTCGACTTGCTGATCCTTCTTGCGCGTTGACATGCGCTTGGGTCCCGTATCGACGGCTTTCTCCTCGGATGGGCTTAGATATTCCTTTCGCTTGACCATATGCTCGACGATCCTATCCCGATAATTCTTGATCTCCTTGCTGAATTTCATCTCATTCTTTCCACGAACGTCTAACCATTTGATCAATGCATCGATTTCCTCGGGTTCGTCATAATAGCCCCATTGGTGAGCATTGTAGACAGTGCTTGAGCCATCCTCGAGCTTCTTTCGCTCCGGAACCGTCATGTTGAACTTCGCTTTGTACTCATTTTGCCACTCTGGGATCATATCGATGAATCCCTCTCTTTCAATATCATCTGGGCCTTGAACCCAGAGACGGCCATTGGCATATTCAGCATCGGCAGTTGAGCTGTCTGGCATACCCATGTACGGCATACCGTTTCGCTCAAACCAGTAGTAACGATTCCAGAATCTGTCCTTGCCAAGAACAAGTGTTCTCGGGCAATTGTTCTCCCGAAGATCGTTATCCAGAATGGCAATTTCTTCTTCTTGTTCCTTGATCAGATCCTCTTTCTTTTGGATATCTTTCAAGAGCTTCGTGAACTGTTTCGATTGTTTCGGAATCTTGGCCTCAGCCTCGGCCTTCTCTTTCTTTTCTTGCTCAGCTTCCCGCTTGCGTTTTCTGTCCGCCGCTCGGTCGAGACCACGACGTAGAGAGCGGCCGGATTTAGGATCATCATCAGTATCCATGACATCCTCATCAACCGAGTCCTGAACCTCTTCAACGGGTGCAGCATCCTGCATGCTGACATCACCGTTGACCTGAGCATTCTCTGGAACCGGGGATGGCGGCATGTTAGCTGGAAGAAGAATCTTTCGTTCCTCGTTGAGCAACCGAAGCTCCTCAACCCTATTCAACGTTAGACAGCTCGAGATCTTTGTTATCACGTGACGACTTACAATTCCTTCTTCCTTCTCTGGTGATTGATCTTCTCCTTACGATAGCCAGTCATCTCCTCAGCACACTCTTCCATGTATGCTCGAATGGCCTTTGTTTCCGCAGTAAGCATGCAAACAATCTGGAGAGCCTGGATTCGAAGGTTGACGTCGAGTTTGGCGTACTGTAGCCGTGTCGTTTCTGGTGTGGGGTCCATGTTGAGGGGCGCAAGTTCCTTCAACAGTGTCTCGCAAGTCTCAAAGTGGCGCGGGCTCTTCGAAAGTTGATGCAAGAGGCCTACCATAATAAATTGCCATCCACCGTTCTTAAAGTCACGCTTTCTGAGACGATCCATCCAGCCAACCTCTAGCTGCATCTCAGCGGCTCGGTGGGTGAACTTTGGCTCAGGACTCGGTTCCTTCACTGGTTCTGGCTCTGCTTTTAATGCCTCCGCCTCTGCCTTTGCCAAACTGCTCCTGGTAGCTCGGCCTCTGGGCTTTGGCTCTGGTTCTGGGGTTGGAGTCGGGGGTGCACTGGCTTCCTCATCGGATTCCTCATCTTCACTATCTTCATCCATATCCGGAAGCTGTACATGAACTTTTCCGCCGTCGGCTTCTGAACTGACAAGAATTTTCAAAGCTGCACAGTGAACCTCTACGAACAACTCGCAGTCAACATCCTCGGAAGTAAATTGCATGGCCTCGACGAAATCATCGAAAGTAAAAGAATCCAGCTTGAAGACTTCACAGTAGACGTTCAAAGTATCCCAAGTCTCAAGTAGTGGTCCCACCGACTTCATGAGAATACCGTTTCCTTCGCCCTTGGTCGTTCCATCATCCAGAGGAGTATCTTGAGAGAAATACTTGAGTGCCGGCTTGATGGGAGGATTGTGTCGGAGGATGACTTGCAAATCCTCAATTGGGTATTTGATTGGTGGTGGTGGCGGAGGAGCAGGTGGTAATGACGCAAGTTGTTGAAATGTGAATGCCTGATTGTGGAATTGGTGTTGATGAGGACCCGGATGTGGTGGGCCGACAGCTTGGAATGTGTGAGATACGTAGGGAGGTTGAGGATGATAATATGGGGGAGGAATCTGAGGATTTGGAATTGGAGCATAATTCAAGAACGTTTGCTGCTTACTCTTAGCCAACGCCTGACCTTGCTGCTGCTTGCTCTTATGGCTTTTTGGGGCAGGTTTCAGCTGTGGAAGTCGAGGTCCGTTTCCTTGGAAGCTTCCAACCATACCCTCGTAATCTGGAGCATGTTTTTGTTGGGCTTGCTTTTGCTTTCGTTCGGCAGCTTTGCTCTCATAACGCAGATGTGGTGGGACCCGTGTGTCGATATGGTAGACTGCTGCAACCTCGGGCTTGACCAACCAAGGCGCGCCAGTCCAGGCTTCTCGAGTGACTGTTTTCTTAATGAAAGATCGCAAAACTTGCTTGGTGAAGATCTTGCGATCTCGAGTAATATGGGCATCGTCCACCACAGCCTCCTCCGTCGGCCGATTATCAAGACTAACAAAATATCTGGAGAATGGCGGATTTACAGTGCCATCCGGGAGTTGTTTCGGGCCAAAGCGTGTCTTGTCTCTGACAATTCCTGTGAGTCGTTCGCCCGTCACCACATGTACAGTCACAGCCTCGCCAGGGTAGTAATCGGAGCGAAACTCGTCGAAAATGAGGTCGACAAGAGTATCGATTCGAGAAATGGTTTGGAATTGAACTCGTCGTAGAATTGGGTCCTTGAGGGCCTCTGGGAAAGCCTCTTCGACTTCCTGTGCACCTGCGAGCTGGACGACGTTAGTTGCGCCTGGCAGCAAAAGCTCCAAATTTTCCTTACTTCACTCTTCAACGCCTCGAAAAAGTTCAGCCCAGAGTGACCGGTAATCTGACATATAAATCGACGCTGGATTTTGTCAGAGACTGTCTGCGACGCGTCCAAGATGCATTTTGACTAACCTGTTTGTAAAAGTCGATTCTAGGGGCAACATCAGTAAAGCAGGTACTAAGAGCAAGCTTGATACACACCTTGCCAGATATTGCTCATAATCCGTAAAAATCTCTCTTGTTTCCTTAATCATCCACACCTGTATCCTCTATCAGCTCTTGCGCCGGCTCCGTATCAAGTATCCGTACCTCGGCATCATCACTCTCAACCACCGGCGGGGGCATATATTGAACGGGTTTCCGCTTGAAGAGAACCTGTATGTGTTATTACATACCCTTGAGAAAGCCGGAAGGGAGAGTTTGTACCATTCTTTCGGCTTGTTGCGTTCGAAGAACGCTGACCGGGTGGGGGAACCTGGGGTAAAGTGGAATGTCAGACTCGAGGTACCCTTCTGCAGCACTTATATGTAGCTCTGTAAAGCTTTATATCCGTGGGGGAGATGGTTGAAGTGAATGGTGGATTGATTCGAGAGTAAGAGCGAGTCGCAAGGGAGTGCCCAGGCTCGATTGCGTAGTACTCGTGGTCGTAGGTTGTATATCAAGCTGGCACTTACAGATGGAAGCTCTCGACGCGTCTGTTGTCTTCGAAGCGACTTATGCGAGGCGCATTCGGTTCCTGGGCTCGGATGGTGGGATTGATGCTGGTTGCTGGTGGCTGTTCACGACGCGTTGGGTAGTGGGCTGGAGAAAGAAGAGGAAGAGTTTTGGACATTGGCCATCGGGAAGGAGATGGATGCGCGCTAGCAGGGTAGGACCGCAAGTGCGGGAGTGGACAAGCTGCGTTTAGCGAGCAGGACAACTCCCCCATTATTTCTTACCTCGCCCGATAGTCACAACCACGGATGATTCAGAGAAACATTTTCTTGCACTCGACATGGGCTGGATCAGCACTCTCGATTGAGTACTCATTTATATACTTTTGATTATCTGCACTGAATGCTACGAACTTCTGAAAAAATAAACAACGGGGAGCCGCATTTTTGGATATCAGCCTCGACATTGTACTCAGGGGTACTTTCCAATTATACAAAGTTGATAGTGACTATGACGCTATTCAATTATTTTAAAATCCTCGGAAGCATCGAACAATACGACTTAAGTGAGTATAAAGTAAAGTCGTCGTGGCTCTGAAGCACTCCATGGCACTCTAGACGGGTTGGGGGTCTTTCGCATCTGTAAATAACAATTCGGGGGCTCTCGCCTAGGCCATAAAAGTATGCCGGAGACAGAGCGCAATCCATCCTCATATCATCCTGTCCTGTCTGGATAGATAGAACTGGATTTTCACGGATATGTCGACACCTGGAGCCTTCAGGCTGACCATGGTTGACTCCGGTCGAAGAGCACCCGCTGGCAGTTCGCTTGTACAAATCGGGTAAAGCGCACAATGTGACGCGAACCATACCATGCACCATCCTCGCTCCACAGATTTCCTTGCCTCACTCACCGACTCTTCCAAAAGCCCATGGAACACAGCTTTCTGGACAGTAATAATAACTCGCTCATAGCAGTACGTAGTCAGTTAATACAGCACTATAGTTCAATTATCTCAATGGCTCGCTTATTACGATTCAGGGGCTGCGCCAAGGTTGACCACCTACCATGATTAAGCTTCATGACCTCCCGCGATTCCGAGCACAATCCCCCTGGTTATAAGCAGCCCACATCTCCATCCACAGTTATTACCCCAAGTCAGAAGCTGTGACTAGCTGGAGATTGGATATAGTTTAGGGGATATCTTAGTTGATACTCTATTTGTTTACTTTCGGTTCAGTTCGTATCGCTTAAGCTCGCCCTTCCACATCGACTGGATTTATCGCCGATTTTCATCGGATTCGTCGTATTCCAAACTTGGATCATTGTTTGGCACTGCTTTTTTGGATCCACAAGCACCATCAGAGTAATTTGGAGGTGACGGAATGTCCATGTCTGTTAAGTCCTGTACTCGACAGTGGACTGTGAATGTTAGACCCTCGTCGAAACTAGCCCTTCGGTCCAGTACGCACAGTTTTTCCCCGCGTGCTTCTATATGGTGTCACATAGCGAACCATTTGCTCCAAAAGTATACGGTGAAAGATAAATCATGTCCCTCATCTGTATCAATGACCGCCCAGCTATGCCTAGTCTGGAGGCAGAGGCAGCTCTTCTCGATTTTGGTGTGCCGTCCAAATCTTTCCCGAACAAGTACAGTAACAACACATCACATATATGATATCGCTACATTGGAAAATTAGTTGGGAGTCATCATCATAATCCACTAGGAATTTTTAGAGGGTGGCTGGGTTATTCGCATGGTGACTCCTGCGCGCACGGGAAACATCGATTGATGTCGCACAATCTTTAACTGTCAACCGCTTGGAACACAATCAAATATTTGCGGCTATAAAGTTTCTTGCTTTGGACGAGGCATACTGGAATCGCAAGTTTTCGGTGATTCATGAATCATTCCCATCGCAATTCTCAATACATTGCGCGGCGTCTGGCTGATCCTTTTTGTGCCGGGCCATTTCCATCCCAGGCATGACTTGGTGATTGTTTACCTTGTGGCTTGAAAAAGTCATGCAGTATAGTGCAAAGAGATTCTGTAGTTCCTGGCTTCAAAATGCTGGGAACGATGCCAGCCCAGAAGTGGCACCCATGGACGTACTGAATACGAGTAAAGCTTCTCAAATGCGGTCGAAACGCTGCAGTAGCAGCGCAGCTTTTGCTTCACGACCACCAGTCTTAAGGCAAAAGTTTCTGGGCGATATATAATTGTAATGTGTTTTTCTTGTATCGAAAATATCAAACTGGTCCGAAGCGTCAACGAATTTTTCGTGTCTGTGAGCCCTGGACAGCTGATGTCAAGTATGATGAGCCAGCGCTCGAAAGGCAGAAATTCCGAACCCACCTATAAGTACTTCACTGGGATAAGAAACGTGGATAGCACAGACCAGGATCTGTTTCTCCGAAAGAAAAAAAAAAAGCTTGTAGACTGCAGCCGGACGCTAGTAACAGAAATAATTCCAAAGGCAGAGGTCAAACAAATACTGCTGTTCAGCAGGACAGGGCAAATGAACGCCAGCCGCACAGCAACCGGAAGACGCTTCATCCAGCTCAGCCTGATCCTTCTTGTCCTCGGGCTGGAACATTCCGTTCGCCCTGCGGAAAAACAAGGGAGTACAAGCCTCATCCCGGTGGAACCTAATCTATGTCACGTGATACAAAATCCATGTTCCCCGTTAACTCATTGACCCGCGCAAAAAGACTGCAACGCAAAGCAACCGATTCCATCCGTAACAAACACCAGGATTAGTTCCATTTCCTCGTGGACACGATGGAAAAACCAACACGTTTCAGCCCTGCCAAATAATCGCGGATTGATTGGCCGGTAGGGTCGGCCGCTGCTTAAATAAGCGCGCGTGTTTTATTTGGACCGCCACACAAACAAATTCTATTTTGGATCCCTGCCCAGCCTCGCTTGTTTCAAGATTATTCATAGATTTTCCGGTGCCGGTTGCGGCCACACCTGTCACCCACGCCAACAGGTTTCATCAACCACGTCGAAGTCTTTGTTGTGCAGAAAATGGCGATATTTTGACGACATTCATAACAAAGAAATTCTTGAGCAGTTGACTCGTGGGTTTTGGGTCGATGGAATGGCATCATGTCGTCGCTGTGTGGAGAACGGGGCCAATCTTACTCGAGCGTTTCTCCCCTATCCCTTGTCTCTTGATCCTTTCATGTCTAATATTTTCTTTGACGATTCCATATCCAATATTCAATCCTGGATGGTATAGGCAAGTAGCCGGCCGCTCTATAAGCCCGCTGAGCGTTCACTCATCGGACCTCACTACATCCGGCGATAACGGATGCCCAGACCCCTGGAACAGCCACAGCGAGGGCCATCAGGCTGTGCAAGCGAGCGCTACCGCCCAGCCATTTGATGCAGCATTTCTCAAAAATACCCCGGGCCTGCGAAGTTTTTATTTTGGATCTCACTGCCTTGTTGTTGGTGTGGTACTTTGTCCTTCATTCCAGGAGCTATTCAGGTGTATAAAGGAAGTACTTGACCCAAGAATAATCCTCTCATTCTCCCTCATACCCATTCACATCATACATTCGCCTCTCAGTATACAGTCAACTCATCACTCATAGTCCCTGTCTATTAAAGCAAAGCTTAATTTGTGTTCCTTGTCATCAAGAATAATTCTTTTTCTTACTCTCCCGCAATAATGTATTTCTCAACATCTCTCATCACTCTCGCTGCCGTGGTCGCCACTGCCACCGCACAACAAGGAACCACGATCCAAGTCACAGTCGGAAAAGGCGGACTTGTCTACTCGCCCAACAACATCAAAGCCGAAGTTGGCACTAATATCGAGTTCTCTTTCTTCCCAAAGGTACGCTTTCTTCTCCTCCCTCGATCCTCACTCAGAATCTAACACATCCAGAACCACACCGTAACACAAAGCTCCTTCAACGACCCTTGCCACCCCCTCGAGAATGGCTTCTTCTCCTCCTTCGTACCAACAGCCAACTCCCCCTCCGGTAGCACATTCACCATCACCGTCAAAGATACCAAGCCCATCTGGCTGTATTGTGGTCAAGGCAACCATTGCCAAACCGGCATGGTCGCCGCAATCAATGCTCCCGACACAGGCAACACATTCGAAGCTTTCGCACTCCTCGCCAAGAGTGCTTCTGCTTCGACATCTCCACCTGGCGGAGCAGTCGGTGGTATCTTGAAGCTTGCTGATGGTACCGGGTCATCATCATCGTCGTCGGTGTCATCCTCGCCATCGTCATCATCTGCTTCCGGTGCAGGTGCTGCAAGTGGATTCAGCACCATTTCTACCACGAAGACTGTCCAGACTACGGTCACAGCTACCGTCACTGCAGTCGTGACACAGGATCAGAGCACTTACACCACGACATACCCAAGTACTTACGGTACTACCTACACCACTGCTCTCGCTCAGTCGACCGTTGCGATTGATGTTGTCCCAAGTAGTACTTCCGCATCGGCTAGCCCAAGCTCAACTGGTAACTCTGCTGCTGGACTCGCCGTCAATGGTGCGATGGCAGGTGCTGTTTTGCTTGCCGGCTTGGCTATGTTGTGATGCAGTCGTACCGGATGATATCTGGGTTGCTCTTAGAAAATGTGGTATTGCCAATGCATTTCTTCAGGTGTTAGTTTGAGCTTTTGCGTAGTGTGGGACTTGGAAATATGGGGAGTTAAATTGTATCAGTAGCTAGAAACGTCGCGGTATACCATTTTTTCCCCCGTCAAATACTTCCTCCAAGGCTTCTCCAAATGCTATTTCTCATGCTGAACTGCTGATGATGAGAATCAAATAACTAATTCATGCTTGTTGAGTCAACTGCCGTTCAAAATTGTTCCATTTCCTCCCCTCAAACAGGGATAAAAGCTATTTCCAAAGGCTGCTGCTGCAGACGCAAACAGCTAAGGAACTGCCAACCAACGAACTCCTCTGTATACCGGAACCAGAAAATCGGAGATGACCTGAAACGGTGACATAACTTTCTAGACAAAACTCAAAGTAGTGAGATGAACTTGTAACATGGATTGCTGTCGTTCTATTTTCCTTGTCAGCATTGTTTTCTTTGTCGCTTAGGCATTTCCCATCACAGGTGCTCCAACAAGTCCAATCTGAACAGAAGCTGCCAGTATGAGAGCGACATTTCAATGTGAACATCCACTCGAATAAATGTTAGTTCTAGGAGAACAATGTTACTGAAGATGGGATTTCCTGAGATACCCTGTGATGTGCCGATTGTGCCAAGGCCGGGGCACATCACCAGCTTCACATGACGAGGATCCCTAATCTAGAGAGAGAATCACCAAACTGTTACAGAATTTATATGTGCTACCCCTAGCTTAAGAATTCAGAACTGAACTTTTTAATTCACTTACTTCCATATCATCCTTATGCTTCAGTTCACATTCTCAAACCTTGAAGTGCTCCAACCTTGCTCCAACCACCTCACTGCCACGTGACAACCAAAATTTTCCTTTGGACATTTGTCAATTTCGTATATATTCTCTAATCATCGCATGAGTTTTATTCTCGAGCACTTTCTGCAGAGGTGGCACAGAGCTCGTATATGTTCTGTGTTCTGTCAAGCTGTAGTGCTTGCGCATCGACAGTTTTAACTGCTTCTTCACGTCGACCTGTCCCCGCCTCCATTTAAGCTGATCAAGAGAGCCATGCTTCAAGGTTCATGTAAAGCCAAAAACAACAGATAACGCTGCTATCAAACAATACCTTGTTGTCATCTTCCCGACATTCATTCTCACTTCCTCTCAAAAAAACTCGAGCATCTCAAAAAATGGGCTCACCCGGCTCTCAACCCAACTATCCCCCACAAATTCCCCGCTTCGATTTCGATACACCAGCTCAATTCCTAACTCCAACCATCCAAGACCCTCCGGCATGAAATCGCCCTGTTGCATTTTCAAACTCTGATATACATTCCAAGTCTAGCCAGGTGATTTCATATCTGAAGAAGTGGACTTACACTCAACACCACGTGTGAGCTTGGCTCACAATGAATGCATCACGATCGTAGTGAATGCTACACCGCGGCACATACCTCCCCCATAAATTTGAGAAGTTGGTTGTAGGATATAAAAATCGGCATGTTGGAGCGGTTGGGTTTGAAAGTCAAGAGACGACACATACAAGCAAAGGCGGAATGGGAGTCCCATTTCCGTCGGTATCTGCCCCAGTACTGCACAATGTATTACGCAGCTGGGCAGACCTTGGTGAGAATTTGACTTCACTCAACAATGGTTCCAAGGCATTGAAGTCGCAAAGCCTGACTAGTACATTAACTTCAAGAGGATTGGATTTGCAATGGTGGGTTTTGTTGTCAATCACCTATCTGCTGTCATAACCTCGGTTCAATCGTCCTCGCGTCCTCGTCACAATTGTCCTTGAACTTTCATCCACAAACCAAAACCAAGAGAGTAAAACATCAACACCTAGGTGTTATCGATCAATTCCTCTCTCTCGTAGCCTTCGCTTTCAATGAGTAACCTAGCCGCTCTTGCTCCGGCGCTCATCATCCCTCCACACTCAAATTTTGTCAGCAGCCTTTCCAGCAATTGTCAACCCGGACGCAACCATTGCAGGATTCAATGTATACAACCCTGCCGCCGCAGTCCCGAATCCAGCTAAGACACCCAGAAGCGGCAGCGCTCTACTAGTACTGCTCTTCCTCCGTCTCTGCGCTTCAATTTCCTGCCTCGCTCTCTCTTCTTGCCTCTCAATCTCCTCTTGCTCCTCCAAATATTGTCTCCGAAGTTCTTCTTGTACTTCCTCTTTCATACGCCACTCTGCTTCCATCTGTCTGCGCTCGTCTTCCAATTTCTGCCTCTCTGCTTCGATTTGTCCTCGCTGCTCGGCGGCAATCCTGCGGTCTTCTGCTGCTTGCGCTTGAATCTCACGATTCTTTATTTGTTGCTGCAAAGCTGCCATTTCGTCCGCGAAGAACTTTTGTGCTTCTTTGAAGGACTTCTCGTCTTCTTTTCGCTCCTCTTGTAACTTTCTGTAGTCGGCTTCTCGTTTGTCCAAAACTTCTGCAAGCTTTTGGTGTTGGCGTTGGGTATTTTCGAGAAGTTTCCTGTATTCTTCCTCTTTCTCACTCTCCAGTCGCCGAAGATTCGTCTTCAAATCTTCTTGTGCTTTGTTTGCATTTCTCAGCTTCTGCTCAAAGTCTTGTTGCTGAGCTAAAAGCTGTTTCGCAAGCTCATGTTTCGAAGCGGTTTTCATTTCTGCCTGTGCTTCACGTAGCGACTCGATTTCTTTTTGAAAGTGGACCTTAGCTTCTGCGAGCTCCTTCTGAACCACCCTACCGGCTGCGGTCTCATCTAGGGGCAAATTGTCATCACAGAGTTCTTTCTGTATCTGCAAGATCGCAGTGCCGGATTTCGCATGCATGTCGACTATTTGATCAATGATAACAAGAGCCGACTTTTCCTCCCCTGTCCAGCGAATTACACGACTGCCATGCTCACACATGGCACCCCAGAATCTGGAGGTGGTTTTCAATTCATTTTCGCGCTCGTCTCCTAGATGAGAAGCTGATGGATCGAGGAGATTCCACATGGACGTCGTGAGAATTACATGGCCGTAGCTATCAGGTCCACAAAGTTGCCTGAATGCGTTCAGATTCTTCAAAGCCGTCCCGGAAAGTCGATTATCTGTGATTCGGTGCAGGTAAATAATTCCCGCAAGATTCACTTTGTCGCGATACAGCCTTGATAGGAAGAAGGCAATTTCTTTCAAGACGATGGTATCGGAACGAGAAGTATCGTCGAATCCAGGCGTATCAATCAAGTAGATTTTGCGATCGGGCTTATATTGGTACGAATAAATGCTCGCAGTAGCTGTTTCTATTCGAAACGTCAGTACAATCTTGGGTTTCAATTTCCAGCCATATACAAAATTTCAACAAACTAACGAGACGTGAGGCTATGCCCGATCCCGACATTCTGGCCGGTGATTTTCGAGATAAAAGTGCTTTTCCCAGATCCTGTCACTCCCATAACCGCGATCACGATATCATTTTGGCTATGCTCAAAGTAAGCTTTTGTTTCTGCATTTATTTTGGGACGGTCACTAGTCATACCTTATAGATGGTGTCTCCATCATCGGCCCAGCGGTATCAGCAGGCGGGTAGTTGGGAAGAGTTTTTTATGTTTTGTAGCTTTTCAACGACATATGCAGTTTCTGGTGAACAACAAGTCCGAAACCGGGTTGGTGGTTCAGGGTCTATTCAAGTTGTAGGTAAGAAGTGAGGAAGATGTGTAATCGTACAATGAACCTTAAATCTGCAAGGTGTGGCAGATAATTTATGCCTGACTGACAACTGTTGAGTTACAGGAGGTCCAGAATCTGGGCGATACAGGGTACAATTCAGCTCAGTCCCCAAAAGTTCATTGTGGCTTGGGCCAAGCCAAGACGATAACCTTAATTGGTGGGTGGCAGGATGGCTAGACTATTGATATCGCCCGACCCGTTTTCAGCTGAAGCCCCAAGGATTTAATCGCCATTCCATAACTACGATCCGATAGTCCCAGAACTTAATAGAGACAAGACGATATTTCCTGCTCCAAATTTCGATTTTATGTAACTCTTGGTAACATGCATCACGATTTATTCGTAGCCTTGATGGGAGTTACAGGTGCTGGGAAGAGCACATTCATTTCGCACTGCACCGAGGAGAATGTGGGCGTAGGAGATGGATTGAAGTCTTGTGCGTTCCGATAAAATCTTCGACACCAAATGTCTTCTGACAATTTCAGGCACTCAAGAGGTCCGAGTTTTCAAGTGCAACTACAGCCCGACCGTCACTATTCACCTTGTTGACACGCCAGGATTTGACGATTCGGACAGAAAAGATACTGTAGTCCTCAAGGAGATTGCAGCATGGCTCACATACTCATATACCCAGAAGGTCCGTCTCAGTGGTATACTCTATCTTCATCGGATTAGCGACCCCCGAATGCAAGGCTCCGCAAAATTAAACCTCTCAGCTTTCATAAAACTCTGCGGGCCAGAAGCATTGAAAAAAGTTGTCCTTGCCACAACGATGTGGGAGGCATTGAAAGAGGATAGTGATGGTGCACGCCGCGAGAAAGAGCTGATGGAAACTCCCGAATTTTGGGGCTGGATGATGTCTCACGGCTCCCAAGTCCGGCGCCACCAAAATAATCGACAGTCAGCAATGGAACTTCTCAGTATGTTTGTTCCTGAATCTGCCACAGCACAGCCTGAATTCGTGACGCTTGAGATTCAGGTAGAAATGGCGGATAATCAAGTATCTCTTGATAAAACTAAAGCTGGAGAGCAACTTGCTGGTGTTTTCGCGAAAGAGAAGGAAGAATTAACAAAGGAACTGGAAGATGTACGCGCTATGATGAAATCTGCACAAGAGGAACGGGATCTTGAGCTTGCGAAGTTACTTCAGGAGCAACAAAACGAAATGGATCGGAGAGTGGCTAGATTGCAAGAAGAGAGACAACAACTCCAGATCACAATGGAAAAGCTACATGCCGAAAAGATGGCTCGACTCGAAGAAACACTTACAGAGCAGAGAGCAACAACTGAGAAAATCAGTCAATCTCTGGAAGAGATAGAGAAGCGTCGAATGCGAGAGGAATGGGAAGCAAAGATAGAGAAGACTCGTCGGGAAGAGGAGAAGCAAGAGCACCAGCGCAAAATCGAAGAGCTGACGCGGAAGTTAAGCGACACGACTGTACCACCGGCTACGACATCTCCAGTATCTGCCACACATTCAAAGCCAAATGATGCCAACTCAAAGCCAGGCAAGGGGAAGAAAAAATCAGCCAAGAACAATGAATCATCCAAGAACAACGACTCGTCAAATGCTCCCAGGATGCTTTCACTTTCGTCCTTAGGCCTCGAGACGATGAATAAGGTGCTTTTCTCGCCGGACGGAAGGTATGTAGCGATCCTAGCACATGGGTGGCGCTCACTTTTCGTTCTCAAAATCGATGACGATAAGTCGGTCCGTGAGAAGATATGGGATAGAACATTTTCTCATTCCGAAACACGGATTCTAGCGTTCTCCCAAGGTGGGTCATACCTCGCAACAGGTGCAGACGACGGAGACATCTGTGTATTCCAACTTGACCGACCCAATCCTCTCAGAAATTACTACATCCACTGGCAATTCTACGAAGATCGGATTCTCTCACTTATGTTCACCACAGTGAAGTTGGACCTGTCCATTGTGGTCGGTATGATTCCGAAAGCAGCAAAGAAAGGAATGTTTGGATCCAAGACACCTAAACCTTACGTCACAGTCTTCAAGCTCCAGTCCAGTGCCGATGGTAAAGTATATCCCTCTTCCATGTTCCAAGCCGACAATGCTTGTCTTTCCCCAGACAACACATTACTTGCTACGGCCGACGAGACACAGCTCCGAATGTATACGAGAGCATTCGAAAAGAAGATACCAACGTACAACTACCTCAAAATGCAAAGTTGTCGGTCTTTAGGACTGAACTTCGCATCTTCCAATAGAGTTTGGGCATTCTATCGCCCGAATGATGGTTGGCAAGACGAATACCTTTTGTGGGACGGCTCAACTGAGTGTCCCACCGCGCCCAATTGGGGGGTGGTAAACTTCAAATCGTCGCATATTGCAGGTTCGAAGGATGGGAGATTCGTTGCGTTTGGGACTGACGACCCTACACTGAAAGATGGTGGATCAACCTATGTTAAAGATATCTTGAAGCATGATGCAACTCCAGCTATATTGGAGGTTTCGGGTTTAACGAAGCCGCTGGGCATGGCGTTTGTTGGGACTGAGGATAAACTCGCTGTGGCTTTTGCGGATAAGATAGTGATTTGGGATAAGGTTCATTGGGACAAGTAGATCTGTATTTATGAGAATAATATTTAATCAATGGCTGGATACCAAAAGTTACTCGAAGCTGAGACGAGATCAGGGCCTATGTCCGAAGAAACCCGCCTTGCTCTAATGTCTTCAAGCTTAGAGATTTCTAGAGGTGACAGAAAGTCTTAAGGCGAAAGAGAAGCACTGCCGTAGACTGTGCAACTGCTATCCCCGCTATCCCTTAAACTGCCGTGCTTTTATAGGGAGTATATGGCCTGTAGCGAAGCCCTGTAATTAAGCGAGGAACGCTGAAATTTGAATACTGCGTTGTCGTCCAGGCAGCCCTAGCGCCTCGCTCCAGTGCTGTACCCTGCAAAAAAAAGTGTGTTTTCGGCAGTTGAGGGGATACTGCAGAGAGGACAAAGTAACCGATTCCTCATAGTTACTTCGGTATCTATAGGCTCGAACAGAGATTTTTATCACGAATTATACGGGTATAGATATAGATCCAAACATTTTGTAACTCAAAAAATATAGGTAATGACTCTCACCGATATTCTCTATGCAAGGTAAGAAATGGATATGTCAATACTGATTCTTAGCGGCTCCTGGCAAAAACTGATACCGTGTAGTTCAAAACAGCTTACCGTGGTCTGCTTTATAAGGCTGAAATTTCTTTGACGAAAGGGATCTTGAATACTCTCCTTTTAGGGATGAGAAAAAGGTCCAGGCAAACAAAGTAAGGAAATCATAGCCGGGGCACATAGGAGGGAGACCAGAATGGGTTAGGTATTATGGCAGGCAGGCTGACTCAAGTTGGTGTCAAGATGGTTCAGGCTTGCTCGGGCTGGATCAGGCTTGCTCGGGGCGTGCTCCGGCTGTACTCACCTTCGGCTCAGGTAGACTCAGCCTCAGCTCAGGTTACATTACAGCAACAGTTGCTCCCATCTGTAGACTAGAACGGAACCAGTGACTAGGAAAATCAATTCTGAATTCAAGGGACTTTGAAGTCTACTCTACTCTCCGTAAGAATTTCCCTCCAGCAACCCGCCTTTCCACCCTCACCTCACATCAAAACTCGACATAAGCAGTGTTGGATAACTAACCGATGGCTGGAACGGATGCTACCTAGTCTCATGAAGCAAGAATCGTAGATACATACATACCCTTTTTATGGAAACCTGCAGTCTGTAAGTACTTGGCGCGTCTTGGTACATCCATTCTTTTCTCAAGAAAACAATTGTTCTCCATTAGTCGACTCGTGTTTGCAGAAAGTGAATCCCTCCTTCACCCTCCCCCTAACTCCCCCTCTCAGGTACTCCCTCAGCGTGGTATAATGTAAGACCCTCCCTCTGCCTCAAGTTGTAAACCATAAGTCACACTACAACGACGATCTAAGCTTTCACACTGGAGAGTAAGAGAGCGTTTTTGTCAATTTCAAAATCTTTCATTTTAGGCCGTCTGAGTATGTGGGTTCTGCTCGTGTGTTGAGAAGATTGGGGTCCAGGCCTGCTATACTGTTCAGGGTCTGGATATCAGCGGGTGTGGTGACAGTTTTGGGGGAAATGACAGAGATAGAGAAAATGGCAGCTGGAAGTCGCGCAGATGAATCACGAACACGATCCACGAATAAGAGTCGTAAATAGTTCACAACATAAAATTAATCTAACTCCAATTGCACACTCCGGTGCTAAGCCCCCGATCTCGCTGTGGTCATCGCGCTCCGACCCAAGGACGTCTTGCTCATGTGCCTTGAACTTTGATTCGTCCGGCCTTTACTGTTCTACTTCCTTACTTCCTGGGGCTTTTAAATACTGAAATGGGAAGGCGACAGAGGGGCTGTGGTTTGCTCTTCAAGGGGTTAGACTGGGTAGGTACGTGTTATTGAATCGCCTTGCTTAGAGAAGAGGTCAAATTATTCACTTCTAAGTCTCCTTGATTGTGATAATGGTAGGGTGGGATTTGAATGATATGACCTGGATTAAAATATATTTCCACAAACTGCAATCAGAAAACGTATGCTTCTTTTGATTAGAACATTAACTACTATTTCCGCCTCTTGGCCCTATCATCACCAGAGCAGAACTCTGTTCTGTACTATAATACGGATCCCAGCACTTCCACATATTACCCTCCCCACTGCAAAACCCATCCCCAAGTCTTCAAAGCTCCCTCTCATTCTCCACCCTATGCGACTCCTCGCCCCCATGCCCCTTCCCCCTCTTCCTCGGCAACAACGCCCAAAGAATCCCAATCGCCACAAGCAACGCCAAAATAACCGGCTGCAGTGTCCTAACCCCCCTACTCTGCGCAATAGCCCCCACAAGAAACGGGAAAATCGCCCCTCCACTCCCCCCAAACGCAGTCCCGAACCCAATACAACCAACGTGTAAGTCCTTGGGCAGCAGTTTCGTCACCATGACAATCGCAGTGGGGAACATGGGGCCCATGAAGACGCCTAGGAGAGAGACGGCGACGGCGGAGACGATGAGGGAGGGGACCAGCCAGAAGATGAGCTCAAGGCCGAAGGAGAGGAGGAGGTAGAGGATTACGGAGGGGTATTCGCCGAGGCGGGAGGTTACGTAGGGGAGGAGGAGGCGGCCGACTGTCATGCCGGCCCAGAAGGCGGTGGAGGTGGCGGAGGAGGCGAAAGGGTTGGCGCCGCGGACTTTGGTCATGAATGTTATGATCCAGCCGCCGAGGGAGACTATTTGCTGTTAATATTGTGGAACGACTTTTAAGATTAGATGAGGGGAAAGGGGATGAGGGGACGTACCTTCGGCACCGACATAACCGAATACAAAGAAGCAGAATAGCCAAGTGACTCTCGACTTCAATGCCTCACGTGTCCGTCCAGTGTTTGAGTCAGGATCGCGAGGATTCTCTGCTTCGTACACTGCACCAGTCTGTTTCCAGAACGTGGAAGCAGAGGTAGCGAACTCAAGCGCTGAAGCTGCAATCTATATTCCCATTACTCATTTAAGCCTCATAAGTAATTCAGCTTGGAATCAAGACTTACCATAATATAATAAAACCCATACCACCCCGCCCCCGTCTTTTCAATCAACGCCGTAGCAATCAGCGGCGAAACCGTCGCTCCCAGCGAATACGAAGCCTGCAAGAACCCCTGCACTTCATTCGCATTTGCCATGTTACCTATCCAAGCACACCAAGCGGCATCAATGAGGCCGTTTCCGAAGCCGACGAAGATGAACATTACGACTAGAACTGGGTAAGGAGGATGGATGGCGACTACCACGTAGGATACGATGTGGCAGAGGGGACCCATGATTGCGACGCCGCGCTGGCCGAATCGGACGTGAACGAGATTATTGACGATTGAGGCGAGGGAGTAGCCGGCGAAGGGGGAGAGAAAGATGAGGGAGACGATGGTGTAGTTGAGGTCATAGTAGGGTTCCAGGTGGGGGATTAAAGCCTGTTGATATCAATATCAATCTCGATCAATTCGATCACATAAAATGACTTACACCGTATGAGCCATCATTCATACCCACAACGAAGAAAGACCAAAATGTAGCAAAAACTCGCCATTTGTTGCCACCGGGTGAATTCCATTGCTGCTTGATATCCACTGCTCGGGCTGGGGGATTGGAATCCTGTCTTATTTCTTCGAGATCTGAGATATCTAGTTTTCTGGTCGAGGGTGTTTGAGAGGGTGGGTAAGATTGGAGCTCGATTGCATCCTTGTTGCTCCCTGTTGTTGATGCCTCCGCTTGGGTCGTCGTGATTGTTGCCATGATGGCTGGGATGGCAAGAAGGTAATGGAATGAGAAGAATGATTTGATACAATACTCACGATCTGAGAGATGGGTGTCAGTTCTTTTATACACGTCGCTATTTTCCTCGCGCCATCCTTTGCTCTACCCCAGAATCCAATATCCCAAGAGGAGAGAAGTGGGGTGAGGCGGGAATGTCGCGCCGCTACTTTGCTGACATGTGGGGATGATCGTCAAAGTCTCAAAGAACATCTTCTTGGCATGAGTCAAATCCGAAGTTCAACCGTCGTTTAACACTATTATGTTCGTGTGATATCGAACTTTTTTCAGCCTTGTAAGCCGGCTGAATTCTCATCCATTGAGAACCAGTCCATCGGTTGTCTTCTAACACTGCACATGACTTCATCCGTATGTAAGCGATGCAGCAGATCTCGAAAGGCCAGAAAAATGTTTACAAATGAAGATTCATCTGGATCACGCCTTACTGTGTCAAGTCAAGCGGCGGCTCGTCCCGCGTCGGATTCAAAGCGAGATATCCAATCATTCAAATGCATGACGCACTCGTCCCAAAACTGCTCGCCGAGGGTGAAACTAAGTTTCGTCCAACAGGAACTTTTTCATCCCGACTGTAGAGTCATGAAATCCTGGGTGCACACCGCAACACAACGCAACACAACTTTGATTATCGCATCCTTCTGGCCAGATTGACAATTGGAAATCGATGCCTCTGCGACGAAGATTCGAGAGGCGCGCTTTGGATCTGGATCTTCTTTCTTACTTCAGCTTCTAGTTTGCTTTCTGTATTTGATTCAGCATTCTTCACCCCACCTCCAGCATCTCTCTGAGTGCACTTGTCTGTACATTTATTTTCCACCATCACTTTCTACTTTCAACTATCAGTCATGGCAGCAGACTCCTCCTACTCACCCTGGGGCCTAAAATGGCGTTCCAACACCTTCTTCATCCTCTCGACCGTCACCATCGGCATGTTCACCGACCTCTTCCTCTACGGGCTCATCGTGCCCATCCTCCCCTTCATCCTCCTCGAGCGCATCCAAGTCCCGCACGACCAAGTCCAGTACTACACCTCCCTCCTGCTCGCAGCCTACGCCGGCGCACAAGTCCTCTTCTCGATGGTCGCGGGCGTGATTGCAGATAGGATGTCGTCGAGACAGCCGCCGTTCCTGTTTGGGCTTGCCGCCCTGTTTGGAAGCACGGCGATGTTGTTCCTGGGACAATCGATTTGGGTTTTGGTACTAGCACGCGTGCTGCAGGGGATAAGTGCGAGTGTGGTGTGGACGATAGGACTGGCGATGGTAATGGACACGGTGGGGAGTGGCAAATTGGGTGTTACAATTGGCAGTATATTCAGTTTGATCAGTGTCGGGGAACTTATCGCTCCCGTATTCGGCGGATTGGTGTTCAAGAAAGCTGGAGCGGGCGCAGTGTTTGGTACGGCGTTTGGGTTGTTGGTTGTTGATTTTTTGATGCGATTAGTCGTTGTCGAGAAGAAGGTTGCGATTAAGTACGGGGTGGATTACTCCTCTGAAAGCGACGACACTGATTCCGAAGCTGGCGAGACATCGCCTCTGCTCAGCAATGGGAATACCAAAGAAGAGGAACTCGCAAAGTGGAAGATACCCAAAGAACAACCTACCTGGATCAAGAAGTTCCCAATTCTATATTGCATGGGCAACTCGCGACTGTTGGTAGCACAACTTGTTGCATTCACACAAGCTACTCTCCTCGCTGTCTTCGACTCCACGATCGTCATTGAATCATGGGAACTATTCGGCTTCGATTCATTGAAAGCCGGACTACTCTTCATCCCTCTGATCCTACCTCCCCTGGTAATTGGCCCCATCGCAGGCCGAGGCGTCGACCGCTACGGCGCCCGAATATTCGCCACCTTCGGGCTTCTCTTCCTCTCCATCCCCATCATCCTCCTGCGCATCCCCCACGCCGGCGGCACTTCCGAAATCACCAAAATGGCGAGCATCCTCGGGTTCTGCGGTCTCGGCATGGCGTCCCTCTCATCGCCCAGTATCGTGGAAGCGAGCTACGTGGTAGAGCAGTTTCACCTTGCGAATGAAGATTTGTTTGGAGAGCAGGGCCCATATGGTCAGTTGTATGCGGTTAGTAGTATGGTTTTTAGTGCGGGGTTAACGGTTGGGCCGGTGGTTTCTGGGGGGTTGAGAGATCGAATTGGATATGGGAATATGAATGCTGTTGTTGCGGGACTTTGTGTTGTGGTTAGTGGGTTGAGCTGGGTTTATTTGGGGAGGATACCGAAGCTGGTGAAGAGGGGAAGTGAGAGTTCGACTCCGTTGATAAATTAGATTTGTCGGATTTGATAGAATAATTTAATTGTTTGAACAAATGTGGCTCCGCTTCAAGCCTAAGGTGTATGCTCCGTCCGGAGTTTGGGGACTCACAAGTCTCTGTAATAGTCTCCTACTCGTCCAATGAAAAGACTGCGGAACCAGCCTATAAAAACGGCTTATTTACCTCGCCTCAGGGATCTAAACAGTCTGAGCGCCTCGACTCCTGACAACCCCGTTTCTTTCCAGGCTACAGTTTAATGTTTAAGATACTTGCTTATTTCACAATCAACTCGTTAGGGTGTCCCCTTTTCAGGCCTTTTCAAAGGGAAAAAGGAGCGAAACTTCTTGACCACTGGCAGAATTCCGAATACCCCCGAGAGACAAAGGCCCAATGTCGCCAACATCTAATTCCTAGATGACTTCAGGCCAGAAATCAGCAAGTTACGTTCTCACAGCCTCAAAACGAGCCTTGATGGTATTCAAAGCCTTTTGGTCTACTCAATGCAGTAGAGAGGGGACGAATGTTTATCATAGGAGGAGTCGTAGAAGATAGAAATATGTATATTTGGCCACAGCGATGTCCATCATGGAGGATGATGCAGAGCCAAGGCTTGAGTTGAAAGATCCATTGGATAAGGGTGAGATCCGCAGACGAATCTCAGCGAGAGAGTGTTCTCACACAGCGGAGATGATTTGACCGGTCATTATGAAATGTTATCGATCACGAATTGCTGGTACACAGCGTCGTCGATGAGGGAGGTGATGGTATTTGTTTCACAATCTGAATGGGATAAAATCGTGAAGGACTCCGAAGGTGCGGAAAGGGTGGATTTCGCGCTTGAGAACGCAGAATGTCCTTCCTTCCAACACTCCCGATTCTACCAACCCGAAGGCTTTCATTGTAAGGCGCCACGTTGAGAATTTTATGACGCAAGGAAGATGAAATCTGCGTTCAAACGAGAGTCTTATTCAAATCAAGAAATCTAAGAACGACGGTGGTAGATAAGAGCCGGCTCTTCATCTGTGTAAATACCAAAGCACTTCAACTTCCCCCAATATCATACCAAGCTCTCAGTCAGAACCCCTCCTAACAGACCCATTTCCACAAACGCTTAATCAACAGGAGACCTGCCGTTCGATCAATGGTGGACCTTTTTTTAGTACTATTGGTACTTTGGTCCTCTTTTGCGTCGGTCTTGGCTTGCTTTCCCCGCCTCAAGAGCGGCTGATCCCTCCTCGTACTTCTTTCGCTGCTCAGCTGCTGCCCGCTCCTCTTCCCTTGCTCTATCTGCTTGTCTCTCCCTTTCTTGTTTCGCGGCCTTACGTCTCTCTTGACTCTCCTTGCCAGCACGGTCCATTAAGTCTTCGTTTGCGAAACCGCGTTCCAAGCTGTTGTTGCTGTCTCTGTCGTTCGCTGACATGATGAAGGACCTGCGTTGTTAGTTGAGTGAACTGATGGTGTTGAAGAACGGAAAGCTAACTGTGGGAGATGGAGCTCGAAAATGCGTCAAAGAGAGTAGTTGTTGTGAGATCTGGGGCTTGAGAAGAGCGTGAAAGCGACGTGATTTGTGGTGAAGTTGTCGCTAAGGAGAAAAAGTGAAGCTCTGATTGTTTGGATCAACTTTTGTCGAGAACATTCTGTACCTTTATACTTTCGCGCTCTGCGGACGACTTACAAGTTCCGCCTTGACTTCTCATTATTCTTGTCAAAGCATTCCCAGCAATCCAACAGGCGCGTAAATGAATCCTACGGCCCAGGCCCCTCGACCTGGAGTACAAAATGGCCCTCAGCACGCGAGACAACCGCCAGCAACGTACAGCCGCTGAATGGTCTTTGAATTGGTTGCCAAGACAAATCTTCAACTCTTGATGCTCCGCCGCACCTGGGAGACCGTTGCCGCGCAATATCATGTTCCAAAAAAGCCCAACTCCGTAATTCTAACTTAAGGCCACCCCGTTGACTGTTTCGTGTGGACTGCGGACAGCCCTCGTCGATGTGACCGTCTTCAATCTCCTCATACTCCGGCGCGAGGATGTTGGTATTCTGATACTTGAGAGTAGGTTTCGGGAGCTACTGAAATGATTCTTGAACGACTTGGCCCGAAACTACGATACAAAGCAAGTCATGTGATTTATAGACTCTGATATTTTGCCTTACGGGACTGCGAGAATGGAGAACATACAAACCGGGCTATGACAGTAGTTCTGTGGCATTTTGATAGGTCCGGCCGAGAAGAGATGCATCCTTTGGTGACAATGTTGGTTTGAATTCTGAGCGCACAACCGGGTCGGCGAAAGGAAATCACGGCATCAATGCGCGCGCTCCAGGTGTCCAATCATCATGAGACATCAGATGCTACAGCCGCCCGCCGCATCCAGGACCTCATGCTTTATCGAAACAGCAACGAACTGAAATAGGTCATCACTTTGTCGAAATTCATTTCGTCAATTGCCATCGGCCTCAGATCCGACGATGCGATTATTCGATAGAACTTTTCTCTTTCGTACTCACTTCATTATTTATCACACGGACCACATTCTGTCCCTGCCCACCGCCATATTCGACGTCACTCGCTCGACATCATGATTGAATTATCAGACGACTTCGACGACCTCGTATGGGATAGGAATGAAGCAGAATGGGAGGTAGTGCAGCCAAAGCTTCGCCAGTCGGCTACACTATACGCTGTCGAGGACCTCGGGACAGCGATGTTCGGAAGTACCGCGAAATGGGTCAGTCCCATGAGCATCGGAGGCTACAATATCATATATAGACTCAAAGTTGAGGGATTTGACTCTGAGGTCTTACTGCGACGACCTATCCCATGTTACGCCCAATTTCCTGTTGAGAAAACCTTGATTGAAGCTGCAACGATGATGTACGTCAAGAAGCGCACCAAGATCCCGGTCCCTCAGATCTTCTTCCATGGTGAAGACCCGAATTTGGGGCCATATATCATTATGGAATATACCCAGCATTTTCAGTGTATGTCTACAGCTCAGAACGCCACAAACGAGGACAAGTCCATACCGTTCACCTTGAACCCCAATATATCCGTGGAAGTCCTTGAAAATCACTATCGGCATGTGGCGGTATGCTTGCTTGAACTTTCGCAACACATATTCCCTCGTATCGGATCACTGGTCGAGGTCAAACCCGGTACTTTCTCAATCGCAGCAAGGCCTGTTACGAAGAATATGAACGACATGCTTCAACTTGCAAATATTCCAGGCGTGATTCTCCCACCGCAGTCAAAGACTTATCAAACGGCTGATGAATATTATACATGGCTTGCAGAAATGCATATTGCCCAGCTCGTCTTTCAGCAAAACGACCTCGTCAGAACAGAACATGAATGCAGAAACAAATACGTCGCTCGACACGTCTTCCGCAGACTCGCCCGGGACGGGAAGCTCTCAAAATTTGGCTTCAAAGAGGATGACTGGTCAGCTCAGTCCAAAACAACCAAAGGCATGGACTTATCCCCAATGCCTTCAAATTCCGATTCATTCCGTCTATATTGCGACGACTTCCGCCCATCAAATATTCTCCTTTCATCGTCAGACACAATCTCTGCAATCATCGACTGGGAATTCACATACGCCGCCCCAAGTCAATTCTCCCTAGACCCTCCATGGTGGCTACTTCTCGACACACCCAACCAGTGGGACGCCGGTCTCGACAACTGGACCACACTCTACGAGCCACGGCTGGAAACCTGGCTTTCAGCAATGGAGAAAGCTGAACACGACACCAAGTTGAACAGTGGAATTACCAGTGTCCCGTTATCGACGTACATGCGAGAGAGCTGGGAGACGGGCAGATTCTGGCTGTCGTATGCTGCGAGGAAGAGCTGGGCGTTTGAGATTGTTTACTGGAAGTATTTAGATGAGAGGTTTTTTGGGGCGCGTGAGGAGGGACTTCCGAGGGATTGGTATTGGAAGGCGAGGATTGGGCTTTTGAGTGAGGAGGAGAGGGATGCGATGGAGGGGTTTGTGGAATGGAAGATGGAGAGTAGGAAGGAGCGGAAGATTGTGGATTGGGACCCCGAAGATGCTAAGAGTCGGTTTGCGGAGATGCTTTTTGATTGAGAATAGAGAATAAAGGACTCTTAAAAGGAGAAAAGTGTTGCTCAAGATGCCACTGTTAAATCCACGAGCTTTTAACTTGGCTGCTAGATAAACTGTTCTCCTTCTGCGGTTCAGGTCTTGTGCCCCAGGTCTTCCACCCAGCAGCCTTAAGATCGAAGAGAAGAATCGGCAGCAGCCACTGTCTCCCTCTCAATCCCCTCTCCCCTCTCCCTCTCCGCCCTCATCCTCCTCCTCTCAGCAGCCCTCTCCCTCCTCTCCCTCCTACCCATCTCAATTTCTCTCCGACTTCGAATCTCAATCTGATCCTGGTAAACAGCAGAAGCAGGAGTAGCGAACTCAGGAAACAATCTCCCAGTGAACCGAAAGACCTGCTGCGCTTGGTCGCGAGGATACAAGGCGCAGGTTTGGAAGTGGAAGTCTTGGTAGACGGATTGTTCCCAGGTGGCGAGGCAGAGCCAGCAGAAGGAGTGGTTGCAACGACCTGTTTTTTTGGGGGGTGAGTTGTTAGTAGTTAAGTTTCTGGATGAGTGGAGATGGAGGGTTGAGAAGGAGATATGAGCGGATTGGGATGGGGATTGAGATGGAGATGGGGAGTGCACGACGTACAAATCATGTGGTGACATCCCTCTTCTTTTGCAACGGCCCAGTGGCATTTTGGACATCTCTTGGTGTTCTCTTGGATGTACCGTTCGGAAGCATATTCTTCCCATCTTTGTCGTGCTCTGCGTGCTTCTAGTGCTTCGGAGGTTTCGATCGGCTCGACAGGTTCGGTGGGTTCGGTGGTGGCAGGAGCTCGGGGTGTGTATGGTGGGGGAGGGTCGTTGGGGACTTCGTGGTGGATAACTTGGGGGATGGATTGTGGAGACTGAACTTGAGCTTGAGCCTGAGAGGGGGTTTCAGCAGTTGGCTGAATGGGAGATGGTGGTGTAGTTCTGCTCTTGGACTGGAAGAGCTTGGGGAAGGATGGGCACATTTTGAAGGGCATTTTGGCAGTGTGAAGAAATGAAAGTCAGAAATTTCGAAGTCACTGGGCAGCAGTGGGGAGAGGTCAATAATTTAAGCAAAAGCTCCGGCTCATCATTTCATGGTTGGTACAGTATCGCGTGGGCGACTTATTATCGTTTGTGGATCAAGTGAAGTTGAAATCTGGTAGCCCATTGTTTTCTAGAAGCTCGCTTAACTCCACACCAAGACCGCTTCAACCGACCGGCGGCAAGTTAGAATATCCACAATCAGTTTTTCTAACTTCTCTTATTCCTCTTGCTCTTCACGAATCATCCGCTGCATTGCTCTATGGTATGCGACGCCGTACCTGCATTCCTTGCCGTGGTCGATTGTTAATTGTGTCATCTTCTTGTACTCTATTATGTCACCGCAAAGGAAGCAGAATACCCAGTGGCACCGACCTGAATTCGTGAAATCTTATGTCAGTAGCAATCTCTAAAGATGAAACGTAACTTTGATTGAGATCTTTTGTAAAGTCTCGGCAAGAAATAACGTGAATCGAGATCGAAGAGAAGGGGACGGGAGGGACACATACATTGGATCGCGAAACAACCATGATTTCGAAGAACCCCCATCAGGCAATGTGGACATTGCTTAGTATTACGATTTATAAACTGTATAGAAGCTGCTTCCTCCTGCTCCTGTCGGGTTTGTCGTTCTTCGGGTGTCTCTTTGCCGATGAGTTTGTAACCAAGCTTGCGAAAGCAAGAAGCGAGGGAGCTGGGGGAGCACATCCTGTTGTATTTTGATTTTGGGATGAAATAGTGATGGGATATGTCGGTCTATTCTGAAAGTGGATTATGAACGAGAATAAAATGAACTGAAGGAACTATGAAAGGTCACTAATTTAGTGGAATCCGAAGTTTGGTACGAGAAAAGGCCAGACCGTGATTATGAGCTCAGTGACTTCCATTAAGTCTTAAAATGATCCAGAAGGGCCTCTACGATGATGAGAAACACTGTATCGATACTTCAGCGAGTAAATCAGGCGCGTTGTGTTAGCCCGATAACCTCGTACTCCTGGAATCTCCATTCCGCCGTCACATTTTCAGCAAACTTTTGTCTGCTCGCTCGTCTGTTCATTTGTTTTTTACGAGCTTAAGCAGCCTTTTGCTGAGCCCGTAAAAACATTGGCTTAGGCTTGGGGTACCAGAGTGGGCAGGAACTTCTGTGCCAGCTATCGTCTAGAATTACGCTTGTTCCGTAGGAAACCCGGGGCTCGAGACATTGCCAGCAAAAATGGAGCCCATAGCGACCTATTTGAGTGTTCAAATATCAGTAATTGATCAATAAATCCTAGATTCATATGCAAAATAAATGTGTGAGAAGTTGAAGCGCGATCGAGATAAGACACTCATAGGTCATATGGCTGCATCCACCAGCTTTTTCAACCAGCTGACGGCATGACGGACACTTCTTCACATTTCGACGTATATATTTCTCTGTGGCATTTACTTCTTTCTCTTGTCGTCTGAGTCTTGCCAATAATTCTTCGGGAGACTCGAAGTCGGCTGGTACGATTATTGGCTCCGGTTTAGTAGTTTCCTTGTTCTTTCGGCTTCGGCTGCAGGCGTTTCTGAAGAAGTTCAGAAGCTGCGAGAAACGCATGGTTGAGATGTGTACTGTTTGACTTATTAAATGTGATGATAACCTCATCGAGACTCAAAGAATCTTTTAATGACTGGGTTAAGAGAATCCGAATGTGGAGGGGGCCATCTCCGCTAGACCCGCTTCGAACCACGGGCGAGTTTGCAGTAGCGGTAGTCCGGCCCCTGGCCATCATCATATCTGATTGTCTAGAAAGCTTCTAGAACAATTATAGATCTCTGACGTCGCATCCAAAAGCTGTTACTCCCATCCTGGTCAAGTACCTGTCGCACTCTGCCTCCGAGTGAAGTTTAAGCAATTCACAAAAGGCTTTCTGTGTGTTGTTTTCGGCTCTCGCTTCGGCCAAAGATCCCTCCTAATAGTCTGGATGAAGGCGCATAATTTATGGCATTTTCTTGGACCACTGGTTTCCAAGATACAATGCAGATGTAGCAGAATTGATGTTCGCACATGGGTAGCATGAAGACAGCTGAGCTGTGGCCGCTCCACCCGACACCTGGCAAAGATGTGGTAGTTGATATGAAGAGCTCTTACATCTGATTGTCAGACATGGGCGAGTCTTCGAGCTCATTTTCGTGCTTGACAGACGACCTGGAGCAGCGTCAAGTATTGGTCCATCTGGTACCATACTTTGGCATACTCCAGAACAACCAAAGAATGTTCTTCCGCTCGTGACAACACCCTCTAGGTTTACTGGGCTGATCTAACTCTGGAGCTTAACTGGCACAGATATTGGAGGACCAGAAGGAACCAAGGGATTGATTACAACTCTCTTATCTTACCAGAAACTCTCTGAAGTTGGTACCATCACTCAAGTCCCTACGGGGGTTTTTTTTACAGACACTGTCTGCACTTCTTACAGACACTGTCTGTAAAGAGGCATTTTAGACAGATTTTCTATCTGCATTTTAGTTAATTATCTGTATTTTTCTCAGCTGGATTCTCTGATTCTGATCGATTTTTAAGGATTTAGAGTGAAAATGCAGATATTGTCTGTAATTTAAGGAAAATACAGTTATTATCTGTATTTTAAGAGTTTTCTGACTAATAAAGTTAAATATCCCCTCTCTTATTTCCCCCCCCCCCCTTTCCTTCCCTTCCCTTTTCCTACTCTCTCCCTTAAAGGTAGGTCTCCCTCTAAAAGTAGGTCTCCCTCCCCTCTAAAGGTAGGTCTCCCTCCCCTCTAAAGGTAGGTCTCCCTCCCCTCTAAAGGTAGGTCTCCCTCCCTCCCTCCCAAGGTAGGTCTCCCTCCCTCTGTCCCGAGTGTTCCGGAGGTAGGTAAAAGGTCTGTGTTTAACTTTATATTGAAACATGAAAAGTCCGAGTAACCCTTGATACACGCTAAATTACCTGTGCTTTTTAATGCGTCTATTACAGACATTGTCTGTACTTTTTTGATGCGTTTGTAGCAGACATTGTCTGAATTTTGTCTGTATTTTACTAAATTTTACTACTACTAGGAATACAGACAAAATGCAGACAAATTACAGACGTTGTCTGCATGAAAAACCCCGTAGGGAGTATGGAACTGCTCCACCGTCGAAGTTCGAACTGAGTTGTGCTGGGCACTTGAGTGCATAGGCATTTGGTGCAATACGCGCACATGCTTAACGTTGATTTGAGCCTATAGGTGAACTTGTGTTAGTGGTAGCCATCGATCTGATTGCTGTTGAGTCGTCTTGTGTGGTTATGGCACCGTTGTCGTGTGTTGCAGGCAATACCTGGCTGCCTGGCAGCCTGGGTACCTAGGGGTCTCGCTAGGCCTTGATCTGTGCCTCTCTACTCGGGCCGCATCGTCGCAGCTTCCTTGAAACATGCGCTCAACAAAATCTCATTGAAACCTCCGCTTCATATATTTCCTCTGTCGCCTTGTGTCAGAACGAGAATAAGTAAATATATTTCCTTCTTTTCCCTCTTTGCGTTAGAGAATTAGTCTCTTTCCAGTATGCCAGAAGGGAAATATCGGTGATATTGCCTAGAGCACTTGAATGCGTCGACTGGACTTCCGGGATCGATACCAAAGCAAAGGTGGCACGAGAGCGACGGCAGCCTTCAGTTGATACGATTTTCGGCGTCAAACCCATAGCGTTGTCCACAGCTTACTTTGCCGTCCTGTGTTGTTAAGTCCTGTATTCCTGGCCACTTTGTTCACTTATCCTGTTGAACACCAACTTCAATCTTGATCGGATGCAGTAAGTCGCGTTTGGACCGGTCAATTGCCTGCATAATTCTCTCTGCCAATGCTATATGTGTAAGGAACTCGTCCTGTTGATCGCTAACAGACCACAGTATTTGTTTGACTCTAAAGCTCTGCGTACAATTCCGCAATGATAAACGGCAACACTCATGTAATTCTGGTACTTCTCCTAGGCCAGAGCTGAACAAGAATATCTCTGAGTACGTCGTGAAGGGTATCTGTGGTGAGGAACACAAGAGCATGGCGCTGCACCGGCAAAACACAGAGGGATTTATACCCCTGCCTCATGCGGCCGTATGACTGCAGGTGGTGGCCATCAGGTTAATGTGGGTGTTGACCTCTAGAAGTTCTTCCAATTAGCCTTCAGCTCTCCATTCGTTACCATCGAGTCGTCTTCCACAGCTGCAGATATGGAACACCTAGGTATACCAGAGGAACATCGCTCGAGGAGCATTCGTGTTCCATATCTCGGTCTCGCACCTCGTTACGATGGGCAAGGGCTCATTGGATTCCCGGAACGTCATGGATTTCGTTCGGAGCAATTATCAACCTATTGCGGAAGATCATTCCAGCCGCGCGAAAATGCTGATGCACTCCCCTTCAACCCAGAATTTGTTGAGAGTTTCTTCCAGGAATGGCTGTGGTTCGGGATGCTGGATGAATTTGCTCTCGCGTGTGGGGTTCCTCTCGACATTGATCTGTTCATAAAGATGGGGGTTGATGAGCGACAAATCATCGATACTGAACCTCTTCTACCGTATGTAAGGTCTGTTGTCATAGAACAACTCATACAACGTGATGTACCACTCGACCTCGAGGTTGGTGACAGTGTATATATCCGGAGCGAACGATCACCTTCTAGCGTCCCATCTCGACATACGACTTTTCGTGGAGATCTTACAGGCGTTAATTTATCCATACCAGACCACTTGCAGCCTTTAGGAGCAAGTTCGGTCCACACTAAAGCGTCAACACCTGGGGCAGAAATCCAGAATAGTCCTCCTATCCCCAGGGAGATCAAGAAAGATGTAGGGAATTTCCGATATACACTTGACGCCAGTCAAGGAGAATCAGATTCATGGCCAGTCACGACACTCATCCGTGCTGATCAGACTCAGACTTCTGACTTGCCATGTATACTTGCAAAGCATGAAGACGTGCCTCTACAAAACCTCCTCTCCATGATCATGGGATCCGAGGCATATCACCAAACACAATCAAAGGATCGGTTCTCCAGGTTTGAGAACTGCTTGCGAGAGGTACGAAATACGATGAGACCCGCTTTGCTCTGTTTCGATACCATACATCGACTTGAGATAGCATTTTCGATTGATCTACTCTGCGATAACCTGATGTATGTTATGTTGAACTTATTCAAGATGCCGATGGCCATCAAAGGTCCGTGGTTCGACTTTTATATGTCTCGATTCGAGGATCGAGTAAAGGCGGAGAATTGGTGCATTGCTCGTACCAGTTCAGTCTTGCCCTTCGATATTACGGCACTTTACTTCAAAAGCGTGTTGCCATCTTACGAATCAATACCACATCTAGATTGCGGACCAACCTCTTGTTCGCGCCAATCACATGATGTGAATAGTCTTCAAGTCCAGCATGACTGGACAATGTGCCATGGGGATTGTCAAGTGCTAGCTCTTGATGAACAGAAGCTCATTGGCATTCTTGAGTCCAATGGCATTCCTGGGCTTTATTGCATCGAAACCGAGGGAGGCGTTGTTGATTTCGAAGTGATTGATATTACAGGGAAGGAGTACATTACAATTTCTCACGTGTGGTCTCATGGACTTGGAAACCCCAATCAAAATTCCCTTCCGATGTGCCAGGTTAAACGGCTTTTCAGGTATATCCGGAATGTCGGCTCAGCGAAAGTTATTCTCTGGATCGATACTTTATCGGTGCCCATCAGCCTCAAATACAAACGAATAGCAATCACGAAACTCAGAGAAGTCTACCAAAAGGCCCACGGGGTATTAGTTATCGACCGCCACCTCATCCGTGTCGGCCGCAATGCCCTAGAGAGGAAAGTACAACTGTTATGTTCGGAATGGATGCGACGGCTGTGGACACTCCAAGAAGGACGGCTCGCAACTCGCTTATATATACAATATCAGCACGAGCCAATATCTATAGACGCGCTTTGTCAGGTTGATGAAGTGCCATCTGATACTTTTGTGTTTGGAGATATAAATCATCGGGCGAGCCTTGCGATACGTCTGCACTTTGCTCAGCAAGAAAGTCTAATCAGGCGATTTATGTAGGTCATTCACCAGATGTCAACTTTTTCTTCCGAGAGCCTTGTAGTTCTTTCCCATGAACAATATTAAGATATGTTTGGCTGTCGATTTGCTCATTTTATTTTGACAGGGATTTGACCATCGACATGGCACATCGAAGTGTGACTGTTCCAACAGATGAGCCAATATGTCTTGCAACCATGCTAGGACTTCCTCTCGAGCAGTTCAAGCCTTATCCAACCATGGATGACATCTATCGATCACTCCCAGAGCTACCACCCGACCTTTTGTTTCTCGAAAACCCTAAATTGAATATTGATGGGTTCCGCTGGGCACCGAGCACATTTCTGAACCAAGATGCTCAAGACTATCATGATAGTACTGATGACGACACTGCACAGTTAACAGATGAAGGACTTCGCATTAGAAGAAGCTGCATCATTTTCAAGAACGAATTACAATTTTCTGATTCGAGTCAAGATTATCTCGTTCGAAAGGGTTCAGACATCACGTTCCTGTTTTACGACAACCAAGGCAAACGAGGTGGGTCTTTCTCAAATGCAGCTATCGTCTTGAACGACACTTCACTAGAATTCAGTTATTTTATCCGAGCTATTCTTGTGGACGGTCTCGTTCTCAGAGACGGGATATATTATTGTCGAATCAGAAGATATCTCATGGTACGGAAGTGGAATGGACTTGCTGAAGAAGCCGATGAGTTTGATACTGGCAGGGAAGAGAGGTATACCTTTGATGGGGAGTTTCGGCAAGGGGAGACGTTTTGTGTTGATTGATTACGGAGAGACTCAATGAGTCTTCATGGGTCCTACGTACGCCGAGGACAACTTGGACGACCTCCCGAACAATTCTCAAGTTGGAAGTTGGATTTTACCTTCGATAATGGAATCGAATCGTCGGAGCATTTCATAGGATTCAATTCGGAGCCGACAGGAAGTCGGACGATGCCTCAATATCATCTCTCGACTTCATACCTCAGCCGCTCAGGCTTGATATATTAGAAGTTGGTGGACAAGAACGAAGGCCACTCAGTTTGCCTGAACAGCTCCAACTCCCCATTGGCTTGTCCCAAGCCGACGCCTACAAACTGATAGTTTCAAGATTCCAAGGAACATGTCCACGCCCAGGCCCGATTAACACATCGTGCCCTCTCAATTCTCCCTCAGAGGCTGAAGTGTTTGATTCTAGCGCACGGAAAGAAGCCATGAGGCAGTGCAGCGTAACGGAAGTGAGCTTAGACTCATCACGTGTCTGGGGCTAGACCCCTCGTCGTCATGATCGTCAGTGCCGACTTCCCCTTGCAGCCACCGTCGTCATTGTTTAAGGACCAAGCCGACGACGACTGTTTGCTGTTGCCTCGGATGGGAAAGACCCTTATGAGGTAGGATATGTAAGTGGGTGATTCCCTTTCTGTACCTTTGTTTCTCCATCAATTTTGAATCCAAGACATCCATCATTTTCATCTCGTCACAAACAATAATCATCAACAAATCCATCCATCGAATATCAGTGCAGTGAAGATGTTTATTCCATCCGCCCAACAGCTCCTCACAACTGGTCTTGCCATGACCGGTTGCATGACCCTTAAGAGTACGTCTTCTCGCCTTCCCTCCATCATCCCATGCCACCGTCTTTTCATTCGACAATTCCCGAACAATCACTAATAAACCCCCACAGAAGGCGATGAAGTCTCATCCGGCAAGATCCTCGACTTCGCCGTAGAGAAGTGCATCGATTCAGACGGCAACCAGCGATGCACCAAGCCTTTCCTGGTCAGCAAGTCCACATGCTACAACATCGAGTGGAGCACCGAGGGCACCATCAGCCATACTACTGTTGAGGTCAAGGATGCAGGAAGTGGAGAGCTGGTTTACTATCGCGATACCAATGGAGAATGGACTCCTGAGAAGGGCGAGGTACGTACTTGACTCTTAAGAGTGATAAAAGAAAGTGACGTGAGCTTGTTCTGACATGATACAGTTGGTCTATCTCGACTTCAAGCCAAAGGTGTGGAAGACTGGCAATGATACTGTCGAGTACAAGGTCACGACTTGCAAGTAAACTACTTCGCAAAAAATCTCATGATATATGGATAGGGAACGGCAACGGAAAACGGGTACGGGAGGGGCCAGCTCAAGGACTAGGGCATAATGTTTCAATAAGAAGGCATGCATCACGGCATTAACGACTTGTAATTATAGGACAAACATAAATCAACATCAACCTCAACCCATCGTTTTCCTTTTCTCAAACAATCTGAGAAACAGTTTTCCCCCAATTCTCCTCCCTCGCAAACGCCTCCGCAACCCTCAAAACCTCACCCATCATCCTCTCAACATCCACCCTCCTCAACTGCGCATCATCCCAAGTGGGATGAACCTTCACCGTCCTCTGATCCACCATAATACAATTCCACAACACCCCACAATCCGTCCGACTCTCGACCTGCACATTAACCAGCCTCTTCATATCCCACACCGGCGAAATAGGCAACCAGTTGAAAATCTGGCGCCGGAACGCATCACTGAAGAAATCTCCTTCTCCAGGGACAGCGTCGTTCATCGCTTCGATAAGCTGTCGTTTAGGCGCACACGCATGTTTATTCAGGAGTTTCTGCTCGTCTTGTAATCTCCTCAGCATTTCAAGGACGCTTTCGTCGCGACGGACTGGGATCCTAGCCAGTGTGCCTTGGACGGCTGGGCCGTCGACGTCCATGGCTGGTGGCATGCGCTCGACTTGCCAGTCCTGCAAGAACGGCCACGAGCGCCCCGCTTGGTATTGTCCGAACATGGCGAACTCAGCGCCGGTATATTGAGTAGTCACCACTGCTAGGGCAGCCTTCACGATTTGCGAGCCTTCGATTCCATGCTTGATTTTCAGGGTTTGGATATCAGGGAGTTGTCCTAGTGCGGAAATCCCTTTCACGCCGATGGGATCGGCATCTAGGGATTTTCGTACCGGGCCTGGTCTACCGGTCAGGATATCGATCCAGCCTTCTGAATTCCCCTTGAACCATTCTGGCGCAATCTGTTTCGGGAACAGCGCCTCAGGGTATTTCGATATCCCGTGCAGGCGGTTGGCTTGCCATTTTACAGACTCCCTCGCTAAAGCCGAGTCTTGGAGGAGGTAGAAGTTATTCGCCCACGCTTTATACGGGACGTGAGACTTCAACGCCGTGGTTGGAGAGACGAGGAGCTTGTCGAGGTCTTCGAGGAAGATGGGGAGGGAGACGCCGTCGAAGACGGAGTGTTGAGCTTGGTAGATGAGGGCTGCGCAGTTGGATTCTTCGACGAATGTGAGTATGAAGCGGACCATGGGGCCGGGGAAACACGCAAAGTCGAGTTTGGGGTCGTTGTAGACTAGATTGGGCAGGTTGCTGGCTTGGGGGATGGGAGCGAGGGTTGTGAGGCTGTGGGACCACCAGGTTGGGCTGGCCCGGATGGTGGCGTGGACTGGAGTAATCTCGTCGACATAGAGGGCCATGGAGCGGAGCATGGGATGATGTGTTACTGCTGCGATGAGGGCGGTTTCGAGTTCTTGGATGGTGGTTCCTGGACAGAGCCATGCGTGTCTGTGGGTTGAGGTGTGTGGACGGCGGTATTTGACGAATGTTTCTTGCGTGCCGTTCATGGGGATTACGTCTTGGACATCGTTCCAGTCGAGTCCTAGAGGAGCAAGTGTCTCATTGCACAACTTGATCGTCTTCTGGTATCGAACTTCATCGCCATGAACATGAGCTACATCGTCTATCGTTGGGGGCCCATCTCGCTTTGGAACGATGTCCGCGAATGAGGCTTCTGTTGTACCACGCGAGGAGAGAAATCTAGCTTGCTGCTCTATAGTAGCATGTTCAGCCAACTCAGACAAGCTGATCAGCAATCCGGAGTCTCTCAGCAAAGAAGCCGAGAATCGAGCTAGAATCAACGAGTCTGCCCAATCATGGACAGAAGTCTGAGGCGTAAGTGTTCCAGCTGGCAGACTAAGAAGTTTGTGCCATACTCTCGATAGGATATCAAGCATACTTCCTCTTTCTACACTTCCGATTGTCTGAGTGCGCTTCTCTCGGAGAATTTCACGCAATTTAACTTTCTGCACTTTACCTGACGATGTGCGTGGATAATCTTCCAGACCAAGATCTTCAAGCATAATGATCTCCTCCGGGACCCAAGCCGGCCCAAGATCTTTCACAAGCTCAGCACGGAGTGCCAATACATCAATCTCCTGACCCGGCTTCTTCTTCACAATCGCAATCGGTATCTCACCCGTAATCTCATCAGGAACACCGACGACTTCAGCAGTCAAGTTGAACCTCGCTGAGAAATGTTCCTCGATAGCCGACGGCGAGATATTCTCTCCTCCGCGGATAATTAGGTCTTTATACCTACCTACAATCCTCACATCACCATTCTCCTCCATTACAGCTTGATCACCCGTCATGATCCACGTCCCGTGTTCATCGGTATAGAAAGCGTCTTTGTTGACTTTCCCGCCGGAAGTCCAGTACTCGGTTATGATCAGATCTCCACCGCAGTGGAGTTCTCCTGGCACACCACGCGGGAGGATTTCTCTGGTCTCAGGATCGCAGATGCGAGATTTTCCGCCGGGGACTGTTGGACCGGCGAGGACTTTGTCGGGTGGTGAGAGGGGGATGTCTTTGAAGCGACGGATGTTCGCTGGTCCTGTCTCCGTCATACCGAAGCCCTCCGTTGGTCTTTCAACGCCAGTTTCTCGTACGCGAGCTTCAATGTCTCGGGTAGGATGGTTGTAGCACCTAGCAACATCCATTTTAGAGACTTGGTTTCTGTTTTCTTCAGATCAGGATGTTCGACTAGGGCGTGGAGAAGTGCAGGTACAGCTGCTAGGTCAGAGATTCGTTCATGATTGATGGCTGCGAGTGTGGAGGCGGGTGTGAAATTTGAGGAGGGATGTACGACGTGTAAGCCGGGGAGATGGTACAGTGCTCCGAAGAAGAATCCCAGGATGTGGTGGTTGGGAGAGTGAAAGCAGGCGATGCGGGGAGGGACAGAGGTTTTTTCCAAGTCGAGGAGTTCGGTCACGCTGAAGAGGACTGAGCGGTAGGATTTGTTGGTCCAAGGGCAGCCTTTGGGGAGGGATGTTGTGCCGGATGTGGTGAAGACTAGGAGGACGTCGGAATCTTTTCTTGAGATGCTTTTTGTATCGAAGGTGATATTTCCTGGCTGGGAATTTGAATAGACAAATGTCTCGAGATCGTTCCAGCCAGCTGGAAGATCGTCCTCGTTTTTGCTCGCGCTCTTCGAATGGATCTCACCACTACCAGCAACCAACCTCACCTTCACGCTCCCCAATTTCTCTCCAAGCACACTCTTCAGTTTCCTCGCCAATTCCGCATCTCCCACAACGACCACAGCAGGCTTCAACATCCCAAACAGATGCTTCGCTTCCTCGCCGTGAGATGCAATTTTCGGGTTCAGTGGTGCGAATGCACAATTGAGTTCGAGTGCTGCATAGCACAGCATGTGGAAAGCAGCCCCGTTGGTCAGGAGAGAGATAATGCTTTGGTGGGGACGGATGCCGGCGCTGTAGAGTGATGAAGCAACTGCGTGGGAGGCGTGGGAGAGTTGGCTGAATGTCCAGGATAGGTATGGCTTGGGGTTGAGGTCCGCGTCGACGTATGAATTCAGACCCGAAGATGACTTTAAGTTTAAAGATGAGCCGTTAGGCTTGGGTATGGGAGTAGGTGAAACATTGGTACCATTTTGCTTCGTCGCGAGAGGGAGGAAGTCAGCTCTTGTGGAGGCGGAAGAAGCAAGTAGTGAGGAGAGATAACCGGGTTCTTGATGCATGCATGTCAATGCTTTCTTGGGACCATGTTGGCGGAAAGTTTCTTGAAAGAGCTCATAGACTGATGTGTCCGGGATAGAGAGAGGTGAGCCGTGGGTTTCGGAGAGGAGTAGTGGAGTGAGAGAGGATTTTGCGTGGGGCATATTTGGTTCTCAGATATTCACTTGGTATATTTTGTTGTGAAATCAAAAATCGTTGAGAACTGGAGGAGATGGCTCAGGTTCTTGGTTGGGAGATATGTGATATATATGGAAAATAGCGTCAAATCGTTACCCACCCGTCAGCACGTATGGAACCGAGCTCTTCGCCGCACATCAAGACATTTGATTGGTGAGAGCTTAGACCCTTCAGCTGTTTCTATACCTCATACAGGCTACTCTCTCCATTCCTATTCTGTAGACGGCACGTCTAGTGGTCGTACAGAGCAAATGCGATGATTAGTGACCATATCACAACACAACTACATGCGGTGGCTAGTCCCCAGAACGCTGACCCCGCTTAGCTGTGCTTACTCATTCTGCATATTATGCACGTATATCAGTCTGAAATACGATTTTTCCTTCGATTGACAATACCCGATACCCGAAGCTTGTCGGTTTCGCACAGGTAGGTCCCTGCCAAGAAATGATTGGTGTTGACATGGTCGTGCTTAAGCGACCGGTGTCAGACATGACGTGAGTGGTCAGATATGGGAGCGAGGTTTAATGCCCGCTCTCTGATTCCGTCTGATATATACTATTATTTTTGGTGAGATGGTTGTTGGTTTCATGCAGGTCAGAATGGGGGTTATTGGACAGGTTGTGATTGGTACTGAGTTGCGTGCACTGAAAGGCTGATATCACGTGGATCAGCTGCATGCTCAGTCATGCAAGTCATCAAGGCCATCAGGGCTTGCAGGGGCGGACTTATAGCAGGATGCAATCATATGTGTATCTCTCAGAGTAAAGATAAGGGAATTCGAAGTCGGCGATCGAACGAAACGTCAATTTGTGGATGAAGAATTGACTCTGGGCATTTCGGCTAATTCAATGGAAAGTACATCATCACTTGACGATCACAAACAGAGCTCTGTATCTACTGGAAAGCTGGAGTTAATTGAAGACTACGGGGATCTTCTTGTTACGACCTGTTGAGCTTTGAATACGATTAGTGAACGCCCCGGTGGGTACTGTTGTACTTCCTTGGTTGGTAGCACCGATGTTGAAATGCCACAGGCTTGCATGCAGAAAAGAGCCTCGTTCTCGCTATAAGCATATAGAAGACATCCTGATCACTTGGTGGTACTGTGGCAGAGAACAGCTTGCCAGTTTTTGCAATGCAGGTCTAATAAGGTAGTAGATACTTGATTGGCTTTTCGTCCTTTCATATTCGTAATTCGGCATACTCTGTACATTTTACGAGGCAACATGCTAAAGGCTCCGAGATCGAGTCAAGATAAGAGTGCCAGTGCACTCTCTGGAAGAAATTTAAATTTCAGTGCTGGTATGGAAAGAATACCAAAGATGAACAGAGATGATGCTGCCTTCCAAGATCTGTGCATTTCTTATCACGTGCTTGGTTTCTCGAGAAAAGCCCCCCCAAAAGAAGCGCTGAAGGGCGGATATTTCTGCTCCTGTCAACATCTATCCGACGAAGAACTGGATACCATGCAATCATTTTCTCGACTTAGCTCTATTATATTACCAGCTCAGGAGTGCTGGTGAAGTCATGTGCTGCAAGCGTCTTTCTAAGTTTTGTTGCACATCGCAAAATTCTCTCGAGATGGATTTGTTTAGACGTTTTCACGTGATGAATAATCAGCGCGAAAACCATGAACTGACTAATACGGCGGCTCTCGCAACATTGATCTAAAGCTTGCGGAGTAATGAAATATCCTCATTCTCAGAAGTGGAGGAGTTTGCAAGTATCTCAAATTTATCTGCCTTCACGACACGTGATGAGAAACGAGTCAAATATTTTGTTGCACGTCGCAAGCATTGGAAACTGGACTGGCTGTTTGGCAAGAATTGATTGGCTGGCATGCGAGACAGGTGAACTTTCACCCCTCGATGGAACTTGACTGAAGCGACTGAGAAACTGGATTCCGAAAAGAATCAGACTTACTTGAGTCATTTACATCGCCATGTAGGCTTATATTCATGAGTCTACTTCTACTTAGACCTCCGTTGCCGAACGCTAACCGCAGCTTGGGACCGAGAGACAAGTGGCGAGGACTATTCTTGTCGGAGAAGCAAAATGCCCTGCCGTTCCACAACGACGAGCGCTATTACAGATCACAGATCCATCTCTGGCTTCCTCCTCTTCAGAAAAATTTCTACCACAACAGCCAGTTTCAAATCAAAGTAAACACAGTCACGATACCTAAACTCAACCCCTAAATCCGAACCGAGCTTCGGGTCGGTAAAAGCTCTTGGCATGGCTAAGACGGGAGGTCTCTTTGTCCGCCCTTCGAATGACTATGGAGGTTAAAAGTTAGCAATGTATCATAGCAAGTGACAGGGACTGTTGAAAGACCAATGACTGTTTGTAGGTGTTACGTTATGCCGATATTGCGGGCATCGATTGTTGCAGCGCGGATACTGCTGGAAAGCTTGATCCCTAGCCTGGACTGGCTTTATAAGTTTGGAGCTGGAATTTGCTGACATTACTCTACTGTTCTCAGTTATATGGTAAGAGAAAGTTTTACGACTTCTCGTCAACTTCAATTTGGATTGTCCTCCTGCCTTTTGGAATATGAAGATTTTACGGTACCGATGGATGATTCAATGAAAATACGACTTGCTCATCAGCTTGCCATCTATCGACAAAGTACCAAATAAAACACTCAAAACCAATCAGGAATACTAGCATATGAATCCAACCCCATTTCAAGATCTGATATCGGCCTTTCGAGTTATTCCAGAGGGTCACCTTGATTACTGAACATCACCTGAGCAGTACCCAATTCAAGAACACCAACCACCACCACGCACCCACACCCACACCCACACCCACTCATCACCCGCCCCTCAATCATACTTTAAACCACCCTCATTCTAGAAATGGATATCCTCACTCTCCTAAGCTCCGACGACTACCACACCCGCTTCTTCTCACCATCATCAACACCTCCTCGCTTCAACCTCACACCCAAAAACAGACCTGCACTGCACGATATCCAGCTCAATTCCCGATCACAGAGTTCTTGCGCTGCATTTCTTGGGCGAGAGTTGAAGCTGAGTGGGGTGGTGGTAAAAACTGAGCCTGGGTGTGAAGTTGTGTTTACTAAAAATCCAGAGGATAGGGATGGAGATCCAGATGCGAATGAGCTGATGCGTGAGAAAGATGGTGAAATCGGTGTTGAACCGGAAGATTCAGAGAGTTTAGACGGAGATATAAATGGGGACGTTGACGTTGAAGACGAGGTTCAAAATGAAGACGGAAGTGATGAAATGAACAAGAAGAACGAGGCAGCATACGCAACAATGTCCGACCTCCAAATCATACCTATACCTCCATTAACTCCACCAGTACCAGCAGAAGAAGATACAACCGACAATATATCCAACATGAGACTTCGATCTGGCTCAGGACACAGCAATCGAGATCTACGGAGCGATCCGAAACTAATACTGAAAGCCGAGAAAGATCCCAACGAGAATGAGGAGGATGATAGGAAGTCTCCACCGAAGAAAAAGCAAAAAAGCAGTCCGAGAAAGAAATCTCGCAGACCCTCCCATCTACAACTCCTCTCAGACGAAGAAACTTTAGCAGTAAGCTTCCTCCCTCCCCTTTCTCTCCCATCCCTCCTCCCCACCTATCTCCACTCTTCCCTCGTCCCTCGTCCCTCCCATCCCACCTCACCTACTAACAACAACAACCCTTCTAGCGCCGGCGTCTCCAACTCCGCCGCTCACAAGCAACCTACCGTCTCCGTCGCGAGATGACGATATCCACTCTCCGAGAGGAAGTCTTCTTTTTAGAGGAGACGCAGAAGGAGATGAGGGGGTTGTTAGTTGGGTTTTGGGGGGAGTTGGGGAGGAGGGGGATTTTGGTCGGGATGCGGGGTGAGGATGAAAGAGGGCATAGGGATAGTGGGGTTGTTGGGGGTATAGATAGTGGTGGTGATAAGGGAGGGGTGGACAGAGAAGGAGGGGAGAAAAGAGATAAGGGTGGGGAGGGAAGGGAGGATAGAAATGGGAAAGAGGAGGAGGAATGGGTAAAGAGGGTTAGGGAATTCTTGGAGGATTTGAAGGGTGAGGAATCGTAGGAAGTCCTACTCCTGCTTTTAGTAAAAGAGGCAGCCCTGACACTCCACTTTTACATGTATCTCACAAAGCAAGGTTACACGAACAAAAACAAAGATCCAAAGATTTTTACAAGTGTTTTATCTTCATTTCATTCAACACCACGCTCCTCTTTCAAGCACCAGCCATCCATCCATTCACCCATCCTATGCCATTCAGGATGATAGGATAAAAGGTTACTCCTGCAAGAAGCCTGCTAAGAAGAAGCAAGCACCTCAGGATATTAATCCTTTCTAGCCAAACCAATTGATTTCTAGATCGTGACTCAGAAATCAGTCTCTCCACTCCACTCTCCGCCAAGCACCTACTCAACAAACAAATATTATCCATCCCACCATCAACCACCACTATTCTGATCTTCCTTTCCGCTCTTCCTAGTCTCTGTATACTCAAGGGCCACGAGGCTAAGCCCGAGTTCGCGCTCAGGCGCAGCGAATATATCCAGTGTGTAGTCCCCTGACTCCATTTACTCCAAACGCCAGTCGCAAGAATCAGAAAGATAGGAACGATGATGGTAATATTACATACTTCTTCTCTCCACGATCAATGCTCGCCTCACGATCATGCAAAAAAAAGCACAAGGGAGAGAGAACAACACAGGTGGCAACTCAATCTCGAGATGAGCTGAGCAAATGGTACAACGAATGGAATGAGCCGGGGAGCAGCCTGAGCTGGCTGCGAAACACATAGCTCGTGATTGGTGAAGAAGTAGCCGAGCACGTGATTGGCTCCCTTGCCAAGCGCTTGGCTAATTCTGGAACGGTTTGTGTGGCCTGTCGGAGCTGAACAAACTCAGCGAGGGAATCGGCGATGCGGGATGATGCAGATCAGAGTATCATCTCTGCATCCTCATCTTCGACGGATTCGACAGTGGCAAACTTCGAATTGTCAACGGCTCTCGTAACCTCTGGGACAACAGCTGATTCGTCAACTGTTTCAGGTGGAGTGACTGGTGCAGCCTCGTCTTCCTCGTCACTGCTGTCCTCCGCATTATCCAGCTTCTCCTTGAGGAAGTTGAAGAATGCCTGAATGCCCTTCTTCTCCTTTTTGGACAACTTGGCCGCATTTATCTTCTCTGTAGAGCTCTGTGCGACCAGGGAGATTACAGCTGGTGGAGCTTCCGACTATTCAAAAGAGGACTCGTTAGCCAAATCTGACACTAGTTACGTCATGGAACCTAAAGGATGAAACCTACCAGAAGGGCGTTAATCAAGAGACCCGTTTTATCTTCCATTGCGGGATCATTAGTATTAACGAGGAGAGACGCGAGATTGAGCGCTGCTTGCTGCTCTTCCATCGTTCGCTGATTCCACGGTTTGTCGGAACCAGGTACAGATGGTACAGAGGAAGCTGGTTGAACTGCTTTGGGGACTGGCTGAGGTCTGACAGGTTTCGAGCTGTACAGCGATGGTAGGTATTTACCACGATTCTGCTTGACTCTGGAAATGTGTTAGAGTAGCGCAAATATGTGAAAATAGGGGTTACATGCCTTGAGATAAAGTCGAGCTTGATGCTCATCTCTGGGAGCTTGTAAACGTGACCAAACTCTCTCAACTCGTAGAAGCCTTGCTCCTCCTCGTCTTCGCTTGGATCATTCTCAATCTCAATGTGACCATTGTTCTGGAAGCCTCGAGTGGCGGCTGGCTTGATTACAGATGCACCCTTGATCTTGCGGAATCGGTGAGCGGGTGCCAAAGTGACAGGAAGAACAGCGAGGAGATCGTCGACATGAGCGGGGCATCGCCATTGTCGCCCAACTCCAGGCTCCTTCGCAAGAGGAACATCCACACAGTCCAGATGCCAATATAGGCCACAGAAGCTGCATGGGATGATCATTCGATTTGGAGCGGAAGCCTCGCCGTTACAGCGGTGACAAAGGATAATTTTGCCTTTGGCATCCTTCCTTCGGAAATAATCAGGGGCTTCTTCCCAGCCAGCTTTGTTGTTCCTGTGTAGTGGTCAGCATTTTACACTTGCCTCAGATTCGGTGTTGGGGGCTTACTTGGGTTTCGGTGGGATAATCTCCTCGTACTCTCCATCCGCACCAGTCTTAACATCCACGAAGTATTCACGAATCGGCTCGGGTAGACGGAAGGATCTTGGGTTCTTAACCTCGAGCTCAGAGATCAAGGGACCCCAAACTCCGCCCGTGTCATCATCAAAGGCACCACTCGGCTTGAGTTGACACAAATTGCAGTACCAATCGTCTGGGAGAGATTGCGAACCCTCGACGAGAGGAGGATCAACACACTTGAAGTGAAATGATCTCGTACAACCATCACAGCAGACCAAGTCACCGTTACCCCCACATGCTGAACAGAAGTCATCGTTGTCGCCGTCCTGTATCATGGGTCAGCAATGGGACGATGCAATTTGATTTGGAATGAAGGATGCGAAAGAGCCAGAAGAGGAAACATGTGGCGGAGCTTATTGAGCGTGGACGTGCGTGGATGTGGGGGGTTGGCAAGGTTTGGCGCCGGTAAGGACGGAATGCAGAGATTGCCGGGCGGGCGTATGCATTTTTCAGGCCACCGCAGCATCGTGAATCAAGACTTCTGATCCATCAAATCCAGCACCCAACAGCTCAAGATATTCTCGAAGATATCGCAAAATAATGACTGCCGCCATCCAGGGACGGTACAGGCGCGTGCAAAAGAAATAATAAGCTTACCTGTGCCATTGGGCCACCGTTGCTGATAGGGCTGCGCATATCCTTAGGAATGCCAGCAGAAGTACCAGTCTTTTTCTTCATCGGCCTACGAGAGAGGTTCCGCATTAGCATAATTCTGATGATAAATTTATGATGAAATGAGATTTGATGTGGAAAGGCTGATTTCGAGCTCGGGCGCATTGTGCTTCGGATTGTGCGACGACAATTATGATGATTACAAGCAACAAAACCAAAAGGACAAAGGGGGTACTAAATATAAACCACAAGTCTTAAAACATCACAAAGCTTTGAGTGATATCTCGATGCAGCGACGCGAAAAGTTGATGACTTACGATGTCTTGACACGTAGACCCGATCCTGTCTTCTGCTTCCTCGTTGGTCGGTTGGCAGCGGTCGGTGTGCCAGCACGAGATGATGGAAGGGAATCTCCTGGTGGAAACGGTGGTTTGAACGCCAGCTCTGTGGGTGAGCTGCCCTCATCTGAAGCATAACGGGAGTTCTGTCGAGTCTCGCGGCTTCTGTTGAGGAGGCGCACCTTGGGGAGCTTCTTTTGCTTCTTGGTCGGCTTGACGGCGATAGAATCAGCACCATCGGATTGATTGCCTCTCTCCTCAGCAATATCCGTGGCCGCCTTCGCAGTCTTCACCTCATGCCGCTCGTTGCTCTCAGTATTTGGAGCCTTGCCTGTGAGATCTCTAGCTTTCCGCTTCAGGCGATTACTGGCGTCGACCTCCTCCTGCGTCACCTGAATCTGGGCCTGCTGAGCCTTTGCCGAATTCTTGATTCTAAATGTGGCGGGAAACTTCTTATTTGATGTTGTGGAAGAATTTGAAGATGAATGAACGAGTGCAGTGGGAGCCATGGATGATTTTGTTCGTGGCTCACTGGTGGTGTTGGGAGCGGACGAGGCCGCAGGTGTGGATGAAGGGAGAGGATTATTGCTAGCGGATGAAGGACGAGCGACTGGAGCAGAGGCAGACGCTGAGGCAGAAGCAGGGACCGTCGAAAAGGTAAATGTTCGGGGACCCGCTTTTGCTGGCTGGCTGATAGGCCGGGCATGTCTAGCGGCCTCAGCCGAGAGGGCGACCGCTTGGAAGCCCTCCGCTGAGGCGTAGGGAGACACAAAACGGGGTGTTTGCTGCACTTGACCAAATCCAAGCCCCAAGACAGGCCCGTATTTGGCTGCCAGGTGGCTCGGTACTGATGAGATAGGGCCAGGCACTGGCATAGGAGCTGCGGCTGGAGCTTTGGCGCCGCCTGGGAGAGGGCGTGCGGGTGACAGAATCGATCCGTCTTCGATGAGATCCTCGTTGACCGAGGACAAAGAAGAAGAAGTCGAGTTGGATCGGGATCTCTGTGCGTCTTTGCCTTCGCCTTTAGATACCTTCGAGTCTCCATTCGTGTCAGCTGCCGGTGATGGCCCAGGTGCTGGAGACTGTCCAACACTTGAAGATGCTAATACTGCTGGAGACTGGCTTTTTGTCGTGCCGTTTAATGACGCATTTCCATTGAGAACGAGGCTATTCGCTGGCTGGAAGCTATTACTTCGTTGTTTCTTGCTGATATGCTCGTGATCTGGTTGAGGCGAAGTCGAGACAGCCATCGCGGCCGAGACGAGCGACGAGGCCCTTGGTTGAGAAGAATCGCCGACTGTGCTTGGCTGGGATGGTGGAAGTGACGTGTAAGGGGTCTGATAGACAGATTGATACGTAGAAACTGGACCTTGAATGGAACTCATCGGGCTGAAGAGACCTTGAGATCGAGGTGGCGCTGGATCTTCACCATTGAAATAATATTCAGCGGTTCTGTCCCTCTTGCCTTCCCTTTTCTTCCTTCTTATCTTGTCTTGGAACTCATCCATCTGGTCGAGAGTAGACCACCCATTGTAGACGGCGTCGAAAATCCGTACCATGCGTGGATCTGTTCTGCCGTCGTCATAGACGGTGCGTAGAGCGTAGGCTGTTGGCCACTTGTGGCGATCGAGCGCCTCATTCACCGCGTACTCAACCACCCTATCTGTGAAGTCCATATTGATAATTGGAAGACCGTCAGGCCCAAGCGCAGGCTCAGGAGTCGCGGAGTCAGATGGATACCGAAGATAGCGAGACTGTGGTCGCTCAGACATGAGTGCATCCATAGGGGATTGCTGTAAAGCGAAGACGGATTGCCCGGCACTCTGAGGTCCAACACTCGGTCGCGACACACTCTTTCGCGCACTGGAGGGCGACTTTGGAGTCTTTGGCATCACTTCATCTTCCTCCTCGATTGTTTGTTTTGGTATGGATTCTTGTCGTGGAGTCTCAATCGTCTCTGCCACCTCCTCTGCAATCTCTGCAATTTCTTCAGCTGGTCCTGGTTCGGGCGTCGCAACTTCCGGAGTGGAAACCGAACTGATGCTCTTCTTGGGCTTCTCCACGTTTGCAAGTGCCTTTAAAACTTTCGCACTTGGTCCAACTCCCAATGGCATCATGTTCAGAACCACGCCATGGCGTTCATGGCCGGCCTCAGCATACGAAGGACGAGGCAGCGCAGGCGCAGGCTCAACCCAGCGCTGCATGAATGTCTTTGGTTTATCAGCCGGAGCATCGGTAGCGGGTTCGGAGGAATCGATTGAGGGCGCTGGAACGAATGGACTCGAGATGCGCGACCGTGTGGGCCGGTTTGCACTCATGTTGTTTTTCGTCGAGGCTCGGCCTCCCTTCCTTACAGGTCTTCGAGATCGCGATCGCCCCGGCGACTGCAGCGCACGACTATCGTCTTATTAGCTCAGGAGTTGCATGCGAGGGTAGGATTGTAGGTACTTCTCTATACCCCCGCGGCGTGCACACGATATTTGATCGTGGTGAAGAGGGAGGAAGGCGCGTGTTGATGTTGTGGATTTTGGGCGGGTTGGAGGTGCTGAGAATTAGGGGGCCTGAAGCGACGACTCGCTTAGCGAGCTTGGGATCCTATCGTGTTCGCAAGGTCGCCTCCAGGCTGTGAACCCAGGAATTGCTCCAACTGCAGACCACGCGAACACGTGGACTCGCCAGTAGACTACAACTCAGGCAAATGTCTTGCAGTGATGAATAATTTCTCAGCGACGCGCAAATATGAGGTGGAAGGGTCTCAAATGTTGTGTGTCGAGACTGCGGTCGTCATATGCGAAGGAAAGAGTTGTGTTTGTCTCTGAGGGAGAGGATGTATGGCGGCGAACTAAGTTAAACGAGGTCACGCTTGACCCCCCAAGACCAAACTCAGCATTGCATCACCCCCAATCGCTTTCCGTGTCCTTCTATGTTGATTGCGCGTGATTGTGCTGATTATTTACCCTCCAGGGCTCATTCAAAGACAGTTATCTACCTAAGCCGCAGCTCAGAGTGGCGTTCCTTCCTGACTCACCAGAAATGGAGATTTCGCGCTACCCCCTATCTTGGCTGGCTGGTGGGTGGGCGGACCAACAGAAGGAATTCCACATCTCCGAAGCATGTCGGCTAAAGTATATTGACTTTTCTGTTATTCGGAGTTTTCGTTTACCGATACCGGATTATGATAGACTGATATGTGCGAGAAAGGTTGGAAAGTTCAGTCTGTATGGCGGCTATTGTGGTGTTGTGCTGGAAAATTCAAAGTGTGGGCATTCTCGAGCCAGCCTCGAACTATTTGTTATGACGTGCGAGAGGGCACACAAATCAAGATTAACAGGCACATTACATCTGTCATCTACTATGTAGGTACTTCCACATCTGCTCTGCATGTCTATGTACAGGGAGCTCCAAAAATATTCATCTATGCATCTTCGCGAGGTTCTCGAACGCTGCCCCTTTTCACATCCGAGATCTGCCGAGCTGTTTTTCACGCACCTCGAAATCAGGCAACATGATGTGCGAATACATTCATCAGTAGCTCGTGGCGAGTCACCGCTTGGATATTTCTTTTATCCCTCCTCTTGATTCATGATTCCTATTTTTTTCGAGAGTTCCTACATCCATATCTCTGCACGTGGCGAGATTTCCTCCAAAATTCGCCTTGAGTGTTTGTTGTGATGTGAAGCGGTCATGATAAGGGCCACATGACGCGTGCAGGACTTTCCAACCTAGCGCCTGACCACAAAATCCGAACGAGGCAGGATATGTGATCCCTAGAGACCATTCAGATACTTCTACATGTTTCGCTGGAGAATTATTCACTATTACCCCTATTCCAAGCGAGATCCTCGGCAATGTTGGGTAGACATGCTGATTCTGATGCTCGAGCCAGTGAAGGAAAATTTTCGCACACAGCAACGGGCTACAAATTTTCAACACTGGATGGCCAATAAAGATATATGTAGCGGCTGAATCATTCTTCGAAACTTTCTCGTCCCTTCTTCCAAAGCTGTTCCTTCGTGAAAGTTCCCTTCAAAGTACGAAGACTACATAAGCGATGACGAAATATGTACCATCGGCATCTCAAACCCCAAGAAACCAGGACATTGGAACGTACAACTCACTGTAAGGAATCATCTATCCTTCCATATCCTACACGTCCTCTCGCAGAGGCTCCATTCAAAGTACGTAGAATAAATAGGCAATGACGAAATACAACTTGCTCACGGATGCCCCAAATCAAGAGACGAACATCTTGGAGCATACAAGTCTCTGAAAGTATTCAAACATCCTTTCCATACCCTCACACGTCATCGCCCTTTTCTTTCCATACAAGTAGCGCACACAGTCACAACCCTAAAACTCTACAATCTAGGAGAATACCCAACCCATCCCAACACTTCACACAACCCATTAACAAACAATCCATTTCCAAGCAACCAAAAATACAGCCCAAGAATTTGAAGCTTCTCCCTACCCTATAGTCATATCAAACTCCCAGCCTAAATTCCACCAATCTCTCACCATTCACAGGCTCCCTCACAAAAAGAAAATCTCAACTCCTAATACACAATACACTTCCCACCATTCCCAACACCACCACCAGAATCCACACCTTGAAAACACACTTCGAGACCAGCTCACAAAACCTCAATTCCCCAACCACGAGCCAAGTCCACAATTCCCAAATATCCAACTACCATCTCATTTCCAAACAGTCAGTACAAGCACACAAACAAGCATCTCAATCACTTCCCCATCGCATCGCATCACCTCACTCGCATTCTTTCCCCAGCGCCAAAGCTCAGCTCAGATCCAGTGGTAAAGTACTGCTGTAGCATAAGGTCTTTTTGAGCCCGGCTCAAAAAGTGAAATCTGAAGTATGTAGACAGCCAGATGTAGATTAGTGATGTCTGTCAAGAAGGAACCCTAGGAAGTTTTTCTTTGGAATAGAGAATAGAGAATAGAGGCCTGGACTTGGAGTGTAGTGTAGAGTAGTGTAGTATCGTGTGATGTTCGGCATATTTGAGCTGGGCTCAAGAAACTTGCTGGGGTTCATCGCTGCCCAGGTGTGAAGATGTGTCATAGTACATGATACCCATGAAGTAGTCTTTCTTTACTTGAGTATGGGTTTAGGAAATTATCATGTAATGGTTGCAAACTATTTGTTTTTTCGCTGGTGATAACATTGAAAGAGAATGAGAATAGTGGATACGTATCAGGTCTGTAGAAAAAGCAACGTGTTTTAGTAAAATTATGGACGATATGGGCGCACGCAAAGGAATGTACTGGGAACCGCTCAAATGGGAGGTCAAATGCCTGGATATGGATGATAGACCAAGCAGGTGAACGGCATTTCCACTGTCCACCTAGGTAGTTTGTTACCTACATCGAAAAGACCATGCAAATGACCCGTGCCCAGCCCATCCCAATCCAGCTCTCCATTAGAGCCTATTTCCCACAGACCCAATCCATCCATAGATATCCCACCCCATCAAATCATGCACTCATTCCCTCCCAACCACTTACTCCTCATCACTGCTCTCCTCATCATCGTCATCAGCAGCTGCGGCGGCCTTCTTGGCTGGCTTCTTCTTCTTGTTCTTGTTCTTGGCTTTGGCTTCCTTGGCTAGGGGTTGCTCGAGGATCTTGAGGACTTCTTCGTCGGTGATCTTTTTGTCGGTCTTGAACTTGGAGAGGTCTGGGGATGGTGGTGCGGCGATTCTTTGGAGACCATTCTTGGTGATTGCTGGGTGGTGTTAGTAAGGATATTACGGAATTTTGTAGAGGGTATGAAAGTGCGAAAACCCCAAAGCTTGTTCGATGTCCTGAGACTTCTCTGGGCAATGAACAAGGCTTTGGGAGGTCTTCTGCTTCCTTTTCCAAATTCAAAGGGACCAGAAACATACCAATTGTGGTCAAAAGTCTACCAACAGCAGCACCATCCTTATCTCCTGCAACCTCGTATGCACGGAGAACGTTTCCTCGTACACACTCAACAACACCAACCTTGGCATCTCTCTCATCCTCAAGTTGTCTCAAACTGAATGGGAAGACACCAAATCTCTTCATAACCTCGTTAAGAACTTTCTTGGAGCTAGGTCTCTTCAAGGCGTATGTAAGGGTTGTACGTCTGTGGAGTGTAGTTCTGTTCTCGAAGTTCTTGATCTTTCCGGTTCCGGCACTGACGCCCATCTCAACACCCCAAACATCACCAACCTCTGGGATACCCTCTCCCTTAGTTCCATCACCTGGAGAAAGGATAATCTTCTTCTTTCCCTCAATCTCATTTCGCTCAAATTGCCAACTGGTGGTGTGCTCTACCAAGTTGCAGTCGTAGCTCTTCACAACCTTCTCCAACAAACTGGTGATCTTGCTCTGAGTTGGGGCCTTGACCTTTGCTGCCTTTGCCTTCTCCTCATCTGTACCAGTGGCCAAAAGTCCTGGTGGAACCATCAACCGTAATAGAAGCTCGTTCGCCCAGTATGTAGCCAGTAGAAGATCAGCATCCCGACCCTCGATTGTGCCCTTGTTGTCAGCAGTTGGAATGATGATGGTATCGCAGACAATTGTTCCGAAACCATCAATTTGTGCACCCAACTGGATCTTGATAGCCTCTCCCTCCTTCAATGTGACAGCAGCTTCGGCCTCATCGGACTTTAGTGGGGTGTATGGCGTGACAAAGGAAGATGGGGAGACGGTGGTAGGATGAGAAATTCCTGGACAGTGTCAGAAATATTAGAGACTCGAGTGTGTATCCGCTTCTACCCTTTGAGATCTTCTTTCCACGGTAGACCTTGGAAATCTCCTCGTCCAGAAGCTTGTCACCCTGCTCGCAGATGGTGACGATCTTCTCTCCAGCAACGCAAAGAGCAGTAACAGCCTCCAAAACCTTCTGAGAAATGGCAGCAGCACTCTTGTATTTGGTAAGGGTATCGGGGTTATTGAGAGTGTAATCTAGATATCGAAATGCATATGTCAGTACATAGTTACCAAGCTTTTTCAAAGCTCGTCGTTGTGCTGGTTCTGGAGCTGATAGCGGGGTAAATCCAAAACACCCCTCCATCCAAGAAAGAGCGTGCGAATCAACATACCAATCTCCTCGGTTTCCTTCTTGTCTGCCATGATGATGGATGTTCGGTAAGTCTGGTGTTTGTTTTTGAAAAGGGCTCGTGTATGGAGTGAAGGAGTGTAAGAAGTTGTCGATTGTTTGGAAAAGGAGGGGTTAGACTGTGGGCAAGTTGAAATTAGCGAAGGCCAGACAGAGCAAGATGTCCCTGGCTCGCCTGGCCACGGCAGAGTCGCAGACTCGAGCTCCCGTCCCGCATTTTCACCTTCAGCATCATCGAGGCGGACCAGGGTGTTTTGCCAAGGCCGCCCTCCGGCGAGTTCCGGCACGTGACTAATGTTCATGCTGCACTGCCCAGGTGCACCAGCCAGGCTCCGGCTCATGTCGCGGTGCAGTGGTCAGTCAACATGGCGCGCTTCACTCAACTCTAAATCCAAACTCGACCCTCCCAACCTTCAATCCCATCTCCAGGGCTCCATCGCATCGCACTTCAACAGTACAGTGTCGCATAGCTGTCGCGAATGCATTCGCCATGGCTCCAGATCCACAGGCATCCTCAGACCCCCAGGCTACAGATGCCGTCGACACCCATCCAGCCCCTTCTTCTCCTCTAACCCATCGACCACGGACAAAAGAGGACTTCCAGAAGATCTTGCTCGAAAGCCACATTCATCATGATTTATTACACACTGCTGCGATGCTGGAGACGCAAGCCAATCGGGAGAAAGATTACAATTTCAGGAACCAGCAGGCAGAGGATTACAAGAAGGTTCGCGACGAGTACCGACAATATTTCACCCCCAGTCGACTCTTTGGTCCTGGCTATGGGGGTTATGGAAATGGGAGGACAGATGGGCCGGCGCATGTAGTCTATCCTCACCAAAAGCCAAGATTGGGGCATAAGAAGACCCCAAGGTTGCGAATCAAGCGCAAAGATGTAGCGATGCAGGCAGAACAGGAGGAAGAATTGGTGCCTATCCGGTTGGAGATCGATTGGGATAAGATCAAGCTTCGAGATACGTTTACCTGGAACTACTACGATCGAATCATAACTCCCGAGATCTTTGCAGCGCAGATGGTTGAGGATTTTGGCCTAACTCCTCCTGCACACGGCCCAGTTCTGGAGCAGGTTCAGCACCAATTGCGCGAGCAGCTGATTGATTTCTATCCTCAATTGTATGCTGGAGAAGAAGCGCTGGATCCAGAGCTGCCATACTCGGCTTACAAGAACGAAGAGATGCGAATCCTCATCAAGCTGAACATAACGATTGGCCCGCATACATTGGAGGATAAATTTGAATGGGAGATTAACAACCCATTGAACTCTCCAGAAGAGTTTGCGCAGAGTTTGGCTCGAGAACTATCATTAGCAGGAGAGTTTACTACCGCGATTGCACATTCGATACGAGAACAGTGCCAGCTATTCACAAGGAGTTTGTACATTGTTGGGCATCCATTTGATGGGCGACCCTTGGAAGATGCAGATTTAATTGCTGGATTCTTGCCATCTCCGTTACCTTCAGTTTTCAGGCCACAGCAGCAAGCGCGAGAATATACGCCTTTCTTGTACGAGTTGACGGAAGCAGATCTGGAGCGCGGGGAAGTAATATACTCACGAGAACAGAGGAGACAGAAACGCTCTGTGAACAGAAGAGGTGGACCAACATTACCAGATTTGAAAGACAGACAGCGGACTGTGCGAACACTGGTAGTATCATCAGTTATTCCAGGCTCAGCTGAGAAGGTTGAGGACAGTCGACTGTACAAAAGAATTGGAGGAGTTGGAGGCAAAGGTAAACGTCCTGGAGCTCGAGATGGAGAGCTTTCGGAGGAATCGGAAAGTGAAGATTCCAATCCCGAATCTCCAGCAATGTCGAATCTGCAGACCGGAACAGCGAGAACCAGAAACATGCGTGGAGCAGCTACAGCTGCCCAACAAAGGATGGCGAACCTGGGAAGATCGGAAACTCCTGAAGCAGCAGTGCTTCATCATCACGAAACTAGAACTTCTGCTAGAAGATTTGGTGGCCGTGATGCCCGTGAGGACAGCGAACCTCCATCCTTGATCGTCAAGCTTAAACCTGGGCGAGAAAGGATGAGGAAGTGGTATCGTGAGATCAACCGACCTGCAAGCCGTCCTTCAACTTCACAACCACCCGAAACGCCTGCTTCTCGCGCTCCAGCAACACCTGCTGCCTCTACTCCAGCCGTCCCCCCTGGCTCCATGGGGCCCCCATCAACTCCTAATGCCCAAAGCCAGACGATCCAGCCTCCTACCACTCCCGTGCCAGTCGGGCAAATTGGTCGAGTCGATGCACCACCCCCTCCCCCGCCAGGACAACCACCCCACGTTCCTGTGAGCAAGGCCCTTTCATAACTTCGACCTTCAGGTACTTGCTGTCACGAAACAATCAAGTGATTGCCGTTAAAGAATGGCATATTCCCCAAGAATTCGTTCGAATCATATCTCAAATGTATATACTGACAGTCACAGCCTCCCCCTCCATCCTGGCTTACAGCTGGCCTCACTGGCCTTCTCACCCAGTACCCAGGTGATCGATTCGAAGGCGTAATGCGGTATTCCGCTGTAAACACCGCCACAGAGCTGCCCTGTCCAGCACCTGCACCAGGCACAACACCAGAAGGAATAAAGTGGATGTATCTTCCACGCATAAGATGCCACGACTGTCCAGGCAAGCTCTACACGCCCGGTCCAGAAACCACAGTCGGGAACTTCGAGGTCCACTTGAAAAATCGTCAACATCGAGAGAGGGTGGATGGGAGGATAGCAGCAGACAGGAATGCATCTACGGGTGCTTCCAGTTCTTGAGCAAGTTGGACTTTAGAACAGGTGTAATATATCAAAGAGTAAGGAACGGACAACATGGAGTTCTGGGAGTAAGATAGGACGGGGAGTTGCAGTTCCAATATGACAGGTCACGAATCGCGAATTGCGGTTGGATAAGCTGAACCAATACTAAACTTTTACACGTGGGAGCCGCGGCCGATCCTCTCCCCTTCTTTCTGCCTATTCTATCTATCACCCAGTGGTCACCAAATGCTTATCTTTTTACGTTCTGCATGCTGCCAACGCACATCATTTCTACAATGTCTACTAGCTATCATCATCCCCACAGATCATGAACCTCACATCCCAACCAACAAAATTTCTTCACCATCCATACAACAGATCCACGCCACGGCCAGCAAGTCGCAGCCTCCCACTACCCCTCTTATACAACATAACCAAGATAACCCTTGGTAGAAGATTCAAGACGGGAATTCCGAAGCGGTCGCGCGCCAAGAATGGGGTACCTACACAAATTGCCGGTTGGTCTTTGCCTCCTTCCCCTCCAGGACCTCCACATCAAGATAACAGCTGCAAGGAGAGCTCCACCACCGTAGTTGGATCATACTGTACCCCTCTCGATGCTACTCAGGGCCGCCGCTGTACTTCAAGCGAGCCAGCCAGCCAGCCAGCCATCGAGCATGGGTCTTTTCTTGCCTGACTGTCTGCCCTCCTTGGAAGGCTGCCTCGCCTCCACTTCTGCTGTACAGACGAAGGTATGAATAGTAACGGCCTGGCAGGCTGGCGCGCGGGCAACGTACATGTCGTTTATCATCTATCAGCTTGGCAACGGCTGTGTTGCGGGCATATCCTCGCTATCTTCGGGATTGGGATTGGGATTGTCTATGGATAACAATGGTGGAGACGAGGATGGAGAGATCGAGAGATGTGAATGTATATAGCATAGCTGATCTTTCCGCAAGAATGGAGAGCCCGTTTTGTTCTGGTTGTGCGTTTCTGCATTCGGATCTGGAGATTTGAATCTTGTCATTGGGTTTGATTGTGTTTAAGCGAGTACAATGAATTCAACAGAAAACCATGGTGTGACGCCAATAAGTCAATCGGAACAGCTCTCGATCGACGAGAAATACCCGATTGATGAGAAGTGTGAGAAGAGTTCCTCCTCGGATGAGCATGTCGATGTCGTTGTCGTGGAGGAGGGTGGTGATGATATTAAAGAGTCTGGTATATTGCACATCCACCACCATCTCTCTCTCATCCTGCCATATCGATACCCAGTCTTGTTGCGGTACGGACGATATATTGATCTCCATGCTGACATATCGCCAAGATTATACACCAGAAGAATACAAGAAGCTCCTCAAGAAAATAGATAGATATCTCCTACCGCTCATGTATGTCAATCCCCATTTGTGTCACTCAGGTTCTAATGCTACGTTCTAGGTGGGTATGCTACGGTATCCAGCAAGCGGATAAGACATCGTTGGGGACTCAGGCGGTATGTCTAGAGACAATAATTCTCACTATCAAATAAGAAACTAATATGATTTATCCAGCTTTTCGGGATTCGGGAAGACACGAATCTTGTGGGCCAGCAATATCAGTGGTTGACTACTATGTAAGTTACCCCTTGCTTTTGAATAGTATGATATAAAAGAAGTGGACACAAGGAAATTGGACATTAACAGTTGACTCTTCTGCAAAGTTTCTACATCGCCTATCTCTCCGGCGAACTCCCCTCCAACTTCCTCCTCCAACGATGGGCCCTCGGTCGAACACTAAGTATTTACATGCTCTGCTGGGGTACGTCTCATCTGATCCCACTGCCCACTCCATAAAACCTAAGAAACCGGGCGAAGCAACTAACCTGCCCCTCCCTCCACAGGAATCTGCGTAATCTGCATCTCCGCCGCCCAAAACTGGGCCCATCTAATGATCCTCCGCACCCTCCAAGGCTTCTTCGAGTGCACCATCTCACCGGGCTTCATCCTCGTAATCGGGACCTGGTACCGCACAGTGGAGCACTCTTCCCGCTCTCTATTCTTCCAGTCTGCTAATGCAGGGTTTGGCGTGATCGCCGATCTGGTTATGTATGGGATTGGGACGCATGCAGAGAGGTATGGGGGCATTGCGGCGTGGAGGTGTATTTCTTTGTTTTTGGGGGCGGCGACGATTGTTGCGGCTTTGGTGTGTTTTGTGTTGTTGGGGAGTCCGAAGGAGGTGAGGTGGATGAGTAAGGGGGAGAAGAGGATGGCGTAGGTTGCCTTTGCTCTGAGTGTTATGGATGCGAGACTGATGAGTGGATATTTAGTGCTGCGAGAATCATCAGTAACAAGGCTGGTCGAGATGTCACTGGCACAAAGTGGAATTGGGATCAGGTTGTGGAGGCGCTCAAGGACCCTGTGCTGTATTTCTCGACGCTCAATGCTTTCTTGAGCTCTGTTCCAAACGGGTATGTCGTTTCTCTCGGTCAAGCTCATACATCAGCTAACCAGAATTTATAGTGGCATCACCACCTTTGGTTCCTTGATGTACAAATCATTCGGCTTCACACAACTCCAAGTCCTCCTCGTTGGAATCCCACGCTCAGGTATGTCTATCCCCTCATCACTACTCTATCTCTTCTCAACTCCGTAGACTAACAACCAACAGTCATGTCTCTAATAATCTTCCTCATCGTCGGAATCTACACCCGCAAAGTCCCCAACAGACGCATGTACATCATGGCTCTCTCCACCCTCCCCCCCTTCATCGGGCTCCTCTCGCTCTCCCTCCTCCCCTCCTCCCCTTCCCTCAAATGGACAAAATGGGGCCTCTACTTCATGACCGTGCCCACAGTGCTCTCTCTCTTCCTAGCCTGGACACTCATCCCCTCCAATATCTCAGGCCGCACCAAAAAGACGATCATCTCCTCAAGTACATTCCTAGGATACTGTGTGGGTAACATGTGCGGTAGTCAGATCTTCAGGACGGAGGATGCCCCGCAGTATATCCCTGGTACGATTGGAGCGAGTATATGTTTGGGGATGGAGTTTGTGTGTATTTGTGCGTGGAGGGGTTGGTATATGTGGCAGAATGGGAAGCGGGAGAGGATGGCGAGGCAGAGTGGAGTGAGTGCCGAGGAGATGGAGAGGTTGGGGAGGGAGATGGGAGAGAGGGATGTGACAGATATGAAGAATCCGTATTTTAGTTATTCGTTGTGATGGTGGGTGTTGTGCCTGAGGGATGAGGTGGGGTATCGGATTCCTGGCTAGAAACATATGGTCGGTAAGAGTCCATCGAAGAGAGGCACTGAAAATTCTAGTAGACAAACGCCTCATATAAATTTTGCAAAGTAGAAAACGTCGCCAAGTCGATGGTTTCTCTCACAGAAACGGGCCTGTTACATTGAGCTTAGGGAGTGGCAGCTCAGTATGCTGCCATCAGCACGCCAGTTCCTTTCGAAACAAACTTTGATCTTTCTCCTTTCCCTCAGTCCTTCACTACAATATCTCCACATAATAAGTTCAATTCCATTCTCAGCTTCTAAATTAAATCACACGCAGTAAGTGGATATTTCGTTAAGTGTTAACACATGAACCTTCAAGTCCGAGATTTTCTACGAGCAAAGGCGAAAAGGAGACTCTAGAAACATAATAGTATGCGAAGCTCCCCTCTTCATCTATGCCGCCATTCCCATTGGCTTCCGTCATAATACAGTACCTTCAATTCGACGGACTGAGTTGGCGCCATCACTAAAATCGTTTCTGCATCCATTGGCAGGTGCGGAGACGCAGATCCTTGGGACCGATGGGATGACGATCTCCTAGTTCGTAGTCTAGCACTAAGGGTCTGGTCTCCTACCCCATCTTATCAGATTTCCAGACGATAATCAAATTTATTTTTCTTCATATCTCTTGCCGCACTCATTTCACACAATTCGATGAGTTTAGACCGAGTTTAAACACTTGGAGGTGGCAAGATGGATTCCACTTCAGGCGCGCAGAAGGATGTCCAGCTGGACACTCTCAATCACAGACCTGAAGGACGACATTCTTTACACAGTGGAAGCAGTACTGCTCATGGTGGGAATGGAGAGCTCAATCAGAAAGATGTCGAGAATTTTGATGCGGAATCCATGCCTAGCCCTGGAGCCAGTACACCAGATGAAGATGCTCAGAATGGTGTGAAGAATATGGAGGCTGTGGCCATGACATGGAAGAAATGGGGCTTGATATTTGCTTATACCAGGTAATTGTACTTTATGAGGAAAAATTCATGGAACTCACTTCTCCTAGTATCTTTCTCATGGCATTCTCGACTTCTCTAGAAGGGCAAGTCGTTCAGTCAGTATCGGTATTTGCGACGAGTTCTTTCCAAACGCATTCTTTGATTTCTACTGTCTATGTCGTGCAAGGAGTTGTCAATGGTAAGACTCGAATTCCTATTCCAGATTCTGCAATTACTGACGAAAACTAGCTGTGATAAAAACGCCCATGGCGAAAGTAGCAGACGTATTCGGTCGTCTCGAAGCTTTCTCCTTCAGCATCCTCCTCTACGTACTCGGCTACATCCAAATGGCCGTCTCCAAAAACGTCGAGACTTTCGCAGCAGCTCAGATCTTCTACTCAGCTGGCAGCACTGGTCTGCAGATTCTTCAGCAGATTTTCATTGCCGATACGAGCGATCTCTTGAACAGAGCCTTGTGGTCTAGTTTACCGGACATTCCATTCTTGATCACGGTCTGGATAGGATCGCTGATCGGAAATGATATTTTGGATACGACTACCTGGAGATGGGGATATGGAATCTGGTGTATTATCTTGCCGGTCATGTTTATGCCACTCGCTTTGTCTTTGTTTCTGAACAATCGGAAAGCGAGGAAGCTTGGTTTAACCACCGAGACTCAATTCAATGGTATGAGCCCGTGGCAAGTTGTCAAGCATCTCTGGTTCGAGCTTGATCTGGGCGGAATTCTCCTTCTGAGCGCAGCATTCGCACTTATCCTGATCTCACTCACTATTGCATCACGACAATCATCTGGATGGGCATCTGGAAAGATCATCGCTATGCTCGTGATCGGAATAACTTGCTTCGTTGTCTTTCCCTTCTGGGAGAATATCAAGAAACTCGCTCCGCACCCATTGATTCCAATGCACCTACTCAGATCCCGCACTTTCAGTGCAGGGTGTGGTGTTGGTTTCTTCTACTTCAGTAAGTTTTCACTTGCTCCTACAGTATTCATTTCTGACATTATCTAGTGTCGTTCTACCTCTCCGTCCAGCCATACTTCTACTCCTACCTCATCGTCGTGCAAGGCAAATCCATCACATCCGCCGGCCGAATTGTACAGACCTTCTCCTTCTCCTCAACCGTCTCTTCGATCATCATTTCCTTCTTCATCAAGTACACAAAATACTACAAGCCATACGTCGTCTTCGGAACATGCATCTACATCATGGGAATCGGCCTCATGATCAGATATCGCACCATGGGCGTCTCGACCGGGGCACTCGTCGGCACACAAATCGCAGTGGGCATTGGCGGTGGTATGATTAACGTCCCAGCACAACTAGGAGTCCAAGCCAGCACCGATCATCAGCACGTCGCAGTCGCTACAGCCGTGTTCCTTACCTGTGTAGAACTCGGTGGTGCAGTCGGCTCAGCTATTTCTGGTGCGATTTGGAGTAAGAACATCCCCGTGAAATTGAATCAGTATCTCCCAGATGCGACGAAGAGCAATGCCACGGCCATCTATAACAATATCAATAATGCTGTTGTTTATCCAATGGGCTCGCCCGAGCGCGAGGCGATTAATAGAGCGTATCAGGAGACGATGCATACATTGCTTATTATTGCGATTTGTGTCACTGTGCCGATTTTTCTGCTGAGCTTGTTGATGAGGAATTATAATCTTGATAAGATGGAACAGAGTGTTAAGGGACGAGTTATTGGTGGGACAGTTAAGGAGGGGCAGGGGTTCGAGAGTGTTAGAAAGGAGGGGAGTGGTGGTAGAATGGGTTTGGGAAAGTGGTTGCAATTGCCAGGGATGAAGAAGCGGCCTGCTAAGCATGAAGAACCTGATGTTGTGTCGTAACTACCAAAGTTAGCATAGAGCTTTTAGGTACACTGAATGATATATTATTTCCTGTGAATCCAAGTCAAATTTGAGAAGAGTCTTGGTTAAAGTGACACAGCGAGGCTGCGAGGGTGCTAAATGAGGGCGATTGCGATATTGTCCAAATTCATATCAACGAGCTGCGTATCTGACTGTATCTGTAGAAAGTACTGATTCCACGAAGCTCGTCGGATACCACGAACAGAAAAAGGCCAAGGTCGAGATCTGTATGTTTATCAGAAACCTCGCTTAATTCTTTGGGCAGTGGGAACTCTTCTGGTGGTGAAGGCGTGTCTACCTCTGTAAGCTCCACATCTGCTCTGTGAAATCAAGCATATGTATGTTTTTGATATCATGTATGCGTGTGTTTCTTTCAGTATATCATACTAAACTTTGAAGTCGCGGCTCCCAGCAGTACAATATGTCCTTCGTATATTTATAGCGGGGTATCAGAATCTTACCATTGAGTGGCTTTGGCTCTCCCTCAAACTTCGAATGGATTACAATTATTCAATTATAAACAAACAGAAATACACTTATTCTCTCATTCGTAGCAGTTTAGGAAGTGTTGATGGCTATGTGAGCTAGCGAAAAAGGGTATATCTCAACATTTGCATCTCCTCCCTACACAAGCAAAATCGCCATTGCAATCGCAACGACAGCAAGTAACGAAGTCCTCCCCTTCAACGACGAAGCATCTCCCATCTTAGCCCACTCCTCACACCCGCCATGATTCGCATCATACCCCGCAGACGGCCCAATCGCAAAACTCTTCACCGGCTGCTTCAACTCCTGACACTGTCCCCCATCCTTCGTCTGACAGCTCGTCTCAAACCACGGGTAATTCTTCTCAGGCATAAACGCATCCCCGCCGACTTGTTCACAATCCTCAAACGCATACGTATAGAAGACCCATCTTCCCGACTCTCCAGGTTTAATCTCCCCCGTTTGGTTGACTTGCTCGTACCAGACGTTCGTGTAATTCGTAGTGGGGTTGTAGTCCTCACGATTATGTAAGGTGTAGTTGACGAGTTGGTCTACTGAATCGGTGGGACCGCGCCAAAGGCCTTGGGACCCGCTGTCTGAGGTACGGGTGAAGATGTCGCTGAGGTTGAAGCAGACGTAGCCGTTTGGGATGGAGTAGGTGGTTAAGGATATGGCCTCGTTGATGGGACTTTGGGAACAAGTCCTGCCTTCGACGGAGGGGAAGAATGCTACTGTGAGGTTTCTGTTGGGAGGTGGTTATTAGCCACGATTTGGGCTCTTGAGAGGGTCGTTGGTGACTCTCACTCTTGCGCAGAAGCGTGGAGCACGTAAGTAAGTGTCAGAAGTATGAATTGTGTCGCGAACATGACTCCTGACTGATAATTGAGTCAAATTATTATGTGCTGTGGTCTTGGACTAAATCAGTGCGATTGTGATGAACCCTTGAGACGGGATGAGAAGCGCTATGTGCACTGCGACTTGGAGACGAGACGTATTCAATTTGCAGACAGAAACTTTTGACTGAGTGAAAATGAAAAATAGGCGACGACCCGAAATTGATGTACTCTTGAGCTGGGCTCGTCGCTGATTCTTATCTCGCCTCGAGCAGCAACACAGTCGTCAATGTCACATAGTGAAGGCCAGGAGTAGCATAACATTGACATGGCACAATCGACGATAATAGGGCATCTCGTATGCTGTGATGTCAGCCCAGGATTTTCCTGAATCCTACATACTCGATTGAGCAATGATTGACTTTAATGGTTTAGCCGTCCAATCAGAGGCGCGCATTCGTTCCCAGCAGTCCCTACTTGGAAATAAACAGATATCCCTACCTATTCTTTAAAGTCTTCTGTCCAGTACAAAACATGGGAAAGCTTACGCCGAGCCGCTAGACTCTACAAGCTTGACCGAAAGGCTTGCTTTTTCTGATGGGCACTAGACGATTCGAAGTCTAGAATATAGTTTTTATCCAAGCGAGGTTTCGTCAGAGATAGGGAAAGCTGAGAGGCACAGACAACCCTATCGCAGGCCTGTTCTACGGGGGCTGAAGAGGTTACTATTGTGATACTTGTATTATATCTTCGAGAAATTTGGGAAGTCAATCAGGATGCATCACATCGCTTGTCTTCGGCGGTATGCAGCACGACTGCTCCAAGAACCGAAAGTCACATGCTGCAAAGGGAATAAGATACTAGGTAGGTTTGGACAAAAATCCACAACTTCCAGGAGAAACAAAACGAAAGGAGAACCAGAGAACCATGAGTAACGCTTCTAGAGGAGGATTTCTCCCATGTAAACAATAACCGGAGGTTTAGCGAGGGTCCAGCAAAGTGAACCCCCGAGACCCTCCAACCCAAATGTTAGTGGGTGGATCGAGAATCAGTGGCGCAGCACTCCACCAATGCGTCCGTCCACTATTCACCACTAAACCTACTCGAGTACCACACCATCTCCCAAGGTTTTCGCTTGCCGGGCACACTGAATTAATCCAAAGTCCAAAAAATTGCAAAAAATGTGATGTCCCTCAGGCGCGAGTCGAACCTGTACAACTGTTAACAGCTGTCTGAGAGAAATTTGTGTAGCCGAAGCTATTGAGGAGTGAGGCCACTTACGCGCGACATTCCGGTGAGACTGAACAATTACAGCCGGACGCCATAAACCAACTAGACGACCGAGGGTGAACCAACTGAGCATGTCAGAGGCTGATTTGTTGCAGAAGTTGTTATTTCACTACATGTAGTCAGATAAAAAATTGGAATTGAGTTATGCCCCTTAAAATTGGTTGGCTGACTTAGTGTGTGACAGCCCACTTGTCATTACATAACCGAAAGCATCACTTCTCAATATCACGACAAAACCACCTAGGTATAACTCAAGCTGTACTCAGACACAATAGTTCTTATTACAGCTGGTACACCGTCGATCGTCTAGTCTATGGCGTCCGGCTGTATTTGTTCTATCTGACCGGAATGTCGTGACTCTCGCATGGGAACTCCCGTTGGCCCCGCGCTTGTCTTTCAAGTTTTTCCTAGCTTTCAGGCTTATTCATCATGTCCAAAACTTTCAAACTTCACGATAAGTCTATCAACTTTCATCACTTCAATGAAGATGTTTTGTATTCGTCGATTCTCTGGATATTAATTTGTTAGAGAGCGGCAAAGTCGTTCTCCTTCTTTATGATAGAAATCGCACTTGATCTTCATGCTCGAGACGCTGTCTGGCTCTTAGTAGAGTCAGACATCACTGATTGAGCAAAAACCGAACACTGATTCTGTTGTGATCGCCATTCCATGTTCAGTTGTGTTTCACTTTCCTTTTTCTTTCTCTGGAATAAGCGAGCAATAGGGTAGGACTTGATCTCGTTGCAATGGTTGACTTGCACAGCAACATGTGTCTTTCTATGCTCATCGGCGGTCCGAGTTCATAAAACTCGTATCGAGTAGAGGTACAAGAAGGCCGTGACAGGTGTGGCAGTTGCGGGGTTCCTCATTTTAAAAGTGTTTGGTACCACTCTACTCAAGTTCAGCAAAAAGCAAGTTCTCATCCTCCCCTTTCTTCTATACGATTTCTACTTCTTTGTTCACTGCTCTTATCAATGGTAAAGGTTCTGCTGTTGTGTTAGCATTCAGTCAAAGCCCAAGTTGGCTTAGAAACAGTCGGCTCGAATCTTGATACCAAAATGAGATTTTCATGGAATTAATTAGAGTCATACTAGAGGAATGTAGCTGCTGCGGTCTTCTTCAAAGCTCGCTTCTCTTGTCTCTGTGTACAAAATTGCAGATCTTTGTTGTTATTAGCGATGTCGTATGTTGTGAAACTGATGGAATGGGGCTATATTGCTCTTGAGCTACCTTTCAAGTGCCACAGTGCCTCAGTGTATGGCGCTGTGTGATGGGAATGGAATGCTGTGGTTTCAACAAAATAGACGGAAATGGTTGTATGACAACGAAGGGGGCACCAAACGAAACTTTGCGACACCGGGTGGTGGATTCAGGTCTGCGGGAAGTGGTATGAAATCTCTATATAATCTGGCAATTCTCTACAAAGTTCGGTTCTCAACATTACAGAACTTTGCGAGTCGTCTCTATACTATACAGCGTGCAATTTCCCTGGCCTCTATTGCCTTCATTTGTATCTGCATACAATTGCTGCACCCAAGAACAACAAACTTCCTCCCACATCGTTCCTCATCAACATGAGGTTCGGAATCATCTCTACTCTTTTCCCCTGCCTAGCACTCGCGGGCAAGGGCACACCTCCCCCAGGAGTGACCGCCAACAATCTGACCGAAGGCTCACTCGGAGTCATGTCAGCTCCATCCTTCGTGCTTTTCGCCTCTCCTGATGGAACAGCACCACCAATTGGCCAGTCAGACAAGGAGGAGCTCGAAAACGCAGTGAAGAGTAGCTACCTGGACAAATTCCCAAGCACGCTCGATCCAGTCTGGTTCTCGACTGGCATCAGCGCAACCAGAAAGCGGACATCTGATGGCTACAATGAATATGACGTTCAAATTCCGAATCTTGGGACATGCCATCCTCGACTTTCCAGCGTGGTTCCCATTGCTGAGGGCATTTTCTGCAGCTCAACTTCGACCGGGTGTAGCTACGCACGACAGGTCACGCTCTCTCAGACGTACTCCACGACGGCTGGCTTGAAAGTCGGCGCTTCCGTGACGGTTGGGGGATCGTGGATAGTCAGTGTGGAGATAAGTATTACTACCGAAGCATCGTGGGAAGAGACTTGGTCGTCTGGATCGTCTGAGTCAAACACCTACACGTTTAACCTCGCCCCTGGCGGAAGTTGTATACCGAGCATGATCCATGTGGAGCTAGAATGTGACGTTGCCCAAGGGACGTATTGGCATGATACCACAATGCCTTCGCTAGCGGAAGCAATCATCACGGGTCTCCTACTCGAATTCGATAAAAACAGACATGAATCAGCGGCGCCCTACGGTAGGGAAGGTGTAGGGTCCGGCTTGCAGTACTGTCGCTATCAACCTATGGATATCAAGGTCTTGGAAGCTCCAGCGTATAGGCCGGAGCTCTGGAAGTCACTGATCAATGACGCGGACACCAGTCGTGGGATGGCTTACATTGGCAATCCCGCAGATCTGAATTCTTTCCGCGTGCCGGACCCGAACCATCCAAGCCTGAATAAAAACTTCGACGAAGATGAATTGATTTTTTCGCGGCCAGGGGGAATAGCTGATGTTGCAACACAACAGCCCCGGTTCTTGCGCTGCAAGCCTGCTCGACCCAAGTCAAAGAGTGGGAAAATGCTCGTTCCGATGAAAGGACAAGGTGGAATTGTTCAGGGGTACATCGGCTGTATCTAATATGTGGAAGATAGCAGAAGTGTTGGAACATGCCAGAAAGTATAGGACGATGGAGGTCATGTTCGGATTGAAATTCCTTTATTTTTCCTAACATCCATCTCCCAGTCGGTGAATATATGATAACTTGTTGGAGTGTATCACCAATATCATCGGCTTATGAGCGGCAAGCTGTTGATGTCGACGCCAAGTCGCCAGTATAAACTTGGTTGAACTCTTTCATTCTCAAGCTATTTGAAGGCATTTTTTCTACGGGAAAGTTCCTCCGATGGGAGCCTTATCACGATTCTCTATTCCATAACCACAACTCAGCAAAGTCCCCTTCCTATACGGACATCACAACTCATCTTTTCCCTTCCCCTTCCCCTCAACCTTCTCCTTCACCACCTCCCCAGTACCCCATACCCCAGTCCCATCCTTAATCCGCACCTCACTCTCCTTCCCCATATCCACCAATCCTCTCTTAACAATACTCGTCAAAATCTCATAGGCGACCTGCGCGCCGGCTAACGCAGTCTGTTCACCAACCCCATCATAAGCAGGCGCAACCTCTACAATATCCGCACCAACAACATTCAGCCCTTCGATCCCCCTCAAAATCTTAATCAGTTCGCGACTGGTCCATCCACCTGCCTCGGGTGTCCCAGTACCTGGTGCGAGTCCTGGATCCAGAACGTCGATATCGACGGAGAGGTAAACGGGAGTGGTTGTGCCAATGCGGTTTAAGATGGAGGAGATTACGCCTTTGGTTCCGAGGTCGTCAATGTCATCGGATGAGATGCGTAGGAAGCCTTGGTTAGTGTCGTCTTCGAAGTCGGCCCAGTCGTCGCCTGATAGACGGGTTCGGAGACCGGCGTGGACGGAAGAGCCGTTTAGGATGAGGCCTTCGTTGGAAGCAATCCAGAACATGCTGCCGTGGTTGAACTGTGCTTGATCACTTGGCCACGGGGAAGGGTATTTGGCTGGGTGCCAAGTGTCGAGATGGGCGTCGAAGTGAAGGACTGCGACGGGTCCACCATGGACTTTGTTTAGGCCTCGTAGAGCAGCGAGAGCGAGGGAGTGGTCGCCGCCGAGGGAGATGAGCTTGGGGTATTTGAGGGTTGAGGAGAGGGGTGTGCGGTGTCCGAGTTCGAGATAAGCGGATGTCATTTGTGTGAGGGCCATGGCGTTATCGAGAGGAGTAACGGGGATGTCTCCGCAGTCGAGAATGGTTGCCCATGATGAGTAGGGATTTATTGCTGCGCGGGCATTGAAGCCACGGAAGGATGTTTGACGAGATGAAGCTGCTCGGATAGCTCGAGGGCCGAATCGAGCGCCTGTAATTGTCAGAGAAACCAAGTAAGATAACTCTTGATAAGGATATAGGATATACCTGGTCTGTAGCTAACAGCAGTGTCGAAGGGAACTCCTATAATACCGATATCGAACTGGGTTTGTGGTTTGGTGAGACACTTGACATGTTCTAGATGTGCAAAAGAGTTGACGCCATTGAAACCCCACTGTCGATCTGATTAGTACCCGATCCCCGATCTATAGCATGGAAGTACTATAACAAGATCAAAAAGAGGACGAATATGGCATCGTAAAAAGAGAAGTGATCATTTCAGCTACTCATTTGATGAAGTTCAGACTACTTCGTGCTCATAAGAGGGCACATTATGAGAAGATCGGAGGAAATATTGCTCAACAAGCAGCGGAGCAGAACAAAATGGCGAGTCTTGACATCTTTTTCATTCTCAGAGCGTAAGAATACGAGACCAAAACACCAAGCTCATTTTCAAGACAGTCATGAGAAGAGAGAGAAAACTCCAACATCGTCCTCAAAGCAGCAGAAAGACACCACCGCAGTCAACGTCCAAACAGAAGATCTTGTGGCATTGAAGGATCTGCATCCGATACTGATCGAGCCGAACCAAGCATATACAGAAAGACGCTCTCTCAAACCTCAAAGACTCTCGCCCAGAAGACAACGATCAAGCTTCATAAGGAGAATAACATAAAAAAAAAAAAGGTCACCCAACCCAATCTCTCACCATTCACCCCCCAATGGAAAAAACACGCAACAGCAAAGCCAACTCAAAACTTTGCGGGCTTGCCTGAAAATCCCTCCCGTCAACTTTGGAAGACTTTCTCTCTCACCACCCACCAACCCACCCCACCTTTAACATAAATGCCAGAAACACAAGCTCTGCAACACCCAAAAAAAAATGTCACAAATATCAAAACTCGTAACACAAATATAGAAATCAACTAACCTCAAACCCCCACTTCCTCTGCAACTCCTCCGCCGAATCCCTCACATATTCCCTCTCATGCAGCGGGATATCCTCTCCTTCTTCGCCGTGGGCATGGTGATGTTCATGGCCACCCACCAAACTAGCCACTGCCAATAAAGAAGGCAGGAGGAGGAATGGCGTGATCTTCATGATTTTATGGACAATATACAAAATTGATTATCAAGAAGAAAGAAATATACTGATACTACAGCAAGATTGAGCTGTTGGTAAAAGGTAAGTGAGTTAAGCACTAAGTGAGAAAGCCTGTTGAAGATGTTTGAAGCAAGCGATTACGTTATCTGACTTTTTTATTTCAAAGGTGGTGCTTGGCTGGGCTAGGGTGGGCTAGGACGGGCTGGCTGGCTGCTGGGCTGGCTTATCTACAGTACCTACAGTAAAAGCCTTAAAGTATTTCCTATCTACCCACCCTGCCACTCTCGAGCCGCCTACCTTACCTTATCCATCAACACTACCTTAGGTAACAACACCGCACATTCTTCCCTCCCACTCCTACTCCCACTCCCACTCTTGGAGCAAATCAATGGAAGTGGAAGGGCCGTGAAGCGAACGCCTATCCCGAAGCCGAAGCCGAAGCCGATCACGATTTCGATTTCGACTTCGATTCATGCTGTAGGTATGAATTCCGAGAACCGATGCATGTTTGGGTACCAAATCTTATATATATATATATATAGGTATTGTATGCGTACAGTAACTTCACCCCGGATTTACTTGCAAAAGTTAAGTACCTGATGGCAGTAGGTAGTAGTAAGTAAGTAAGTAATTAAGTAAGTAATGCATGCTCGCTCGGGTTCGAGTGCTGGCTAGCTGGCTGACTGGCTGGCTGGCTGGCTGGGTGCTCGTATTGACTTGATTGAGTTACGAGGAGTAAGTTACTGGTGAGGAAAATGAATGAATGAATGAATAGAAGGAATAGAAGGAATAGAAGGAATAGAAGGAATAGAAGGAATAGAAGGAATAGAAGGAATAGAAGGAATAGAAGGAATAGAATGAATGAATGAAACAATCAATCAACGAGAGTAAAGAAACGCGTCCAATTAATATATATATATATTTTCCGGATTACCAGATAGTCAGATAGTCAGATAACCAGATTGATATCTTGTATATGCTAAGTTACAAGGCTTCCTCCTCCTCCTCCTCCTCCTCCTCTTCCTCCTCCATGTACCCAAGATATATTTTTGTGGTTCAAAGCAGAAAAAGACAACACCATATTAACCTAATATAATATAATATAGTTAGTTAGTTTGTAAACACAGTACTTACCTTACGTTACCTTACCAACCAACGAATCTCTTAGGTTTGTTTTCAAGGTAAGAAAAGAAGGTGAGAAAGAAAGAGATCACTCACTCACTCATTAGGTACCCAATCAATCATACATACACATATACATACATACAAGTTAAGTAAGTAAGTGAATCAGTTAGTTAGTTAGTTAGTTAGTCTTTCCCCATTGCTGATTTGATTTGATTTGATTTGATTGATTTGATTGATTTGATTGATTTGATTGATTTGATTGATTTGATTGATTTGATTGATTTGATTGATTTGATTGATTGATTTGGTATTCTCCGTAGGTCCGTAGGTAGCGTCAAACCCACCTCATTTATAATCCAATCTTCTGGCAGCTTGCGGCGCTTGGTAGGACAGATCCCTCTTTCTCTCTCTCTCTCTCTCTCTCTCTCTCTCTCTCTCTCTCTCTCTCTCTCTCTCTCTCTCTCTCTCTCTCTCTCTCTCGAGACAATTAAACCATAACCGGGCAGAAAATCGAAATCAAAATCGAAAGCCAAAGGAAACCCCAAACTACACCATACCATACCATACCATACCATATCATATCATACTATACCAAGAACATGTATATCAAGCGCCTCCCTCTTTACGATACGATACGATACGATACGGAAGGAGCCAAGAATCCCGAAGTGGCTGAGAAGGAGAAGGGGGAGATCAAATCCGAGATGTAGTAGTAGGTAAAGTAGACCCGAAAACCCCAGGGAACGGAATATTTGACGAAGACGATATGGTTTGGTATGCAAAGGCCACCACCAAAAAAAGAAAAAAAGAAAAAAAAAAAAATTGAAGCGGAGGAACCAAGAATGTGAAGAAGTCCTATTCTGCTCTGCACCTGTGTGAGAATCTGCATACCGTAGAGTACCATTCTATACCATACCACACCAAATCACACCATACCACACCATACCAAAGCACATCAGCCCTATTTGCTTGCTTGCCCTGGCCTATCTGCTGTGTCTTCTGATGCCTTCTCCACCACTCCACTCCCAATGCAAATGTAACAGACAAGGCAGGGGACACCAAAAAAGAAGAAGAAGAAGACAACAGAAAAGGACGGAGAGAGAAAAGAATAAAAAAAGAGTAAGTTCAAAATATGCCCCCAGACTCCCTGCTTTCTTTCTCTCTTTATTTAAAAAAAATCGAACATTGCTTTCCTGCGTTCCCATTCCCACTCCCACTCCTCCATCCACGCTCACACTTTCCTCAGCACTTCTGGTGCCTGACAGCAGGATTGTACCACCATCTGCCCCCCTTTCGCCAGTCTGCATTTACCCCCCCCGACTGATTGCACGCACACGTTCTACGCCCCCTCCCCCGCCCCCGCCCCGGAATGTTGAAGGATTCGGAAGAAAAAGAAGATTTGGTTTATGAAGTGGACTGGGATTTCGATGGATTCGACGGACGGATGGATTTGAGTGTTGACAGAACGGTGGTGGAATTTCTAATTGGTGTGGGGAAGAAGGAATCTCGTTCATCGGGGGGAGTTGCTTTGAACTGGACGGAACCGCATTACAAGATTAAGCAAGATCGATGCTTCTTCTTTGGCGCTGGGGGCTCGAGAGCTGCAACGATTGCCTATGCCAAGTCAGTATGTCTGTGCCGAATTCCAATTCTTAAATGTATGGCATACCTCATCAAAGACATCCTTGAGCTTGTACTGCGTCAGGGCACTACATTCCACATATTTCACGGCACCCAATTCCTTCGCCATTTTCTCACCATCCTCCTTCTTGACCGGACTCATCTTTTGCTTCCCCAGCTTTTCCCTCACACTCGGGTCATCTCTTAAATCGGTCTGGGTACCAACAATCAGGCACGGAACTCCGGGACAGTGGTGATGGACCTCTGGGAACCATTTCTCCCGTACGTTCTCGAAGGATGCGGGTGAGGTGACGGAGAAGCAAACGAGGAAGACGTCGGTTTGAGGATATGATAGCGGACGTAGTCGATCGTAATCTTCTTGTCCAGCCGTATCGAAGAGTCCTAGGGTATATGGCTCATCGCCAATCCTATATATGTATTAGAATTGCATGTGTTGGTATTGGATGGAGGAATGCTGGCAGATTGCGGATGTTGTAAGAACCAACTCACATTACAGTGACGGCATAATTATCGAAGACTGTGGGAACATATTCGGAAGGAAATTTGTTTGTGGTGTAGCTGATGAGAAGACAAGTCTTGCCCACAGCACCATCACCGACGACCACACATCTGCAGATTTGCCATTAGCTTGTATTCATAGCATCCCGATGTATCCATATGATTGTGAAGGCATCCTGCGCACGTTCGAGGAGTCGCAGATGGTGGGAGGTACACACTTTATTGTTGCGACGACCATTGTTCCGTTGTCACCCTTCCTTCGTTCGATCACCAAGCTGAGACGACGCTGCAATGCACTACCTGCGCAAACCAACTATTTCCTACTACGCTCTCGGGAATATCTGCTCACTGACTGCGCACGGAGAGGTCGACTCGGGGGTCGGTGGGAGATCGTTCGGGAGATGGGCGTCGTTGGATGTTACAACGGACGAGACGAAGATGGCTATGGCTATCCAGGCCGATAAGTAGCAGAGCTGGCCCTTTTCGGGTTGGCCTGTTCTGGACAGGATGCGGATTGGACTGGACTGGATTGCTGGGAGTGCGGCTAAAATAGCAGCGAGTGAGCACAGCAGGAAGCAGCAGACCGGATTGGGATTTCAGCGACCGTATTCAGCGAGCGGTGGACGACAGGCAAGAACGGAATATCGAGTATAGGCAGGCGAGGCAGGTCAGGAGGTGAGGTGAGGTTGGAGATCGAGATGTCGTTGCGGCACTGTTTGTTACAGTACAGTACAGTAGGGAACGGCAGGTTGGTTGTTGATTTGATTTGATTTGATTGTCGCAAGGATTGGATAGGAGGCGGCCTGGGCAACGGACTGTTGATTCCTGGGACCGAGTGGGTTGACGACGTAGAGAAGTGGATCTGGGATCCTGGATCAGACAGTAAATGATTCAGGAGGACGAACGAGGCAATAATAATCGGCGCAGTGATGCAGCGAGATAGTGCGTGCAGTATTCGTAATTGGGGGAGCCAGGCGGCAGGCACTGAAATAGGGCAGGGCAGGCCCAGCTGGGGATTGAGATGAGGATGAGACGGAACGGGTGGTGGTTGAACTGTTGTTGGCTTGCAGGAGCCGTGCAGACGTGCAGACGTCCAGACGTGCAAAGCGGTGCAGCTGCAGATTGATACAGTTTATTCGTTACCTTAGGATGCAGACTGAAGTTCAGGGCAACTCGTGTGCATCCGGGCTGGGTTGAGTTATGGATTGGGAAACAAAGCACTGGACTGGACCAGAGGGGATTCCAGTCAGGATGCACGATCAAGGGCCCGCACCGCAGCAGAAACAGAGGAAGTCGTGAAACGAACGCCGACTGAGGCCTGCCTGCCTGCTTGGGATAAGCAATAAAATGGCAGTTTTGGATCCAGGACCAATCGACCGTGAAGAGAACAAAATCCAGCAAGCAAGAATTGTAAATTACAAGCAAGACAACTGGAAGATACTCCTCTGGCTCGGGTTCTAGCGGACTTGATACCTGGCGATTGATATCAAAGGCGGTGAGGGGAGTGAGTGACGATAACCCGGAGGAGGGAGGAGGAGCTGGAAGGGCAGAAGATAGAAAAGGTGGGGTTCCAGTTTATGGGAAGAAGAACATCGTTGGGAAACTTTATATCTCCCTCCCCCCCTCCGACTCTAAGTTACTGTCATTTCCGCTACAAGGACATTCCATTCCATCCGCATTGTCTCCCATTAACCCTCCTCAAATCCAATTCCACGCCGTCTTCAAGTCCATCCAATCCCTCCTCTCACCATCCCACACGGACATCCCAGCCCAGCACGAACGCGTCGCTCGCGTGGCCAACACGCCAATAAATTCATCACGAACCTAAGCTCTGTTGATTCTAGACTTTCTGCAAGCCCCCGTCACATCCCATCCCATCCTATGCCAAAAGGTCCTCCGCTCAGCTCAGCTTGCTCGGTCTAGACAAGCAAGCAATTCACACCTCAACAGCAACAATCATGGCGACAGACTCTCAAGCCCTCTCGGACGAGATCGACTCTCTGCTCGTCCGCTATCTGACCCTCCTGGACGAATACACCTCGTTGCGCGGCTCTCTTAGCTCGCTGCAGTCTTCGGTATGGCCCTCTTCCCCGCGGGAACTCTATTATTTCTCCTATGCGGCCTGGGTCTTCCGGCGCTCGATCCTCTTTTTGGCTCTTCGCCCTGTCTGGTTACTATGGGTGAACTTAACGTTGACTTTATTGTGTATTCTAGATTTACACGAATATCGCTCGAGCCAACTTCCAGGCAGAGAGAGGAGTGAGCTATGGGAGGGAGGCTTACGATCGGAGGGCTTTGACGCCTAATCGGGTGTGCAGAGTGACAGGAGATGTTGGAGATGGGACGGTGGTTTTTGAGTTTGGGAAGGTTGTGGAAGAGGAATCTGCAGCGACAGAGCAGACCTCTGTGAATAAGGTGGAAGGGCAAGAGGAGGAAGATGGCAGTGACAGTGATAAGACGGAAGATATTGCGGAAGGCATGGAGAAAGTCAGCATTGGAACCGACCTCTCTGCCAATACTTCCACAGACAAGAACAACGATCCCTCACCTCCCAAACCCACTCCCACCCCAAACGAAACCCCAGATCCAATCCGCATGTTCGGCTTCAGCATTCCCACCGCTCTCCGCACTGCCCAATCCTCTTCCATCCAACTCGTCGAATCTTCCATACCACGTCTGGCGAGCATAAGTTTACAGATGCAGGCGCTAGAGATACAGATTCGCAGAGCGAGGAAGTACAGGGCGAAGGCTCTGGCTGCAGAGGCAGGGAGTGTGAAGGGTAGGGCAAAAGAAGGAATTGCTGCATGATCATTCGACGATGCTGCAGCATGGATATTTGGCAGAGGAGGAAGAGGAGGAGGCTTGAAAGGCTGAGAAGCTGGACATGAATAGAGCCACGACGGTAGTTAATGATACTTCAATTTTCAGGACTTGAGCTTTATCAAAACTCCAGCAATTATACCAATACGCAGCCGAAACAATCAAGGCCCCCATCTAGACAATGGAGATGGAAGCCAGATTCTCAAGTCACCCCTTTTTGGTACCAGTCACTTCACCTGGCGGTAGTATTGGCGAGAACCACAGACAGGAAGGAAAGTCGAAAGAGACAACACATCTTCTTCGGCTTCTTCCTCGCTTTGTACATCCCACCACCACCAGCAGCGAACAGCACATCTCAATCACAAACATGCACAGCATACTCTATTCGGCACACGCCGAGAATCGCAAGACACAACACAATACATGCTGTGCGAGTAAGGCATATGCAGCTCAGGATTAGGATCAGCTGGGCCTTCATGTCGTACTTTCTTACCCTAGCCCGTCCCTACCTACATACCTCCAATTGTAGGGTACATGTACATGTACATACAGATAAGGATCACCCTGCAAACGCATGCAGTTAAAGACACAACATTAAATGCTATACTATGCTATGCATGCCATCGTATGCGTAGGTATAGTATGTAAGCAACCTTGTGTATCGTGTGCTATGCGAGGAAGTGGCATGGCGTGTTCGTTGCATGGTCTCCAGTTGGTTAATGAATTTGAAACTTGTTATAGAAGAAAATCTGCCGGGGTGTGAGTTAGTAAACATACTGTAATAAAGGAATCCCCTCTGTGCTGGAAAACTCCATAGTCTGTCTCGCTTGCTTCATTCATTCATTCTTTCACTCATTCATTCATTCATTATTGCCGGAGATCTTCACCACAATAACAAGCCGTAATATTATAAACATTCCGTGTGGCTTCACTGAACCGGCCCGAATAATCAAACAACGTAACAAACAATCTATTTATCTGACACTCACATCTCTAATCATTGTCGCCAAAATAGCCTTTTCAACTTTCTCCTTCTTGCATACTTAGATACTTTCCTCACTCTAGTAACAGTAACCCAACTAGCTAGGACACGAAAATCAAGAGCAGTGCACTGTAGTGGTTCGAGAGTTGTGTTTATTGATTTATTTATTTATTGATTTCGAGATTCGCAAGCAATGTCTGTTCTTAGTAGAAATGCCGTGTGTGCAGCCGAATACAAGCAATAATTCCACGCCGTGCCATATTGTTCCATTTCTGCCCTGGGTTGATCAAGCAGATATAAAAGCTAGAAGCCATAACGCCCAACTTTGCAGTCCTAATCCCTTTGTTTATTCAATACAGATAGAGAAGAAATTTTCGTTTCTGCGTACAAGCCTCTATTCGCAAACGCAACAAGCGAGGTCGGCTCCATCGAGGACAAGACAACAGAACTAGCGAACACAGCAATATAGCAAAGCACATATACGTACTCTCCACATCACTCTTCTCTTGCCCGCCCAGGGAAAGCGAGTCCACACAATCAATACTCGAAGTCATCATCAACCGCCGGGCCCTTGCTCTTCGTCACACTCTCCTGCTTCCTATACATCTCCACCACCTGTCTCGAACTCGTCGCCATATCCGGTTTCTTATCATCACGGATCTTGATGAACCGTGGGAATCTCAAACTGATTCCCTTATCCCCACCGCCCTCAAGACCCTCCTTGCAACCAGCCTTATACCTCGGACTGAGAGTAAGATCCGCCGTCTTGACCTCCCAGACGACCTTTGGCTCGAACCAGACATCAGGCTGGTGCGCGCTGCCGGCAGAGTGGGAGTAGAAGGGTTTGGGGCGGTCGATGATGAGAGGGGAGAGTTCGGCGTGGAGGGTTGAGAGGAGGGCTTCTGAGAAACCGGTGCCGATGTTGCAGATTGTTTCGTAGGTATCGGTGGTGGGATTGTGGCAGGCGAGGAGGAAGGCGCCAAAGACGGAGGTACGTTTGCCTTTGCCGTGGTAGGCGCCGAGGACGACGAGGTCGAGGGAGTCGCCTATGCCTGAGAGATAGTCTTTTTTGATCTGGCTTTGTGTTAGTTGTGTGGACTTCGTGGAAAGGTGAGAGGATATACCTTGAGCCAATTCCTACTTCGCTTGCTAGGCTCGTAACCACTCTCTGTCCCATCCAACATCTTCACCATAAGACCCTCACAAGAAGCTTTCACACTCTCATCTAGGAACAGTTGTATCTCGTCGATCTCCTGTCCATCCATACTAGTAGCAAATGTGAACTCTCCTTCTACAGGAATGAAAGATTCGTGGAGAAGCTCTCGACGCTCCCGAAGAGACTTTCCAACAACTGCATCTCCATTCAAGAACAAGAGATCAAAAGCGAAGACACAGACTTTGACTTTCACATCCTCTATCTTTACATCTTTCTTCTTTCGAGTCATGAGCTGTTGGAATGGGAGGACTTTCTTCTCGACCAGATCCCAGGCCACAGTCTCACAGTCGAGGACGAAGCTCTTTGTATCTGGCTTGACCCAGGTATTGAGTTTAGCAAGGATATCGGGGTACTTCTTGGAGAGATCTTCGGAGTTACGGGAGAAGATTGCAGCGAGTCCACCGCTTTCCGTCTTGGTAGCTGCCGAAGCAGGGCCGCGGTATTGTTGAGGCGAGTCCTTTGCTACGTAGTGGATTTGAGCTCTCTCACCATCATACTTGTATTCGCAAGTAAAGGTTTGGTTTTCGAATCGATCCAATACTTCTGTAATAGCCTTGGTTGGTTTTGCCAACATGGGCTTCAAAGGTACACCAGGTTGAAGTTTGCAGTTGTCGCGAAGATTAAAGATGCCATGTTCTAACATTGCTGGAATGATCACATCGTAGCTCGGTAGTTCACTACGCAAGTCAGTACAATTAAGTCGCTCACTGGAGAATACCATACCTGTGAACAGCCTTCAGTATCGATTCTCCCTTTGCCAGTTGCTCTGTACTTGGAACCTTTCCAGATCCCTTGGCCTCAATCTCGTGGCACACCATGGCCTGTGCCAGAGAAACAAGTACAGTTTTCTCGGCAAGACCAAGACGTAGTTTTCCCTCAAGAAACCGTACAATGAATTTTGCCTCACTTGCTCCACCCTTGTCCTTGTTGATGTCAACCTTGCCAGACATGTTTATATCGGCGGCAGCGAGCAATTTCTTGATCAGATCAACCTTCCGGCCTTGAGCTCCATCTCCAGATGTCGTGGCAACATCCATCAGTCCTTTGTGAACAGCTCGAATCGTCAAAGGTTTTGGCTTAAACATCACTGGTTGGTTGGCTCTACTCTTGACGGCAACCAAGCCGAGATCACCAATTTGCTTCTGATCTTCCTTGATTATTGCAAGACTACGACCGGTACTGCCACCAATGGCTTTCATAATCAAGGACTCGCCAATCCCAAGTTCAATTCCAGCATAATCTGCAGCCAGCTTGTTAATCATAAGAAGGACGGTTGGCAGCATATCTTCTGGAGTCAGCCTTAGAACTTGTCGAAGGAACAGAGAACAGTGTGCAGCTATGACCAGCCGCTTCGTAGTCATCTCGATCAGGGAGAATGTTGTGCAGAGAGCTGCATATGGTACTGGCTCTCCGGGCCTCCAGTCTGGAAATGGATCCTTCGCCTTTGCCTTGAGTGTTGTCTGAATCTTCTCACGGGTTTTGGCTGCAACCTCGGGCTTTTCGTCCTCCTCGTCCTCCTCCAGCTCTTCATCGACCTCGGAAACAGAAGAAGCGTTGGATGCTCGTCTCTTCGAGCTTGCGCTTGAGCTGACCACTTCAACTTCGTCATCATCCTCTTCCTCCTTCTTGACCTCTGATTTGCCTTTCTTCGCTGGTGGCGGCATTGATGATTTCTTGGGAGCTGCTTTTGCTTTGATCTTGGGTCCGGGCTTAGGTTTCGCTGCTGGTTTACTTTCAACCTCCACTTCCTCTGCGTCTTTTTTAAACGTGTTGGCACCTCGTCGAGGTCGCTTTAGAACAGGCTCTTCGTCATCATCTTCCTCCACTTCTACGATTTCCTTCTTGACTTTGTCCTTCGTCTCTGACTTGACTTCTGCAGCAGGTGGGGATCTCGATCGCTTCTTCGTCTCTGTAAGGAGCAAGTCAGCACTGGACTTTTGATCGAGCTATTGATTTCGTACCATTACCAGGCTTCATGTTCTCCTTCGAGTCAATGGGCTCTTCTTTCTTGGTCCTAGGCTTGACTTCCGTATCTGACTCCTCATCCTTCATCTCGGTATCTTCATTCTCCATGGTCGCGCTGGAACTGGGGGTAACGCTGGAAGGCTTTGTGGAGAAAGCGAGCTTCGATTGCTTGGCTGGAGCATTTGTGCCATTGGGTTTCCCGAAGAATTTGCTGAAATGGATATTAGCACAAGCACATAAACATACACAAGTCTGACCCACCCCAAGGTGGTTTGGGAGTCTTTCACATACCCCAGTGTTGCTTGTTTGGGCGGCATCTTGAATAACTTAAGAACCTGTCTCTGCGTAAAGAGCGTGCCGATCAATCTTCGAGAAGCCACAATTATGTCTGAGGAGGTTGTGGTTGTAGAAGACTGATATCATCGGGAGATGGCGAAGAGAAGTAGGATCAGCCTGCGTGCTACCTGAAGGCAACAGTCGCGCTTGCTGTTGAGAGAATAGCGATTCTAGGCAGATCAAACTTCTACCTCGTTCTTTCGTATTCTATTACGTTGATATTTATTTTAATCGGTGGAATTGGAGAGGCGCAGTCAAGAAATCAAAACAGAGAATTTGGTATTACGTTGATATTTATTTTAATCGGTGGAATTGGAGAGGCGCAGTCAAGAAATCAAAACAGAGAATTTGGCAGACGACACAAAGACGATGATGCCTCGTCGCGTCGGCACGCGTTGAACCCGCGTAAATGGCTTCCAGCTCAGTCCCCTAGTCCACTAAAATCTCAGGAGTTTCGGATACTGCCACACCCTGATTGAGGGGTGACTCAAAGCGGTGAGTCTTCAGAACTGTAGCATATCTCCCCCACCAAAAAGTCGAGAATTGTCAATTGAGAACAGCAACACACCATATTTTCACCAACATGGCCGCAGTACAAGAACTCGCAAGCCGAGTTAAGATGGATACCATTTACGTCGATACGGATGCCGGCAAAGATGACGAGACAGCAACTGGAGAGGAGTCGAAACCATACAAGTCGCTGGCATACGCCTACATTCAACAGGGTGGGAGTGATGGGAAGACATACCAATCGCGCGCATCTGTGACCGGCCCAGTCAGTGCAGATGGAGATCCAGCAGAGAGACTTGTATGGAAAGAACCTGCCAAAGCTGCTGTGAAGAAGGCCGCGAGCGCATTGGATGCACACAAGAAGAAGGTCCTGAAACAACAACAGCAAGCCGCCCAAGAGGAGGAGAAGGAGAAGGCACGCTTGAAAACCCTCGAAGATGCGAAGAAGATTGTTCTCACCGAGGACTCGAGTCTGCCGAAAGCCGTTAAGATCACAATTGGAGACAAGAGCATTGAGTTGGGCGAGGGAGACGTTAAGGGCACGCGAGTTAAGGTTTCTGGACGCATACACAGACTGCGACAACAGAAGCAAGCAACCTTCCTTACATTGATTGATGGATATGGACATTTGCAATGTGTTATTTCTGGCAACTTGACGAAGACCTACGAGGCTCTCACTTTCGCTCAGGGTACTTCCCTCACGCTGTTTGGGGAAATGAGAAAGGTCCTGGCTGGTCAGACTGCTCCCGATAACCGCGAACTCCATGTCGATTATTACAAGGTCATTGGGGCAAGTCCTTCAGATGCAGATGCTATCACCAACAGAGTTTCGGCTCAACAAGATCAATGGGACTCGGCAATGTTGGACAACCGTCACTTAGTTCTTCGAGGTGACACTGCTTCATCAGTTATGAAGGTTAGATCTGCTGTTGAGTGGGCATTCGCAAAGGCATACAGAGAGCTTCATTTCACCAAGATCAGTCCTCCAGCGTTTGTTCAAACACAAGTCGAAGGCGGATCTACACTGTTTGAATTGGATTACTACGGAGAGAAGACGTATCTGACTCAATCTTCCCAACTGTACCTGGAGACTGGTCTCCCCAGTCTTGGAAACGTTTACTGCATTGAGAAGTCTTTCCGTGCTGAGAAGTCATTAACTCGTCGTCACTTGTCCGAATATACCCACGTTGAAGCCGAGCTCGATTTCATTGACTTCGACGATTTGCTGGATCACTTGGAGGAGATGATCAGCAGAGTCATCACTACCATCTTGGAGGATAAGGAGATTGCTGGCTACATCAAGGAGCTCAACCCCGAATTCCAACCTCCTTCCAGACCATTCAAGAGAATGAGATATTCTGATGCCATTGACTGGTTGAACGCTCAAAACCCCCCTATCCTCAACGAAGAAGGCAACCCCCATGTGTTCGGAGACGATATTGCTGAGGCGGCCGAGCGAAGAATGACCGACATCATCAACCTCCCTATCCTCCTCACCCATTTCCCAGTCGAGATCAAGGCTTTCTACATGAAGAAGGATCCCTTGGACCCACGTGTAACGGAGAGTGTCGATGTACTCATGCCTGGCGTTGGTGAGATCGTTGGTGGGTCGATGAGAATGGAGGGCTATCAGGAGTTGATGGATGCGTATAAGAGAGAGGGTATCTCACCAAAGGAGTACTACTGGTACACCGAGCAGCGAAAGTAAGTTTTCCTTTAGATTGAAACATACATGGTTGCTAACCGAATGACAGGTATGGCACTTCCCCTCACGGTGGTTACGGATTAGGTCTTGAGCGATTTATTGCCTGGATCTGCAAGCAACACTCTGTTCGTACCTGCTGTCTGTATCCTCGCTTCATGGGTCGCTGCAAGCCGTAGATATGTTTCTGCATACTACAAACTGCACATCTCGATTAGCATTTGACGATCACTTCGTGGAGGCAAGATGGACGGAGAGTCAGATAGATAGATTTGCTTTGAGCCAATTGTGGGAATAGCGTCAATGATATCATTTCATGCTTTCTCTGCCATACAACATCTTGTCTCGTCTGATACCACCGGTAGTAGTATCCTATGAATCCATCTTCTATGGCCAGAACACTTTTCAGGGCATTAAATGCACATACATACAAAGCCTCGAAAACGAGTCTAGACCTACCGGTCTCGACCCTACATCCCCATCCCCGTAACGATCCAAGTCCCTACGCTGGAGTCAAGATGATTGATTCACCTACCGAAAATCTACTGCCTCCTTGCCTCTCTTTATGGGGTATTTAGATATGTTCTGCTAGAAAATCACATCACCTCAGATCTCAAGACTCTCAAAGGTCTACCTAGTGGAGTGAGAAAAGGGGTTCATTCAAGCGAGGCGAATGGAGCACAATGCCATTTGCCAAGACAGGATAAAAAGACAAGGGTCCTCGCGCCTGCGCGTCTGAGATAAAGCCCGAATGGAGCAGAGAGTCTCCACTATGTGAGTGGAGTTGGCTTGGAGATGAATGAGCCCTGTGCGGGAAGGCAAATACTGTATGATGGATGACTCGGGAGGTTTCCTGGGTTGGATTGAAGGTCAAAAAGTCTCGTCCGAATTTACGTTTGATACGACGTCGGAGGTAGGAGAGGTAGAAGCATGGGATGAGATGAGATGAGATGTTCCAGAAGGGATAGACGGGATGGGATGGGATGGGATGGGATGAGGGAACAAAGAACAAATGTCTGGGACGACGCTGGGAGACCATGCAGGTGGGGTGTTCTTCTGAAGTTTTGAAGCCTGCCGGGGGGGGGGGGGGGGGGAAGGGGGGGGTATGGCCGTTGTTGGAGGAGGTTCTGGTCTGGGCTGCTGGGTAAGCGGAAACGGAAACGGTTAACAGGGGGATGGGGGATGGGGCTCGGAGGGGTTCAAGGTTGGGAGCTTGAAACGTTGAAGATTGAGTGCGTGTGAGGCAGAAGTTGAGATCTTGAGGATCGGAGATCTGTACTGTACTGTACCGGTCAATACTCATGAGATTAGCTTTAGATGAGAATACAACCTAAGGTATTGATCTTCATATGATTTGCGCCTTGTATGAGTAGGTAGTTATATGTGCTGGGTTTGAGAGGAATAGGGGTTTGGAAGTGTAAGCGAGTGATTGGAGTTGATCGATGAACAACCTGGAAAGGGTCTTAAGGCGATAGGAGGTTTCTTCCAGACTCATGATCATGCTAGTGAATGGGCTGGAACTAAGAATTCAAGAATGAAGAGGGAAGAGTGAGAGGCTGGGTTCGCATTGTTGTCAAGACGGGACTGGCTTTTCCGTCTGACCTGAGTGGTTTGGCTTGGTGTGTTGAGATGATGTCTAACATGACGTTTGTCTCGACTCTCTTGAGATGGGATGATATGATACCTACTACCGGTATGTGTGGCAACCGAGCAAGGGCGTTAGGTGAGCGAGTTTAGTTGAATCGTCTGGCGAGGCGAGGCGAGGTGAGGTGGTGCGTGAGGCACGGATGAGGAGTTCTTGAGTCAGGGGATTTGTACAAAGAGGGAGTGTCGCTGGTTGATCAGATATTGATAATGGAAATGGACTATCTTATTCTTTACAGAGAACATTCGATTCAAGGAAAGCAATTACAAGTGCAATCATGGTTCAATTGATCTGATGCACCAATATCAATGTTTAATCAAGCTGGTGGAGCCGTGTAATTGGTGCTATCAGTTCCTAAAACATAGCCGACGCCCCTGTCTTGAAAGGAAGCCAGAAGCGATGTGTTCCTCACTGATTAATGTAAATCTCTAGAGTCAACACAGGTTCGTAGGTAGTCAAAGCCATGTATTCATAGTGCCACTTATACATACACCTACGGTTTTTAGCATATTCAAAGCCCAAACGATGGGATATATATTTCTTGACACGCGCTGATTGGACACATGGCTATCTAAAAACATTCAGGAGCCGTCCAGCCCCATCCCACGGAGCGCATCCCTGTGCCCGCCTAAGCGAGAAGCAGCTAGCGCGGTCTCTCCTGGCCCCTTCTGAAATTGCAGCTCCCTATTTGGACAGCCGCCCTCACCCAAGTCCGTATTGCTTCCCTTCTTGCTCTCAGACCAACTTTCTCCTTCTCCTTCTCCTTCTCCTTCTCCTTCTCCTTCTCCTTCTCTTCTCTCTCCTCTTCACTCTCTTCCTCCTCCTCCTCCTCCTTCGCCCCCTTTGCTTCATCCAGCTTCTTCTTGGCTGCTGCTACTTCAGTGGTCAATCATACACTCATTAGCTGCCGTTCTTTGCTGCTGCTTTCCATTTCTTCTTCCCGCCAATTTACATATACTCTTTATTCAGGATCCCCCATTCCAACCTCCACGCTCGCTCAATTCGGCACATTCTCCCTGTTCTTTGTTCGACCAGACAGTTGCATCAACCCAACCCCTTCCTCACTCGAAATACACCTCGATCAAAGTCTGCGAAAGTCAAAAGTTCTCGAACTCTATTTCAGATACCGTCGCCGTGTTCTTCGCTTCCTATTTCGAGATACTTGTATACAAACTACGGATACTTAATTTATACAAGAATTTGTCTATATCAAACATTCTACCGGCTTCCCCCCTTCGGCTCTTAATCAACCCCACGAATTGAAACCGCGAAAGGCTTGTCTCGTTTGGAACGGATACTTGCACTTTTCCCCTGCAATTGGTCGTTCGCTCTTTGACCCGACCAGATTTACGACAGGTGCTCGTTGCTTCCAATCCCACTACAAGTGCCTCCTTTGGCACTCCTAATCCTTCAAAACGGCTGTATTATCATCACTTGTGCGGGACAGCTCTGTCCTGCCACCTCATCTTCTTGGGATGCAGGAAATACAGACTCAGAATGCCCAGAATGGGCCAGGTGCTGCGACTGCCAGCAGATTTCCAGGCCATGCCTCAAAGCCTTCCAACAGTGACACCGGGTTTTCTCACGGAGCCTACAGCTCCAACCAGTTCTCGATGGGCGGTTATGGAGATAGACATCCGCGAAGAGCGAACATTCCCTCCATCAATACCCAGCCCATGAACCAGCAGGGCCAGAACGATATGGCTACTCCCGGTACCGCCTTCGACATGCAGTTTACTCCCTTGCTTCCTTCCCAGCTCTTGCTTGGATCCCCGTTCCAGCCAGGTACACCAGCCGCCTTCCAGAGCCCCCAGTTCCAGAACTACGCTAGCTTCCAGCAACACAACCAACAGCAGCAACAACAACAGCAGGCACAACAGCAGAACATGAGCCCGCTCTCTCCCCAATTGTACCAGACCCTCGTTTCGCCCTCGACCTATGGCGCTCCTCAATTTTACAACCCCCAATCCCCAACAGGCGGATTCGCGAATTTGAACAACCAGATGAGCCAGATGCAGATTCAGCCATCTTCCCCAGTCCAAATGTCACCTGGTTTGGTTTCGGGCACAAGCAGAACAGTATACTTGGGTAACATTCCTCCGGAGACATCTGCGGAGGAAATCTTGGGACATGTACGAAGTGGACAAATCGAGTCTGTCAGACTTCTGCCAGACAAGAACTGTGCTTTCATTTCATTCTTGGATGGGAGCTCTGCCACACATTTCCATTCCGATGCTATCTTGAAGAAGCTTTCCATTCGCGGTCAGGATATCAAGGTTGGATGGGGTAAACCTTCGCAGGTACCAACATCTGTTGCTCTGGCGGTTCAACAGTCAGGTGCTTCCAGAAATGTATACTTGGGTAATCTTGAGGAGACTGTTACTGAGGATGAGCTTCGCGAGGATTTAAGCAAGTTTGGACCGATCGACACCGTCAAGATTGTCCGTGAAAAGGCGATTGGCTTCGTTCACTTCCTGTCTATTGGTAACGCCATCAAGGCTGTCGCACAACTCCCACAGGAGCCAAAGTGGCAATCACCACGCCGTGTTTACTACGGAAAGGATAGGTGCGCCTACGTCTCCAAGACCCAACAGCAGAATGCCGCTCAATACCTCGGTATTGCTCCTGGATACGCTCATGTACTAAACGGCGCTGATCGTGATCTGATCTCCAATGCTCTGGCCCAACAATCTGTTGCTGCTGCAGCTGTTGCCACAACTGCTGGAGGCATTAACAACCTTGGCAATAGAACTGTTTACCTTGGAAATATTCACCCCGAAACCACGATTGAGGAGATTTGTAATGTTGTCCGTGGTGGACTTTTGCACCATATTCGATATATACCCGACAAGCACATCTGCTTCGTCACATTTATTGATCCTACTTCAGCAGCTTCTTTCTACGCCTTGAGCAACTTGCAAGGCCTAATGATTCACAACAGGAGATTGAAGATTGGATGGGGAAAGCACTCTGGCGCACTTCCAGCTGCTATTGCTCTTGCTGTTAGCGGTGGTGCTTCCAGAAATGTTTACGTTGGAAACTTGGATGAATCCTGGACCGAGGAGAGGCTGAGACAGGACTTCTCCGAGTATGGCGAGATTGAGCTTGTGAACACCCTTCGAGAGAAGAGCTGCGCATTCGTCAACTTCACCAATATCGCCAACGCTATCAAGGCAATCGAGGCCGTTCGAGGCAAGGATGATTACAGACGATTCAAGGTCAACTTTGGCAAGGATCGTTGTGGAAACCCTCCTCGTCAAGTTCAACAGTCTCAACAATCTCCTCGCAATGATGGTGTGAACTCGCCTCCTCCAAACAGCGGTGGACTCCAGCGTAGCCAGAACGGTAGCTCGCCAACCAACTCCCAGGCTCCAGGATCTGCCACTGGTAGCGCTACCTTCCCTGCCCAGACACCATCCACAATTCTCAATGCAGGAAGCAACAACCCTCTGACGATGTATCTCAACCAAGTTTCGCAACAAGCTCATCAGCAACAACAGCAACAACTTGATCCGTACTCAGTAGCTCAACTGCAACAGCAGCAACAACAGGTTCTTATTGCTCAGCAAAACGCTCTGTATGGCAATGCTTCTCAGAACCTTGATGCTCTTGACATCCCGAACAGCCAGGGTATGGGACACCAGCAATCTGCGAGCATCAACGGTTTCCAGAATGGGCAATCAGCCGCACCAACCATGAATGGTCTTCTGGCACCAGCACGCAGTCAGCACAACCGTGCTGTCAGTCTGCCAGTTTTTGCTCAGCAAGAGAATGGAAACCAGAATGAAGACCAACAGAGACGTGGACATCAATACCAGAGCTCTTTCTCGGGGCTCGGTAATGGTAACGGGTTCTCAAATGGCTATGGACTTGCCATTCAGGATAATTCTGGCATGAGCCTGAATGGATTGAACGGTTGGGCAGAGGAAGAGATTGTTGGCAACTAGGCGGCTGACTCTACTGAGAGAAGATACTCAGGGGGTTTGGGGAGCTTGGATACTTGCATGGATATTGTGTTGTAATACTTCTTTCTTCAATGTGTTTGCTTATTTCGGTTCAACTTCATTCATTCGCCTTCATTTATTCGATTTCTTCTATCTTTGCAGAAGCTCTTATCTTTTTGGACAGCAGCTATTCGTTCCACTCGTTGCTCTTTGGGCTGTTTCTTGTTCTTTTTTTTGTATCCGTCTACAACCTTGCTTTTGTGCTTTACTAGGTGCAGATCTAGCTTGCTCTTGAGCTTTGCGTGTAGCGGATTTTTTTTGGCGGATGTGAGTTGCAGTAAGAAGGATGAAGAAGAGGAAAACAACAGCAAGACGAGGGAGAATAAGGTGGTGGTGGGCCTGTGTTGGAAGTTGAGAGGGCGAGGGCGAGGGCATCCATGTGTGTCTCTAGGACGGAAGTACAGCTGCTGGGTGAGATGGGGAAGCGGTGGATATGGTTCGTGGCGATCTAGATATCGTATGGATGCATAGAAATCTGAATGGACATACTGGTTCATTTACTGGGATATAATACGTGTGTATTCTCTGTGCTTGGTTATTGTTTGTGATTTGTGATGTGATACCGAATTGCTGAATGATGTTGATTGGCTACTGACTCCTATGAAACCACACACCACACCATCAATTTGAGATAATTGTAACCTGGAAATGAACTGGAAATCTGCTGGGTCGGGTCGCAGAAGCATGGTGCATAGGGATGGGGATAGGAATGGGAATGGAAATGAAATGGAATGGGGATGCGTGTAGAACTGTAGAACTGTAGTCGTGTGGTTGTGGTTCTGGTTCTGGTTCTGGGTCTGGGATGAGATGTGATTTAATTTGATTTGGTCTGATTTGATCTGGTTTTAATTGTTAGGATAGGAGATTACCCAGTATTTCAACATGATGGAATGGAATGGAATGGTACGCAAAAATTGGGATGCTCCTTCCTCTGCGTACCTAGGGTGGTGGAAAGTTGATAAGTTAGGTGGGATGGGGTGGGGTGGACTCGGGGTCGGGGTTGGTAGTGGTGTGGAGTGGAATGGATAGAATAGGATAGGATATAATAGGGAGAGGAGAGGAGAGGAGAGGAGACTGATGTGTGTGTGTTTGTGTGTATGGCAAGTGTGTGGCAAGTGAGTGGGTGAGTGAGTGGCAGGCAGTTCTCGGTCGTTTACGTATGGACGGACTTTTTAGGTTGGGGAGAGATGAGATGAGATGAGATGAGGTGGTTAGGTACGTGGTTAATTAATGTTTCGTTCTGGCTACCGAAGTAGGTACATAAAGAAGCAGAAACGAGAGTCAATCAAATATATGATTATGCCCTTTCGAGTAGGTAGGTAGTAAAATTTCCCGGTGAGTGCTGGGGGCTGGACAGCAGCTCTTTATTGACATTTGCCTCGCCTAGCCTAGTCCCACTGTAACATCTCCATCCTGCCAGTCAGCTTTGCCAAGAACTGGAGCTCAGCAAGAGTCACGTCTTGATCTGGTTGTAAACCTGCGCGTCGGCCTCTTAAGGACTCGATCAGGTCAGGCAAGAAGTTCGTTCTACTGTAAGCGAGGTGGTCCTTGTAAATGTACTTCGCCATCCAGGTTAATAATGAGGTAAGCAGAGAAGCAGCTGGGAGCACGATAAGGATCTATAATTTTTCGATTTCGATTTCGATTTCGATCTCGATAAGAGGTGAGGCAAACCTGCAGAAACTTGGAAGGGAGGAAAGTCTCGGACCTTCTCTTCCCTCCCCTTCCATCTTTTCGCGTTCCGGGAGCTTGGGGCTTGGTTTGCAAATGGGAAACAAACCGATATCTGGTAAATTAGATGTGTAGATGTGTATCCACAATCTCAAATCAGATCTTGCTTTTACGATTAACTAGGTATGGTATTTCGAATCTGAATCTCCATCAACATTCCCATCCCATGCCCTCCCAACTCTTCCATCGAGCAGGACACACGTCACTCTCCCTTGAATGCGGATTACTGGCGTGAGCTTGGAGCTCTCACACGCTAGTCTCAGAGCTCTGTGTGGCGCAGATGGAAGCTGGGGTTGTGATTTGCTGGGTGGATACTGTGTCGCTCAATTGGCATGTGAGTGTGCACGCTCTGCCTGGGATTGAGATGGTGCTGCATGAATTGTGACGCTGGTGAGGAGAGGAGAGGGCGTCGGAGGTTTATTCAGGGAAGTGGAAGTCAGAGGGTTTGCGGTGCGTGTGGGGGAGGATGATGGGTGATGGGTGGGTTGATTGGAATGGTGGATGCTGGGGAGAGTGGGTTTGTATGGTGAGAGTGAAGCTTGGAAGCAGGAAGGTAAGGAATGGGCTTCGCTTGGAACGGACGGTCGAGGTCTGTTGGTTGCATGGATGGGAAGGGAAGGGATGATAGTCTGCCTGTTGAGTTATTCTTGATTGAACTTTCACTTTCACTTCTTCTTTCACTTTCATCTTTTCTCTTCATTTGATTTTGGAGATTTGATCTATTATCTTTTTGTTGAGGAGGCGAGGGAGGTAAATCCAACCCGCTCCGCTCCGCTCCAGCCGTCTTATCAAAGCCCTCTCTCGCTTCAGAGGAGTGGCTTGTTTCGCCTCGCCTCGCCGATCACCCTAGCCCAGCCTTGTACAGCTACAGCCCTGTTTCGGGAGGAGAGGGCCATCCAAGGAAACAAACCACTTACTCCCTCGAGCTCTGCCTGTGTCTGTCTCACTTGCTGTTGACATCACTGGCAGTGACTGACAGATGAACTTGCCAGGAGACGACGAGAATCAACTCGAGTTCAATTTAAACTTTCAGTTATTTGATTGATACCGTATGCCGACTGTGTTCTGAAAGTAAGTTAGGATTTGGAGGGGTTACACAAACGGGCTTGAGTTTTGTGAGGGGTATGCAGCACACCCTCTTTGATCGTATGATAGCCGGGAATTCCAATGTTCTCAATCTCCGCTGGACATTCATATTCTCTGAAATTCATTGTTGGAAATGAAGCTAACCTCTTGAATAATGCAGGAATGAGCGTTCTAGATCTTATCTATTAATCAAAAGTGAACAGCTCCTTCCTTTTGTTGACTTTCACCTCACGGCAAAAAGCTGATCATCTCCCAAACTCCAGCTACCCAAATATTTTCGAAGAATCAGCACTCGATTGAAAACACATCGAAAGCGAATTACCATCGATATTTCCCCATTATAAAACCCATCAATCCCGCCCACCATGGCTTCCAAAACAGTCTCCATATCCGTCAAGTACTCGAAGCCAGGAACGCAGCCCCCGATATTCCTGGCAGGCAGCTTCTCCGACCCAGCATGGCAGCCGCAAGAAATGCAGTACACGACCGACGAAAACAACGAGCACGAGTTCTTCAGGGAGGTGAATGTCGAGCAGGGGAAGGAATACCAGTATAAGTTTCGTATTGGTTTGGGAGAGTGGTGGATATTGAATGAGGATTCTCCTACAGGTATGTGATGTGATAATGCCCGTGCCTACCCTTTCCGTGCAGGCGAGAGGACGCGAGGCTGAGAGTCTTGCCTTTGCTTTTGTTCTGCCGCCCTCGTTTCTTTCTTTGTTGCTTTCACTTCCGAAAAACATACAACTGACAACTTCTTGTGGCCAGGAACCGACGACGCGGGGAATCGAAATAACGTCCTTTCTGTACCTGTTACGGACGACGCAATTGTTACGAAACCTACTGAGGATATTCCAGAGGAGGATACGACCAAAATGGAGGAAGGCAAGCATACGCAGCCACTGGCCGCGAAGGAGGTAACACCAGAGCCAATTGAAAGCACAATGAGTACAAAGGAGGCAACGCCAGAGCCTATCGAGGAGGCAATGGGCACAAGAGAGACATCTGATGTTCTATTCTCCGATGAGATCGTCAAGGACCTTGAGGAACCAAAGGATACCAGCTTGCCAATGACCCCCGAACCAAGAGAACCACACTCTACACCTGCGCACGAGATGGAGAAGACGAAGGTCGAGCTTGTGAAGGGTAATTTGAAAGATTTGGATGACGAACATACCAAGACCAAGTTTGTTCAGGATCTGGAGGATAACAAGGAGGACAACACCAGGGAAGCAGAGTCCACAGAGAGCATTGTACCTGCTGCAGCACCAACTCCTGAAATTGGTTTGGAGCAATCCCTTCCAACACCTCCAATGGAGGCAGAGAAGCTACACATTGAACACGTCAAGGAGAAGACGGAGATCGACGAGCCCTCAGAAACTCCAACTGTAGTTGTTGAGAAGGTTGATAGCACCCCCAGCCATGGAGACGACTTCGGACCTGATGCTACCCGTGAACAAAAGGATGCACACAATCTGCGAGCTCAAGATGCAGAGCCAGATCATACCGTCGTCCGAAAAGACGCACATAACCCGGAGATCGCAGATATTGCAGCTGAAGTTGCTGACACTGCTGAAACTCTTGATCGGGATGCTCCTACACCTCCTATCTCCGACGAAGAGGCTGGTCGTATTGGATACCGTCGAATGTCAAACACTCCAATCCCAGAGGTTGCAAAAACAGCTGCAGAAGTTGCCGATGTTGCTGCTACTCTTGATAAACAGAACCTTGTAAGTGATTGCGTGGTGACTCTAGGGACATTGGCTAATGAGCTTAGGGCGACCTTCTTGAGGCTCGTGGATACTTTGAGATCATGAATGATGTATGTTCCTGCAATGTAGAACCTGGAGACGAATTCGCTCTCTCTTGGTGATGAAAGGCAACCGCTAATCCGTTTATAGGAGAGTATTGTATTCCCTGAGACCCCACCACATGAGAAGGTTCCCTTGTTTCCGCATGAGAGTGGTCTATCACCACCAAAGAGCAAGGAATCTCGTCGACACCGTAACTCTGATACCCAACGTCGAGCATCAAGAACCGAGGAGGCTACAGTCTTTGATCCTAATGATCCAACTATTCAGCCGTTCCCGGAAGATCGAGAAGGTATTATGCGTCAATTAGCCTTGCTGCAACAACGCCTTCCACCTGACACCAATGATTGCGTGGGTGGTGTTGACTCGCCAATCTCCGAAGAAATCCATTGCCCTGGAAAGCCCATTTCGCCCGGTCTTAATATTCCACTCCAGGATCAGTCTCCATCGCTCGATTCGATCACAGAGGAGAACGATGAGGACCAGGAGCTTCTGCCTAGTGCTGAGAATGTCAATGGTGATAGATTGACGAGTTTGAACAAGGTTGACGAGGCTGAAGACAATGTCAAGGAACCGCAAGTCAAAGTCAATGGAGTCAAGGAGACGGCCGAGGACGCAAACAAAGAGCCAATCCAGGCGGAGAAGGAAATTCCTCCTATCCCAGAAATCTTGGTTCAAAGAGAAAACTCGAAGCCAGAGCCAAAGGTTGATGAAGAATCTAAGGAACCATTGGCAGTAGTCTCGAGCCAAAGTACTGAGCCTGTCTTGACAAATCCGATTGATCGTTCATTGGATGGTGCTGAAGGACTTGAGGATGCCGAAGCTGGAATCGCCGTAGGAGAGGCCGCGACTCCAAATGCCAAGTCTGATTTGGGACATACAAGTGATGGCTCGACGGAGGGACTTCCATTGCCAGTATCGCCCACACGAATCCCAGCCACGCCATTTGTAGTAGGAAATCGTCAACTTGGTCATGATGAGGACGAGGTCCAGAATATCAGTGTCCCATCAGGTCCTAATATCCAAGTTTCTCCAGCAACTCCTAGAGGTTCTGCTGTTGAACAGAATCCCTTGGATACGGCAAAATCTTCAGCTATTGAAAACAATAACAATCAGATCAAGTCTCGGAAGCAACCCGCGAAGTCTATTCCGGATCGACCACTTACACCCAGCTCGATGCGTGGAAAGGAACAATCTAGGAATTTCTTGAAGGCATTCTGGAGAGTTGTCTTTGTTGAGTGGATTGGTGGATTGATCATTCGTCTATGGTGAGTTGTTCAAATCTGTGGTGTTATTCAAGTATTAACTCGTCAATAGCAATGGTGGCAGAGGTCGCCAAACGTAAGAACTCACAGCTTATTAGATCCCCCCGAAAAATGTCCTCTTCCTTTACTATCGGATTATGTTACGAGTACAGTTTTCTTATGTCAACATAAAAAAAAAATTACCATCGACAATGCTGATCGCTGGTCCAACACACAGGCTTCTGGCCATTGGTGCACTTGCAGTTCTTGCTTCTGCACCTGCCATGTATCATTTCTTCTTGGCTCGAATAGTCGGGTACAAGTTGCGCATACCATAGATAGGTGGGGTGGAGTGTATTGGCATTGCTTGCGGTTTTCTTTTGTTTTTGCGGTTGATGAGATCATGATGGATTGGGGGTGTGATGAATGGATGCTGGTTTGCTTGAGCTTGAGCTTGGGGTGAGATGAGGATACCTGAGCTGGGCTGGGAGGAGCTGAGCACAACTGAGTATGGATGCATCCATGCTTGCATGCATGTATTGGAGACCAGGCAGTCCTGTATTATATGAGCTTAGGGCTGACTGACTGAAGACAATTACAAAAATCAATTGAGCTTCTGTACATGGATATGGAATTTTGAGAGATGGCGCGGTGATGCTTACCAGAAATTAGGGTATGACTCGTGATGTCACAGTGCTTGCTTCCAGGTCTCTCCAACACCTACTTACCTACCTAGGTAGTTTTCATACCTAGACCCTGTCCTATCCTGTCCTATCTTATCCTAGCTGCCTAGGTAGTGTAACAGTGAGAGAAAGTTCGGCGCTTACTACCTACCTACACTACAATTGCATATCTGTTTAACCTTCTGACTCCACACTCCTCAATTAACCTTACCGTGAGCCTAAGAACAGAGATAAGGAGGAGATGAGGTGAAGTGAGATATATTGCGGGGTATCGAGTAGTCGAGGAGTCGAGTATAGATGATATATGTACAAATATATGATGAAAATATATAAGTAATTTACCTAGTGAAGAGGAGATATTACACATGACCTTTAATAAACTTTTGAAGTTCAACTTTTAAATTTAAGCTGTAGTGCAGCTCGGCAGTTACTGTAACCGTGCTAGCAAATAAAGTTCGGCCTATCCTCCATGTGGTTTTAGTTTTGGTTTTGGTTTTGGATTTGGTTTTGGTTTTGGATTTGGTTTTGGTTTTGGATTTGGTTTTGGTGGGTGTTAACCTTAGTGGTGCGCTGCACCGCCACAAGGCGGGTGGTTGCACTGCACATGCGAATTTCATTAGCTTAGCTTGAAAGACGGCTGGGTTTGAGGTGACGACGGCGGGATGATTGATGATGGGTGATGGGTGATGGGTATAGGAAGCAATTGCGAAAGCCATGATCGCGACGTACAACATCGTTCAAAGGAGAAAGAACTAGCCAGAAAGAAAGCTTAAGGCCACGCGCGGAAAAAGTGGAGAGCTGGGGCTGGGTTTGAAGATATATTTGAGACGAGGAGAAGAGAGAGGGGTGGATAGGAGGGTGAATTTGGAGGGGTAATACCGCCAGTACCTACCTACGTGCCAACCTCCTCGGATTCTTCTCGATTCTCTCTCTACCTGCAAAAGAAAGAGCGGAAAGACAGGAGCTGGGACAATGCCCCAACGAACGAGATACGATCCCATCCCTCGACGATCAGCATCAAGCTCGCGAGAAGGAGGAGAGCAACCACTCTCGCAGACCAGATCAGAATCTGAAGACGAATCCGACTCCGAGAGCAAATACCGCCACCGAAACCAGACTGTTCAAGACTCGAGCTCGAGCTCGAGCTCAAGATCGAGGAATAAACCTCTCTTCCATGTCCTCTCGCACCTCCCTCTCCCGGGACTCCCCAAACTCCGCTACATCTTCAAAAAGACCCGCCGTCTGCTACGACCCCTCCCGCTATTGCTGCTCTGTTGTGTACTCCTGGGTTGGCAGTTGTTATTCAACGATTCATATAATCTGGCTACAGCGCCGAGATTTGATATTGAGGGTGTGAAAGCGAGGGAGACAGTTTTCGTAGCGGCGAATATTGTGGATGAGGGACTGATTGAAGGGGCTTGGGGGGAGGGGTTGCTTGAATTGGTAGGTCTGCTCGACAAGGAGAGAGTCTGGGTTAGTATTTACGGAGGTCCGAAAAAGGCTCTGAAGAGATTAGAGGAGAAGTTGATAGATGCTGGGATGAGTAGGGAGAGGGTATGGTGTGTTAGTGAAGAGGATGAGCCGCTTGGTATGGACAGTATAGGGAGGACTGTCTTACCGACTGGCGAGAGCAGAGTTAAGAGAATCGCGTGGTTGGCGGAGGTGAGGAATAAAGTCCTTGAGCCTCTTTACAAACCCACTTCGAACTCCAAAAACAACGCCAAAGACGACTCCAAAAACAACTCCAAAGACGACTCCAAAGAGAAAGAGAAAGAGAAAGACAGCCGACCCGCCCTCCCCAAACCAGATAGACTCCTCTTCCTAAACGACGTACACTTCACGCCCTCCTCAGCGCTCCGCCTCCTCTGGGGAACAAACCTCGATTCGCAAGGTATAGCGCGGTATAAAGCCGTGTGCGCGGTGGATTTTGTGCAGAGCTGGAAGTTCTACGATACGTTTGCGACGAGGGATGCGGAGGGGTATAGTATTGGGGTGCCGGTCTTTCCGTGGTTTGGGAATGAGGGGGAGGCGAGGAGTAGGAGGGATGTGTTGGAGGGGAGGGGTGCGGTGAGGGTGAGGAGTTGTTGGGGTGGGATGGTGGCTTTTGAGGGGGGGTGGTTTTGGGGGAGGGGGGAGGAGGGGGGTGAGGATGGAGAGGGAGAGGGAGGGATGAGTGCTGATGGTAGGTGGTTTGAGATTTGATTGAAGCTATTTGCGAGGTTCTTGAGGTCTTGGTTTTGGTTTCTTGTGAGAGTCAGGTTGAAGTTGAAGGTGGAGAGTGTGGTCCCTGTAGAGATGTGGATGTTTTGCATGTTGCCCTTACAAGCTTGCCTTTTCTCCGCATATTTACAGATTCCAAGTCAAGTTTCTGTGGAATTTATGCAATTTTTTCTCCGCATATTTACACGTGTCAGATTTCTGTGGAGCATTCCTTCTGCTTCCCCTGCAGATATACTCGTATAAATGCTTGGTATCGGCTTTCACCCTCCTTCGAGCGCAGGAAGTGGAGATGCAGATATACGACTGCTCCACTCTACAAAGAGGGGTGAAGACCCATGCCTCGAGCCCGCAGCTTTACATTCTTCTTCTTCTCGGAATCATCCTTCACATCTACGTTCCTTCATCTTTTCATTTACCCTTTTGAGCTTATCTACTCTGCAAAACTCGACAGAGAAGAATCGCTAACATGCCATCCTCTCTCTCACAGTCCATCCAGCTGCTCAAAATGCGCCGAAAACTTCCAGCTTGAAAGGCGAGGAATCCGAGACTGAAGCAACCAAAGCGGGAAAGAAAACGAAAGCGGACAATGGCCTGGGTGTGCCTAGTTTACCGTTGAGGTTCAGGAGCGAGCCGGAGCCGTTCTGGGATTCGAGTGAGTGTTGTTTGATTCATGCGGATATCATGGCATTGCCTGATCTGTCTCCCTCATCGAAAAACAACGAAGATGATCCCTGGGATACAGGCATCTATATGAACCCTTATGTCCGCACCTCATACTCCGCCAGCACACACCGACATATCTGGCTTGCGAAACGATTCGAGAGATTATTCTCGCCTGTCCAGAGAGTGTTGAATTATTGGGCGGGGATGCCGAGGTGGAATTATAGACGGATGGAGAAGGAGGGAGAGAAGGTTAGGGATCGGTTGTGGATTTCGGTGCATTCGAATTTGACTGAGGTGGAGGCAGTTAGGAGGGCGGAGGAGGGGTGGGGGTTTGATAATGACGATGATGATGATGGGTCGAGTGAGAACGTGCAAGTGACTGTGAAGAAACAGGTAGAGAGTGTAGTGGAAAAGAGAGAAACCCTAGGAAAGGTTCGAGGGAAGGAATACTGGGGGAATGAGGGGTACTACGTTGATTACGAGAGGACAGCGAAGCGGGGTGGCTATTGTGGTGTAAGGCAGCTGCTTGTCATGAAGGAGGAGAAGGTGGTGGAGGGAGAGGGGAATTGGGATAATCTGCTGGATAGAGTGCCGCCTGTTGATATCTGATGGCAGGAGCGGGCTTCGTCTTTTGATTGCACCTCTGGGGTTAATGAGCGGCATTGGGATGGCGTTGAATGGATACATGGATTGTCTGAGAGGCATGGCATTATCTGGTGTTGAGATGGTTGTATTGAACAGAGACCTGCTCATCATCCCCTAGGATGGATTTTTTCAGGTGTAGAACAGAAGCCTTATTGCGCAATGTTTATCATTCCTTCGGGTTCGCTTAGAGTCGCGCACTACTTCTACCAGATGGGTTCTTCTGACTAAACATCTCAAGCACATACGATGATTACCTTTGATAGGTATGTATTGCCCACAATCCAAAGACGTGATGCTGATTGCTGATTGGACTGCTGTTGTGCTACAGAGCTAGTCTCGTTGTAGGCGTGAGGCTGAGAGCTTTGCCACCTGCCTCCAGAGCGGATCTTCGCATTTCACCGTCCTCATATTCTTCTTCACCAGGTGCCTCCGAATCGCAAAGACTCATAAGAACAAACCGACCGCTTGATCATGTCTGCCTCAGTGGATGCTCATACACCCGACTACGGTTATGTATACACTCCTCTTGATGTTGCCTTGTTGGATGAAATTCGACTGATCAGGCTGTGGCCTGGGCCGATTCACGAGGAAGACATCCGGCTCGAAGTCTTCCATGAGATAGCCTCTGCGAAGCCACAGTATGAAGCTTTATCATACGCCTGGGGATGTTCAGACCTCACGGACATTGCACTTGTTTGCGAGGCGGTTGCATGTCGCGGAAAGCGAAAGGATCGCAGGCTCCTCGAACAGACGATGGATGAATCAATACCCACGTCCAAGCTGGGAATCGCCCACAACCTTGCCGTTGCACTACGGCATCTCAGGTTTCCGGATAGAGAACGGATCCTATGGGTAGATGCCATTTCCATCAACCAGAGGGACGATACAGAAAGGAGTAGAGAAGTCCTGAAGATGGGAGCGTTGTATCGTAATGCGAAGGGAGTTGTTGTTTGGCTTGGACCTAGTTTGGATGATAGTACTCTTGCTTTAAAGACCTTGGCTCGGCTAGGGGCGGATGTGATCTACCATAATGATAAAATGACGGTCGGGTTTCGTTCTGCGGCCTCATGGGCTGAATTTCTGGCAGAAGATGAACAAGCTTTACGTGCACAATCCCCCAGTTGGGTGGCCATTGGACGTCTCCTGCGAAGAGAGTGGTTTAAAAGACTTTGTAAGTAAATGCTCTTTCCAAATGCTACCACAAGTTCAAGGCCTTTCAGTGATGCTGTTGATTCTAAGTTTAGAAGGGGTATTCCAGGAAATTGCATTAGCCTCGTCCTCTATTGTTCTTGCCGGTGAATACTTTATCGACTGGGAGCTTTTCAGACTTGGACTTTATTGGGTATGGTTGATGATCAACAACATTAACCGTATACCGGATGCACCAAACATTGACAATCCCGGTACGAATTGTGTGTTCGGGCTCTTAGAGATCTCTGATAGGAACGCGACGATACGGACAACCCTAATAAATGCCTTATCCTTGACCAAGAGAGTATTATGCTTCGATGAACGGGACCGACTCTTTGGCATCCGCGAAATTCTCATCGTCAATGAACGAAAGTACATCGAACCTGACTACTCCTTGGACACTGAAGAAGCTTTTACAGCCACAACAATGTCATGGATCAACGACTATGGCAGACTGGATATCCTAAAATTTTGTGTACTGCAAAGCCCATTTTCAGACCTGAAATTGCCTTCTTGGGTTCCTGATTTTTCCTTTCAAGGTCGTCCAGAGCAGATCATGTATACTCGGGCCGATGGCTTTGCCTACCCTAACCATTCCATCGATAATGGAGCAGTTCTCACTGTTTATGGCGTGAAAGTGACGGAGGTTACACAAGTCGTGGCGAAGGAACTCACCAGGGAGAGCACAGATATGGAGCTCCTTGGCGTGTGCTGTGCATGGAGGCAATATTTTTCTCATTGGAATGTAGAAGCAGCGGATGAGTCAACGGGGGATGCATTCGTGGAAGCGGTAATGGGTGGAAGAATACAAGAGATGACACCAATAAACCTGGGCGTGTTTCCGAGTCATGAAGTCTGCAAACAAATTTTGAGGGAAGCTGGAGAAGAATTTGGAGAAGCGAGACAAGGCTGTTTATCGAAAGGACCCGACAGAGACCTTGTGATAGAAAAGCTTCGGTATAGTGTATTTGGCCGTGCAATGTTTAGTACCGCAGTAGGGACGTTGGGAATGTGTCCGAACTCTGTGCAATGCGGGGATATCATCGTAGTTGTTTTGGGGTGTAATGCACCTCTCGTGTTGCGTCCTCAGCCAGATGGAGTGGATACTTTCAAAGTCGTCGGAGAATGCTATGTAAGTGCATAATCTTCAAATCGTGATTCGATAACACCGAGTCCCAACATCATCCAAACCCCCCTTTATGTTCGCTGTTTGGATGAGACGTCCATACGTCTTGGCTCTTGTGGAAGAAGCAGGCTGACCTTATATATGTGCCTCTAGGTTCCAAGTTTCATGAATGCAGAAGCACTTCTCGGACCACTTCCCCCGGGATGGACCAAGCGAAAATTGGTCTCCAAATACTTGGGCCTCATAATGATGTACGAGCAAGGACAAACCAAGACCCAGGAGGATCCTAGAACAGCTAGTTTCCCGTCAGATTGGAGAATTATGTTTGGGACACGCGAGAATCCGCTCGAGGTTGAGCCAGAAGATGAGAACGATTGGGAATTCAGGTGGTTCGAGAATATGAAAACGGGTGAGCAAACCGCTTTCAATCCAGCGATTACTCCTTCGCTGTTGAAGGAAAGGGGCGTCGATATACGGCAGCTTAGACTTATCTGAAGCTATGGACCTCTATACAGCTCAGCTGAAAGGATATGATATCACTTGGATATGAACGTGGGTTCTCATCTGTATCGTTGCTATGCGTTGATGGATGTCAGTGCCGAGGGATTTTGGAGAGAAGTAAAGAGGATAACTTTTGGTCACAAGATCTCTTGAACACGCTGGATTTTTTTTCTACGACATGCTACAATCGGCATATTGCAAGCACGAGATGACTGCGGAAATGTTCCACATGTGGTGGTGGGGTACAGGGTTTGTTAAACAGATTTCGAGCCTTGGGATTGGTTTCTTTGGAAACCCAGACTAGTAGCGCTGCTTTTGTTCTTGTCCTCTCTATGAATTCTCCAAGCAGTATCAGTGACTGTCATAGATTTGTAGCACTTTCGAATATAGAGCAATCAGGCTCCAAATGTGCTTACCTACTTTCACTTGAAGATATTGCTAGGTGCGTTGCATGAGAAAATCTTAGAACAGTAACAGATTCTGTGTCCTGCAGTTAATTTATTTACCAGGGGTTTCCGTCGAGTTATGATCTTTGTGTCAATAAATACAATCAAGTGTCGTGTTTTTACACCAAGATCTAACGGTAACAATATCAAGATACAAAAGGCCTGTCGAAATCTAGCCCTGAATGTGAATATGCACCCAAACCTATCGGAGACATGTCCCCTCACCGCTGGTCGTACAGCCAATGCGCTTCGAGCGCGTACAGCGCAATCATCGGTTGAGACACTCGGGACGTAACGCTGTAAATGTTGGCATCGGGCCGCCATCGCCGCCGATGTCTGAGAAAGTTGCAGCCTTTTCGGGAGCGTATTCGGCTCGGCGAACCAAAGGACTTTGGCCAACATATTCAGTACTTTGTTGGAAATGCATGCTGGCACAGGCGGGCCTTGGAAGTTGGAAGTGACAGCTGAAGAATTGGCTGGCTGCATCAAAAAGCAGGTAAGCGCCGATCTTGACACCCTTGCCACATGTCGGTGAAATTAGAACGAGGTTCTTGCATGATCATGGCGGGTCTCTTGGCGAATCGATGTATGCCCGTTGTTGTAACAGGTTGCCGTGGTTGTTTGCTTGCTTTTTATGCAACGGCAGCTGAACGAGAGTGGCGATCTTCAGATGAGGGGATGTGATGGGGCGGCTGCGAAACAAGGGATGGGAAAATTAGTTGCAGACCCCTAAATGCTGTGGTACGTTCAACGACATATGCAAAAGTAATTCCACATGGTCGATTTTGAGGGTCAAGCCATCCCCGCACTCTGTACAACTGAGGATATTCTGAGCCTCAGTCACTTCAAGTATCCTAGGATGGCAGTGCCTGCCCAGTATTCTACATATTAGTGATGAGAAGGGGAGGTAAAACCAATGTCCGTTCATAGCGAGTACCTTCTCACTTTCAACCGCCGTAAACATAACCAACCGTGACTAGTTAGCGAGATCGTGAGCCGTGGTAGCCCTTAATCACGTACCCATGTGCTCAATCTCATCTTCAGAGTTTGACAGACACTCACAATTCAAGAAAACTCGTTAATTTGATCATCTACACATAAAGCATTCCAAAAGCCGTACCCAGAAAGCTTTCTGACTTCTGTTTATAATCAAGTTTTGCGCACCGACTCTGACTCCATGTTGCCCAGACATATACAAATTGGGGGTATTTTGCGTCGAGTAATTCCAGAAAACCAACCAGTTCTGTACCTACCATCATTAAAGACAATCATTTTGTGTCGCTAGTCATTGCAAATCTCTCTATTGTCCTCCAGCCCATGCATCCTCCAAGCAGCCTTCGACTTTCGGCATCAGAGTGAATATTTTCGACCATTGGAGTCGAGGCCGTACTCTTTACCCCAATATGATATCTGCTGGGTCTCGAGCTTGATGTCAGAAGCCTGTTCTGGTGAAGGTGAAGTGTTGAATCTTGTCGATTCGTTGTTTGCTTTCGCCCTTTGAACAGCGGCGGCATGAAGAGCTGGCGTAGCGAACCACCCTTTCTTCATCGGAACTTCCCCACTGTACAGGCGGATTGCTCGACGATACTTCTCTTTTCCTATGCGGCCAGTTAGTGAATGATATTTGAAGTAATGAGAAGGTAGGATGTCTTACGAAGCTGAGAATGGTCCAAGTCTCGTCCATCAAGAAGCCTTTGTGCCATCGCTTTGTGCTCGGGTGAGACCCAGTCCCAATACAACGCCCATTCTGGACTGTGTTCCCAAAACTTGTATGGATAGTCTTTAAACTCCGCAAATTGTCGCAGACGCTTTCTGATGGGTTTGAACCTGGGCTTTCCGTCACGGTCACGCATTATTTCGCCGTTGGCATCGAGCACCGGGAAGAGGCTCTCGCGATACAGACGACTCGAAAAGGCTTGTCCGGGGTCTCGGAGCTCGTCAGGGAACTGGATTCTCCACACACGGTACATCTCTGCATAGTTGAAGTCGCGATCATGTGAGTAATACCAAAGCCATTGGAACTGCTCTTGTGTGTATGGCTTGTTGTTGTGCGGCCCACTTGGCTTCCTCTTCTTCTTCTTTCCGACCTTGGACTCTTCTCCGTCACGAGAGCTTTCGGATCTGACAGACGGTGATGGGGATTTACATGTCGAAGCTATGCTCAGGCGGGGGTAGAACCCACGACGGTCATGGCGGCGATGAGGCGAATGAGATGTTGGCAAGGACTGCCGCCGCGCTATGTTGCTCTCACTAAGATGTCGGGATATCTGAGGCATTCGAAGGACTTCTGCTGGCCGATGAGCCAGATTTTGCATTTGACGTTGCTCCGGGCTCAGACGCATTGGTGGTAGCGTTGGCACAACCCTCTCATGATGCTCCCACGCTGTATTTGTTGGAACCTCTCCATCAATCTCCATCGGCCGCGGAGCAGTATAGTAAGAATAAGAGCCACGCAACGACTCTTGAAGAGGGGTTTCGGCCTCTTTCCATTCCTCCTCGGTTTCTGAAGCGGGCGGGGTAGGCAAGGGATTAAGGACACTTGCAAGATTCATGGTGTTCTGGCTTCCACCATGACTTAGGCGGATCTCTATTGACATTTCAGTTGTTGACGTAGATCGGCTGTCCATCATGATGGGGCAGCGAGTATTTGCAAAACAGAGGAGATCGTTCAAAGAGTGGTTATATTGCAATAGCCAGAGTTGCAGAATCGAAAAGAGATAGTGCGGAGTTGAAGTGATGAAGATTCTCCACACAGCAGTGGAATGAGAATAAGTGCTGAAGAAAATGACACCAACGAATAGGCAGTGTATTTTATCTACGCACGTACGACTCGATATAACAAACTACCAACAGACTGGGGCTGTAGCCAACAGTTATACGAAGCCTCTGGGATCAGTACCATATCTTTGGGACTGCTGCCAGGGGCAGACAGCTGTTGGCAACCTGACACAAATTGATCTGGTTGGGAGAGAGGGCCTGAGGAATGTGGACGCGCTACAGAGATGTGGGTGGACCCGAGTGAATTGAGAAGTGATAGAAAAATAGATAAAAAGATGGTGTGGAGGTATCAGAAGTGCGTACATTGATATTCTGATCGAGAAGAAATTGCGAGATCTAACTCGGCGCATTCAACCAGCGTACTGGGTCGCTAGATAGCATTTCTCCAACAAATTTGGCCCAACATCCCATTTGCTCCCAATCCACAAGTCAAGCCAATCAGATCAAGGATAATGTTCTCAACGCGAGCCTGCGCTTGAGATCTCCATGCTGGTTTTGGTGAGTCTCCCACACCTGGTATGAGAGTGCTTTATCTCTCGTATGCCATGCCAACTTGAAATATGTGAGATGAGATGGTCTATGCGGAGCATATATTCCTTTTAATGCGCAACAGGAAATAAAATTCAGCCAAAACAACTGCGTTGAACAGAGGAGAATGCATGTTAACTCTGCAATGGAGAGTCAGAAAAGTGTAAACTGTCGAGTTCTCCGAGTCATAACGGTAGGAAAAAGGTTAATCGCACAAGGCGAAATCGACGTGGACTCGATGCCGTGATCGTCTAGGACTAAGGTAGCAACTGTGTGCAACCACCACCAATAATTTCTCCGAGATTCCGAATAGTGCCTCACTAAAGCTTGGCTCTTGGTCTCGGCTCAGGCTTCCTCGCCTTGTTTTGGAGACCAATCTTTAGGTCAGGAGTTGAAGAAGTCAAATAGTCAGCCTGTCGCATGAAAAGCTATCACGGGATTGGTCTTCCTCCGCCATGAGGTTTCGGAAGAGGCTGGGTTGCTAATTGCAAGCCGGAGCGGGGTTAAATACTAAGGGTTGATTTGCCCTCGCGGCTCGGAGCTCTTTTCCGACTTAGAGGAGCGATTTCGTTCGAGGTATGAATTATCCCCTTAAGTGCGATTCGCCGCGCAGCTTAAAAGCCCCTGTAAAAGGCTATACTAGAGCCTGTACTAAGCTACTAAATTAAGCGAGCTTCACTAAACTTCAGCTACTAAACCCCCTCATATTACTACTAGAAAGCAACCTTTTAAGTAGTTATTAATTATTCTACTTAGTATAATATATATTAAAACACTTTCTATTATTATAAAAATGTAATTAGCACTGTTTACAGCTGAATTAGGTATAACTCCGGCGACTTATCCGGCTAGAATTTAAGGCAATTTCCTCTAAGGTAACACGCTTTCTAGGACAGTCTCAAATCCTTCCTTCTTTATAGGTTTTATAGTTAGCTCTTGTAGGTATTTTGATAAACTTATAGCGATATGCCGGAACCTTAATTCTGTCTTTTGTTATACTTAAAAAGCTGCGTTTTCGGGATCCGGGTGCGTCTTGTCCTATAGCTATTAATGCCTCTACTAGTTAGATTCTGAAATTATCTTAACTAGCTAGGTTCATAGAACGCTTACTATTATAGTTGAAATAACAACTAATTAAGAAGCAATTTAATAAAACTATAAGTAGTAGGAATTATATAAGACCTTAGGTCAGCTCTCGATATAAGCGCCTCTCGCTATTTATATATATATATAATTAATCTCCTAGGTTAATAGCTCTTATATTTTAATTATAGGCGTTATAGAGTTAAGGTATCTAGAGCTGTTTTTAGGCCTAATTTCTAAAGGGGACACGAGAGGTTTATATATATAAAGCTGTTACTTTTAGCCTCTTCTGTAGCTTTAAAACCTTAGTATTTCCGTCTTAAACTATTAAGAGAGTAAGAGTAAAGGTACTATCTTTAAAGCTTATTTAATTAACTCGATTCGACTTAGTTAAGTAAGAATATACTATTCCCTAAGGTAAAGCTATAGCTCCGTAGTCTAACTTCTTTAAATTAATAAGATCTTAAAGTATTCTAGAATTAATATATGCTATACTTATAGCTCTAAAGCTAAGCTCTCTTAAGTGCTTAAATAAGGCGTTATTCGTAAAGAGGTTATTAAAGTAAACGTGATATTTCTATAGAGGAAGGAGACTTAATAAGTAAGGTACGATAGATTAAGTCTTATTAAGACTATTTAGCTTATAAACCCTAACTAGTCTATTGCCTCGCTTAAGCTTATAGAATACCTATTAAAAGAAGAATCCCCGCTATATAATAACCTAAATCTTAAGCCTAGTAGGTGTGGGCTTATTTGGAATTGTAGTCTTCTTATTCGACCTGCCTTAGAATCGTTAAATTACCTTATTAATAGTAACGTCTCTACTAGGGACCTAAAGCCAGGTATTAATATCTTAAATATAAGAGTTCAGAGGTTCTACTTAGTTTAAAGATCAGCTGATTTCATTAAGGTTCTATTGAGATATTATATCTTTTTATATATGTTTTTAATATCTAGTATATGTACTCTAAAGCGTAACTGAAGCTCTTAGAATCGATCTCTTAAAAAACATTTAGTAATTCTATAGAAAGGGGTAATCGGATAAGTACTCTAATAGTCTGATATTTTATTTAAAGGTACTACTATTATATAAATACAGAAAGCTAAGAATAAGTAGAGTTCTTTATATATTATAAAGTACTAATTTAAGGCTCGAGATTTAACTGTTTCCAGTGGAAGCTCCTTTTAATAAGCGTTTATAGCTTCTACTATCCGATCAACGATTTTTAGTATAAAATACTATATAAATAAGGTAATAGGATCGTCTAGTGAGACGTCTTCAGGTAAGTGTAATTCTGTGTTAAAATCAGAGTAATCTATAGGCTTAAAGTGTATTCCCTTCTTTTGTAAAGGGGTTTTATTCAGCCTTAGGGTGCCTGTATTAGTAGGATCTTAAATAGCCTAAGTAGGTATACTTTAGAATAGTAAAAATAGAGTATTTTAGTAGAGAAAGAGGTATTGTTTATATTATTTGTTAATACTAAGCGCTCAGGCTAAGTACTTAAAATACGGGGCAACTTAGCGCTATCCTTCAGGCGGTATAGCCTGAAGGGGTGCGCGTGTCGCACTCAAGGGGATATATGCAATTGTGCCTGATCATCGAGGCTGTAAGCGCCTAGTTGTCAATGCTGCAGTAGGGTCACATTGGCAGAGCTATTATTGTCAAGGGCGGCTCTATGTTTCAGTGGCCGTGGCCCAGATCCCTACATCGATAAGCATAAGGTCAAGCTTAACCTTAAAGGTTGATTGATCCATGGCGTGGCGCCTTCAAAATATGGCTTACAGAAAGAGGAACACACAGGGCATTTTGACTAAGGTAGATACCGCTGCTGTCGCGGAACACGGACAGCTTCCGGCGAGTACGGCAGTGTTGACTATCGTCGCCCCCTGCATCTGCGGTTCTGTATTGAATGATAGGTTTCAGAAGTGTCCAATGGAGTTCCAAGACTTTTGGGCACATTCCTCACGCCACCAAGCACGCCCCACTGATTCTCCACTGAGTCTCTGAACCCCTCTGAGATTGCCTTGAGACTCGATCAGCAGAAAAGGCAGGGTACATTACTGGAGACCTCGGGTTACACAGGCATGTATTTCGATGCTGTTGCGGATGTTGGACTGGAAGGGAGAAACAAAAGGCTGTCAGATGGCCAGCCGCGCGGTGGACCTTTCCATCAAGTGAAATCAAACCTAGAAAGTTTAGAAATTAAAGAAGCAAAACTGGGGACGGGAAGACAGATTCCAGATCGAAAATGCATACCAATTGTGCGGAAAGTATCGTCCTGAATATCGCCATCAGCAAAAGTGACATGTCGTATTTGACAGCACAGAATATATGCACGCTAAATCCGGAACATCTTATACGATTTCCCCGGATCTGACATCGCCTGGTTTTACTCCTGAATATGCGCCATAGCGCATGCATGGAGCCTCTTGTGTTGATCCTAGCGCGACTTCTGAGTAAGAGGGTGTATGGCTTTCTCGCCGTTGACATCATGACTGGAAATTGCAGTATCGGCTTCTACTGCTCCTATCAGAATCTCAGACAGCCACAAGCCACCAGCCACCAGCACTTGCCCGAATCTCTTTAATGCTGCATATAAGATCGTATCCCTGGCGATCCGTTGCTGCACGTATGTGTGGAGCAAAGCACTTGCGAGAATATTCGACTTTGGCGCGGGGTCCGCCTCAAATATCGGTCTGAACTACTGTACGTTTCTTTGCTTGGTGCAATGTAATGCACGAGGCGATGACCTTAGCCTTGATTGGAGATATTCACTGTATATACTCAGTGACTGAAGCAAATCAGACTCAATGAAGCTATCGTAGTGGCTTTTGACTATGTTTTCGCATGCACTTTGCCCGCATTCGTCTGCTTTGACCAACAAGAAGTCGGCATCGACTTTCATGTCAGCTGTCGTCTCAACTCAACATCTCTTGCTCTTGCTCTTGCAGTCCTCTTGCAGGACAGGCCACTAAATTTCCAGTACTGGCAACCTTCGCACAGTGTGCCCTCAAGTAGAAGCTGAAGGAGGATTACAAAGGGCAAGAAAGATGAAGCAAACCACACCGAAGACAGGAAAGGGTACTGCGGGAGAGGAATGGTGTTTTGATCCAGACCGACATTTGAGATCTGCGGAATCTGCAATGGGCCAAACCAGGTACTGATCTGACATAAGACGCAATGACATGGTATCCATGTTCTGCATATTAATCTATGCTATCTGATCTCAGTTTGATCGGAATGTGAGCGGAGGAGTCGGATGGATATTGAATTTTCACAGAGGACTTAGAATTCTTCATGTGTGATAGAGGCACGCCGACAGTGACAATGAAGAGTTCAAGAGCCGGCCTCGGGTCGACACTCCAGTCTCGGCCCATGTCTCGAACCCTATTCGTTGAATCTGCTTTTTCGGCATAGACTTCCGAGATCTTGAAGGCAGTTATTTCTCTAAATCCAGATTCTGCCAAAGTTCGAGAACGACCTTTTGCTACATCCTGAACTCTATTTCTTTGATTATGCCTTTCGGATCAGACTCCCGAGATTCTCCAAGGCATGTTTCGAACTCTGCTAAAATTGGAGGAAGACTTTTCCTACATTGGCAGGAAAAAGCATAGAAATGGCAATTATATCCACAGATCGTGAACAGAGTTTTCTAGATGACTGCGCTCCGAGTACTAGAAGTCATGGCCGTAAAACTTTAGAGTTCATCATCCCATTAAAAAGAGCCGGTGGAGCTTCTGCCACGTTGTGCCACTTGACAATAGTTCGCCCAGAACCATAGGTAAACAGAGGAGCTAAACAGGGATAATTAACGTGGCCACCAGCAAATGCCAGTGCGGATGGCGATGAATCAGCAACTGCAAAAAGAAAACAGGATATATAGGGAAGCAATATAATGGTCCACTTGAAAGGCAAAGAAGACAGATTGCAGAGCAGACAAAGGACTCAGAAAGCAATTCCTCATGTGGAACGGGAATGCTCAAGGTGAGTACGGGCGCCTGGTTTCGCCATAGCATGGCAGGATCGGTCATACCAGGTCAAGTGGAGCCAACATGACTCGTTGATCTTGTCGTCAGCCGCAATTCGCTACTCTTCCTCTTCTGTGTCCTCGGCGTGATTTGTTTTGAAGCTGATATAAAAATGGAGGTCTGAGCTTGAGTTCAGGACAAGAGCTTGGCGGGCGATCTTCGGTAATGCTATTCAAGGCTGGGACAGAGAATAGACCCTTCTTTGATATTGGGCATTATCTCTGTCCCTCCCGTACAGTAGGGTGCAAGAAGTGTCTGCACCCCCCCCCCCCCCCCCCCTTGCAGCTAAGGCACACTTACTTAAACAGCATTGCTTACCTGGCTGCTTTTCAACGCGTAACTTACAAGAAACAACACGCTTTTCTAGCTATTTAAGATGCCTCACGTTGAATTATCTCCTCAAATGCGATCCCGGATTATTAAATTAGCTTCAGAACGTTAGTCTGCGCCTCGGATTCATCGAAAATACTCTGAAATACCTCTTTCTACGATTCGACTTACAATTAAGACCTACCCTTTTAGTACTACTAATTTTACTTCAAAACCTCGAACCAGTAGGCCTCGAGCTTTAACAGAAGAATAACGCGATCATATATATAATACTATGAATCACACGAATCCTTATATTAAAATGCGAGACCTCCTCCGCGAAGTTAACGATAGCTGTAAAAAGCGATATATATAAAGCCTCCTTCGTTCAATGGATAAGAAGAAGTAGCTCTAGCGAAAACGACCTTTTATTACCCCGGCACACGCAAAAGCACAACTTAATTAGGCAATCCGACACCAGGCGTATACTCTGAACGATTAGATGAAGGTTTCATGGTCTGACGAGTGTACAATTAAGAGAGGAATAGGGGTTAAACCGATATAGATATTTACTCGTCCACGAGACCAGATTACACTAGGAGATATCCAGCCGATTCGATACTCGGGAAAAGGGATAAAAAAGATATTCTAGGCTACGTTTAGATATAATCGAAGGATAGGATTAATACCTCTTAATAGAGACCCTTTAGCAGCTCGTGGAGGAGTTACTTCGTGGGTTATTCGAGCTCTCTACGAGGCTTTCCTTCCGGAAATTATTATTAAAGGAGAGGAGTTTATACACGATAGAGCTAAGCTATATCGAGGGAATATTATTAAAGATATACTCTAGGAAATGTATATTCGAATAATAGAATAGCCTCCTTATTCCCCTGATTTGAATCTAATCGAGAACCTCTAGGCTTTAATAAAAGTTAAGTTATATCGATTACACCCTAAACTCGAACACGCCCTTAATACTGACGCTACCCTTGACGCCTTAATTCGTAGAGCACAGGAAGCGTAGCATAATATTAATAATAGGATTTTATATCGATTAGCTACTACTATAGAGAATCGAGTTAAGGCAGTGATTACTACTAGAGGATAGTATACAAAATATTAGATAAAAATCAGATTCTTTGTTTACTCCTAAAAGCAGCGATATTAATAATACTAAATTAGGTAGTGTGCCTTAGCTGCAAGGGGGGGGGTGCAGACACTTCTTGCACCCTACTGTAGATACTATCGGAAGAGTTTCATCTCGGAAGAAAGTATACCAGCTGATTCCTTATACGATATGGTAATGGTGACAATATCAGAATTGTTGGTGTTGCGGGGTCCTTCGCGTCAGCTTTGCCTCAGCCTTGCAGTACAGTACCAGGCAACAAGCCAAACAGTTCATCCAGTGGGGCACTTGGAGGTAAATAAAGGCTTCACAACAACATCATGACTGACAACATTACTGCAAAATCTGAACGGCTTATGCATTGACAAGCAAAAGGTAATAGTTCTCCTAGGTTTTCTTTTTATTTTGTATTTGATTGACACCATGACCAGAAACAATGTCCGCCCTTACTGAATTCCACCTCTTTCCCACCCTACCCAGCGAATTGCGGATCAAAATCTGGGAGACTGTCCTCTCGAGCCCTCGAATCGTCCATATAAACTGCGAAAAAGGCGTCATCAAGTCGAACCAACAGCAAACACGCTTCATCAAATCATTCCTCTCCAGTACACCGATTCCCCCAACTCTACATGTCTGTCGCGAGTCGCGGTACGAGGCCTTGTCTATCTACAAAACACACTTCGCAACCTTCAAGTCCAATTATACGCCGTACCATAAGACCTTGAAGGCACCCAATTACATCTATGTTGCGTTTGGCCAGGACACAATCCGATGCAGTGACAATCTGCTGGAGTATTTTGATAATGTTGAACTTGGGAGCATTGAGAAGATGATACTCGAGGTGGCAGATGCTTCATGCTTTGGACATTTCAATATGGAGGTTGTCATGGGTATGGCGCGATTGAAGGAACTGGAATTGAATACCGCCGAAGGACTTCTGACGGATTGGAGGGGCGACAGTAAAGCCATTCTTAGCAGAGACTTTGAGATTGCAAAGACGAACAATCCGGGGTGGGAGAGTCCACGAGTTCGTATTACCAGTCGAACGACGGGGGAGGATCTGAAAGTGCTGGAAAGAGGCGCTTTAATCCCAGGCTGGGTGCCAGGGTAGGTTGCTTGTTCTGTTTTTTGAACGGAGCCAAAGCTAATCATGACAAGAGACCCGAACACGTTCCTGGATTAAGCCAAAATGGCTTTGCAGATTTCTGATGGTACCGTACATCTATAACGAATATGTGGGTTTAAGTATTGTACGGCATATCAAGTATCGGAAAATTCACCCATTTCACATATCTCAAATGTAAGCTCACACAACCGGGTACCTACTTGGGTTATCCTGTTCCACCCACAACGGAATATACAGCAAGTGCTGCAATACATACTCTAGTTTTTCGCAAGCAACCCACGCCTCTTTCTGCTTTAGATTGCAATTATTTTGTTGTAATTGAGTAAGTTGCCTTGCTGCTCTAACATCACCTTGTGTATATTTCTCTGCTAGTCTAACTGTGCAAAATGCACGATCTTTGTACAAATACACCGCCAACAGCTACGATGAAATATAGTCGCGTTCCATTAAAGTATGAGACCCTGGCGCCAAAGGCCAAGATCCCAGGTCTTCTGTGCTGGGATATGCCTCATCGCTTCCTTCAGTCCTCTCGAGTAGTTCTCGGTACTTGCAATTCAGATTGATGTATTCTTTCTCCAGTTCATTACACTTTATCTTGAGCCCACGAACTTGGTCTTCTAGCCAGATGACATGATGTTTTTGTCTTTCTCGAAACGAGCGTTGAGACTCGCGATTCTGACTTCGGCGTTTCTGTGATGGAATTAGCTAGCTGCTGGTCATACTTCAGTAAGATAAATTCCTACGTTCAGAGCGGAGTCACTCAGACGCTTGCGTGAGTAGCGAGGTTTTGTTGCTGAGGCAGCTGGTGACTCGGATGGTGATTGACTATATGATAGCGAGGGAGACTGGGTGACGTTCGTTTTTGCGTTTTCAGGCACCTGTTGGGTTGACCGAGGGATACTATTCCCCACACTTTGAGCTGATGCCTCCCATACCGAGAGAGGAGCCTAGAGTCAATTAGCCTTGATATCTACCTAGACTTCCAGCTGAGCGAGTGCTCACCGACGATTGTTCTTCTCGATCGTTCATGTCTGACGCTGCAAACGTCCCTTCGAACTGCCATGCTTCATAGTCGAAAGGGATGAGGTTTTGGCAAGACTTTTCCCATCTCACCATCGCATCGTAATGATCCTATAAGGTGTTGGTGTGAGCATCTACACAATCATGGACGGTGGTTCACGATTGCATACCATGGAACCGCTAGGTGAGTAGATGTCTGAGCTGGAGGACGAAGTACCAGCCTGCCACATTTCATCAACGAAGTCAAACCCAGATGTGTGTTCAGCATTGTTGTAATTCATGTTTGACATAACTTCAAGGGCAACTGATATGACTTTGATCGACAAAATTACACGTGGATTGAATCATCAAAAATTTCAGGAGAGGAGATCACAGAACATTCATATATGCTTCTCTCTGCAACAGACTGTGGAGATCATTTATATTAAAGTTTCAGTCAACTGCACCGCTCGGCCCTCACCGTTCGCCTCAGCAGTCTCTTCAATCGGACCAGTCTATGGAGAGCATCATACATACCAGAAAGAAAAAGTCGGGCAAGAGGGGCTGAAAGATTGGTAGTATGAGATCTCTTCACCGTCCGCGAATAATTCTATCCAATACTGCTACTTGGTTCTCGTCATCTGGGGATGATATTTCGGTGAGAGTTAGCCCTTTTGTCCCTTTTCGGAGACTTAACTGAGGATTTTCATCTCCAGCTCCAGCTGATGAGCTTTCCCTATGAACTAGAGCCGTGCATTATCAGCATTGTTATTGGTGTGGACTAATATGCTAGGGTTCCAATCAGCAGTTGTCAGCCACATTGATGATTAAGCTGCTCTGTGGGGGACGAAAGTTTAGGTACCTCTAAGGTATACCCAAAGGAGACATCGCTGATCCTGATCTAGGGTTATTCCTAATTGGGTTGCTGCTGATCCTGGTCTTCAGTCTCACTATGGAAAATGCTAAAAGACGTGGAAACACGTACAAGGTACTATTCTTAAGTGTGGTACTGATGAGATTCAGCCAAAAAATGATTCAGCTACACGACTTTCCCCTTACATGAAAGCACGAAGTCCTCCTCCCTTCTTGTGTTCCGTCGCATTGTGTCTATTAGATGCTCTTTCTGGTCTCATCGTCAACAAATATTTTGGCGTTGACGCCGGCCAACATTGCCTCCTTAAACTCCTGCCTGAAGGAACCTATCACTGACAACTTCGTCCCAAAGAATTCTTCCCGCAGTATCGCAAGCACTCTCAAGCCATAGGTACTCCTCAATATTGTCAACCACATCTTGCCATTCTAACAGCTTCAGGGCTCCGGAAACCGCTTCCACATTTTGGACATACCACGCCCTTTCCTTCGTGCCAGACGCAGCAATACCACCCAAAACCAAGATCCACAGTAATGTCTTGGGACACAGCTGCCAACAAGGATCAAACTTCGACGTTTCCATGATATTCTTTAATGCCGTCGCCAACTTTCCAAAGATACCTGTTAGAGGTGGTAATGGAAAGGTTACGGCAGTGCTGTATATCATCACTGCATGGCGAATGGAATCGTACAGACAGATACTGCTTACTTCGCCAACTCCGAGCTCTTCCCCAGACGCCAGCGACATCAGACTGTGCTGTGTCGCATTTCGCTTAAGAACAAATGCTGCCATGTCTGTAATAGGCCTTACCCCTCTCGTGTGGCCATCAATGACCATGCTCACATCCACCATATTTCGAATAACTCCCAGCGCGGATTCATTGATTCCGAACGGATTCAAGCTTTCAAATCCTCGCCCTAGATTCCTCAAGGAAAGTCTCAACATTCGGTCGATTTCGAGTGCGGGAAGGTCCTTGGCGGCGGCGAGCAGAGGAAAGTGTGGTCTACAAAGACTCTGAGTCGCTCCAAGGACATCTGAACTGCAAGGAAGCGTTTCAGTAAATCTTGTGTTTTCTGGGGCAATATGAGCGCGGGTCTGTGCTTACAGAGAGAGAGTCTCCGCTAATCCTGGTAGCTCTACATTCTCCAAGCCGCCTCGACGAGCGACCAGAGATCGCATTGCCAGCGTATGTGCCTTCACGTGCGTGATGCTACCATACACATCAAGCCACTGGATACTCGGAAGCGGCGAGTTGAAAGGCGAGCGAACCTTCTCCTTCATGTGATTTGCTACCGTCTCAACCTCATTCGTACTCAGAGCCAGGACAGCCAATATCACGTCATCTAAAGCTGTTGCATCGGGGTTCTTCATCTCTTCTTTCAGCAGTGTCATGGTCTGCACTTTGTGGAAGAGGCGAAGAGGATTTTCAAGACTGATTCGGGGACTTCGGAGAACGTCCATGTGGACGATGGCACCGAAGGCCAGGGCATGCATCAGGATGGGCTTTTCCCAGGCTTTACGAAACCATGCTGTGGGCATTTGAGTCTCAGGACCAAGACCTGGCCATAAGATTGCAACAGCTGCCATCGAAGTCAGATCTCCTGTGACTTTCGGGTGAGGATCCTGGGGAGGGCTTTGACTTACAGTGATCGAACAATTCTGGTATATTACTTTTCCCACCTACAGGGTATATTCTGAATGGATCTACCCTTCCTGCTCCTAGCGGTGATATTGGACTGCCAGTAATGGACGATGGAGTCGGCGAGTGATCAGGAAGTCGTCTCTCCAGACCATTTTCCTCGTCGGAAACAGACACTGAGTTGCTCTCGCCATTATTACTGCAGGGCCTGGAAGAATCTGACGTCGGATACGACCAAGACGTATTCGAGGGGAACTCGGTACCATTGGTGCTGATATATGGATTTTCGATCGTCCGATCAAGACGCGAATTATAATTCAGACTGGACTGAGATGAAATAAGAACCGCACCATCTTGACTGACTTCTCTAACGAGGGTTGGCTTCTCTTGGACCTTTGGGGGCGTCTTTTTACGGCGAAAACTCCTCATTGCCGTGGATCGGATGATTTTCTTGTTCCGCTGCTTCTCGAGCGGGGAAGATGCATTCATGCTGACGAACTGCAGGTCCATGCCCCCAGTGCTGCTATTCCTACTCCCCTGGAGATCTGAAGCCGCGGAGTCATTGCTGGCCATGTCGTCCAGTCTCGGCTCCCTCCTGTTGCACGAGATCTCGCAGGAGTCAAAATAGTATCTTCATGCATCGGCCGACCAAAAGTATTCACACGGAACTAGAACAGCGACCACCCCGCTTTGCAAGAATTTCTTTGAGGCTCAGCTATCTCATCTCTATCAATTATCACGACTTCAAGATCACGCCGGATGAAGTTTTCCGCCTTCGTATTGGGTACGCGTGTTGCATTGGTCAGCTTCCCACCAAGTCGCCGAGCATGCATGTCAGCGGTAATCCCTCCATTTGTAGGTCTTCTCCGGTGCACCTGCATCTCATTCCACGTGCGCATCGGGTTTAAGATCGCCATGCCTCATCTGGATCGTGGTATCCCATCGCTTTGCAGCGTGACTTTGACAAAAGTACCGGCACTTGATTGTCTCTGGACTTCACGACAGCTGAGGGCCACGAATATTCTGATATTTATTCCAATCGAATTCATTGGAACATTGCAATTCTGTACCACGTCCAGTAGACTAGCGATGAATTCATTTTGTTATTGAGCTGGGTGGGGGACCCTTCGCACAATCGAATGTTCTCCAACCAGGTCAAGACATCCTTGTGGTCAAGGGATCACCGGACCAGAATGTTCAATTTGTCAACCTGATTCGAACAAAGTGTTATCAGAGCCCCTTCTACCTAGTTAAATTCAGATAAGTGATTGCTTCCTGCCACTTTGAATATTTTGGCAAATTTGTAATCATCGCTGATCAGTATCGAGACCATTATCGGATCCTATCATCTTGTAGTACAGACACCGTCACTCTGATGTTCTATGCCGATCAACATACGACGAAACTGCCCAGATGACCCGATATAATGCCTCTCAGCTTCAGATCGATCGCGGACTTCACACACCAACCCAATATCATATCATACGTTGCCGGGTTTGCCTTGGCTCCTCAGCCACCGAACACCTTCACAATGAGTAAGCGTAAATGTATGCCAGTGGCTGCATTTGACTTCAATGCGACCTAAATTTCAAGTCTCGCTTTTTATATGTCGATAGGAAACAAAATTGCCGATCAGAGTGTGCAGCTGCCGACGTGTACGTTTATTCACATCAAGCTTGTCCTTTCGACCCATGTACTTCTACTTGAATAGTCTCGCTTTGGCATTTGTTAGAAATGTTCATGAATGACTGTATAAGCGACTCTTATGTTTGGATAATATGTGTGAGCTGATGTGAGGTCTTTTTAGAATGCTCTTTGAAATTCGTCAAACGGGTTGAAGATTAGATGTCGGGATCGATAAACAACTTCATCTATTGTTTCTAATATGGTTTGGCAAGAGCCATACACTCACTGAAATGAGGGCTTGCGTAGTGCTGCGACTGCCCTGCGACGCCAAAGGCTGCCCACGACCCACGTCCACAAGCTGTACTCCAGAAGGATTCAGCGTGCTTTCTAGCAGGGTAACTCACCCGTTCTATTTAATATTAGTGTTAGAACTTTCCCACGTACAGAGAAAAAATTTCACTCCTTCTCAGTCACAAAAAGTCCGTTGTTATTACTTGTCGCGCTGCCCAAGCCAACAGAACAGGCAACACAATCTATGTTTTAAGCGAGGATCGCTGTCCTCTAATCTCGTCTTCACACCCCATATCGGATATTCCGAAAGCGGTTATATTTTTAAATCAGAAGATGACTGTCACATACGACCATAGATTGAGGAATCCAGGGCATCCCGTCCGCTCTGCCGTACTTAAACCTCAAATCGGTGGATTAGTAGTTGGGTGGGTGACCACCAGCGAATACCTACTGTTGTATGTTTTTTGATCTTTCCTTTTGTCGAACAGAGACCAGAAAAACGAACGATACGTAGAAGAGATGAGGTCCAGCAAGTAAGTTAACGACATTTACTCGGAGGTGCAAAATCGGGTAGGACTTGGCGGGGAAGATGCAAGGCATATCTCGAGAGTGGGATTGCCATCAGGTATAAGCCATGGCACCGGGATTGCCTATCGCAGTGACATTAACGCATCAGGCTCTCTGGTGATCATGAATATTGGAACATTACCATTCGATCAACGATGAGGATTTTCCACTTTTGCTGAAGTAAAGCGTTTCTTTTATGGAGTCGACTCACCTATATTTTGTTTACAGTACGAACTTAGTAAGGTACAAGGATCTGATACTGATAGTCGACCGGTCATGCCGTGAACGACATCCCACTCATGGCCATTCCAAGTCAAGAGATAAGAAAAATGGCTTCGACAGAGCAATTCTAGACGCATATATCGGACTTGGTTGGGTCGAAGTGGAGACATGCGAGCGGTGAAGATGACATGTTAAAATTTGTCGATACCGATATGTTGATATAAATATGTTTGGTTTCCTTTTCTGTGCAGAAGCAACAAGACCTTTCTCTGACTATACCTAAATCCTATAATGTATACTTTCAAAGTGCTTTCCATCTTTGGCCTGTTTGTTTCCTCAGCAAGAGGTGCTTTTACAATTCCCAATGATGATCAGAATATGTCAGGCCTGACGGTCAACTCTATCCCATATTCAACACGGGTAAAATACATGCGGCTCGTAGGTATACGCGTCTTCACTTCTTGTACAGCCACTGACAGACTTACAAGGCAAATGAAGCTCTCTATGAACAGAGCGGACCATGTCCATTTGCTGCATACGGAACAATCATCGTCAACCATACTGCCGATGCGATTGTCTGCAAAGGTGCCAACTTCAGGACCGGGGATCCCACGCACGTCCACCCTTGTTCCTCATGAATTATCACCTTCTGATATATCTACAGTATCCATGGTGAGATATCAGCGATCAATGCATGCACAGCTGTCTTCGTCGCGAAGAACATGACGGCATCTCAAATCTTTGCCGCCTGGGGAGAACTTTCCATCTATACGAACGCTGAATCGTGCCCTATGTGTGCGAGTGCGATCCGGTGGTCTGGCTTCAAAGGTATGGCGGGCCAAGTGTATTGATCGCTCTGCTTGATGGGTGGACGTTGACCTGCACAGAATACATTTATGGAACAATCATTCAGCACAACTATAATGCAGGATCGGGTGTCATAACCATATCATCCTACGACGTTTTCCAGCAGACTAGACAGCTTCCTGGATATCAGACGAGTATGTTAGGACAGATCTTGACCAATGAGACGGATCCCCTGTTTTCGTGGCAGTACAACGAAGTATGGCCATCCATTCTTGAATCTAAATCCATTCCAGTGACTGACATGCTCCGTAGTCGTATCCCTGCCCAAATGGCTGCGTCAGAGAGTACAGTCTGTCAAGAGGATACAAGACGTGTTTCGCGCCCAATGCTACGGTCACGAAGCGAGAGGCTGTTGACCATGGTGATCATTGGCATTGAGTGATTGGCAGTGAAGCTTCTTCAGGGTATGTTCGGGTTATCGTAGGACGTTGGCGCATGCAAATGAAGAGGGAATGTTACCAATTACTCGATACCATTTCTTTCTCCGGTACTCTAATTTCGACTCAACTGGCTGGAGGAGTGAGATAGAGTATCCAAGAATAGAAATCGCTACCGTGTAAATGAATGAAGTCCGAACCTCCCCGACAATCTCCCCAAATTAGCCGAGGATAAGAGGAGATGGCCTTTGTTGACTCGCAATTGTGATGTTCTGCAAAGGGACAATAGAAAGAATATCTTCATAAGCAGCGAATTTCTGGACTTCGCATGGAATAATGGTTCAGCGTCAGTGATCTGATCAGTTCTGACACAAGAAAAATGTTGGTAAATGTAACCTTGAAGCAAACAAAAGCCATTCCCATCACAATGAGCTCGAGGATCTCTTGATTTGAGCAGCCACATATCGGACTCCATCAAAGACTCTAAGTTACGCAAGCCATGAAAAGTACCACAGACATGGCGTTCATCCCAGAAGGCTTCGTCCCAACTGCCGTCCCAGAGTTGGCCGAAGCCGAGAAAGAACTTGATGCAAGTATCATCGCAGGTGGGTTTCATAACTTATATATCACTACCTAATATCAAATTAAGCTTCGCAGTACTTCCTGTAGGGTGCAAGATCGCAGCTGTTGCTGAACACGGAGCAAGTCGCGCTGCCCTTGCCCACAGAGTTGAACCCTCCTCGCCGACGGAACAAAGAAAGCGTTTTTCCTTAAGGTGTAGACAGATTGTGAATCCTCACGAATCTACAACTAATCGAGACTAGGTCCTGAAAAGAAATCTTGGAAAAGATATGGTAAAAGGAGAATTCGAAAGTCGCAAAGCACAGCGTGTCGTTATCCTCGAACATACCCCTGTCGCCCATGGAACCTACGCCAAAGGCCCAAACAGCCATTTCTTCCCTTGCGATTTCCATGACCGAAATGCTCTTTATACCTCTTCTATATATCGGTCTCTTTGCAATTGATGTGCTGACGTGAACAGGAGAAACAACATCAATGTATCTGCGGGGTGGCCTGATTAAAAACCCACACGGATACGACAAGTCGAAGTCCCTCATTCAAAGTTGATTGAACATGTGTTGCTGAATGCGATTTTCAGTGTAATAGAGGAGATGCGCAGCTTGGTGACAAAGTACGGTCTCGACGGCTTTCGACTTGCCAAGTACGGACCTTCATTTCCTACTCTTCTCAATCCCAGCAACTAACATCTCAACCCCCCTCGCACACCTATTATGCCCCTTGCTCTCCCAAGCCTCAGCCTGCTGTCCCCCAATAAAAGCATTATAACCTCCTGTAGTCCAATCCTCCCAATAATCCGCATAGACCATGAACTCAGGCCAGCCACCCTGCGGGCTATCATTCTCCATTTTAACCAGCTTGACAGCTTTTTCGAGGAGGAAGTCCCTCATCATACCGAACGATTTCTTTTTCCATGTCCGCTCATACTCATTTGGATGATAGGGCTCCTCTTTTCCGAATCCGAGAAGCAGAGTGGGTTTGTGGATGAGATGGGGTGGAAGGATGCTGAGTGCGTGCTTGAGAGAAGTGCAGTGTGACCAGGTGTGGTAGGGGAAGAGGAGGATGAAGGCAGAGTGTTTCGATATCTCAGCTTGCCAATCTGATGGAGACTTAAGAGGTGTTGTATTTGACTCGCTTGCCTTGAGACCAGACGGTGAGTCTGCTTGAGAGAAGTTATATGATGCGATATCTATAATGTGGATCTCATATTCGGGAACCCTCCAAGCAATGTAGTCTTGCTTCGAGAATTCTGCGATAGCAGTGCTGAGGACATTTAATGGGCGGGGAAGGTCTGTGTTATGGATGAGTGAGATGCTCTTGGTTGACACTTCTATGTCCGCCATGCTCAGCCTTCAGACTCGTGATAATGAATGTTATCTGTTCGAAGAACTCATCGGGGGTGTCTTCTGGAGGACTCTCTTAACTGCTGTGGCGGTGTTGGAGATGAGTCAAATTTTATCCAACCGACCTCGTATTTATTGCAGAGTCACCCCAACATGCATTCAAACGCATGAAGACTGCGCGAAATTGTCGAAAGTTGTAAATCATACGGTCCCCATATCGACAAGAAGTTACATCTGTGGAGTTGATGTTATGCAAGGAAGCGATTTCTAGCAGTGCGGGTTGTGGTGGGGTTGATGGCGGGGTCGATTTTGAGGCGACTCCAGTGCCCGAAGACGCGGAACGTTGGGCAGATTGAGGCACCCGTATCATATCGCCGAACTTCTCGCGTGTCTCACTGAGGAGACTGTTCTAGGACTGGAAATTTGCCAATGAATGAAATGGTACACTGAAAAAGGCATCTAGGCATGGCGACCAAAGACCAAATTTCGAAGCTTTCGACGTCTGGAAACTACATCCAACGACTTCAGGTCAGAAAGGCTGTACTTGTCCACCTCTCCAAGTAGAATATTCCCTATTCTGACGAGGTACTTTTCTCCAGAAGCCGAGAGCCGAAAGGATTGCTGTGTAGGCTCTAGCAAGACATCGATTGGTGATTTCCCCTTGATAATGATGCGTGGATCCGCCCCAATTTCGTGGAGGAAGGAGAAGAATGAGAACATTAGCCGGACATGGCCACAGGCGAAGATATCATCATGGCCGCAGATGTGAGAGAATGTAGCCATATTGCGATATCCACAGACTTCGTGCAGAATGGTGGCACCGCCATGATGCGCGTTAATCTCCGCTCCTGCGGCAATGGCACAGCGTACTGTGCAGCGATCAATGTCGCTAAACCCTCCGGTTTCATGTGGGCGATATTGTGTGAGAATACTGCGAAGCAAAATATGTTTGATGTTTGGATCTGAGGCGTGTTGCTCGAGGAGGAGATTTGCGATGCGAGCCCAGTTTTGCAGGAGACCCGGGGGAATGTTGTCACCCACGGCTCTATACTTTGTCAGAAACCTGATGAATACATCTTTACCAGCTCCTTGTTTTATGAGAAACTCGATGGTCAACAAGAATTCCGGGTTGCAAAGTTTTTCGATGCCCCACTTGTCCAGAAGCAGTTCGATGGTCGCCTGGATCTGGACATACTCATTCTCGAGACCTGCTTTTTTGAAGCCGATGGGAATTTCCAAGTTGGCCTCATGTTGCAAGAAGAACTTTAAGCCGTCAACTGGATGGAGCTTTGCATTGTCGTCCCAGGTTTCGATCGCGGAGAGATAAGTAAGTAGCGGCGTAGTGAGCACAGCGTTGGCTGCTGGGTGTTCTCTGTTGCGGGATATGAAATTGATGTGGGCGCCCAAATCGAGGCATCGTTCCATCATAGCTGTAGTTCCATGCTGAACCATTGAGACCGCTGCTGCATAGATAGGGAGGTGCAGGGGTTGTCGGAACGGATAAGGTGCATGTTTGTTGAAAGGGTTGCACTTCTCGGTGCCGTGAATATCGGCGCCCCTTTCAATCAGTACATCGAAAATTTGTATGTTGTTTTCCAGAATGGTAGTTGTCAAGGCTGTCACAACGATGTGGTGTTGCTTGGGTCCGTAGACCCTTTCATGCTTATTGACATCGACCCCATGATCGAGAAGTGTCCGGACAAGTTCAACCGACCCTCCATTTCGAATGACGGACGGGAGAGACAGCTCGATCCCCTTCAGTGAGCCGAATCCAGCTTTAAACAACGAGAATAGAACTGCTTCTTTGACTGGGTTGCACAGTTTCCTGGAGAAACGAGGACTGAGTGTGACATTGCTATGATCGAAAGTGGCTCCCATCTCTACCAGTAAGTCGAATACATCGGCGTGCCCTCTTTCCGCAGCTAACTTGAGAGTCGAACAACATTTATATTGGGCGTCAATTATGTTTACGTCAGCGCCATATGAAGTAGCTAATCGTATCGTATCGATGTTTCCAGACTTGCAAGCCCGCCGCATGGCTTGCTCTAAGAAATCCCGTGAGCCGTATAGGACAGGCTGGAGGCGATAGCGAAGACATTTGCTACATCGTATCAATCTACTGAGGGCTTCGGTATTTTTCTTCAGATTTTCAAGAATAAGATCCAAGAGTTCTGGTATTAAAAGCTCCAAGGAGGAAGACATTGGGTTGGTGGTCTGCAGCCGACCGTTCTGAAATCTTTTGATTGCGTGTCAACTTGTTTGAAGTAATAAGAAGGTCGAGATCTGATATGAGAATGCCAGCCAGACATGAATGCTTCAAACATGGCTAACTCTAGACAGGCTGTACTTATGGGCAGTCAAATTAGAGCTCGCAAGTCTCGAGGGTAAGCTAAGAGTCACAGCTGTAATCACTGCCACCGCGCCTGTAGTCATGCTGCGCCACGACCCCAACCGAGTGGCTCATACCACTGATTGGGTAAGGCGATCGCAAGTAATATTGAATCAAGACAGACAAGATATCTATCAACAATTAAGATCAACACGAGCAATGAGAATGTTGTTGTGTTTGAGGTTCGCGAGATTCGCGGTTTATTTTAGGAACTGCTAAAGATGCACTTCAACTACTAAGGGATTTCGGAACAACAAGCCAAGAGTCAGTTGATAGTGATTAAAATGTGTTAACAGGTACAAGGTTATTATTTCTCGAAATTAACCCTCCTGTAAGGACAAATGTGGCTTCACCCTTGGAGTATCTTGCTATAGCTAAGACATATTTGCTAGGTACAGATAAACTGTATATTGTTTCAAATTTGTATACTAAAGACTGAAATGCATATATTTTTCTAGCAGTAGCCCCGCATGAACCAGTTCGAATATTCCCCACGAGTCCAACAGATCAAGACAAACGCCACCTGTTCCTGAAGTGAAGAGGGAAATGTGACTTCTCACAACCCAGAATCAATCTGATCTACAACAGTCGTATTTGTATAAGCCGCCCAGTCTCTACAGGTCTGCGCCATGATAGATGGAATTGGAAGATTAGCAATATCAGCAGGACGTTCTAGAACTGTAATATAAAGACCAGCGGAGACGTGCCAAGCGATGTGACAATGCAACGGCCAAGCACCCGGATTATCCTGATTAATCTGCATGACAAGGTACCCTCCGGCACGTACCATCTGCACATCGCGGCGTTGTGGGTTTGCAGCATTGATGATGGTTCCGTCCCACGTTCCGGTACCTTCGGCTAAAACCCAGAAATTGTGGCCGTGAAGATGCATGGGATGCGCTGCAACGGTCGGGTTCTGGATGTGGATGCGGACCGTAGCGTTGGAACCGAAGTTGTAACTATTCCAGTTTCTCGGGAAGGAATTGTTGCCCATTTTGGAAAGGAGGAGGACGGGCTGATTGTAGTTCACGCGGAAAGAGGATCCGTCCATTGTCCAGAGCCAGTTTCCTGATGCATTCTGACCGAAATTGATAGCTACATTGCGCGTTGTAGATGGAACTGCGGCTGGTGTGATAGGGTACCATGGTTTCGTTAAAGCCAAGGCGTCCTGAATTGTTAGCGAGAGAGTCTGTTTTTAGAACGGCTAAGTTGACATACATTGCCACATTGATTAGCGACTGCAGTTGTAAATTCTGGCCATGGAATTGTGTTCGGCATCGCTGTAGCTGCATCCTGAGTCCGGTAATAGACCATGGCTTTCGCGACCTGTTGATTGAATAGTGAACATGCTGCAATATAGGATCGCATCACGACCGGAGTCGGTGTCCCCGCCTGAAGAAAAAACCTACGAGTTAGTATTGTTTTGTGTCGACACTGAAAGGACGGGAATACACAAAGGAGACGGAGAAGGCAGCCGAGGATAGGGCGTGACTTCAGGCCTTTTTCTAAGATGGAACGAACAACTCCGAGAACTTACCAGCCCTGTCACTAGAATGTCTGTCCTTTGGCCGACGCCGAGGGTAACGACTGCTCGAATTAGTAAATCCCTCCAACTGTGCAAACCATCAAAAGCTGACCTTTAGTATCGTAAGGTATTATAGGAACAAAGTCGTTGGCAATGACCTTCAAGGTGTGGCCATCTATTGAGAACATCATTGTCGCTTCAGCACCAGCATTGATTAAGCGAAGCCGGTGGACCTTCCCTGGATAGAATCTGAATTTGGAAGTAGCAGCGTTGCTGAAGCACTGCCGAGTGTCGCCAACAGCCTTCTTAGTGCAGTCGAAGCTGTTCCTTCCGTTGATGAGATTGTTATCCGAAAGTTGGATCTGACCACTTCTGTAAGTAGGTGATTCGAAATTGGGCAACGGATAGAACCTACGACTTTGTTGATGTCCGTTGACATAGTATCCTTGACAATGTCAAAATATTCATGGTGATAGTGGTCACTTAAGATAATCGGTCCAACGTCTAATTAGGTAGTTAGTGTCAGATTTCAAAGTGCTTCTTTCAATGCTTACCTGTATCGTATGCAACCGTGCTAGGACCATGAATGATAAGTGGCCCTACCACACCTCCAGCGTACTGTCCACTGTAGTGGGAATGATACCAAGTAGTGCCATAAAGGTCCGCAAGAAATGAGTAGGTGAAACTGCCTCCTGGCACGATTGGACATTGTTGAACTCCCGGCACACCATCCATCCATCTTGTTGTAGCTATCAGCTTAGATACTTAGACACGAACAAGTACGTACTGCATCTCTTTCTGCAAAATACCGTGCCAGTGGAGGGCTGTCCCTTCCTCAGGATCCGTGATTTGGTTATGTACGGTGACTTGGATCGTGTCGCCCCTAAAGATCAGTTGAGTGTCAAAGCCACATGATGTTCTGAATGTACGTACCAGTTCGCTTCGATCAGCGGTCCAGGAAATTGGTTGTTAACCAGCATCACGTCTTTGTAATATCCATCTGGTGCTGCCCAACCTCTGGTGATGGTGAAATCATAAACCCGGATGACACTACAAATATCAGTCCGTGCGCCTTGCATACAGCAAGAACGAATCATACCCAGTGTGAGGAGGATCTAAGTCAACTTAGCAAACAACAATTACTGGGGAAGGAGTTGTGATTCTTACCGGCTAAGAAAGCGGGTTGTTAGAGAGCCATGTCAGTCAATGCACTGGATCGAAAACTCACTGTCTATTATATCGTTAGCTTAGCTAGACAGACTTGCTCGGTGGGCCGCCAACTTACATGCATTGGTGTTATTTGCTGTCTTCCCACCCCAAGGAAAGCCTTGAGGGAGAGGCTAGACGTTGATCAGAGCTGCTCGAATATCCTCAAAGGAGCTATATGAGAAATATATATCGCAAAAGATGCATGTGCAGGAATTTGAAGTGTGTATCACACAAGAGGAGTATCACACAAGAGGACCAACGAAAGAACAGCCACCCTCATAATTGGGTGGTACATAACATGAGTAATTGCAGAGTACGGAGTAATAAATTTGAGATCATAGAACTAGAAATCTGCCACTCACCGTCACAGGGGTCGTAGTGAGGAGGTACTGAGGAGGCAGTTCCGGATAACTTGCTAGGATGAAGTCAATCTTAAGTTTGCCAGCTTGGAGTCGGAAGCCTGACCTTGGCCTGCAACAAGCGACACCAGCAGTAGAATGATGAACACAACGTATCCCATGGCTAATGATGCCATTGATTCAAGTTAATGTGAGTGGAAACTGATGAGCGAGTCGATGAATGTGGGCGAGAGAGAATGAGGGGTTGCCTGCCACTTATCATCTTCTGAGAAGGACAATACAAGAAGCGCTTTCAGCCCTCCTCCATTTCAACAGTCGAGCTACCAATGCTGCTTCCCGTGTAGCAACAGTATGTACAGGATGAACTTGTTCCGAAATAGGACTTCGGATTCTCTGTAGGACCGCGAGGGAGAAGTCCAGCCATGTCTAGCCCGAGTACCAAAATCCAGTTTATGCTCAAGAACTATCAAGCTTGCTTGCATGTGCGGCTGCAGTATGCACGAAAACTATCGCAAAGACGGGCAGAGCATCCGTTTCTGCTTGGCACAACGATTGGATGCAGTTCGCGAGAGGCATGGAGAGGATGAACATGCATCTTGTTCTGGGACTAATTCGATCTTGGGAGCAGGATGTTCCAAGTCAAAGCATACCATACTTTAAGCACATACATCCAAGTACATAAGTCGCATACGCCACTGAGATATAGGTATCCAGCCGCTTGACCGCCACTTGAGGCGGGAAGCACCTTAGCGTGACCCAGGACTCCGTAAAGCACTTGCACGTTTCCCGTTAAACTCTTATCGGCCTAAATTTTGATGATTGGTATAAGATTCTGATAGATACAAGTGGGAGACTGTCCGGTGAGCTATCGAAAAAAATGAGGTGTCGGCAACTGGAACAAGTGGGACGGACAACTCGGCCTGGATCCGAAGGACTCAACTTGAGCCACAAAACTTGACCGACCTAATATCAGAGAATGCAAACTTGCAAAGATATTCATCTATTCGTGCAAAAGACAAGCTTTGTCTCTTCATGCCAAAGACGTGGTGTGATCACGTCCGAGAGCTCGGGCACAAAACTGGCTGGCCATCTTTTGCGGCAAATTTTCAAGGTAACACGCTGAAAGCCACATGTGGCACACACCTCAACGACCATGGATTCTCGAACGGCACATGAAAGAAGAGACGGCACGTTGATCTGTCCCGAATAGTAGATGGCAAGGCTCCAAAACCAATTACTTTCTCCTCTGTCCTCGTGGTCAAGCCGCCTCCTCGGGAGCGTTCAGGGCTAGGAGAAGTTTCCAATTACCTACAGCTAAGCAAGAGAAAAACTCCAAGAGCCAGGTTTGGTCAGAAATAGACTAACAGTTCGCTCACTCGGAACATATTGAGAGAGGGGCTCAATATACGCGGGATCGGGTGCAGGGTAATGGCGCAGCTGGATGACATTGGTCAGGTATCCGAAGGGAAAATGGTGTCCCCGAGGACCGAATAAGGTGGTTCGCTCGGTTGATACAAACATGGGCCATTCAGAAGACTGTGCGTTGTGATGTCGACCTGGTCTTCTTTGGCCCAGATCACCGTCTCCCACTTTTCAATGAACACCAGGATGAGCTATTGGAATAGCCATATGGGTATGTATGTATCCTTGTATCATATCCCATGCTGACAGACGGCTGATAGACAGTGGAAAAGATTGAGGTTCTCCAGCTGGAACGTGGTGCGGATGCAGGGCATGACCCTACGGGGGTTTTTTTTACAGACACTGTCTGCACTTCTTACAGACACTGTCTGTAAATAGGTATTTTAGACGGATTTTCTGTCTGCATTTTAGTCAATTGTCTGTATTTTTCTCAGCTGGATTCTCTGATTCTGATTGATTTTTAGAGATTTAAAGTGAAAATACAGACATTGCCTGTAATTTAAGGGAAATACAGTTATTATCTGTATTTTAAGAGTTTTCTGACTAATAAAGTTAATTTCTCCCCTCCTATTTCCTCCCCTCCTATTTCCTCCCCCTCTTTCCTTCCCTTCCCTTTTCCTACTCTCTCTCTCTGTCCCTCTAAGGTCTCCCTCTAAGGTAGGTCTCCCTCCAAGGTAGGTCTCCCTCCAAGGTAGGTCTCCCTCTAAGGTAAGTCTCTTTCTAAGGTAGGTCTCCCTCCCTCCCAAGGTAGGTCTCCCTCCCCCAAGGTAGGTCTCCCTCCTAAAGTAAGTCTCCCTCTCAAGGTAGGTCTCCCTCCCGAGTATTCCGGAGGTAGGTAGTGAAAGATCTGTGTTTAACTTTGTATCGAAACATGAAAGGTCCGAGTTCCTAAACTCTTCCTACCCTTGAAACACGCTAATTTGTCTGCATTTTTTTAATGAAATTGTAGCAGACATTGTCTGAATTTTGTCTGCATTTTACTGCATTTTACTACTACTAGGAATGCAGACAAAATGCAGACAATTTACAGACGTTGTCTGCATGAAAAACCCCGTAGGGTGACTGAAGAAAAGAACAGGCAAGCTGGAGTATAATTAGTTCCGTGGTCTTGGCAGCTTTCCTCTTTCGGACGTACGCTTTGGCCTCCTTGAGTCCCATGCACACAACGCAATCATCCTCTTTCAACCTCATCCCATCATCAATCAACAACATCATTTGATAGGAAGACGACACGGAAGGTACACACCACTACGCTGTCGAATACGTGGATCCACAGCGGCAACGGACATCTTCCGGGAGGATCCGTCTGACGGATATATTGTCCGATTACTAGTCCTCGTTCCTCGTCCCAGCATCTATTCATCGATTCGCCGTTCAGCTGAACGCTTTTCCTCACTGGTCGCGGAGCATGAATATTCCGCTGTCAATATCATGAGTGTGGCCAAGTACTTTCAGCATGTTCGCAGCTCATCTTGGAGAGGCTGGATTCTTCTGTTGTGTAACTTGCTATTTGCCTAAAGTCAATATGCAGGTCATTCAGCGGTACCGAGCAGAATCCCTGAATCCCGGTGTCCAAGAAGATCAAGAGCTTGCCGTCCCGTTCCTGATCTGTTTTTTGGTACTCGTTCATACCATTCAAGTCATGGGGCTATTTCCAAAGCTTCGATAGTGTGGATGGGGTTCTACATGCCTATCTGCAGTGGCTGAAAGAGCTGAGTCCGGACGGAGCGACTGTCACTCTAAGGATCGACAACTAAAGTCTGCAGATATTTTCATCGACAAGATACAGAGAGGAGAGTATGCCAGTCCCAAGCCCAAGGTTGGACCATAACGGAGGCCGCTGTCCAGGTCCAACCTGCATCATAGACAATTTACTCTCCGGCTTTCTGGATCTGAGACCTGTCTTAACTCAGTGAGGCATTTCACGATGTCTCCAACATGAGGTGGTGTGCTGCTGAATTGGGTCAGCCGCATGCCCTCGTCCTGTGGTTGGCCGACTGCGCCGTGAGCACACTGAAGATGTGGGTGAACTGCAAGTGTATGTATAGGCGACCCGCGTCACAACACGACAGGTTTCTGAGCATCAAACTCACGAATTCCTCTCTCTCTCTCCTGCCATGCTCGTACGATTCCCTGTACATCGCTTGTCAGGCTCTTGCGTCGCTCGCTAACTTGTTCCTGTGTCTCATTTCACTTTACCCGAAGTTGCCATTATTCAAAGCACGATGGTGTCTTTAATTTGCGAACTATGAACGCATTATTCGCAGCCTCTCCGTCATTCCAGTCTCTCTGGGCTGCTCTTCGAGAGAGACATGCATGAGACTATTGGAAAGAACCCCCAAAGTCAGATCCTCCGAGCTGGAATCTTCTGCGGGCGTGTGTGTATCTCTTTGATCTTAGAGTTCGCCCAATCACAACGTCTCTACAAGATTTGCGCCAAGAAGCCAAAACTGGATAGGCCCCAAAGAAGGCCTCAGGTGAAGTTATTCCGCCTTAAAGCTCTTCTTCGTTGGCGCTACATGGTTATGACAACTGCTGGAACATTTTTGGCGTTGACGGCTTGCTTCATCTCCGCTCGGCAGTGCTTGTGGGACTTACGGTGAGTATTTACCCTCTACTTGGCCAGGATCATGCTCAAAGTCCGGTTCTTCCTTATCATTGAGAATCTTCTCTTTATCCTACCAGTCGTGTAGTCACTGCTCAAATCATATGCTATCGACTTTTCAGCTGGCTCCTGCGGGTCCAGCGTGGTCCTTGATGGGTCTAAGTTTCTGTCTTTCTCAACAGACCTTGGACGCGAATCCATAATGACATCTGCCACGGAAGACCTGTGGCGCCAGTGGCTGATCGACAAGTCAAATGCAGGCAAATGCGATTCATTTTGGGGAAATAAATCTGTGAACATAGCCACACTCCTGTCCGGTCAGCTCGTCGCGTGGAGCAGTCGTTCCCTGGGCCCTTCGCTTGGAGTGAAGATGAAGATTCTTTATTCGTCCTTTCATCGATCAATGCTTTTGTTATTGCACTTTGGGGTCATTCCATATTTTCCCAGTTCAAGAGACGAACTTGGTGTGGTGTCTGTTCGGGAGTGGTCTCTGAGTGTGCCGTGTTATGGTGCGCCTCTAGGCTTGGCAATGAGACAAGTACCAGCATATGTAAACAATTATCCAACCGATGCTCTGCGAGAGTCTTGTAGTATGCCATGATCTAGCCTTACGCCAATGGTAGTATGTGCTGAGAGAAGAGGAATGTCTCTCTCGATTCATGAAACGTGACTTTCGTTATGATACAGGTATTCAAGTCACTCCATGACCTTGACTCCTGCAATTCAATATCAAGGCTTGTATACGAGTCTGATGAAAGAGATTTTCAAAAGGTCTCATTCATCATTGCCTCAATTAAGAGTCCCATTATGACAGTTATCACGTGATACGATCCTCCATTAAATCTCTGCTCTTCGCCTTCATACGTCACCTTCTTCTTTGCAGCTTGTTAAAGCTAGCTTCGGGGTGATTCCAAGTCTCTTCAAGATTCGCGAAGTTACTGCTCGATGGGAAAAGCTGAAGAAGCAGGAGAAGTTGAGAAAAGATACGTTTCCAAAAGCTTGAGTCCCCTCTGAATGAAGAGGCAATGTCATGATTTAATAAGCATTGGCGCATCTAAGTGATGTTTCCAATAATGTTGCAATTGAAAACCTTTGGTGTTCTGCGAGGCATGTAAGTCATGTGTAGAAAGCGAGCATGATCGAGTCTCAGCAATGCTCCTTCCCCAGCATCTCATCCTCAGCATATACTATTGCCAGGAAAGAACGAAGCTTTCGGCGTTATTTACATTGTAATATTCTGAGAAGATCTGCTCTTCTTTTAAAACATCACCGACATTCGTTTACACAGTCGCTACCAGTATTCATAACATATCATCACCAACCCCCTCGCTTCCAGTTCGAACCTGCAACTACATATCCATCCGACACTCTGTCACTTTTGACCTCTACGGCACCAAGACTACGTACATGGAACAACTACCAGATCTCCCGAGTCTCAACGGCTCGTTGGATCAGAAGTTCGATTCCTGCTTCAAGAGACCTAAGACGGACCACGACTTTGGAGGAAGCAAAGCGAAAATCCAACATCAAGCTCAAGAGCAGCTTGAAGACCCAGAATCTAACACAGCAAGCAAGCGACCTGTCGTTGTATTCGGTCCTTTCATGACGGCCGACGAAAATACTATTTTTCATCTGCCAGGACCATTACCCTGGGATGCGCAGAATGTAGCCAAGGCTGGAGAAGAGTCAAATCCTGGAAGCCAAAATTTGACATGCCCTGTAGATTCCATGGACATGATGAGCGATCTTTGGGCGACAGAGAACAGTGGGTTGGATAGCGAACCCACGCAAGAACGATGCCGCATACTGAGGATCACCAACCCTGATCTCGATCAAGACGAACAGCATCAACAGGAAGATCCATCAACAAACATAGGGCATACGACTGAAAACAAGAACATCACTCAAAAGAAACGATCTGGCGAATGTAACGACCGAAGACCAGAGGCGGGCACACCATCATCGAAGTCTTTGCGGGAAAAATATGACAGACCGATTACTGCTTACGGGGGGTGGGATGACACGAACGAGGGTGATGCCCCAGAGCCTCCTTGCTGTCAATGGTGCTCTGATCCTACAAAGTCAAAATTGCCAGAAGAACCTGAGTTCGGGCTTTTCATGGGGGATGCAGGAGTCTTTATGGTCAATGTCGCAGTACGGGAACTTGAAAATGATGACGATGAAACCGCGCAGGCCGATGAACGTGAACGGGAATTGATTAATTGTCGGGCTTTTCAGTACCGAGAAGGACGCAATCAGCGTTCAGGTGGGGAACCTAGCAACTTTCTAGATGACGGAACAGCAGATAGAACGCCGTACTGGGGAGATCGATATCCAGATCCACCATCAACTCAGGAGGCAGGCCCAGCACAGCAAGAGCACTCAGCCCAACTATCAACTCCACCACAAGCTCAGGAAACACAGCCAGTACCACCAATAACTGTAGCACATACACTGAATGCACCACAATCACAGGAGGTGACTTCCTCAAGGTCAGAAACTACAACTTGGCCGCTATCTCAGGGAAGACGCGGCATCTCATTTGGGAATACACCATCACCACGCCGAAATGTGGAATTGGATCCAGGTCCTTCAGACACAGCACGAATCCCATCAGCTCCGACAAGCACGCAAAAATCCGAAGATCTTCCAGCTTACCGCGTCGGAAATTCAGGATGCAAGGAAGTCAGTAGATTTCTAATCTCCAAGAGTGCTCGGGAAGCGACTGAGTTTGGGATGCGTCGACCCTCCGTAGGAGACCTAGAACCAGGAGCTGAACCAACAACAGCCAACGGACTTCCTGTTGTGGGTTTCGGTGCATCTGATGTAGTAAAAACCAAACCCAGTCGCGGTTCAATCATGTCTCAGGAAGTAAAGCCTGAAGATGTTGTGGTGGAGAGTTCTGGAAGCGAGAATGGTGACCTTGTACAACTGAGAGAGATGCCGGAAATGATGGTGACAGAGAGGCCTGACCGCGGGAGTGTTCGAATCATGACCCGACATGAAGCTGGAGACGTACTTCATGGCATGATTAGGAGGGACTGGCGAGCGACAGAGGGCGAGGACAATACTCCGCACGTGGAACATCAGGAGTTTGTTGCGAATACGGAGGATGGAGCGGGCCAACTAGACAATGAGGAAGTCAAATTCGTGGAGAAGTGTAAGAGGTTATTCAAGTTCGAATCCTGGAGGAAACCGAGGAAGGATCAGGAAGACTGAGCGGGATGAACGTGCGAAATGTGGTGTTGACGGGCTAGGCTACGGTCATGTATCCTAAGCGAGCGGCTGCTATATTTTGGCATAGCGAATTGTAAAGTTCATTACATCGCAGAGGAGTATTCGAGAAGTGATTGCTGATGGGAGGAGATGAAGCTCACAAAATGGAGACAGGGAGATACATCTTGTGCGCCCCGCTCATCCCATCTTTGGTCACCACCACCACCACCACCACTCCTTCCTAGGAGAGCTTCCTCAGCTCAAAGTAGCGTAGCCTGGTATAGCCTAGCTGTAAACAGGTAGTAGACCGACATAGATAGATACACGTATTTCCAAACTAAAACTTCCAGAGGGGAATAGTGGAGTGGGAGGGCGTGCGGGCGGGCGGCTGAACCAGATTCTTGGGTCTGGGTTTGGGTTTTGGAGGGGAGGTGATTTAGGGAGGGGAGGGAAGGGAGGTGATGCCCATGTTCACATCCCATTCTTGAGGTTTGGGAGGGATCCGGTATCGAGGAGGAGGAGGTGTAAGATTTTGATATAGTGAGAAAGTGAGTCTGAGGTAAGGATTTGAAGAGGCTTGAGAGTAGTGGACGAATAGATCGGGGTAGTCAAGATGCACCGTAAACCTCGAGGTAGCAGAGAATCTGGGGAACGTGGTGGGTACCTTATATGGTATGATGCACTGGCATGCCATAAGTAGCATGTACTACTAGCTTGAAGTAGAGGGGAAGTATCTGGAGGTTTGAGCCGACTGGTAGGTACTTCATCCCATTCTTGCTTGCTTGCTTAGCTATACCGCTGCCTGTGTGTCCAAACACACAGAATTGCCAGTCAAAATAGAGGGAGAACTCGATAAAAACAAGACTAGAATCCAGGGAATGCAAACCTCAAGAGACCAGACCAACAGGAAAGAAGCCTCCCGACATGTGGACTGGCTTCATAAATGGGATGATCAGATGATCAGATGAGACGATGAGATGAGGTGAGGTGAGGTGAGATCCCGTCTAAGGTTTCGTACCTAAGTCACACCATCCCATTCTTGATTATTCTCGACGAAGCGATCGAGCCTTTTCCTTTTCTCTCACAAGCTTTGTTCTTTTTCCCACTCTCGAGGTACATAAGGGTATGGGCCGGCCCTCCTTCTCTTCTTCCCCCTTTCTCTCTACTAATGTCATCTCAGCCCATTTCTGGAAATATCGAACACAACGACAAGCAATTTTCCTGGACTGGACTCGACTGGACTGACGAGAGGTGGTTGAAGTTGAAGTTGAAGTCACACCCCAACCCCAACCCACGTGATGCGTTTATCAAGAGGACGGAATTTCCGCCCTTGGCAACTTGGAGCTCCGCCATCGCTCTGTTCTCAATCCTGGAGTTCTGCGCTTCAAGCTATGAGCTCCTCCCAACAATTCCTTATCTCTCCTCGAGACAAACGCGTTCTTACGTGTCCGGCGCATGAGCGACAATCAATAATGTCACTCATGTAACGTCCCACGACACCACACCAGACGCACATCACATCGGTGGGCAGCACATCGGAGCAGCAAATTCGCATCAAGCTTTCCACATTTCTACCTCCCCAGAGAAATAGGAAGATAAAGGGAAGATCACTTGAACCAGGCCAGGTCTCTCTCCATGGATCTCCATGGCGTTCATCGATGCAGTCATAATCACTGCGTCAATCCTAGCAGAGAGCCACGAACACGACTCGTGCAGCTGTCTCGCGTTCTCCTACCTAAAAGGAACGTTGAACCCCGACCCCGCCATAGGCTGCCATGCTATCGGCTAGCGACCGATAACTTAGAAGTATTCTGTGGACAACAACAGGACGGAAGATGACCGACACTGGGCTGCTGGGCTGGGGAGGGGAGGGGAGGGGAGGGCCGAATATCGGGGGAGTGGAGGGATGAAGGTTCGCTTGGCTGAACTGAAGGAGGAAAGCCCACCAGGCCTCCCCGATGGAAAGATGAAGATACTCCCCGAGATGTGGATATCGATACGGTATCGCAATCGCAATCGCAATCGCTATCCAAAGGTCCGTTTATTTCCCCAGGGCATGGATGGGCTAGGTAAGTGGTTTTTGGTCAGGATCCGACATGCCTTCTCTTTTCTTGGAGAGAGGAGGGGAGTTCGAGGATATGAGGATATGTGAGCTCGAAGAAGTGAAGATATCGATCACCTAGGTATTTTCTTTCTGCAACGGCAACGGCAATGACAACGACATCGGATTCTGCATCATCTAAGTCAGTATCTCCTTGGACTCGGCCAACTACTTTCGTACAATAATTATCCCTTGGTACAGTAGGTAGGTTAATTAGGTAAAGTACAGTCAGTCTATTTCTCTGCATGCGTCAGTCGGTAACTCACGGCCTAGTCGACTCTTAAGCTCATAAGTCACAACCCCCCTCCCCCCCCAAAAAAACTCCATGCGGCAGGTCTAGCGAGCTCCTTTTCCCGTCCGTGTCCATCTTGGGGTTGTCATCCCACGCCCTTGGGAGAAAGTCAAGACTACGGCAAAGGGTGCAAGCTAATTGATAATAAATATTTCCCGTGGTGCTGCTTGGCTGGTTTTCTAGCTTGGAGGAGAGAGGAGTGAGGTTATGTAAGTTGTGACAATTGGATGATGGTTCAATGCAAGCCCTTTCCTTTCCTTTTCTTTCCTTTCCTTTTCTTTCCTTTCCTTTCCTTTCAGTCTTCCTCCCTTCCAGAATTCCAGAAGGTATTTTACATCTTCGAGCCGGGAATCTACTTTACCTTATTACGTTGACGTGACATTACTGTTATATCCCTGCCCTGGGAATCTACTTAGACCTTCCATAATACCTCCCCTACCTACCTACTGTAGGATTCCGCACCCCTGCCATGAATTATTTAAACTTCCCCAGCTCTGAATAATGATCGACATTCTTGGCTGGCTGGCTGGCTGGCTGGCTGGCTTCCCTTTTCCAGAAGACTGGAAGTGCTATTCTGGAATGCCGAGCTGGCTGCCCTGCCCTGCCCTGCACAGGTCGCTCGCTCGCTCGCTCGTTCTGATGTAACTCTGCCGGAACCGGGCTTCGTTTCGCTTCGGCTCGGGTTATTGATGTATCGAAGCGCCACCGCTTTCATTCTTGGCCGTTGAAGATTTGTGGTTTTGATCTTGTAGAGATGCTGTAGATACTGGGATGAATTGTAGTGATTGCGATGCGAGGGGAATTAATTGATTGAGGGAGTGGCCTTGACAGAGTAGTAGGATCGATAGGTATCCAAAAAAAAACATATCTTGTGTTTCTGACTGTTCTGGTGTGTTGATAGGTATCTATGCAGTAGGTATGTATGGCGAGCGTATTTCTCGATTTCATGTTTCATGCAGCAGACCGACTAATCGACCGGTAATCGGCTAGATAGCCTGCTCAGGTAGAATACCATGTTGATCTAAAAACATATCGACCTTCTTTTGACCAAAGTCGCATTTGGAATTTGGAGATTTCTCCATGAAACGAACAGTTGCTTCCTTCAACAAGTAAGTACATACTGTAGAAACTTCTATCTGGCATCTATCTGCATACCTACTGTACCTTGACAGAGAAAGCCAGCCAGCCAGCCATCTACCTATCTACCTACAAACTGTAAATTGCAACCCATAACATACCCTAAGCAGGTAACTTACGAGTAAGTATCTCCCCAACAGCTAGCTAGGCATCTGACTCAGTAGTCCGTCCGGGAAGTGCCACACCATACCACTATACCGCGCCATACCATGCTTTACCACCTATCTAGGTATGCAAGTCGCACGATCTCGGCCGAGTTTTCGGTTTTCGCCTGTTTTTCACTCACTCACTCACTTACTTAATCCAAGATGCGATGTTGAGATGATCAAATCAAGGGTCCTCAAGTTCGGATGACGATACAAGCCTCGCAGCTTTGCTCATTTCTTAGCTTGAGTACTTCCTTAGCTTGGTTGGTTTTCATGCACAGGTGCATGTACCTATGCATGTATGTATGTGTGTTTGCAGGTTCATGCTGGTTACTGGATGAATGCGATGCAGATGTGACGATGGGGTTTGGGTGGCTTCAGAGATAGGATGGATAAGGGTGAGGTAAGGTGAGGTAAGGTGAGGTAAGCATAATTATATCCACGATAAAAGGTGACGATTCATTCGTATTTGGTTGCTGGTAGGGAGGGACTGGCAGGTAGGTAAACGATAGGGAAAAGTAAAGGGAATTCCCGGCCGGCTGCCGGATTTCGGGAGTGCCGGTATGCCTATCTCTTTATCTGTCTATCGGTTGAGTTGTGCTGTAATTTACAATAAGTTACTGTGTCGCTGGTCGGAATATTGAATGAGTATCGGAATGAACTGCACTGAACACAACCCAGATAGGTAGGTAAGCTATGCCTGCCTACAGTATGCCTATGCCTATCCCTATCAGTGCCACTTACTCGCCGCCGCCAGACACCCACCGCTCATTGGATACTCCAGTAAATTGTACAGCAGATTCGCCTATCGTTAAACGAAACCGTACCGTCGGCGAAAATGCAGAATGCCGACGGGCTTCTGTCCGATAGAAACGGGAACGGGGATAGGGACGGGAACGGGAACGGGTTGCTATGTAGGTAAGGTAGGTAAGATGGAGAAGTGTATTATTAATATCTACCTTACTACTGCATGTTGACGAAATACGGTAGCGCTGCACTACACTGTGCAGAAGCCGTGCATGTTGCATTGTGTTGTGCTGTGCTGTGCTGCGAACAACCGGAGTGTGCATGGCCATGACCATGACCGTGGCCGGCGAGCCATGCTAGGTAAGGTAAGGTAATCTAGAGACCTTCTGGAGTGCTGTTAGGGAAGAGCCATGCGAGCGAGCGCTGTCCAACCAGCCTGTAAGGTGCTGTGCCGGACCCGAGGTTTAGGCCGCGATAAGCAGTTGTAGCCGCTGGAGGGGCAGCGAGGGGGGACTTTTGGGAATTTAGATATCACGATAAGGAAGAGGGAGGGGAGGGCAATGGCGCTCGCCGTTACTTCGGGCAAGGAGATTTTAGTGTAGATGGTAGGGGGGTCTAGGGAGGGGTATTCATACTGACCAGTCAGTGAGGGGGGCTTCACCAGGGCCACAGAGTCAGGTTTCCCTGGTGGTGGGCACAGGTGGCGTCGTGTTGGTGGGGGATGGAGGGGTAAACTGCCTGGGCTTGGGTCGGCTGTTGGTGTTTGCAGGGTGCGTCGCTTTGTGGGGGCACATCCTGGATATACTGTACCTTAAGTCCTGGCACATCCTCGCTATCCTCGCTATCCCACGAGGCAAGCAGGCGGCCCACGGCGAACTGGCCTATGGAGGACCCTGAATGCCCTCTCGCTCTCTGCCCGGCGGGGAACGAATTGGATGTGGGATGAATGGATCAAGCTTGCTGCTGCTGGTGAGCTGCCCAATCATGCTCGCGCTGTTGTCGACCACTGTGTGTAGGTAGGCCGAGTTAGGAAGTTCGAAAGAGGTTTCGAGAAGCGGTTGAGTTAGTCCTGCTAGGTAGGTCCTGGGTAGATAGATAGATAGCTCGGATAGGTAGTAAGGAGGCAGGTAGTGCAGTTAGTTACGACTGCTGTGACTACTGCCGTTACGGAGTTCAACGCCGAGAGGGCGCACTTCTCAACGGCCGGCCTGTAACTGCACTACCACCTCCCCTCCCCATGCAATGACGCCTCATGACAGGTGCCCGGGGCCAGAGAACGGGTCCTGTCATGGATGTGTACGCCCGATCATCGGTGGCTGGCAGGCAAGCTCCAAGCTAGGTGGAAATTGTTCCGCATTGTTGAAGTAAGTCAGTTAAGTCGAGTAGTTGATGAGTCGCTTTCGTAGATATAGATATACTCGTGCCCCTCCATCTCTCTTCCGACCCCTCCTTTCCCCATCCATAATCTTCAATCCAAACAGATCGACAGTCAGATTGACATACCGATTGAAACTTCCAATCGTAGCTCAACCTCCTCATACGCTCTCAGCATTTTTTCTGAGTTTCCTTCACAATGGCTCCAACAAGTACCAGATCGTCGTCTATCTCCTCGGCGTCAACAAACAGCTCCAAGAATTCAGATACCTCTATTAAGAAGAAATTTGGGTGCAGCTTTCCAAACTGCGGAAAGTCATTCTCTAGATCTGAGCATCTCCATCGCCATGCCCTAAACCATAAAGACGGAAACAATACATGTCAAAGATGTAGCGCGCATTTCCGCCGTCGTGACCTGCTCGGTAAGTGTGACTCGGACCCGATTCGAATATTGGGTATATTCCGTCAAAACTCAATTCTAATCCCGCCTCAGACAGACACATGGCTCGCCACAAGGAAAAGGACGACGAAGCAGGAGGAGAAGGCCTAGGGGTTTTGGCGACCAGAAAGAGACTCTGGAGGGACGCAGATGGGAATATCGTCAATGCCAGAAGGCCCTCATACACACCGACCCAAGACGGCAACAAGAGGCGCCAATTGAGCCAGAGCAGCAGCCGAAAGGACTCGACAGCCAGCTCATCCAGCTCCTACAGCGACGAGGACTACAAACTACCACACTCCAAAGGAAAATCCACACTCCTCACACCCACAGTACCAATGTCAAGAACAGGCTCAGCACAATCCTCCACAATAGTCGTCGACACCAGCAGCGCATCGTCCGGATCAGGATCAGGGTCAGCAACCACAGACGCCAGAAAAACCGTTGAAGACCCCGACATCGACCAGCCCTCCTGGCTCCGCACATCCACATCCACGCTCCCCTCCCCACCAATCTCCGAGCCGCAATCCGCCGGGCAAAGCCCCAGCCCCGAACTCGACTCGCTCGACTCGCTCGACTCGCTCGACACGCTGTACGAAGACTCCTGGCCCGTGATGCACGAAGGGCTGCCCGAAATCGTCAACCACAGCCCCGTCATGGGCCGCCAGTCCGAATACCCCGCGAGTCCGACGTGGGGGCCGCAGCCGTTCCAGACGTTCATGGGCGCCATGGCGGAGCTGCCGTATGATGATATCTTTAAGCCCGAGACGGGGCTGTATGATTGGCAGGCGTGGAATAGTCAGGTGTTGATGTCGAGGTGTAGGGAGGAGAAGTTTGAGGGGGGTGTTGGGTTTGGGAAGAGGGGGGAGAGGGAGAGGGAGAGGGAGTGGGGTTCTTCTGGGTCTTCGTACCTGGGTGCGGCGCAAGAGAGCCCGTTTAGAAGGACGTTTGGCCTGGGGACTTGTTAATATGTTGCTTGTTGCTTGTTGAGTTTGCCGCCTAGGTTTTGGCGAGCTGGCTGGCTGGCTGGCTGGATGTTTTGGCAGAGGAGTATTGGTTAGAGTCATCAGATAGAGCATCTAGAATCAATCAAGACATTGAAGCCAAGAAACATCCATGTTTTCCTGCCGGGGAACGCAAATGTCGTGAGCTGAGACTCCTACCTGAAACGGGTCCGGCTTCTGATTCTGAAGACTGAGTATCTGGCGAGCTTCACCGAGAATCCAGGATCATCGTTGAAGTTTTGACATTGCCAATTGACCTTCTCGCTTCACCGACGGCGCGCGCATGCGGCGTACGTACAGTAGGTAGCGACGACATGCCATCTCGACACGACTCAATACGAGTCTCATCATCCATCCTCCACAGTACCAGTATAGCGAGTCTTGAAATCGCGCGCTGTCATTCCCGCAATCGGCATCATTATTTCCTCCAGGGTCCTGACAATCCTCCACAAAAAAAAAGGACCAGCCACATACCAAAGTAAATTTAGGTTAGGTTAAGTCACTCCACTCCACTCCCCTCCGTAGGCAGCGAGGCCATTATTATTGGGCGAAGCGGCAAGATAAGCAAGTGCAAGACAGGGAAGCAAGCACGCAAGAAACGCAAGAGAGCTAATTAGCTGACCAAAGCTTTGGAGCCCGTTTTGGGTATGCTAATTGGAAGGTACCTACCCAACGATCGAAACGTTGCCCGTGCACTGTTGCTGGCTCGCTACCTACCCCACTTGGTATTGAGATTCTTGAGAGGAGGATTGGAATAATGGGGCGATGGCGATACGTTGTTTAGCCGGCGAGGAGGAGGGAGGAGGGGAGGGGAAAGGTTAAGTAGGTAGGGGATTTGTTTGGTCATCGACTCGTGGAGGTACCTAGGTAAATATGGGTCGAATGGCAAGCATGGACCCGGGCCAGGGACCTTGAGGACGGGGACAGGAAATGTGGGGTTGGGTTGGGATGGGATGCATAGGTGAGTGATTCAATTCAAATCCCGGCGTTGAGATAGGGTCTGAAAGGTATCGGACCGGGTGGTCTTGATAGCGTTTTGGATTGGTAATTGACTGATTTCGTAGGTGGAAGGTGGTCTTGAAGATCTTTTGGGGTGAGGCTCATGCATGGTTGATTGTAACGTTGTCTGTTATCGGTGCTAGTTTTGTATCAGAATCAAGAGGTTTTGCTGCAGGGTCGAGTCTGAGAGATAATTTTGAGCTGGTCATTGCGAGAAGCCTCGTGTATGGAATTAGTTACATTTTCATTGGTCAAAGGCATATTATGACACATATTGCAAGTAACCGAGACGATGTTTTCATTGCATTCGCGTATCTTGACTCGGTCTTTATTTACTTTCTAATCTTTACCCGAAGGTGCCTTTTCAATGGTGAAGTAGATGCAGTTTGCAAAGAGACTTCCTCCATTCTTCCTTTTCGCTTGTTAGTTATAATCTCTTGAAGGCGAAACATTTATCTCTCACCCTTCAATGTCTGAGCTAGCCTTGGGGCTTTCACCGCAGTAGTCAATTGTCTTCAAAGTGTCAGCAAGGTATCGTATCGCTACCGCATCATCGAGACAAGATGTTCCCACCTCTACTTACCTGCCCCAGTAATTGTTTGCATCGAACAAAACTTCTTGAGAAGTTATAAACATGCTTGGCTGGACATTCCACTCCAACAGGATTCTTCTGGTCCTTGTCATTGTTCGAAGTGACGATGATCTTGCCACTCTTGCCGGGAGTGTCGTATGTTTTCTGGAAGAACTCAATTGCATCTGGGATGTCAGTGGTCTTCTCGCCAACTTGGATCGATTTGTCTCTCGCTTCGCCACAGAACTGGTCAATGGCCCAAAGACCGTCGTCTCGGCTGAAACTGCTACCGAACTGATAGAAGCCACCGGGCAAGTATGGATTTCCTCCTGGTCCGCAGTAATCCCAAGCTTTCAAGAATTTTGGGTCGTCTGGATCTATACCAATTGGTAAAACAGGCAAAACCTCGCTTGGTGCTGGTGCTGGAGATCCCGCTGGCGGTATCCATTCGGGCGGTGTTGGATCGATCGAAACGGCTCTCTCGGCAGCCTTGATACTAGGAATCGTGCAAGGAACATCGACCGTGATGGGTTCTTCCGAGGTGCTTGATGGTTCTGACGGTGTATTTGTGAGCTCAGGAGGTTGTGTAGGCTCGGGTGTTGCAACACCATCAGACCCTATCTTCAGAGTTGGGAGCCCGGGAGGAGGAGGAATATAGACTCCGACCAAGACGACAGGTGGAACGATCAAGAGCATGTTATAGTTCGTAGGGCAGGGAGGATCGATCGAGACCGTGGTAGTGGGGCAGCCCTGACATGCGGCGGCACTTAATGAGGGATCACAGTACCAGAGAGGTAGAACAGTGCTCGTCCCACCGATGACTTGAGTGGTGACTGAGTTTGCCTGAGAGTTATAGTTATTAGTTTTCGACGTACTGTTGAGCTGAAACGAAGAAGACTTGCCGTAAGTTCTGGATATGAAAGGTACCAAGTTGAGAAGTCTCCTGTAGCTACGGCAGTTTGGGTCGCGACAACGACAGATGAAATGGGTGGCGGGACGCGTCCAAGTATCTAGTTGTCATTAGAATTACAAGATGGAATTTTGAAAGAAGACATTACAGCATTTCCTTGTGTCTGACGTGCTTGCTGGACGTTCAAGCCGCTGACCTTCCAGGAGCGGGCAAGGAGAAGGATAAGCGAAGCGGTCTGAAACTGGCAGAAGCACTTCATGATTGATGATTGTTGCAGCTCTTTCGTGCAAGCAGAGAAGAACAGTCACTGATCTGTGATCTTGAGGATAGATCCAGTGCAGGTTCTCCTTTTTAAATACATATCTGTCAATAAGTAGCACTGCCATATCTAATTTGAGTGGACAGCCAACGGTGCTCCGTTCGAAATAACTTCATGCCTCATCCCGTGAAGAACTTCGGGCGGGATACACAGATTCGAATCCAACAGCGTCATATAACTATTTTCAGAGATTCTGAGGAGTTAAATCCTTGTTGAGCGGCACCATCGCTCGATTGACAGCCACTACAAGTCTTCTGGGTGGTCTCATCGCAAGCTGAAATAGATATACTTCTGACCAACGGCTTCATCTACGCGTCTCTCTCAATAACAAATTCTCGAAGTTGGCAGTACTGGAAACTCTTCGATGGGTGATAGGGCACCTGCCCGGGGCCACGTGTGGGTGACCTCAAACGGGGTCTCAGCAATGGCCCTTCGCCCCCCACCATGAGGCTGAGGGATTTGTACATACCAACAGGAATGTATTTCTAGCCAAAGTCTTACCGAACTTCGGTATGGACCCCGCTCAAACTGAAACTCATGCTCTTGGGTTTGCATGTCGGCGCGAAGTGCTCAATTGCCTTTGGCTGGACTCACTACTTTGTTGGAATGAGTGCGTCTCGTTGTGTGGTTGTACAACCACATCGAAAATCCTTCAAATTCAACGAAAGTGCATCCAACAAATGTACGTATAGGTAATGAGGTAATATTTGAGGAACTCTGGCAAAGGAGGAAGTATAACATCTATTCAAGTGCACTTGCAACCGTGAACGGCATCCATTCGTTCCCATACTCATTCCCGAAAATCAACTTCTCAACGAAGAAAACATACCGAGTTTCTTTACAATGCGCATCTCCAAATGTATTCCATTCCTCTCGATTGCCTCTGCTTTTGTTCTTCCAGCAGCAGAACGATCAAGTTCTCTCGTTAAAACCTGGCTTCCAATTGAGCTATCCAGACTCGAAACTGGGCTTGCTGGAGACAAGGAAAGCCCTACCATCGTCATCCGAGGCGGGATACTGGTAGATAATGTTGTCATTGAACTTAGTAACCAGGTAAAGTATTCAGCTTCACTAGATTATACCAGCTTCTGACAAATCATCGACGGTCAGACATCCCAGCTCAATATCCGCGCCGACCAGACCGCTGCTCCCCCCGGGACTGTCTGGCAGCCACTTCCAGGTTCGCAGTGGGATGATTGGCATCGGTATGTTCATCTCCAAAGAATCCATCTCCATTCTGATAAGAAATACAGTGATGTAGTCGTCCGAGCGTGGAATAATGCAATACAACTCGCCAAAGATGCCTCAGCTTCTCTCAAAGATATCATGCCCGATTCCGCAAAGTACAATGCTTTTTGGGACCAAAACCAGGAGAAGTGCAAGAAACTTAAGGATGGAGTGACGCTGAGTGCGGCGGGGAAAAGCATGAGAAACTTGTGCTACCGACACTTTATTGCGCAGAACAATCTTGCATATGGCCAGTATTTTGGCGCGGATCCAGAAAATATACAATTGAGTAAAAGTTGCCCTTTGCTTCATATCCCAGCAGCCAGGCTGACATCTTGCCACCAAGTCCAGGAAAATTTCATGAGGATTGTGGAGCTGACTGGTAAACTCGATGCAACAGATCGGGACAATCAGCTGCTCTACCTTACATGGGGACCGACGATCACAGATATAAATGACAACTTGAATCAATGCGTGGTGATTCCTGGAGCAGAGACACAAGGTACGTCGAACAGCACAAGATCGCTATGGGTACTGATACAATGCTAGCAATGGTCATTTCGGCTGATGTAGTGAAAGAGCTCCAAGGAAGTGTTGTACCGGTGGGAGCCCAGGTTATTCACTTCTGTCCAGCTTTTTTTGATGTGACAAAATTGGACCGAATGGAATTACAAGAAGCAAGAATTTCAGCAGCAACCGACGGCGGAAAAGCCGATATTTGCAGACTGGACAGGCTAGACTCTACTGCTAGGGCCTTGCTACATGAGTTGACGCAGTGAGTCAGGATTCTGGAAGCGCGAGATTTCGTACTGATTCGATAAGTCTCCACTGGGTACTTAACACAAACGGAGCCAAAGCGAAGCGCGTACCAGACACATATGGGTGGTACAATAATATACCAAAGAGTGTAGACACGTTAGCAGCGAGCACTGCTCAGAAGCCTCATACTAAGTCTTTCGGCTCACAGAACGCTGACAACTATGCCTGGATGGCTGTAAGTAAAGAGCAATCAACGAGCATACCCAACTAACAGATGTATAGATATACAATCATTTCAACGCACTGGACTCATGTAAAGGCGTGAAGTACAAAGGTGTTAATCAGGCAGGCAACACTTGCAATACCGACGTATGGCCGCAGGACAAGGAAAAGCCAGTGAAGACAGCATGGGCCAGCTACCCAGGTAAGCAAAAAAAGAATGAAGCAGCATGCACTGCGCTAAACATATACTCATCTAGGAGCGGATTGATGAAGGTTGATATTTCAAGGAGATGGCATGCGATGGGAATTATGAGAAGTAAGACCATGTAGTACTTTTAGAAGACTAACGTAGAAAGTTAGTAAATGCCTGCAATGTGTTGATTATGATGACGCTTTCAGAGAAAGTACTACTGCCATCACCATCATCATCATCTATCACGCCTAATGACTTGAATCTCTATCAGGAGTCATAGGTTTCACCATTCAAACGGTAAAAGAAGCTCCTGGTTGCGTCTTCTTTCACAACGATTTCAACACCTGAACCAAGTGCCATAGATAACTTCTCGTGAATGTTTCGGTGAAGCTCATGGTGCTTTGGTTTGAACTTTTGAACAATCTCTAGGCGAGGAGCAGCCCCAATCCCATAAATATGGATCTTTTGGAGTGCCAGAAACTCTCCGTCCAGCAGCACTGGCAGAAGATGGTCTACAAATCTATCGTCCATAGGTCGACCATACTGAACAGGCTGCATAAGACAGCGGCCTATGCCGGTCTGAGTAGGTTCCAGACCTTGCTCGATTGTCAAGCGCTCGAGGGTGAAGCGAATAGAGAGAATGAACGATGCCCACTCCTGATACCTTGCCTCATCGTGAGCTGGCGACCACCTCCTATCGCTATTGTCGTCATTGCCAACACTTCGAAGGGAGAGATATTTCAGTCTGGGACATCGGCCTTCAATGCTTTTCAGATGGGTTCTCATATTTCCAGGGTGTCTGACCACGGAGTTGCCATCCTTGTCCTCTGATTCTGGGATTAATGATAGGTCTGCTGAGAGCTCGAAGTTTTCGCCCTCTCTGAATTGTCCCAAGTCTTGTAAATTATTCAACTCCAAAGAAACGAGGTGTTCAGCTTGCTTCGGACCAAGCATGGCGCGAACGAAGGCGAAAGACATCTGGCCAGTAAGCCGAATGTGCTCGGCAGCTGGGAATAGAGAAGGTGGAGGATCAAGTTCGCGCTGAAAAGCCATCGATGCGAAGTCAAGATGCTTAACAGCTGTGAGGCGTTCGAGAGCTACCCAAGTTGGCTGATCGCTGACAGGCTGATCGTTACTTGGGTCACATCGAGAAAAATAGGTCCATGTGAATTTTTTCACATGAGCTCCGTAATCCGGACGCAGTTCCATGGAGCGGATAAATAGTTCCTGCCTCTTAAGACACTTTTCAACATCGTCCAAAATCAGTAAATGCGGATCTGGGTTCTCTGCCAGGGCTAAGGTATCATATGACGTGGGGAAGAGTCCAACGAGGTTATGGGTGCTGATGTCGACAAGGTAATACAAAGCGTCAATAGCTATTTCATTCAAGATTTTGCAAGAGCATGCTAGAAAATATCAGTAACAGACGTTACGTAGAGCAAAGTCTCAACGCACCAAGTGCTAAAAGCTCAGAAGCTTCGCAGCTGCGCATGACCTGTTCCTGTAGCTCCGGGGCGAGTCTCAGGTACTTTGAAGCCGACATGTCGGTATGCGATCGATTCGATTATTATATCAGTACTGTGTAATGTTTACTTGGAGTCGAGCTTCTGCGGTGTGCATTTGACAGAGAAGGAGAACACGTCGATGATGCGAGATCCAACAATACACGACACACGTGATCATCTAAATTTAGGTACCTAAACAAACAAAGCGACCTCGAGGGAAAGTGCTGCCCTGGGTACACTGCCCTAAATCGAATCGAAATTAATAGCCGAGAATTACCTACAAAAATATTAACAGTCCCCAGACGATAACTTGATTATCGCCTGCGCAACAACTGTGGTTGTAATAGTGAACCCAATCCCGACTCCCGCGCTCACTTCGTACCTAGGTACCTACTTGGAAGGAGACCGCAGGTTTGGCCCCATCGTGGGAGGGCCACCGGGGCGCTTCGCCCAGTACTTGACGTGCGCCTCTAGCGATTCCCAATAACCAGCCTTTGCCTTCAAGGTACTACATCAGTACTACCTAGGTATCTTTCCGACACCGAATCTACCTCATCTAGGAGTTTCTGCAAGCCTATGCAAATAAATAAGAGGTTGGTTCGGCATCCCATACTTTCTTTGACCAGACATCAAGAGGCACTGCTCACGCAAAGAGCCTCCGCCGACATGCGTGACTGCATATTCTGCTTCATACTAGAGCTTTCTTTAGCGTTAAATATACCTTCACAAGTTACAAAATCTATGTCGATAATGGCTCTCCCAAGCAGCCTTTCCAGATCATATTCGGTACCGACCTAAGGACCTGTTCAAGAGGTTCTGTTGCGTGTCCGACTTGGTCTTGATATGTTTTTGATATATTGTATGTATGTTCCAGCCCAGCCTATCTACCTCTGCGTAGGCTCAAGGGTTCCCTTTCAGACCCGAGAGAAAGCCACACTATTACGGAATTGAACGGCCGATTCTTCGAGGGTGTCGAGTCCTGGTGTGAGATTTGACGTGTATCACTCGCAAAAGGAGTATCGCCTACTGACCGGTTGAAGAAAGTGCCATCCATCGTATAAGACAGTCCCACAGTGACAGGTGCGAGGTGATGTATCAGTCGTTGAGTCGAGGGCGAGCTCGAAGCTGCGACAGTTCGGGTTCCGACCTCGTTGTCAGGCTTCTATTGCAGTACAGCCAAGTTTTCCGCTGGCTTCCATATTTCAGGGCTGATCTTTTTGCATTGGAAGGGATCCAGATATTAGATCCGTGGGTCTCGAGGAGTGAAGTCTCAATGTTCGGGATAGCGATGACTAAGCTCCAAATCGAGCCAATGAGATGCCAGGCTGTTATAAGGAGATATCTTAACTGCTTCGTTGTTTTTCTGCTCACTCACAGAACAACAACTTTAATCTTCCAGACAGCAGCCCGCTGTTCAAAGTTACACATTCTTCGAACAAGCCCCAAAACGCATTCAACCCCAATTCTCGTGCTCTGCATTCGATCTCTTTCAATTTTCCTTGACGAGAACATGGACGGAATTCTACGAGCACTACATTGCTAAGTGCAAGATGCATATGTACATGACCGTCTGAGCTATATACAGGCTTCATTTTTCCCTCTCGTCGAATTTCCAGCGGGAGGTACGAATTTCCTAATCCAAGTCTTCCACAAGCGTGGCCGAACTCCAGACTCCATTCAAGCGTTGACGCTTACTGCCAAACCTCCTTTTGCAAAAGTTTATCACCTAAATCATTCCCATCAACATACGAAGGGGTTTTAAGTGCTCGTCGAGAGCCGCCGTTCTGTGTTCCGATCGTTGACCTTTCGAGTCTCCATTCCCTGGACCCTCATCATTTTCAGTCCTTTCACCCCCCCTTCATTCACCACATATTTTCCTTATGTTCAACCCTCACAGCATTTTCTTCTCGCCATCTGCACTTCCAATCAGTCTCTCTTCACAGTCCAATAACGAGCAATGCTTACACAGGACGACCAGCCTGGTCATATGTCAGTCCAGGGATCCCACTCTCCGTCTCCTTCCTATCCAATGGCGAGCCATTTCCCGAGCTTTGAGCAGTGGTCTTTCTGTACATCACCTGTTGCATTTCGCCAGGAATACACGTTTCGGGCCGCTGCGGTGCACATGATTGCCAGTTTCCTGCTCTGGGTGGAGGTGGTACCATTTCGGCTTTCATGCGGGTCATACATGATCCCATGGTGAATATCTATTGGCAAGTCTATACCAGTGTTCAGAGCTGTCGGTGTTCGAAGCGAGGTTGAGATGAGTAAACAGAGGAAAATGATGACAATCGGCCCTGGGGTACTAGAGGGGTTTTAATTGGAAGTCATCGTGGCCAGGCAACAGAGCCAAAACGGTTGAGGGGGCAAAAGGCACAGGAAAATCTAGAGTTTCTGCTGGACTGTGACGCGGTGGCAGTGTGGGGTTTCGAAAACGGGTAGATGGAGAGATCGGCACTAGAGGGGTCTGGGGAAGCGTCGGACCCCCGGGTCTTCACTCCAAATCGCGCGATTTTCTGTTATAGACCAATGAGGGGTCCTTAATGGGTCAAAATTGTTCAGGGTTGATGTCAAGCTTATTACGTGGCGTGCGCACGGCTGGGGGGATGGATTCGCCGCGGTTATCATTCTACTTCGTGAAAGAGGCGAAAGTGGTACGTTTCGCGGAGCACGGAAGGCTTTGAGGCCGAAACCGAGTCAACAAAGTCAAAGTTCTTAGTACCTGGACATAAGAGTTTCGTTGTATTGGACAGGGTGGAGAGCTTCTTGGAGAATTCTTGAGGCAAGATACCTCGGAAGATTTATAACATGCGATGAGCAGGCGAGCTGGTCATGGATGTGCCGCCACCTTCACCGTTTGAATCGAGCCACTTTCCTTTAACCCAAGCATTGTTTTAAGTCGTTTAAGGTGGGCTGTTTACTTCTGGAATCATTGGGACTATTCTCTGAAAGTTTGAATACTGCAATTTTCTGACTTGCCAAGTGGCTTTTCGTTGTCGGGAGAGCTCATCGTTGAAGTCCCAGCCATTTTGTCCCAAAGCGAAGCCCCTTCTTAAGACAACATCAGCCATGGGTTGGTGCCAGTAGTCTGTTACTGGCAGGAAATCCTTGCCAGGGACTCCGGAATTTTTTGCAATATTCTCTCTATTATATGCCCAGGGTCATTAATTGGACAGGCTACTCTAGAAGTGTCACCAGGCAATCATGTTCCTGGAGCTTGATATTTCCTACCCTACCGAACGTCTTTACAAAAGCAGTCAATTCCTGCAGAGATAACCAGTCACCGGTGAAGTCTGCCTTAAGCCCCATCAATATTGCAGTCTTCAAACTGTCTCTTTCCCACTACCGACCTCCACGTTCCAATCCCCTCTCATCGCCGCCTCATACCCCATCCACCACATCTGCTTCACCACCTCCGGTCTCAAAACCATCGACTCTAACTCCTCCACAGACTCTCCCTTCAACCCATGCCTCTCTATCAACCCCGCCACAAAACCCCTCACTTCAAATCCAAACATTCTTGGGTTCCCCAGCATCGAAATATACGTATGCCAAACCGGTTCACGCAAATCAACCGCCTTTTCTATACCCTCCAGCTCCAAGATCGGACACGCATAACTCGCGACGATGCTGTAGAACGATTTCATGAGCGTGCGGAAGAGGGGACAAAAGCGATCATAGTGCCTGGCGATGAGGCAGGTGGTCATGACGAACGTTCGGGGAAGGTTGAGATGCAGATGCACTGATTTCATGCACGGGGAGTTCTTCAACAAGTTCATCAGTCGAGTTACAGCAGCCGGACGCGAGCCAGCAACTGCCATCTTCTCGTTGTTGTCCCCATCACCAGGTCCAGGCACGTTGATAGTCACATCAAGGTATTTAATGATTTTGAATCCAAACCCCGCATCCTTGATTCTCTGATTGAAAAACCGGATTTCCCCTGGCAGCGCAAGGATCGAGAATCTAGCATGACCATAAAACTCCTTAACATATTCCTCATATATCTCACGACAAGTTCTCAGGAGTGCGAGGGAAGGGTCGGCGCGGTCCGCGCGGAGATGGATGCGATCTGAGCGATACCATCGGCCAGCGAAGTTGTCCTGGAAGCCTAGAAATGTAGCTGGGCGATGGTAGAATAGGCCTGCTGTTGTGCGACGGCGGAATTCGTACCAGATGTAGGGATGGTGGTTGGGGACGAGGTAGGCGTAGATGAGGGTGCGGATTTCGGCTGGGAGGCGGAGGAGTGGGGAGGGATTCGTGGCCGCCATGGTGGAGGTTTGTCCAGTGGTGTACTGTGAGAGAGAAGAGAATTTGGGGCCTTGATTTGTTTTTTGGGCGGTTTTTGAAGCTTCAGTGACTACACGAAGATTATCGGGCGTCATCGTAAGATGCCAGGTGGATCCCCCAGGGTGATAACTTATGAATGGTTAGGGGATCCCAATTCAGAAAATATGGAGAGAGATGAGGAATTTGAAGAGCGCGAGAAGCCAAAACTAAGACAGTTTTTACTTTGAACATGCTTTTCTAACCATCCGTCACCGAACGACTCGATAGTCTCGCCCATGACCAGACCATGTTGCTTTGGTTCCATTATTTACTGTTCTCGGTTACGCCTGGGCATCTCGACCTCGCTAGCGAGGCACTCGGCCCAGCGCCAGAGTTCTGGAACGTCCAGTCCTACCAACCACTCCTGTGCTCTCCAGAACATGAGTCCTATGCAACGTTCATAAACAACGACAAAATTATTCCAGAAGTCCAAATGGAATCTCCAAAAAAAAACATCAGATGAAACACCGGCAGCCAATCCCAGAAATAGCACCAGCCCCCAAACCCTCAAATTAATATCCCATAAAAGGGGGGGCCCAGGGGCTCCCCAACCATCCGAAATACTGCCTCGCTTGTGAAAGTTCCCGGGCGCGTTCAGGCTGTACGGGCCAAAAGTTGGTAGGTGCGCTCTGCCCTACGACGCTAACTACAGGGCTGAGCGGACTCGCTTCGCCGCGCAGCAATTTTCGCAGGGTCGATGCGCGGATGCGGATGCGCAGCAGGAATACAAATCCTACGACTTTCAGGCAGGTACCCACGGTACAGCCGGTTTCGATTGGATGGGATCCGCGGACGTCTATTCTTGGGATGATGTTATTTGTGGGATGGGATGGGATTGTGCCTTAAGAGGGGAGGGGAGGGGCTGGGGGGATGGGGATATATAGGGTGAAGGAGGACGACCTTTGGATGAAGGCATTCACACCTTGATCTCCAAAGACACTCACTCACACTACGAGATACTCTCAAGTCGATTGATCAATCTATCTACCTCTCAACAAACAAAGAATCAAACAAGCACTATGTTCTCCACAACCTACGACGAGAAAGCCGCCTACGAGCAACGCTACCACTCCCACTCCCATTCCCACAGCAGAAACTCCTCCAACACATCTACAACCAGTACATCCTCCTCTGTCTCCTCCTCATCCTACAAATACGACAGTGCAGCTCCTCCTCCATACACATACATATTCTACAACACGATTGAAGAGAAGCCTTTACCGCCGTTGCCAGCTTCAGCTGCGGAATATGCATGGAGCGGGAGTGGAGAGAGGAGAGTGCGATTTGTGCTGGAGAAGCCGTTGCCGCCTTTGCCGGTGGAGGAGTATGCGAGTGAGGGGGAGGGAGACGGAGAAGGAGAGGGTGAAGGAGAGGGGCGGACTAGTTTGAGGAGGAGGAGTTGGAGGAAGAGTGAGAGGGGGAGTGAGGGTGAGAGTGGGAGCGAGGAGGAGAAGGAGATGGTGTTGAAGGGGTGGTTGGGTTGAGGATGTATGGATGAGGGGATAGACGATTGCAATGCATTGGGACAAACTGGATGGGATTGGGATGGGATACTAGATGATGGGAGCTACAAAGCTGGCGTTTGGGATTAGGTTTGGCATCTGGATAGGAATATGGAAATAGATGGATAGGGAGGACTTACATACGGGATACCCCACGAGTACATACTCGCAAACAACGGGATTGTATATATTCAGCCACATATATACTACAGCATTGTATAAACATTTAAACGCTAACATACGATGCCTACCCACCACACTACATAAAAGCCTTCACCCTAATCCCCTTGGTCCCCGGCTGCTGAATCGGCAAGAATGCATCACTCTCAATCTCCACATCCCTCAATCCCGTCTCATACAACTCAAAAACACCAACATCATCCACCCCCCTACACTCCCTACTCCCCCACTGTCTCCAAATCGCCGCAAGTCCCAAGTACATCTCCGCATGCGCGAGGTTGATCCCCAGACACTGACGACTTCCCGACGAGAAACTCACCATATACTTATCCAACACTCGATTCTTGCTGTCTAGCCAGCGCTCAGGAGAGAATTTCTTAGAGTCTGGGAAGATGTCTTCATTGTGGTGGAGCTGCACGATCGTCATTCCGACGGGTGTACCTGGTGGGATGGTCCATGATTTTCCAGTGTCGGAATCGGTGAAGAGCATGGCGTTGTCGGGGTCGATGCGTGCGAGGCGGCAGCTGACGCCGTAGGTGAGTCGGAGACCTTCTTTGATGACGGCTGTGAGGTAGGGGAGTTTTTCGAGGACTGGGAGGGGGAGGGTGCCTATCATGTCGAGATCGGGGATTGCTGTTGTTAACTCGGCTTTGAGTTTGGAGAGGATGTCGGGTTGGCGGATTAGCCAGTACATAACTACTTCAAGGACCCAGGCGGTGGTGAGAGTGCCGGCCATTGTGAGGACTTGGGCGTCATCTGAGAGGCGGGTGTCGGTCTTTTCTTGGGGTGGAAGTTTGGAGGAGAGGATGGAGTGGAAGATGGTGGGGATTTCTGAGTCGTTGGTGGACTTGGTGGAGCTGGCTTGGATGGTTTTTATCTGAGCGAGGTTGTCCTGTAACTGAGTTAGTAAAAAGAGGATTTAGGAATCTAGGAAAGCATACTCGTTTTTGAGCGACAAACGACGCCATTGCTGGGTGTAGTGCCGCTGCTGCCCACATTGGAAGAGCTTGCATGAGGTTGTTTACCCAAGGAGCATGTTTCATGAAACTACCGGCAGTAGACCCAAAGAACGATGCATCGCGATATGAAGGATCGAAGTCTTCTGCTTCTACAAGCAGATTGCTCGTTAGCATCTTCAGCAGTACGAAAGTCAGAAGTGTTCTTACCGAGTCGATTGTCACATCTTCCAAAGCAGTATTGCATCACGATATCTACTTCCATCAGCAATCTCCCAAGAACTTCTTGCAGATTAAATAAATAGTTACCATTCGTATAAGCAGCAAACGCCCAACTAGCCATCAAAACCTCATCCTTATCCCTAAACTCTCTCAGCCTCTCCAGCAACAAATCAAGCCTCTCTTGAATAACCGGCTGCAGCCTCCTCACACTCTGCATACTAAAGTACGGCGCCAGAGCTGCCTTCCTCAACTTATGTAAATCATGTTGAGGCGTCGCAAAAGTACTGCTGTCCATTCCGAAGCTCTTCGTGAACCAGTCATATTTGTCACGGCGCTGTCCTGAGGCGGAAGAGGCGTACACGGTGTCGTAGAAGTCGGGATCGGAAATGTGGATTTCCCAGGGTGAGATACGGATTATGGGCCCGTATTGTTTGTGAAGATCGATTATTTTGAAGGTGTATTTCCCGCCGAGGATGAGGTCGTAGTAAGCTTCGTATCTGGGGAGCGGTTAGATACTTTGGGTTTGGGGAGAGCAGGAGGGAAAGGTACAATCTGGTGATGGCAGCAAGTTTTGGGCCAGGAATGTGGGCAATTGGACTCAGGTAAAGACGATAGTAAATTCCATAGAAGTTGTAGAGTAGCAATGCTACTGGAATCAGAAGCAGGAGTCCCATGTTGAGAGGTCCTTACCTGGTCGAGAGACCAATTGAAAACAGTGTAGGAGCTTCAAAAAGCTTTACGGAGAAGACCTTCTCTCCAACATGGGAAGCCATAAAAACTCAAGAAATAAGAAAAAGCCATCGTTCTGACCTTGTGCTACAAGGATCAACGAATGCAGGTGCTACCGTATGTACTAGGTTCTCTGCATGTCAGTGGTAGTCTGTAGCTTTGCAGAGCATTGGTATTGGTCTGTTCCGTTCTGAAAATTGGATATGATGACCATGATAATTCCCTTTCTGGTCTGTGGTTCTAAAGAGTGGATTAAGTGACCACGATAAGGTGCGGGGATTGGAGACGGTGAAGGTTGAAGGGAAGGCAGAAAAGGGGGCTTGCAACGGATCTGGCTAGCAGCGGGTTGAGGGGCCGGACCGCTGACAGCGGGATTTCACGTGGAGAAATCGCTATCTTAGCTTGGGCTCCCAGGCAATCGATTCTAGAGATGTCATTTTACACTTGCTGGGCTGAACCTCCGTACCTTTTCATCATCGACACACTGTATGTGGATAAAGGATGCCAAACCTATCGTATCAATCCATTCGTACAATATCACGTTCATTAGGTTCGGCCGTAGTCAGCAATCTCAGGCTTCACCTAACCTCTTATTTTCGACAAACCGGTCCAGAAGACTCAAGCCTTGATTAAGCTTCAGCAGTCAGCCTTAAAAATCGAAGACTTAAAGAATTGAAGAATTTCAGGACTTGGCAAGCCTTGAAAGAAATCGGAAACAATAACCCAACGCGTTGGATCATGGAGATACATCATCCCCTCCCAAACGTTCGTGGATGGAAGCCTGCTGATCGATCCATATTTCGAGATCAAGGACCCCAATCATTTCTCTTGATGTATTTTCAGTCAAGAATCCAAAGCTTAAATTCAACTAACCTACAAATACAAGCTTAAAAATCGATCCCAAATCGATCCATCCTTTCTCAGCCATTGTTCCAGATGAACCATTCAGAAACGCGGAAACTCCCAGCCTCAAACCCTTCCTTCCCCTCACCTATGAAGATATACGAGACCACCTGCCACACCAAGCACCAAATTCCAACTCACTCTCACCAAACCATCCAAATTCTTATCCCCAAAATTCTACCTATCAATATCTTCTCCTCTTCTCTCCATCCATCCTCACAACCTCATCCATCCATCCATCCTCCCCAACCCACCCAACAACCACAACCTCAACCAATAAATCCTGAAGCCACCCCTTCCCTTCTCTCCATCCCAACCCCCCTCCTCGCTGTGGCAGAATCTCTCTCGCTTATATCCGAAACAAGGAAGTCGGATCGTCTCTTTGAGACTTTGAGACTTTGATCAGCGCATGGACTAGGGAGGTTGGAGGCTCGAGATTGAGTTCGAGACGGGATGTATATCGGTATCGGGATCGGATTCGGGAGATCGGGAAATCGGAATTTTCGGGTGGGTGGGGGAGATTGGAGGGTTGTGGGAGGAGAGGGGAGGAGAGGGGAGGAGAGGGGAGAGGAGGGGTGAAGGACTGCGAGTTGAGGTTTAGATTTGAAGATGAAGTTCTATCGAGTCATGAGATATTTGCTACTGTTGATGGTCTCTCGATCGATGAGCTTCGTCGCTGCCACAACCGTCCTGGGAGGAGACATCTGACTGACATGATGGGATTCCATGGTTGATAGAAAGTTAAGAATGTCAATTCCTGGTATCATGCTATATGGATATTAAATATAACCTCCTCTCAGCTCCTATACCCTAATTTATCCCCTTCCTCTGAAGATCTGGAATCACTTTCCACCCCATCACATCGCCTTTCCCACCTCCGCCGTCCCAAACGTGCTCCTTGCTGTACTCGTACTCTTATCACTATCCATCCTCGATACCTCGCTTCCACTGTTGCTACTCAGAAATCTACTCAGACCCTGCACATAGCCTACTTCTCCCTCCATACTCTGAACGTTTCTCGGTCCCGGTCTTGATGGCAATCCCTGCTTTGGATTTCCAGGGAGGCCCATTGTCGTTCGATTGTTGTTATTGTTATTGTTGCTGAGGTTCGTATCGGGTTGATTGGATTGTAGCGAATTCCGCTCTGCTTGTTGAGCTGCGAACCATTCGGCTGTGTTGCGGACTGGGTTCACGGGAGGCGGGATTTCCATGTGGTAAAATTGTGTTATGGATGATGAGCCGGCTTTCCCCAGGTCTTTTTTCTGCGGTGGTGGTGATCTGAGAGGTGGTGAGGCGTATGGAGATGGGGATGGGACGTCATCGGTCCAGACGGATGCTTTGCTCTCTCGATAATTTTGGTCTGCAATTTCACGAGGGGGAGGTACGTCCGCTTTCTTAGGAGTGCGTGGTTCGCGTGGTTTTCTTGACCCCGGTGGGATACGTTTGCTGTTGCTGATGGTGATAAGTCTAGCGACTTTGGGACTCCATATCGCTGACGGGATATTGGATTCCCTGGGACTTTTTGATTTAGGTGTCTTTTGTTTTGGACTCCTTGAACTGATATTGGCGGTCGTCATCCTTGGTGTTTGTATTGGACTTGGTGGTGGCCTTCTTGTTGGGAAACTTTGAAGCGGTGATTTGAGCTGCCCACCCAGAGGCAAGGGTGTCTTCTCGTCAGGCAACTTGATGGGCCCAAACGGTGATACGGTGTCTTGAGCTTTGAGCCATGAGCCTAATGTCGGAGCTAAAATTGGCGCCTTTGGAGGTTTGGATGGATTCCATGGGACGGTTGTTGTTTTCACAGCTCCATCGTCAGCTCTCCTATCGCCTATCCTTGGAAATAAAGAGAGAGATGGGGAGGTATTCGTGGGTGGACCATTTCTGGTCTCATTGAATTTGGTCGATGCATTAGATTCAGCAATAGTGGAACCAACTTGATCTGATATCGGGAATTTAGGGTCCGAGGAATAGTCATCGTTAAGTGACTTCACTCCACGTGATTTCCGTTTTGCAATTCTCTTGTGGCGAATGACGAGGAAGTAGATAAGGATGGTTATGAGAGTCGACGCAATGATACTGCCGACAATAGCAAGTGCGGCTTGTGTAGCAGTCACTGCCGTGGTCTGCGATTGTCTCACTTGCTCGCCTGCTTGCGATGTGAATGAAGCTGCCGCGGCCTAAAGAAGGTCAGAGAGGCTTGTCATGAAAAACGGAAATTACTCACGTTAATGCCTGATATTGACGCTTGGGCGCCTTGTGTTGCTTTCGCTGCTGCGGCTAGAAAGGATGAACCTGCCGCGGCGGCAGAACCTGAAAGATCGATTAGTTGCTTTCCATCACTGTTTGATGCCCCAAAATTCGAGTGATCATCCGCTTGTCTTGATTCTAAGCTGGAAAAGAAATTAACGTACCTGTTGCGGCTGCAACAGCAGCTCCAGCTTGTAATACTGCTCTCGAAGCGTCGGCCTACAATCACACATACTGTCAAATCCATTTCCTGTAGACTGGACATCTCCCCGGCATTTCAGGGCATACCTGTGCTGATGAAGCGCTGGCCTGCGCAGTCATCATTGATCCATTTGCCCTTCCTATCGCTGCATCTGCCGAAGACTTCGCACTAGCTATCGCTTGATCTGCAGATTGAATCGCGCTCGAGACACTTCTAGAAGCTGCGGCGATCGACTGGGAGGCTTGGTTCGAAAACTGTTGGATTGCCTGCGAGGCAGACTGTTGGGCTTGCTGCGCAGCTTGCGAAGCTTCTCGGCTTGCTTGTTGTATCGACTGAGTTGCTTGTTGGGTTGCTTGCTGTATCGCTTGAGACGCCGACTGATTTGCTTGACGGATAGCCTCAGAGGCACTCCGATTTGCTTCACCACAATCTGCATTATTCTGAGGTTCTGGGATAGGACTTCGAAGTCGAAGTTCAGGAGGAGGTGTTATCAGTGCGCTTTGTTCTTCTATGTATTGAAGTCTGCTCAGCATTACTGAAGTCGGCGATGGCTCCAATCGCATCGACATGCTCGATGAGCTTGGTCCCCTTGGGGAATCCATTTGGTTTTGGGAATTTGAAAAAGACGACGGGGCCTCTTCCAGCGAGGAGTCGAGACGCATAAGCCAGCGTTGGGTCAAGCTAAAAACATATTACAAGATGTATTAGGAATAGAAAAGAACGTGAACGGCGTCATAGCCTGTAGAGCATCACAAGGAGTGAAGAGATGGCTTGAGACATTTGGAAAAAGAAAATCGCGAAGAAGCAAAAGAAATCCACAACTCGAGGGACCTGAGGGATGGGGAGAGAGATCTGGAGTCCATCGGGGACCGTACTATTGCCGTTTCTCCACCACCCAAGGGTTACATTCGCTACTTGCGCCCAGAATCGTGAGGTTTTGCTATGGCATTGCCTCACATGAACAGCTGGTGCTTGTCGAACATGCTTGCTTTGGCGATCATACAGACGACCAGGTCCAGATAAGCACTCCCAGACCAGCAACATAACGGTTTGGGCGACGGGAGGCCCAGATGGGCCACTGTTGGTGGAGTATGGTTGTGTTGTGAGTTTCAAAAATCAGGGCTCCCGAGCTCCGAGTTCATGCGACGGCAGCTCGTTTGGTACCTCCGTACTCCTGTCACTCCGCCAAACTCTTTCTGACAGCGGTGAAGCCGCCCATCGGATGAGAACATCAGACGGATCCAAGCTTTCGCAATCTCTGAATGGCTTGACAGAGTCGGACACAGATTTTGATGAGAGGGGTAGGCCGATCCCAGGTTATCCTGAGGTAGTTGAAAGTTAAGGGAGCTTGAAAGTCGTCTATGAAAGGAGAGGATTCCTCGCTGACTTTAGTGTATTCGCTAGTGATATTTAGACGTCACCAAGGCGGAAATCCCCCTGTGGACTGGGAAAACATGAAAAGCTTCGCAACGAAACCGCATCGAATTTTCAATACCTCCATGTCCAATATCGCCATGCTATATATCTTGTACCTTGGAAGTGAACCCAATCTTCAGCAATTAGGCGCTAGGTCATAAGTTCTTGCGAGAAGGTTCAACACACGTTTCACGAACCGGTCAAAGCGTCTGAGAAGCCGCGAGGCTCGCAGGTTGCCAGCCCTCTAATGCATCGATGGAACGATCACAAGAATCCGTTGAAGATATCGATGGAGTGCTCGGACCGGATGACACAACCGAGTCTAATAATCCTATCAATATGGAATGTCATATGTTTATATATGGGAAACTCCAACCCCCAAAACGCCGTTAATGGTCGCGAAACTCCATGCCAGGTTACGCATTCAATGCCCATTACCAAAATCTACTGCCAGCGCTGCAAGCTATAAACAGTTTCCATCCCACGTTATATGCAGTGTATTTATCCTTTGTTTCCAGCTCCGAAGCAAATCCTCTTCCTAGGAACCGTCCGCGCCGCTCCATCCCAGAGGAGATGTGAGATGTGCGACTCCTGTCCCATGCATTCTCTCACAGAACACTCATGCCCTCATGATCCCATTCATCTTCCAAACCCTTCAACCTCCACAGAAACTCTTTCCAGCTTTCTGTTGACGATTCGGATTCAAATTCGATTGTGATATTCTCGCTCCGTCCATCGTTCACTCTGCCACCCATCGCATCCGGAGTTTCAACACCACATTTCTTGATGTCTAGCGTTTTGCCAAATGCTGCATCGAGTTGATTGGCCGCGTGTGTGAGGTGATGCAACGATTTGAAAGCCTGTTTCCCCAGTCAGTGAATCGTTCATCCAGATACTAGCTTTAGAGTTTCGGGGACCAAACTTACGAATCTGCGAGTCTGGCAGTCGCCTCTTGCTTCCTGGTCCTTCAATACGCTGACTCGTAGGTGCCACAATGGCTCGTCCTTGGTCTCTGTGTTGTTCTTCGGTTGCCATAAGCAGTGTTTGTCGTCTAGGTGAACCTTCTCTCCGTTTCCGTGTAGGTCGCACGAGCTGCAGGCGCTGAGTGTCATTACACCGAAGTATCCTTTCATTGATGTGAGGTACTTTCTGTTGGAACTGACAGGCTCGGAAGTGTTAATTTCGAAATGTAGTGTCTTGATGTTGCGAACAATATCGTGTGTGAGAACTAGATGCGGGTTCTCTTTTGGTTGTGGTTTGTGCTTGAAGTATCCTGGATATCGTATTGGATTTGATCCTGGTGGAATGAGAGACATGATCGTGAGAAGTCCCCTTCTTTATGTACTTTCAAAAAGTACACTTTGGTAGATGGTGCATCCTGTATGGTGCAGCATTACCGTAATTGTGGCGTGCACTCGAAATTGATCTGCCTATGGTGTGTCTCTTGTCGTGGTGGTCTCACTCCAGCATTGTTGAACCATATCATAAAATCGGCGGATGTCGAGATCAGATGTTGAATTGAAGATTGGACGTGGGAGTGTCACGCCACTTTCCCAATTCAGCGCTTTATCCACTGAGAAGTCGGTATTTACAGTGATGTGGGCCCCCGTTCCTGACAGCTGGACCCTGACAGCGCCGCCCCCCGGTTCAAAATGTGGCGGGTGGCTTGGGGACCCTCAGGACCTTGGGCAAGCCATCCTCGCATGAGCTGCATTGTGTCACACCACTTTAATGTTCTACAACCATAGTTATCCTAACCACAACATCAAGGACACTTAGACTCCACAGGGCTATTTGCAGCCACACAAAATGCGAGGTCGTAGTATCCAAGAAGCCAAAGTGGTCTGATATGTACAGCTTGACTTTCAAACATTGGATCATCAGTCCATAGGTTATTTAGTCTGTCGACCTGTGCTTGTTGTTATTGTCAAGAAGAGAAGCGAGCTTGTCAGACTGAAGCGGCGCTACTGCTCGGCATTGATGATTTTGGTGAAATGGTGGACGTCTCTGTTTAGACCTAGTGCAGGGAAACATCACGGTCAGCTGTGTATAGCCTGTACTTACAGGACGTACATGCTGTAGGTTAAGCCGGTCGATTTCCATAAGTGCCTGGTAGGCATTGATGTGAGATGCTGCTCGTTTGTAGCTAGACCTGTGCCTAAAAGTCATGGGGAAGATGTAGAGGAGAAAAAAAGTACCTAACCCCGCTTTAACCCCACTTCCTCTCTACTAGAATAAAAAGACCTTTACGGCATCAGAGTTTTCTGCAAGGCGACACTTGAAGCAAGAAAAGAAGCCAAAAGCAATAGTTCAAACAACTATAAACTATATTAGGTCCTCAAAAATGACAAAAAGATAAATTTTGTGTGATCACTACGAGGGTCGAACTCGCGACCTTGGCGTTATTAGCACCACGCTCTAACCAACTGAGCTAAGCGATCGTTGATGTTGGATGCTGTAAACAACAAGTTATTGATGTTTGATGACGAGATTCTGCTTATTTGGATACTTACATGTGGTAGTCAAATGCCGGGAAAGCTCTTTGTCAGTGTGTGAGTCAATGTGCCGAGGAAGCCCTAGCTTAGCGAGATGAAGCTCTCCACTCCACTTGCACCATCACCTGAGTAGATGCTTTTGATTGAACGTGATACCATGGACATCTAGGGATGGTAAAAAAAAATATGCTATTTTTGTATGGCTCGGGTTTAAAGTTTTGGCTTTCAGTCTTTTCGCGTCAGATATGTTAGCGGCTAGGCGGCGTCTGTTTACTTGACTTCGCTTATTTCCCTCCAGTCCTCCCAAGGCTGAAGCATCCGAAGCCTAGATTTGTCCTGTTGATCTTTCTTCCTTGATTCGAAATCTGGGCTGATAATCTTGGAAAGAAATCAGATATTTGGCTGTAGACAAGACTTTCAATCTCCCCGCAAGTGAGTAATTGAGACACAGTATTTGATTCGAGCTGCATGCCTCCCTCTTCGGCAGATTACTGTCACAGATACATCCAGTTTACCACTCATTTGTGGCGTCAATGGCAGTGACGTAGCGTTTTTAAGAAATTAGGGCGCTACGATTCGCAGTCGTGACAATATCATACCTTAAATGTTTGGTAACTTGAAAAATGCAGAAAATCCCCTGCATCAACAGACAAAGGAGCCGGATCAGAATAGTCAACCAGACATGGATACCCGCCCAATTTTCCGTCTTTGTCCTCCTAAAATAATAACACGCTCTTTCTCATCCCAGGTACTAATCCCTCAAACCCCACTCGTCACCCAAAACTCTCATTCACATAAATCAAAACTCATTTGCAGCCCCCAACAAGCAAAATGATCCGCCTCCTCAACGACCAATGGACCTTCGCAGGCCCAGCATCCAACAACGGCAAGCCCATCACAGAAACAAACCCTTACAATCCTGCGGCTGCTCCCCAGCCTCCTCGAACACCATTACCAAATGGCCAGCCCGGCTTACAGATTCCTGGCGGGTTTGTTGAAGAGTATAATCACAGCGCTTATGCGCTTAGAGAGAATCCGTTTTTGGATTATCATTTCTTTTATAAGAGCTGATGATGGGGACGCAAGTGGTGGCCGCTGTGGGGAACTGGGCCTAGGGCAGAACGGAGTGAGCGTTATGTTCTTTCCGAATTTGGCGTACAGGGTTTCTTGAGGCGTAAACGTAAAGGGAGGGATGAAACGAGGGATAGAGAAGCGTGGCGTTTTAGGTACCATTCAATGGAATTTCAATCTTGAAGCTGGCCCACTTCATTTCCCCATGCCCTGCGTATCTCGAAAAGTGTGAAGATGAGATGGGGGAGAATGAACAATCAGGCTGAAAATAATAGCACGATTAATAATCATGGATGATGCTCTTTGAAATGGAATATGGAGAGTTTTCGCGACTGTTCGGAGAAGTTTCATTACTGACACACTCAGTGAACTGCGATGTCAGTCCAGAAGAACGTCCTTCATGCGGGGTTGAGAACATCAGGAAACCTAAAAGATGAAGATACAGAATATTCTCCTATATTTCGAAGAAAGAAAAAGGCAATTGCCAAGGAATAACAATAAAAATATCTGCACCTTCGTAGAACAGAAGTTTTTCATTTATTCATGAGCTCATACCTCATAGGTTAGCCTTGGCGCCAATGTGCCCAACCAAGAACTCCTCAATATACCGATTGACATCTGCTGGCTTCTCCCACAGCGCCCAATGACTAGCATTGACCTCGCCTCTCGTCAAGCTCCTGAAGAACTTATCCATACCCTGACTCATCGCTGGAGGCAAAGCAGCATCCCTCGTGCCAGCAATAAACAGTGTCGGCATATCGAACTTGTACCCCTCCATCTTCTCCGCCATCTCTTTCTCATCCTCAAAATTGAGCTCCTGGGTACGGTACCAGTTCAGGGGGCCATGCATTCCACTGATTGCATAGCGTTTGACGTAGAAATCGACTTCTTCCTTTGTGAGAAGGGGTGTTGGTCCAATGTCTGGGAGGACGTTGAAGTGGACTCCCTTGGAGGTAGAGAAGCCTGGCTCGCCTTTGGGGGTACGTCCACCGTACATTGCATTGAGAAATTGACGGAGTTTTTCTTCACCGACAATCTCGGCTTCGACTTCTGGGCCGCGAAGGTGGAGCTGGTATTTGAAGTTTGGGAGGACGGTGGCGTCGAGAAACTCTTTCCTGGGTGGTGCGAAAGGTGTGCAGACGCTGATTATGGCTGAGATCAACTTCGGGTAGTGCAGAGCAAAGCGGTAAACGACAGCTCCTCCCCAGTCATGACCTCCTAAGATGATGCTGGAGAGGCCGAGTTGCTGGGCGAGTGTGGCCATGTCGTCAGCGGCACGTTTGTAGGTATAGAATGATGGAGACTCTGGTGCGTCTGTACCAGCGTATCCCATCATGTCAAGAGCAACAACTCGGAGACCGAGAGAAACAAGATGGGGAATTTGGTATCTCCAGCCGAATGAAATGTCTGGCCAGCCATGGACAAGGAAAATGGTATTTAGAGCTTTGCCCTGGGGCTCAGCGAGAATGTAACTGTAGTTGACGCCATTGAGATTGGCTGTCTTATATTGGACACGAGAGTCGTCGGGAGAGAGTTTGTCGACCATTTTTATCCCTTAATTCAAACAATGAAGTTGTTGGTGCAAGGCCGAAAGTTGAAGCGGGGATGGTGGCAGCTTTATACTCTCTGCAAGGCTGAGTCCGTAGATCTGCCGTACCTCGGCGATTTGAGATGCATGATGACCCGCAGCTTAGTGGGACAAGGACAATCCGTCAAGCTTGCTCTACAGCCACAAACTATCGTTCTCGTCTACAGGATAGGTGCGAGCAATCCCAGTATCCGTCTAGCGGTCAGTACGACTGTTTCTGACGGCCGGAAGACTATCATTGGCGGATCCTCCTTCTTATAGCCTCAAACCACTTGATTGCCAGATTGCCTAGCTCTTTTCAAGGCATAGGTGCTCTGATGTTTCGAGCCTTGTACATCTGAACTCTATGTCTGGTTGAAAGATCTGATCCTTAGCCGGCCCCTGTGACTCGCTTGGTACCTTATAAGTCTTGTGGATCGTTGAAAGCAGCAATTGTATCATTGACGAAGCTAGACAACTGAACACCACTCAATGGCATCATTCAAGGATGACCTTCGTCCCGATTATGGTACAGGTCCTTCTGATACTCACCAACGGCGTGGTCGGCTATTCGTAACCACTAGCTAATTGAAACAAGTTTTGCGCTAGGTTAGAGCACATATATGTACAAGAAAGTTGCGGGCCATCATTTCGCCCAACGACGTATTCCTGGTACATTTGGAGCAAAGGAAGAACCCAATAGAAATGCTGGTCTTGCTGAAATCAGTAAATCACTGTATCCTCGTCGTTCTCAACGACCACTTCGCCGTTATGCTCTTCCTGAGCCTGCTTCTCTGCCTGGTTCTGCTCTGACTGGGGTATTTGTACAGGGGAATTAGTAGTATCATCAACTTTGGAAACAGACGGAGACTCGGCTTGAGGCTCACCCACCGTCTCCTTAGACGTGCTGTTAGATCTTTCTTCCTTCTCTTTCCTTCCAGGTCGGTTCGGATGCCGGGAATCAAAATTTGATGTCTCTCGCTCGATTGTGGCTTCGGCTTCCTTGATCTGGGATTTGATTCGTTCTTCGTCTCGAGGAAGTAGCTCCCAGGGTTTGTAGTACTACGAAAATGGTCAGCAATAAGCTCATCTGACAGCAGTTATATGTCGGTATGTAAGATACGTACAATCTTAGGTTCTGATTTCGTACACAGGAAATTTGCCACAGCCAATAGGTTGGAATGTCGTGTTCGCATCTGTCGATGGTCAGGATCAAGTCAATCTTGCTCGACATTGAATCCACACACCTCTGCTTCGTCGTATATAATTTGCTCTGCCTTACGAATAGCCTTCAAGTCTGCCAGTTTCTCTCTCCTCCGTGCCTCGTCTGCTTCCTTTTGTTGTTTTACTTTCTCATGCTGGCGCTTCTCAATTTCGAGACGTCTTTTCTGCTGACCATTTGGCGTGCTCTGACTCAAAGTACTTAGAAGACCACCGAATAACCGTTGGCCACGCTTCTTTTCCTCCTGCACACTGCTCTTTCTTCGATTTTGCGCTTCGTCATTGGGTTTGACTTCTGCCTCGGGTTTAGATGGCTCGATTGGTTGTGGAGAGTCGCGCAGAGTAGGTGGAGAGCCACTGCTTGCATCGACGGACAGCCGGGGACGTTTGGATGTCGAGTCCGAGGCTGATGATTGTCGTCGTTTCAAGGGAGCTGTGGAAGCTTCAGCCTCGGGGAGAACGACAGCTGAAGCGATTGGGCTGCGTAGATCATTAGCATTTGCCCAAGACTACAAACACAATTTGTATCTCACCCATCAGCTTCGGCCATATTCAATCCTCTGCTTAACAATACTATTCGAAAGTGGATGCTGTTCAGAGAAGTTAAGGAAAGGCTGAGCAACCTCGCTGATGAGCATGTAGCACTTGTCCCAATTCACGCTAGTGGTGGTCCGTGCTTAGCAAGCAATTCTGGAACTTTATGGTGGCGGGACATTTGCTATGAATGCTTCAAGTCCATCAGCCTCGTCAATTTTACAGAATACCTTCAACAGACACCTGAAGCTTATCTCGAGCTGAAGCTACATCTTAAGAACTCTCCAAGTCCAACGACAACAACCCAGACCTTCACGATGTCCCGCCATCATCCGTAAGTCTCTCTCTTGCCCCTCCAAACTTTTATCCTTCCACTACTACCCCTGGCTCCTCTCCTTCAAGAAGATTCTTATGCTAACTCTCTCCTCAGCGATCTTGTTATGTGCCGAAAGCAATCAGGCATTGCAATCGGCCGCCTCTGCGACAAGTGCGACGGAAAATGCCCAGTCTGCGATTCTTACGTCCGACCTACAACCCTCGTACGAATCTGTGACGAATGCAGCTTCGGCAACTACCAGAATAAGTGTGTGGTGTGTGGTGGCGAGGTATGTATTACCACTTACAATTACTACTGGCAATATGCTGACTTTCTGTTAGGGTATTTCAGACGCTTTCTACTGCTTCGAATGTACCCGATTGGAGAAGGATCGAGACGGTTGTCCAAAGATTATCAATTTAGGATCTTCCAGGACGGATCTATTCTACCAGAAAAAGAATTTTAGGAATCACTAGCACACCTAGTCTTGGAAAGGATACGAAGGGTCTTTGGGGAATTGAATGGAGCGCCACGAAAAGGAACTTGACCATTTTTGTCTGCATAGCGAGGAGTTTGGGACCATACGATATCGATAGCCTGAATGGAGGCGACAAGGAAATAGAAACTGTGGCTTTCTTCCTGTCAGTATTGTGTGTTGGTTCAAGTGTTGATGTTTGTTGCGGTCGGAGCTAACCCCCAGAATTCGGTCATCCCGTCAAACTAACATCTCTCCGTTTGTGACGCCGTCTTCCCAATTTTTTGGTTATGCGACTTCCTTTTTCGCGTCCCTATCAGTTGTTTCTCTTCCTTTCCTCCAATCTCGGGCTATTTTCTTCTCAACATCATCCAGGGTGTTCAGAATAGACAGCATCAAGTCCGCTATCCGCGCCCCTTTCGTCCCTAAACTCACCACCGACGAAAGTGCCAACCTACCCTCCCACATCTCCCACACACGAGCCTCAATACTCGAGCTGGAACGCCGCATCAACATCTCACGGACAAACCTCCTCACCATCTCCCGCTGCATGAAAGGCATGATCCCTCCCTCGTCCACCACCTCAAAAGTCTATTCAGGTACATTTGGTGTGTTCGATCTCCCACGAGCCATAGCGGATCTTGAAGTAAGCTGTAGTCAGATGATACTAGATCGGCAAGATTTACTACGTCAGCAGCAAGTCACGAGAAACAAATATTTCCCGGTGCAGATGATTGAGAAGCCGGTCGACATACCTGATTCAGAGAGGATTATATCGCCGCCGAGATCTTTGAATCGTGTTTACGTAGCGGCATTAGGGTTGACAGCTGAGGGATCATACCAATTGTTGAAGGTCAAGAAGCAAGAACTGCAGATTGAGTTGGAGAGATTGGAAGCGGACGTCAAGCGCTGGGGCGGCATTTATGCACATATGTTATCCTCTGAGTCCGACTCCGGGTCCGATTTCCAGTAGCCGCCGATAGAAGCGCACACACGGTCATCGATCTCAACACCTGTTTCTTTCTTGAGCAATAACCCAACCCTTGCGAACTCGGAACAGGGAAGCTATTTTCAATTTCAGAGGCCAAAGAGCGGCATCTGGGATGTACAAGACTACGAGAATGCTGTTGCTATCAGGAGGAAGGCTGTTCCAGTGAAGGAGATCGTTTTAAGGACTTTACAGCTGGCAGATCCATTCGAGAGTGCATTTTCCGGAAATGTCGGGGCGAAGGAACTGCAGCACCAGGATCTTCAACACAAGACCACCCAGCCTACGCACGCCAGTTTACCTGTACATAATACCTACCCCGGCGACTATAGCGGCAAGTTCAGGCGGATGACAAAATCACATGGCACCTTTCCAGCACCAGAGCCGCCGCCGAGATCCAAGGGTCGCCTAACAGCTCAGCTTATCGGGCCGTCACTATTTCCTGAAGTGAGAGACATGAGTACTGGACGGCATCCAATATCAACGAAGGACTCTTCAGAAACACTGCAAGCAGAGACGCAAAACGGTAGATTCCCAGCATGGATTTGACAAATGTGTCATATTGCATGGCTATCTCTTGGTATCTTGGCGTGAGTGTGGATCGTGAAGGTGAGGAGATACGACATCGGTACGAGGCGTACTGGTAATGGGAGTTGGTGTATGGAGTATATTGTGGGAAGTGTAGAGAGCTCACCCTGCTGTGTAATTCATCTCAGATTGTTTGATGGACAATGACTGGCTAGGAGTTGATAGTTGATGAGCGTCCTGTGTGATAAGGCCAATCCAACGTAGTGCCATCTAGAACTAGCATATATTAAAATGAGTCGACCCGGTCTCGGGGGAAACAATATAGAACGGGTAGCCTTATTTGAAACATGATTGATATTATTCTAAGCCTGATACAGCAAGAGGGAATATAAACTGCAGAAATTAAAGTTGGCAGGATGACGATGATTCCATTTTCTCGTTTAAGCGAGGTCAGGTGACCCATAACCTTTCTTTTGCACCAGCACCAATGGATTTTCGTCGTCGATTTTCGTCCTAGCAAATCACATTCAAGTTCCAGCAATTTGAAAAACTTTAATAAAATTCGATTACCAGCGATCTCATCGGACCTCCCTATCAGGACGGCCTCCTCGACAGCCAACGACTAGCAACTCTGATGTGGCTATCAGATCGCTACATTTCAAGCTTACTGACTTCGCAACAGCGCCTCGTACCTGCAGCGTCCCACCATCTTTTTAACATCATTAAGATAGATCACAGAAGCCTCATTATTTTCCATCTTCTAGTCTGCTCCACAGTACGCCGCCATGCCGCCATCCAGAACATCAGGCGCCATGCCTGACATCCCCGCCTCGCGCCCAAAATCACGAGTAAAACCATTCGGAAGATCCAAACCGAAATCACGAGCGAGGACAGCTCAAGAAGACACTCCCGAGCCCGACAAAGAATCCAACAAGACAAATGCCTTCCTGAAGCTTCCTCTTGAGCTGAAGCTGCAAATTGTGGAATTCATACCTACGCGTGATATCCCTAGTATCCGCATGATCTCTGAGTCTTGGGCTGCTGCTGGCGCGCCATCGATATTTCGGGATGGCCTGACTATTCGTCCCCATCTGGATGATATGGATAGACTATGTCAGGTCGTCACGAACCCAGAAGTTGCCAAAGGAATTCGCTATATTGAATTCTTTGCTGGGGATGTGGATAGACTTCAACTGGAAAATGCTATTGAGCGTCAAAAGCAGCGTTTGCTGTATGCTACCGGAGGGCAAATGTCCAAAGTATGGAAGCAGGTCAATGCTATCTTTGACAAAGCCCGTGTCCAAAAGCACTGCAAGGCAGAAATCCTGGACAAATGTCTTCCACTGCTACCGAATCTCGCATCCTTGAAGATCAATTCTCTCAACTGTCCGCTCCGCGACATAGAGAACCCATTCTGTATCGCCTGGGCTGAAATGGAATCGGATTTTGACTTCGAAGATGATGAGGCGAGCCACTTTCTCGATTCGCCAGTCTCAATCCAAAGATATTCCGCTATCCTCGCATCGGCTATCAAGTGTAAGTCAATACAGAAGCTGGACCTCGATTGCTTCCCAATCGATTATTTCAGGACAGGTTTTGCAAGTGACTTCCCAGGACGTGAACTCCTCTCTGCTCTACAGCCAAGCCCCCAACTCAAGGAACGGCTGTCACATATTACAGACCTACGGATCGCGGTCGTTGGAGTGGGCAATTCCATGTTGCCTTACAATTCGCAAATGGGCCGGAAAATGGCACAGATGCTGGGTTGCTTCCAGAACATCACCTCCCTCGATCTCTCTTACGAAGAAGCCGACGACGATACAGACGAATGCCTGTTAGGCTTCGAAGACACATTCTACCGTCTTACATACCCGCACTTACATAGCCTCCGCATCTCAGGATGCGACTCCACAGAAGAAGACCTCGGCAAATTCCTCGTCGCCCACAAACGCACTCTCCGGTACCTACACATCGGCGAAGCAGGCTGTACGCCTCAAGAACGGACTTGGAAGGATGTCCTGACTGACTTACGCGATCACATGTCCCTTGAGAAGTTCGAGCTGTATGTTCCTGAAGCCGAAGGACGCATCTATGACGTTAATTGGAAACCTGTGGTGTCTGATGCTGGAAAAGGAAAGATCAAGGATGCCAAATTGCTGGAGCTGTATGTCCTTGGCAAATGTCCATGGCCGATGGCGGAGGCGAGTCCGAGGGATGAAGGGTGGAAAAGGAAGTTTGGGGCGGAGGATATGATGTTGTTGGATCTCGGGGAGGATGAGCTAAGGGATTTGCTGGGCGAGGAGTGGGAGACTGATGGGAGTGGAGATGAGGATGAGGGCGCGGACGAGGACGAGGATATGGACTCTGAGGAGTCGTACGACAGTGATGAAGAGTATTTCAGTGTGGATGAGGAAGTTTTGGGTCTTGACGAAGGAAACATGATTATACCGGATACTCCCGGGATCGCGGACGGGAATGGAGAGTGGGAGGATATGGAGGTTGATATTGAGGGGTAGCTTGGACATTGATATGCGGTCGCTTATGCTCTTTGTTTGGACATCACGTTAAAAAGGGTAATGAGTTCTTTCAAGTGCTGAAGTAAATTTGTCTTTCTTCTACCCCGAAAAGGTTATGTCATGTAGATTAAAGCAAATCATCTGAACTAAACAGCAGCTCTCGAGATATCACCAGAGACTAGGGAAACCTCCTCGAGACCTCTTCGACAGTCCTTCGAGAAATGCTATCCACGAACCTCATGCGAATCAAGATTTGTACTACTGGACGGAGAGAACAATGTAAGTCGGTGAGTATGGCAAGATTTATCCAGAAGAGGGCATGAAATTCTCTTAGGACTCCACCCTGTGAAGTCGGCACAGCAGCCTCAGTACATGCTGAGAAGTTCATAGAATACCAACAATCACGCAAAGCCACAGACTTTTATTGTACCGCCCTACCACAGACCTCGCGATAATGCCGCAAGACCATCTGCTTGTCCACCGAAAAATCTTCAGCACTGCCCTTACCAACTAATGCACAGCATATTTCTCCCACGCGATCTACCCCGCAGTACCAACGAGGCGCATGGAGCAAGGATTCCCCACAACCTTCACTGACTGTTACTCTAGGATGAGTTGTTAACTGCATGGTTCGCAGCTCGGAGGTTACACGGCACAAAGCTTGTCGCTCTTGTCTCAGAAAGTCTGCCGAGTGTGCGGATGATCAAAAAAACAGCGCATGTGATGGGAGCACATTCTAGCTTCGGTACCCCTCGACAAGGACCTTTTGGTGATGACTTTGACAGCAATGCATGCTTTTGATGCCGGATGATAGATTCTTCCAGAGGTAAGACGATGGATCTTGGCATTTTTTGTCGAGCACATTGCATTATCTGAAAGACGTGCAGCTGCGAGCTTGTTGGAAGGTTTGCGAAGAAGCATCAAATATACCCCGAATTCTCTCTGAACCCAAGCTTTCCATGAACGACCTGGGGTACTATCTGCAGAAAGAAGCTAGATCTTTTTGTATTTACCACCCCTGGTACTGCGGTGGACTCTGCCGGTAGAAGATGGTACCATCTGACCGAAGTTGACAGTTCTAAGTGTCATGAATGATCATGGCAGCATGCAAACTTTCACGTACCTCAAAACTACAGACCGGCAATTCTTGCGGCCTTTCTCAGCAGCTTACAGCACACTTCAATCAGTTGCCTCACTGCATGGGAGGACTGCTGTATTTCAAGTTCTGTATCTTGTTGGGGACATTCTCCTCCACCACAAACATACCTTGAGATCCTTATTCTTGAAGTTATTCTCATAAGTATTGACTGATATCCATTAATGACCTCAAACCTATAAGATGAAGCTCATTTTTGGTGCATCACTTCTAAGCTTGGTTTGGGCATCCAGCTTCAATCCAGCTCGCCCACCAGCAATTCCACTTGCAGGTATGTTCCACCATCTGGGATCAGGTCACGGTCTGACAGAGCCCAAGTCAAGAGTCCTTATATGAGTACATGGCTTGAAGTTGGCAGCGATGGAGGAAGTGGTGGGAAACTTGCAGGATATTGGCCGTACAGTAAACTTTCAGATGTGTTGAGTCCGAGCTAACAGCATGCAGTCGGTTCTGGGCGTGAGTTTATTGCTTCACTGGAGCTTAATTTGTCTGATATTCCTACGTAGTGGCTCTCAGCCTGGACCTGTCGCTGGCAGAAATGGAGCTGTCACAGCTTGGGTTGGCTTCATCAAAGTCGACGGAGCGGCATATACCTGGATGGGTGATGCTTATGTGAATGGTGGAGCGCCTTCTCTGGTGACACAAGACTTCTTCGAATATACTTCTCAGAGATCTACTTTCATTATGAATGTAGCTGGGAAGGTCACGATAAATGTGACATTCCTATCACCGCTCACCCCCACGGATCTCAAGCGCCAGTCAATTATTGGGACATATCTGTCTGTGACTGTAAACTCACGTGATGGTGCGAATCACAATGTCCAGCTATACGCAGATATATCAGCAGGTTGGTCGAGGACATCAGGGCGAACAGCGACAGTTGGCTAACAGGAGTTCAGAATGGGTCAATCCGACGCATAACCAAGAGCCAGTAGCTTGGAGGTGATTATCTTGGAATTTTCTGCACAGATTGAAGCTGATCAATCCAGCTACTCTGTCCAGAACGGGGTTGCTAGTCACAAATCCTACCAACAGACTCAGAGCGAGTTCAATGCAGACTACCCCGACGATGCTGCGCATTGGGGAAACTGGTATTGTATGATTTTTTCTTGTTTCCTTCCAATATACATAATCGAGGGAGAGGTTGGGCGGCGTTGTCTTGTTTACTTCGGGAAGCGAAGGTTGCAGAGCTGAAAGTTTTCTCATTTAGGGTCTACCGCCGCTAGTCCATCGATGACTTATCAATCAGGGACCGATTCTACTGTTAGACAAAACTTTGTAAGCAATGGAGCTTTGTCAAATACTCAAGATAGCAACTACCGAGCCATCAGCTCAAGCTGGCCTGTATTTGGGTTTGCAAATTCTCTTGGCAACGTTGGGACCACTCCTATATCCACCCTCTATACAATAGTGCATGCGCAAAAGAATGCCATTTATTACAATGGAGCAAGTGGGCTCGTCGGATTACCCTCATTGTGGACAAGCTACTGGAACACGGACCTTGGCATGGTATGCCAAAATCTTTCGCCCCGAGGATAGTACATACTGACCAGTGAGCAGGTGGAGTTCTTCTTTAAAGACTGGTCAAGTAATAGCGGAGCACTTGATCACAAGATTGCAGTCGACTCGTTGAAAGCAGCAGGCCAAGACTATCTGACCATCACATCTCTCTCGGCTCGACAAGCATTTGGTGCTGTCCAACTCTGCGGAACCCCAACCAAGCCCTATTTGTTTCTCAAAGAAATCAGCTCCGATGGCAACATTCAGACAGTCGATGTCTTGTTCCCTGCCATGCCAATATTTCTATACACCAATCCGATTCTCGTCAAATATTTATTGGATCCACTATTTGAGAATCAAGAAGCTGGCCGTTTCCCGCAGACCTACTCGCTCCATGACCTCGGAGCGAATTATCCGCGTGCGATTGGCCACCCAACAGGTGATGGAGGTGGGTATTCATGTAATCGAGACTGTTTCTTATGCTCACAAGAATAGAACCTATGCCACTCGAAGAATGTGGTAACATGATCATCGCAACTCTCGCCTACGCACAACGCACAGCAGATACAGCGTACTTGTCACAACACTACAAGATTCTGAAGCAGTGGACAGGGTACCTTATCCAAGAAGCACTGATACCCGTCAATCAGCTATCAACAGATGATTTCCAGGGCCAGCTCGCTAATCAAACCAATCTCGCTCTGAAAGGAATTATTGCTATCGAAGCAATGTCCGTCGTGGCGAGGAAAACTGGGAATCTAGCGGATGCAGAGAATTACACAAGTATTGCGCACGACTACATCAATAAATGGCAGAAGTTTGCAGTAGTTTGTGGTGCGAATCCTCCGCATACTAACTTGGCATATCAGGATCGGGATTCCCATGGTATGTTGTTGTTTATGAGCTCGCTTACCACTTCCCTGACCCCGCATCTGATATTTCTCAGGGCTGCTCTATAATCTCTATGCCGACACTCTCCTGGGCCTGAACCTTGTCCCAAAGTCCATCTACACCATGCAATCAACATTCTATCCCACTGTCGCTCAGACCTATGGTGTGCCCCTCGACACCAGAAATGTGTTTACAAAGTGTACGTCTGCATACAATTTCCCTTTCACTTTCCAATGTCCCGCTAACAACGAACAGCGGACTGGGAGATGTGGGTAGCAGCTATCAGCTCCCCATCTACAAAGAACATGTTCATCTCCAAACTCGCAAATTGGATCAATACCACGCCGACAAATCGGGCTTTCACGGATCTCTACCACACTCAGACTGGGGAGTAAGTAATTGTAGTCTCCAAATACTAGGGATATGACTAACAACATGCAGTTTTGCGAATGGACCGTTCATTGCTAGACCGGTCGCCGGTGGTCATTTTGCGCTGTTGGCATTGGGCGGTGCGCCGACCGCTGCATTTGGCAAGAGATATGGAGTTGATGTTGAGAACGGTGTGTTTGACCAGTAATGGCCATTCTTTTCCAAGTCTGGGAAGTCGATACGTGTCTTGCATTAGATTTCCAGGATCATGAAATGTTCGTGAGCGGTACTGGAGAACAAATTTCTTCTTGGATTAGGTCTCAGCGAAGCGTAATTCGTGAGAATTCGATCTCACCCCTGCGAAATGCCGGCATAGCCTCCCCGTCCATATATCCTTGAACATAACATGGCCCCTTGAGGATGTATGGTAGGTCGAGGTTGGTTGACATCGCACTATTTGGTGGAGTCTCGACGCTTTTCCCATCGCATGGCTCAACCCCGACGTCCTGACGTAGCACATATGGTGTATTCCCACCAAGAAGTAAGTGGACGGTGTCACCAACATCGATATTGCAGTTATTTGACACTATACCAATGGACCCAATATTTGTGACAAACATCACGCTGTTCATGGCGGTGCTGAGCGCTTCATAGGTAATCTGCGGCCCCATTGAGAAATTATCATCTCCCTCTTGTGATCCTGCATTGTCATCCCCCCCAAGTATAGACTTGAACTCCGCATTGTACCAGCCATAAAATCCTCCTCCATTGCCCGAATTCATTTTGAAACCCCTAAAAAGTACCTCCATGAACTGATTTCGAACTACCTTGGGTAAATGGCCCATGTTGTCGCGGGGGATATTGAGGCTCGCCGCGACAAATCGTTCCCAGTATCTGATAACATTTGACATGATGATTCTGTGCTTTTCACTTATCCAATGCTGCTTGAACGAAGATCCTGTACCACTTACAGCAGTAATTATTCCAATATCGTGCCCGAATAATGTAAGCTGAAGTCTGTCTTCAGAGAAGTTGGGTTCATTTTCACTAGTGCCCGTGGCTGAATAGGGCATGTAGGCTCCCGCTGAATTATTGGAGTTACAAAGGGAAAAGAGATAGGAGTCAATGTACCAAGAGGGCGATGTTAGGTCTGGAACCCATGAAGGTAGACATAATACTGAAGTATTGCTGTCTGCACAACATGATAATATGTCCAGACGACCCGTTCGAACAATTCGCCGAACAGTCCAGGTCGTGAAGTTTTCACTTGTGGACAGCCTATAGTCGATGACTATGTCCTGACTGTTTTCCACGGACAGCATGCCATAGATAGCAGCAAGTTTATCGCGAGGATCCGAACAGAGGAGCGGGCTCGTCTTCATCAGAGTATCCCACAGATCTGTCCCTCTGCTAGCTTTCCTGGTACTTTCTCTGTATGCCAGCGCAGCGCTCGTTGCATTATGAATTGTTGACTGACCCCTAGAGATTTTGTCTAGATCTGTTGACAGCCCCGGAGATGTAGTGAAGTGACCTGCCGCTGTTAAAACCGAAGCCCACTTTATGCTGCATCTCCCACATAGAACAATGACCTCTCGGGCCAAGCAGACTTCTTGGTATACCCAAAGACGCCGAAACCAGGTGCGGACAAATATTCGTGAGAAATATCCCATTGAAGCGATGTCTGCAAACAGTAGACGGTCTAGGTCTAACTTCTCACGCTCTACATTTCTAAACTGAGCCAGGTTCTCCAGGAGAAGAAACATTTTTCGAATGCTTTCGTAAGTGCTGGGGGGAAGAGGATCGATGCCATATTCCTCCTCAAAGTTTACCAAGGAATCTTCTGGCTCCGTATACCTTCCCAGCCATACGACCACTCGACTGGCACTCTTGTAGACGTCGCCCATCCTTCGTAACCTGCTCATTACGCTCAGGTATATTCTTTTGGTCGATACATATCGCGTCTATCCAGAGAACTCTTGCGACGCTGCATGGCGCCCCAACGTTTCGCAAGTTCTCAAGAGCATGTCGGAGGTTGCAGGAGACCTCAAAATTCAAATCGTTGATATAAATAGTGTATTTATCGGTCTGCTCTCCCCATGTATACGAAAAAGCCTCGAACGCTCCAGGGTTGCTCAAATCGGCGTGTTGAAGAGTGCATCTGATATCTTTACTGTCATCTGTGGCTGGTTGCAAGGTGAGCAGCCTGAACTCCTTCGTCGGATCAGATAATGCAATGTATGTAAAGACTTTGAGAGAAGAAGTATCTTTGCTTGATGGCTCAGGCTTCGACGATTGTCTTATTCTACGGATGCGACGGAGGAAGGACGGCATAGTCAGGAGAGCTCAAGCTGAAATACCAGTGCTCGGTGAGTCGAAGTTTCTATCCTTGCTCCGAAGAGACGGGCTGATGAGTGAGAGGAGTTAACATGGAGAGCTTTTGGTTAGGCTGAGGGACAAATGAAGTTCGATTTCAGCTCTTCTCAGCTGCGAGACGAGCTCGTGCAGACCAGTAAGCCACACACGTGACTATCACAACACTTGCAAGAACCACGTCCAACTCGAAGCCTGGCAGACCGATCCTTTGCAGATCAAAGAGAGACTTCATAGTATATTTGATAAACAAGATCCCAGAAGCTTATAAGGATATGGCGGACGCCGGTTCTGGGAAGTGTCAACAATGAGTAAGCGAGTTCGGGGCAACGAAAAAAACGGCACGAAGTTCTCAGAAGCTATTCAAATTCCTAGAAGACTATTTGACTCGTTATCGCAACACTGAAACTATCAAATCTCTCGTTCAACAAAATTAATCCAGTTGCCCAGGCCTCTAACTCAGGAGCACTTCATGCTTCCCAATTGCACCCTACTGGTATCCACAAATCCAGCGTCCTTCCCAATCATCAGGACCGCGCGCCTTGTACAGCCAGGAAAATCGTAAAATTCACAACGAGATATACCGGGTGCCAACAACGCAGATGCGAATTTGAAATTAGGAAAGTTGGGAAGTGGAAGGCATCGCCCTGGATAGGCGATGAATACTTCTTGGCGGCCGGAGTATCCTGGATTGGGGAAGAGTTGCACGCTGGAGGATGGAGAAATTGTCAGTGAGTGAAATGATATGTATAGATTACGGGATGAAGAGGGTGAGATTGCGTACCCGTAGGTGTACACAGGGTCATCGACAGACATGGCATCGGCCTGCTTTTGGAATCTAAAACAGGTTAGCCAGTGGCAATTTGATGGAGAAGCAGTCAAGAAAGCTGGGAGCATACTTCTCCAATGAGCTATGAGATCCCAAAACATCCTCTGACATATCGTCAATCTCCACAGAGACGTGGGCATTCAAGGGCTTGGCAACCCCAAGAGACACCAGTCCGGACACAACGGCCAACGTGAAGGCGACTGAGCTTTTGAAGTGCATTTTGAGTGGAAATATTTTATCGCGGTCGAGCAGCTGCTTTTGAGGTGATGAGAATGATGCGATATATCCTAGACTGAGGAAGTGTCCACATACTTATACATCACTCTGGGCAAAATTGCGAAAGGTGCTGCATGCTGTATGCAGCTGAAGATCTACTACCTGCATCAAAGTGATTGCAGATCCGATAATTCAACATATTACGAACACATTTGACGCACAACCATTGTACTCAGCAAGCCAGAAGCAAATAAATCATCCTTACGCGTGGCACTCGTCACCCGAAGTTTCTTGCTGGAACCACGATGAAAAATACCACCATCGGAATCCCCGTAAACACAACTGCGATATCTCAATGGTGATCTTTTCCCCAGACAGAAAGATAGAGTCAATTGTGATTGATCAGTGCGACCAGGTACCACTTGGCAATTTCCACGAGAAAAATCTGTGGTCAAGTTGTGAAACCACAATGATCGATAATGGTATCAACTTTCGAAAGAGTTGATTGTGTGAAATATCGTAATCTGGGAGGTGATACAGATCAGCATGACTAGCTGAACGAGGTTGAATAAATAAGGAGTGTTTCGGCGATGTCCCAGGTCAATTCGAAGAGCTGTCCGAAGACCAGTGGGGTTTTCAGACTCCTCAAATCCATACCTGGCCTCTATCGCCGTTCGATTCAGCTGATATTGGAATTGATGGAATGAGAACAAAGGTTCCCCAAGTAGCTGGTCGCTACGGAAGCTCGCCAAGTCGTGGAGAAATATGCTTCGTCTGCTACTTAGCCTCCAAAGCTTCCCACAACCCCATCATGTTCGCCACAACGAATCTCAAGTTGAAATCTTCGCCGAGTCTTTCGTGCTCAGTCAAATTCCCAGACGATATTGCTTGTGTTATTGATCAAGACTTTTGCTTTGGCTGCCAAGTGGCTGCCGAGATGGGAATTGTTTCAACCGTGTGGACCTGTGTTTGGACCGTCTGAGGCACCTCCGAACGTAGTCTCAGCCAAGCAGACATGGGGAACACCGACCAGCTTCGGTAATCGGTGTGCCATGCAATACCGAGTGTTCCCCATATTGGCGCAAAAATATTCCGAAAGAGTTGTGCAGATAGCAGGCCGAGATAGTGAGCTTGTTTATTATGGTTTTCGGCTGCGACCTTAGGAAACCAAATTGTGAGTAACTTTAAAAGGATATGCGGATGGAGGAGATCATAAAAAAATGGGCGTGAACTTTTTGTATTGTCTTGTCAAGAATCTAAGCTCATCTATGGAAGTTCAAGAAATCGGTATGAACATTCACTCTCACTACATCGTGACTCCAGCTATTGTCAATAATACATCTCCATCCAAATCCAAACTAAGCCAATCCTCCGAATGAATACCAACACCACGCTTCATTACATCTCTTGTGTCCCGCAATCTCGCTATTGCTATGCCCGAGTCAGCACAAAGCCGTAGCTTTGTGCCGGGTATCTAGATACCACTTCGATCGCCGAGGGATCGAATTTAGACAGAAACTGGTGCATCGCGCTTCTCGGCGGCAGGTGCAGCTGGAGTAGCGGGTCTAGCAGCTGGGGCAGCAACACCGGCGTCGACTCCAGGCTCGACCTTGATACCGATACCAGATCCACCCTCACCAGTACCGAGTTGGACACCAGGGCTGGTCCTCAAGGCACCAGTAGCGAAGTTGAGAGCGGCATTGAAGCCAGCGAGGTCGCGCTTCTCGACGGGAGAGTCCTCCTCACGCTTCTCTACACCTCTATCAGCATTGTTCGGTAATCTAGGCTCGACGACCTTCCGCCCAATGCCGAAGGCGCCAGAGGGCAGAGAAGTTGGGACAGGAGACGGAGACGCACTGGCTTCTGGCGTCACGGGTTGGAGAGCCGGAGAAACAATCTCGGCTGTTGGAGTCTGCTCACCGGCTCTTTGAAGGCCTGCGGCGGCACCTTCGACACCTGCTGAGGCTCCGGCGAGAGTGCTCAAAAGAGCCTCTGCGTTTTCCTCGCCTCCGAATGAGATTTCACCATCACCGACCACCAAGGCGGGAGAGTATGCGCCAAGGTTGATGTTGAGGGGGAGGGCGGCGATGGAGGTTGCGGCAATGAGAGCCAAGTATGCGGAGAGGAACTGCATGGTGGGCGAAATGTGGTTGGGGTGAGGCTTGGTGATGTGATGTTTTTCTTGGTATGGCGTGAGGATGGCGTAAGTTGGAGGAAGTTTGTCTTGGAAGATGGAAAAGATTATTGAATTAATAATTTGACAGCGGCGTAAGGAAGACTTGCTTCTTGGGGATGTGTGAGAAATGAATGTGAGCGCAGCTGGAGAAGAAACGGAGGAGTTGTGGACGACCTCATACTCTTATACTTCCAGAATTCAGAGCAATCGTCACGACCGACTTCAGACGGTGGAGGGCCAGAACGATAGGCACGTCCATTGACTCGGACAACCCCTGTGACTCGTCCGAAAATAGAGGACGCATCGTTGTGGTAACAAAAGAGACGAAACGTCCTTCTCACGGGATCTGCGCTATCACAGTCTCGTCCAGGGCAAGAAGCGAAGAAAAGTCAAGGCATAAGAAGAACAAGACCACCAACTGGGAAAGGTTGTGCAAGAGCCAAGGTGCCCAGCTTTTCACCCACCTGCTGGGCGCTGTCAGCCCTTGTCGGTAAGTTTGCTGAAGACCTGAAACCTCGTCTATTCAGTCATTTTGGGCCCTGCGCGACAGCTTGGCGAGTCTGAACAGCACGGGAGGTTTCGCCTCATCTGTCCAGGACCGCGTAGCCTGCCCCAGTTTGACAATTAAGAGTTCGGATGCAACTCGATCTTGAGTTATTTGCGGACCTCTGTGCCATGGCGTATCGGGATGCCAGTCTCCCCAGAGGGCTTGTCACGTTTAAGCTTGACGCACTGGAGAGGTCACAAGATAAGAAGAAATCGCCCAGCAGTAGATCCTCGGCTGATAATAAGTGCGCTTCAACATGGAGAATGAGCAGAAGAAGATATGAAAGCAGTTGTGTTGTTGTGGTAAGGGATAGCTGATTGTTTTGGTTTGGTAATCCAGCCTGGAAGGACAACGTTTCCTCGTGGACTAATGAAATGCTGACTCAGCAGCCCCTTTTGTGCGGTGGTGCACTGGTGGAGAGACCAGGAAACATTCGAGCTATTTAATAGGCGGAAAGTAGATCCACCGCCTTGACTCGCCTCAAACATATCTACCCACTGGGGGTACAGCACAGAGCAAGAAAATTTGACTGCTCCAAATGAAGGCGGGGTACACTCTACAGTACCTGGGCCATCAGTCATGCTAATGTGATTTGATGAGAACACCAAAATTAGATGATCCAGTTGCGATTCTCGACATATGTTAAGCGAGAGCTGCAGAAAAACATGCTACCAAGACGGCATCTGAAGAAGGCTGCATCTGATGATGTTTTGACCCGCTCTCCCCTTTGGTGGGATAATACCGTTGTTGACTATCGCCAAGTACCTAGATACTCAATGTACATACTTGAAAGTCACCAAGCAGGTGAGTGACACTTGCAATTACCTGTTGACAAACTCCGTGCAGAAGTCGGAAAGTCAATTTTCCGATCTGCGTCCTATGGGGAAGTATTGAGTGAGAAAGATTCAGCATGCCCTGCCTGCAGCAACATAAGAAGCTGATCAGCTGACTTTCATATCCTGCATGGTGATTTCCAGTCCCCACTGCACAAAATTAAGCTACAGGCTCACTTGGACCTCGTACTTTTCCTCTGGTGACCCGTGCAGCGCTGCAATTCTTCCTTCGGAATCCGGAAAATCAATAAACAGCTTCAACAGTGTACTTCGTGCTCGTTTTCTTCACAAGTCTGAATTGCGGAAAACCAGTAGATTGACTGGCCAATGCCCTGAACTGGACCAATTCGGTGCAAGTCAATCGAATTAGGCCCGGAGGGGACATTTGCAAATACGATTCTCAAGTATCTGCAGAGAATGTTTTCAAATAAGCTTGCGAGATTGTTTCCAATGGTAGGATATCTGTATCTGACATAAACACCACTCTCTGGATTTTCATGACGATGCTCACTCGATTCCTGGCTCCAAAAATCCGATGGAACCGAATTGCGGTCTCGACCTCCAGAAAGAAAGATGTTGCCTCAGTATGAGAACAAGCAATAGATGAAATCCCATCGTTCCTTGCGGGGCCATTGGCTAGTTTCGCTTACAGTATGAAGATCGAAAGGAGATTGCCTAATGTGGCAACTGTCATCATTGCACACTTGGCAATCCGCCGCCGAGCCTCCAGAAGCGTCAGAGATTAAGTAGGCCTGCCTTTACAGGACGGTCAATTAATTTCCCGTTTATCTTGAAAGTACTATCAGGTGGACCGAAACATCAGAAATGAGAGATGAGGGGATCGCGGAGGATATGTTGAATGTTTCCCGGAGATGCCTCAGTGTGGCTTTCAAGGTATATAAAAGAAGTCTCATCCGTCATGTAGGAAATTTTCTTGCTCATCATTCACCATCATTCATTCTTTACACAACATTGCATCTTCTTCAATTTCCATACATTTTTCTACAGATCATCTCAAGCTAGTCTTTTGAGTTTCAACTACTTCTTTATCTACATCAACAGCTTTATCAACAAAACTCTCACAACATTCAAAATGAAGTCTCAAATCCTCATCGCTGCTCTCGGATTGATGTCCTCTGCTTCCGCAGCTCCATCTGCATCGATTGAGGCTCGTGTTGCAGGTTCTCCCATCGGGTACGGCGCGGGGACCACGGGAGGAGCTGGAGGAACTACAACCACAGTGACAACCTGCGCAGCTCTCATCGCTGCAACGGACAAGAAGTCCACCGCGAAGAGAATCGTCTACATCGATGGTCTCCTCTCAGGATGTGGAATTGTTGATGTCGGCAGCAACGTATCCATCTTCGGAAAAGGTACCAAGTCCGGTGTAACCAACGCTGGTTTCCGTGTTCGCAAGAACACCAATGTCATCTTCCAGAATTTGGCTTTGGGCCCTGCACCACCCAAGGGCGATATCCTCGCCATTGACCAGTCGACAAAGGTCTGGATCGATCACAACAACTTTGTCTCCAAGGGTCTCGTCGGAGGCAAGGACGACTATGATGGTTCGTACAACATCCCATTTCCATCTCGAGACGAAAACTAACTTTCCCATCAGGACTCTTAGATGTCACCCACGCCTCCGATGGCGTCACAATCTCCTGGAACAAATTCCAAGGACACTGGAAGGGCTCCCTCGTCGGCCACTCCGACAACAACGCCGCCGAAGACACCGGCAAGCTCCACGTCACCTACCACCACAACCAATTCTCCCAAGTCAACTCCCGCCTCCCATCCGTCCGGTTCGGAACCGCCCACGTCTTCAACTCCCACTATCTCGGCACGGATACTTCTGGCATCAACTCCCGCATGGGAGCTCAAGTCTACGTTGAGGCTAATGTCTTTGACAACACCAAGCTCGCTATGGTCACGGATCTGGATTCAAAGCTCCCGGGTTCTATCTGTGATGTGAATAACATCCTTACTGGTACATCCACTACGCGAATCACTCAGAAGTGCACGCTCAAGGTCCCATACTCTTATACCGCTGAGAAGGCAAGCACTGTCGCTGCGTCTGTTGCTGCTGGTGCTGGTGTTGGAAAGGTCTCTCCATAGATGAAGAATGTCTAATCCGAGTTGGGGTGGGATTTTCTGGAGGGGAAGGCATTTATTCGACAGGGTTGAGAGAAGACCCATCGCTGTTCTTGTATATACAATTTTTCTATTCTTTTCACCTTGCATATATCTCAGGTAGCACATATTCTATTCAAGCTCAAATTCAGCATTTCAAGCAAGAAACCTATTCTCCCTGACTTCTTCTCATCCTCCTCCTGTGCTCGCCGAAGAATCCCGCTTTCAATTCCTCCTTCGAACCCAAACCTCGGCTCTATCCGAAGATGCCGGAGAGGAAAGAGAAAAAAAAAAGGTTCCCCACATGTTCGAAATAGATTAACATAAATTGCCTTCCAAGATCTTGGAAAACATGGTAAACTGGGCCGCACGCTCCTTGGGATTCGCGTACCTGGCTACTGGTTCCCAAGTGTATTCGGGATCCACAGCCGAGGAAACGAAATGGGAGGTGGAGGTGGTGCGCCAAGCGAGAATCCTGGTTGAGACCCCTGAGTTTGAAGTAAACAAAAGCCGCTTTGCGGAAAATGCCCCGACTACCGGTAGGCAAAGTGAAATTCTGGTGAATACAGGTGAATTGAAGTTACGCAGAGGTTTTCCCTTGGTTTCATTATCAACGAATACTACTCCCGTGCAATTATGAAATGTGCACAAACCTGAGTCGGTCTAGATGCCACGAGAAGTGGATCTTCAGATTCTTTGAAGAACAATTAATCGGAGAACAACATATGACGCATTAACCTTTTCTCTTCGTTGCCCGCAAGTTGGGTTTGGGGTACATTTTGGGAGACCGTAACAACTTAAACTTACTCGTTGAGTCAATATCCAAGCATCATGATGTCTTGGATCGATCTATCCTACATATCCTCATCACAATTCAATCCGGACCATATATCAACCATCCTTGAAAATCATGACTTGGTATATTTTGCTAACTAGACAGGGTATTTAAACAAACAGAAAGACAATCGTCCTCAACGGCCCCACCCAAGATACCAACATTCAAAGTCCCCTCGCTGGGACAACCAACTGCAACTGCCCGGACCACCGGGGTTGCTCCTTCTCTCTAAATGTCTTTAATTCAGCAACTACGTCCCGTAGGACCTTCTCCTTTTCCTTCTCCTTCCCCCTTCCCTTCACCTTCTTGTCCTTCTCCTTCTTCATCTTTCCCGCAGCCAACCCCCCATCCCCACCCTCTCCCTCCCCAAAGAACGAAAAATCCCCCAAACTCCTCTCCAAGAACGTATCTGCATCCCTATCTCCCGAGACAGAAGAATAAGACGAGGACATTTCCCCCCTCCCATCATCATGAATAAACTCCAACCGCAGCAGACGCAACCCCGGGAGCAGGACTGGCGAGCGGCGGTGACGGGTCGCAGCTGCGCGGACAGTCTCAATGTCCTGGTGCTGTTTTGTCACTTTGCGGATGAGGGCGATGAGGTGGTCGATGAGGATCCCGTAAGATTTGGTGGGGATGTGTGTGAGTATTAGGTGGGTGATGCGGTGGTTTTGGAGAGGGTCGTAGGATATGTTTGGGTCGGAGGTGTAGCCTTGTGCGAAGATCTCGGCTTGCTGGATGTAGGCTTCGTGGTAGTGTGTTGAGGAGCCTAGGGTTAGAGTCGGGACGTAGGTGACGAAGGAGTGGTGGATGCGGATTCGCTCTAGGTGAGAGGGTGGCATGAGGTTAGGTCCGTTGGTGTGGAAGATGGTGGCGTGTTCTGCATGTATCATCGTTGGGTGGACGTCGCTTTGCATAGCTCCTAGATCAAGGACCTGCAATCGGTTTGTGGTTCGCAGTAGAAGCCTTGTGCCAACAGATGTGAGCCTGTTGCTTGAGATGTAGAGCTGGGTAAGGCCGGTGTTGGCATACATCGGATTGGACACATCATCATCAGTGTTGAGCATGGCTTCGATGAATGGAGTTGTGCTGTCTGGTCGTCGTGCTGGTATATCGTCCTGGACATCACCGTGGAGTGTATACTCCGGCGGATGGTCGAAGAATGCTGCATCAGTGACTTGCGGAGTCAATGAATCAGGACGGGAGATTGCGGGCTTGATGCAGTGTAAGATCAGGGCATCGATGTCTATGTCTGTGAGGAGATTCTCACTAACATCCAGACTCCACAATCGCAACCCAAGAGCGAGAACGAAGCGGGGCAATTTTGTAAGTCGCATGTTACTCATCTTCACGATGCGTAAATTGCCAAATTCATAGTTGCTAAGGGATGCGATCGCTGCAGGAGCATGGTATGTTGCTGATATGTCCAAGTACATCAGGTTGGAGAACATATCTGCTTCAAGTACAGCGCTCATATCGAGGAGGACGGAGCTGGAGACACTGAGGAGTAGGGGCTTGATGTTATAGCGTGTGTAGGTCTCGTCGTAGAAGTAGGCATTTCTAGAGTTTTGGATATCGTCAAGGACCACGAACTTTAGATTCTTGAAGTATGTCAGGATGTTGAGGATGTAGTGGCAATTGAAATACCGCTCATTCGGAATAAAGTCGTGAATCAAATAGCCATTATCCTTCAATCTGATAAGTGGACGGAAGTCCAAGATCTGGACGACATCACTGAAGCGCTCTCCATGCTTCTGAGAGATAAATTTGATGGCCTTGGCTACGTGGATGGTCAGCCCATTTGCAGCAATGTGCAGATCGGATTACTTACTGTAAGGAGTACGTGACTTGTAGATGATTTTGATTGGGTCCTTCCACAGATAACTGCCAAAAACTTTGAAAAATGTACTGTTGACACGCGATAGCGAGTTGAGGGAGCTACCATCAAGGTAAGGAGCAAGGGCTGCCATGCCAGCCTCGTAGGCTTGGTCTTTCGATTGATAAGCTGGGAGTGACATTGTCACAATTTTGGGAAGCTATAACAATTGATTGGACAAGTGGTGTTGGCGCATTTGTGGTTTGCAATTGCCTGTAGCTTTGTCGAGTTGTTGTTGTTTACTTCGAGTGACATGAGCAGGGTCGCTTAAATCAGTCGAAATTTCTACACCCTAGTCGCACTCAAAGACAACTCAGCCTGCGCTGTAGAGTCCTCGGTGAAACTCGCGACCCGAAGGGAATGAAGCTGGTGAGTCTTTGTCCATCCAAGGGCAGTTATTTGGACTCCTTCACTGGCTTTGGCGTTTTTGTTCGTCCGTTGCCTCTTGGTAGCTAGACGTTGCGTCGATCTCATCCTTTTGGTGTAAGCAAGTAGGCTTCTAGCCGTCGCCAGAATACGTGGATACTGATTCCGAACTGCTCAGAACATTGCTGTGCTTCTTGCCAGGTCTTGTTCGGATGTGGACAGCCTGGGTCGGCGCCAGCATTGATGTTTCTGCTCTCCTTGTTTCTGGACATCAAAGTACCAACACCAAACAAGGACTGAACTGTCTGATTCATCATGAAGTCAGCTTGAATTCAAAACGACCAATTGATACTAAAAGAGATGTTTGCTCTAATGACAACGAAATATCCCACCCTTCCTGGGGCATAAGTATGTTTCAGTGCCCAATTAAAGTCACGGGACCTGAACGCCACCAGATATCGGAACGAAACAGAGCACAGCTGGCATCGTGAGGAAGCGAGACATGATAGACCGAATCCAATTCCAAAAGCGCAGTGGCAGTTCCCGATTCAAATTCAACATAAGAGAGGTTGGGAAGACAAACCAAAAAGAGCCTCCTTCAAATTTCTCGGCAGGCTCGATACCGATACCGAAGAATGCCCCTCCTGCCAGCCACTTCAAGGTAGGTGCATACGTACGTCAAAGTCTCAATTCCTACAATTCCACTGATCTGATCCACAAAACTGTGTCCAAAGAATGAGAATGATCCTGTCATGGAGAAGAGAACACTCCGATCAACCAAGACTCAGGTTTTACTCGCACTCACACTTCCTCGCTCGCCAATGTCTCGACGTCACTGGTCACTGATCACAAAATCCCACTCTCTCCGGAAGCCGCGGCCAAGACCAAAGACCCTCGCATCATTGCTGAGCTTCTTCAGCAAAAGGTCTTGGTGGTGGTGAGCAGCGCTGGATTAGATAGGTATATATGCCAAGAAGCGATGGGAAGGCAGCAGCTTTTTGTACTGGTGCTGGCTGCCGTGCTTTGCTTTGGTTTGGGAGTGGAATGATGAGATAGATAGATGCCTGTGAGTGACAGACGAGACAGAGAAGGGAAAGATACGAGTGGTTGGTGGGCTATGCTATGCTCGGATCATCAGACGAACCGGACCGGGTTTCGGGTTTCGGGTTTCGGTGCAGGAGTCGGCCGGGCCGCTGTGGATGCGGCCAGCGGCGGCCAGTTGCAGGCGCCTAATCGGGAGGGGGTGGTGGAACGGTGCTGCTTTTGAGGTTGGACGACATCTCTTGCCTGCGATGTGAAGGTTTGGAGCGTGTTCAGCTACATCTGATTTCAATTCTTTACTCAAGGACTGGATGTCTTGTGTTGAAACGGCCATGCGATTGTGAAAGCTAATACTGATGTCGCATCTTGAAGAAAGGAGGACGACAGCCTCTGTCGCGACAGCATCCGTGATGCATCTTCTACTTCAGATGTAAACTGGCACAGAGGATGCAAGAGAACCGGCAAAGCGAGACAATCCTCAGTTCGCCAAGAGATGTGAAATGCAATCACCATGTCAAGCAGCTGGATGTCTCGAATTATCCTCATTGACGAATGGGGGCAGCATGAATGCGTTTGGGAATCATCGCCAGATCAGAAAAATGGACTAAAAGGAACGAGATACTATGATGAATGCATGAGGCATTCTATCTGCGCGATTGAAGGAAAGAGATATCGACCAATAATGGTTCTCTCATTCAAGAGACACTGCGCACGTAGCCACGGCATATATCTATTTGCCACTTCTTCGATTCTGGCTTGGAAACTCCATCGCCATTCGCCATGGACTGGACATTTTCAAAGTCTTGAACCAACGACAACCTTCCAGCTCATGCAATATGCAATGGAAAGTGCTTCATGAATGAGCCGGATGGTGTCCCAGGCTGTTCGATCATGAGCTGTACCTTGCGCCGATGAGAGTTGGTGAGGGTGAGCGGCTGCCTGTGATATCAAAGTCAGAAGGCGGACTCCCAAAGTTAGAAAGAACTTTGCGAGTCCAGGCCGTCAATTCAGAGTAGAGTCGCACTTACCACAACATCAACTGCTATCTCAGCCTTCAGCATATTCGACAAGAGCTCCCAGCCGTCGTCCCTTTGTTGACATTTCCGAGCAACAGACGACGAGGATTCGTTGCGGAAGTGTAGTCCGCAAGAAGAGAAAACACAGACATTCAGCAACGCCTCAGCAAGAATATTATCCGCTACGAGCTCTCACTATGAGTCTGGAATACTTGCTCGCGCTTTGGTCCATTGCCCTCTCCCGCCAGATTGACTCGAAGATTTTGTCCGTTCCACAAGTACCGCTTGCGTTCTTTTCTATACCAAAGGACTGTTTGCCGACGACACTGCCGTTCCTTTCAGGCTTCCATACGAGTACTAACCTTTCTAGCCCGTGGCAGATAGATCTAGAAGCTCTTTGCCACCCCCACATAACGAAACGTGTGTCTCCTGCTCTGTACAAAGCTAGATACGGCAAGATTGACAGCACGGGATATCCAGTTCCTCCTGCCATGATCGACGGAACTGGATGGGCAGATGATCGATCAGCCAGGCTTTCTCATGAAAGCAACTCGTCGCGGCGCTCAGTTGCGATCAGCTCAGGCCGTCTTGAAGGTTGTGATCCCAGAACCAGATTACACATTCCAATCGAGTCTGCCTCGTCAGAACGGTAGGATGGCCCGTCTATGCCTCCCTGACCAGCGATCGACTGCCGGATTCAGGAATCAGGAGATGATATGCCGTCCTACGGGCGACGACGTCAGAACTTGCCCTCGAGTGCAAGCCCTACTTTCGAGGTCGAGATTGATTCAGGGGCTTTTGGTGTCCCTCTGTGATGGAAGATTTGGTTGCAGGGACAATTCGAACAATGCGTTTGCCTTGCTTGAATATTCCTGTTTGGCGTTAAGCGGGAGCTAGCATGTTCTGTTTGAAGGCCAGCGAAAGTGGAGCTGGAGTGAGGAGTCTTGCTATAACTCTTGGGTGAGGAGGAAGCCTTACCAGTAAGTGCAATCTTCCTTGGGATGGTCAAAGAAAGCTCTGAAAAGTTCGGTAACTGGCGAGGAGAGGTTCCTCCCTGCCGTTGCTACGCTGTGGCTGTGACGTGAGAGGAATTTGAAGTTCATCCGTCCGCATCCTCACGCTCCCTAGGGATGAGTGAGTCTGTGCCCATCAGAAAAGCACTTCCCTCCTTGTCCAAAAAAAAATTGTCCATATTAGGCATCGCGAGTTCTGAAAGAGATCTTGAGGGTGCTATTCCCAGTCTTGTATTCTTGGACCTGGAGATCGCCCATCAGTGATGATTTTCCATGTTGGGGATTCGAAGCCATGTGGACTTATAATCCTAGGAAGCTAGATTAGGTTTAAGCAGGCGTTACGAGATAGGAGGACTTACGAGATAGGAGGCATCGCATCACAGCCTATGTCATTTTTGCTCCTTGCCGTCTGCTAATATTTGTACTAGGGATGGAGAGCTAGAAGGGGGCCTACAACCATGGAAGATCCCCTGCTCCCTCCCCAGTCCCTCACGTTGATGCTACAGCAGGTATGTCGAGGCTGCCACGATGTAGATCCTGAACACTCTCATTCATTCATGGTGCTCATGGTGCTCATGGTGCCTGACATAAGGCGTCGAAGCGATGCTGCAGCTAGGGTACAGCATGTAACTGTTGGGCGGCTTCTACATCCTAGCCAATGTTGCTCTTTTGTGATTTTGGTTGGTGAACGTACGAACGAGGAAGTGGTTGCAACCAGCAGAGCTGCAGAGAAAGGGGACGTCCTAGTCACGTCCACGAGGGTGTTGGTTGGTCAGGCGAGGTCGTCAACAAGCCACAAGCTCACAACAAGACTAGGTAAGCAGTCTGTCTGTTTGCCAAGCCAAACGAGAACACCCACCCACTTCCCCATATTCATCCACCAATTCCAGGTTTCCCATTCCGCGATCCTTTGTGGCTCCATACTTCATGGAAGACGAGTTGGTCAGTAGGGCAGGAACGCCTCCGGTTGTCATGACCCGGCAGCTGGATGTAAGGGGGTAGGTAAAACTTAGAGCACAGTACAGTACAGTACAGTACCCTTACCCTTCTAGAAGCATGCACCCACCCACCCCCATTAAGTTACACAGGCGTTCCTGCAGCATGCAGCATGCAGTATGCACAGTAGGTACCTTAGGTATGCTTCATGCGGTCTCGTCTGTGAATCGTGCAGCAAGCAGCTTTACCACACTTTTTGACCTGCGTGCTTGGACTGTTGGTTGGTTTTCTCTACTCTAGAAATACATTTTTCTTTCTTCTTTTCTAGGCCTATCGAGGGGTCATGTGTGCACTCTGGTGCACTATTTTTCCTTGCCTCCGCTACCTAGATGCTGCTGCTTCGTGAAGTGCAGATGGATGGCTGGCTGTTTGCAGCTTGTTTGTTACTGTAGTGTGTCACAGGGCTTAATTTAGAGTTTGGAGATGTGCGTCCTAATGAAGTCTTTTCTGTGATCATTTTGCTTCGTGAGGGTAGTGTCCAAATTTGGCTCTTAAATCGGAAGGTGGCGAATCAGAAATGAAATGTTCTTTTCGAAGGCACAGTTCAGGGAACGCATGTCCCATACCTACCAAGATTCTTTGATTTTCTTGTGGAAAGTGTGAGTCTGGCATCCAATGAAAGGCTTCTGATTTTGTATTTGAATTGCTTCATTGTGTATTCTTATAGTCTGCCTGAAATGAGTGGTGTAAACAAACTCGGTATTGCCAATGGCACGCAAACTAGAAGTACAGTTCAACAGTTCTATCCCACCACGTACATGCCCCCTTCAATATAAGGAAGAAATAGGAGACAAGGATTTTTTCTTCAACTCCTTTTACAGTCCATTTCGTACAGCTCTTCTTCTTCCAAGACGACGGCACTAGATAACAATATTACACACTATGCAGGATATGCAGCGCAGACTGGGGTGGTCCAACAAAGGGTGACATACAAAGAGCCGAGACAGCTCTTGAACGATTGTGATAGTAGTCTTGCAAGCTGCCAAAACCAAATGTCGCAATAGTGATTGCGCGGAACAAAAAAACAAAAAACAAAAAGCCATCAACCATCAAACATGCATCCCTCAATACAGATCCCTAAATAAAATTTCCACCAGAAGAAGATAAGGGCTGACAAAAAAAACAGGAGGCTCGCTTCCACTAGCGTTGGAGCGAGCGAGCGACGACGACGATAAACCCAAAACAAAAAAGGAAAACAAAAAACATTTCTCACTTTCCGACATTCCCAAATTTCCATACACAAGTTCCCCATTCAGATTACATGAGGCATCAATCATAAAAAATATTCATCTCCGTCGTCGTCCCATCAGGTTGCACATACACGACATGGAAGCAATGGGCCTCGGGGTATATTTCCAGTCGTCGGTCGAGGGGGTTTTTTCAAGTACATTAAGAGCCAGAGCGGCGGTCGATCTACAAGCGAGTCCTCGCAATACGTTGCACACTTCTCTTCTCAGTCTTGACGAAGGAGGTAGGAGATGCTTTGCGTGGCTTGTCGTCCATGGCCATCCACACGTCAAGGGCCTCTGGGAAGAATGGCGTCCGGTTCCCTTTTTGTGGGAAGGCGTGGAGCCTCATGTGTGTCTTGTAGTTGTCTTTTCGTGATATCGAGAACAGTTTGGGGCAGAACTCGCACTTCTCCTTGACGTCGTCGTGGGTTCTCTGATGTCTCTTGAGATGTTCCTGTCTCGCGAATTTCCTTGAGCAGCCCTCCCAATCGCAGGGAAATGAGGCCTTGGGGTTGATGCCGATGCTGCTACAGCTGCTGGAGAGGGGTTCGTACGCACGACTTCCGCCCTTAGAGCGTTTGCGGACTAGACGAAGCTTCTTGGCCTGGTTGGTTTCGACTTTGAGTTCGTGCCGTAAGTCATCCAGGGAATTGCTTGCGTGCGATTGGTGATAGCGGTGATGGCTGGGAGTCCGGGAAGGTGTTGATGGCCCTGATCTGAGGTTGTTGCTGTCGGCCATCATGTATCTCATGCTGCCAGGTGACGACTCGTCGACCGAAAACCCAGTCTCGAAGTCTCGAGCGGCACAATCGTAGTCAATGTTGAAGTGTAAAGACTTAATTGGGTGCATGGGAGATTGCAGCCCGTATGCATCAAACGTTGTCTGCGATGGAGCAATGCAGTTCTCGAGTATTGGTGGCGATGAACGAACTTCCGAGACTGGTGAATAGATATCGTCGTGAATGAGACCTGGAGCACACATTGGCAGGCCGTGACTGGAACTGAAGGAATTTGACATTGACTGCCCGAGGTATGGTCCATAGCTGAAGCCCGCCATCAGATCAGGCGTCGAGTTTGTGTTTGATGTCCCCGTAAAACTAGAATGGGGCTCATGAAACATAGATACCATGTTCTGTGACATGGCTGTCATCGCGGAAAGTCCACTCATGTTCGCATAACGGTCGGGAGACGATGATGGCGTGGGTGCTGAGAGGACAGAATGTTCGTATTTCACGGAATTTGGAGATCCTCGGCGAGGTGTGGACATTGGCGTGTAAACAGTCGAGGAATCCCAGGTTGCTGAAGACCCATCCGAGAATGATGAGTTTGCTGAGCGAGTGGAGGAGAAACAATCTCCTCCCATCGAATTGATGTATTGTATGTTTGAATTGTCGAACATGTTGAGCAGATTTTCGAATAATGGAAGCGGGGTGATAATAGTAAGGAGTAAAGCTGTGAGCACGGTTAGCATTCCCTATCCATGTTGGTGTAGGCGAGCACTGACAGCTTGCTGTGTATTCCGCAAGGAGTGATGATAATCAGAAAGGACTGTGAGTAGCTATGTAGACTGGAATGAGTGACTTGTTGTTGAGAATGTTGAAGAGTATGAAGGGAGAAGATCCATTTATCACTTGAAGTTGGAACTCCTAAGGCCGATAATGACCTGAGATACTAGTCTCCAGGCAATATCACTGAGGCCAGGAAGTGAATTGGTTAGACAAGCTCACCTCAATAGTGGATTTCGAGGGTTATCTTAGGAGACTTTGAATCGCGTCCAGAGTCGCGTTCTTGCTTGTATAAGCAAGGTGTCGTGTAGGAATGTCCCCAATATATCACGATTTTCGAAAGTGTTGGGAGAGAAAACCCCTGTCAGACCGTCAGAAATCTTCAGAGCGTCACCCCTCTTTCTGCAATAGGAGCTTACCAGGTAGTTTTTCCAGAGCAAGGGCTCAGTGTTATCGATTGCGGAAGAATACTGACGCTGCTGAGACGACTTAGGGGGCGGGCTTTCGAGTGCTCGGTTCAGTCGACCTTGCTTTGTAGAAATATTACAGACCCCCTTAGAAAGGGCGGCAGGGCTGCTTCTTAACGAACGTCAAAACATCTCTCCTGCAGGAAAATGGCTGATTGGAGTTAAACTCTAAGTGTGATAGAACTCCTGGAGCTGGCTGGGTCAGCCTCAAGGACCCAAAATGTGGGGATGGTTCGTGTGTAAGATCGATAACAGAGGATCAGAGAGGTCTCACCATCTCACATTGTGCATCAGTTCCTGCAGGCCATAGATCTGGACAAGATCTCTCTTAGCGTGGCGAAATGCCTGCCGTTGAGACAACCCATAACAAAAGGTTTAGTCGACGCAGCTCCGCCGTACTCGAGCGAATAGAGGGAGGGTGTGGCCGCAGGTTTCCAAAGTTAGATGGAGATCTTGGTCACGGCGCGCATTCCAAAGGCACGGATTTTTCCAAAATACTAAAAAAACAGGCGTTGGAATGACTGACTGACAGACAGTCATTGGCAGTGCTGGGAATGAATGCCTGCGGGCTGCCAGCCTGCCTGCCTGTCTGGCCCCCACGTCTACAACATACAAAGTGGAAGTGGAAGTGGAGGTGGAGGTGGAAAAGTGGAGGTGGAAGTGAAAGTGAAAGAAGCATGGGCGGGCTGTCAGGACAAGCGAAGCGAATCAACCGGGCAGGGCACCAGCAGGGTATCCGGATACCCATGGATCCTGTCCTGTCCTGTCCTGTCCTGTCCTGCCCTGCCCTGCCCTGCCCCTCCCAGGCACAGACTAGGTAGGGAGGAGGGAGGGAGGGAGGGCGGGCATTTCATTTCTAGCGCTAGGCCGTCTGAGAGAGGAACTATGGGAGAACAACAGCATTCGAATGCGTCAAATTTGTTTATTGGAACAGTAGAGTGGTAGTAGTGGTAGATCCTACACAAGGAGGAGAGCACCAACCGCCAGGGCCCGGTGCCAAAGCCCTAGGATGGGGATGGGGATGGAGGATTGGCGCAGCGTCAGGGACGTTTCCTCCGTACTGTACAGCGATCTCCGCCTAGCCCAGCACTACTGCACTGTACAGCAGGCTGCAGCACAGCACTAGATCGCTGCCATGGCGCCATATGTCGTATCTCGCATTCTCAGAAAGGTGAAAAAGCGCCACGAGCTGAGATATGCTCGATATGGTCTAGGAATTCGAAATTTAGAGCTAGATGATGGAGGGGCACCATCCGATCAAAGTGGGCTTTTAAGCTTAATGGCACTCTGCCACGCAGCTCCGGCCTCCCGATGTCACGCTGCCGACCGACCGCCTCAGATCGATCACAGCCAGGAGTCCAGGACAGATCTCGGTAACAGGCAGGTAGGTAGGGTAGTTACTCCTGCATGCACGAACACGAGCATGTCAACAACAACAACAAAGACAAAGACAAAGTTAGCCCACAGCGAGCGAGCGAGAAAAGGTCCGGATGGTAGGCCAGTAGTGGACCCGACCCATCTGGGCGAGTGAGGGTGAGTGTGGACTGTGGAGGGGAGGAGAGCAGACAGAGCAGCCAAAGATGGTCATATTTTTAGACACTTGACACTTGATAGAAGTGACCGGCCAATGGGCTGCGTGTCACTTAACGAGAAAGCCACAATCGGTGTCCACCAACGACATTATCGATACAACCTCATAAAGCTAAGTTGTCCCCCTCGTCCTCTTACGGCAAAGTCAAGGCCTGTGCTGGATCCTTGTCTTGGCCATGTCTAGCCATGATGGTGGTGGCCCAGTGTTTGTGTAACATCAGCTTGTCAGCAACGCGTACTCGGGACGACTACAGTACAGTACTACGGTACTATACTAGGTAGGTAAATTACTCCCGTACTACTGAGGGCGAGGGGCTCTATGTCCCAAACACGACTGACTACGAGTACGTTTCTGAGACTCGTACAGTAGATCGAGAGACTCGGGCCGGCCACTTCGGCATGGTGGCACGCCACGGCAAGCCCGTCATGAACATCACCGCACGCACCGCTTTGTTATGGGGGCGGCCTATGGGGCCCATGGGCCACGGGCTTTACCTAGGTATGGCGTTCGCATCCCTGCAGCCCGCCCATCACGTCTTCTCTTGCGGCCGCATTATTGCGAACCTCTGAACCTCTGGTGCCCTCACGGCGGAAATTGATAAGTACTGGGAGACAGCACACCTCTGGCCCCAATTTGCCAATCTATTTTGCGGCAGAACCAAACGGTCGGGTTCAAATCCCGGAATGCGAGTGCAGCAAAGCAGCAGTAAATTGCCAGTAAACGGACAAGGCCCATATGTACGTGAATCCATTTCCAGCAATGCTCGTCATAGCTTACTGCCTCTGTTGTTGTTGTTGTCGTCGTTGTTGCTTTCCTGCTTCTTGAAGTTGAGAAATCTCGTCTCCATGATTGATTGATTGATTGATTGATTGATTGATTGATTGATTGATTGTCTTCGTCTCTGCCTAGCTAGAGGGCCATAGTCAGTCGTGGTCTCTACCTCATCAGTTTTCACTTCGGAAACGAACCATTGCGCAGAATGCGAGATCTTCTCTATCCAAAAACTAGTTCCGTTCCTCCCATGTCTTAGCCATTGGAATGGCTGGCCCTAGCCGAGTCGCTAGGTGAACAGCCTGGGGGAGGACGACAACGACTTTTTGCTTTTCGCTGGATACCTCGCGAGCTCGCTTCCCCACAAAGCGGGCCAGATATCTCATATCCTTGCGTAATCTCCCTCTCCCTCCCTCCTGAGCTCGATGTAGCGTTACACGAACGACGAAATGCAACCCCAGAGGGCAAACTAGCTTTATCTGACCTATCTGGGTAGTCACGAGAAACTTTGCTACCAGTTTAATGCCAGTGGGGTGGAGCGTGTTGTGGTTGACATCAGGCCACTTTTCCAATGTGCCATCACAAAGCCCTCACAGGGTCTTGCTTGGTACCCAATCTCAATCGTTCCACTCTTTCCACATTGGCTTGAACTTTGACTTGCAGAACTTGGCAGACCACTTTTTCCTCTGAAGAAGACAGCCAGCCAATATGCAGCACTTGCTGTCCAAGAGCCCTGTTCCTCCTTCACAAAAATTATCAAGCAGACCACTCAGGAGAGCAGACAAAAGTCGCCACTGGTCATGAAGCGTTATCTACGGATGAAGTCTCTGGTTCCCCGGTGGTCTTCTTCCAAAAAATTCCCCGTCGTTTTTTGAGCTCATCGTGGCGAGTTACACCTGCTAAGCGCTGTTGGTGTAACATCGTTTGTCTTCCACGGAGGCGGTCTCCGCACCGAATGCCATTCTGCTGAAGAAAGAAATCTGTCAATTATCGAATTGGCATGGAGCAGATATGACACTCTTTCCTTCCTGAAAAATTCTGCATGACAATATTGGTATGGGTCGGGCCACAACCCTCCGCTCTTCAGCGAGCAAACACCTTCCGAGGAGGTCAAGTGCCAATGACTCGGGATAAATGAATAATGGGATCATAGCAAAGTGGCAATATAGGTCTTTTGAGATATCAGAATATAAAACATGATGAAGGGAGACTTCTCCCCAAACAATACTTCTCCTTCTCCATAATAAATCTTTTCTAATACCCACATTTGCATACCAATATTTTTAATCCCCAAACCTTCAACGTACTTGGTACATCTATCTCACCGAAGAACGTCCGGGAAACAAACATCATGTGTACGGTGGTCATTCCTGTCTGTTGGAAGTGCGCGAAGAGAGGAGAGCCGACGCGCATCACCGAGTGTCTGCTATTTCCAAATTGTGGGCACTCCAAGGACAACGCAGAGGAGAACGAAGGTGGAAGAATTCGTGCTGAAGAGCCAACGCTCGTGAATTGTTGTTGAACTGAAATAGCCCGGTCACATTTCTGTCGAGTTGGTACGAAAGATCCCAATTTCTCTACCTCCTTCCCTCCCTCAAAAAATGTTTTCGCTCGCTCCATGGAAGGACCATGAACTGACCCAGACGCCAGAATCTCTTCAAAGCTGGTAACAACCACAGCCCAGAACCCAAAAACAATTCACCCGGATACCATCCATCACTCACTCACTCACCTTACCTCCTCATCACCATCGACAAACACAGCAAATCCTTTCCCCCCCCCCTCCTCTTTCAATTCTCAAGCCTTTCTCGATATCTATCTATCTTTCACTATCACCAAAACCAAGATCGCTCGCTACATTCTCAGTACATACAGTACACGACACACACAAACCTCCAAAGCCACATCTGCATCCAGGGTCTCCTCACCACAGCATCTCCCTCCTTTCCCACCTACCCGGTTTTTACCAGCAGACCAGACCAGTAGACCCAAAAAACGTACGAACAACCAACCACAGCCTGTCTCGTCTCGTCTCGTCTCTCTCTTCTCTCTCTGTGACGCATCGGAAACCGGGCCATTCGATCTACTGCGTATGCATGCATACCTTCAGTGTACATGTCGATAAAAAAAAAAAAAAAAAAAAAAAAGCTCCTCCTATCCAACGAACGAACGTTGCTGCGTGCGAAAATGTCATGGGTGTGTGTAACACAACGTCTTTTTAGCGCGGCGCTGGGGGGGGAGGGGGGGTCAAGTGTCAAGATGGCAGGATCTCAGTGTGACGGTGATGGGGGCTAGGTGAGGGTGAGGGTGAGGTGAGGCAGGTGAAATGCGGGGCCCGGGGGGGCTGGAGGCGGGTTTCTTCTTCCTCTTCCTCTTCCTCTTAAGTCTTTCTCATTTGGATACTTTTCCTCTTTCTGGATCTGTTTTCTGTTCTCTGTTCTCTGCATGCAAGTGGCACTTTTGTTGGTGGTGGTGATATTTTGATGAAATTCATGAATGAATGAATGAATGGTGGAATTGGATTAATTAATGAATTTAAATTTTAACGATAATACTGTAATACCTCCCCTCCCTCATACTATGATGCGTACAGTACACTTCCTTTTCGTGTTACTGAATTGAATTGAGTGAAAGTAAAAGGGGGCTCAACCAGGAATGTAACTCAATCTCCTCATCGTAATGAAAATATAAATATAAAGGCATCTCACTTTTCTCTCTCTCCACTTCGCCACTTTCCAAAATGACAATAATCACACATGCCACACACACATACACATGCCATTCCAGGAATTCGCCCGATATTTCTCCGTTCCAAACTCAAACAGCGTTCGTTCACACTCTCGGCACAAAAATTTGCGATTTGCGATCTGCAATGCTGGGAGTCTGGAATACAGTGCCGGATAGCCCTTCCCTCCCCTCCCCTCCCCTCTCCTCGACCCCAAACCAAACATGGTACGGACGGTATGTTCTAACTTCTGAGGAGGAGCAAGCAAGCAAAAGAACTGGGAGAAAACCAGTCTCAGTCTCTCGTATCCTCTGGCTTTCCAGGCTAGGGAGGCAGGCACGGATATCAAATCCACCAACATCCGCAGCAATTCCCCTCAAGCACCTCGCTCTTTTCAGACAGAGACAGAATTCCCAAGTAAAAGATCCCAACAGTCAAATTTGGATGGAAATACACGCGCGCGCCCTCATCCAACACACCACCACCACATACCGGTTGAGCCGTTGAACCGTTGATGCCACAGCCACGGCAACCCGTTTTGATATTTTACAATAAGGTAGGTAGTAACACAAACTTCACAGCTGACCATACTGTACAGCTCCCCACCTGCTTGCTCCCCCACCTCCTCTCCCATCAGCCACCATCGTCCTGCACCACCACCACCACCACCACCACCACCATCGACAGAAACGGCAGAACACTGCGAAAGTATACCGCTGTCCAGTCCAGTCCGGTAGCACAGCAGCAGCACATCCAGAGGGGATCGAGATCTCTACTTCCCCGTCCATCCATCCCGCAACGTAAAAAAAATTATCGTAGTACAGCGAATCCCCATCCCCATGTCCATGTTTGAATATCATGCCAAACCTTCAAACTGCCAAACGGCCCCAAAAGACGCTAGAAACGCCATCCTCTCAAAGGCTTGTCTTCTTCCTTTCCTTTCCTTCCCGAGCCTTTCTCTATGCGGTTGCAACCCGCGAGGCCGCCACCGGTGCATGGCATGGCCACCATGGCCATGGCCTGTAAACTTAATTTAGCTAGCGGCCGCTGCCTGTCAAGCTTCTTTTTATTCTTCTTTCTCTTCTTCTTCGCCAACGGCAATGGTGGTGCGGCACCCCACGCATGGCCGCTAGTGTAGAGGAGGTATGGCGGTGCTGGATGGCTCTGGTCTGCAGCGCTAAGGATTGGGGGAGGGGAAGGGGGGCGAGAGGCCTGCCATGCTTTGCCATGCTATGCCATGCCATGCCGTGCCGTGAAGCCATGAATGCCATGCCGGCATCTGGAGGGGGCTCATGCAGGAGTGTAGCAGGATGTGTATTCCGGACCATTTAAAAATATGTTACCTGGTAAGGTTAGGTAGGTTAGTAGGGACCAGGGAGAGGAGGAAAGAGGAGAGTAGAGGAGAGGTGAGGTGACGCAAAAGCCTTGAAACCAACGGGAGAGACGCAAATAGACGCCAACATCGTGGAGGGTCGTACACACCTCCCATTCTTCGTTTCCATGGCGCGTCTGTGTAGGAGAAGGGCATGTCATGGCACGGCGAGGCTGTGTGGTAGGCTGTTTAACGAGCCTTCGACGTTTAAATGGCGTTGGAGCGCGCGTCCCACGTTGTTCCACAATGTGATCAGCCTCTTAGCTTCCCCAAATTGTCGTGCACCGAGGCGCTCAAGCGACTTCACGAATAACGCAAGGCTCGCTCGCTCGATCCTTCAGAATAGAATATAAAGAAATAAACTTAAAACAAACCAAAGTTGGAGCTTACCTTAATCAAGAAGCCCTTCTTTCTCGTTCCCCAACAAATAAGAATTTTAAAAGAAATAACAAGTGCGCCCCCAAAACCAACGGGTGAACTTTCAAGCCCCATTGGTTACAAGCCGGAGGTTGTACAACAAAAGCCACCAACACATGTCACACTAGTTATTGCACGCTACCCCACGAATTAGGGCCAGCGGATATTTTTAAGGGAGCAGTCGAGGAGGAGGAGGAGGAGTGCAAGCCTCTTGAACATGTCCGGCCCCCTAATCCCCCGACCGCCTGACATCCTGGAGAAAAGACTTGGGCACTCCTCCCACACGCCTTCCATTTCCGGAGCACTGCGGCCGCCAACAATCACTGGATTGGTTGGATGGTCCCGGCAACCTGGTTCTGAGCCATTTTTGCAGCGACACAGGAAAACCGGTTGAGATTGAGGTGGCCTCGGTGCGTGATGTGTGGAGCAAGGGTAAAATGAAATTGCATGTGGGCGAAAAGATGGAATTGGAGGGGGAGAAGGAGCGGGAGGTAAAGACCATAGCAGCGGTGTCGACCAGTAGAGAAGAGAAGAGAAGAAAAGAAAATAAAATAAAAAGAATTGTTTATTGGTCCTGCTGCTGCTGCTGCTGCAGTTGAATATTTGACAAAGCTGTATACATTCTTCAAGGCAGGGGTGCCATGCCGGGGCTCGGGATGTATCCGGGATCATTGCATGCTGCACGCGATGTTTCTTCCTCGACCGATGGTACACCAGAGCAACAGCAGTCACCACGTTGTTTCCCACTGCGGCCAGACATGGGGGCAGGATTCCCATGCTGGCAATACATTGGACAGGAGGTGTCTTCCGTTCATCGAATTATTGGTCGAATTATTGGTGGAATTACGGAGAATTCTTGAACGTTGCTCCTTAATGCCTGACATACGGCCACTTGCCTGAGCTTGTCCAGCCTTAGGTCGGTCCTAAGATATCGGGCCGTCCTAAATGTTGGTAGATGAGATCCGATCTTGCCGTGATCGATTTGTGCCGATGTGATCCCGATCTTGAAACGAGTCTCAACGGCCGGTGTGACAACGCTGGAACGTATGCAGATGCTTGACCGGTCCTATGCAGTGCTACCTAGATCTAAGCCTCCTTCATCTGTTACTGCATCGTTCTCGTTCTCAAAGGATTCCTGGATTTCCTGTTCTGTAGCTTCCAACCCTTCTGAGCTCATGAGCTTGTTGTTTTTGTCTTCGGCTACAGCACTCATGCATCAGTATCATTTCATCAAGCCTCAACACCAGAAATAGAAAAAAGAGGTACCTACTTCCTGGTTCAACCAACAGATTCTCCTGCACTTCACAATCGGTCAACGTGCTGTCCTCCCCAATCTCTGACCTCTTCCCCAAAATACATCCTGTGAGCTTGCAGCCCTTTCCCACCACCGCGCCGTCCATGAGCAAGCATCTAGTGAGCTTTGCACCTTGCTTAATCTGGCAATTGGCTCCAATGACGCATTCTTTGATCGAGCATTTCTCCTCCACCATCACATTTTCCGCCAGCAGACAGTCTGGTCGGGTGACGGTTGTTCTCGAAGCGATACCTTCGGGATATGCCACCTTGGACTGGTGTGCAAAAGGGGAGGAAGCTTCACGGCCAACAGCTTCGATGGCTTCAAGTTTGGCCAGTTGGAGGGACACGGATAGGAGCAGAGGGGCGGTGTCGACTCGTCGGATCAGGCCGGTATTTTTAGGGTGAATGTATGCTAAAATTGGAGGAATGACGAGCTTCTGCTTGGTATTGTCATGTTCCCCAGACTCGAGAGCTGACGTCCAGGTTGTACTAAGGCTGGCAAAGTCAATGTTGTCATGGTCTGGGCTATTTTCGAGGAGGTTGTCATCAGAAACTTCAAGACGAGAAGGGGAGAGAATCTTGGTGAGGCCGAGCTTCTCTCCGAGACCATCTTGCCAGCCAGCTTTGGCCCACCATCCGATGACATCTTCTCCAATACTGTCCATGTGTTCATTACTATTGATCATGTCCATTACCCAAGCAGGGAAAATGTATATGTGAGCATCTCGGTGTGAGCTCAGCATCCGAATTCGAGAATGTGCCCGGATCAGACTATGTCTGATGGGCAGACTCTTCTTGTCTTCGGTGATATCGTTCAATGTATCTGTGGGGACAGAGTACACCAGTTTGGAAACATGATCGAGGAGAGAGTTTTTCGAAGGAGGAACAGGACCCGCTTCTATGGGCGAGGTTGCAATGAAGTCAGTCTCCTCGCCCTTGATAACGGTCTCTCCCTTGGTCTCATACCAAACCCCTAGGCCACCTCTCCGACCTCCCTTCTCACCTCCGATAGCCATCTTGGGACCGGTGAACTCTTGCCCACCACCAGTCGCACCACCAAGACCAGCTTCTTTGACCATCCATGACTCCAGTAGCGATTCTCCGCCAAGCTCACAGATCAGGTCACATGGCAGCACAATGAAATCGCCTTGAACAATGGCGCGGACTTCAGGTAAGCGAAAGATCTCGGCTGTTCCTGTATTCTGATCGAGGTCCTTAGGTGCTAACAGGTCTGGCTTGGGTAGTGGAAGACTGGTGAGGTGGGGATTTGTGTTAAGTGCAGTTATGATAGCTGGAGCCGACGAAGGTGGGGCAATCAAAGTAATGTCTGGGAAACGTAAGTATTTGTACAACACCGGCAATAATCGCGGTATCTAGGCTAAGTTTGTGGCCAGACATGACACAATTGTTATGAGCAAGAATTAAAACATCGCTATTGTATAAAGAGAGACATGATACGACTAGCACACGTGATATATGATGAGTATGAAACATCGGAGTGAGACAAACAAAGACACACACAATAGAGTTCAGAATTAATAGTAAATATAGTTCAGGAAGTGACTCACTTGTGATGCCCATACGATAACAGAAATCAATGGGATACCACACCATGGGCCGATTTGCGATCGGTATAAGAGCCTTTGGATTCTCATCTGGATTTGCTGTGAAGGTTGGGAACGAAGACCCGGGGCCACAGAGTATGATTGCCTGGAAGCCCGGGGCGGGCATGCTCAGGGCATGGGGCATTGCGGGCTGCCAATGCAGGACTTCGATGCTGTTTACCTGGCAAGTGTCGACTTGAAAGTGTTTGAAACGGTATGTGGTAGCTGTTCTGGGCTTTGGAAATTTGGGGAGAGGTGCTGCGACTTTGTTGTTCTTTTTTGTGTGGTGATGATGGAATATAAATGTATCGCGAAACCAAAAAATATTCTTAGTCACTTGTTCTTTGGAGCGGCTGAATCACGTGCAAACCCCGGGTGGCTTGGGCAATTCTGTCGCGCCAACGGTGAAAGTCAACAATGTCGAAGCCGAGGATGCGATCTCCCAGCCTCACGATTATCTCTTCGCGCTATCTCCCTCACCACTCTCCAGCCCCTCTCTCCCCAGAGTGCCGGCAGCATCAAGAATACAATGAGCAAACCCAACTCGAATTCAACCTTCCATAAACTCTAAATGTCGTACTCTTATGATCGCTCGGGGCGCAGGTCCCAATCTTCATCACAGCGCGGCGCGTTTACTTACTGGCTTCCTCTCGCGTTTACCGTCACTGTTGCGACCATTGGCCTGGCCGCGTGGGTATGGAGTGAGCGCAACGATGACGACGATGAATATCCCCGCCCTCCAGGACCTCCAGGAGACAATGACAGCGTCTACAATCGACCAGGCTACAGGGCAGATGGGAGCATAATCTCTGGACCGCCATCATACGCGGATGTCAGACCAGGCGAGGTGGCATATGGTACTGCGCCAGGGCCGAGGCCAGAAGAAAATCAGAGCTACATGGCGCGAATGTCTGGCGCGCTGAAAAGAACACCGAGCCCACAGCAGGTTTTCGACAGTGCCAGTCGCAGCGTGGTCGGTGGAATTGGCGCAGTGGGTGCGGTGGTTGGAAGCGCATTGGGAAGCATTAGGGAAGAAGATAAGAATGCATACAGAGACCATAATGCTTGGAGTGAGGAGGCTGAGGCGCGAGGAATACCCGCACAAGCTCCAATCGATATGCGCTCGTCGGAGAATATACCTGGCGTTGCGCCTTCTCAAAGAGTACCTGTCAGTAACGGGAAGAGGAAGACAGTTGCCATTGTTGTATCTGCAGATTCACATTCGGACGATTTCGATGACGATGATAACTCATTCCATGAACATGCTGTAAGAAAAGTCTGAGCCATTGGGAAGAACACTGCTAACACTTGAAGTCTATCTTATCACACTTACCTCGTAATACCGATTTCTCCAAGATTCGCCTTTTCGTTCTCATATATGCCCCCGGCTTGAAGGAGCACCCTCTTGATGCAGGAGCTGCCAGACCTCCAGGATCACTTAGTTCTTCTTTCTCCAACATTGGTCATGAACAAGTACATACACCTGGCGAGGAGTCAGAGAAGCAATTGTAGGGCAACCCATTCTTTGACCCATAACCAATACTAACACAGCCAGGTCGTCGAGCTCTGTATCTCCAGCATTCAACGCAGTCTACTCCCAAGCACTTGCCCTTGTGGAGAAGGAGACCATGGTCTTACCATTCACAAGTGCCAGCGGGCATGTCCATATTCTTCGTCATCTCGGTCCTGAGATTGTCTATCTTCAAGAGTCTCTCGCAGGAAACAACGGAGAAGTGATCACACATCTACAAACCTGGCTACGGAGGGACGTTGTCTTGGTTGTTGGTGCTGATGGCGGTCATGGCGGACTTGCAGACAGCGAAAGCGAGGCGGAACACGTGGAGAAGAAAGAACACTGGTGGGAGAGAGAAGATCGCGTCGGCAGAGGCAGGGGAGTTGTAGTTGTAGAGGGTCTGAGAGTTGGTGATGATTGGGCTAGGCGTGTTGAAAATAGGGAATAGGCAATTACTCGGCCGGTGTTTTATGATGAATCTTTTGGATGGCTTGGTGAACTTGTATGATTTTTATGCATGGTTGACAATACTTTCTCTGAATATATGAGCTTACGGTTTACGCACGAGTCACATCGGACACGATTTACCTTTGAGGCTGTGTTCATTTGGTACAGACTCAAAGTGAACTTTGTGGAGGCAAGGCTGACCATCAAATCTAATGAGAAAATTTACGTAGCTTCATACGACCATACATCTCACAGTTCGGATGTCGTTTGCCCCTATAATTTCACTGTCCACCAAATCAGCATGGCGGCTATCAAGCTTCGCCACTGTGTCTGATCCTTCAAGGCGTACTTCTCACTCCAAACCTCTCACGGTACGTTGCTGCTGTACCTGGGTAGATGCATGATACAGCTTGGCAATCAGCAATGCCTCAGGGGTATCTAGTGCAACGTGAGGTACAAACAGTGATGGATCTCGATCTAATATAAAATACCAGTTCTGAAGCTTATGAAGTCTTTTCTGAATTGAGAAGTGTTTGTATCCATTCGCTTGACCTAATATCCCTGATTTCAACAACACATGAGCATTTACAGCAGCACTTGCGACAAAACCTCAACAATGAGCTTGTCTGAATGCTCTCTGGATTCTTTTCTGGGGTTGGCAGATTTTTGCACGACTTTTTCCGGACTTGTAACCCTGGAGCGTGTATGCTGTGTGGAGCATGCTCCTGTTAGAACATCGGCACCATCACGTGACACACTCAAGCTTGCCCTTTCCAGCCAGCTTCACACGAACCCCGCCAAACCCCACCACAACGACCTCCTCCCCCAGCTCACACCCGGCAGCACATCACAATGTCGCACGCGCGCATAGAAGAAGTATCCGATAGCGACCCCTCAGAGGGGGATATCTCTGACGTCTCGGACGACTTCGACGAGCGAGAAATCCTGCGAGCTCGCCCTTCCGCAGTACCAAAACCTCAGGTTGCACCATCTCTCATTAATCCATCGAATATTCCGTCCTCGGCTGGCCCACGAACACATACCGCCCCAGATGGAACGCAGTTCGTTCAAGCAGAGGACCAGTCCAAGTATGCGAGCTTCGAGTGTCTGTATCCAGTGTACTTCGACGTGAGCAGGAGTCGGCGCGAGGGCAGGATGGTGGGCAAGGAATTGGCAGTCGAGAATCCCCTTGCACGGGAAATTGTCAATGCATGTGGACGGTTAGGACTGGAGACGCTGTTCGAGCCCACGAAAATACATCCTAAGGATTGGTCCAATCCTGGGCGAGTGAAGATCAAGCTGAAGGGTGGAAGGAACAGCAGTATCAAGAACAGTACGTCAGAAATTCTACTTAAGAAGAGCAACCAAAAGCTAATATATGCCAGAACATCATCTCTACACTCTTGTCTCCGCCCATCTGAAAGCCAACCCTTCAACTCACGCTACTGCCTCCCTCGTTCGAGTCCCAGGCGTTCCACCTCCCGACGCTACGAAAGAATACCCACAACCTGCTGTTCCCAAACGCTGGAAAATGAATACTCTATTGCCGCACTACTCGCCAGCTTTGACAGGTGGCGGAGTAAGTGATAACTTTTTCAAAGACATGATGGCGGAGATGCAAGGTGCTGGAGGTGCTGGAGGAGCTGGAGGAATGCCTGGCATGCCGGATCTGTCTGCTATGCAGGCTATGATGGGTGGTGGAGGTGGAAGCGCAACGCCACCACAAGGGGCGATAGAGGGGAAGAAGAAGGATAAGAAAAAGAAGAAGTGAAAGGTCGTCACGTAGGGGCGATCTAGAATCTGAAGTCAGCATCTGTCTGAGCGTTACATCCAAGTTGCAGGTGAGCAACTCTCGTGCGAGAAGGTCGTGTTCATATAGCTGCATAGCGGGCGTTGGCTTGAGCTAGTTAATCCAAAAGATGTTTTCTACAAGGACGGCTTGTTTGTCTTCTACTCGTCAGCAAGTTTCCATGATCGTCTTTCTCACAAGTCACATAGCTTCTTCTATTTCCTTCTCTTTCACACTTTCTCGAGTCCTAAAAGCAGTGTGCTGATCGAGGCGTTCTATGATTGCTACAGAACGGGAAGTTGCAGATTTCGAGCGAGGCTGCAGCAGATCCGACAAGTCAGAATTACCACTATTCGGGATAGGCAGTAGGGTTACAAGGCCAGAGTGAAATTTGATCTCAGAGTTATCTTTGTGCTTGTGAAAGCTGGATGTAACTGACACGATTGAACTTGCGAGAGGGGTTTGGTCGAAGTCTGTGGTTCTTGTTGTCAGTGTTGGACTGTGGCGCTTCGGCAAGAGATTTCAAGCCTACAGCAAGGTTGTGACAGGCAAGAATTATCTTGATATAGTTGTCGCTATATCCAGCGTGTTTGCATTCACATACTCTAAGATTTGTGATCTTAAGTAGGTCATCAAGGGTGCTTGCTTGCTCGCTAACATTAAACCAGGTTTCCGCACCACAACAAGGTTAATGAACCGCGCTTCATTCACTTCAACATCACAACTACATGGCGATGTGCGAGAAGCTGAGGATCACTGAACTTGCAACCTCGGTCTTTAAAATCCAAGACCATTGCCGTTAGCAAAAATCCTTACTTGCTACCCTCCCCAGTTGTCAGCAGATTCACGACTCTCAAGCGTCTAGGTTCAATGCACAGGTTTGATAATCATCCTCCACATTGCTTAGTTCGCTGTATCTGACCGTTGTTAGGTGGAGCAAACAGTGGAATCTGTTCGTTACTCTGGACGATATAATATTGTTCGCCAGCGTGAACTTTCTTCCATCGACAACTTCCTTTCCTCCTTCGACGCACCGAAACTAGCACTAAATCAAGAAATAACGTCTATCGTAAGTTTCCTATCTACTTCAGCACTTACGATTAGCTAGGGACTTTCTCTTACACTTCTGCTACTAGTTACGAGTTTCAATCTTGATCTTGAGGTACGAGTACATCGCGGATCGAGAACGATCTAAGAGTGATCTTAGATTCTTTCACCTTCGAAACTTTTCACTCTTCGATCTCAGCCCTGGCTGAATTCGTAGTGAATATTTTCACTCTCCCCTACAATCAGCACTCTACGTACATTACTCTGTTCTACTTTCCTCATTTACTACCTTCCAGTCTTCCTCACCACTTGCTTTCTTGTAACGCTTCTACACTCCTTTTGACTACTAGACTAGATTTTCCTTCACACAAAGCTTGCCCACATCTTGTCGCATATCTTTCGCTTCTCGTGAAGTTCTTACAACACATCTTGCACTACACATATGTCGATCTCTCTTTATACCGTCGAACGACCTCAGCCGCTGACTATTTATTAGACAGGCGTCATGTCATTCATACCTGGTACTCTCTATGTTTTGAAAGACGACGGAGAGTTTGAGATCACTCGGGATGGTATGTTCCACTTCCAATTCTCCTCTGCCATCGCAGCTTTTTTACCCTGCGGACAAGTTCATCTTTGCAGTAGATGTCATCTGTTTACTTTGTGCCCTTACTGATACTCTATTCTTTCACTATGATCAGGTTTGGGCAATTCAGCGCGGAGCTCACCACTCAAGCGCCAACGCGCTGAATCAATAGCTTCATCATGCACCCTGGGGAGTTCTACTCCATATTCATCAGAACCCGATCTTCAGATCATCGAAACTGCTATTGTGCCTAAGCCTGTTGCTCGCTCCAAACCAGACGTACAGATCGTCGATCCACCAACAGCAAACATGGAATTCAGCAAGACACTAGAAGTTCCTGCTTCGAAGCGTCCTAAGTGCAATACACCAAACAAGTCAGACTCCAAATCTACCGAGGCTCCCCAGTATCACCCAGAACCACCCACAGTGTTTGACATCGACGGTTTCGAAGAGTTAAAATATGGTCCGGGAGGCATTATCAATGTTGATGATCTGGAAGAACGATTTGAGAATGAATTCTACGGTGAAGCTACTCAAAACCAAGCGCGAGCTCAACCAATTGCTGCTAGGAATCTTCCAATCTGCTTCCCTCTAGAAGAACTCGATTCATTTGATGTTCGTGGCGTCTATCTCAAGAAAGGCAAGACAGTTGAATTCTTGAACGGGAGCTTTTTGAAGATCGCCAAGATCATAAAGAATACATATACGGAGGAAGTTGTTCTTCGAGGATGGTTGATGAAGAGATGCTCCCATATGAAAGGACTTCTGCCAAAGAAGTTGAATGAGGTCTGCTTTGTTCTCGAAGTCGAGCTTGATGACCCAAGACCGGTCATGGAGCAAGCAATGGTGCAAGTTGGATTAGAGGGCTTGGTGAAGATTCGGCACGTTGTCTCGACCAACTATCCTCATCCACATCTCGGCTTCCCTCGAACCGGCCTTCCTTATGATACGAAAGAAGATAACATGGAATATGTGAAAGACTACGAGCGATTGGTTGTCCGCTGGAAATGCCTTACGTACTACGACAATGCCAGTGAGCACGCGAGAATTCTTAAGTATCCGATTAACATCCGCAAGAAACTACTGCTTGGCCTTACGGAGAAGGAGTGTACCCCTGGATGTTTCATGGATCCGGCTACGCTGAGACACAAATGGCGAGGCGATACAGTCATCGGTGGCTCTGGACGGATGGAGCTACCGATAGTTTCTCCTCCTGTTCAACGATTGTCCGATCACGCCTATGAATGTCACCAGTGTGGTGAAGGTTTCAGCAGAGCTGAGAGGCTATTGGAACACTTTCAAAGCACCCATGAGCATCAATCTCGTCGACACCGATCCACACCTTTTCAACGTCAAAGAAACCAGTCATCAATTATTGAGATTCTGGATGACGACGATGACCATACAAGTCCACGAAGACAAAGAGCTTCTCAAGCGCAAATTGAGGATATCCGCGTGAGGCTGAGCTCGATTTTAAGTCTAGATGGAGACAAAGCCAACGACAATAACAAGGTGCACCTTGTTCGGGAAGATACGAGAAGCGTCGAGGTTGACCTTACTTCACACAAGTCATCTGGCAGAAGAGACCCGCCAAGACCTGACAGAAGACGGGTCCAGCATGGCGGAAGAACGCACAAGAATGGTTCAACGTATACATACGGGGATGCTTGTGAGTCTCCAATATTTTCCAGTCTCCACACTCCAGTCTCATCTAAGGTTCTTGTTCTCGGCCACTGACCACTTCTAGTTTGCGGTGCTGGAGGAACGACCAGAGGTGCTGTTTCATCGGCTCTCCAAGTCCTTTGGGGACTGGACGTCGATAAGAACGCTTCCAAGACATGGAAAGAGAACTTCCCAAATGCTACACATTACGAGATGTGGGCGCACGATCTTGTTGCGAATATCAATGCTAACAGACATCTTTTCGTTGATATACTCCACCTGTCGCCTCCCTGCCAGGTGTTTTCGCCTGTCCATACAAGAGTCGGTAAGAATGACCAACAAAACTTCGACTCGTTGTTCGCCTGCGATGCTTTGGTTCATAATTCTCGCCCACGAATTATCACCCTGGAGCAGACTTTCGGTATCTTGCATCCTAAGTTCGAGGCTGCTTTCAATAGCTTGATTCAGATCTTCACGAGCTATGGATATTCGGTCTCCTATCAAATCGTTCAGTTTCAGAACTATGGTCTCGCACAGACTCGTCGTCGCTTGATTATCATTGCTGCTTGGTAAGTTCAAGTAGAACTCTGAATAGTTCGGAACTAACAGAACAATCCTAGCCCTGGCGAGACGCTCCCTGAAGTTCCTCATTACACCCACTCCAAAGATACGAGCCCCCTCAAACCTCTCACCAGTGTTCGCAGCGTCTTGAACAGTATCCCAGCCGTTTGCCCCAATCACGATCTCGAAGCAGCATTCGTAAGAGGTACAAACAGACCTGCTTGGGATGCATCATGTGCCATTCCTACGATCACCTGTAATGGTGGAACTCGTGGACATCCCGATGGGAAGCGAGGATTCACTGAGAGAGAACTGGCTGCGCTCCAATCATTTCCAAATCATCATGTCTTCCATGGAGCTTCGATCAAGAAACAGATTGGAAATGCTGTCCCACCTCTCATTGCCGAAATCTTGTTCAAGGCCATAATCAAGCATCTCAAGAAGGTTGATACAGCTGAGCAAGAACGACGCGCAGAGGTTATCGATTAAGATATCCCTAAGACATTTGCTTAATTGTTTGGGAAATGCGAGAGATTGGGGCTCTTGCAAGTGCTGCTAGCATTTTAGGTTGGTACTGGCAGTGGCTGGCGCAGGACGTTGAAGTGTTTGCTTGTTACGTCGACGATTGGAGGAGTATGAGCTGCTCTACTGATTTCCTAGCTTTCTTTCATATTTCTCCCCCTTCATTCTTGCCTAGGAATCATTTGTATTTTATGGGTTGGGATTTCATATTTCTTGTCTGCGATGAATTACTCGGTGGAGAGTGGAGGATCAGCGTAGGTGAGGAGTGCATGGATCCGAAAAGTGTGTCGTGGCAAACTTCTGCATTGTACAGTACAAGAGCATGCATCATGAATACATCTGGAGATTGGTGCTTACTTATTTGACTGTACAGGGTATCGTGGTTAATCTCCACGATCAGTAGAAAGGCCGTTTCCTTAATACAATACTTCGTGGACATCATCAGGATGTCATGTTTCGACCTGAGCCAAGGTACGTGAGCAGCTCCCTCAAAAGTGACATTGATGTTACATCGCCAACAAATTCATTTTCATCACATGTACCAGACGCTGCTTCGTGATTTTCAGGGAAGGAGACCTCAAACCAAAATGACCATATTCTCCAGCTTAAGAACCAGATCTCAACATGCTGCTTGCTCAGATAGAATGAATGCTCAGAAGTTGTGACTCTGTTCGCGCAGGAAGTTCAGCCCAAGCCAGAAGTTCGTTCATGTCCTTTACAAACGCCGATATTGACTCCTTACTCTTCAGGTACGGAACATAAGCTCTCTCACCCTTCACAGCCATTGCCTCAGCATCTCTCTCCAACTGACCAAAATCAAGTTCGTACAACCCTTCCTCAACTTTAACACGATAAGACTCCTTGCTGTGGCAATGACGAATATCATGCAACAGCCTAGCCCTCAATTGGTAGTGCAGCCAAGGAGCCAGCTTCACGACTTCGTCAGGATACGGCTCCAGATTGGCGTAGCCAGGAGCGTTGAGATCGAGTAGGTATGTGAGGACAGCGAGCGATCTGTTGCGGTTGGCGAGACATTCAAGAGGACGTATGGCAGGCTCAACGAAGTAATACAGCTTTAACCAGGTCTTCAACATATTCGGTCCATCATACTGTCCACAACGACAGCGAAACAAGTGTACATGAAGCTTTCGTATCGGCCAAGCAGAGAGTCCCAAGCCTACTCTTTCCATCTCTTGAATTGCATGTTGAAGTGATATTGTGCGGGATTGAGAAGGAGTGGCATCACCGCCTCTGGCAGTAATGAGTTTGGTGACGTAATCTCGAAGCTTGCCTGTTGGCTCTCGAGGAGGATTCGTACATAGGCAGCAGGTACACTTTCCAATCCAGCCTGACAGCTTCTTCTGACGATCCTCCAAGGTGCCTAAACAACCATAGCAGATGGTCAGCTCCTCACGAACCGTGATATCTCTCTCAGCTCGGACTTGTAGAGTGCCTTCTTCGGAAAGCCAAGTACTGTTTGGATCGCAGCAGTGGTTGATCATGCTGTAGAATGGCTCCAGACATTCACCAACTGGGACATCGACGAATGGGTATCGATTGCTATTGGCCAGGGGGAGTTCGTTTGGAGTCCAAAGTTGGATGAAACAGTGATTGTTGAAATACTAGTCATGTAAGCTGAAGACCACGCCAGGGAGATTTTGGTAAAGCACGGCACGGATGATCTTCTCAACATCCTCCATTCCAAGCTTTGTGACTTTGTACTTCACAATCAGTTCAAACATTTCATTTATTCCCCTGATGGACTGAGGTTCTTTATCCGGCGCTGGTGACTGTGGCCGCAAGCCCACAAATTCCTCCCACTCTTTCTTCGGCATCACCCCAGCGCCGTGGATAGTGAGGAGTCGAATGATAGTGCGGAACTCCTCGCCTCGAGGATTCGCATTGCCTACCCATCCTGACTCCGAGGAAAGCATCTTGGCCAAGATATGACACTCGAATTGATGGTATGTAAACCACGCTGACTCTTTGCACGCGGAGCTACAGTAGTGGGAAAGTTTGCAGGTGTCGCAAGGAGTGAAGCTCAAATAGGGGCGTGGGTCCGTCTTGCCATACTGGGATTTATGTGCGAAGCAATTGTCACAGGTGGTATTCAGACAATCTGCGGCGATCTGTAGCGTTAATAGTCAGCTCTAGTCTTCGAGGAGAAAGATGGAGAGACATCTTACAGTAGAGAACAGAACATCAGAGACCTCGAAGAGTAACTCCCCTGCTTTGACGTCTTGCAGAACCAATAATCCACGACCACCATTAGGTATCTTGGACTCTCTGAGCTCTAGAATAAATTCAAACTTGACACGAGAAGGTATTTCGGATTGGGTTTTTGAGGATGGAAGCGCAGCGGCTGCCATGGTGGTGTCAGGGTTCTCTGACATCCTCAATCTGCGAGTAACGAAGTCGTGAAGATGTGTTGATACATAAGGGAACTCGAAGATGAAGTTTATGATTTAGAGATGATAACCACGCGGTAGTGGGTACATGTTGGCCTGATTTGAGGGAGCTTGATGAATGCCTTCGTGGAGTAGGCTCGAAAGGCGAGGCGCACGGATGTTCTCGCTTAACGATTGTTGACATTCTAGGTTGACGACCAAGAACCATGTCCTGCCTCTGTTGATTGGATTTACAGGATGTTGTACACTCAAGATCTGGATAGTTTGATTGGAATATTAATGCATTAATAATTACATACAGTTATTCTTGAGAGAAAGCAAAACCGACAATCTGCAACCCGAAATCGGCATCCTTTCCCTGCAACTTCACTTGCTTAACCAAGTAGCTTATCAAGAACAGTCGGATCATCAATAACGATAAGTCCAACACAATCGAGCAGCTCATTGAATCCTTCATGCATGTTCGTCCGTGAGCTCATGATATCGCCCTGAGTCATGGTGCGTCTCGAACCTATCTCCTCCTCTACTTGGCCAAGATGTTGTTGATATGCCTCTTTTTCGAATCGTACAATGTCGGCAGAATCCCCGAAGCATCGCGACACCATCCTATTGTAACGAATTCGAATGCAGCAGTGGAGGTCGACCAACTCGCGCTTAATATCTGGAGGCAGTCCGGTCCATCCTTCATCTTTGACTCTACGAACGTAGGCCGCAGGATCCAGCTACGAGAAACACTATCAGCAAAGGATTACTTGACTTTCGAAAATTTGAAGAGCTGGAGGAAGAGACCCCTCCCACGATGTACCATGGAAAACTCACCAAGTCGCAAAGAACATAGACAGTGTCAATTCGTTCCTCGTTCCCGATATGTCCCAGCTCGATCTCCACGTAGAGTTTCAGACAAGCATGAAGAGTTTCTTTGTACCGCTTCTTACCGTAGCATTGGCAAAGCCGAATCCACCACAATCGACGATAAATCGAGAAGTACTCCCCATGTAGACCATAGCCCAGTTTTTCCAGTCTTGGAATCCACAGATCGATCTGAACGATTGTCTTTGGGTCACAGTGGGGATCGTCCATCGTGTGGCGGGACACTTGAGAGAGTAATTCAGCAAAATCGTGCCATTCTTCGTCTGGAAGCTTGGTGCGCCCCTTTTGGCAAAGAGGGCAACAGCAATCAATGCCCCATTCGGTCTGCAAGGTATCGTCTCGAAGGAGATAATCGTACTGCAAGTGATCAGGGACGTAATTGAAAGTAACTTCGCCGTTCACAGGAATCCCTTTCAACGCTAGGGCCCAGATTTTACCATCCTCGACGACGGGCCGGGCATTGGGTTCGCAAGAGTGCTGGATCATGGAAAGAATGGGGTCAATGAACCATCCTGGCGACACCATGGAGCCGATGTGGGGTGGTTGGTTTGGACCCTTCAAGATCGGTAACTGGAGTTTTCGTCGGCTTTCATCGAGCTTCGCCGATCAGTCAACAAGAAAAACAGCTGCAGAAAAGACTACATACCATGCGAGCCCATCCAAATATCTCGTCGACATTAAAAGAAGTGTGTGTCAATTCCTTGACAAGCTTTACAATCTCGGTGTATCTTTCCTCGGCATCCGCTGACAGTTGTCGCTCTTGTATGTTCCAGGAGAGATGGTCGAACGGGCTGTCCTTCATCGAAGCTCGAGACTGACCTGCTTTGAATAACATCACGAAGCGAATGGTCATTCGAACACAGTTGTCGAAGATGTCAAAGTAGACGTCTTCCAAGTCCGCACTCTCGTCCACTTCCACATGTTTTTCTTGTGTGTCCCCCTCGCCGGCACCATCCTTCTCTTTGCTCTCTTCCTTAGTGTTCGCTTCACTCTCTTTATCGTCTACCCATATGTCTGCTCTGATATCACGTAGCTTTTCTCTGCCAGCCTTGAAGATCGTACATTCCCGCTTATGGTGTTGACGCCAAGCTTTCTTCTGGCATGCCTTCCCAATGTCAACATGCTGAAGCAGGATGTTCTTTGTAGCAACAGACATCGGGTACACATCCAGTTGAACATATCTTATTACAGTAGTAAACCATACCACATCCTTCACACGTTTTCAGAATCTTCTCCGGCTTTGGAGTGAGGTTGACGAGCTGGGAAGCGCTTTGATTTTGTGCCGGAGCGGTTTCTGATCCTGTCGGCGTGGCAGGTGCTACCCAGTTGAGAGAGGTTGTGATTTGGATGCTATCAGCGGTTTTGTAGTTAGTGTTGAAGCAGAAATCGCAGGCTCTCTTAATGCTCTCCTCGTCATCACCAATCTCTAAGGCATTAGTCCCTGCAACTTTTCTCTGGAGCATGGTAATACACACAATTGCCAATACCTTGCTCTTGGGTTCGAATAATTTGACTTGTTCGATAAACTTGATGATGTTGCGGTCCATGAAGATTCCAGTTCTGGCAGGATGATGGATGGATTGTGAAGCAAGCAATTCGATGTGGCGCTTCAACCACTCAGGTTTGTACGATGGAAACGGCGCGGCCATGGCGACTGATTTCAAGAAGCGGCGTATGATAAGGTGCTTCAGCTCTGGGATGGAGGCTGGAGTTTTTGTTTTTAGACTTATATGTATTTTCAGAAGACTGCTGGCGATACAAAGCATGTGAAAACTCTCACTGGTTCTGTTTGCTGCTTCCCGACATGCATGTTCTGATGCATGGATTTACAAAGAAACCCCGTCAAGTCCCAGAATTGTCTCGGCTACCCACATCATGCCTCATCATGCCAACCAAACTTTTCATTTTCAAGCTGGATCATTGGTCCACGCCAAGAATTGATCTATCTATCTCTCAGGCTTCTCTTTATCTTGCTCGCAGCCTGACTCTCTCCCAAAGCTGTGTTTGTCTTGGACTTGCCGCCCTGTTCAAGCACTTCTTCTTTACTTGAGTTCCAATATGGTTTCATGTTATTTTCAGTTGCCAGACCAGAGACTGTCATAATATTCATGACTGGAACTCATTTTGTTCGGAATATGGTATTGTGACAGAGTGGAAGACATTGATTCTTTGTGGCGCGAAGTTGAGAAGGAACTCCGGTGGGAAGCGAGACAGTTTGTTTACCCCGTACCCAAGTCAATCCAGCCCAATTTGAAAGGGACGCTGAGTATAAAACCGATAGAAGGAAACAGTCCCGACTTTGATTTAGCAGACTAAAATTTGCTGTTGTATCTAAACAATGTTCAATTTCTCATTCAGAAGGTAAAAAGGAGCAGTATCATGATTCATGAGGTATTCATTCTTTAAGGCGTGGCTTCCGAGTAGGGGCAATTATGAGACAAATAATCTGTCTACAACTCCGATCGAATGAAAAGCCACCCATGTTCAATATCAACTAGAATCGTCTATAGCAGATCCTTAGCCTCCAAAGCATCCAAGCCAGCCCACTCCAGCAGCTCATTCATATTCTTGACGAACTTGACACGAGCAGCCTCACTCTGGCCTAGAGGAACATACTTATAAAGCTTTCGCTTGCTAGATCTCTGGACGTGTTTGTTGAACTCAATACCCTGTCTCTCCGCAAAGTCCTTCTCAAAATTCGCAACCATCGAGTCAGATCCAAAGCATTGAGCAACATCCCTAGCCAACATGTCTCTCAGATTGAAATTGACCTGGGCAGCAAGTTCCTTGACCTTCATTGGGAGATCGCCTAGCTTAGAAGCTCCTGGAGCGGGGAAGTTCAAGAAGGATTGGAGGACGTAGAGGGTCTCGATGCGGGATTGCATGGATGTTGGTGGGTATTGAGCAGGCTCGATCTGGTAACGCATCTTGAGGGCGATCTTGAGGCACTCGACGGCGTTCATCTTGGCGAAATAGCCACGGAGGAGCTGCTGGTGTAACTCGCGCATAGGATCAGCTCCCCATCCGAAACCAGCATCTAGCATTGCTTGGATACCAAGTTTGACGTCTCCAATACGGTTAGGGGACGTGGCCAGATCGATATCCTTCAATGCTCGGACCTGGTCCCGGAGGGGACCCTGTGGACCGAAGTCGCCCTTCTGGCAGAGAACGCAGTTGCAGTCAATCTCACCAAAGGTCTTCAAGTTTGACTTGCGGGCTTGGTAGTCACGGATTTCTGGGGTGTAGCACAGAGTAACTTCTTCACCGGCAGCGATATCTCGTGAAGCTCTGATGCGGAGCTCGGCGCTTTCATGGACGATTCTGGCAGATGGCATGCACTCGTGGGATATGTAAGCCAGGAATGGTTCGAGACTGGTTCCGACCATGCACTCGGTTGGGACCGTGGGATCGTGCATACGGCAGCCTTTGATGAGAGGAATGGAGATTGCGCATTGGTTGTTATGCATCTGTGTACTGTTAGCCAATGCTTATGATCGGACATTGAAGGTAATTGGAGTACCATGCAAAACAGATCGACGATTTTGTCCGCGCTGACATTAGTCTCCACGAAGGCTTTGACGATCTCAGCAACGGCCACGGCCACATCGTCGAAAGGCTTCATTGCCATCTTGGACTTTCTACCGGTAGGTAATCTGAGTACCTCGGTCCACTCTGACTCTGACAATCTGCCTCTCTCACGGCACTCCAGAAGACGGATGAGGAAGCGAGTCTTCTTCTTGCCCAAAGCTTCTCCGGCGCCGACTTTTTGCATCTTGGTGAAGGTTCCGCACTCGAACTTGTGGTGGTCCTTCCAAGCTTCCTTTTGGCATTTCTAAGTGTATCGCATTAAAATAGATTCTAGACATATGCATGAGTATGGGAACGTACCTTGCTACAGTAGTACAAAATCTTGCAACTACCGCAGGCGAGGAACTTGATATTTTCATCTGCAATAAGCTCTGGCAGTGTGGTTGATGTGGTTCGGTGTCGAGATGACATCTCATTGATCTGAGTGACCATGCAATTGTCGCAAGTGTACTTCAGCGTGTTATCATCATCAATCTGAAAATGTCAGCAGTTTCCCCTATGGCCCTATGAGGAACGTGAAGCTGAGCATGGAAGACCTACGATGTTCAGAAGCGGCTTGCTAGAGCAGATTAGTTCGCCTTTCTTGACAGCCTCCTTGACAAGCAGCCGCTTGCCAGATGTTGAATTTATGGCCTCCAAGCCAACAGCACATGTAATACGGTCAGGAATAGTAACCCCAAAGGGACCCTTATGGATGGTGATGTTCAAGTCTTCGTCTTGAAATATAAGCATGCCGATCTTGTGCTCCAAACCCGCCAAAGGGGTTCCATCAAGTGGAGATGGTGCCATTTTTGGTAGCTTGGAATGCTAGGAGATTGAATTTGTGGTGCTGTTGAGGTGTTTTGTGCGAGAATTGTGGGGTAAAACGGTTGAGGAGAAGATATTCACCACAGCATGGCTGCCTGATTGTTGCCAACGAGCGAGTGCCTAAAATCAAAGTCAGAAGATGAAAGTTAAATGTGGTGAATATGGTTCGAGAAGCATGAACCCGGACTAATACCTACCTGAGTAGCAAATGGGGGAACACGTGATGGATCTGATGGGAAAGACTTTCAAGTGGACCAACGCCAAGAAGACATACAAATAAAGATCTTGTATGCTGTGTATGTTCTATCTCTGCCTTGAATCTCCTTGTTCAAGCCATGATACATTGTAATGAACGCTCTCTTGTTATCTAGCATTTTTCCACCTGATAACAAAAGATCCGAGACGGAGGTATCTATTTCGTGAGATTAACTCAACTTCTGGTGACCATGATGGCGGATCCTATGTGCGAACAACAGCATACCGTCTACCGTTTCTTCGTGTATCCAAAAAGTCTATCATCATCATTCATATTCAATGGGGTCACTTGATACGGAGAATCAAGAACTTGTCTTCTTCTCCCATCTGCGGTATCTATTAGCCTGATTCTATCATCTGATAGAAGATATCATATGCAGCAATTGCGGAAGGGATTATTCACAGATCCAAGAATAACTTCCAGAGAATGCTGAACAACAATCCTTGCAAACCATTGCACAGGATCCTGGTCTTAAGTCCTCGTCCAAATAATCCCGTGACTCCATCTTGAAGGACAACTAATTTCGCCGCCTCGGCTGTACAATTTCATTAGTCCAACCCCCCCGGAAAAGTTCAAAGGGTGACATGAGGAGCAATACTTACTATACGAAACCTGCGTGTCATTAACCTGGCGATACGTCTTCACAACTCTCAAAGAATTCGACACCGTATCCGACACAACCGAAGCCACGAACCCAATAAACGCAAGACGCAGAAGCCAGACGACGATCGAGTGCTTTGGAGGTTCGGGAATGTTTTCGAAAAGGAAGTTGTAAGTTGCAAACCAAGGGTAATGACCGACGAAGGTCGCGGCCGCAGTTGCGAATGCACCCCACCAGAGACTGCCGACTCCGTTTGACTTGATGCGCTGACGGAGGAGGGTGGTACCTCGGGAACCTTGGACTTGGAGAGTGGTTTTGAGAGTGTCGATTGGTGTTAGGATCATGCGGAAGGAAGCGGCGCAGAGAGATGCGAATACTGTTTTGATTGGTGTTGGGAGACCCTTCAAGTAGGAATTTGACTGTAGTAAAGCAAGGATGCCGGCATTGGCAGCTGTGTCTCCGAATCGTGACACAGGACCTGGAGATGTGTTAGTGTCTCGCACGACTTTCAAACCCAATATAATATATCATGGGGAATAATTACCTTGCACAAGAGCAGCACCCATGCCCTGGTAATACCGAATGAACCCTCCATCAGCATACAGAGTCCGGGTCGCAGCGGAGAATGAAGTTCCAAAGCGATATTGATAATTCATGATAGTGCGAAGTGGCTATAAATTTGTCAGTCAACACCCATATGAACATGATAATTCTAAGACTCTCTAAGACTCCATACCATCAAAAGTAGCACTTGCAAGACCATAGCCGCAGCACCACTCAACCCCCCTCCAAGAGCCCGCTTCAGTGCACCTTTCAAATCGAACTGTATATTTAATCAGCGGGGTCAATCAACCGAAACTAAAAAGATATACCTCAACATCACCACCAGCATCAATCCACCCTTTAACAAACACCGACAGAACAAGAGCCCCGAAAAGAACCCAGAACCCCCTCCAAACCCACCAACTCGTCGTTCTGCCACCCTTCTCAACCTCATCATCTACATTAGCCTGCTGACCGGGCTGATGATCGCCAAGCAGTGGCGATTGTTCAGTCTGCTCGTGCACATGCGCCTGATCTTCTGTATCTCTTTCACTTGGTTGGGCCATGGTTGATTCCTAGATGTTTGGGGTTAGGAGATGTGTTGATTAGAGGTCGTGGTATGCCCCATCTTTGGATGAGATGGAGAGTGGTGATGGTGTGGATTTGTAATTGGGTTCGGAGATGTCGTGCTTGCTTTTGCCGAGAGCCGGTTGACAGTCCGGTAGGGATGTCACGTGTGTTGATGGTTGGGTTAGGGGCTCGCTAACTTTTTGAGCAGGAGGATGTGGTTTCAATTGAATATGTACATTATATGTGTGATCCAAGTACTATTTCATTCCTTCCCTGGCATGAGAACCTAAGCCTATAATGAGCATCCGAGGCTTCGACTCGAAAGAGGCTTAACAAGCTTCAAGAAGCCTTCCGTCCCTCACTTATTGATAAATCAATACGTACCCCACTGTCCAATGTAAGATATTTCAAAGTGGTCTACCAACTCCTTCTTCGTCAACACCATACTTCCACAACCTCAACTCTTTCACCTCCGTGAGCAGCTCCTCCCGCCTTTGTGTATCACTTGACCCCTACTCCCGTGCAGCATGCATCATCCAACCCGACAGGCTAGCTGGAACATACTCCAATACATCTTGTAACACCAGTCCTATAGTCGAGGCGAGTTAGGCGGGTGTGACTCAATTGAATTAGTCCTCGTCTAATAGTGATGCTTCAAGCTACAGCAGCCACAATGACACGAGGCTTTGGTTTACCTGCCGAATAAATTTGAGCGACTATTCCAAACATAACAAAAGTGTCTTTGCATTGTCCTTAACTGACTAAGTTTGGTCACTTGCTTTTTGCTCATCGAAAAGATCAGGCTGTGACGCGTGTCTTCGCATCCTGTGGATAGAAAGCTTGATTGAGGTCCGAGTCAGCCTTGCATTGCGATTAGAGAAAGTCAAAAGTGCAAAGAGTCGCTTGAGGGCTGCGAATAAACCTAACAGAGAATACTGTGTGCTAAGCTTAGAGGATAGGATATAACTTTCCTTCTGAAAGGAAGTTTGCAGTTTGCGTCACTCCTTGGATTGGGGCAAGATGCGGAGCATAAGGTAACAAAGCGAACAACACCAAGCTCTTGAATAGATTCCTATCCGGCCAATTATGAAATATGAGAAGGAAATCTCTATCACCTCCTGGGCTATACTATGGAAAATGAAAGACAGCTTAGAAGTACTGAAAATAAGTCAGAGAGCGCCGTGCGCTGCAGGAATAATAATTGGTCAAACATCACTTGAAGTTGACGAAGGGACAAACATTACTTCCGGCCGCAGTCTGGAGCTACGCTTGGCATGACTTGATCCTGAGATTAAGAGTCCAAATTCTCCCAACACCGCAGCGTGAGACAGCTCGAGACGCAAACAACGCACGTGATAAATCACAACACCAATGAAGATTCAGGCTCTGAACTCTTCCTGATTGCTCACCGACGGATGGATGCCTCTCAAGCCGTACGCCTCATCACTTCTCTGATCCCGGCTCAAGCTCAAGCGGTACAACACAGAGTCCTGGAAATCTGCTTGCCGAGTAGCAAAGCAACACAGCAGGCGGCAGGGGCACAAGCCAGAGCAGCTGATAGGATATTCAGGGACTGGGGAAAAGCCAGCGGTTGCCAACCGAAGCCGCGAGGCACACACAGCGATGCATTGTACTGCAGCCGGGCACATAGTTGGGCAGAAGAAGGAATGCACCAGAAGATAGATGGGTAGTCGCGGGCAGCCTGACTCCGAGCATGAGCATGAGCATGAAAACTGTAGGTGGTAGTTGGGAGCTGAAGCTGAAGCGGAAGCCGAAAGAGCTTTCTTTTGTTGGCTGTCCAAACGCACCTCAGACCACTGGTCCACATTGCAAACAGAACATGGGAATGAAAACAACAATCTAACAATAAAAGAAGTGAGCATAAGAGAAGAGAATAACAGCAGGATAACATCAAGGTCCATCTCCCAACCCTCGATGAAGTCAATTTACAGGCTAGGGCTACTTTAGGTTCGACCCACAGGCGCGTCACCCTCGCAGATCCGCTGAAAAACACGCGACACCAGCCTGTTGGCTCGGGAAATTTCAGCTGATCTCCAGCCTTCAGGCTCAAGCTTCACTCTACCTCACTCCAGCCAATTTATCACCACCACACAAAAACAGTCGTTCAACAATATGACTACAATGAGCCTCATGGCGCAATCGCCGCCTATTCCGACCATTATGAATTTCGTACAACGATATCGAGTTCTGCGAGACCACCAAGATAGCAGTGATGAGCTGATCAAGGTCCGTTTGATGAAGCTCAACCTGTCGACAGCTTTGGAATCTGTCTAACTTCGACTTACAGGATCTCATGCTCTACGCCGAGGGAATCGAAACACAATACCGAGAAGAGAATACTCGTTTGACACAAGAGTTGAATGATGCACAATTGGATTTGGAGGATGCCAGGCGCTCCAGAAGAGACTTGCAACAGCAGTTGAATCACGCACAACAACGCATGGGACAGTTTAGCTTTGATTGTGATAATATGAGGGTACGAAGCATCTGCGGAGGGGTCACGATGCTTGCTGATATCTGCAGAATCGAAATCCGTACATTATGGTGTTGATTGATGGGGATGGCATGATTGTAAGGGTCTCTGGCCCCATTGCCAGCTTGCACCCACTGACTTTGTCTGCAGTTCAACGAAACCCTAATTCGACAAGGCATCGAAGGCGGAAAACAAGCAGCAACTCTTCTACGAAATACGATTCTCGATAACTGCCACGATCTCACGGATCAAATCGAAGTTATGGCTAAAGTTTGTGCGAATATTACTGGACTCTCCAAAGCTATGCGACGAGATGGATCTCTAGACAATCCGGATGATCTTAGGGAATTTACGTTAGGATTTACACAAGGAAAAGCTTCGTTTGATTTCATTGATGTTGGACATGGGAAGGAGAGGGCAGATTCAAAAATAAAAGGTACACAGCTCACAACATCTGCGAGAAGCAACCCATGGCCTGGCCACGACTGACTTCAATAGAATGTATGCGCTGGCATCTACGAAACCATAATTGCAAACAGATTCTTCTTGGTATTTCCCACGATGCTGGATATGCGCCATTTCTGGACGAGGTCGTAACAAAGGACGACCGAAGCAGAATTACCATAATTGAAGGTCCACCCATTGTCCGCGAACTCTCAGCAACCGGACTCCAAATCCTGACACTCAACGACATATTTCGGGCCGAAAAACTGATTGATCGTTTGCCTACAAATGAAGTCCCTTCAACCTGGGCAGGAGTTACATCAATCGCCCCTCCAGTTCCCACCCCGTCCCCAGTATCAGTCAAAAGTGGCAGCACAACCACCATCTCCCTCAAAAAGGCCACTCCCACACCCACCCACTCCAAGCCCGTCCCCATCTGGGCGCCCACCCCCCGCGGTCTCGACCCCCCCATAACAGTCAACGCCGCGGTCCTCGACCGCATCAAGCGCCGCACCACAAACAACAAGTTATGCAACAACCACTACCTGCGCGGGCCCTGCGCCAAGGGCGACGAGTGCTGCTTCGAGCACCAGTATAAAGCCACCGAGGAGGATCTGAAGGCCATTGCGTACCTGACGAGGTTGAACCCCTGCCTGAATGGTCAGGATTGTGAGTTGGAGTTTTGTATTTATGGGCATCATTGTCCGAGTGTGTCGTTTCCGGGGGCGGGGAAGGAGCCTGTTTGTACGGCTTTTGGGTGTAGGTTCCAGAAGGAGGATCATCCGCCCAATACGACGATTAAGCATCCAAGGAAGGAGAGGTGGGAAAAAGAGTATCAGTATTAGGGTGGGTTTGAGAATTGGGGGAAGGGGAGGGGAGATGGTCGTTGTATGATGTGGTGGGGGTATAATTGTTATAAAACTATTTGGCTGATGGTATTTTGGCTTTGGGAGAGGGGATGGGATGGACGAGAATATGTTGTGTCGGAAGGGAAGCATAATTTGTATAAGGGCTGCAATTCTTGTACGTTCAGATAATTGGCCTGGCTGTTTATTGAACAGAGAGGATGGATATATCTAGCTGCTGGACATGTAGTGATCGAAGCTGTGATCTTTAAGCCCTCAAATAGTACGGCGACTTTGCGTTCCGCATACTCTTTACTTCCACGCTTCGCTTAATGGTTGACTATTTATTCTTCTAGAGATTGTCACTCATTCTAGTAATCCGTCTCAGCTTCATCTCTCTCTGCCCGAGCTCCCATTTATGAATGCAAAGTGAATCCTCTAGCATTTATCATAAGCTACTCACCGCACCATTCATCTCATCATATCATATCTCTAGTCCTCTAGTCACTACGACCCCTCCACCCATCCCCCATCTCCTCTCCCTCTCCCCCATCACGACTTCCCCTCTTCCCCCTTCACATCCCCCTTAACACTAAACTCCTCCCTACTAGGCCTCACCCCAAAAATCGTACTCCCCACCCTAACCTCCCCACTCCCCGCCCTAACCGCCTCCTCAAAATCCTCACTCATCCCCATACTACACTCCAACCCTCCCTCCAATCCACCTTCCCCCTCCCCTTCTCCACCAGCCCCAGCCCCAGCCCCTCCCTCACCCCTCCTCTTCACACTCAACAACCCCTCCCCCACAAGCTCCCTCTCAAGCCTATCCCTCTCCTCTCTCAAGCAAACGAAATCCTCATTTTCAGCTCCTTCACCGGAACCTTGACCGGAAGCTTGACTCCGCGCAATAGATCCGATAGTCATGAGCCCGAGGAGGTGTAGGTGTGGACAGGTTTGTAGGATGTGTTTTGCGAGGAGGGTTGTTTCCTGGCCGGGGGTGACGCCGGATTTGGTGGGTTCGGAGGAGGTGTTGAGTTGGATGTGGATGTTGAGGGGTGGGAGTGGGGAGGATGAGGAGGATGTTTGGGAGAGGGTGGAGGAGAGGGAGGCGCGACCGGCGTTTAGCTGGGTGGCTTTTTTGGCGGAGTCGACGGAGGAGACGAGGTGGAGGTTGGGGAGGGTGGAGGTTAGGGGTTTGCATTTATCTGGAGGGGGAGAGGGGAGGTTAGTTGGTGGGTGGATAGTGGAGAGTGTTTGAGGTGGGAGGGCGGAGAGGAGAGGATAGGGGAAAGTAAGTGAGAGAAAACAGGAGAAGTAGAGGAAGATCAGGTAGAGGAGGTCTAGCCAGTGGTCTGGCCCTGGCCAGCGTGGACTTTGTGGTTGACCATGATAATAAAAGGTTGGCCCTGTCTGGAAGGGTCGGAACAACACTCGAGTCCAAACTCTGAAGAGAATGTAGGCAGCATTGGAAGAGCAAAAAGTGTCTGGGAGAAACTCTGATCTCGTAAGAAAGATAAACTAGCCCTTGCTCATCACAACAGCTGCTGCCGAAGATCTGGGAGGTGCAGAAACGTCTCTGCTGTCAATGCCTGACTGACGACGTTGCACCCCCGTGTAGACTCAGAAATGCTCAGTTGCCCTTGACTGCAGGAGTGATACCAGAACCCAAAATTATGTTGAGCAAAAGACACGCAGTAATTGCCGGGAGCTGTAAGCATGATCAGAAGGATTGTGTCAAGAGTGACCGAAGCGAGTTATCGTCGTGACTTCCACGGTATCGTTCACAGGCCAAAGATGTAGCTCGACACAGCGCTAGACAGAATTCCAACTTGGACTTCTGCAATACTGTCCAAATCCAGGCAGTGTGATGAGCCGCCATGATCTCAACACTGCACAAACACCCTCAAGCCAATTATTATTATCGCCAAGACGGCGATATGAAGCAATTCGTACGCCATCTAGCCAACAGCAAACACCCACCACAACAAACGAATCGCAACACATCCGACCTGCATCTATCCCATCCCCCGCACCCCACAAGCAATCAACCAAACCATGCAGGAGCTAGGAGATAAAACACAACAGCTAACCAGCCAGCCATACAAAAAGCTTGGATGCCTTAAGTCCGACGAAATGAGGAGATAAGTTCGGCCAAGAGACTTCGCCTTAGCTGGTGCTGGACTGGATGCATGTCGCTCTTAAGATGCATGATTTGGAGGATTAAAAGTGGTAGAGAGTTAAGTCCGAGATTGTAGATGTGCAACAAAAGATGTTTTCTGGAGGGGATTTGCCATCGTGGGGAATGAGGTGTTGGGGAGGGATAGTAATCAAGCTGGAGACTTCTCCAGACAGGTTTGTGAGAAGATCCACGTGATTGGGATTTACATGTAGATATCTACCTTAAGGTAGGGGAAATTTAAACTTGAAAGAAAGTAACAGCAAAATCAAAGCTTAAACTAATGCCTAGAAACACAGAACAGAGCAAACAGCGATGAAACAAGCAGAGCGAAACGAAGAGATACGAAAGTAAACTCACTAGACTGTAACCCCCCGATGAAATGCCATTTAATATCTTTCGGCAGAATCTCCGCCTTCTCCATCAACTCCTGTGCATAGTTCTCGCCGAAATGTCGCTGGCCGGCTTGATACAAGGCCTGGATATCGGATGCGGGTTTTAGTTTGGAGACCGCTACTAGGCGGACCTGTTCACTTATCATCAGCTGTGTCTTTCGACCTCATTCTTATAGGATATAATTTGTTCAATTCTAGGCTGGCTTGGAAGCTGGGCTGTGAATTTGAGGGAGGGATGGCTGGCTGGGGGTGAGAGGGAGAGGACAATGGTCACATGATGGAGAGATGGACGTACATTCCTTCCGTTGCTCGCTTTGGTGATGCGGCTCTGTACGCTCTGAAGGGCTTCTACGAGGCTCTTTGCGCGTGCCGGGTCTATCTTCATGTTGGTTTCTGCTGTATTAGCCTGCTCGCTCATGGTGGATGTGAAGGGCTGATGTCGGGTGCTTGCGTGTGTCTGTTTCCTTGCGGTACGGTGCAGCTCTCAACTGAGTGGTTGATGATGATCTTGATGTGAACCGAGAGTGGGGAGCTCGACAGCGGAGTGGAGTGGAAACTGATGCCGGTGGATAGGGAGCGCAGTGGGCGGAATACTGTTGAGTGCGTTGGCGCGGCGGACTCCCGCTGGCAATATACAGGTGTGGAGAGGAGAGAGAGGGGAAAATCTGGTGCGATCGAAATAGAAACACGGGCAACGGGACCGGGACAGGCTCGGGTCGGCAATCTAAGTCATCTAATGACAGAGTTTTTTCAAGGGAGGTTGAGCAAGCTTTTCGTCGTGCATGGGTGGAAAACTTAGGATGTTACCGACCTACTCTATTTTTCTATTTCTGCTGCAACTCCAGATGGATGTTGGGAAAGATGGCAAAGAGAAACTGGGATGCTGCAGGTTTTGTTGGCTGTGGCAATTGTTCGGAGTATACCCAGTTGGGCAGTTGAGAAGAAGCGAAGCTGCGGATGTTGTATCTTGGGCTAAATTCCAGGGCGGCGTGGATAACTCACGGCCATGGAATGATGTCAATGGCGCTTTGCCCTTGTCTTTGAGGTTATTTGGAGATGCTGCGTTATTGAATGTTGAACGTTGAACGTTGGACTGGCTGGCCAGGCCAGGCCATGCCTCTTCCAAGGACAGGTTCGAGGTCAGAATTGTTCCATTACAGCCTAGGTAGGAAGTTGGAGACCAAAGCGCTGTTCATCCTCCGGTATCACGATTGCACAGTAGTAGTCTATCATCCAGTCGGCAGACCGGCACCCCAGGATTGCATTGTTTCAACCTGCCGTCGAATTGTTTTTCTCGTTTTAATAGCATGTCAAATATCATCTCATCTCACCAGGTCCTCGTCCTCGTCCTCGTCCTCGTCTCCCATCGCGATCCAATGCTTGTCCTCCCACCTGTCTCACGACCCTCTTGGATCTGAAACGCGTGCGATCAAACTCCCCCGGCTTCGCCGCCTCTCACAGGCCCGCCGCTCGCTGCACTGCTCGCCTGGGTTTCGCCTTCTCAGCCCCGACTGACGTACCTTGCAGGCGCCGTTCAGCTTATCCCTGCCGATCCCAGGGATCCCAGGGGTCTTAGGGGAGGTGGGGCCCCTGCAAAACAAAATCAGGGGGGAAGGAATTCGACGACGACGGCGACTGTCTATGTCCAGTTTGTGTCTTGCAACATCTTCTTTTTCTTCTACTATCCATCTCACCACCCTCGTTTCTTAGTTGCGTTCCTCTCATCTGCATTACTTTGCGGATTTTGGAAGGAGAGAGAATTGATTTTCTTTAGCTTCGGCACATCGTCCAGGTGTGCATTGGCTTGACAGGACTAGACCAAGGGAAAGAAAATACGAGAAACGACATCATAGCTTCGTCGCCCTTGACGGTCGAGCAATCATAGCATCACACGACAAACATACGCTTGACGCGAATCCCATTTCTATCTGACGAATACGGTGCGAATCGATCTTCGATTCTGCATACCCCGAAACCGCCATTGATCAAAGATCTTCGCCATTGTCTAAGCGGCATTCCACGACCCCGCCTACAATCCTCGGGCGAGAGTGACTTCACAAAGTCTTTGCACCAACCTCCAATCTCGAAATACAAACCAGACCCCAGTTCTGGTGCATTCATCTGCAAGTCTCCTAGAGACACTACGTACATAATCCACCTTCATGTCATTACGAAGTCCTCGAAGTCCTCGATCTCCCACCGATTTCTCCCGTCGAGGGTTCCAACCACTCCCGACGACCAGCCCAAACATGGGAACCCCATACGATTCCGAGGGCGGCATCCCCCTCACCAATGTCCAGACACGCTCTTCCTCGACAGGAGCCAGGAAGCAGGGCGAAGGCGTCATGAACGACAACGATCTCAGCAACCAACCCACATTCAAAGATGACGAGAAGAAAGGACTGTTCCACCGCGGTGGACGACGCAAGGTCAAGAAGATTGATAGTAAACCTGTGCGTGTGGGCACAGATGGGGAGGAGATAGCTCTTACTGGGCTGGGAAAAGTATACAGCAAGATTGTCAACTTCTCGGTGGTTACAAGATACCTGATGTACGTGGCGCCAATAGCAGCGTTGATTGCGATTCCCATCGTCATCTTCGCCATTACGGACAGGAATGCTCGGTTTGCTGGCACAGGAGTCAAGGTCTGGCTCTTTTGGCTGTGGATTGAAATCATCTGGCTCAGTATCTGGGTCTCGAAACTCGTCTCGAAGGCTGTACCGAACATATACATGTTTCTCAGTGGTGTGGTCTCCTCAGGAACGAGAAAGTATGCTACTATTCTGCGAGCTGTCGAGATTCCTCTGTCGCTAGTAGGATGGTCTGTGACGTCGCTGGTCACATTTACGGCTTTGACATCAACACAACTCAACCCTGGACCACAGAAGGGATGGATTGATGTCATGAAGAAAATCCTAGCACCAGCTCTTATTGCCAGTATTCTTTTCCTGGTTGAGAAGATGCTCATTCAATTGATCAGTATCAACTATCACAAGCGGTCGTTCGATGGCAGGATCAAGGATTCGAAGAGAAATATTCACCTTCTGGGTCTGTTGTACGATGCTAGTAGGACGTTGTTCCCTGTCTACTGTCCTGAATTTGTTGAGGAGGACTATATCATCAATGATAGTATTGAAGCTATGTTGGCCAAGGCTACAGGTCAGAAACCCAGTCACACACGATCTGGGTCTGCTACGCCAATGAGAATCATTGGGAATATTGGACGTGTTGGAGATAAGGTCACCTCAGTGTTCGGAAACATCGCTTCTGAAATTACTGGAAAGCAAGTCTTCAACCCCACTTCATCTCACTCGGTCATCATTGAAGCTCTGGAGAAGACCCGTTCTTCTGAAGCTCTGGCCAAGCGATTATGGATGTCTTTTGTTGTGGAAGGAAAGGAGTCCTTATTCGCTGAAGACGTTGAAGAAGTCCTTGGCCCCGGACGAAAAGAAGAGGCTGATGAGATTTTCCGTGCTTTGGATAATGATGGAAATGGAGATATCTCTTTGGAAGAAATGATTATGAAGGTTGTTGAGATTGGAAGAGACAGGAAGGCTATCAATGCCAGTATGAGGGATGTTGGACAGGCTATTGGGGTTTTGGATTCGGTTCTTGTCACTATTCTCTGTGTCATTATCGTGTTCATCTTTGGTAAGTTACCCCTGCTTCTAATGATGCATATCTAACCATCAATAGTTGCATTCCAAAATACGTCCTTCGTCACAACACTCGCAACAGCCGGTACTACCCTGCTCTCACTGTCTTTCGTCTTTGCAGCTACCACCCAAGAGTTCCTCGGTTCTTGTATCTTCCTGTTCGTTAAGCACCCGTACGATGTCGGCGACAGAGTAGACATCGATAAGGTTTACCTCGTTGTGGAGCAAATCTCCCTCCTCTTCACAGTCTTCAAAAGAATCGACACCATGAAGATGGTCCAAGTCCCTAACATCATCCTCAACAACCTCTGGATTGAAAACGTCACACGCTCCAAAGCCATGAAAGAACAACTCGAGATGTTCATCTCCTTCGACACTACGCTCGAAGATATCGAGCTTCTCCGTGCCGAAATGGAAGCCTTCGTCCGCGCCGCCGACAATTCCCGCGACTTCCAACCAGACATCATCCTCGAAGCCACTGGAATTGGTAACATGGACAAGCTCCAACTCAAGGTCGAAATCAGACACAAATCCAACTGGGCAAACGAAACCGTCCGCGCATCTCGCCGCTCCAAATTCATGTGCGCACTCGTCCTCGCCCTTCGCAAGATCCCCATCTACGCTCCCGGTGGCGGTAATGAACCTCTCGGCGGCCCAACAAACCCAGGATACAGCGTCGCCGTCCCAGATGACTGGGCGGCTGCCGCGCGCGACAAAGCCAAAGCCGCAAAGGAAGAGAAACGCTTCTTTCCTACCCCCAAGACAGATGATACCGCCTCCTCTAGCAGCGTCGACCACCTCGGTCTCGGTACCAAAACTGAAGAAGGCGCCGCTGATGCTCTCAATCGCCGGAAACCTACTGAAGATCCTAGTGCGGGGTGGGTTGCTGCACGCGATGAGGGGGATGCGTTCACCGAGGAGTTAGAGCGCAAGCGGAGCAATGATATCGATAACCTGAAAGAAACACTTCTCAAGCGCGCAAGCACGAGGGGTAGACGCAGACCAGGCGAGCATCTGCCCCCTTCGCCGAGTATCTATACTACGCCTAGTCTGAACGTTCAGGCGCCTAGTCCGAGGAATACGCAGGGTTTTGGGGTGAGAGATGTGGTTGATGAGGAGGCCGAGTTGGAGACTGGGCATAATGGTGCTGGGTATGGCTCCAGTCAGAGCCAGAACCAGGGTGCGTATGGTGTACAGGGACAAGGACAGCAGGGTGGTGGGATGGGATATCCTATTTATCCTTCTTCGAGTGCGCCGCAAGGTCAGCAGCAAAGACCAGGTACTGGTCAACAGGTTGCGCCGCCGCCCAATGCGGGGTCGTCGAGTGCTCAGCAGCAGCAGCAGCAGCAGCAAGGGAGGGGTAGGAGGTTGAGTTTAGGGTTTAGAGGCCCGGGGGGATCGTCTTCTTGAAATAGGGGAGGAGGGTGAGGTTGAGAGTGAGGGTGTGAGTGAGGTTGAGTTTGCATGGTTGTACAAATTGGGAGGATGGGAGGGATGATACCCGGAGGAACAAAAATGTGTTGGATACAGCTTTGGATTTAAAATGCATAGTTTGCATTGGTGTAGAATAGATACATTGGTGTAGTAGATAGTTGAGCAGGCTTGGATATCGAATATTGAGTAGATATCGGCTATACTGAGAACTGGGCTTTAGAAAGTCGAAAGAAATTATCAGACAATGAGAATGAAATTCCGCATTATAAAAAGCACCAGGATATAACAGGAGCATTAGTAATCTTCTCTTTTCTTCTTTCCTTGTCACATGGTTGGTGGTTAGTGTAAGTAAAGGCAAACAATATATATCTCAGAATCCGCCGCGTGTGCGGACGGTGGACTTTTTTTTTTTTTTTTTTTTTTTTTTCTTTGGGAAAGTAAATTGATTGATTGATTGGAGGCAGGCGGTGGAGGGCAGGTAGCAGGTGGCAGGTGGCAGGTGGCAGGTGGTAGGGGATTGATTAATGACAATGAGAGTGGCAATGACATTAAGAGTCAGAGCGAGACTGAGGCTGAGACTGAGATTGGACAGTGACAATAATACTTCTCAATCTCAATGTTTATAGTTATGGCGTCTTGTTTTGTTTTGTTTTATTGAGGTGGGGTGGGGTGGGTTGTTGAATAGGCTGCATATGAGGAGGTGGAAGAGGTAAAGGAATAACGATATCCTTACTCTTACCAAAACGATTAAAAAAAATAGAACATTGAGAGAGCGGCACACCATACCATATCATACCATACCACACCATTCCTTACCTTTATCTCACGCAACCAATGCGGGTCTGATATATAATCTCTCCATGTCGCTTGAATTCCTTCTTCTCTATGGGATAGGAGGAGGGTATTTATATACCTTTCCCGGCTTTTCCGGCGCCCATCAATTCCTTTGAAAGTGGAAGTGAAAGTGGAAGCGAAAGTGAAAGTGGAAGCGAAAGTGAAAGTGGAAGCGAAAGTGAAAGTGGAAGCGAAAGTGAAAGTGGAAGCGAAAGTGGAAGCGAAAGTGGAAGTGCCATGGGGAAAGTGCCATGAGTAGATTTTGTATTCACCAATGCACGTCAAGGCAAGGCAAGGTAAGAAAGAGTCAGATTAAAGGCCACGGTAATTCACTTGGAAACTTGGAAAAGGGCTGGGGAGGTGGATTTGGAATTGGGTTTGGGTTTCTAAAGGGAGGAATGAGGGGAGTGAGTTGGTGAGTGAGTTGGTGAGTGAGTGGGGACTGGCGTGAGAGGGTGAGAGGGTGAGAGGGTGAGAGGGTGAGAGGGTGAGAGGGTGAGAGGGTGAGAGGGTGAGAGGGTGAGAGGGTGAGAGGGTGAGAGGGTGAGAGGGTGAGAGGGTGAGAGGGTGAGAGGGTGAGAGGGTGAGAGGGTGAGAGGGTGAGAGGGTGAGAGGGTGAGAGGGTGAGAGGGTGAGGGAGTGGGGGAGTGGATGAGTGAGAGGGTGGGTGGGTGGATGGATGGATGAGTGAGTTGGAGTTGGGAGTTTGGAGTTTAGAATTGGGGAGTTGGGGAAAATGGGAAAGGGGGAGGGAGTATATAAGGACACTGCATTTGTTGCAAGCTCAAGAAAGATATGTTAACTCCAAACCCTTACCAGTACGAAACATTCATGGAGGTCGCTCTGGTTTGTACAATTCGGTTGAAGAGCGAGCTGAATTCATGTTTTGTTTGAGCGTGTCTTGGTGTAAGGTGGAAGGTGGAGGGCGCTGGAAATGTGAATGTCGAAAAAAATGTCTGGACGTCCTACCCCGTCCGGTTACCTAGATGAAAATGAGAAGTTATTATACAGGGCTTGTTGTTGTCAAATACTGGTCGTTGTCACATACTCGTCGTTGTCACTTGACGTTTCTCACTGTCCATATCCGTACCATATTTTCGTCGATTGTCCAAGAGAACAATCGTGTGAAATCAAAATAAGCTGAGAAAGATTTCGGACGCATCTCTCGGGTGATGGGGATGTAGTCAAGATCTAAAAGTCAAGTCGAAGCTAAATCTTTGAGTCCAGCAAGAAACAGCCCCGTCGTCTCCGTTGGAGGATTTCCAGGCTAAAGTCCCTGAATATTGAGAAGTTCAAATTAAAATCTGGTCTGCTTGTATTTATACGAATGCATAGCTGTATCTACGGACAGAAGAACAGATAACCTTTTGCATCGATCTCGTACTCTCCAGTCTGTCTGTTGGGTGAATTCACTCAGTATAGAAGTTTCACTTGAAGTGAAGTGGAAAATCAACGTCCTTACCAAGAGTCTTTGAAGTATACAAACTCGTTCAATGTCAGAGTTATTGCGTCTTCAAGGATACGTAGATTGGACAGAAGAGTTCGGATGTCTGGGAGGTGGCAATTTCTTGTGTATTCTTTTCGAGAGTATGATGTTAGATGGGTTGATGAGGGAAGAAAGAGCAATTTGGGAAATAGTTCAGAGGGATAAAGTATGTTTTCTCGCCTACAAACGGTGGAATGCGGGGGAGGGAGGGTATTTTGCTGTCATTTTTGTGATGGCTGTCAACATCACACCACCCGTTACCTGAAGTGACTTCTGTCGAGCTATAAGACTGGATAGAGCTCATAATTATTGAAGAAACGTGTCGGATGGGGAGGAGGAGCCGAAAATGTTGTCCAAGAGGTGCTTTGCATATTGAGGTTTTGAATGACAGGTGCAGGGCATAGGTGTGGGCAGGTAACGCTTGTTCATTCATATTGATTGGAGATATCCGCCTGGGTTCGAAGTGACATATTTATCCCCCAATGGTTCTTAGAGTTGTTGAAATAATGGTATCAGGTGATGTAGAATATCCTGATGAAGAACGGTACCTATGGCTGAAGTATTGGCTGAGAGGCAAAGATTCCTGGCGCCTAAGTTCTTGGCTACTGGTCTCGTGCGGTAACTTTAGTCAGAAGCGCAGGCGATTAGGACTGAGCACTGGCGCTTGAGCACTCTTCTGATCAAAAGTGATAGAAAAAGATTCCGAGTCAGAAAGAGCAGCAGGAAGTATGAGTGCTTGGGAGACTTCCCTAATTGCTCACGTGCGGCTGTTACCAAGTCCAAGGTACCGCACTGTGCAATTTCACAAAAACAGAAACAAATAAAGTACTTCAAGGGCACAGAAATCATTATTGCGCTCCTACATCCAAGTCCAAACAGTGACAACAATCCCCTCAGACCAAATACCCCAACAACCCCGAGACCCCCAAAATCACCGACCCAAGCCAAACCCCCTGATCAAGTTTCCTAGCCGCACTACTCGAGCTCGTCGTCGCCGCTGATTCCGTCCCCGTCGGCGTCTGTGAAGTCGTCCGAGTCCCACTCCCGCTCACACTTGAAGACGGCGCCGCACTTGTCGTCGTAGACACCCGAGACGACGACGCCGTAGCACTCGAACTAACACCAATAGTTGCTAAAGACGGAGGCAAAGTGAATGGCGAGGCGGAGAATGTATTGGTGATGATAGCTGGTGTGAGTGAGGTGCCGATGGTTGCTAGAGATGGAGGGAGAGAGAAGGGTGAGGCTGAGAATGTGTGTGTGATGATTGCTGGGGTGAGAGGTTCAGTGGCTTGAGCTGCTACAAGGGATGTGGCGCAGCTGAGTGCGAGGATGAATTGGAGGGGTTTGGAGAACATGTTTGCAGTATAGTAATAGAGACCTGTTCGTATGAAACATAAACCTGCTTAAGCATGTATGTATGTGTATGTGAAAGAATCTGGGGATGAAAGAGAGAAGTTGAAGTGAGGATCGATCCGTCTTTCTCGTAAAGAGCCGAGCCCACCTTTCCTGATGCGGACTCGCCACCAATGCCGGGGCGCCAAGACTTGTGTTCAGGGGTAACCAGCCCCTTATTCGGTCATCGCTAGGGAGAGAATACGAGGAGGCTGAACTTCATAGGCTGGGAAGGACTGAGAGCACAACCTATTGGAGGGATTTAAGCGCAAAATTATGCTTATGAAAATGAAAGGTCACTTATCATTTAGCGAGTGGGGAGGTTTTATGTGAGTGGTGAAAATGGAAGATGGAGTCTGAGAGGGCTTCAAGGTACGCTAATTTTAGCGAAGAAGCTTGTTGACAAAGACTGAGTTGCTTCCTTCCCTCGAGGTTGCACAAATTAATGATAGACAGAGATGATGACAATCTTTGGTATGAGCCACCATCATGATCACTGATATATAAATGGAGACAGTCACAGTCATGACGTTAAGGAGAGTGAGGATTTTCATTCGAGGAAATACTAGAGAGAGCGTCCTAATTCCCAGCCAACCAGATCACCTGGCACTTCCATTACTCAAGTAGAACCCAAGTATTTAGTTCTACGAGAATTAGTCACAGAAATCAGTATGAGCAGCTTGGGTGGGTTCATACCGGAAGGCAGTAGTAAATGCTCTTGCATTGGTTTCCGTTGCCGTCAGTATACATGACATGCTTGTCATCCTTGAAGATGTTGAATCCATGGAAACCGTTGCTCCCAGTTCTGAGCAGAAGTAAGTATAGGTGCTTTAAATCTTATTTGGTCATGGAAAGCATGTATGATCAAACTCTTACCCGACTTGGACGAAGTTTGCCTGACTTTGAGCATTGCTCTGGATGTTCCAAGTAAAGGTCGTTCCAGTTCCAGGGAAGGTGCACTTCTGGTTTGAACCCTCCCAGGTGTCGACTCCGCCATTGGTGGGGAGACACTGATTGCCTGCAGACGGATTGAAGTTGCAGTTACTGTCATTGGCACAGTACTGGGCAGCGGTTAGTTTATAGTTGTTTAGGATGGAACGTGTAGACTTACAAGAACGACAGAGTAATTGTTTCCACAGTTCACGAGGTGGACTCCTTCACTGCGTTTGGCTAGCTTGACAGTTCCATCTGGAGATGCTACTGGTGTTGCAAGAGCGGAGCCGAAGAGGGCAGAGATCAAAGCGAGCTTGAGGGACATCATGATGTTGGAATTGGAGATTTGTGGACTGAAAAGTCTTTGAAGTGAAGTTGTTGTAAGTGTTCTGAGTTGGTTAAGCTGGTTGAGTTGTCCTTCGATAGACACTGGAAACACAGAGTATTTATACTTGTTGGGCAGGCCAAAAAGTCAAGTAAACATCGCTTCAATACATCGCGGAGATCGGCAATGTGAAAACAAAACCGCTTACATGGCGTTGACTTCGTTGCAATAGCCTATATGCAAGCGACCGATGCAATACGATTACCTGATTCTCCAGCCTGACACCCTCGTGGCGAGGAAAAATTTGGTCATTTGGTACTGGTTGTTGAGTAAACCTTTGCGGAAAAACTATCTGAAAGCTTGTCACGAAATACCAAGACCACCAATTTCTAAGACAGCAAGAATATTCTCTTGGCGAGATCAATGGTTCTGACACTCCCCGGGAACAATCTTGTTGATTTCAAATGCAGTTTTTTCTGAAGACACCGAGGTAGGAGGGGCTCAAAGTGTGGTGACACAAACAGGTCATTCATGCTTCAAAGTAACACAACAGCTGCAGGTCAACTTTCGATTACTGAAGCGACAACCAAAAGTGATATCATCCATACCCAGAAGCTGACAGACATTTACTACCCGAACTATTGTGTAACACCCAGCATGTATACCAAGGTGAATTAGGCTCTTCGGCCGAGGCCCCGGAATATGCTAAATGTCCTTCCTTCGCGCAGACCGCCACAGCCAAGGTTGGGGAAAGCTTGACGAAAGCATGCTTAATTGTAAGCTTACTGGTGTGGTAGTACAATTTGTCGGCCGATAGATTAATGAGGCGCTCTTTTGATATTGTTGCATACTGGAGTCGATTGATGAGAAAGCGGGTTGCATGCAGAGTGGGATTCAGCCTGTGGATACTTGCTTCCGGATTCTAGATAACCGAGTACTTCCGGACGACATCAAAGTAATAGACGGTCAGAAAATTGATCGGGAGAGAAGTGAGGATTTTCAAAAATATTATTAATTGCAAACAACGCTCTCTTGAATAATGGTGTGTAGGGAGGTTATAGCTGCAGAATGTTGGCGGGTGAGAAGGTCCATGCGGGTACTTCCGCTTGCATATGCATGCGTAAGGTGTGGAGGCTGACAACATGGCTGAGCATCACCTGAGCATTACTAACTTCAACTCAGAAAGATAATTAAGCAAGAATGAAATCTAGCTTTAGAATTTTACAGAAAACACACTTGATGTCAGTGCTCCACAGGGAGCGAATTGGGTGGAAAGGCAATCGGCTCAAACTTGTGCTTTGTCCATCTATTTCCCAATTCAGTCTATGAGATGTTTGTTACATGTCATACATTGATACCCGATCATGAAGCACTCTGACTTCACAGAAACCTCTCCAGTTTGCCATCATGCAGTAAGATTTTAGTGGGCATCCACATGATATGGGGCAGAGAAGACGTGGAGTCCATCCTTCCAGTCCACAATATCTCAACATTCATGTTAGCCAGTATTCGACAACAAATCAATTGAGCAGGGCTTGGCTTGTTCAATTGAGTGATACTTGGCACGGCTTTTGTGAAGTTTTGACAAAGACCGCGAGACAGCCAATCAGATTTTTTGCAGACGCATACGTACTCATGACAAGGGGTTACCTAATCACAGGGCAGTGCTGAAATCAACATCCACATCCACGGGTCAGAATTGTTCAGGAGAAGGATTTCTTATATCAAACATGGATCTGAAATGCTGCATCTGTAACTTTTTGGCTTCTAACGGCAATCCTAAGAAAATAGTCTTAAGTTAAAATCTCCATGTTGTACATTCGCTCAATTCAAGTAGAAACGTTCGACGCATGTTATCTATCAAAACTCCATGAATTACAGTTGCTCAGGGAACTCGCGCTGGCTTAAGCTTATTCTTACGACGCGTTCCCCACAAGTCAAAGCCGATAGGAGAGTTTGATTGGATACTCCAGAGGCGTGTTTACTCTTCACGTAATGTCTGCGCCAACCACGGGAAGAAGCGAGGGCACAGCAAAGCTATGAAGAGGAAGAGATACGTGCTCCTGTAAGTGGTTGCGCGGCCTCTTCATTTTGTCCCGCTCCGGATGGACACTTTGCTCCGATGGGGATGAAACTACACAATTGGCAGGTAGACTCGATGCTCTCCGCAGTGTCAACATCGTCACCGTGAGAGTACTGGGGATGGTAATGATGCAACTGTGCCGCAAAAATGAGATCCTGAGTAGTATATAGTTTCTTGTTTGCTCTCTCATGTTACACCAATCCATCATCACCTTCACGCATTCTCACAACGTTCCATCATATTATCAGATTGTCTTCGGCATCGAATTTCTTTCTAATTCTGTCTTGCCTCAATACCCAAAAAGCGACAGCCATGCGAGGATTATTCATCAATCTCCTCTTCCTAGTCACTACGACTGTGGGGTACTTGGTTCCAACACCAAGCGGCAAGTACAATGTCACAGTAACGACCGGGACACTCACAGATCATACCCGTAATGATCGAGAGTTGATGCTATCAGTATTTGAACCTGCAAAGTGCTCATCAACTGCATCCATCCCTTACATGCCGAACACGACCGCCAATTTCCAAGGATCATTTCTTGAACAGATCTTTGGCTTACCTGTCAATCTCTCGCCCTTGTTTCTCGAAGCTCGACTACCAGTGTGTCCTAGTCCTGGCCACCGCCATGCAGGAAACTGCTCGTCTTTAGACGAAGACACGCCTATCCTACTTTTCTCACCTGGCTACAGCATCCCTCGCCTTTATTACAACTATCTCGCATCTTCCATTGCAAGTGAGGGTTTCATAGTCATCACTATCGATCACCCTGGTAATGCAAACATCATTACATATCTTGACGGCCACACAGTCATCAATAACGACACTGTGCAGGACCTCGAAACCATCGCGAAGCAAATACCGATAGTCGCCGCTGATGCATCTTTCATCGTCGACCAACTCACCAACGCCACAGCTATAGGCGAGCTGCTCCCCCATCGCGGTCCACGGGCATTCTCAACAGATCGTATCGCTATGTTCGGGCACTCTCTAGGCGGCGTATCTGCCGTCATCGCCGCCGGTCAAGACTGCCGCTTTCGTGGCGCCATTAATTGGGACGGCACATTCCTGGAAATGCCAGTCAATCTGTCCCAGCCAGTACTGCTCATGAGCCATGGACATGCCGATGAAAGCTGGCTTGCAGCATGGCCATTTCTCAAGGGACCGAAGCTGTGGATTGATATTGTGAATACGACGCATCTGACTTTTTCGGATGGACCTACGCTGTTTGAGGCAAGTGGACAGGATCCTGCGGCGTTGGGCGACTTTCTGGGCACGATTCCACCATCTCGGATGGTGCCGATTCTGGTGGAGTATTCGACTGCTTGGATGAATGGGGTGTTTGCTGGGAAGGTCGGGGGCCCGCTGTTGGATGGGCAGGAGCCGGAAAAGTTTCCAGAAGCTTCGGTTGTGTTGAAGGATAATTATTGAAACTGAAGGCGAGAGACGACTTGCAAAAGATGAATATAAGTTGCTATCGAGAAAGGCCGCGACGAATTTGTGTTTATCTCGCTTAATTCTGTTTTGGAGGAAAGAGGGCGGGGTGGGGTGCCTTGGACTTGTAGTATTCTAGATCGGTCACGAAACTAAATTCGCTGTAATCCTTCTGTATGAAACAATTTGAAGACCGGTTTTCCTCCAAACAACAAACTTCCGTGCTCAGTTAATGCCCACACCCTTGTAGTTCTCGCTGAATTCAAAAGCTACCGTCCGTTGCAATGGCGGAAACGGATTTCGGGAGCATGGCGGTAACGTCTCGAAAGTATTCAAATGAATTCAGGCCAGAGTAGAAGGAAAGATTTTCGAAGATAACTAAAGACACATTCTGTCTGTTCGAAAACTAACATAGGGCTGGCGAGCCACGCTACTGCATGTCGTTGGCTGCTTAAGCCGTGTTGATAATCAGTGCTAGTGAGCCTTCTAGCGCACCTTGCCGAAGATCGAATTTTAAGATGTCGGAAGGCCCCTGAAAGCAAAAAATCCCATGTAAATGAGTTGCTCGGACTTTTTTTGAAACTACGAGTAAGTAGAGCATCCAAGGGGAATGTGGGGGTGGATCATCAGCTGACATGCCAAGCTATTAGAATTACAGTTGCATAAGGAGCTACTACAGAGAGAGAGAATCTCCTATATAAAGGGGTAGCGTACTCAGTAGTACGGCCTATAGTACTAAGTCTACGCCTACAATCCCTATATTTCTAACAGCCCCCCTATTCTCTATATCTGTAGTAAATAGAGCCTTCTAAAGCAGTATAACACTAAATATTCCCGAAGCGACGCCAGAGTATCACTAAAGTATCACTAATAACTTATATTATATAAGGAGCCTCGATTATACCTTATTAACTCCTGTAATATACTAGCGTATATATAGTGCCTACGTCTCCTATTTTCCTAAGAGTTTAGCAACTTTATAGTATTAAGGTATATAAAATAGTATAAGAGTATACCTAAATCGCTTCTTTATTAATAATCTCTTACTTCTATTACTCTTATTTACCCTTATTTATAGCTACCTTATACCTTCCTTTTATAGCTACTAAGATTTATTCCTTACTAGCCTTCTCTCTAGCCTCTAAAGTATATAAAAGTCGTTCTCTTCTAGTTTTATTTCCTTTTCTTTTTTCTTTAACTATAGAATAAGATTTATCTTAACTATTAAGTATAGTAGTTATATATTATTATTTTACTTAATTTATAGTTATATATTATTATTAAGGAAAGTATTTATTAAAAGACTAATTTTCCGCGAAGAATATTCTATTTTTATAAATTCTACTACTAGAAACATGTAACGGTCCGGTATTTACTCGCTATAAATACAGAAGGCTGCAGTTGATCTCTGATAATCGAGAGGTAGGTGTATTACGTAGACAGGAAGATAGTTACTAAGTATTAGAATACTATTTGAAGTTGAGCACGAAGCTCCTATCTAATAGCAGATATGCTAGTCTTATATAGAACCTTTGTTCGCCTTAGATCCCCTAGGATACTAGATCCTTAGATCCTTAGATCCGCTTTCCTATAAGGGGATCTAGGGATCTAGGGATCTATCACGTGACTTATTGTCTACCGTGATCTAGGTAACTATTACTACTGAAGCGTGAGTATATAGTAGTACCACTCGCTGTCCTGTATTATTCCCTAGCTAGTGCTACCCTATTAATAGTACCGCTCCCTTATTAGTACTAATACCCCTATAGTACCACTGATAGTTTTATTATCATATAGGTGCTAACTGAACTATAGCGCCAAGGGTCTGTTATACTATCTCCCTCTTAGCTTAGTGTGGTCCCTACGCTTAAGTATAACCTTAAGAAACGTCGATAGTTGCTAACGACTATCTTCCTTATCTATTATATCTAATATTGTAAAGAAATCGAGTATCGCCTAGATAAAGAAAAAACAGAGTATCTAGCTCGCGCTCCGTATTAAGCGTACCGCGTAACTCGCAAAGCCTTATTCCTTCTACTGTAGCCTTTCCTGTACCTGCTTCTTAGATTTATCTATTTTAAAACGATACTCCGAGTATGTTCGCTTAAAGCGTTACGATTATAATACCTCGGGGTATATTAAGAGGTTCACTCCTAAACGACCTATGTATCAGTTTAAGATAAGAAAAACCGTGACCCTTACTCGTCTTCCGACGCCTCCCCTTAAGCCCGTCGAGGATGATCCTACTTCTTAGTTCCTTACCTTCGAACCTGACGCCTACCTAGTGTCCTTCTTCAAGGGCCCGTTCCCTGACCTTAGGTCCCCTTCCTTCTAAGTAAACCTAGATTTCTTTAATAGAATTCCCGCAGAAGCCCAGGGTAGTAGAGGTTAGATTTAGGTTCCTAAGTGTTTTCTGATTGTAGGTACCCTTTCTATTTAATTAAATATTTTAGTTTACTATAGAAATACTAACAGTTGAGAACAGCCTCTACTTCGTATTCAGCGTTCGGATTAATCGGTTGTATTTTAGTAATAAGAGCAGGCGGTGCTCCTAGCGGTACTAGTTCGAGGAGAGATATGTGGAATACCGGGTAGATATTCATTGTTTTTAGTAGAGCTAGTTAATAATTAACTAGTCCTTTAACTTTAGTAATCCTGAATAGTCCTAGCTTTTTATAATCCAATTTATAACTTAGTCGTTTAGTTGCGATATTCTTTCTAAGTAAATAGACTTTATCCCCCTCCTTAAGCGTTAGTCCTATGCTACGCTTTCTATTATAGTAGATCGCAGATCTCTACGCGATAAAGAGAATATCAGCTAATAATTCTTCATAGAGCTATTTAAGCTCATCTGCCTATAGTATAGCTTCTTACGCAGTACCCTAGCCGGCTATTAGTAGGTTATATGCTGTAGGATTATACCCATAATTCGCGTAGAACAGTGATACTCTAATAGTCTCTTAATCCGCGCTATTATATATAAACTGAGCGAGTAGAAGTAGTTACACCTAGTCGTCCTACTTATAGTTCATATAACACTAAAGATAAGTTTCTATTATCTAGTTAATTCGTTCTATCTGTATATTAGTCTAAGGATAGAATATAGTTGATATTTTCTGCTTTATTCCTAAGAGCGTGATAAGAGTTTTCTAGAACTTTGAGGTAAAGAGCTTATCTCTATCTGAGATAACCTTATCTAGTATTCCGTGGCTTACGAAGATTATTCTGAGGAATACCTGCGCTATTATAAGCGCGTCCTATGTTCTAAGTACTAGTACTATATACGCGTACTTTATGAACCTATCCGTTATTACACAGATCGAGTCGTATACGATTCCTATAACTAAGTCTTTCAAGGGTAGTAGTTTAACCACGAAATCTAAAGTGATTAATTTCTATAGGTAAGGTAGTATTATTAGTGACTTTATAAGCTTATACAGAGCATAGTATGATACCTTGTTCCGGATACATATATCGCACGACGCTACTATATCTTTAACTACCTTCCTTATTCCTGGGAAGTAGTATTCCCTAGATAGCCTAGATAGCGTCTTAGCTACCCCCTAGTGTTTATAAGCAGGCAGCCTATACTAGTGCGTGACGAATTTAATCCTGTCCCTAGTGGGTATATAGATTCGTCCTTAGTACAGAAGCGTGCCATCTAAGGTGAAGGAGAATCCTTCGCCTAGCTGCTTCTTCTGTTCAGCTATGACTAGGTCGTTAGTATAGCCCCTCTAGACTTTCTCAGCGACCTGGCCTGTTGAGGCTAGCTATTAGTGATTAACTATTAGCGAATTACTATCCTTCTATAGTATAGTGTAGGATTCGTGAGTTTTATTTACAAGATATTCTAGTTTCCTACTTAGAGCGTCAGCTCTAGCGTTTTCCGTTCCCTTGATATAAGAAATTCGAAGTTTTACAGTAGAAAGCGTTTCGTACTAATAAACCTACTATTAGTTCAGTTCCTTAGTAGTCGTAAAGTAAATGAGATTCTTGTAGTCCGTTAGGATCTATACTTTATAGGCGGCGCCCTCGAGGTAGACCTTCTATTTATATACTACGTCTACAATTGCTAGTAACTCTTTGTCGTATATATCGTAGTTAAGTTCTACTAGTAATAGTTTCCGTGAATAGTAAGCGACTAGTTGCTATCTTCCGTCCTCGCCCGGCTAGCTGAGCATAGCTCTAATAGTGTAGTCCGAAGAATCTGTCTCTATGCGTATTTCTTTGTCAGGGGTAAAGGAAGTAAGTACTAGTTCCGCGATAAAAGCCGCTTTAAGTGCCTTAAACGCTTTTCGTGCGCTATTAGACCAGTGGAATTCCTTATCCTTATGAGTTAACTCTGTGAGTAGCCCGGCGATCTTCGAGTAGTCTTTAATAAATCGCCTGTAGAAGTTAGTAAACCCGAGGAATAATTGTACTTCTTTAACACTCGTGAGCCCTGTCCACTCGATAATTACTTTGATTTTCTTAGGATCTATAGCTAATCCTACGGTAGTAACTATATAGCCTAGAAAGATAACCTCATCCACGTGGAAGTTGCACTTCTCTAGTTTAAGTAATAAGTAAGCGTCCTCTAGCCTCTAGAGAATAGCTATAACGTTTTTCATATGTTGCTCCTCTGATTTAGAGTAGACTAGTATATCGTCTAAATAGTATATACATATTATATCTAAGTAAGGCTGTAAAATATTGTTAATCAGACGCTGAAATGTGGCTAGTGCGTTAGTTAAGCTAAAGGGCATAACTGTATACTCGTAGTAACTGAAACGAGTGCGAAATACTATTTTCTCTTCTTTACCCTCAGCTATCCTAATAAGGTTATATGCTCCTCTTAGGTTAAGCTGAGTGAAAATCTTGGCTCTAATAAGTCTGTCTTGTAGCTCCTTAGCCAATAGTAGTGTATAACGATCCTTCTTTATAGCATCGTTCAATCGATAGTAGTCGATATATATTCGTCATCTACTGTCTTTCTTTTCTGCGAATAAGACGTTACTCCCCTATAGAGATTTAGACTCTCGGATAAATCCCTTCGCTAGGTTTTCATTAATATATTGCTTGATTGTTATTAAGTCTATCGCTGAATATTCCCTAAGTAGTTAGAATATTAGTTTAATACCTAGTTCTAACTTAATCCGATAATCGTAGTCTTAGTGTTTTAGTAAGGCCTCGATGCCTTGTTCTTCTTTGAATAGTGCCGCAAACTTCTTATATACTGATAGTATATCCTTTATTAGTA